GAGAAAACTAAGTACCGACTTTCACATTGCCGCTTAGACTTGTTCAAAGCCAATTTGTGGGAAGGTAAACGGTAATGCGCGAGCCGCAAATGACAAGGACTGTGTTTTTTGCGTTACGGTGCAGTGCGTGCATATCATAAACTCAGAATGCTAGAATTCCCGGCTTGTGAAAGTTTTTAGGAAGTGGCGTTCACGTGTCTTTTCTTTACTTTTTTGGATAAAAAATCAAGAAAATCGAGAAGCCGCTTGCGGCTTCGAGATTCTACAAGGAATATGCCGCGCTTGGCTTAGCTTAATTTTTTAGGCAAAAGTCGGAAGCATGAAACCGGAAGATGACTACAGGCGAATCAAGACGGTGCGCGAAGAAATCGGGCCCGGTAACTGCCAAACACGTGGTAACAAAGATCAATGATTGTTTTCTTCACTAGATGGCATTTTGATGATCGATGCGAACCAGCGCTGGGATGTGCAAGAGGCGATCGATCGAGTCAACGCGCTGGCGGAATTTCGACCCCTGTGGGTGAGTAAAAACGCTTATCAAGTAATTTTGGTTTTGAGAATTTCCGGATTCGGAAATTCAGAAATCTGAGCTTGGGAAAAATTGAATTCACGTTGCATTTTTTGAATTCCTGCAATTTCCGAATTCCAGCGCTAGAATCATGTCCCGTAGCTTTCTTTCTTTAGATCGAAGAGCCGACCAAAGATGACGATGTTCTTGGACATGCTAAGGGAGGGTTCAAAGCTTTCTTCTTTCAATAATTCAAGAATTTTGCTTGAAAGAAAAATAAGTCAAGCTTGCTCTTGAAATCGCTTTCATTTTAAAACGCTCATAATAATCGACAATTTGTCCCGCTTGTCACCGGGTTTTTCTTTTTCCTTATCTTTGCGAAAATTCACAAAACTTAGATTTCGATTGCCAGAGCCAAAATGCTGAGCATTTCCTGAACCTTGAAAAAAAGATTGCCAAAGCACTGGAGCCACTTGGAATCGCTGTCGCTACTGGAGAGCAATGTCAAAATCGAATTATATTCAAGTGACGGTTTCACGGGGCCGAGGAACTTGAGAATGTCTTCGATTTTGAAATTTTTAAAAAGGAGTTCTGATGGATTCAGAATTCAGGTCAGAGCTCAAGTAACGATTTGAAACAGTATTTTTTCATTAAAATCGTAATTTATAACAACTTTCATTTTTGTAAAAGCATCTCAGATGCTGCATCTGGCTTGATCCTTAGTCCTTGTTTTTTCGAGTATAACACGCGTATGCTCTGTATAAACCCGGATTCGACCCTCAGTTAAATGTTGTTTACTAAACAAAATTCAAAAGCTCAAAAACGTGAAACCCCGATCCACAGCAGCTCATGGCTGCCAAAGCTCTTCATTACGTTCAGGTGAGTGAGGTCACGTGGAGTGTTTGAGGCCCCGTTGACACGCGAAATTCGCGACTCAATAAGCGATCGCTCTGAATCAGCTGAGTGACGGTTGAAAATGTCATTATCGAAATTGACAAATCTACTTTCGAGCTTTTAGATCGATAGTTGTCGTGTGGCTGGACTCAACGAAATTATACTCATCTTACTTTTGGCGGCGAAATTTAATTTGCCAGGTGAGGGCGCACCAGCGTTTATTGACATTTCTGACCACGTGGTGCTAGAAAATATAAGAAAAATATTCTAAAAGAGACGGAAACTGAAAGTTTTCAATACAATTTAATAATTTTTCATTTGAATTTTTTGTCAACGAGCATCAGATAGGAGCCAGAATCATCCACCGTTGACGAGAAAACATAAATTCCGATAACCTTGCGATACAAAAGAAATATCGCCTGCCCCGCTGACATAATACACAAACAGCAAGGAGAGGCTTATCGCAAGCGTAGTCCCGGTTCAAAATTTTTTATTATCTTTATCGCTCGAGTTTAAGAAAAAGAGGCTTGAGGAGTGCTGGGGCTCGGAGAAAATCCGGCAAATATCCACGACGAGCTCTCGTTCGGGCGACAAAATGAGCGCCCACTTTCGAGTACTTGGATAATGAGCCCACTTGGGCACTTTGAACTCGTCGTGAAAATCCACAAAGTGGATCAGGAAGCATTGTGTCAGCGGGAGGTGATTTCTCGGTAGCAACAACTCTAGAATTACCCAATCTGAGCGACGTTATCTCAGGCAGAATTACCGATTTACCACAAGACAAGAATGTGGCCAATCAAATTCATTTGCTAGCCCAACAGCGCCGCCGCAAAAATTCGATCTTTTCAAACAAACACTATTTAAATGACCAACAAAAGATAACAAATTTGATATCCGAAGACTCGAGATGGGCTCGTCACCCGCTGAGATCATCGATAAGCTATCTTATCAGCAGCTTTCTTATTAACGATTGAATTTCTAGTCTGTCCGCATGCGGGTGGAGTCGGACTCTGCCAAATGGTCGCCCATATCATTATGCTCGATTATATCGCGATATCAGGAAGGGCTCAATCGTATTTTTTTCGGAACACGTTAATTAAATCCATGTAGAAAAAAACAACGATAAGATGGATTACAGAGGATTATGCTCTGATAACGCCAAGATTGGAGAATCAAACAGCTCATTTAAACATGTCCTAAGGGGGCTTTTAACAGCTCGATGTTTTTGAACTTACTTTAGCTCTTTTTCTTGCCGATTCTCTTGAATTTTTAAGGTCTATTTTAGATTTTTGAAAAGCAATATTTGCTATTTTTGAAGACTAAAAGTTTCAGACGCCCTTTATCAGTATCTTATTTGATACTATTGAACTTAAGGGTATCAACTTCTAAACGCGCAAATAACCAATAATCCGAGCCTCAAAAAATAGGAGACAAAGAGGACCGCTACTGCGAGTACTCGGCTCATTTGCACGAGCATTTCGTAGACGATCTAATCATGAAAGGTCAAAACTACATGCCACCTGGTGCACCTGGCTACGGGACAAAATTTCATGAAACCTCTGCCGCCGAGTTTCTCTTCCCTGATGGCTCTTTCTGGAGAAATCACAACAAGCAATAAATGAAACCTTTGACACCTTGAAATTTTTTTCTAGCAGGAATTGAGCCTGAATAAGGAGATGCGCATAAAACGCTCAAAAAGACGAGGGCGGAAAGAATAAGTTACTCCTGCGCCTGACAGGAGCTGTCACAGTTGCATTTCTACGCAGGACATTATGACAGGATCCTGACGCGCTACTGCAAGAGAGCTTTTGACTTACTGCTGTACATAATGATTTTAGAGGCGTTTTCCAATTTCCGGACGATTGAGCTCCAAAATTCAGAAATTGAACTCTCTTGTCTAAAAATAGAGCAACCACGAGTCCTTGGGAAGGTTTATCCTCTGACGTTTCAGAGTCGGATGGACAGGTCAATCTATATTCCACTTTTTGGTTAACCCAAAATATGGTTAGCAAAGACTCAAGATCAAAGAATTAGGAACATAAACCAACTCAAACAAGAGTCGAGAAATCCGAAACAACGGAATAACTCTTCCCTCTTATTTAATTAAATTAGCGTTATTAACTCCCGCAGACGAGTATATCGTCACCACAGTTTGGTTTTGTTATCTTGGTGAACATATGCACGTTTTTTGAGGAATGCCACTGTCCTGGGCATCAGGGTGTAGAGGAGGCTTATCATTACACCGTCTTAGGCTCTTTGGAAGGGATTTGAGACATCCGGCCGCATACCCGCGAATTTTCGCCGCGGAGATTACGTTGAACAATGGATTTTAGAGGATTTTATACGAACGCGGACGTGCATCCCTCTAATCACAACTCTAAACACACTCTTTTTAGATTCTAAACCACGTGGCTTCATTAAATAATATTCGACGACCTTTGAAGAAATCTCATAATGAGTCCAACCACAAGTTGCAATAGAAGTCGTTTATGGGAGGAATGCGATCGTGAGAGGATCCACGTCGAAAATCGATTTCGGAACGAGCAGCTGGACGAGTATCTGAGGTAGTGCTGCGGTCGCGCGGGACATCACACACGAGTGCGCCGAGTCTTTCTGCACAGAATGCAAATACCAACTTTGCAGAAACCCAGAATGTGGAGCAGGAGCCTTCTACTGCCGACCACATCAACTTGCGTAAAGAAATTCTTGACTCAAGATCTTTCCAATGATAAAATTGACAAAAATTTCTATTTATTTGAAAATGATTTTTTCAAGAAAAAAAATGAAAAAAAAAATTCTGACCCAAAGTTCATAGAAACAGTTTTAGAACAGTACTAGAATTGATCCTGAAGCTAATCTCTCTAACCTTTCCTCGTGCTCTTTTCGATTAGATCTCAGCTCTGGCTCCTCTCCAGCGATTCTCTCTTTATAAGCACAGCTTTATAGAGCTCCGAGTTTGCAAAAATCTACAATTTTTTCCTTCCTCTTTTTCGTTCAATTGTTGCTTTGGTTTTTTAAAACCACAACTGGCACCCTTTCAGCAGCGAAGCTGAAACATAAGAAGCAGCACGTGGAAACGATGCCACGAGAAGATTTGGGCAAAACTTGGAGGAGCTCAGTTTGTTGAAAGCGGAAAGTTATTGAATCTCACCCGGCGGTAAATTTCACGCTGACTCAGCAGAAAAAAAGCTACTAAATCAATTGAGATCGTGGGACTCTTAAATGTAAAGTGTGGAGTCATGAGAAGTGCGAATATATTATCTTATCGTTCCAACACTTTAAATTAACATTTCTGCTTGTACAAAAATAATTTAGAACGAGAAAATGTCCAAAGAATTAATAAATCCAATCTAGCGTCTTTCCTCTTCCAATTTGACGTTTTCAAGAAAAAGTGTTTGCGAAATAAATTGCCCAGTTGAATCAGTTATTAAATTAAAAACCATCTCTTTACTGATCGACTTGTCAATTACGATTATTGTTCTTGTTCGACATCTGTGTTTTCATCGCGTTATGACTACCGTTCCTTCTAATTTTCATTACAACTGAGTTGCACCAATTGTAAATCTGGAGATTATGCTTGTTATATTTTGACACTTACTTTTTCGTTCGGTAACGGTGACAGTTTTCTTAGTCTCGACTTTCGGCGCCGTCTAAAACAAACGGTTAGTTAAGCTCACCCACGGTGTCCATTTTTTAAGCTTCGGAAATTCGAACCCCGCTGCAAATGTGAAAAGTAAACTTTAAAAAAAAGAAGAGGACAAGGATTAAACCCGATATTCAAAGGCCACGTGAGTTCTATTCCAAGAAGCCACATTTTCGAGAAAAAGATAAGAAATGATTTTCAAACGAAAAATGATTGAACAACAAAAAAATTTTTAACATGGCGGGACATCATCCTTATCGGCAGCCTTTATCTTATCAGGGTTGCTTCGGCGGCGTCGCCAGAATTCTGGAGGTAATTCCCCTCGACCACCAGTGACAGCTCAATGGGCGGGTCAACACAGTACTTGAAATATAACTTGGGGCCGGAAAATATCTCTGAAAGAATCTGGTCTCAAGAATTTGTGTTTACGTCACGGACATCATGTTACGGAGATATTTCAAATGAGCGAAGTGCATTTGTTTGCGTAATTTTAGATAGAAAAAGTCTCTTTTCAATATTTTTATGAAATTAAAAACTTTCGTCTTCAACAAAACAAATCTATAAACCGTTGACTTTAGACCACTGCTACTGCTCCTCTCATCTTTTGGGTTGAAATAATATTTTTCCGTCGGAGGGAAAAGTCTTCAAATAAGCAACTCCGCGAGTTCCCAGATGGAACTCCTTCAAACGCAGTTTTTCCAACCCTCAAGAAAATATATCGCGCTTCTGACGTCTTTCTACAAATATTTGACTCTTTCAAAGGCTCCTTAAATTTTTCCCGAAAAGAATACGTGTCTAAATTAACCGTTTTCTTTAATAAGGTACAGTTAGGTCTTTGCTTTCGAAAATATTTGGTTACGTCTTACGACGAGTGCGCAAAAATTTCGCTCGAAATCACGAGTGCCTGGACACGTGATAAGCAAGTACAGGGCCAACTCGACCCAGAACCAACTGCGAATCGTTGTTTTCTAAAGAGGAGATGGCGAAACGGAGTGCGACTTGAAAGATAAGTCGATTCTCGATAAGGGCAAGTGGCGGATTACGGCTGAAAACTGAAACGGCTCGCTAAAGCTCGTCTTGAGCCACTGAAAGTCTTAGCTTGAACACTATATCGCCAATAGAATATTCTACTCGGAGGATTATCAAAGCGATGAATCGATAGAATTCACAGTTTTTATTGAAGCTTACCCTTTTCAGAGAAAAATAGTTGGATAATTATTTCAGCAATTTTCGTCAAGCATTTTTAAAAAGCTCAACTAATGAGGTTCAAAAATGATATGAATTCGTTATTTTTTATCATAATGATCATCATCTTTAAATTGATGCTTGAATAAATTACACTCCCGGACGATCAAAATGAATTGGTCGCTCATGGAACCGGGCGCGTTTTTGAGCGTTCCTGAGCGGTCGAAAGTCGCCGTGGAGATGATAGGATTGCGGTCGGCGCCAGTCAAAGTGCTGATTTGGAAAGCCGCGCTCGGACACTTCCCCACAGTTGGGAAGGGTCTCATCGCAGCCATTTGGGCGCAGTATCGAGGCCACAAGTGTATCGCAAATCGGCATGCGTCAAGAATATCCCGAAACCATCAGAATTACGACGGCAAGTGGAATAAATCGAGACCTGTTGTTTTAGAAATCGCGACAGGGACAGGGTAAATGGCAAATGAAAAAAGTTCTTGCTACTGTTATACAATTTCTGTGGAAAAGAGACTCTACTTACACGTGAGACCACTTGAACTCAAAGATAATATACAGACAGACTCCGTAAAATGCCCTTACTCAAGTTTGATAACATCGAAAGAACAAGTAGCCCCATTCTGACTGTAGTTGCGCTCATCGACCTGTGTTAATTTCCCATGAATCATGATACTTGTCCTGAAAAGAACGCTTATCTTATTCCGAGTATCGCTCCTTAATTCCTTACTTTCAAGAGCTTATCCTTTCGTGGCCCCTTTGAACAGATTTCGACCTCCGTCCGGACCACGGCGGGAGCTTACGACCACGGTCTAAGACCAGATAAAGACAATTTAGAAGGATTTAGCATCGTGTTTGCTAAATTACTGTTTTTCTCCTCTTTTCAAGAACTCTGACGCAGGTTACCGGTTGTTTGTTGTCGCAAGAATGGCGACTGTGGCACGAGAGGTCACTCGAAATACTTGGACGAGCTTGTTTAGATATTTAGCCAAGCATTTATGTTAGCTAATCCGATCGAGACTTGAGAACAGAGTGGACTGCCAAATACGATATCATTTTGTCACAATTTATATGCAATTACGAGTTACATGATTAAGCTGTATTTTGTTTCAAAACTAAGGCACTTGAATAGACTTACAAATTGGGCTGGATAAAATTAGAGGGTTCTTCATTTTTTATGGGAAAAATGAGAGCTGAAAAAATGAACTGTTGATGCACCAGATAAAGGTTTCATAAATTAAGGGTATCACTATATAAAACTGAAACATCAAATTCATGATTTCAAGAATTGGTACCTGCAAATCTTCGATGTTTTCTCTATTTCTAGTTCTCTCGTAATATTTTAAGCAATAGAAATTTTAAAATTTGTGTCAGACACGATGTTTGGGCCGGAAAGGGATCAACACCACGTGGTTGAGCTGTCCGCTTTCATGTCAGATTTTAAGGGTGGATTACTCGCCCGTGATCGCTGGGAAAAGGTCTTTTTAGGAAAACGGTTTAACGGTAGTTTTCTAAATAAGAAAATGCGATTTCTAACTCTTCTTTTTCAAACTGTTTTGCTTTGCGGTGAGTGTAATAATGATCATTTGAAAGAGCACAAACAGTCTCACGGTCGTGAAAAGGGCGATAAGAGAATATTAGAGAGACTGGGAGAGAAAGGCTGGAACGGGGCCCGGATTTGGGACACGACAGGATTTCCTTTTTTCATGCTTTCTAAATTGGGATACATTTTTTTATGGAATTTTGGACATCAAATTTTTGGACATTTTTGCAATTTTAAGGACTTTTCTTGGGACACTTTTCAGAGGTGCCTGTATCAAATTTGGACATTTTCTGCGCCAAAATTTCAAATTTTCTGTTTTTCTGCCAGATATGAAAATTTTTCTCATCAAAAATCATACTTTTATTTGAGAAAGATAAGATTGAAGCTTGATCTCGTACCCCTAAAACTTTTTGTCTTTCGAAGAAGAATGATGCAGAGCATGATGGAGATTTTCCTCAAAAATTTTTTAACCGATTTGGATGGGACATTTTTTCGGCAGCGTGTATCAAATTTTTGGACATTTTTACGAAAATCTTGGGACAAAAAATGTCCAAAATTCCATAATTAACTGTAATTGGCTATCCGGCTAAGTTTAGCGTTGAGGGAAGGATTGGATTTTTTCACTGTTTTAAAAATAGGACTTCAAGTCTAAGCACCACAACTTCAAATTCAGCTTTATGAACTAAGAAGCAGATATTATGAAACGAATTAAATTTGAAGCTTTAAATAAACCGGAAAGTCAAAATTACGCCAAGTCCAAAACCCCCCTCTTTCCACGTGCGTGTGCCCCAAATTAACGCATGAGCTTGAATCCCATTAAGAAATGGCATTTCGAAAATTTACTTATCGGTTACAAAGAAAATCCAGTTGTGGGAAAAATAATTGCAGCCTTGGCCAACTCAGCAGACTGGCCGGTGCTATTTTTGCTAAGGAAATCCTTATCGGTCACTTTTCCGCCGCGGAGAAAACAAACCAAACGCCTCAGATGGAGCACTTGATGAAATTCGGTATCTTTTCAAGCTTGCTGAAGATTTCGAAGAACACGCCCTTAGTTCAGAAAATTGGCTTAAACTAATGAGCTTATTATAAATGGTTATTTCGTCTTTCTACACTCGTGCTTCAAACCAAATACGGTCTATCAAATTTTGAGGCTCTAAAGTTTTCTTCGCGCTGTTGGATTTCGCGAGAAATATTTCTGAGGTAAGTTTTAGAAAAAAATGAGCGGTAGCGGCGCTGGAATTTTAGGAAAGCTATTCTGCTCGACCACGTGACGAAATAACGCGGATTCCTTCCCTTTGAGAAAGGACTTGAAGGCTGAATTCTTTCAGCTCTTACTGTACTTTTTGGCGGAACATGAAGAAATTCTTTTCGGTAATTTTTTAAATAAATTTCGTTTTTGGTGCTGAATTTTTTGAAGCTTTCGCCCACATTGCCGAAAAAAGAAAAAACAAAATGTTCAAACAAACCGCAAGACTGATTTTCCACCCATTTTCTGTTCCAACAATCTGACCTGCAATTAAGGGTATCAAGAATGATAAATGCAGAAATTTCATCAATTTTAAATTTATCCATCTATCGATCCATAATTAAGGGTATCCACGATTAAAAATTGGGCGTTTATCAAACATTAACTTTATCATTATGTATACCCTTAATTTAAGGCCTCAAGTAAAAATCTACAGTAGAAAAAAAAACCAACCGCGAAACGAATCTCTATCTAAGATTTTCTCCGGAAGAGGTTCTGTAAATATTTTTGATAAAAATGAGCAGTTTTGGAAAACTTTAAAAATGAAATTAGAATATTTAGGCTGCAACGTTGTTGATGCGTAAATATTTTGCTCGTTGAAACCGCTATCGGTTTCGAAGATCATCTTGTCCGATATCTGTCCGGCTCATCGGCGATTTTGGGGAAGATGATGAGCAGATCTCACGTCATTCTGCATCCATGTTGCTGGGAAGATTTAACCCCTTCTATGCAGTTTTGTTCGAATCTGACAAAACGAGCTTTGAGCCAAAGCTATTTTGGATGTCAAAATAGCGAAGCCTGGATCATCATTTATTCGTGGAACGCGTTAAGTAACTGTATCTTCACAAAAAAGGCCATGCAAAGAATTTAACCCTTGCGCGTAACGTGGGTCATTTTTGAACTCTACACTCATTTGAATTTAAAATTAAGCAGCAGGGGAATCAACGAAGCTCTTTTTTGTTGATATCAAATTCAAATCTAAGGATTTCCACATCCGCCCCAAATCAAACGTAAGAAAACAGGGGTTACCCTTAAGCTTGTATGCATAAAAATAATACCTTCGTAACAGTTGGCAAATTGGCGGCGCTCTTCATATTTGCGAGCTTTTCGAGCGCCATTGTCTGCGGCAAAGTCAGTCGAATTTCGTTCTTTTGGACATCTTTTTCGAGCTTCTGCTGCTTTGATTCAAGCGCGACTGGAATCTTGTCATCCCTCTTTGAGCGGGGCTCGCTCTGCCATCGCTTACGGTTCAACTTTTCCTTTCGCACCGCACTGCGGGCGCGTTCTCGGCTCTCCACTTTCTGAAAGACAAAACAGTAATTATGTGATTCAATTTCAAGGCTTTCCAAAAAAGATCATTATTCGAAAATTAAAAGAGGCATTTTGCTTTCGGTAAAATTTATATTTATTATATTTAGATAAAAACTTTTTTTTCTTCAAGTTGAAATTCGACATTATTTTAATATCCAAGATAAATTCAAGATATTCGTGTTTTCTTTAGAAATATAGACTATCAAGCTACTTGAAAGTCCTTCTAACGCTAAAACTGAGTTTTAAGCTGGTTCACTTCATCATCATCCTTCAAAGTTATTTGAGCACTTAGTGGTAAGAGACAACTCTTTTTTTAAAGTCACCAGGAAATCTAATAAGCTCAACCTAACAACCATCAAATGTTTTCCTTGTTGTCGGGCCGCGAGTTGAGACCTGATCAAAGCGGAAAAGATGGACCAGAGAGAATCCTCTCATAACTGGCATTTTCCGTCACGACCACAAGAACCTTGGCCCAGAAATAATAATGCCAGGATAAGTACCGTAGGCTGGATCCTTATGCAAATGTTTTTTCGCCTGATTAAAAATGATAAGCTTCAAACTTGTTTCTAAAAGATACCACCAAAATAGATGTATATCTTTATAAATGAATATTAAGATAGAAGGCTATTCTTACCTTGATTTCATTCTTGACAATCTGCGTTCCCAAAAGAATATCCTGGCTCTTCGCTCTTCGATTCTTCTTGAGATCGTTCATAAAGCCTCCGTTCATGAGTTTTTCCAATTTCGCCCTCTCTCGTTCCATTCCGCGGCTCATGCGCCCGCTGGAAGATGATCGAAGAGAAGCCATGGAGGAAGATTTGAGGCGTTGGAGCTTTTCATCTTCGGAGGGCGAAGAGTTCTGGGAAATTGTTCGGAAAGAGTTGGTGCCGAATGAAGAGGCTGACGTAGTGAGAGCGGTCGATGAGATGCCAGAGTCGTGTGACTTCAATGAGAACTAAATAGAACAAAGGTTGACATCGAGTCGGGAAATAAATGAGAGCCACAGATATTTACCGGGCTCGGGAAACTGAATTCATGTATCTTGGAAATTCCAAAGTTATAATTTGAATTCCACAGGGCCGCGAAATTTATGTAAAATGAAGAAATGCAAATTTGTAAAAAAAAAGTTTCTGAATAAATTTCTGGTAGGAAGGGCATTATTTTCTGGGACCATAAAGAAATTATTCATTTGTTAAATTTTTATTTTTCCCGCGGAATGACACTGACGCACTCTTAAAACACTCAATACTAATGTTCCATCTATGAGCCCTAATAAAAGTTCTTCATAAGCAAATTAAGCGATAAGCATTACTATCCAGAAATGCCCTTATCAGTTAAGGCTTTTTCCTGTCAACTGCATGCATGTTTTATGCATTCAGCTTACTCACTCTTTGAATAAAATAGTCACGAGCGCGCCGTTCACACAAAGTTTTAAACGGTTATTGATTCTACAACGCAGTAAACATGAATCGCTTGAATTTCGCCACTGTTCGGCATGTCACTAACTTCTAAGTGCTTTAGAAGAAAAGTTTCTTTTCAACTTTGGTGAAATCGAGCCGGTGGAAAATCTGGTGATTCTACGAAAAGAAAGATCCTCTAGTAGCGAGGGCGGCTTTTCCAAGGCTGTTACATAAGACAGCGCTATAAGCCCCGCTCGAACTTATCGCCGTTCCGTTTTGGAGATTACAACTTCTAAAGCTCCGGCAGAGCCAAGACCTGCCCAAACTTGACTTTCTCAGGTACAATTACTGCTGATAGAATTGATAAAAGATTCGATGATATGTAAGTGGTAAAAAGCTTCTCTTTTTCAGGATTCCTGAAAATAAATTTGTACTGTCTATCTCAGGGAGTTGTCCAAATGAAAAAATCCAAATTCTGAAATATCTTTGAAGAGTTATGGTCTCTCCATTTAAAATTCTTTCTTGACTGAAGTCACTCCATATTATCACAAATTTAAGACTTATCGATGTTATTACCATATCATGTTATAAACATGAGCATCATAAAATTCTTTATGTAGTTTTCAATAACTACTTCTGACGGTCGTGTCTGAAATTTCTGGGTTTCCTTAGAAGCAAAAATAATAAACCGTTCATTTTTTCCGTAAGAAGCTTATTTCGGCACTTACGCTCGTAACAGAACGTAATTATGTCGCCCTAACTCTTATTCATGAGAAGCGTGCCTTAACAAATCCTAAGTTTAGCCGTTGTTTCATCAACTAATTCCGAGCTTGGACGACGTAAATATATTTTAACTCGTATTTACGAAGTTTGAGTTATGTAGATTTATCCATGTTTGAGGGTGGACATTACAAGATAGCGAAAAAATAAGAGAAAGTTCTATCTCGAGATCTTTTCGTAACTCCTTATCCTGGCTTGTTTCACGTTATCTTCTTATCAGTCGCTTATCAGTGTAATTATTTTGGGCGAAATTTATTTAATCAGTCCTCGAGCTACAATTTGCATTCAAGAATGATAAAATCCGACGAAAGAAGTCGAAAAAGTCGAAAATTGCGAGAAAAAAATGGTGGATTCTCGATTCTGGTTGCAAACACGTAAATTGGATTATTCGCTTTCGGCCCCTTTCTCACGTCTGGCGACTGAGCCCGCGCTCGGGTTAACGTTCTTATCAGTTCCTTAGGTTCGCCCTCGATGCATCCTCTCGTGTATTAGACTCTAATAATTAGAGAGTCGTGTTCTTTGAGGGGTTTGTTTCTAATCGGAGAAAACAATTCAATTGATGATGAAATGGGAGCTTGATGAATGAGCGCAAAAAGACCATAAATGGGATTTTTATCGGAAGAATTTATCCCAAAATTAAACATTTCTTTTGAGAAAATAAAAACAAAACACCAATTAGGATCGTAGAAATCTCAGATTATAAGTATCCTTTATTATAAGTTAACTTTAAGTTTAGAAGCCACAGATGTAGTGCTTTTATCATAAAAACAAACTGAAAGTCGATGGTAAAAATAACTTATAATTGTAAATCTACAATGTAGATGATCGCATCCACTAAAGAAGTAAATACCTTTCTGTTGGCAACTTGTCTGGTGGAATTGCCGGAATTGAACTGGTTGATTTTTTCACGGACTTGGGTCCTCAATGGCGTCTCGGCAACACGTTGTGGTTTTTGTTGCGGCTTGGGCGATTCGAAAATCGCGATTTTCTGGTTGATCTTTGACCGTGCCCTGGGAGACTGGCTCATTGCTTTTTTTCAGGTTTACACTTTGGTGCTTGGTTATGAAATCATAAAAACTGGGAGAGTTCAGGTGGCTCTACTCGACGCCCTACAAGCCCTACAACTGGCGGAATTAATAAATTCGCGTCGCTGTTTTTTGAAAAACGTCGCTCTAATTATTCTAGCGACAGCATTCTCAAAGAATAAGAACCAAATGCCCTCATTCTTTCAATAAAGCAAATAAAGTCACCTCATCCGCGCAGATTCTAAAAAAATATCTCTTATTTAGAAATTCAGGGTATCACTTTGCATTTCGTCTATTATGAAACGAAAGATAAACAACTCTCATCCCCTTAAACCCAAAAAAAAATGGAGGGCTTAAGATTCTCCCTTGAATCTGAAAGAAGTTGGATTTGAAAACTAAGATAGTTTGAGCATCAACAAATCAGTTTTTAAAAATAAAGAATCGCTTCTTTTGTTTCTAAAAATAATCATGCATCTAACTTGTCTTCAGAAAACTGTTTTTATCTTTCTAAATATTAGTCCGAAAAGTGATTCCAAAACAAGCAGTCATTCAGAAAGCCCGTTTTCTTCTTTGATTTCAACTTTTTTTATCAGTAAAATCGACTGTAGTTCCGCATCTGAATGAACTTTCAGAGAATTTTTGCGGAAGTTCCGGACAAAAAATCTGTTTCACTTTCCCTTTCGCCGCGATTTTCGTTTATAAACTGGAAGCTCATTTAGCTGGAATATTTATAAATGGCCTTGAGCACCTGGAGCAGCGGGGAGCTGCATATTCTTCTTATCGCGCTCTTTCACAAGCACCCTGTTTACGTAAAGCCCCTAATCAAGCATTCACTCTCTGGTTTCTCCGTGAGAGTGGCAGTTCTTTCTTTTTTTTTGTGTCATCTGATTACAGACTAAAGGATTTGCATTTTTGGGCGGGATTGTAAACTGCGGATTTTTGAAATAAAAAGAGACGCAGCAATTTAAAATTGCCAATTTTGTAACTTCTTGTTTACCAATGGTAGTATGGCAAAATGTTTCGGTAAAACTGCCGAAATATGGTGAGCTTATTTTCTGATTAATATTTCGGTAACAGCCGAAACTTTTTTCACTTTTTTCCACTGTTTTCACAAAAATATTTCGGCAGGCTACCGAAATCTTTTTCACTTTTAAGGTGGTTTCTAGCAATAAGATTTCGGCAACAAAAAGGCGCGAAAGATGACAGAAATCAAGGAATCTAAGTTCCCCTGACCACGGGGCTTCGCCCCTTAGGTCCTAAGATACCGGGGTCTAGTCTAGGGTTACTTAGGGTTACCTTCAGTAACCCTAACTAACCCTAGCCTATCCCCCTCGGGTAATTTGTTCCGTCATTTTTGCAGGTGCCCCCTAACCCTAACCTTTATTTTAGCAAAGTACTACGATTTCAATTTTTATCATCGGCTTCCTTCATTTTTGCAAATGAAGAATGGAGCCAGAGATGATCTTGTGAATATGAGAATAGAAAATAACTCGAGATTTTTGAGGTGAAAATTGATAAGGCACACTCATTGAATGCTTATACCAGCGCAAATCAGGATGAAAAACCTGCCGAAACTTTATTGCTCAAAAGACATCAAATTCTGATTTTTGTTTCGGCTCGTACCGAAATATTTTTCCTGAAAACGAGTCTTATTTGTATTATTCTCTCGGCTGCCTGCCGAAATATTTATCAAATTTGACCCCTTGAAAGTGATTAATATTTCGGTCGCTTTTACCGAAACATTTTTCCATACTACGCTTAAAATTCCAAAGTCCATTGTTATAAATTTTAAAATCATCAACTAGCCACGTGAAGTAATTTCACTGTCATTTTTTCGATCCTTCCCGATCTTGTCGTAAACTGTCACCTGACAAGTGCTGTGGTTTCAACCCAAACTGGGGCTGGCGTTTAACCCTTCTTGTGAATTCAGACTTTTGTCATTTTAGTGAAAGAGGTGAAAAAATGTGTAAACCGTTTCCTTTGCTGGCGTAGAGGATTTGGTCTTCTGGGACATTGATGCTTTCGTCGGAGTAATTCGAAATTTCTGACTCGGAATCGGACGAAGACGTGTAATCCGACTCAGACATGCTCATCCATTCAAGCGGAGTCCCATCGAACGCTTCTGTTTCGGAGATCAAGAGTTGCACCTTGACCCCCAACAGATTTGGGGGGAGTTGTGTCGCCATCTGTGGCAGCTAAGAACGTTTAGCTATAATTATACTCGCGTCATCTAGCTATTTTAAAGTCGCTATATTATATAGCCTATATATAAAACATTTTGATATATAAAGAGACTAAGATAAAGCCGCGCGCGGCTAGATGGATAAGTTTTTGGCAGGAAATTTTGGCGAAGTTTTGATGTCAAAATTCAAAGGACTGTTTTTGATCATCGAGAAGCCGCTTGCGGCTTTGAGTCGAATAAATGGAAGCCGCGCTTACTGCGGCTTCATTCATTGATAGCTCGAAGCCGCAATTGACTTTTCGATGATTAAAATACAGAAAAAATCCGCTAGAGGTTAGTTCTTGGATTAAAATTTCAAGCAAATCTTTGAGGTCCAAAATTATAGCTTTGAATTTTTTGAGCGCCAAAAATAGCTTATTTTTGTATTCAAAATTGTCGGATGTATTTTACAACTATACATTTTCCCAAAAATATGCCCTCATCGTGTATTTTCCGTCAAAGCCCTTGGGCTAATAATAATTTAACAATTGTGAATTTTCAGCGAAAACTACTATCGTCGAGCTCGTTACACATCACCAAAACAGACAAATTACGGTAGTGCCGCCCTTAGTAAAAAATGCCACTACGTAGTCCTCAACTTTGTAAGATCTGTTTTCTACAAATACTTTAAATGGATCATGTCTACACATCTATTACACAACTTTTTTCATTGCTCGTTTATTTTTGACGAAAGTAATTTCATTTTTTGTTTAACAAGAAATAACGCTTCATAGAATCGCGAGATCCAGTTCATTTCGATCAGTTAAATAATTTGATATTAAACATTGAGAAATTGGGAAAATGTTTGAAGAGAATTTCCAAAAGAGCTAGAACAAGTACTTTTCGCGGAAATGAAATGATCCTTTGTGGTGCGAAAAAGAGGTTTGCGGCTTATAAGAAATCTTTTTCGACTAGAATTTAAAAATTATCAGCAATATTCTAAATTAAAAGCCGCAAGCGGCTTTTTCTGTGCGAAAAAACATATTGATAAAAGCTTATTTTGCGCGTAGACTTTTTCGTTTCCACAATGAAATTCTTAATAAATTCTAATTTACGTAATACCTTGATTAATTCAACTTGATGCTCGAAATTTAGAAAAAGCACTAAGCTAGAATTTAAAGCCGCGAATTCGGCCACTATGTGAGTAGCTAACTAAGCGACTTGAGTTGGCCTCCGCTTATTGGGCGACGAAAAACAGTACTTTCTCCTATGTAGAACAAGAGGGCTAGAACGGACATCCTTGAGATAGGTAGAGTAGTGTTTGCGATAAAGGGTTCGTTTTTCGTATCGCGAAATTATGATGATGTAACGAGCCGCGCTTTAGAATATAAGCGGTAATTGAAAATTTGAGGTTCATATTTCAGAATATATATAATTTCAAGTCCATTAAGATAGCCTATTCATTCGAAATTATCATCATAAAAACGATTCTCAAATAATTTTTTTTATAAAATTTTCTTACAGTTTCTGTTTTTATTTTTCTCGGGCTAAAGATCCTTCTTTTTCTTTTTCTCTAAAATATCTTCTCAAACAATCTTCTTTAAAAATTTCTTCGTTTCTTTATCTATTTTCTGCTCTCTGTTAAAATTTCAACGCTGCTCTCTATTTAGAATAACTGTTTTGATCTCGTTTATGTTTTTTAATAATCAAAAAGAAAACAAGCAATATACTAGTAATGCAGAAAAAGAACTTCTCTCAGCTTCGTGGTATCAGCACAAATTCAGAGTTTTCATGATTCTCCTCTGATTGCTCGCGAGCGCCACCGCCGCGGATCTCAGCAAAGGCGCGGCTTCCTGTCCCTCGTGCATAACATTCCAGTACGACGAGAAGCGTAACTTGCCAACGGCGAAAATTTGATATCAACGAAGACATGTTATTTCAGCTTTTTTTGTATCTTTTATTTTGCTTCTTTTAGAAAAGAATTTAGCAGAAGTGAAATTTTTACGTGAAAGTATACACAAAGAATTTACAAAAGAAGAAAGGTGTTATTTTGCAACTTGAAAAAGGCTAGATTTGTTTCATATTTCTTGTTGGAAAATTGCGAGGTGAATTGGCGAAAAAGGAGTCGGAAGAACGGAGCTCGAAGTGACGTGAGAACGGCTTCTAAAATAAACACGTGATACGGATCCAGCTGTCAAGCAAGACTTGTGGTCGGGTAAGAATAATAAGGGCGCTTTCATGTGATGAACTCAAGATGAAATGGTGGGTATCGTGCGATAGAAAATTAATTGACTAGACGATTTAATTGTTGGTTATTTTTAGATTTGTCTGGGAAGACAATTTTCGCTTTCGAAAAAGCCGAGTCAAGTTTATATACCTGGAAAATAATGAACGATATGCATTTTGCCTATTTCTTATTTGTGAGCCTGGCAAAAGAAGTCGGCAATCTCGGCAGGTTAACACTTTCCACAATGGAATTGAGATCAAGCTTGTGCTCTGGCTCCTTGATCGCCCGGTCGATCTCGCGGAACAACGTCGTTTGCGTCATCAGATAATAAATGACCCCGACTTGAACCGCGATGATGAGAAGGAGGAAGCAAGTCCAACGTCTTCGGCGGTAGTGGAGGCCTCGGAGAAACACGCGGTAATCTTGCGAGTAGATGGGAAGGTGACTGAATCCTCGACGACCCTGAAAAATTTTTGGTACTCTTCAATGTCTCCAAATTTGAAAATTTTCTCCAAAAAAATGACGACTTATACTGATCTAAAAGAAAAAGCCGGTCTAATTTGTAGCTGGAATCAAAGAATTAGATGAAAATAGCGGGTTAATTACTCGTAAACCAATCTAATCGTCGCACCATTTCTGTACAATCGATAACAATTAAGATGATAAAAAACCATTCAATTTGCTCAAGGAAATGATTTATTCAAAGGATAATGATTTTCACATTCTGACAGATTCTTTTCAACGCCCCGTTCTGAGCAAATTTATTGTTCGGTCTAAGAACAAACATGATCTCCTTTGTCCCCTGTTACCGGAAAATTGTGTCATTAGTCCTAAAGCGAGTATAATATTTAATTTTGACATTATTTTTCATCGTTCTGGGCGTTTTATTAAAATCATAGTGCGAAAAATAAACGATTTTTGGTAATAAGAGCCCTTAAATAAGTTTTTTTTCATTTTATATTTACAAAACTTGTTGCTTGAGAAATATTTTTATAAAATTTATAACCGGAAGTGAGCTAGTTTATCGATGAAAAGGTTTTTTGATGTTCGCCCTTTTTATTTACGACTTTTGATTTCCATTTTCTTTGTTCACTTTAGTACCACTTTTTTATCACTTTCACACTCAGTAAAATTTCTCATCACTCACTTTGTCTAGTCTTCCAAGCCTGTTTCCCCAGATCATTTCTCCTCTCTTTCGTTTCAAAAAGTCAGACACTTCAAAGTGGCGTTTTTATTTGTTTTTTCTTTCTCTCTTTGTTTGAACCCCGATTTTACTCAGTAGATCTGAGCTCGTTGAAAATTTCGTTCAGATTTTCGCGATACCATTTTTCTCGGTTTCTCGGGCACTTTTTTTTCGATTTTTGATCGATAATTTTTGAGTTGGGGAAAAAGAGAGAATGAGATCGCGTTTCGATTTGCGCTCTTTACGCATCACTGATGCGGCATCAGCGGCTTTTCTCACAAAATAGTGAGCTACAGCGCTCCCTGTACTGTGCGTGTCCCTCATGTGAGCTACTACGCAAAGGGTCAGGTGCCAACACATAGACATACTATTATTTATTGGAGGGTTAAGAATTGTATATAATTACAAAGTCATGTTAATCGCTTTAATGATTTATATTTTCGTTTTATTCGGTCCGGTAAAAGTTTTACTTTTGATAATAAATTATTTTATAACTTAGCTTAATTTCATGGTACCAACTTAAAAATAAATCTTCAGTATAAGAGAAAAAAATGAAGTTTATTCTCAACCTAGAAATATCGAATATCTAGAAATACGTCACTGTATTTGTTCAATAATTAGAATTTTACGGTAAAATTTTTACCTGAATTGGGCAGCAATTTCCAACGCTTATTTCGCTCTCTTTTTCAGTTAAATTTGTGATCATCTGACTTAGGATACTTCTGCATTTAATAAAATGAGGAAAAACTAACTAAAGTTTGTCAGATTCGAGCATCTAAAAATTACGAGCAGCTGTCACCACGTCACAAATAATTATTTTCAAGGGAAACAAAGCAGAAGCATTTTTATGCGGCAATGAAAATAAATTGCTTCGATATTAAAAAGGTTTAAGTTCGTGAGTTATCCCCGATGATTCTCTAGAATCTCTAGAATAAGCATATTGTTTATGAAATTTTATCATTTCTCGGTCAGTATTGAATCGAAGGAGGTAAAGGTAAGCACGTTTTTTCTGAAAATTGGGAATAAAGCGGAATTAGATTCGCATCCGTACTCATGGCCAGGGCTGATCAAGAGGCGAGCCTTGGGTCTGGGAACTCGGAGCTACAAGGAATGGGTCAGGAATCACGGACGAATTTTCTATGATTTTCTTTCATCGATGATTTTGAATTATAATTGTACACACGATTCTGACCAGTGAAAAGTCTATGATACGATAACGGTTCCAAAAGAGCGGATCTCCGATTACTACCAAGAATTTGCCCACACGTCTCAAAAGCCAAAGATGACTCCTTCTCAATACATCTCTTCCATGTCTCTCACGACCGAGGAAAAATACGCCGCGATACGACGAACAAAACCTGCCCAGATCATCGAATACTTTGACATGAAAAAGACAACTTATCAGACCGAGACGCAAGTCAAAGTCGACGAGGCTGTCTTTCAAGCGTTTCCGTCTGAAATCGTCTTCCAGAATTTCTCCGCGAAGAGGACTTATCAAGTCCCAATCCAGCTAAGAAACAACGACAAGGTGCCACGTTCGATCCAGATTTCCCGTGAAAACGGCCCGTATTTCTCCGTTACTGTACCAGAAGAGACCAACAGTAAAATCGCGCCTGGAATGAGCTTCATGATCTTCGTCAACTTCTCCCCCGAAGTTGTAAAGGACTACGATCACGATTTAGTCTGCGTTTCCGAACGAGAACGAACAGTAATCCCAATCAAGTGCATTGGTGCGAGAGGACTTTTGGACTTTCCGGACTTCGTCTCACTTGACGAGTGTCCTGTCAAAATGACCAAAGAAAAGACTCTTCTGGTCCGAAACATTGGAAAAGATACCGTCAAGTTCTCGATGCAAACAGCGGACAAAGCATTTGTCGTCAACCCTTCTCACGGCGAATTAAAGGAAAGGCTTGAAATTTTTTGTAAACAATAATTTCTCGAACCAGGTTCTAGAGAATAGTGAAATTTAAAGCTTCGAAAAAGGTTGATGAAGCGATGCAAGTGCACATTGAGTTTAGCCCACTAAACATTGGCGTCATCAGCAGCGAACTTGAAGTCCGATTTGAAACTGGCGAGTCGATCTTTGTCACTCTTCAAGGAAAATGTGTCCAGATGAATGTCCAGCTTACACAAACAAAACTCAAACTAAGCGATACATTCGTTGGAACCGTCAACTACAAGTCTTTCCAGATCGTCAACAAGGGTGATGACATCGTCAAATATAGATTCACCAACTACTCGACGATCGATGATGAGAACAGATTCCGAACCCTCGTCTCAAGCGAATTAGATGAGTTGAAAGAAGCTGCGGAGAACAAGGTGAAATTGGAGAGCGTTGAAGGAAACGGCGACGCAGCAAAACTTGCGGAAAATCTCAGCATTTTGAATCGAACCTACAAAACTGAGCACCTCCGCGCGAGCAGCGACCCGATGCTTCTGGACGATACTCTTTTCGAAGTCCTCCCAGTCGAAGGCCAGATTTATCCAGGAACTTCTGTCGAGATTTCTGTTATCTTCAAGCCCGACACCGTTGGACTCGTCGAGCGGCAGCTTTTCTGCGACGTTCAAGGACGAGAACTCCGCGTTCCGATCGACGTCATTGGAAAGGCAGTTGGTCCGATTCTTGCTTTCAGCTTCGACTCTATCGACATTGGAGAAATTTTCGTTGGTTCCCGTCACAGTTATGACGTCGTCGTCATCAACAAAGGAGAGATTGACGGAAAACTTAAACTTGTGCCGAACAACAGCGCCTTTGGAGCTCGATTTACCTTCAACCCATCTGATATCACTGTCGCTGCGAACTCTAAGAGTCTCATTGAAATGTCCTTCATCTCATCAAAACTTGGAAAGTTCCGAGAAGTATTCGAATTCAACATTGATGGCTGCTCAGAGCCACTGAGAATCGATGTGAAAGGAGAAGTCATTGGACCTACTCTTCACATTGAGCCAAAGAAAATCGAGTTTGGAACTGTTTCACTTGGATTCGAACACGAAACCGAGTTTTCCATCTTCAACACGTCCTTGGTTGAGCTCGACTACAGAATCGTTGCCGATCGAATCTTCATTGGTGCTGATTTTGAAATCATCCCTTCCCACGAAAAGATGCCACCAGAATCTGAGAGCAAAGTCAAACTGAAGTTCAAGCCAAACATGGAAGGTATCTTTGCCTGTGCGCTAGAAATGAATGTCCCTGGAATCGGAGAAAACGTCGTGCAGATTCCCGTTCAAGCCGAATCACGCATTCCCGAGATTTCCCTAACGAAGGATATGTTTGATTTGGGAACAATTCCACTCGATTATGTTATCGAAGAAACCATCGAAATCATCAACCACAACGCTGACCTCGAAGCTTCCTTCATCCTCGAATACAGCAAAGTCAACGCCGACTTGGAGATTAATCCGAAACTCACGAAGGGAGTCATTCGAGCTGGAGAACATCTCAAGATTCCTATCTCACTCAAAGCAAACATGCTCGGTCTTCTCAGAGAAACTGTTGAAGTCCACCTCGTTGGAGTCCCCGAGCCACTTCTTTTCGACATTCAAGGAGTCGGACAAGGACCAGAAGTGGAATCAAGCGAGCAAGAAATAATATGGGGAGAAGTTCCAGTTCTCACTGCAATCACGAAAACGATGCAACTAACAAATACTTCCCTCATTCCAGCAAAGTTTCATGCGATGTTCCACAAGGAGAATACTGTTTGGGAGGTTCAACCGGCATTTGGAGAGATTCCACCAAAAAGTCAGCTCGATTTCAAAATAACGGTCAACATCAACGACTGTATCGAGTTCAGGGATATCCTCGAAATCTACATCGAACACGGAGAGAACGTAAAAATCAATCATGAAGTACAAGGAGTTGGAACAACGATCATTTGCGAGCCAGAAATGAACGCTCTTCCCGGAAATGGAATCGATCTCGGTCACGTGTACACAACCAACGAAGAAGTTCGAAAGTTCAAGCTCAAGAATATGGGCCGCCGACATCAACAACTTCGCTGGACCGTGGCAAATTTCGACAAACGCGCTCAGAAAGCAGCGAATGAGATCGCTAAGTACAAACAGCTGAAAGAGACGAAAGACATACGATACTGCAATCTTCAGCCCCCGCCACCAAAACCGGTCTGTGCTTTCAAAGTTACTCCAGCGACTCTTGAGCTTCCACCAGGAGCGGAAGGCGAAATCGAGCTTCAAATCAAATACGATCTTCCGGAAATGATCAAAGAAAACCTCATTTGTCACTCCATCATCGGAATCGCGAAGACGAAGGACAAAATTCTCGAGATACCCGTTCAATGCCAATTCATCAACCCTTTTATTGAGTATTCAACGAGCTCAGTCAGCTTTCGCGTCGACAAGAAGCCAACGGACAAGTTCAAAATTCTCCAAGACGAAGTCACGATCACCAACGTTAGCGCCCTCCCCGCTGTGCTGCGATGTGAATATCCATTTTACATCCACAGCGTTGGCAACTTCTCACAGAAAATCAACTTCCAGCCGAATGAGCAACAAACGATCAAGATCCTCTTCGAGCCAAATTATCGAACGGATCTTCTTTCACGACGATGTAACTCGAAGCTTGAAATCGACTTTGTTGATCACCCAAGTTCGGATTTTATCGAGCTTATTGGCGAAGTTAATTTTCCGAACCTCCAATTCAGTACTCCTGAAATTGATTTTGGGACGATTTTGAACGACACAGAAGTTGGAGTCGGCGTTTGCATCAAGAACAACGGCACTCTTCCAGTAAAATACAGATGGTGGTTCGAGATCGACGATAACAGCATCAAGAGTACCCAGCCGATCATTCGAAAGTCGCCAAATACATCCGATTTTCTTTCCCAAACAACTTGTGGAAAGCAAACGATCGATCAAATCTGGCACGAAAGATGCTCTACGAATGCTTCGATCTGTGGCACTTCTCGCGGTGGCTATTGCCAGACACCAATGATGAGCGATAAAACCGTTACTTTGCCATCTGGCGCAACAACCACAACCACTCCGGCTACATTTGACTCTAACCGCGAAACTGGCGAGTTGACGGTATCTTCCTTGTCTCCACCTAGAGACATCGCTGATGTCTTCAATATCCTCCCGCTATCCGGCTCGCTTAAACCTGGTCAGATGATGTCAACTGTCTTCTCGTTCTTTGGACATCCTTGGATTTCCGCCAACTGCAAAGCCGTCTGCGACGTTGAAGGTGGACCCCAGTACGAAACAATTGTTAAAGGGAACGCCTCTGAAACGGACTTTGAATTCTCAGAGACAAATCTTCAGTTCGAAAAAATCCCGTTCGACGAATTTGCCGAAAAAGAATTGATTCTGTACAATCGAGGAAATGTTGACTTCGATTTCCAGGCTGATTCGGATTGTGTTGACAACATAAACGACCTCAAAATGGGCGGCATCTGTCTCCAGCCATGCTCAGGCGTCATTGCTTCTGGCGCATGTGCTACTATCAAGGTGATCTACTACCCTGGCATGCCACAGAAGTTCTACAAGACGTTTGGTATCCGTGTCGCTCATTTCCAAACAACTCAGCTCATTTGCCTCGGCGAAGGCGTGTTCCCTCGCGTCCAGCTTGATCTTCCACGACACGATTCCGATGGCAACGTAGAGAAAATCTCAAATCTGGTTCGAAAGCAGCTGGAAAACGCGAGCAATGGCTCAGCCGAAACTGTCATTTCCGACACAGCAGTTGAGCAAGAAGCTGAGCGATTGATTCTTTGTGAAGCCATTCGAACACTTGCAGCTAGTCCATCGAAATCAACGAGGAAAAACGCTCATCGATACTGCTTGCCAGACTATATCCTCGATTTCGGACCGGTTATTCTTGGACACGTAATGACTCACACAGTTAGAGCAACGAACTGCGGCTTCGTCCCCGTCAACTTCAACATCGATCACCAACCTACATTCGGGACTGGATTCTTCTGCGAGCTCGACCGAGTGAAAGAGCTCCCAGGTTTCCCAAAACACGAGTTTGTCGAATTCAAGCTCACTCTTGATCCGAAAAAGGTGGGTCCTCAAGAAGTCAAGGTTCCGCTCACGATTCAAAATGGCCCCATCGTCAATATTATCCTCAGAGCTGACGTTCTTATGCCTCAGATTTCCATCTCCACCAAAAATATTGCGTTCGGCGAAGTCGAGCACGGCCGATGCAAAGTCATCACTATGCGTGTTTCAAATCCACTTACTGTCGACGCTGTCTGGAAAATCAAACGCGACACTAAAAAAGAAGTTGTCGATAAACATATCCCTCTTCATGTTCGCAAAGCTATGCCAAAGAAGAAGGAAGGCCCGCAGATTTTTGAAATCGCACCCATGGAAGGCCATCTCGCTCCTGGAGAATTCAGAGATGTCCAAGTCAAGTTCATGCCCGACGGGAACGGAAACTTCAGCGAAAGCCTCCTGTTTTCTGTTATTGACTCAGAAGAAAAGATAAGAATTCCAGTCAGCGGAACGGGTCTTGGTCAAGAGCTGCAAATCCTCTGTACTGAAGCGACAATGGATCCGATCATGCCGTATGGCCACAGTGCCTTCCACGATTTCATGATAAGCAATCCTTGCAAATCAGCGCTTGAGTTTTTCTCCGTTGATTTCGACGAGAAGCACATTGAAGAAGACCGAGTTATTTTCGAGCAGAAGGGATTCGATCAGTTCAACAACCTGATCCTCCCTCCTCGTGAAATTAGCCAAGGATTACCTCTTGCTCTTCAAGTCTCGAGCAAGCCGTCTAGTGCATCGACTGGTCTAGCGTCTCAGCATAGCCAGGACCATATTGAGACAAGTGACATTGGCTTAGAAGATCCTGTCGAAAAGGCTCTCAGAGAGTACATCCAGATTCAAGATCCACAAAAACTCACTGACGAGAGCAACGCAATCGGTTTAATCATTTGGGGTCCTACCCAGTCTGGAAAAACAACAATGGCCAAGATTATTTCTGAGCGATATGGACTTCGAATTCTCAATATGGACACTATCATCATGAACGCGATCAACTCCGGCACAAGTTTCTGGGCTCGCCGTGCCCAAGAAGCTTACGAACAAGACATTTCTAGCGTCCCTTCGACTCCCAGCATGAAGGACGGAAAGCGAAAGTCAGCGTTCCAGCCGTCGAGTGCGCCGTCGCGAAGCTCAGTTACTTCCAAGAAAACGACGAGAACTGAAAGTGAAGATAAAGCCTTGAAGCCGCAAACAGAGACGAGGAGCATTACTTCGAGAAATTCATCCAAAGGCAATCTCAATTCAAAGTCTTCCTTGTCTTCGAGAGGAGAGAAGGGGCCTGTGATGATCAGCGAGGACATAATCTCTGAATTATTCTCAGAATTCATGGCCGCCGATGAAAAAGCGAACGGATTCATTTTCGATGGGCTCGAATGCAGCTTTTGCCAAATCAAGAAGTTTGCTTCACAACGATTCTCCGATCTCTTGGTGCGCGAAAGAACATTTTCACGATTCAGACAAAATTGGAATTCGCTGAGCTTAAACGGCGGGAAGAGATTCACGAGAAAATTGCGAATGATAATGCGAATTGTGAAGCAAACGCTCGTGAGTCAAGAATTAAAGAGATGACTGAAGATGAGTACGACGCGCTTCCGTTAGAGATGAAGATTGAGTTCGATAAAAAGATTCTTGCTTCAAGAAAAGCGGCAAAACAGGCAAAAATTGAGCGTATGCGAATTGAGAGGGAGCAGGCTGAGTTGGCTTCGGTTGTCCTCGAAGCGACAAAACAAGGCAAGGGCAAAAAAGGGACAGTGAATATGAAGGCTTCTGTTCTCGCCTTCAAATCAAACTTGAACTCTCAAGACAACGAATCCGAAAACACAGCGTCAAGCGGAGCATCAAGAAAACGTCGCCAGTCGATCAAGCCAACACTTCTGGAAGTCAGCGACGAGGATCAATTATTGATGGACAAGATGAACGCCTTTCAGGATCTGTCACCTATTCTGGAGAATTATGTAACTTACTGGAATAGAATTGAGCGCTGTCTTGTTAAATTGCCGGATAATAATAAAATCACAGATGAAGACAAAGACAACAAGAAAGATGACAAAAAGGGGAAAAAAGACAAGGCAAAAAAAGAGTCAAAGAAAACGCAGCAAGAAATTGAGGAAGAAGAGCAAAAACTCAAAGCTGAAATTGATGCGATCATGGCTCGCGAAGAAATTGGCATACCAATGGCTGTCGTTTATTCTCCTTATAAATTTCCGGCTGAAAAGGAGTACATGTACATTCTTCCAGACGAGAAAGAATTTAAACAAATCATGGAAGAAGAAAAAATACCAAATATTCCAGCGCCAATTGAATTTTCTGTCATAAAGAAACCAGCTGCACCAACTGATCAGATAACTCAGCCAAAGGGAGTCTTTACTCTCGTCGGTTACGGTCCTGACGATCCAAATGTATCAGAAGAGCTCCAGGAAGAAGAAGCGCGTAGAACTCCAATAGATGAAGAAAAACGCACAGATTCAAAGAAGACAAAGAGAACGAAGCTTAATTCCAAGGCTTCGAAATCGGGCATGAATTTAAAGGAGAAGAACTCGCCCTCACCTGATATTCTTGTTCCTGTTTATGAGAAAATCTACAAATTGGCAAAATATCGATGGGTACTTGATCCCGGTGAAAGCATGAAGCTGCGAGTCCGTTTCAACTCGAAGAACATTGGTCTTTACGAGAGTCCTCTTGCCTTTGAAATTGTCGGTTCTCGAAGACGATTCGAAATCGCTTGCAAAGGAAGCTGCGAATATCCGATGATCATCAACAAGCCAGAAAGCGTCTTCAGCAATATTCTCAAGACACCTCTTGGGCCTAATGAACACGTTAATAAGACATATCTCGTTGCAGAAGGACTCTATGACTTTGGCCCGCTTCTCGTTGGGAAGACAAAAGATCGTCTTCGACCAAACAAGTATCCGGATAACATTGACAAGCTGAAAATCATTAATCCACGGCCGTATAAAATCGAAATTAACTTTAGTCTCAAGGAGTCTGAAGGAGTCAATGGCACGTTCTCGCTTGATCAGACGAAGCTCTGCTTAGAACCGAAATCGCACGCTTGGCTATCCGTCTTCGCCTTCCCGAAGACTCAAGGATTGTTCAAAGATACGATCATCTGTGAGATCAAAGACAATCCAGAGCCGGTCCATTTTGATATCGCTTGCACAGCCGTCAAGCCTGAAGTGGAGGTGGACAAGAAGCAAGTGCAGTTCGAAAAGCTACTTCTTCACCGTAAAAATACGCAGAAACTTACACTCACGAATCCAACAGCGATCACGATCGCCTGGCGACTCGCAGCGATGGAAAACCTCGGAGATGAAATATCAGCGAGTGAAGACTACGGAGCCATCCCGCCGCATTCAAAGCATGAGATCACATTTACTTTCCGCGCAATAAAGCCAATGAATCTCAAGAGGACCATTCGAGTCGAGATTGGCGATATTGACAATGTACTTGGTGTCTGTCAGGCAGAAGCTGTTCAAGTGATTGGAGAAGCATACGATGTCGCCCTAGATATGTCCTTCCCGCGAGGAGCTGATGGTGGATTGGATTTCGGAACCGTTCAAGTTTTTGAAGAATGTAAGCAAGCATGCGCGCTGAAGAACAAAGGAAAATACGAGATCCATTACAAGTTCACGTTTGAATCTTTCAACGGCATGAAAGTCAAGGGTCCTCTTTCTGATCTTTTCAAAATCGTGCCAAGCCATGGATCTCTCAATCCAACTGATCGCCCGACCCAAGTGCATATAATTTTCAACTCGCGATCTGAGATCCAAATAACCGACGCGCCGATTATCCGCTGTCACGTGATTGAGCCTTCGATCGGCAACAACAATACTATCGCCTCGATTCCAATCAAAATCACAGCGAAATCTGTATTTTCCAAATATGATATTGTCCCACGATCTGATATTAATTTTGGCGCGATGTTGGTGTCAACTAAACGAAGCAGAACCTTTACGATTGAAAACAAAGGAGAATTCGACTTCCGATATTCGCTGCAAAAATGCGACATGCAGAGCCACAAAACTCAATCATGCATCATCTGCACGGTCGTCAAGGTCTTGGATCGAGGGATGGCACGATGTCAACTCACAGTCTTTTGGAGAAAGGAGGCAAAGGTGGCTACCGACAAGAGGCAAATCAGATCCGACTTAATCACGGGCCATTCTTAATTTATCCTGGCTTCGGAACGATTCAACCCGGCCAATCTGTAACGATTGTGGTCGACTGTGCGATCGAACAAGCGAAGAATTACGAAGAATACCTCGCTATCGACATCACTGATCGCGATCCCGAGGATCACAGCAACGGGGTTCCATACAAGCTCATGGCCGAAGGCTGCCTGCCAAACATCGACACGTCCGACATAAGCAGAATTTTCGAAGAACATAGAATCGTTCGTTCTTTGAACTCACTTCGCCACATCCGAAGTTTGACGATTGACGACAGCTGCTACAGCATTGACGAAAACCGCTTCCGATTTCCAAGCACAATTGTAGGTACAAAAGTCACCGCGAAATTCCGCGTACTGAATCCGCATAAGTTACCGGTTGATTTGAACATCTCTGTCCGCGCTGTGTCAGTTAGAAACCAACTGAAAGTCGCTGAAGTTTTCGATGTTGAACCTCAAAAAGCACAAATCGCCCCGCATAAAAATTTGATTGTCGAGGTTTCATTCTGTCCGAAAACGATTCAAGAATACGACTGTATCTTCGAAGCCGCTGTTGAGTGTAGTTTAGCACAGTTCAAGCCCAAATCGCTCACCTTTGCGGTTTTCGGAGAGGGATCTCTTCCATCCGTTTCACTCGTTGCTCCAGCTTTACGAAGCTCAAACGGTCATGGTTTACTCAACTTTGGTCGGCTTCAAACTGGAAAGCAGGTTCTTCTTCCAGTAATTATCGAGAACACCGGCGATCTTCCAGCGCATGTCAACATGGATATCACCGAATGCGAGTTCTTCAAGATCTCAAAGAAGAACAGCGACTTTGTCGAGTTGGAGGAAAATCTACACTCGTACTACTCGCATGATGCAACAACAGTGATCAATCCTGGTAAGCAAGCTCAGTTTCAAATCGCCTTCTCGACGAAGAAAACTGGCTCGTTCAAGGGAACCCTGGCCATCCGACTTCAAGACAATGAGTTCGAAACCATCGTGTGTGATTTACATGCGCAGGCCTACTCGGACTCCGTTTTCATTCAAAATCTGCCAACCTTGCCAATCTCTCTGAATGGTGGATCTACAACTGATGTTCTTTACTTTGGGCACCAGAATATTGGAGAAGACGCGACGAAGTCATTCGTTATTTTCAACTCGTTTTCAAACAAGTCAATCAAATTCGAGTTTGATCCCTGCGCGAACATTGAACTTGCTCCCAACTGTGGTCACCTTCACCCAGGTGCAAGAAAAACGATCCAAGCTCAACTGAAATCGTCAAGTTCTCTTTTGCCTGGAGAAAATGGCACTCTCGGAACAATCAATTGCAAGATTTCATTGATTCTCCTCGGTCGAAAAGCAGTCGACTGGGACGACCGCTTGAAATACGTCCATTGGGTTGACACAGAGGTGGAAGGTGAACGAATTGTCAAAAAGAAGGTGGAAGATAAGCTTGCTGAACCAAAGCATGAGGTCATCGAAGAGCTACCTCCACTTTCTCTTGACGTCGTTGGTACAGTAGACTATGCAAAAGCAGAGCTTTCAGATGAACAACTTAATTTTGGAACGCGGCGAATTTTCTCAGAAATGAGCAAAAAATTTACGATAACCAATACAGGTGCCGTCGATATGACCTTCAACTGGGATCTATGTCACAACCAAGCCCTTTGCCCATCTGGTGGTGCAAAAGAGCCCAGAATAAAGACTGCGGTTCCTTTCAAGACTGAAGTACTCAACGGCTTTACCGTTTCGCCCATGTGCGGTAAGATTCTCGCCGGTGAAACTGCTACTGTTAACGTCAAATTCTTGCCGACTAATGCCGGAGAAATAAACGCAAATGCAACGTGCTACCTTGCTAATGGAGAAGCTGGAAACAATACGTTGAACATCAAGCTCACGGGTGAAGGCTTGATTCCCGATATTCACTTTTCGCTTCCACACAAAAAATCTCTTCATGGAAACTCTCATCTTCTAGAGCTCCGAGAAAATGAAGAAGGCGTCCCTCAAATTTATTTCGAAGCCATTGGAATGTCTACCAAGGTTTTGTCTAAAGTTTGGATGCTGAACCCGACAAGTTCATCTTATGATTGGAAAGTTACGAACATCTATGAGATGGACAGCGAAGAAAATCTTACTCATACGATTCGATGCCTCACTCCACGTGGAAGACTTGAAGCTGGGCGTAAACAATTGATCAAGTTCGAGTTCTCTTCTGACTCCGTCCTCCCAATCATGAGTCGCTGGAAATTCCAAGCCTGCACAGGCGTAACCTTTGAATTTGATGTCAATGGTCTTGCTCGAAATCCGCGAATTTTCCTGGATGCTACCCACATCAGTTACCCACGATTGATAAGTGGCTGTTCAAGCAAGCAAATTGTCAATGTTATCAACGACGACATTATTCCTCTGGACGTCTACATACCCGAAGAATCCCTGAAAGTCGCTGACATTGGTTGGAAAGTCAAATGCCCGTCTTCGAGTTTCCGCCTCGAAAGTGGAGAAAAGCGTCCACTAGAGATCAACCTTGAAGGAACTGGCTCTGGGTCTATCAACCACGAAGTCGAAGTCCGATGTAACCGAAAACTTTCTCATGACAAGGAAATCGGCATGAATATTGCTATCAGCGCTGTGTGCCACGAAATGAAAGTTCAGCTCAGCATCGAAGATCAGTACTCGAACAAATATCCACTCAAGAGAAACGAAGTCAACAAGATCAATCTCAACAAGATCGAAATTCACGATACTGTTATGAAATCATTCGTCATTCTCAATGAGTGCGACCATCCAGTTGAATATTCTTGGATCCTTCCTAAGAAAACTTCTGCTTATTCCTGGAATGTGGAACCAGAAACAGATGTCATCACTAACACTGAACAGAAGCGAACAAAGACAGTTGTTGGTTTCACGCCTCATAAACTTGGTCCGATCACAAACGCGACGCTCACTTTACAAGTCGCCCATGGAATAGCCTACACTTTAGAGTTCGTTGGAACCTGCGTGCCTCCAGGTGTCAAATTCAGCTTCTTTGAGCACAACTTTGGTCCTACATTCCTGTTCAAGCCTGGTATGCCAGATACCTCAAAAGAATTGGTTATAGAAAATCACGACTTGAAAGAAATCTCTGTTGAAATGAGATCTAAGAAGAAGAAGGACTGGTATAGCTGCGAATTTGCGCCTATACTACTAAGACATCGACAGAAGGCCACTTGCAAATTTGTCTTCAGGCCTACAACTTGCAGATCATTCACTGACACCGTTGAATTCGTCATCAATGGCTTGTCCGTTTATGAAGTTACCATAAGCGGCAAAGGAGTGGATCTTCGGCTTGAGCTTAGAAAACCGATTCCACGAGGAGAAATACGTTTGGGAGCAATCCGCGCAGGACAGAGCGTGACAAAGCTCATTCCAATCGTGAACAGATCATCTGCTACCGCGGAGTTCCAAATCGTCCAGGCTTTTAGATGTGAAGGCCTCAACCAAAACGGTGTCATTGGAATCAGCCCCGGTGGTATGATGAAACTTGAGCCAAAAGAAAGCATCGACGTTGCTGTAACATTTGCGCCAAGTTCACGACTTCCAGCGTTCAAGGAGCATCTTTTGCTTGAGTGCATGGATATTTCAAAGCACTTCTTGACCATAACTGGCGCTTGCCATGCCGTGCAAGTCTCCTTAGATCAAGATGCGATTCCATTCGCACCAGCGAATCCGAGATCGTCTACTGAACGACGGCTTATCATGAGCAACACTGGCGACATCGGCGTTGGCTTCGAGTGGGACACAGATCAACTTACAAAGGACTTTTCCATTAACCCGCTCAAAGGATACCTTAGTGCAGGAAATTCAATGGCTATTACAGTTTCTTTCCATCCAAAACACGTCAGCCAGGATATCCGATGTGACGCGATTGAATGCAAAATCGAAGGAAGTGACAGTTTATTCTTGACTTTGACTGGTACTTGCGTCCCCGTCAACACAACCAAAGAACAACCAACTCCATTCCAGTGTCTTGTTCGTTCCCGGGTTACCAAATCCGTCTCAATCAGGAACCCAACTGCTCATACATGGACTCTTAATCCAATCATTGACGGTATTAACGCCAACTACTGGAGCGGTCCTGAAGCCGTTTCTATCGAGCCATATGGAACTCGTGCAGTTGATTTCGTCTATCATCCGCTTTCCATGTTACCACCAGGCAGAAAACACAATGCGTCTGTATTCTTCCCCTTACCGGATGGAAATGGCCTCCATTTTCCATTTGTCGGACATGCAGATGCGCCGAAGCCGATCGCCATTCCTACTCGAGACGTTCCGTGCAAAACGAAGCACATCGAACTTCTCAAGATTGAAAATTGGCTTCGTCAGCGACAACGACTCCGTGTGTCTATCGAAATGGTGTCACCTGATAAGCTCGACGCCTCGATCAAACTTCATGGGCCCGAGTATATCGATGTTCCTGCTCTTGACACCGTTAATTACGAGTTGACTTTTTCTTCTCACAAAGAAGGCAACCTCAGTGCAAAGTTGTACTTCAAGAACGAAGTGACGAACGAGTACATCTTGTACATGGTAAAATTCAAAACCACTCAGCAGACCACCTTCGAAACAATCACGATGAACTCCCTTGTTCGCAGCGCAGCCACGCATAATATCAAGATCTTTAATCCGATGCAGACGCCCGCCCAATTCCAGAGTGAATGCAAAGTGACCGATGTAACCGTACCCGGCATTTTCACCATTCCACCACAAACAAACGGACAAGTCTCTGTCGAATACCTGCCCAGAGTTTGAAATGCTCGCAAATGCTCGCGAACGCAAAGAGCGAGAGCAAAAATTTATCATTGCTTTGAGAGCAGGGGAGCGGGAGCATGAAAATAAAGTTGCTCGAGAGCCAAAAGAGCGCGAGCCCAAATTTGAAACCGCTCGCGAGCGCGGAGAGCACGAGCGCATATGTCGGCAATGCTCGGGAGCTAGACGAGCGGGAGCGGCTGCTCTCGTGCTCGCCATGGAATTGACTCACGAGCGGCTCGCGAGCAAAATTAAAGGAACAATTTTTTGCGTTATTATTCATTTTCATGGATAAATTTCTCTCGTGGATCAGTTTTTCGCGTTTCCGATTTGTGCAAGTTTCATTAGGTCCGTAATCTCGGCAGCGGAACGCGAAAAGCCGAGAGTAAACAGATAAAAGATGCCCACCGCGAAGTGCTAACTCCTGTGAGAGGGACTCATTTGGAATTAGTTACGGGGTCGCTGAATCATTTTAGGCTCTTGAAAGCTGCTCGCGAGTCAGATTTTTCAGCTCGCGAGCCAATCGAGCGAGAGCAAAATTTGACCAGTGCTCGGGAGCCAGGAGAGCGAGAGCGCGTAATAAAATGTGCTCGCGAGCGCAAAGAGCGCGAACGCTGAAATAAATGCGCTCGGGAGCACAAAGAGCATCATGCTCGTGCTCGCTCGCTCTCAAGTGAGCCGCTCGCGAGTCTCGAAAATTTCAAACTCTGTACCTGCCTTTGAAGGTGGGCGAGTCGACCGGCCGCTTGACTTTTACGAATCCGGATTTGGGAATCTTCCAGTATGACTTGAACTTGTGTGGTATCGCTGGAAAGCCAGAATCGCCGACTTACTTCGAAACTCCGCTTGGACAGACTCACTCTGTCAGCATCAAGTTCATGAATCTGGCGAAGAAAAAGACCGAGTTCAACGCAAAGCTGACTTCGACAAAGGACTTCCAAGTAGAGCGAACTATCGCCGCGAATGCATCATCCGAAGTAATCGTCGAAGTCACCTTCGATCCAAGTGCGATTGGTTCGTCTAAGGCAACGCTTATTCTAACCTCTTTCTCTGGAGGAGAGTTCCAGTTCCCTCTTGTTGGAAAATGCACACCTCCAAAACCTCAAGGACCATTTTTCATCAAGGCAAGATCGTCTATGACAATTCCGTTCAGAAATGTTCTGACGAAAGCGGCTGATTACAGGTAAGATTGTTGATAGATCTACAGTAGCTTTAAATAGTCGAATAAAGTAAATAGAATAAGTAAAACATAATATTTCAGATTGACCCTCGACAATCCAGCTTTCTCGATAGTCCGTGATCTGGAAACCATCAAGTCGAAGCGAGTTTGCCACATCAACATTCACTTCGAAAACATCCCGGAGAACTTCTCAGGCGACTTCATCACGGGAAAACTTACGATCACCTCGCCGAAAGCTCTTCCTGGAACGTCTTGGGAATTCTACTTGAAAGGACAAGGCACTGGAATCAAGGACAGAACTATGTCAGTCTTTGCAAGTAAGTTTTTAAACCAGGTTCCTACGTAAAAGTGAGGTTTCTAGCCATTGCAGCTTCAACGAAATTGAAAGCCAATGACGGACAACGTAAAGAAGATACACATTTAAATATTTAAATTCAACAAATACCTTCACTTCTAATATTATACACATATAATAAATTATCACACACACATTATACACATCGCTCGCAAAGAATTCAATAGCTCTTTGTGAGATATACAAACATATCATATATGATTTAATCATTTTATTCGAAATGTACAGTTGTGTCTTTTCTAAGAGAGGCAGGGTCGGAAATGCAAGAGAGCAGAGCATAATTTACATTTTCTTGGGGTCTTGTATCCTCAGCCCACAATTAGAACAGCAGATGTCATAGCTTCCCGTTTGCCAGCAATATATGTTCATCGTCAGCGTGTTATCTTTGTTGCATATTCCACAACTGACGGATTTTAGGCATTTCTGATAGATCCCCAGTCGGTTGACAACGATAGGGTCGGATAGTTCGTTTCGGCTCCCTTGGATTGTTTTCGTCGTAAGTCTTGCCCGGATCTTCTTGGTCGGGTGGTTTTTTATATCGATAAAGTCGACTTTGAGGTCGTTATCTTTGATAAATTCAGAATGAAAGTTTTCATAAAACTATATTGAATTTAAAATTCTAAAAACAAATTTCGAATCTTTTCCTATCTGGATCACTTTAACCCCTTGTGAGAGAGAAACAGACGGACAGGGAGTAGAGAAAGAATTCGGATCCATTGGTGGAACTCGAGAATCCACTGACGGACGAGGAGATTCAACAGGGGGAACAGGAGAATCATCAATACGCTCTGTTTTAACAGAATCATCCGACAAACTCGAACTTTCAGGTAATGGAAGGACCAAAAACGGCCGCGAAGAAGCGTCATCAGTAGGTTCTGTTTTAACTGATTCGCCAGATATGCTGGAGCTATCGTCGGGAAGAAGGGAGACTGAAGAAACTGCGGTTTTCGTTGACGCTTCCGAACGATCATCAGGGGACGCGGACATCGCCCTCCTCTTTTCTGTTGACGAGAAGATGGGAGTGACACTACGTCGTTTCATCTCCAGAAAATCCTGCAACGAATGTGAAGGGGGAGTATCTGATGTTTGCATCTTTGTCTTTCTCAGCCTATTCTTTCCTTCTTTTTCAAATAAATCTAAATAATTGACCTTATGAGTAAATTTCAAAAGCATTTATCGAATTTTATAATGAAGAAGTTTTGTCAATGGCAGCAGGATAAAATTCAAGACATAGTTTTTCAACGAAATCGTCCAATTCCTTCTCTTTGGGTTCTTGAAAGTTTTCAAAAATGAATTTATAAGTAAATATTTTTCTTAAAATTGATTGTATCAACTGTGTTAAATATTAAAGATGTGTTATTTGAAAGCAATCCTAGATATTTTCGATATAAAATGCCACCGAAAAAGCCTCCCGTAAAGTTTCCCTGAGCAAATGCCATCCCGTAAGGGAAAAATATCCCCGATAAATACATCATCGTTAACGCATATGCAATCATCATCGGAATAGTTAGCACTGCCGGCGAAAAGAATACTCGGTTAGCCTCAGATAGCATTTGATTAGTTGCATCCTCACCTGAAATAAAACTAAAAATATAAAATTCAAGAAATAATCTTACTGAATCCTTTGATAGAATTGTAACCAACAAAGCCGCCGACGATGCTAAGTCCTCCGACGGAGCGGAACTTTAGGCGATATCGTGATAATAAAAATGCACTGAAAAAGGAGCCAAGCAACATGCCTATTCCACCAGATATGATCGCGTTTTCCCATTTATTCTGAATGTTTGAAGCATAAGATTTTGTTTCATGTAAAGGTGATACCTTGAATTGATTGTTACTTCCCATTAGATAATAATAACATCCACCCATGGTCAGACAACCCTTCCATAGATTAGATTCAACAAACGGCGCCAGAACTCCAACATTACTTTTACTCTGGGCCAATCTTTTCAAAAGAGGATAAGTAAATCTTCTCAGAAATCCAATGTTAAAGAAAAGGAAAGATCCACCAACAACAAGGCCGATAGTTTTGAAGATTTGCGCAAATTCTTCTCGTACTTTTGGCGAAAAGTTAATAATTTTCTTTTCGGTCAAGTCGTTTCTGATCCGGTAGATGGACATGCCGCCAATAAGAGCTGATCCACCAAGAAGAGTCCAAAGAAGATGGCGAAAAGTGTTCAACAACCATCTTCCAGCTGAAACCATCCCGGAAGCTTCCATCTCCCTCCATGATAAATTCCTGCAAGCCGGAAAAGGGTTCACAAACTCTATTTTCTACCGCTTTAATGTTTCTTGCCAAAACCCCGCCCTAAAGGACAGAAAAGAGGGAACCTAAAAGCACTCTCGTGAATAATCTTTTTCGCGACTTTATCAAGGCCTCTTCTCAGATCCCTCCTCATTTTCAGGCTGTTCAAAATTCCATGCGCTAGAAATGCCCTTTTCGAAACTAAGCCCGACATCGTTTCTATAAAAAATAGAATAAGTCTCTAGCCTTTATGAAAATAAAACTTTATTATAAGAAAGATATGATTGTGGTTGATCTAACAGTAGTGATACAGATAGTCTGAGAATTGAGATGACCACAAGAACTTCATTTGCCGAAGATGTAATGCTCGAAGTCCTGTAAACATGATTGAGAACGATTGTTAAAAAGAAAGCTCGTACCTCTGAAAGTTCACGATCTGGAAGACACTTGCCAAAGGCCTCTAGTAAAAGTTGCTCGGATTGCACTGACGATTCAAAGTCTCCTTTCGAAAGTTTGCTGTTTTTATCGATGTCCTGAAAAACGCGCCTGAAAACAACGAAGACTAGCAAAGAAATAAATACCATTTTCTTGAGAGTGATTTCGACTAATTCTTTGACTCCTTCATCTGGGTCTTCTTCGGCCGGTTGCTTGACGAGACAGTTTTTGAGAAGCTGGAACATTTCTTCGCGGGAAATGAAACCGTCACCGTTAAGATCATAAACTCGGAATGAATCTGAAATGAATCATAAGCCGACCAATTTCGGTGAGTGCCTTACAGTCAGTTTTTTCTTCAAGAGAACCACGGAGGAAAATCGACAGGCCAAGAACCCAATCTTTCATTGAGATAAGAGAATCTGAGTCAGCATCGAAGGCGCGGAAAACTCGATCCATGAGGATTTCTTCGGTCATTCGAAAGTGTTCATGCAGCAGATCACTATCAAAAGAGAAAATTGATGTTCCGAGGATAGTTGCCTACCGGAATTGGTTTCTATCTAAAAATGGGCGCTTATTATTCTTTGTTAGTTCTGTGAAGACGAGCAGGAGCTTTTCGATTTCAATTTTGTCGAAGTGCACGTTTTTCTGATTTGCGAGGTCTTCCGCTTGTTTTTGCAGGTTCTTCTTGTTTATCGAATTGAGCTGCTGCATTTTCAATCTATCGACTGAACTGTTTTAATATAAACTGGCTGGAAAGGCAGGTGAAATGAACGGTAAACGGATATGTTCTAGAGATTTTATTAAACAGAGCCTGGCATCATTCAACGCTTTATAATTTGTCTTTCTTAGTTGTTCCGGCGATAGAAGGTCCGTGTGGAAAGGCCAAGTCCGAAGGGACTTCACAAACGTGCCAGTGAAGCTTTTCTTTGGGAGAGTTGTTTGGCTGTCGACCACGAGTGCGAGCATCGAAGCCTGACATCTGAAGACGATTTATTTTCAAATATATTCTGAAGAAGACTTACAGAATTACAAATGAATCGCCACTGGTTCATGTCTAGCTTCTGATTTACATCTTCGAACATTTCGTTGATTACTTTTTGAGAATAAAGGCCATCCGTTCGCTCGCCATTTAAAAATCGCTCTTTCTTCGCGTTATAATCGCTCAAAGCGGTTTGACAGCATGTTAAATACGCCTTTTGGACATCTGAGAACAATCAAACATTAATTTTTTCGAACAAATTCTACCTAAACAAGGCGTATTGTCGTAGTCATTATCTCGCATGCACCGCATGAGATTACTCAACTCCGCATCGCAAGGATTTCCAATGGGCAAACTCTTTTCTGCGGCATAACTTCCCTCGACTAAACCATTAGATCTTGCAAAGGGCCGTTTTGCTGTATGAGAAGTTCCGTAACGAGTAGCAGTATTTGGCCGGCAGTAGATATCGCCAGTCTTTCTAAAAGAAAGATATTTGATCGAGCAAGAGATAAATTTATTACCCAGCTTCAGATTTAAACTGTGACATCCATTTTCCCGCCTCGCGCTCGAGTCTTCTAACTTTCGGATTGCTCAATGAAGATTTGTGAAGCAAATAAGCATGCTTGACATTAATATTATTCGGCCGATTCGCCATCTTAATGTTTTCGATTAATTTTAAATTTATAAAAAATAATGTCTTCAGCAGCGTACAAAAATAGTATGAAAAAAGAGAGAGAAAGGTAAATATTCAGGATAAATTGAGCTCTTGTTTAGCTGAAGCCAAAAGCTCTTGTATTTGCTCCTCTGAGATCGATTCTTCAAGCTCAAAGTGGCTCAAGCTCTCATGATCTGCTTCAGAAGCGGAAACAGTGGATATCCTCTCGAGTTCCATTTGAAATTCTTCGAGCATTTTGGTAATGTCATCTGAGCGCGGCTCTCTTGCGGAATCTTCCCCGTCTTCTACGTCTTTAATCGCTAATAACTGCGTGCTTCCGGTTCTTAGACTCGCTTGACTTTGTAAGAAGCTCAATCGCGAGTCGATTTCTCGAAGGCGCTTTTCTGACCTTGAGTCTTCGATGTTGACGGGGACGAGTGCCGTGGAGGAGAATTTGTTTTCAAGCTCGGTGTTTATTTGAGCCAATCTTTTCACGGATAATTATTGTTATAAATCGAGATTAAGCATAAAAAGCTTGAAAATATAGTTTCTTCCGTTCCTTATTTCTGTATCAGTATTTTTCTCTTCTTCATCTTCCGTGGCCAGAATCGCTTCCAATCTATCCCTTTCATTTTTTGTCAAAATGTCGCCTGACGCGGCGAGTTCTTTGTTTCGCTCAATGAAGTTCGCCCTCTTTTCAGATCGCTCTAAAAGACGCGCTAATTCTTCGTCCTCTTCTTCCCCCAGAAGGGATTCTACTTTGGTTGGAACTGCTTGAGCCCCCTCCTCGAGAACTTCAGTTTGGTAGAAGATCCGTTCGTCCACATCCGTCATGTTTGATTCTAAATCATACATTTATCACTAGGGCTACCACATAAAATTACTCGAAAAATTATACATAAATTATCACCAATTACCAACTAACATATCTACCTGAAGAAGAGGCGGAAATAAGATCCCTTGGTGTTCTGTGACTTCCCGAACCATCTCTTAATTTGCCCTGTTCGGAAGAAGAGCCCGCTTCGAGTTGGTGCACCAGGTCAGGGTATTCTTTAAAATACAAATCTTCCAGCACAGAAACACCCTTTTTGCCCAACAAATGCCGAAGCTTGTAAAAGCCTTCAGCATTTTCTTTTCTCAAAGTCTCAGTTTCCTCACGAATCTGCATCTGTCGCGCTCGTAATTCAACAAGAGTCAAATCATTTGACTGAATCTTTGCTAAATTGCTACTTTGATTGAAATTCTAAAGGATTATAAAATTACCCAGGCCGCGTTTGAGTTTTTGATCTTCTTCCGATTCAAAGCTCTTTTTCTCCTTGCCCGATTTTGATCGTCTCGATTTTCTATCTCCACTAGATCTGACTGTATCCTCGCAATCATCGACTGGAATATTCAATTCGCGAGGCGGTTCTGGGGACAGAATTTCCATCGAACGAAAGGAACTTACACTCTCCCGTCCATTCATTCTAATAAAAAGAAGTTGAGACAACTTTTACTTTCGGACGAGATTTTAGTTCATGTCTCTTTTAAAGTTATGAATATGCATCAAAAGCTCTGGCTTTCCAAGCTGGACTGCAACATCGGCCAAACTGGCGAGAAGTTTTCCAACGTCGGGTTCAGAATACTTCATCCCGTTTGTAGTGCGCTTGAAGTTTTCGCGAAGCGTAAATTGGTCTGGACTGTCCAAAAACTCTTCTTGCCAGAGGTACTTTTTCTCTGCCTGGGCGAAGGAAATTTCATTATTGGTAAGTTGATGGATCAATGGAGCGACTTCGTTGACATTAATCCGGAGTTGAGTGAGTGTGTCACGATCCCGGAGAGAAACTTTAATAAGCTTTCGCAAATTGTCGACTGTTGAAATAAATCATAATTTTTGAAAAGCTTTCCTGTGGCAGGAGAGTATCTGAAGGTATCATAATCGATGACAACCCCATACGGAACTCCAATTTCATCAATCAAACTATACTTTCTGCCGATAGTTTTTCCTCCAGTGTCTGACCGATAATCAACATTCAAAGCGGACAGTTGATCACAAATTAATTTTGAAATAGAATGAGCTTTTTCATCCAATTCTTTGATGTTGACAATCGTCATAACGGAAGTCTTGTATGGTGCAAGAGCGGGCTAAAGTACGAATTTGAAAATCAATGAGATGCTGGAAACATACTGGAAAGGTGAAGAACTTTCTCCCATCAACTTCTCTCTGCTGAAAGTTGTGCTCAAGAAGCGCAACTAGAATCCTTCCAAGACCAAAGGACGGTTCAATGACTTCAGGATAAAAAGACTCCACTTGAACATTTCTGATTTCTTCTTTTATCAATAGTTCGTTTTTCGCAACTGAGACGCCCTCGATTTCGATAAAATCAGAATCATCTTCTGATATTCTTTGAATCTGCTCCTGGTTCATGCTCTTGACGAATTTGAGTACTTCCGGTGTCTTTTTGAACTTTTTCGGAGCCTTGACTTTGATTCCATAGATTTTTACCGGTTTAGGTTCTGTTAGCTGCCTTTCTGCCATCAGACTTGTTCCACTCGCCTCAACGTGATTTTTAAGATCATAAGAGCCACGATTAGCCAATCCTCCACACTCTATCCAGCCCTGCCGTGTCATTATTTCCAAATCCCAGCAATCTTTAGCATAATGCGCAAGCTCGTGTTCCAGGTGCTGTCTGAATCTGATCTTCGACTGATCGATTCCGAGAGTCATCAGAAATTGAAAAGTCTTGACCAGATATGATGCTAAAATTGGCGAGCTAACAATCCCAGACTGAAGAATCTCATCGACTTTGAGCGCTTGAATGCTACGACCGCTTGTTTGAGCATCTCTCGAAAGAACAGGCAATACTTGCTCAAGCTCTGGCGAATTTAATTTGATATCATCGTCTTTAGGATCGTAGAAATGCTGCAATTCCATCATCTGAAACTCTCGGCAACGTAGTAGGCCCCCACTAGCTTTGATCTCATTTCGAAATGATGTTCCAATTTGAGCGACTGAAAATGGCAAGTTTCCGTTATTGTGATGGAGTATCCTTGGGAACACTGTGTACACGCCTTGACTTGTTTCCGGCCGAAGAAAACCGAAATTATCACCACTTTCGTCCGGTCCAAGTTTGCAAGAAAACATCAGCTTGAAATTCGTCGGCGCTGAGAAAACCCCTTCGCCGAAATATTTCCTCAGTAGTTTTTCAATGACTGAATGGTCTGGCGATTCCACCAACAAAAGATCTTCTTCAAGCTCTTTTGCGGAGAATTTATTTGAAGATCTTTCTTTCTCGATCTTTGAAGAAAGCAGCTGATCAACTCTGAAAAATTCTCCAGTTTTGATTTCTTTCACCATCATATCGGCAAATTTTTCGGTGTGGCCAGATCCTTGAAGAACTTTCTCGGGCGTCATGATTGCCGTGTCAATTTCAAAAACAGTTGGCTTGCCATTTACGAAGATTTTTTTCCATGCATTGATGACGTTATTCTTCAACTTTGTTCCAAGCGGCCCAAAGTCGTATAATCCCGCTCCTCCGCCATAAATCTCTCCACTTTGAGCATAAATAAACCGGTTTTTAATAGTTTGAACGAAGCCAGCGGAGTCGAAGAAGTCGTCAGCCAGAAGAATTTCGCGTTCAAGGTCTTCGAGTTCCTTTTTCAATTTCTTTAATATCGTTACTTCTTCTTTTACGTCCGGATCATTTTTTAACTTCATGGATTTTATCTTCTCTGCTTGAGTTTTAATATTTTCTTGAGTTGGGCCGAGCTGTTGCCGTACTCGCTCTTGGCCTTCGATCGTCTTCAAAAAGTCTTCAAACTACTAATTTCTTACTCGAAAGAAATTCGTCTACTAGAGCATGAAAACCTTCCCATAAGTCGAACCTCTTCTGTCTACGCAAAGCCTCAAGCTCTCTCCTTCTCGCCTCACCTTCAAGAACGACTGCTTTTGAATTTTGTGGAGTCACCGCTTCGAATCTTCTAGCGGATGTGCCAAGAAGTCGCCTGATTCCGACATTATATTTGTACATTGTCTGAGCCACAAATCTGTATAAATTTGAATGAACACTAAAATTGTCATTGGAAAGGAAAAAGTTTATTTTTTCACTAGGAATGCTGACAGTGTGATGGCAGAGTGTGATTTTAAAAGCGCATAGATAGCGCAGTGGCAGTTTGGGTTCGAGATCCACCAGTTCGCTTTGCCTATTTAGTAAATTTAGGTAAAAGAGGGAAAATTAAGAAAAATGTTACCTTTGTTTCTGTTTCTTCGGAGAAAAACGCCTTCCACAGCCGAAGAGTTTCATCTTCGCCAAGTGTGCAGACGTACTTTCCGCAGGGTGACTGACTCGAACAGAGAATTCGACCATCGTGTCCATCGAAATCCGTCATGTGCGTAAATTTTGGGTACTTCCAGAGGCGAAGGACATTATTCGGATATCCGTGACAAGTGATGATCTCTCGCAGCCGCTCATTCCAGTGGATTCCGCTCACCTGGCACTCAGTATCGACATCGAGCACTTTCTGGCCGGTGTTGCCGTTCCAGATTATCATTTTCTTGCAAGCAGCGCCTTTTTATGATCAGAATTACGCCAATATCATGCTTAACTCACCTCCTCCGGATGCGAGCAATTGTGGTTTCCATGGACACCACTGAACAGCTTTGACTCCAGCTTGGTGCTCCTCAAGTTTATGCATCGGTTCGTTGAATGAGCTGCCGATGTCGTTGCTCCACAATCCTATGACATTGTCGATGCCACCAGACGCGAGAAGACGTCCATCAGGAGACCAGCTCAATCCGGAAACTTCTTCAGTGTGGACCTAGAAAATCAACAATTTAAGGAGAAGACAACAAAGACTCACATTGAATTTGGATAAAAATGGATTGGGCTTTCGCACATCGTAATTATGAATCTCTCCTGATTTGGATCCGCAAGTAAGGAGCCAGGGAACATCGCCCTGTCCAACAGCGATGGACGATACTCGAGCAGCGTGGCCTCTCATTTTTCGAAGACTCTGCATCTCTGTCGCATCCCAAACATGAGTTCTGTTGCGACTATCTCCAAACGAAATGTTGCACTCGTCGATCCACTTGATAGACGTCACCTTTGTGTTCTCTTCTAGTGAACACAACTCACTAGAATTTCACGGTTCTGTTTAATCGAAAAATGAAGGACTTACTTGATCTCGCTCGTTTCCGCGTTCCACATAAAGATCTGATTCGCCAGAGCAACCGCAATGATATTATTCTCTCCCCAATCGAGTATGTTGATGTTGAAATCCTTCTCGACATTTGGGGCATCGAGGATCTTGTCGACGGAAGTCTCGACGTATCGTATCGATGTTTTTGCTTTGGTGCTCTTTTGCGCAGAAAAGACGAGTTTGCTTCCGTAAGCGGAGCCGGGCATCATTTTCGGCTTGTTTCCGTACGAGAGAATTCCTCGCTAATAAATGATCAGATTTGACTTTTCAAACAGCGTTACCTGAGTGTTGTTGGCCGCAACACTTCCAATAGTGGCCAACAAGTCCTTCTCCTCCTTGTCAATCGGCGTCTGATTGCTCAAAGTCATCTCGCTCATGAGAGCCGAGTAGTCCGCATCTGCCCCCAACTTCGGCATAAATCTATCGCCGCCGGTGCCACGTGAAGGTGACTTTGAAGCGCTTCTGCTGCGATTCTTCTCAGATGATTTCTTCGAGTGGTTGAGGCCTCCCTTCGATGTATTCAGGGTCGAGTTATTCATCGAGTTGTTTTGCATGGCCTTGTTCTTTGCATCGCGCCGAGCGATTCGACTGTCTTTGTTGATTTGGCCATCAAGTCGCAGCTTATTTTCCATGTCGTGATACAGAGACATTCTGAAGCCAATTAACTGAGTGCGGTGGACCTACGCCTCTTGTTATTCTAGCTTCTTTCTAGAGATCACGCTAAAAACTCTAGCTGTCGCTTTCTCTCTCGTCCGCTTCAAAGTGAAAGATCGTTACTTTTTGAACAGTTTTTGAACGGCGTGACAAGATGCTATCTTGAAAATAGGCGTAACGATGCTTAGACCGAACCAGTATGACAAACATACCTTGCTACGGTATTTTCTTGTTTTTGACTATTGAAAAGATATATTATCCGTTTTGAACTTGGTGGCAGGTAGCAAAATTTAAGAAAGTACAAGAGTATTGATTTAAACTATCAGAAAAATTTATCGAAAAGATGGCCTGTTCTGTCGATGTTCTCCAACATTATATTCCGCGCGTCTGTCAGGAAAATATCTGTATTAACTCCTTAACAGCATTTTTATAGGTTTGATAAGAAATAATAGACCTTGAAATTTGCTTTCGAGTAATTCAGCAGTCGGCGGGTGGCAGTGAAGATATCCCCAAATTGAGTTCAACAACAGAAAAACGTGATACGGAGCGCAGAACTCGTAGATAAGTGATGTTTGCGCGATGATTTCCGGAATGATTCCGGACTTGGAAAGAAGGGTGACAAGACTGATTGACTCTCGCAACTCTTTCTGGCAAGAGACAGCGTCGGTGAAGCGACAGGCTTCCCAAAAAGCAAGAAGTTGGTTCATTTTTGCGCGAAATATGAAAGTCATCCTTATTTCGTGCTGAAAATTTTTTCCGAAAAGAATAAAAAAACAAGTTTTACGGCACTCTCCTATTAAAAATTCTCCAATCGTCGGCCAAAACAGAGATAAGCGGGAAAGTTAACTTTGGAATACTTTTCAGCAAGACCAGATCTTTCTCCAAATTAGTTCTTTGCACGCCTCTGCCAACAGGAACAGGCCAAAAAGACTCAATATCTGGATGCTCTTCGCAAAAAACTTCCGTAAACAACGATACAGCGGTGTTAGTCAGCAAAAGTTTCGCTTCTTCTTTTTCAACAGTGTTCAGAACTTCTTTTATGAATTGGAGAACAACGGAGTTCAACTGAGAGTCTTCTTCGATTTCCTCTGGAGGGATGACCCGGCGCTTTTTTGCACCTTTGCCGATTATTCCGACACCCATTATATTCGGCGCTTTTTGAGATATTTTTTGAGCTTGTTCCAAAAGCTTAAATTGCCTAAAAATCAAGCTATTTTTGATGAAACTTACCGAAACTTTCTTTTTCTCAGGAACTTCGAATTCAACTTGTTTTCTTTTGTGGCTCTTTCTCACTGAGTCGAACATGAATCTCAATATTGTCGAAAAACTTGCTGCATCTTCAGAAGCCGCTTTGATCCAAAAGCTCCACATTTTTGGAAAAACTTCATCATATTCTGCAGTCAAGAAAATAGGGAAATCTAACGTCATTGCTTCTAGTGCCAAATTCAGACTCGTTGGTGCTTCTTTTAGCTAAAAAATGATCTCAAGATATCGGCGAACAAAGAAATTGTTTTACCTTGAGTTTTCTGATAATTTCTACTGCAATAATCATCGATTCTGGATCGCGAAGTTTAAACGCGTCGAGAATATTTGCGATTTTATGGGTCAAATGATCGATTGTTCGTTCTTGAATGATCTTTTTCACTACAAGTAACGAGCTGGATAAAGTCTTCTTTACATTGAACCTACCATTTGTTGCAGATGGATCTGATGGCTCATTTGTTTCGTTTAGTTCTGTCAAGATTAGCAAATTTTTAGCAAGGCCTTGTGGTCACTAGAAGGAAACGAACATTAGCCATAAAATTTTTGATGAAAGAACTTACTGAGGAGCTTCAAAGGCGTCGGAGATGGCTTTGCTCAAGCAGTCTTTTTCTTGATTTAGGAAGGTCTCCTTGACCAGCTTTACCAGCGCAGTTTGAGCCTGAAGATCTTTGACGCTTTTGAGCAGCTTTGAAAGACAGAAAATTCTATTCGATTCATCTGTCGAGATCATCGTCATCCTCAGAAGTCTGTAAGCTGGATCGACACTGGTCATCGTCGAGGGAATCGTGATTTTGTTTAGCATTTGATTCGTTTCATTCCTCGTCTCATTCTTTGTCGACAAACTTTGATCCTCCAACTTGTCAAGGATATTCGATAGAATATCGCGGAGGACGAAGCGTATTTCTGTTTCCGTTTCTTCGAATTCTCCGTCTCCATTGACGATCGAAACGAATATGTGCATCAAGTCAAATGAATGCGACTCAGAGGAGATGTTTGAGACATTAGCTTTGAAAAAGGTCGAGAAAATTTCGAAAAAATGATAATTCAGCAATTGGATTTTTGTGGATTTGTCGACCCTAACCTTTGATATCATCAATTTTCATGTCTGGGTGTTTCTCCACTTTCTGCTTGTGCATTTCCTGGAGAAGCCCTGGCGTGATATATTTGGCCGCTTGTTTGGTGATTCTACGAACGAGCTCTACTTTTTCCTTTTTGATGCTGCTCTTCAAAATGTGGATCAAATAGACGGTCCACATGAAAACATGTTCGTTGTGCGGCGTGAGCGGCTTCAAAAGACAATCAGTAACTATGTCCGGTTTTATCTCACTGAGGTACTCGAGAATCACTGTAAGAGCGTGAAGTTGCGCTTCGTTCTCGTCGCTAGCTCGGCGGAAGGTTTCGAAGGCGTTCTTGAGAAGCATGGATAGAATGAACTCGGGCTTGGAAATGGCGATCGAAGCGAGAATCCAGTCCAGAACGGGTTTTATGTCATGTGCTTGCTTGATTATGTAGTCGATCAGTGAGCTGTCTCCTCGATCGATGGAGTAGTGAATCCCGGTGACGATCATACACGAAAGCGAGCTAAACACAGCAACGTCGCTTTGCCCAAATCTTCTTGTAGTTTGAATATTGTTAATCGGAAACTTGTCGACCTTCACCAATTCAATTCCGATGCTCTTTACTGTCATAATCGCCCAGTAAGTCAGCTCCGGTACCCAAGCCTCGGCAGTTTCTTTCTCAAGCATGAGCTTTTGCAACTCGCCCAGGGCCATTTTGAGGTCTCGTTCGCCATTTGCGTCTGGTCGTAGATTCCGTATTTCTGGAAGAGTTAAATGCATGACTGTTGGGTTGCGGAAAATGTTTCGTTTTGCAGCAGCAGCAATGTTGTCCAAAATATCTTCACGAGCGACGGGACATGTTCGAAGTAGGGGAGGCAGTCCTGGATCATGTCTTCCTGATTACCTTTGCGGATTAAATTTGAAAGACTATCAACGATCGTCGACGATGGTCCGTTCATCGTCCGATTTCGTTCCATTCTAAATGAGTGAATGAGTTCATTTAAAAATATTACAAATTATAAGTTCAATAATCAATTTCTCGGGGCTGTCTCTAAAATGGTATAATTATAACTGTATGATTCAGTAAACGAAAACAGTACTGTAGGTATTAAATTTATCATGAAACACGGTCAATCGGTTCTGAAGATGGAGAAAGTCCTCTTCGAGATTTCTGGAGCGGACCAATCAGAGCGCCCCGTACTCTGCGAAGAAGAAAACCATAAAATGCCCACCTGGAGACGAAAATTGTTTATCTTGACTGTTGAGCGGGTCAACTTGAGCCTCGACCTAATTCACACGTGATCGCTCATTCTGATAACATCCGCATGCGACTTGCCCTAAAATAACAGAAATTACTTTTTTACTCAGACACACAGTAGCTGAAAGAGACAAATAACCCGCTGAATGGAGAAAATATTCTTTTGACTTTCTCAACTTCGACCATGGCAAAGTTGAGTAACCAGCAGAGATTACTACTAGAAAGGTTCCACCCAAAGTTTGACATCAAGGGCCATCTCTCCCGTGATCAATTCCAGGGGATCATCTCCAAATATCTTTTCTCCAGCCGAGGAACCCGCAAAACCCCGCGTAGAAATGTGCAAAGTCTCCGATCTGCATTTCGTGATTACGATTTTCGACCAGAGGAATCGTCAAAATTGAAGAGCGAGGAAATTCAGCAGCCAAAGAAGCAGCATTCGTTTTCAGAGATATTTCAGGTCGAGAAATGGATCTCACCGGAAAAAGGGCGATTAGAATGGAAGAGCACTAGAATGATCCAAAATTGGAATGCGAAAAGGATCGACAATTTCGAATGCCTCTTGAGAAGACACAAAAGCGCTGAAAAATTTATCAAAAGCAGGGAAGAGCGAATTAGTAAGCACAAGAATAATATATCGAAAATTGAAGAACGTTTCGCCTTGGAACCAGGTGAAATCATGGAAGTGGAGGAGAAACAAACGAAAAGAAAGCTCATAGTTAGGGCCCAGCCGCAAAAAATGGCCAACTCGAAATCGCTGTTTTTTTCAAAATCTGTCATGATAGGATGATAGAGCAGCTCAAGCTGAACAACTTTCATATTGAAGACTTTTTGAAAAACCTTTGTTGTGTGACCGGAAATGACCTGCAAAAGTCCGAAAATCGCACCAAAATCGGTTTTTTGGCCTGCGCAAGGTGTGCGCATCGGAAAAGTGTCTTTTTTCTTCTTAATGAATAGCTCAGGCTCTGAGCTATCTGTAGGTACCAAAAAAGTGGTCTTGGTACCCATTTTTTCTGAGTAAAGACTGTCGGAAAGTACCGGAAACCAGCGAAAAATGGCAAAAATGCCGGAAATTAAGGATAGGCTTCTAACTACTACATCCTTTTCGTCCTCGACGTTTAAAAACACTTAAGGTCAACTTCGGCCACTTTGTGCCGGAGGACCTCCCGGAGGACCCCTCTGCTGGAAGACAAGCTGCTGGAAGACCAGTATTTAAAAATAAAGACACAAACAAAATATAAAGCCTGGATTGGATGGTGATTGCCGTATTCGGCCACTTGATGCTGGAGGACCTCCTGGAGGACCCCTCTGCTGGAAGACAAAGTGCTGGAAGACCATTATTAAAGAAGAAAGATACAAATAAAATATAAAGCCTGGAATGGCTCGTTATTGCCCTAATCGGCCACTTGATGCCGGAGGACCTCCCGGAGGACCCCTCTGCTGGAAGACAAGGTGCTGGAAGACCAGTATAAAAATAAATGAAAAGCCTTGTCTGGCCACATATTGCCACATTTGGCCAAACATCTCGAAAGACCTTAAACTTGAAGACAAACTGCTGTAAGACTAATTAAAAAACAAGTTGCTTTTCTTTGAACACGTCTGTTTATTAAATTTGTCAAGAAAAGAGAGGCCCGCTTTTCAATCAGAGTCAGGGCAAAGCCGACCCGAAGGAGAGGCAACGCCCGTTTATTCTTTTCAATCAGAGTCAAGGCGAAGCTGACCCGGAGGGGAGGCCACGCCCGCTTATTCTTTTCAATCAGAGTCAGGGCGAAGACGACCCGGAGGGGAGGCCACGCCCGCTTATTCTTTTCAATCAGAGTCAGGGCGAAGCCGACCCGGAGGGGAGGCCACGCACGTTTATTCTTTTCAATCAGAGTCAGGGCGAAGCCGACCCGGAGGGGAGGCCACGCCCGCTTATTCTTTTCAATCAGAGTCAGGGCGAAGCCGACCCGAAGGGGAGGCCACGCCCGCTTATTCTTTTCAATCAGAGTAAGGCGAAGCCGATCCGAAAGGAGGCCACGCCCGCTTATTCTTTTCAATCAGAGTAAGGCGAAGCCGACCCGAAGGGGAGGCCACGCCCGTTTATTCTTTTCAATCAGAGTCAGGGCGAAGCCGACCCGAAGGGGAGGCCACGCCCGCTTATTCTTTTCAATCAGAGTAAGGCGAAGCCGATCCGAAGGGGAGGCCACGCCCGCTTATTCTTTTCAATCAGAGTAAGGCGAAGCCGACCCGAAGGGGAGGCCACGCCCGTTTATTCTTTTCAATCAGAGTCAGGGCGAAGCCGACCCGGAGGGGAGGCCACGCCCGCTTATTCTTTTCAATCAGAGTCAGGGCGAAGCCGACCCGAAGGGGAGGCCACGCCCGCTTATTCTTTTCAATCAGAGTAAGGCGAAGCCGATCCGAAGGGGAGGCCACGCCCGCTTATTCTTTTCAATCAGAGTAAGGCGAAGCCGACCCGAAGGGGAGGCCACGCGCGTTTATTCTTTTCAATCAGAGTCAGGGCGAAGCCGACCCGGAGGGGAGGCCACGCATGCTTATTCTTTTCAATCAGAGTCAGGGCGAAGCCGACCCGAAGGGGAGGCCACGCCCGCTTATTCTTTTCAATCAGAGTAAGGCGAAGCCGACCCGAAGGGGAGGCCACGCCCGTTTATTCTTTTCAATCAGAGTCAGGGCGGAGCCGACCCGGAGGGGAGGCCACGCCCGTTTATTCTTTTCAATCAGAGTCAGGGCGGAGCCGACCCGGAGGGGAGGCAACGCCCGCTTATTCTTTTCAATCAGAGTCAGGGCGAAGCCGACCCGGAGGGGAGGCCAACCCCGCGTATTCTTTTCAATCAGAGTCAGGGCGAAGCCGACCCGAAGGGGAGGCCACGCCCGTTTATTCTTTTCAATCAGAGTCAGGGCGGAGCCGACCCGAAGGGGAGGCCACGCCCGCTTATTCTTTTCAATCAGAGTCAGGGCGAAGCCGACCCCAAGGAGAGGCCGAGCCCGTTTATTCTTTTCAATCAGAGTCAGGGCGAAGCCGACCCGGAGGGGAGGCCACGTCCGTTTATTCTTTTCAATCAGAGTCAGGGCGAAGCCGACCCGAAGGGGAGGCCACGCCCGTTTATTCTTTTCAATCAGAGTCAGGGCGGAGCCGACCCGGAGGGGAGGCAACGCCCGCTTATTCTTTTCAATCAGAGTCAGGGCGAAGCCGACCCGGAGGGGAGGCCAACCCCGCTTATTCTTTTCAATCAGAGTCAGGGCGAAGCCGACCCAAAGGGGAGGCCACGCCCGTTTATTCTTTTCAATCAGAGTCAGGGCGGAGCCGACCCGAAGGGGAGGCCACGCCCGCTTATTCTTTTCAATCAGAGTCAGGGCGAAGCCGACCCGAAGGGGAGGCCACGCCCGTTTATTCTTTTCAATCAGAGTCAGGGCGAAGCCGACCCGGAGGGGAGGCCACGCCCGTTTATTCTTTTCAATCAGAGTCAGGGCGAAGCCGACCCGAAGGGAGGCCACGCACGTTTATTCTTTTCAATCAGAGTCAGGGCGAAGCCGACCCGAAGGGAGGCCACGCCCGCTTATTCTTTTCAATCAGAGTCAGGGGAAGCCGACCCGAAGGGGAGGCCACGCCCGCTTATTCTTTTCAATCAGAGTCAGGGCGAAGCCGACCCGGAGGGGAGGCCACGCACGTTTATTCTTTTCAATCAGAGTCAGGGCGAAGCCGACCCGGAGGGGAGGCCACGCACGTTTATTCTTTTCAATCAGAGTCAGGGCGAAGCCGACCCGAAGGGAGGCCACGCCCGCTTATTCTTTTCAATCAGAGTCAGGGAAGCCGACCCGAAGGGAGGCCACGCCCCTTATTCTTTTCAATCAGAGTCAGGGCGAAGCCGACCCGGAGGAGGCCACGCACGTTATTCTTTTCAATCAGAGTCAGGGCGAAGCCGACCCGAAGGAGGCCACGCCCGCTTATTCCTTTCAATCAGAGTCAGGGCGAAGCCGACCCGAAGGGAGGCCACGCCCGCTTATTCTTTTCAATCAGAGTCAGGGCGAAGCCGACCCGGAGGGGAGGCCACGCACGTTTATTCTTTTCAATCAGAGTCAGGGCGAAGCCGACCCGAAGGGAGGCCACGCCCGCTTATTCTTTTCAATCAGAGTCAGGGCACAGCAGACCGAGATGTTTAATCTGACACACACCCGGGGGTGATTTTAGACTTGTTGGAAGCGATATTGGCGCTCGAGACGAAAATAAAAAAACCGCCTGGTTTCAGACGCTTCCGTGAAATATGGCCGTCCTAGACCGAGCGTTTAATCTGTACAAGATCCTGAATATATCGAGTTTTTCCGAACCCATCAGTCTCACGAATCATCCGGGAGGCTTTTTCGTAAATTCCCAAAAGATCGGAATTCAACGATAAGAAAGCGAACAAGTCAAGGCCTGTTAAACCTTTTCGGCCTGTTTGTGATTGAAAAGAATAAGCAAGCGTGGCCTCAACTTTGTGTCGGCTTCGCCCTGACTCTGATTGAAAAGAATAAACGCGCGTGGCCTCTCCTCCGGGTCGGCTTCACCCTGATTCTGATTGAAAGAATAAACGGGCGTGGCCTCCCTCCGGGTCGGCATCGCCCTGACTCTGATTGAAAAGAATAAGCGGGCGTGGCCTCCTCCGGGTCGGCTTCCCCTGACTCTGATTGAAAAGAATAAGCGGGCGTGGCCTCCTTCGGGTCGGCTTCGCCCTGACTCTGATTGAAAAGAATAAACGTGCGTGGCCTCCTCCGGGTCGGCTTCGCCCTGACTCTGATTGAAAAGAATAAGCGGGCGTGGCCTCCCTTCGGGTCGGCTTCGCCCTGACTCTGATTGAAAGGAATAAGCGGGCGTGGCCTCCCCTTCGGGTCGGCTTCGCCCTGACTCTGATTGAAAAGAATAACGGGCGTTGCCTCCTCCGGGTCGGCTCCGCCCTGACTCTGATTGAAAAGAATAAACGGGCGTGGCCTCCTCCGGGTCGGCTCCGCCCTGACTCTGATTGAAAAGAATAAACGGGCGTGGCCTCCCTTCGGGTCGGCTTCTCCTTACTCTGATTAAAAGAATAAGCGGGCGTGGCCTCCCCTTCGGGTCGGCTTCGCCCTGACTCTGATTGAAAAGAATAAGCGGGCGTGGCCTCCCTCCGGGTCGGCTTCGCCCTGACTCTGATTGAAAAGAATAAACGGGCGTGGCCTCCTACGGGTCGGCTTCGCCTTACTCTGATTGAAAAGAATAAGCGGGCGTGGCCTCCCCTTCGGATCGGCTTCGCCTTACTCTGATTGAAAAGAATAAGCGGGCGTGGCCTCCCCTCCGGGTCGTCTTCGCCCTGACTCTGATTGAAAAGAATAAGCGGGCGTGGCCTCCCCTCCGGGTCAGCTTCGCCTTGACTCTGATTGAAAAGAATAAACGGGCGTTGCCTCCCCTTCGGGTCGGCTTTGCCCTGACTCTGATTGAAAAGCGGGCCTCTCTTTTCTTGACAAATTTAATAAACAGACGTGTTCAAAGAAAAGCAACTTGTTTTTTAATTAGTCTTACAGCAGTTTGTCTTCAAGTTTAAGGTCTTTCGAGATGTCTGATCGAGTTTGGCCAAATGTGGCAATATGTGGCCAGACAAGGCTTTTCATTTATTTTTTTATACTGGTCTTCCAGCACCTTGTCTTCCAGCAGAGGGGTCCTCCGGGAGGTCCTCCGGCATCAATTGGCCGATTAGGGCAATAACGAGCCATTCCAGGCTTTATATTTTATTTGTATCTTTCTTCTTTAATAATGGTCTTCCAGCACCTTGTCTTCCAGCAGAGGGGTCCTCCAGGAGGTCCTCCGGCATCAAGTGGCCGAATACGGCAATCACCAGCCAATCCAGGCTTTATATTTTGTTTGTGTCTTTATTTTTAAATACTGGTCTTCCAGCAGCTTGTCTTCCAGCAGAGGGGTCCTCCGGGAGGTCCTCCGGCACAAAGTGGCCGAAGTTGACCTTAAGTGTTTTTAAACGTCGAGGACGAAAAGGATGTAGTAGTTAGAAGCCTATCCTTAATTTCCGGCATTTTTGCCATTTTTCGCTGGTTTCCGGTACTTTCCGACAGTCTTTACTAAGAAAAAATGGGTACCAAGACCATTTTTTTTTGGTACCTACAGATAGCTCAGAGCCTGAGCTATTCATAAAGAAGAAAAAAAAAGACACTTTTCCGATGCGCACACCTTGCGCAGGCCAAAAAACCGATTTTGGTGCGATTTTCGGACTTTTGCAGGTCATTTCCGGTCACACAACAAAGGTTTTTCAAAAAGTCTTCAATATAAAAGTTGTTCAGCTTGAGCTGCTCTATCATCCTATCATGACAGATTTTGAAAAAAACAGCGATTTCGAGTTGGCCATTTTTTGCGGCTGGGCCCTACTCATAGTGAAGGAGTGGGAGAATATTAAAATATGCGAAAATGCTGTTGCCAATTTTCAAAAGAAAATGACCAAGTTGGAAAGTCTGATGTACTGCGAGCTGACAAACAGAGCGGCAATCAACAAAAATGAACACTTTCAAATGATTAGAATTTATCAAAACTTCCAAAAAGTTTTTAACTGACAAAACTCAAATAAAAACGATAAATTATAATTTATAAAAAAATCATTCGCTTAACGAATTCGGTTAAAGTGATCAGAAAAATTTCATTTGCAAACTTATAAAATAGCTAAAAAAAGATATATTTACAAAAAGGTATTTACACCAATGTATTTTCTTTCAAAGAAGGGTGCAGAGAACAACAAGAGCATATAAATATGTTTTTACTTTTATTATCGAAGAGTCACTCGTGCTGTTGAACGCTTGAGATCGTTTTGTTCTGATAGATTCCTCCAACTGATCTAAAAATTACCATAATTTTCATAATGAAACCTCGAAAAATTCCTACCCTGCCATTCCTCGTAGAGAAATCCCTCGTAGGGCGTGTAGTTCTTCGCAAGATCAGTATTACACTTATCATCAGCGCAGCAATAAACTCTTGAGAATGAGCAGCCAGTCTTGCAAGCAAACTTTTTTAGATCTTCGTTTTTGTCGATCAAATCTTTTCCCGTACAGATTGGGTTGCATCCTGGAATCAATGAATATTAACAGCTACTTCTTTCGAAAGCATCAAACCTGAAATAAGCGGGACGTGCGCGATGCCGGTTATTTTCAATGTGAAGCTGCCGTTTTTTCGTTTTTCATCCTCTCCGTATTGACCGCTTAGGAACACTTTTTGAATGAATCGCTAGAATAACCTTTACCTGCAAGAGCTCGGTCGAAATTTCGTCGTCGAATCTCGAACTGGATTTGTTTGGTTGAATTCTACACAGCCTTTCATCGTGTAAAGCTTCTTTGCGCATTTCCTCTCGTGGCAAGGATAGCCTTCTTCGTTGAGATCTTCATCTCTAGGTTGCCAGTGGGCGATGTCGATGCAGTGGCCGGCGCGGACTTTACAGTAATATTTATCTTCCGTTTTGTTGTAGAACGAGGTGTACGCTTTGAAGGAACGTTTAATTGGGTCCGGGTAGAGTTCTTCGAGTTCTTCTTTTCTGAAAAAGAGGTTGAAAAAGTGAGTAATCCGCCGTTACCTTTGATCAGAGATAAAGAGGGTCTATTATTTTACCTTGGATAGGGACATCCAGCTGTTTTGTTGATATCAACTCTTCCTGTAAATTGATTTACTGCCGAGTTAAGTGAACACTCGCAAGTCACAACATAATCCGGAGGTTCAACTCTGCTTCCAATTTCAGTTTGCGCCAAAGTTCCAACAGCGAAAAGAAAAAGTTTCAAGCTCATTTCACCTTCTCTTTTGAAAAATTCTCGTTCAATAATAATTGCCAGCGATTACAGTTGCCTCTCAACGCGACTGAGTAAGTCGCTACTTATTTTCGCTCGCTGGCCGGAGAGCTAAATGAAATCGACGAGCGCGTCTACTCCCGTCTTCTAAATTAACTTATGACAGAAAGAGTTTGCGCGTTGAGCACGGACGCGAAGGATGAATTCACTTACCTTCTGATAAAGCTGTGTTGGAAATCCCCTGGGGAGAGTTTAGTAAATGGCATTCATTAAAGAGTGATTAAGACAGATTGATTCGCTCTCAATTTTTATGACGAGTAGTACTTTCGAGCTCTAATTAGAAATTAACTAATTAACGGCTGATGAAAATATCATAGATAACTAAAGGTTTAGCTAAAAAATAAACGATGACTTTACTATCTGTCCTCTCAGATCGTCCCCTCTGCTACTGTAGTGAACAACAGGTGGCGAAGCATTTGTCCTCCTCCATTATTCCTTCTTTGTCCGAATCAATGCTCGTTCCATTTCTTTCCGAATAGCAAAATCAATACCAATTAGCGAAGTCATTCTTCATTTTCATCCAAGTGCTTTTACAAATATGATGAATATCTCTCTGACGATAGATCTACTACCACTGCGAGCTTTTGTTTTATTTATTAAAATCAATATCTTGTAAATACAATTTCTGTGCAGTCAAATGATAATTTACTAGTTTACTAGTTAGCTTCCTAGACATGTGATAGTTTGTAGGCCTCTCTTTTCTTTTCAGCTTTGGCTTCCACTATCCGAAAAGAAAAATCCACCATTATCGGATCTGAAGAGAGCCTTCTGAAGCTCGTTAATAATTAAATAGCTCACCTGTATCCCGTGCTTCCTGTATTAGAGTAGGAGCCATTTTCGCTACTTGCTGAGCTACTGTAGCTGTCCATTGTAAACGGGTCGCTAGAAGTACCGGAAGAGTCAATAAGAGGCGTGCCGACAGAGCGCTCGCAAACTGCACATCTAGACACTTTCTCCCGAAGTTGCCCGCTTTCAAATTCCTCAGGCCGAGGCCCACTTAAATCATAAACAATAAACCCAACAATAGTATTTCTAACCGGAAGTCGTCGGAAAAAACATTGGCTAGCCAAACAGAGTCTGCAGAATCTTCAAAGCAATCACCATCAGTCGCACAGGTCAACAACGGACTTGGTCTAAAAATATCCTTGCATTCACTCATCCTTTTATTTTTATTACCGGAAGTCTTCAATGCATGAACCAGTCGACTCAGAGTTAAGGATGCCATTCGATGCAAAACTATATCCGATCCATGCTTCGTTCCAGCCATTTGGACATCGAGGGAGCTTAGAAACCCGGTAGAAGAAATTTCGACAAAAATATAAATACCTGATCGGTTTGAGAATGGAGAGTAATGACAGCAGCCTGGACTTCGCAAACAGAGCATCTACTGATGAACGCTTTTACATCACAAACTAGACCAACTATTATTTTTTGAACTAAAATTTCCCGAATCACCTGGATTCGATCCTTTTGGTGGAGCATCCCCAATGCCAAGCCAAGAGGTGAATTTGGTCATTGACTTGCAAGAACCCTTTCGGCAAGATTTCGCTGGTTCCAAGGAAACATTTGGAAGACAAGAACCACTTCCTCCTGAAAAATTAATAACATTAATTATAAACATACTTTTATAAAAAAAATACCCATATCTTGAGCAACATCGCCAGCTGGTGTTCGAATTCCCGCAAGAGAGTATCCATCCCAGAGTTTCATAGAACCAGCTGGACATTTTGGAACAAATGTGCTCTGGCTATGACGAGTAACAACGAAACCAGCGACGTTTCCCGCATGACCACGAGGCCCGTCGATTCCAGGTTTTCCAGGCTCACCAGCTCGACCGGGAGGTCCATCAGTTCCATCTTCTCCAGGCTCGCCTGGTTCGCCGGGGTGTCCGATCGGTCCGGGAGGACCGCGCTCTCCTTTTTCGCCAGGGGTACCTGTTGATTTATCCCCAGATGATGACAGAACTCGGCCAGGAGGCCCAGGAGGTCCAGGAAGACCATCTTGTCCATCATAACCTCTCGGTCCAGTAGAGCCCTTTTGCCCAGGCTGCCCGGGCTTACCAGTTTCACCGGGGAGTCCATTAGCACCAGGCGCGCCAGGAAGACCATCAGCACCAGCAGGACCAGCGGGTCCCATCGGACCAGGAGGGCCATTTTTGCCAGGTTCACCAGGCTCGCCGGGAGTTCCGGGGGCTCCGTTTTCGCCGGATCTGCCAGGAACACCAGGATTACCAGCTTCTCCAGCATCACCACACGGACCAGCAGGTCCCGCAGGACCTGGCTTACCAGGTCGACCGGGAGGACCTTGATCTCCTTTCAGTTGCTCTCCAGGTAGACCTTGGGGTCCTGGGGGTCCCGACATACCAGGTTCACCTTTTGGACCTTGTGGACCTCGAGATCCTTTGTTGAGAGTAACACCAGGCTTTCCATCTTTGCCAGGGAATCCAGGTTCACCCTTTTCTCCTTTTGCTCCATGCTCGCCAGGAATACCGACGCCAGGTTTTCCAGCTTCACCTTGTGGTCCAGGAATTCCCGGTCTACCTTGCTCGCCTGGGCTTCCTTGTGGACCTTTGATACCTTCTTTTCCGGGTGGTCCAGCGATACCACGCTCTCCTTTTGCACCAGGAATTCCAACTTCACCATCAAGACCACGGGGTCCTGGAGCACCCTGTTCTCCCTTTGCTCCAGATTCACCAGGTTGACCAGCGTCACCTGGATTACCAGCTTTTCCGGGCTCTCCTGTTCGACCAGGAACACCTGGATAACCATCTTTGCCATCCTTGCCGGGCTCACCAGGCTTTCCATCTTCTCCGGGAAGACCAGAATTTCCTTTAGGTCCCGCCACAGTACTTGTTTTTCCTTGAGGACCCATCGGTCCAGGAACACCAATTGGTCCTTCTGGTCCAGGGCTGCCAGGCTCGCCGATATCTCCTCGCTTGCCTTCGTTTCCTTTTGGACCATCTTCACCAGGAATTCCTTGTGGACCTTGAGGGCCTTGCTCACCTTGAGGCCCGGGTCTGCCGACTTCACCACGCGGGCCAGGAGAGCCAGGAAGACCCATTGGGCCAGGAGGGCCTTGAGGTCCTTGATCACCATCAAGTCCGGGTTCGCCTCTTGGACCAACTTCACCAGGGACACCTTTCGCACCCTTTGGTCCGGAAATAGCACCAAGCATTTCACGCATTCTTTCACGATCAGATTCGCCCATTCTCCAAGATGCACCCTTTTCTCCACACTCTCCCTTTTGGCCTTGTTCACCTTGAGGACCCACTTCTCCTTTGGTACCAGCGGGACCATCTTCACCAGGAATACCATCTTTGCCAGGGCGCCCGGGAGTTCCAGGAGCACCAGGTTTTCCAGTTTTACCCTGATGACCTCTTTCACCTTTAGGACCGGTTTCGCCATCTCGCCCATCTTTGCCTGCCGCACCTCTAGGACCCATTGGTCCAGGCTGACCTCGTGGTCCTTGTTTACCGTTTTCTCCAGGTAGACCATCAGCTCCTGGCAAACCACGTGGCCCAACAACAGTTTCACCTTTGATGCCAGGCTCACCTTGAGGACCTTGCGGCCCTTGTTCACCAGGAATGCCATCAACACCTTTGTTTCCTTTAGCACCTGGATATCCAATTTTTGCTTGGCCAGGCTGCCCGGGCGCTCCTTTTTGTCCTGGTTCACCAGAAGGCCCGATGTCACCCGGCTTTCCTGTAGCACCGCGAGGACCCATTTCACCAGGTGGTCCAGACATGCCAGGCTTGCCAGATTCTCCCGGTACTCCAGGAGTGCCCGGTTTACCAGGGACACCTGGTAATCCCCTTGTGGACTTACCAGCTTCACCTTTGGGACCTTGAGGACCAGTATTTCCTTTAGGACCTTGTTCGCCATTCCTTCCAGGGACACCTTGAGGACCTTCTTGCCCAGGAGGACCACGTTCTCCCTGTGGACCTTGAGGTCCAGGAACTGAGTCACCTGGTGGTCCGGTTGGACCGTGTAAACCTCGGGGTCCAGTTTCTCCGGGAAGACCGTCTTGACCATTAAGACCATCAGCTCCAGGCTTTCCATTTTCGCCACGAAGACCTGGTGGACCAGAGGGTCCTCGTTGTCCAGGAGCACCGATGATGCTCTTCATGTCAACGACAACCGATTCTCCTTTCTGTCCACGTCGACCTTGTTCACCAGGAAGACCAGTTGATCCTTTTTCTCCCTTCTGACCAGCTGGTCCAGGGATTGATTCTCCAGGAACGCCGGGCGGACCAATTTCTCCTCGCTCGCCGGGAGGTCCTCGTGGACCATCAGAACCATCTCGTCCTGGTGATCCAGGTTCTCCCATTTGTCCTGGTTGTCCATTTTCACCGTTTCTTCCTGGTTCACCTGCTGGTCCATTCTCACCAGGGATACCAGGCTCTCCATCAAGGCCAGGCTCGCCCTTTGCGCCTTTAATGGTAGTGACGATTGCTTCACCAGGTTGACCTTTATCACCGCACTCACCAGGTTCACCAGGGGGACCTTGTTGTCCAGGAGTACCAGCTTTACCTTCAGGACCTACTGGACCAGGCTTACCGATCGGACCAGATCGACCTGTTCGTCCAGGCATTCCAGCTTCACCATCTTGACCATCTCTACCAGGGAGACCACTAGTTCCTTTTGGTCCTGGCTTGCAAACTCCACAAGATTCTCCATCTTGCCCGGGCACTCCAGGCAAACCAGTATTTCCTTTAGCACCAGGAGCGCCAGCTGGGCCAGGAGCTCCAGGATTACCAGGTAAACCAGTTTTGAATCGAACATCAGTTTCGTCAATTGTCGCATCAGCTCCATCCAAACCTGGTTTTCCAGGGTTTCCTGGTATTCCAGGAGGTCCATTCTCTCCAGGAAGACCAGGTTCTCCTTTTGGTCCGACGATAGTTTCTCCTCGCTGACCATTCTTTCCAGGAGTACCCGGAGCTCCAGCAACACCTCTTGGGCCAGGGCTTCCTCGGGGACCTGGTAGTCCTGCTGCGCCAGGAGCACCAGGAATACTCGCTCCGGAAGGACCTTGAGGGCCAGCTTCACCGGGTACACCAGGCTGACCATCTTTTCCATTTCTTCCCGCTTCGCCCGGAAGTCCGGGCATACCAGCAGTACCCTTTTCACCAGCTGGACCATCAGCGCCAGGTCGTCCCGAAACACCAGGAGAACCGGGACTGCCGGGCATACCGGGAGCTCCGATACCTCCAGGAGAGCCCTTCTCACCCTTTGATCCAGTTCTTCCATCTTCTCCTGGTACACCTGGTGGGCCGCGCTCACCAGTCTCGCCAGGAGGTCCAATTCTTCCTGGCTCGCCAGGTTTACCAATTTTGGATCCAGGAGGACCCTGTCTACCAGTCTCTCCTTTTTCTCCTTTGGGTCCACAGGGACCAGGCTCTCCTGTGAAACCAGGTTGTCCAGGATCACCAGGTTCACCCTTCATACCTTTCATCAGCAATTGATCTGGACCTAGCCACGCTGGAAGTGCTGACATTCCTTTTTCACCTTTTTGGCCCTTAACGCTAAGCCCAGGTCGACCACGCTCTCCAGGTAACCCAGGCTCACCAGATTTCCCTTTTTCTCCGGGTTCACCAGGCTCACCAGATGGTCCGCATTCTCCAGTGTATCCTTGAGGGCCAGGTGCTCCAGGCGTTCCAGGGGGACCAGGAGGACCAGTGAGTTTTGAAAGGTCAACATTTACACTTCCGGGCTCTCCCTTTGCTCCAAAATTTCCAGGCGCGCCGGTGGCTCCTCTTAACCCAGGGACACCTTGAGGTCCGGGAGGGCCAGTATCTCCTTTTGTTCCGTTACACCCAGGGCGTCCAGGAAGACCAGGCGATCCAAGTTGTCCATCCAAACCTGGAATACCGGGTGGACCAGGAGAACCAGGCCTACCAGGAAGACCAGCATTACCTTTTGGCCCCATAGGTCCAGGAAAACCGCGTTCACCAGGAGGTCCAGTTGGACCCGCAGGACCATGAGCGCCAACACTCCCTGGTAAACCAGCGGGACCAGCAATACCGGGCGTTCCCGCTTGACCTGGAGATCCACGGGAGCTTTGACATTTCACACTTCTTGGTCGCCGGGTATAGAATTCTCGTCGAGGACTCTTTTGTGTTGCAGCCAATAATGACTGTATAAAGAAGAGTGATACCAACAACCTCTTCATATTTCTTTGTAATGGCTCAAAACTAAGCGGGATAGAGTTGAAAAATTTGATTTTCGAGCCTCAACCTTTTTTGATGATTTACTCAGGCTATCATTCAGTTTTCTTTATATAAACATAACCTTCTTGCTCTCTTTTGAAAATCTCTAGGTCAAAACTGCCAAGGACTTTGAATAACTTCACGATGCGGCGGGGCGTCCGAATTACGATCAAAGTCGAAGGTGCTTTGAAATGAAACTTGTAAAAATGAAATAATTACGATGAACACAAGGGAAGGCGGCTTTTATGGTCCCATCGATGGTCCAAAAGGTATACTAGACAACAATAATATTGGGTAATCGCCAACAGCTTCTCTCTATAAGTTTAATATCGAAAATTTTGAGTTTTGAATTCACGCGTCAAGTCAACGGATTTAATTCTAATCCCTTCCAAAATATCCTCGAGGAAGAATGTGCAAAATACCACTAGAATCATCCACAGATCATATTTATGTAATTTTCACAAATCTGCGCTCTTTACAACCGGTAGTGAAGCCATAACTGACTGCTAAAAATATCTATTATCTACTTATCGAAGCAGATGTGAGTTTGACCTTTCCCACTTCGCACGGATTATCCGACTCTTCACCCAAACATATCTTCTTTGAAAATATGCTGGAAATATATATTCTTTATTTTTCCTTAGTATTTTTAAGAGAATCATCTGCAGAATGGAGCAGCTGGAGTCCTTGCGCGAAAACTTGTGGGCCTACATACAGGATATTGTACTTAACAATATGATCATCATATTATGCTCTTAGTGAAAAAGGCTTTATATCAATTTAAAAGATTTCGTCAATGGGAAGACTCCCATGATGAGAGCACTTCTGATATACAAAATGAGTACGAATATTGCTTGGGATTAAAAAATTGTGAATTTTCTTCGAAGCCAAATGAGTTCTGTATTAATCCTCTTCAAAGTTAAGGGTTTAGGCAATTCATGAAAATATCAAAATAAAATACTTATTGATTGCTTTGAAAGAACAAGATTATCCGGAAGTTGTCAAATTTCTTGCGACAATAATGATGACTCGCGAGTTTCAATGACTTCAGTTGATGGAACACCCTGCAATAGACTTTGGCAATCTGGGAAACAGGAGTTGATTTCTTTTGCCTTTTTTTGTTTATTTCAGCTTTGAAAGTCCTCAAAACAGAATATGCATTTCCGGAATATGCATGATCCTCGGCTGTGATGGAAAGCTGACAAAAGAGAAGAAACAAGGATATTGTGGATCTTGTCGTTCACGTGATCGTTCGGCCTGCTTTGTTACATCTTCGGAGAGAATATTGAGTGGATGCGAGCAGTTCTCCTTGTTGATTCCGCCGGTGCCCAAGAAGTCTTACGACTTTTTATTGATATACGGATTTCAACAGAATTACGTGTACTCAAACCAATATAATCAGGTTTTTACAGGTTGTTGATGATTTTAACTACACTTGTGCCGGTTTAAGCGAGTCTAAACATCTAGATTGACTCTGTTGAAATCCTTTCGGGACCGTTTCACCGGCAAATTTAGCGATTGAATTCACAAGCCCTGCCACTGGAAGTGTTAGTCTCTTCGACAGCATGGAATTTTCAGCTAGCTCTACAAATATTTTTTATCGACAAAATTACAAAAGTCAAATTCTCTCCTGGAAGACTTGGATTAATTCTGATGCATATTTTTCCTGCTTGAGTAAATACGAAGGAAGAATTTCACTGAAGTGGGAATTTAAAACTCTCAATAAAACGGAGTATTCGTTTCCAAAAATTGACGACGGATTCTTTGATAATTTTATACCTGAATTTACGCTAGGTAATTACACTCACAAATGTGATTCAATTGAATCTAAAAGTTAGTTCATTCGATGATATTTTTTATAAGGCCCACTTGGTGGCGCTGCACTTGCGGAAGATACTGCTCTTATGGAAAGTCGTAGACATAGAAGACGACATAAGAATGGTAATTATTTAATTTCAGATTTCTCAAAGACTGTAGTTTGACAGACTATCCAGTTGTTTATTCTGAGATGATTTGAAACGGTTTATTTTCGTCATTTCAGAACATAAAAATCGCCACGAAAAATACCACTGGCAAGTCTCTGAGAGAATTCCTTGTGCAGCAACTTGTGGCTCATCGATCACAACAGCCAAAGTAGCCTGTGTCGATTTGTTTGGAAAAGAGTCGGATTACAGTAACTGCAATTTGGACATGATGCCTGACATTGTGCCAAGAATCTGCGCTGATACTCCGGATTCGGTCAAATTTCAAAGTCTCAGTTATTTGAAATTCTCAATCAATGACCGCGTAAAAGTGTGAGCCGCGTTGGGAAACGACAAGTTGGTCGGAGTGTACGACGTCTTGTGGCCAGGGCTTTCAGGTAGTGGTCGCTAAGAGTTCCTCGGAGGGACAAATGGACAGAGTGACCGCGAAAAAAGTCGCGAATGGCGCACTGTTGGTTAAAAATTGAGGCCGGAGTGGATTCCACTGTCATGCCAGAAAAGTGCCGCGATGAATTAAGACCCGAGACGATGAAGAAGTGCGAGAATCAACCCTGTTCTTCACCATGGATGACGTCCGAGTGGTCCTCTTGTTCGGCGGAGTGCGGCTCAACGTCTGTCAGAATCCGTCACGTGGAATGTCGGTCTTCTTTCTGCCTCGGTGAAATGCCAGCAACGCATGAGATCTGCACACATGAATGCACTTATAAATGGCAGCGCTTCCCGTGGAGCCAGGTTTGGATTAAAAATGGCACCATATTGTAATTGATCAAAAGTGTTCGGATAAATGCGGCGGAAGAACATATAGAACCGTAATTTGTCTGTCTTCAGAAGGGCAGCAAGTAGCGGATAGGTGAGATCATTCATCTTTTGAATAATTCATCTTACAATGTCAGTTTTTGCACGGATAAGAAACCAAAGACAAGTCGAAGATGTGGTCGAAACTGCGCCCCGTTTTGGCAAGTTGGAGAGTGGTCCATATGCTCCCAGGAACGGAATACGGCAATACTGAATAATATAAAATATATGAATATATTCCAATGAAAGACATGTTCGACTGAAAATCAACAAGCAAAATCAAACAGGTCTGTCAAATGCGTTTCGACTGATCATCGTGGTCGCTTTCGTCCTGGAAGTGATTGTCCAGAACCACGGCCAGATAGAGAAAAGGATTGTGACGTACCTATGTGCCCAATTAGCTGGATTTTTTCTCAATGGAGCAAGGTACAATTTCATAAATTGATATTTTGACAATTTAAAGTGTTCTGTATCGTGTGGAGTCGGAGTTTCGACGAGACAAGTGTCGTGCTCAGAAATTGGAAAATGCACTGGACCGACGCCAGATGTTTCAAAATCATGTGTGCTTCAAAGTTGTCCGCATATGAGGATAAATTGTGCGGATTTTCCTGGGATGAATTGTCCTGTTGTCAAAAGATATGGCTATTGCTCAAATCCTATTTTGAAGGTTAGCGCATCTCACCTATTACAATTCAATTTCAATATAGGCGCGATGCTGCAATACCTGTTCAGAAAGAGTATGAACAACATGCTTATTTGCTAGATTACATAATAAATTCTTGTACTTTATTAACATCAAGTGATGGTAAAATGGAGAAAAGGATATGAACACAGTAGCAAAGTAAGAATAAAAAATGAAGCAGTGGCGTAGCTAAACGATTGTCAATTACAGGTGATAAGAAATTTTTAGTTTTTGAACGCAGATTTGTTTAAAAAATTCTTCTAGTTACGCTTTGAAAAGGAAGGAAATAGTTGAAAAGGAGGATTCTTGAACTTTTGAAAAAATTGATATCAAGGAAGAGAGTTTGAAGAAAGACAACGTATCTGGTGGTTTTGGTAGAAATATACAGTGAGTTGATCGTTTTCGATTTTGAAAAAGATATCTAGTTACTAGATTCTAGTAGTTGTTTTGTTCAATATATATGGGCGTTTGTGGTTTTTGTATGTTCTGCTTTGAGACTTCCAACGTCTCACTTTATAAATGGTAAAAGTCTATTTCGAAGGGCTTCCATTTTGAGCACTCGTCAGAAAATGCCCATGCATTCGCTCGTTGAGCTGGTCAGCATGTTCCTTTTTCATGTGCTTTTCGAGCGTCGAGAAAACAGCAAAGGGAACGCCACAGATCTCGCATTTATGTTGGTGCTCTCGTGACGAACCATGGGTTTTCATGTGACGCGTAAGCTTTGAGCTCTAAGAATTCAATTAGGAATGAAATAGAAATGTAATTAAGCAAAGTGAATCGAAATAATATCTAAAGTACCTGTGCGCAAGCGTAATCGCATAGTTTGCATTTATAGGGCCTCTCTCCTGTGTGCATCCTTCTATGAACGGTCAAATTTGACGTGTTTTTGAAGACCTGAAGTTAAAAAAAGGATAACCTCAATTATTAAATATTGGCTTACCTTTCCACAGTATTCGCATCGATCATTCTTGTGGCCATTTGGTCGCCTGCGAGCTTGAGATTGAGGGGGCGGGAATTGAAGTGGTGGTGCATTTATTCGAGGGTTGATTCCAGTAGGATGATGTTGTCGAAGGTTTTGAAGACTCTATAATCAAGTTTACATCATGATTAAAATTGTTTGGGTAACCTTCACTTGATGCTGTTGTCTGAGCATGTTGTAGAGAGCGTTTGCCTGGAGTTGCTGCTGAACTCGTAAAGCCAAGCCAAGGGGGTTTACTTGTGACGGAATAGTTGGAACACCCTGTCTTGCCCGCGTTATTGCTTCCATCAGTCCTGGGTTGACTGCTTGATGCGCTGCTAAACCAGGAATACCATTCAGATTCTGCCCTCGAATAGTAGGTTGAAAAGCAGTATTAGGCCACGGGTAAGAACTGGTCGCTAGTCGGGAATTCGGCGGCGTGGAAGCGATCTCCTCGACGTCCGAAGAGGAATCGTCCCGTCGAGCGGTCTTGTCCGGAATGATATCAGCGATTGTGTGCGAGTATTTACGCTTCAGTTGGTTCTCTGATGAGAGAGACTAAAAGCAATTGTTTTCATCTTTATAGTGCACGTATGTGAATAATAAACATGGTCAGACGAGTTTAAGGGTGTTTCAGGTAATTGTAAGTCTATATTTACAAACTTAATGCTCAATTTATTTTTATCATTTATAAAACCGAGTCGGACCTTCAGAATATGAGGAGCATACTAAATGTTTAACTAAAAGCGGTAGGCTGTAAGGTATGTAGCAGTCATAAAATATAACCTTTACATCAGAATCCGATCTTGAGCATCGAGATTGAGCCCCTTCTGAGTTGAGCTCGTTGCGCAAAACAGGAGAGGACAACTGTAATCTTTCGCCATCAGTCGACACTTCTTCAACATCAGCCTCTACGTCTTCATCATCATTGGGATTTTCTTCGTCTACGTCGACCGTGACATCATTTTGGGACTCTTCCTGTTGTTCAGATTGGATTGGCGACTTTGCTTCCTTGTCATTTTCGAGCTTTTCGAGCTTGATCGACTCTTCTTCTTCAATTTTTATTGCTAAAATGGATTGATCAGAAAAGCAAAAACTTGCTAAAAACCGTGAGATTCTTGGACCGCGACAAAAATATAAATTAAATTATTATCGTCATCGAAGTGTACGATTATTGTATGCGCTTTCTAGCGGCGAGGGCTTATCGGAAGCGCTTTGGCGTTATCAGCTGTGTGACCGTCGTCATTTTCAGCCTTGAAAAGTCAGAAGAAAAATCTCGAAAATCAGATCCGAAAATTGGCCGACCAGAAATGGTCATTACGGCACCTGGCGGTGGCGTCCCCTCTCATGAGTATTTGGCTCAAGAGGGGTTAAACCTGACACCACCCGTCCAGATGGAGCAGAGTAACCGGAAAATAGCATTGCCGTGCCCTCATCCTCCGTATTTCACGCCATATTTTCCTGATTCCTAGCTCTTGCCTTGTTCGAAAACGTAAAAATAAAGCACCACTTTTACTAATAACAGTGATGCTATTTTTTCTTTTGGAAAATAAATAACGAGAATCATCATTTTTGTAAAAAAAACCTTTCCAGGTTCTCTTTGAAGTGATCATCAATTCTTCGATAAGAACTCTGTCCTGTCTGTTCCCGCTTACAATTACACTGTCTTCAAAGAGCGCGTCGGGTTCAAATCTCAAGTGCAAGTGCCGCACCCCTCGGTGTCAAATCATTATGTCCTCGGCCATATGGCATCTCCGCGAATGGTGGTGGTGTGACCATGGCGCTGTCAGATCAAGCGCGGCGCGCAAACTGTACTTGGCCACAGTTTTTGACATTTGACAAAAGCCCGCTTGACAGAAACCCTTCTAATAATTCTGGATCGATTATTCCAGCCACTCCTAATTCACACCTTTCGGTAATTCGATTACGCTTTCAAAGGATGTGCAGCGTTTGGGCACACTTAGATCTGTCACATGGTAATTTTAGTGCCCAATTCATATCGCAAGGCGTGACAATTGAATATTGAAAAGAGCGAATATAAAATAATCGGACAAGAGCCGATTAGATACGACTAAATAATTTAAAGAATTTCTCGACCTACAGTATGCAAATGTTAGTACGATTTCATCGATAGAATGGTTGTAAAAATTTTAGCAACGCTGCTTAATCAGCTTCGAAAACGATGCATTCTAAGATCTAATCCAGTGGAATAACTGTTTGGCTGCCCTGGTAGTTTGGCAGTGGCGATCCAGGTAGTCCGTAAACCGTGTCATCGTAAAGGGGTCCGATTCCTGCTTCACTGAACCAAAGACCGGTGATCCACTCGGATCCAAATTGCCGGCCCTACGCCCATTACGTCTACTAGAGTTCGTATTAGAACCACTCTATACAGTATCAAAAATTAAATGACATTTTGTCCTTAGTAAGAACTTCTGACTAAGACTTCGGCTGTAAAAAAAGAACAAAAAATACCCCATTCCTTCCAACCTTATTTTTACGATTTTCACGAGCTCGGTGGACGAGTAAGGAGACAGTTACAAAAAGAAAATGTTAACCAGTCTTAAGAGCTTATGATTTTCAACGACAAGGTAGTTTTTTTCTCATCGTTCTTTTTCAGAACTCCGCTCAGCCCCGTAATAGTCCTTCACTGTCACCCGATCTTCTTTAGAAGACACGATCGTCAGTGACCAACACAGGACGGAGATTTCCTCGTTCGCTTATGTTTCCAGGCGATCTTAGTCGGGAAACAAGAAATCTCGCCTTCCTGGACCCTTCAGACTGGCTAGTACTGCAATCGCCGTGTACTTTGATGCTGAAAGCCTCTCTATTCATAAAAAATAGAGATATATTCAGCGAAATATAAAACCACTCACCAGCTGGACACGCTGCCGAGCGAACGAAAATTAATGAATCTAAAATGGCGAAAGAGAAGCTATTTGTCATGATTCACGGTGCGATTTCGACTGTTCGAAATAATGACCAAATCATTTTTAAAAGCTATTCTTTTTACGATATCATCTCATGTTCTGCTTCGTCGTCAGAACCTTTTCGACCGGCGTTTTTTCGCTTATCACGTGACTAGATTCAGCAGGATGTGCTGGCTTTATTCGCCTATCGAGGGGATAGTTTTGATAGACCCTTTGATGACCAGTGCAACAATTTTGATGGGACACAATCACTAGCCAGTTTGCGCACGGTGCACTCTACGGCCGACCCCTACTCTGGGTGTCGAGAATGAACCTTCTCCCTTGTGGAGGATGAGAATCTGGTCAATACCTGGTTGAGGAGAAGAAACTGACTGGTTTTCGCTGCCCGAAGGCGTCAGATCACTGGAAGAACCCGTTGAGTTGTCGGCCTTTTTCGCGTTTTCAGAAGAAGATCCACAGTTTCGTTTGTGCTTAAAATAAAGATTCAAGCCAAATCTTTTTGACCGATTCTTACTGCTAGAAACTCAGCAAGTTCCGAAATGTAAAAACAGCCATTGCATGATCCACAGACGATTTTATCTTTTCCGATCGTCATCGACGGTTGAAGGCTTGTTTGTACTGGTGCTCCAGAACTGGTTCTAAATAGTTATAACTTGTAGGGTTATTTTATTACTCTACAGAAAAGTCAGTAATTTCATAGAATTTCTGGAACAAACATTCATTTATATGAAGAAATTACGATCGCCATCAGGCGGATATGAATAAGCTGACTCTGTGACAGTCGAAAATGACGCTTACAGAATTAAACAACCATAAAATTTCTACATTTACTGTATTTACCCGGATTTCGGTAGTGCCACCATCGACAGCATTCGGGTTAAATCTTCGTCCGAACCAGATTTTTCGAATTCTGAAATTCACGATAAGCAACTGTTCCCGAAATCATTCAACTCTTCCTCCTACCACACAAAAACTTTCTCTCATGACTTTCTCGGTGCTCCGCCAGATTCATAAACCCACTTGTTTCTCCGCGCTCTTTATCAACAAGCGAGGAGAGCGCTAGAATCTTTAGAGAGAAATTGTGATTTCAGAATACGAAACTTTTGTCAACTGCAAGTTCAGAGGGGAGAGATTTTTTTTGTTTCCAGCTCGACGAGGTCATTGTTTGCGGATATTGCGGCTACAAAAAGCGACAATGAAGCGCAAACACCGCTCTTGGCGGCCATGGTCAGACTCTGGCAAACAGAGCTCTAGGCACGCGGACAGTTCAATTCTTATGAGGGCTACAATTCTCATTTGAACATGTGTCCGTCAGACAATGGGTCACTGTGGAACGGCTTTTAAACGTGCAAAAGTCAAATTAAAAAGTTCTTTCAAGGAACTACAATTCTAGTCAACGCTGGAAATACCTGTTTTTATTTGGAAATGCTTCTTATCTCTGGCTTTCTGATGGGGAAAAACGTTGATACGGGAAAATTATAATGATTATTTGTTGTTTAATGTTTTGTTTGTTTAATATGTATTCTGTGAAAGATTATTAAACATTGACCCTTCGTGAAGTCCAGAAGAAGATAGCCGCTCGGAGGAGGCGCCCTCGTTGCGAAACATCGGCGATTCGACCTAATTTCGCCGCGCGAGCGCCACCTTGTTGGGTCCAGTAATGGGCCCAGTTCACCTGTTAGTTCTTGAATCATTTCACTATCATTTGGTAACACCGACAAAATTCACCATTATTACTCATATTCTAAAGTAAGGAATAGGCTCATTCATGTATTTTAAAGTTCCCAAATAAGACTATCTCTCTAAGGAAAGTTCCAGTTTCTAAGAAAAGTTTTTTCGAAAAAAAGACTTTTTCTGGGTGAGGATTAAACGTCATGAAAGTAGTTTAGCGTTTATCTCTATCATTTGAATATGAATTTTCTGATGATAATCCCTAATTATTTCGACTATAAAAATGCTGTTTCATGAGACGAGCTATTTTCTCCCATGAATAATAAATAAATCAGTCAAAAAGGAAAATTTATTCTTGCAAAAAATCCTGAAAGAAACAAATCCACTGTAAAATCGCAAGAGTGGACTCTAGCAGAAGACAGCTGCCCTCTCCAGCTAGATGGCCAGCTCAAATTTCAACCGAACGCCAAGGTGACACTGCTCTTTATATAAGGAGCGCTTGATTCGGTACTAAGTCACTTCTATCTCGCTGGCCAAGTTTTAAAGATAGATTTATGACATTAGGCTCGATGTGCACCGATGAGCGTCCCGGTTGAAAATTATGGGGGACGAAGATCGAAAAATTTCTTTCTGCGATTTGATCCCCGTGAGCCGTTCGGATTTCAAGTCAGCTGAAAGGAATCAAGAAACAGTCCCAAAGCAGAAGCCCCTGCGAGGTCAATCGGCCACTTTAGGGATCTACCAGCCCAGCTGGACAACAAAAACACCGCTCTCGCGAAAATCCGCGTAATTATGTATTTCACTGACGCCAGAGCTTATGCGCATGATTCGGGCGTAAATTGTAGAGTTAAGTATTTTCGGTTATTTTCTTTCATAAGAAATCGGTTGGTTTGGGCATAATGGTTGGGTAATTGAGCTTCAGGGTAAGGGTTGCTGATGGATTCTTCAAAAAGACATAAATATTTAACATAAATCCGCATTTTTCTTGTAATATAACGGTATGTTAGCAGCTCATCAAGCCCTACCATAAAACATGTCATTTGCCGGCCAGAAGTTAAACAATTTTCTTGCGAAACTGAGATTTATTCTAACCGGCGATGTAACTTGAATGTCAAAATCAAAAAAACTGTTCCATCTTGTAATTATAAATTGTAAGCTAAAATTACATCTTCAGAAGTGTAAAGAATGATTCAAATTTTGTGTGGAATAAACGCCAGAATCGTAATGCTAGAAAAATGGATTTCTAAAGAGCTAGTGGGATAGTTGTTCGAGTGATCCGACTGGCAAATCGTGCTTAGCCTGTCCAGCTGGCCGCTGAAAGCCGAAAATTAGGTGAAATTCACGCCAACTCAAGCGGGTACGTACCGCCGGCATCAGAGTGCCGCTGACATTTCAATCTCTTCACCTTGGATTATTTTGCACGGGTCGGCACGTCAAACTCCACAAACGTGAGGCAATCTTTTCACGTCTTCCCTCACAAAAATTTAAGAAAAAATGACCTCAAAAGTTTCCAAAGATAAAATTCTTGAGTGGTATAAATTCTTACCGCTGATTCTTCGAAAAATAGGTTTCTTCAAAACCCGTTTTTTAAAACTTCTCGACTGAGCTTCATCCATCTATCTATCTTGGTTTCTTTTTTTATCAATGGCCGAATCGACAGGATTTTCTGTTCTTTTGTGCTCGCTGTCGACATGGGCCGGTCTGAAAGTAGCCGATGTCGCAACACCAGACGTCTCCTCCCTTTAAAATGCCCTATTCCGCGCCATATTCATGTATATTTAGCGCCAACAATATTTTTTACATTTTGATCTCTTGAAATTGGCAAAAGGGGACTCAAGATTGAGTCACTAACTCGCGGCGGAATGGGCGACAGTTTCATGTCTACAGTCGGTAACCCGTTGCTTTAATTGAAGACTTATGATCACAATACTTTTGTCGATAACCCTTAGTTGATTTGGGTTCAGTTGAGTTCACTGTGTTCAAGCAACGACTTGAGCTCGCCAACGAAAATGAGCTTATTTTCTGACTATTTGTTTATATTCTTCGAAATCACTGTAATGGTTGCCGTATAGCCATCGACATCCGGAGTCAGTAAGCTTCAATATCTCGTATCAACTCAGATAAACGAACCAGGCTGGCCTTCAGATAAAAACTCAACATCGACAGTGACAAATTTCCGTTTCGAAATAGAAATGACTGTTGATGGACGTTTTAATTGATATTGCGAGACTCAAAGCAAATGGAAAAACTTTCCATTTATTCCTATTCTTTGGACCATGAAGCATAATCCGGTAGTGAACCGACTTAGAAAAATCTAGATCTCACATTAGCAGATTTTGAAATTGAAAAAGACTTGCGCAAAATTATAAAAATTATAATCATGAGACAAATAATCCGGAAAATGATAGATTCAGAAAGAGAATGTCTGAATTGACGAAAATCTATTGAAACGGGCTCGGTCAGACTTGTCTGTCATACCGTGGGATCCCGCGCCGTAAAGAGCGGGCGATCCACAATCACTGATAGCAACCGGTTGAAGAAGGATCGAATTCATGTCTGCGCGGCCGCGCTCATTCAGATTCGCGTGTCAAGTCTGACCGACAGTGGGAGACAAGATTGAGCATGGGAAGAAAGGAGTGGTATAAAAGACTACATTCTTACTTCAAAAATATCAGCAGGGGTTGAAATGATTCTTTTATTAGTAGAATCTACTCGGCAGATTCTCAACTGGGAACGAAAAATTACGTAACACGATTTATGTTGTGTAAGAATTACAAATTTATTCTAAAAAGGGATGATGATATAACCGACAAATAATTTATTGAGAAGCTCTTATTGAAAAAAATGAAAAGAAAATTAATCATGAAATCAAGGAAGAGTACATTAATCCCACGGTCGTAAAAAAGTCTGATCTCTTTCTTACCTTTTGAACTCATCGAAACAGTGCGGTTTCCATCTGCGCTCGCGTTGTTGTTCGCCTAAAATAGTATTCTTGAAGATGTTGGTCATTTTGGGCACTCTGAGAACAATTGCCAGTGGGCAGCCGTTCAGACGCGATCGCCAAAACAGGGGTCAGTGGCTAATGAGTCGAGTTTTTCTGCTGATCGGTGCAAAACTCGCTCTATTTGTTGCGCAATCACAACTTACAACTCGCTGGACACATTTATGATGATCTGGGAATAGCCCGCGGGGCAGGTTGTGTCTGACCGCTTCGCCTAGGGCTAATTGCGCACTAATTCATCTACAAGTACAAGCTCGAAATAAAGCCAGGATTGCCAAAAGTCTGAGAGTCCAATAATAACGCCGCAAGTAATCGCCAAATTTACAGTTTTTGCGCAGTGGGCGCTCTAAACCACTGACCAGGTAAAATTTTGATAGCAAAACTCTCAAATCATTTCCTCGGCAAACTCGACTTGGCATTTGACGTCAGAACGCAAACGATGGAAGGGAAGGACATTTGCGAAGCCGTCTCGCCTTCACTGACCATGGCAAAGTCACTATCGAGTTCTGTCTTATTCCTCAGTATTTTAATTGTAATCAAACAACCCAACGCGAACTCGCCAGATTTTATGCTGACAGAGGCAATCTCGGACAGCTACCAAGCGACTTCCTCTCTGACCACCATAAAACTAATAACGTATTGTCTCTTTTATACAAATGCTGAATAAGACTCAATAAAATGATAAATGGATAGCTTAATTATCGTTACTTTGACCATCTTAATTTTTTTTTTGTTGAACTCGATAATATGTCATCGGTGACCGTAGAATTTCTGTAGTTTTTCTGTAATTAAGGGGTTTTTGATTAACTTATCATAATAAAAATTTTCTACACTTGACATGGTTGGTTTCTGTTACAGTCATTTTATCACTACACCTATGATTTTCAAAATATAGAATTATATGTATCATTAAGGGGGAGGTGGTCGAAAATTAAGATTTTTCAAACCAAGATTGAGAAAAAACCGAAAGGGACAAGAAACTCTAAATTTTCTAGGGTTAAAGATAAACGTTGAAAGAATGTGGGCGCGTGGAGAAAAAAAATTTTTTTTTTGAAAAAAACTGAGAAAAACTTTATGAAAGTGGACCCTACTTCAATCCAAGATTACGGGCAAAATAATTTTTTTTTTCAAAGATCAAACCTCATATGATGATAGAATAGACCCTTACGGATGTGGGCGCGTGGAGAAAAAATAGGGTTGCTATGATAATTAAGGTCGAAACGGCCGATTTAAAAATGTCGTTTTTGCTAAAAATGGTCATTTTTCACTTATTTTAAATGAAGTTTTCCAAAAAATCGCCAATAACCCTAATTTTTTAGATATTTACAATTCTGACCTGATAAAAAAACTATATCTTCCAATAAAAAATGAAGTTCTGTTGGTTTTAGTGCGAAAAAACAGTTTCTAAAATTCCGAAAAATCTCGACTTCGTGACCTAAAATCAAAAATTTTCAATGTTAAAGTTTATCCAATCAAAAAAAGCTGGAGACCAAAAATGCTTCTTTTTTAATGGAGAATTCAAAAAAATAATCAAAATTTTGAAAATCGAAAAAAATTTTTTTCGACCACCTCCCCCTTAAACTGTTATGGTGTCTTAAAAACTCTTCTGATCTAAACTCTATTAGAAACCATACAGATACTTAGTTGAGTATTTTATTTGACTTTATTTCTATTTACCTTCAGGTCGGCGAAAGAGTTCTAGTTTTTACAGTAGTTGCTCGTCTCTACGGGGTTCGTGGTGGCTCTCTCTGTGGCGCGTTGCCGTCCAAATAATATGTGGTCATTTTTAACGAGGAAGCAATGGTCAGCATAATTTTCATTTATTTTGCGCCATGACATTGTACGGTCCAGCCAGTGGGCACACACAGCCGTTGGGCACACACACACATAGACACGCATGAACGCTAAGCTCGACCACGGCCAAATACCAGCACCGTGACCCTAACCGACCATCGCGCAAAGCAACACTTCCTTTGTTTAACCATCTCACGCAGGGGCGCACGCCCGAGGCGATTTATTCCTGTTCTAACTTGCTACCTGATACTGCAAACAAGCAATCTGCAGGATCTCTAGTTATAGATTTTTCTGAAAGAAAAAATGTGGAAATAGTCTTTCGACTACGTAATTTTATTGTACCATAAATGCCCAAGAACCGAATGAAAATGAAAGTAATCATTAAAAAAAAATAACACAATCGGTATTCTTTCATAAGCCCCATTTTCAAATTATTGGTGGAAAGCTTTCAATAAAAGGCGTTATTTTATACAAATACCCGTTTTATGATTCCTTTGAAGGAATTGTAACTTGTCGAGTGAAAGATTTCATTCAACTTCCTCAGCTCATAAATAATAATTATAAAAATTTACTCCAAACAAAGCAGATCTTTCTTCTGAGCGAGGCGCTAAGTGTGTGGTGGCTACTGGCCAGTTGAAAAGGCTGCTTGACCATGCTTAGAAAAAATGCTAAGCAAGTGTTGTTCGACAATTATGTACGTGACTGAGTGATCGCTGCGGTCAGCATCCCGGAAATGGCGATGCTGATCCTCTGCCTCATCTCTGACCTTTGCGAAGCCTGCTGAAGGGCAACAAGTCGAAGTTGCCGGACTTGAAATCCCCACAGATCTCCCTTGGCATATAGAAAGGAGTCTCTCAGACTGACATTTTCAGCCATTCAAGTTGAACTTCGAAACCTTCTAAGCCTTGACAAACTTTCAAAATTTCAATATAATTAAATTTTTTAATTATTATTTTCTCAATCATAAGTAAAACTTCATGAATTATTTATTAAAGGTATCAAATTGGCTTTCTCGTTGTTAAAACGATGAGAAATAGTCTGTTTCAAATGAAGAGTTTGATAATCTATCACTAACAAATTGATTATCGAGTTAAGTTATGATCAGTGTTATAAGAGCTGTGAATAAAAACGGGTCTTCCAGTGAAATAACAAACGATTACAGAAAATAATCCTGGTCTGGGACGGTCAAAAATACGCCTGGTTTGGGACGGTCGGGCCATTTAAAGATCAAAGGCGCACGCCTGGGGGGTGCTTTTTAATATGAAAGTGGCGCTAGAGGCGAGAGCGAAAATAATCCTGGTTTGGGACGCTTTGGCTGATTAAGACCGTCCCAGACCAGGCGTATTTTCTGTACCTGATGACATTTTGCTTCATAAAACTGTCGGTCGTTATTGACGACGTGTCCTTAAGGCTTCTAGGGTAGTTGATGACTGTTCAAGCAATCTTACTCATTCTCACCATTATTTGCAGGAAGAAACAAAGAGAAATAAAAGAGATTTCAAAATGCTAGAAGATATTCCCCTCGATTGCCAACTTAAAATTGCGGCTTTATTGTCGGCTGAAGATTTATATCAAGTCGTTAGCGTTGTTCCTCAATGGAGGATAACGATGCTCCACGCAAATACAGTCAGGAAAACAATCGGTAAGTGGAAATCGAAACATGGAAAGAATGACTTTTTATTCAAGAAAACGACCTTGAAAAACGCTCAACAATTTCCTCCACCCTCTTAAAATTCCTTGATCGCCCGGATGTCAACCTAGAAGACTTTTTAAAAGCCTCAAAATATCAACCATCACCACCGAATTTACTCGCGAGAACCTACAATAGATTTCTTCTTACATTCGTCAACCGTCCAAAGAAGATCATCATGTTCGGAAATGGGCTTGAAAACGGACTCGTAACTTTTTTGATGACAATGTGTAAGGAAATTGGCGTGAAGTTAGCACCAGAAATGACATCTGGAGAAACACGGGGAGGACTTATTGTTGAATTCAAAGAGAACCTATTCGACCTGAACGCTTTGTATCCTGCTACGAGGAAATAGTCGTCAAAACAAATTAAGCTAGGTATATTTTTGTATAAGTATGAATTTAAATTAATATTTTCGAATATATTCGAAGATAATTTGACGAATTCGCATAATTGAATCACAAGATTTCTGAGAACTCGGTTACATACCGGTATGTAAATGATGACTAGAAAACAGAGAAATTCGACAAAGGGATAGCGAAGTCAGTTTGATAGACGATAATCATGAGTTAGTACTCCAAGCTGCTCGTCGATGCCGCGACGCATCAGCAGCTGTTTGTCTATTTTCTGCGACGAAGAAACCAAATAAAAAGGCGTTTCCAGAGCTCAAGGCAATTAGCGAAAGAATACCTCAAAATGCGAAGATCATTCTAGGAAAGGTCTGTCGATCTTATTCAATCTATTTAAATCTTATCAATGATGACCGTAGAAAAGTTGAAATGACCTTCGATGATCAACCGGATCTTCTTCATTTGGGAAAACGAGCGACTAAAGAAGCGGATCTTGGAGACCGCGAATTCGAAATCATATCAATTCTTTGCGTGGAAGAAAGAAATGCATCAAATCAAAAAAGCATCAAATTCGATCTTAAATCCATCGCGTGCCTCTTTAATAAACTTTTGTAAAGTCGCGTTCTAGTAACAGCCACAGTCTTACACAGTGAGCCAATGAGCTAATCCGATAGATTGGCATTTTGCTCAGGTCCCTGTTGCGGCTTCTTCTTCGCCACTTTTGACCTTTTCTAGCTCGCGCTGACGTTTCTTTCCTCTGACTCCAGCAAAAATATAAAAATATGATTGAACTGAGGGTGTTTTTGATTTTTATTGTCTTTAAAGCTGCCAGAGGTACATCTTGTTCGGAAAATAAATTCGAAGCTGGACCAGATTGGAGAGAATTGACATCACCTTTTTGGTCTCAGCCAATTCATGGACAGCAACAATGCGAGTGGGAGCTGACTGCCCCAATGGGTCGTCGAGTCCAGCTTTCTTTTGAAACGTTGGCCCTAGCTGATAAGACTCCTGACGAATATGGGGATGGAACTTGCTTGTACCAGTCAGTTGATTTGATTGATGGACCAAGAGTCGCAGAGGATGACAATAATTATATTTCTTTCTGCGGACGACATACGCCATCTATTGACTTTGTTTCCGAAGGAGAAGGTAGAAATTGGAGTTGGATCTTGCTTAGTCCTGAATATTCAAGCAATATTTATTACGGTTTATTATCGCAAGATAGCATAAGTTGTTGAAATCATTACCTGTCAGCCGGACTCTTTACGGTACAAATTTTCATATCCTTTCATCCGTATCAATGACTTCCAGCCTTTCCTAGTCATGCGTGTTTACTTACGATCGGATGTCTCCACCGCTGCTTCAACTGGTGATGAAAAATACAAGCTCAAATTTCGTTTCACTGAACAAGAAGGAAACATGGAAGAGTACCTCATTTATATAACGAGCCCAACTTATATAAATTAAGATACATGACTGGCACAGTAAGAACGCAAAAAGCAGGTTATCTGATGTTCCGGCCAATTCGACTTAGAAATGGATTGATGGCAAATAGAAATTCCATTCATCATGAAAATATCAACATTCTCTCTCATCAGTCAGAAGAAGATTATGATTACGATGAAGAAGATCCTGCAGAACGGACGGTCGACTCCATGGGCAGAGTCAGGATTGTCTTCGGAGTTTTCCATCTTCAAATTTTTTATCAATTTCTGAAGACAACGAAGATCTCGAGTTCGAATCGGAAAATATGACCCGAGCAAAGTCGTGAAACAATACCCAAGTATAGAAAATTCATTTTACGTCAATTTCAAAGTAATTTTAAGCTCTTGAGCCACCGAAAGTCTATGAATCACCACCAGCACCAGAGCCAGAGCCTTCTGGAGGATTTTTAGCCTCGATTGCTACCGGCTCACTTGCATTCATCATCTTCCTGGCTGTATTTTCAGTTTACTGTTTTCAGAAACATGGAAAGGACCCAAGGAATGGAGGTTGAAAGCAAATATTGAGATTCAAAAATGAAGGTTTTTATTTTGAATCATTGAAAAAGCCAAAAAGCAGGAACGATGGTCTACTGCACGACAACGAAGAGATACATTTCTGTAGATTCTTGAGAGCTCAAAATAAATTCATATATCATTCATTAAGTTTGTCTCTGAGAAGAATGTTTATGTCTTGACCGCAATAATACTACGAGCTTGTTATTAGCGGCTGCTTGCGATCGTATGTAGTAGGAAAGAAGAAAATGATCTTATTATGAAATTATCAAGCTCTCGTTTCTCTAGGGCTGCGAGTGGGAATATTTCAGAAGATCAGAAGTGTGGTGCATTTTCTAGTGTGGAATTGTCTTGGCTCTCTGACAAATGTCGGTACCTAGTATGCCCCGAGGTGTTCCCCCATTTTCCCGCGGTCACTGGTGGAGCAGCCACTTACCTTCCACCCCCAAAAAATAATCTACTCCTGATACCCAAAACACTAATCACAACAAAGATTTTTAACTACTCGAGTGGATACATGGGTCACTTTTGGAAGAGATAATCGAAAATCGGCGAAGATGGCGCGCGGGAAAATGGGCGGTAAGTGTCCAAAGAGGGATGAAAAACCAGTGCACCAGAATTTCTTGCCGCGGGGTGATTCGATACCTTGCTTTCGTGGTGATTACCGAAAGCGCAAGTATGATGAATGATACTCTGCAATGAGTTTTTTTCAACAGATTTATCCGTGTTTCGAGTAAATTATGGGTTGAGAAATTAATTTTATATAAGAAGCAATATGCGTAAAGGTTTGTTTTGAGTCGAATATGAGAATCTCCACGCTAGAAACCGAATGAAAACTATTAAAAACAGGATGAAATAATTTCGAAATCTAAAACTAACCAACACTTGACCTTTAAAAGACCTCCCGCGCAATGCTCATCATAAATTATGTAAATCAAGTGAATTTCTCTTTTCAGGCAAGTCGAAGAAAATCGGCCTTGCCGCAAAAGTCCGCGCCCGACTAGGCTACATTGTCATCACGCTATGCATCGGTCTCGTTTGTTTCTACATTGGGAGGGTTGAATTTCTCGCCGAAAAGCTTCAAGGAGCGTTTACCAAATAAACCAAGAGTAACTTTAATTAATAACCAAGAATCAAGAGTCTCTTGATACCGTCCTCTTTCCGAATCCTACTGCTATTTTTCGATCAAAATTTTCTTAGTTCGACCATTCTAACTTGACAAAAGCTGACAAGATAAATAGCAATCTGATGACATAAGCTTTTCGTAGCTGTCCAAGAATAACTGATAACAGCCGGACATATTGATAAGACGCAATCTCGGTTAAATAGAGTAGTTTGGTAAATTAAAAAAAAGAAGCGGAGAAAATCGGAAGAATGACCAGCGAAGGAGTAAATCAGCAAATCGCCATGCACGGATATCAACACCAACCGGTCGTCCCACAACCACCTCAAGTCGCAAGTCAAGCTCGACCGCAAGCCCCGAATAATGTGCTCAATAATAATCTCATTCAGGAAGGTGCCTCAAAACAAAGGCAAACATATTATTTTTTCAAATCAAAAGCGTCCATTTTCAAGCGCCTTGACAGCAAGCACCACAAAACCCTCCAGTACCTGTAAATCTTCAAAAGGTGCACGCCGGCATCCAAAACCTCCCACAAGATGTGAAAGCGCGCGAAAACGCACATCAAAACACGGTGCAGAATTTTGCCCTAGGAAATGCTCTCGAACCAGCGGCGAAAGTGATGGAGCAAGTTGAGAGATTAGGCAACCGGGTTCAAAAAAGGGATTTGTTTCGAGTGGCGATTTAAACACCGCGCGTGCATTTCTAAGTAGAATTGAGGCGCAAAAGGCAGTTTTTTAAATATTATTACTTCGTTGATCATATCAATTTTTAAAACCCGCTAATAGTGGCCCAAGAAGTCCACGATACTGTGGGCGCGATAGAAAACGCAGCGGGAGCTGTAAACAACGCGGTTCATAACGTTATCAACGTTGGCAAGCAGATAGAAGAAAATATCAACCTAAATTTCCAGCCTGAAGAACTCCTTCCTGAACCGCAAGATCGCCCAAGTCTCGATATCGCGGCACTCATCGCTTCCGCTAATCGAATCAGCGTTGAAACGATTTTCCAGGATCAACAAGCTGAGCTTGCTAAGTATCCCACTTCACACTTGAAGGTACTTTTACAGTTTTGTTCATACAATAACTGTCAACCTAAGGCATCGGCTTTCTATACCTACGAGCCAGCTAAATGGAATTGGCAAAGCATGAACTTCAAGACGCGCACGCCCAATGCTAAATTCATCTTCCACAACAAACTGCCCAAATCCGGCTCGTCGACGATGAACCAGCTCTTGCGCCAACTATCGAAAAAGAACAACTTCAACTTCGCCAAAGTCGAACCATCTCAGATCCCCAATGATAGGTTTGACTTGGAAAAACCGCTCGTCAAGTTTGTTCAAGAAACCAAAAAAGTAAATTGAAACGTTTTCGCTTTATTTTAAAATTGATCTTATTTTAGGAGCCATTTTTCTTGTTGAAGCACCACTTCTGGTTCAACTTTACACGACATGGGCTTAGGCAGCCGACATATGTCAACGTTATCAGAGACCCGGTGGATTGGTACACCTCGCAGTACTATTTTCGCAGATTTGGATGGGTCCAGCAGACGACCACCAGGGACTCGTTTGCGGGGACACAGGCTGATAGAGATAGAGTACGTAAAAGTTTATTAGACAGGTGTTATTCCCCAGCCTGGTGAATAACGAGTATTTTAGACTATCGACCAGTGTATTCAACAAGGCCTGATGGAGTGTACAAAACCAAGCTACAAGTACATACAGTATCTCTGCGGCAATCATCCGCACTGCCGAACCGTCGAGTAAGAAGCTCAATTTTGACGAATAAACAAATAAACAACCATAATTATAGCGTTTCGGAGGAGTTGAAAGAGAAAGCCGCGAATTTGGCCAAGATCAACGTCTTGCGGAATTTCTACGCAGTCGGCATTTTAGAGCAATTTGTCGACACGCTAAAAACATTTGAGATCATCCTGCCCAATTACTATTCGGGCGTACTTGACATTTGGAATTCCAGCAGTAAGTGATCGCTCCATAATTTGGAAGCCTAGAAACAACGCATTAGTGAAGCCACTAATTTAGAGGACCCAAATTTAAAAAAAAATTATTTTTCAGTGATGCAAGAAAAACGCAACAAAACAAAGACGCTCAATCGCAAAGAACTGTCTTCCCACAGCCGCGAGTTTCTGATGAAGGGGCCGCTGAAGTGGGAGACCGACTTGTATATTTTCGTTCGCGCTCTCTTCAACGAGCGGTTGCGGCGGTACGAGATTGTCCCGACCGGCGTCCAGATCACGTGATGAGTATTTCGCGAATACATTCCAGAAGATACAACAATCACTACTATTTATATTTTAATAATTTATACCAAAAGACACAACTGAAAATTCAATTCAACACAAAAACTGCTGAGCACAAATATTTTTGAATATTTATATATAATTCTATTCTCTTCACAGCAACTGTAACACAATGAAAATGGCACAGACAAGTGCCGCCTGTATACAAGTACAATTTTTAAATTTTATTCCAAATAAAAAAAAGAAACTACAGTTACAGTCTCTCCCTCTCTCTGGGCTCGGCAAACTGTGTACAAAACTAGGTTACAGTAAGATCACCTGCAGATTTTTCCGGAAGGGAGAGACCATGGTCTAAGTTACACAAACTCGTGCCACCTGAAAAGTCTTCTGACACGTGTTTATTACAGTAGGATAGAAGACAGGAAGGAAAATACGGTCTGCCACGACAAATCAAGTTTTAATTATCGAGCATAAAAACGTGGCGGGTAGAATATTTCGTCAGAAGAAAAGTTTTTAAAGAAAAAAATAAAAAATGCCTTTGATCAGAGATCGACGAATTTCCAACTTTCAGTCGTTTCTTGATAGAGATTTCGAGGTAATGAACTTGTTTTCGCGCTAATTCAATAAAAATAAGATGATGCTGAGCATGAGAAGATCAGTTACCGACGTTCACCGCCGGGCAAACTCAATTTACTCGAGTGTTCGACCACTAAAGATGGAATACCACAGGGCAACAACAAATGTCGAGTATTTGCGCGAAAGAAGCATCGAAAGCCGCAAAAAACTAGAAGACTATCTTTTGCGACCTGATATTCGCCGCTTGAAAGTTTAATTCCATGCCCCTTGTTTTGACTTATTTTGCCAATAAAAACTCAATTAGCAGAATAAATTCCGATAGTATCGTTAAAATCATCAAGTTTCTGCGTTGAAATTTATTGTTTCATATAAAATAATTTTCTGTAAAAATCATTGTGGCAGAGGAAGAGTCTAAGTCAGTATTTTGGAATAGCCGCGCCTTCAGGGTCAAGATTGAGATCAGCAAGTTCGATGAAGACCTTCATCGGCTTCTGAAGCCCTTCGGAAACAGCGTTCATCATGTCGTCGCCGATTCGTTTTCGGGATTTCCAGAGCTTTGCCAATTTCACATTGCTGAATTTCTCAGTTCGGGATTGAAATTAATAAAAAACGTACTTTTTCACGGAGTTTTCCAATTCATCAGCATTCATGGTCGCTCCAGCTTCTTTCAGCTGCTCAAGCTGAGTTCGAAGTGCTTGAATCGACTCCTTCTTTTCTTTGATTTTCAGCTTTAGTTCTGCAGAAGACACTTTTGTTGTGTATTTTCGAAGTTCGGCGTCCAAATCTTTTGCTTCTTTTCGTTTTTCCTTCAATAAAATATTTTCTAATGGGAAATTTATTTCGAATGATACCTTGACAACGAGTCGAAGTTGATCATTTTCAACTTTTAGCTGGTTGAAGCCTTCTTCATCGACTGTTTCGAATTGCGCCTGATTTGAAAAACTGGTTATCGGCCGGTAATTAGGTTCAAATTAAACCTGATTGACGACGTAAATTGGAGTCTTTCCATAGACTTTTTCGACCAAAAGCCCGTCTTTGGCAAGTTTTTCCAGAGTAGTTTGAATTCCGGCTTTTGGCATTCGTTTCGCATGGTTGAGAAAAATGTCGTTGTGGGAATATGGGCGGTTGGCTTCTTTCATGTAATGATAGATGGTTCCCTCCCAATGTTCTTCTGTTACGGGGTTCGAATTTGAACGAATTTTCAAAGAGAAAATACAATAATCGAACCCTCCCTGGAATCTTTTCCATTCCCGGTTTCACAGCTTTTTTCGCGCCTGCTTTCGCGGTCTTGCTAGTAGTCTTAGTTGTTTTGGCAGCTTTGGCCGACTTGGTCGACTTTGCAGGCTTTTTCTCTTTTGCCATGGCTCCTTTTTCAAAAATAATGAATCTCAAGACTAACTAGAGATTGCACTTTCAAACGCTCTTTTATACCAAGCCGGGGCCTTTTTCGGCACGAAATTTGCCCGACTTGGGTAAAGCAGTGCTCGAGCAAAGACTCCGCTCGAAAACTTTCATTTTCGGAGCTGACTCTTGAAGTCCTTGTTGATTTTAACAAAAAAAAATAGATGATTTTATTCAAACAAGTAAAGACGGCTGGTGTGGGACTGATAATGAAAAATATTCTTATGCTGGATTCAAACAATTATCTGTCTTTGAATTGGCCGTGGAAATGAACTCGGGGAAATGAATAAAAGAAGATTGTGACGAGCTGTTTTATTCATCTGTCATTGTGACAGTTGCCCACGCTCGCACTTCTTTCCAGACGAGTAGTTCCAAAGAAATCATCGCGCGGAATTTCTACCTTTTCAGGGGCAAGAGAAATCTGATCAGAAAAAGAATCGGTTCTGAGTTTATTTTCGGATATTTCAGTCAAGTTTGAGATGAAATGACCTACTAGGGTAGTGGGGTGGGTCCCCTGCTGATTGACCACCCTAAGTTTAGTTATCAGCTGAACAGGGATGCGCATTTCCTTTTATCTTCAATTTCACGCTTCGCAAAAACAGAGAGATTTCAAGCTTTTTTTTTGAGATTCCAAGGCAAGCAATTATCCTGGCATCGATAATCTTTTTTTTTGAGTTTTTTGAGGATGATCGCAAATTTGCCCGACGGTGATGTCAAAAATGATGATGAATTCACTACGGTTGATTATCTACCGTCGAATTTTAGACTCTGTGAAGTTCATTACTGAGTAAGCAAGAGTCGTAAAAAAGAGAAAATTTTATGCGACGTTTCCAAAATGTTCTTTTGTACGCCCATTTTATTTCATAATTTTATTTCATATTCAAATTTACGGGGTTTCCTTACATGGTACAAATCCTTACATGGTACATTTCCTTACATGGTACAAAATCCTTACATGGTACAAAAATCAAATTGTACCATGTAAGGAATTGTACCAGGTAAGGATTTGTACCATGTAAGGATCTGTACCATGTAAGGAAACCCCAAATTTACGAATGAGAAAGATTCCGCCCGTGAATCATAGAGATAATTCGATTTTGGACGGAGTTTGCCACTTCTGTATCGATTTCGAAGTTCCCAAGAGATAAAAATAGCTTTTTATGCACTTCAAAAACATAAAAATAGCGTCAGAGATTGTCACCTAAAGAACGAACCAGGGGTTAGACCAGGGATGGCCCGGGGCGCATCATGGGGGCGCTGTTACTACTCCCTATATTGGCGGAACCGATTCCTGCCAGTTCAGATCAAAACTCTTCCAGAGTCATAAACAAGCTTATTTTTACAGATTTTTGAGATTCAGAATGTCTGCTCCAGTCACATCCCAGCCACTTGCCTACAAATCTTCCAACGGAGAGTTCAAACACGGACTCTTTAGGTAAGTAAAAATGCAACGAGAAGAGATATCATTCGATTTTAGCTGCTTCGGCGACCTCGGAACTTCATGCAAGGTCTGCTGGTGCCCCTGCCTCGTTCACAAGTCGACACAGGAAGGAATGGGCCGAGATAACGGCGGCACTTGCTTGCTCCTCTCCTGCGCTTCTTGCTTCTTCCCTGCCGTAAGTTTTCATTCTTTTCTTTCAGATTTCATAGATAACCTTTATAATTAAATCCATTCTTAGGGATGGCTGGCAATCTCATGCATTCAGCGACAGGAACTCCGGGAACGACATGGAATCGAAGGAGGCATGATCGGGTAAGCCAAATTTTTAATCGTCCCATTATTTTCATCGTTTTTAAGTGACTTCCTCGCAGTTTTCTGCTGCCTTTGCTGCGCCATGGTCCAGCACGATCGCGAAGTCAACCAGAACGAATAAGCCGAACTACCACTGAAAGCCGATAAATATCTTCCTTTCCACATTCTCCAAGAACGATTCCTACTGCTCATTTTTCAATTTCAACCCCTGATAAAAGCATCATTTATTGTATTTGATGTTCCCAAGCAATTCGTAACAATTTATTCATGCATTCATCTCCTTCTAACTGATTGAAAACTCCAAGACAATAAAATCAATTCAAACACACAATCGTTAATTATCACATCAAAATGCAGTATATTGTTGTTTTCTCATCAAAAGATAGTATCGAAGGAAGAATTTTTATCCGGAAAGCCATAGTTCGTTCAAGTCTCGTAATCCTTCGACAGTACAGTCGTCCAATGTAAAGTCAATTCTCAGCTGAAGTGCCCTTCACGCTTGTAAGGATCCATTCTTTTCCGCTATCCATCAGCAAACTCACAGAAGGTCTAAAAGAGAGAAAATGTAGAGTTTACTCGGAAAGGTTTTGGTATAAAGTAAGTTTTAGGTGCAAATGCTGGCGGTTCATCTTCATTGCTTTGAATTTTCTTGTCTTTTTGGCCGGTTTACTTGTTTCTGTTGCTTCAATTTGGCTTCTTGTTTCTCCTGATGGCCTAAGGTAAATTTGCAGGAGCTGAAATTTGTGATTTTTCAATAGTGACTTTGTTGATACACTTTCAAATGAGACGTCAGAGGGAGTTCAAGAAGGACTTGATGATATCATAACAAGAATGAAAGGAAAAGTTAACGAGGAAAATTTTCAGTCAAAGTGATGAAATTTTATGATAACTCTGCGGAAGGCGCGACGTATATTTTCCTTGCGCTTGGAATTCTACTTGCTGCGATCTCTTTTCTTGGATTCATTGGATCAATTAAAAGAAACAGATGCATGCTCAATTGTTTTTCTATTATCATGTTCTTAATTTGCGCTGTTGAAATTGTCGTCATGGTTGTAATGACTGTTTTCTTCCCGAAATTTGAAGAATTGATGATTGAAAGGTTCAATAATTATACGCCGGTAAGCGCTTATGCTAAAGAAAATAAGCTCAAATTAAAGGATAGGAAACAGAAGAGGGGCTTGTCGTTGACCAGATGCAACAGCTTTTCCAGTGCTGTGGTTGGAATAACGACTCAGACTTTGGAGCCAACGGTCCGCCGCTTTCTTGTCTCAACCCTGCTCTCGATCCTCCAGTGAATTTTGAAAATGGATGCAAGGTAATTTTAGAAAATCAACTAACGGCTTATTGTTTTCCAAGGAATACATATTAGACGGAACAGCTATTATTTGGGGAGTCGTAGTAGCACTTGTTATAATTGAAGTGATTTCGATTACCTCAGCCTGTGTTTTCAAGAACCAAAATAAACAGCTTGCATAGTTTTCATTCTGTTAAATAAAGGCTGATATACATTTTGAATTTTTTATTCGATTTTGTGTTTTTGAAGGAAGGAATTGGCGTAGAAATCGGATGAAGTAAGTCATAATGACTTAGTTGAAAAGTGGCATGATGAAGGCATTACTGGCAGATAAATTATGAAAAAAATGAAACGATCAGTAAAAATAGCGAAAAGTCTAGTTGTTGATGGTCTCGTCGATGAGTTCTCGAGTGCCATCGGGATTGACACGGAAAGTTCGGTAAACAGTTTGGACAACAGGCTCAGGTTGCTCGATAACGACTGGGCGGGTGACTTTGACGGGCTCGGGAACGTAGGCGGGCTCGCAACTGGTCTTGCCTTGGTTCATCATCATGAAGAAAAGAAGAGTCTCGTTATCGCTGTCGTCATCCATAAGGAGAAGAGGGAGCATCATGTCGGTGCCGAAAGCGGAGCCAGGAGCTTGAGATTGCATGGCCATCATAAGGACTAGGAGATCAATGCTGGTGGAGTTGTCGCTATCATCGCCCATAAGAAGGAAGGGGAGGAGCATGTTGAAGTTGTTGTCGAATCCTTGCTGGGTGTTCATGCCACCAGTCATGGAGCTGAGCATGACCATGAGAAGAACAGAGTCAATTCCGTCAGCGTCGTCGTCCATCATGAGCATCATTGGGAGCATAGAGTCCATGCCGACTGGGGAATCGCCCATAGTCTGCATCATGAGCATGAGCATCAAGTTGCTGGTGGAGTTTGATGAATCATCGCCGAGAAGAAGGAGGGGGAGTATAGTAGAGAATTGGTCATCAGTCTTGACAGAGCAATCGTTCTGGAGCATTGAAGAATAAAGGAAGAAGCTTGTAAAGTCGATTCCGTCGCCGGAAGAGTCATCGTCCGAAAGAAGGAGAAGGGGCAGGATTGAATTCATGTCCGTCATCGAGCCACCTTGCATCATCATCATCATAAGCGCCATGGAATTGTCGGAATCGCCATCTGAGTCGAGGAGGAGAAGTGGGAGGAGATTGTTCATCTGCGAAGTCTGGCCGGGTGCAACTTGGCTCTGCTGTTGCATCATCATCATAAGGAGCATGTCATCAAGAGCGCTGGCGAAAGCGAAGAAGAGACCGAAGATCTTCATTTTTTGTCAAATTCCTTGTCTCTCAAAAAACTGTTTGTTACTTTTGCTATTGAAATAGAAGAAGCTTGTGAATTGATGACTTAGTGAGATTCAGTTGAGTATTTATTCTAGAGCTGGCCACCTAGTGAGATCCGAAAGAGGTTCTGATTTATGCTCTGATACAGTCGATAACGCATCAGGTGCACCTGCCCGTGACTTCTGACCTGATTCAAATGGAGTTTAAAGGTACTTGTTTATGACTCCGTGAAATCATCTGGAAAGATACCATCTGACGATTCTAAAATTTAGAAGCTAAAGTTTATTTTTGTCTTGAAATTAAAAAAACACATTTATTTGTGGTAAAACAAGGTAGTGATATCCATTCTCATCCAATATTTGCCCTTTGAGTCAGTTAAAAAGCCTACTTGAGTGCCCGAAAAAAACCCAGCGCTTATTTTTTTCACGGACATGACAATTTTGTGGATAAAATGCCGTGTCTTTCAACATTATCAGGTATTAAAGCCAAGCTCGCCTTCAGATTCAAAGTAAATAAATAGACCAAAGAAACAACAGAGAAAGTCTTCCGGTTCAGTTGGAAATATTCCCCAGAGCAAAGGTCTGAATCAAGGAATTAAATATTGTCCTCTCAAATGTCTGTATTTGACGATTCATTGATTTAGTTTGTACGATTTCGCCAAATTAGTCAAAGGTCAATGCTCGGATGAAGATTGTTTGGGATGGAAGAGTATAAACATCACGTGGATAGGAATTGATTTACAGTTCTATTATGCTACCTTCTCCTACCGCGGAAATTAACATAACACGTATTCACGTAACATTGCTGATGTTCAGTGATGTATTGACAGTCTAGGAATCAAAATTTAATAGACGAAGAGGGTGATGCAATAACGCTACAGACAGCTGAGCAGCTGAGCCATCTAGTCTCGGAATTTATAATTTTATTTCGAACGCTCAAGATTATTTTCTAAAATCCCGACTTCAGTTGATGTAATACAAAGACTATCAGAGGGGGGAAGTTTACATGTGATTAAAATGAACGTACATGCTGAAGCTGCAAGCTGCGAAGAAGAACTCACACCTCCGAAAGAATGACTACTGATCCGAAAACATTTGTGACCAAGATTGCAATAAATAATTAAAGGAAAGAAAACAATTTTGACGATTGATTCAGAAAGTTCAATGTTGCGGCGACGATTTGACAGGTTGAAAATCGAGCAGATGCTAAAGTAGGATTTTTGCGAATTAAGCAAACCGGGAGGCAGATAGAGATCTGTTGTGGTAAGTTACTACAGTTGAACGTGTATTTTCCATTTTCTCCAGACATTTTCTCGCAATGATCAATTGGAAAAGATCTCCAGACTGAATAGGTAGATTACTTCGCTGGGAGAATTAACTGCCAGACAAGAAGAGGTTTAACCATTGCTTAATAACCAAAGATCTCCATATAATTCCTGTCTTGGTTGAACTCGTTAAGTGCTCTTCTTTTTGTTCTGTTTTAGTAGATTAAACTGACGAAAAACGATTACGACAAAGGCAAGTAACAATTTAGAAGAAGGGGTGAAACAATCGAACCGATAATTGCGCACAGATTTTTAAATGACTACCCTAAGTTGACCTTGAAGAAGGAAATCTATAATTTACTGACAGACAGTAATTAATATCGCGGTCTATAGGGAGAAGCAGCCAGATCAGAATAAGTATTGAATCAAGACTCGTGATCATAAATAGAAATTGACAACTTGGCAGTCTCTCAGTTGAATTCAGAACGCCTATCAGATGGGCTTCATTTTTTTATAAAACTGGAGCCGAACTGTGGATAAACTGTCAATAACATAACCACAATCAACTCTGGAATTAGTTCAATCTATTCTTATGAAACTCCTGCCCGACCAGTTTTCTCGATTAGACCCTAAATGCGCATTGATTAGCCCAAATACTTACTCTTGATCGGAAAAGCTAACATTCATGTTTTGCGCGAAACGCGGAAAATAAATTGACATATTTTAATTGCTATTTACTGTGGCATCCGCTACTAGTTGGCAGTCAAAGGCGCCCCTCCTGCCAACTAGTAGCAGTGAGCGCGCGCCGCCGGGGTCCGGGACCGTTTTCCTTTCCCAGCAGGAAATCATGCAAATATCTCGGACTTTTTTGGGTTGTTCGAGACCCAAAAACCATTCCGGAAGTGGTTCTTTTTGTAAAACTTCGAATTTGAATGGTTTGATTAGCGCAAATTCTATTTTCAGCCCCAAATTAGGGTGGCTTATCAGGCCGAAAAGCGCGCGGGGTGCCAACTAGTAGCGGAATTTCGGACTGACAACTAGTAGCGGAAGCCATAGTACGTGCTCGTTTGGCGCGAAAATCGGAGAATTCGAGGGCACTCGCATTCACACCGACGTTCTGCCCTGGGGCGCGAGCGATCATCAAGAGCCTTGCCGCGCAGAGCCTAGAGGGCAGCGCACAACACGAGAATAGTTTTTGCTTTTTTATTGAAATATTTTAACGTGATTACTGAAATCAGGAAGAGAAATAACTAGAGAAAACTCGTCTGGTATAAGTCTTGTTCATCATCTAAAAACCCAAATAATTATGGGTGCAAAGAAATCTAAATTGAGCAAGAAGAAAATCGAAGACCTCAGTAACAAAACTAAATGTAAGAAAAGAGATAGTATAACCCAATAATATACTGGATATTATTTGTAACTATACGCGATAATCATCTTTTCCGATTAAATCATTAATAAATACGCTTAACAGAAGAGATTCGCTAAATATGGATGGCAGCCCAATGACATGAACAGCGTGCTCTTTCTGTTACTAGATGGGCAACGCATGAAATGTCATTGAGCCAATTACAGGGCGTCAGAATAATTTCACGTCTCCTGAGTTTCTGTAATGAATCCAATAAAATGTTCAGTCACCGCTGCAGAAATCAAAAGCTGGTATTCTGGATTCCTCAAAGATTGTCCAAGTGGTCAGCTGAGTAAGGAAAGGTCAATCATTTGTTGAGACGAATTTATAAATAATTTTTGTTCCGAAATCAACGAAGACTGAGGATTTGATCTTTTTAAGGCTGAATTTACCGCAATTTATCGACAGTTCTTCCCAAGTGGCGACTCTGGCACTTTCTCAAAGTAGGCTCATATTGTTTTAAGGCTTAATATAGATTTATATGGTCTCATAACAGGCAATAAATCATATGTTGCTCTAATTATATATGCGTCCTTGTGGTCACCTTTTGATAATTTCGCCTGAGAGGATCTGAACTTAATTGCAAAAAACATCAAAAATGATATCGACTCGCTTCAATAAAAGCAGCCAAGGATTGACGTCTGAAAGCTATGATCGAAGTTGTTGAAGCCGGGATTGAAGTTGATGAAGCCGGGACTGACTGTGGAGAAGCCAATAAAAACAGTTTTATCGTCAATCATTGATTGACAATCAATCTAAATTAATTCGCATCGCCGTTAGCCAAAGGCGACTATTTTGTTTATAATAGGATGATAAAAGGTATATCAATAGAGCCAGCATAAATATGCAGAAAAAACTGCACAAGAAAATGTCTTTTTTACTAAAATAAATTTATCAAAGAAGAGTTCCTAATTAGCAAAGGAAGATTTTTTGCATTCCTAGAGCGCGCTGCTCCTTAGCGCCCCCACAAGGCCGACCCTCAAGTCAATTTTTCCCCTGCTTCGAGATGTTACGTCATTCCGAGTAATAACCACACCGCAGGCTCAAGTGAAAGTGCGCCTGAATTTTTAGCGCACCGCCCCGCGAGTGAAATCGCAACGGTATATGGCAGCTCCCGTTTCGCCCAAAATCCCGGATCGCCCACATCCCGGATCGCCCATTTTCCTTGATCGCCCATTGTGGGCAAAACGGGAAAATGTGCGGATCAGGAAAATGTGTGATTCAGGATTGGGCAGAACGGGATTTACAAAATTAGAAAAGGAGATTTTTATCCCTGAGTTTTATATCATTTCTTCTTTTCTTTTTTCAAATTTAATCATAACTCGGTCAAATCTACTTTGGGATGTCCGATTTCTAGGTAAACTTGATGAAAAATGAGCTCTTTTTTGAGCTTTCAACATAGAGAGTTTAATACATTTTTAGAATCCCCAGAAGCTGGGGATCATTTTGACTATTGATACTTGGGGCTTTGGTTCATGCCCTGAGGCGTTTTAGGCCTTCTAAAGTCCAAAAAATCCTGCAATCTCGGTGAAATGGCCATAATTTTTGTTCCCCCACTTTCTGATGATGCTCAGCATCTCAACTTGTAGCTGGGGTTCTGACGGTTCAGAATCTGTGTAGAAATCTACCGGACACCCCCCCCCATTCTGGCGCTCCTAGAAGCTCTAGAAGTTAGGGAAGTTCACCGAAAATCGGTACTTTTCAACTGAAATGTTGTAAAAGGTGTAAATTTTTGTCCGAAATCGATCAAAACTCGATAAAATCGGCTTTCTGATGTCCAAAATATAGTTACAAGGCATCAGAAGTCACTTCAAGTCAAATTATGTGCAAAAAATTTCGTAAAAACTCACCCGAAGTACTCGATAATGACCCAAATATATTTTTGAGGTCACAAAAACGATTTTATTATTCCTAGATCGTTTTTGTACAGAAATATATCTGTTTTACCATATTTTAGTAAAAAGTACCGATTTTCGGTGGACTTCCCTAACTTCTAGAGCTTCTAGGAGCGCCAGAATGGGGTTGTCCGGTAGTTTTCTACACAGAATGACACTGAACCGTCAGAACCCCAGCTACAAGTTGAGATGCTGAGCATCATCAGAAAGAGGAGAACAAAAGTTATGGCCATTTCACCGAGATTGCAGGATTTTGGACTTTGGAAGGCCTAAAACGCCTCAGGGCATGAACCAAACCCCCAAGTATCAATAGTCAAAATGGTCCCCAGCTTCTGGGGATTCTAAAAATGTATTAAACTCTCTATATTGAAAGCTCAAAAAGAGCTCATTTTTCATCAAGTTTACCTACCGATTTCCAAAGCCGTCGGTTTTATTTTCGCAGGGATTAGCACGCGCAAGTATGAGATTCAACCCTTTTTGGAGGTGACAAATTGGAGGAGTAAAGAGGAGTTTTTGCAGCAGTTTCTAGTTAGAATTTCTAAACCACCTTCTTCCATTATCAAATTTCAAATTTACAATTGCAAATCCTGGTTTGCACACAAATCCCGTTCCGCACATTTTCCCGTTTTGCCCACAATGGGCGATCAAGGAAAATGGGCGATCCGGGATGTGGGCGATCCGGGATTTTGGGCAAAACAGGCGCTGCCAATATATATTTCCTATGAACAAGGTCTAATATATAATATAAGCAATAAAAGAACCTGTCTATTTCGATTGAGGTCGATAAAAGCCCATAAGTCTTAAGAAAAATATAATTCGTTGTAACTTGTGATTCTGTTTAGTCTGGTCTTTAACCTCTTCGATGCAAATGGAGATGGAACGATAGAGTTTGAAGAGTTTCTTACGGCTTTGTCAGTAACTTCCCGCGGCAATCCAGAAGACAAGCTAGAATGTAAGCAATGAGTAAGACAATTTCCAAGTTGATCCGATGCTCGAAATAAGCCGTTGATCGAGAGAGACTTATCGATCCAAGTTTTCAATGATCGTAATTAACAAATTCAATGTGGCCCTTTTTATCGCCAAAGAGCCTCCAATATTTAATTTTGATTCACTTTCGACGAAAAAGATCGCCGCAGATGATCGCTCTCTAAGCTTGAATCGCCATAAAGTCGACAGTTCTGACACATCTGCAGTGTTAGATTAGTGTTTACCGTAATATCGCGGTGTATGTTTCTTTTTACTGAATTCGCTTATAAGGACATTGATCCTATCTTATCTAAATAAGCTTCCAGAAAGAATTGATCATTTTCAGGGGCGTTCAAATTATACGATCTTGATGGAGACGGTACCATTTCCAAGCCAGAAATGCTGAAAATCGTGAAAGCAATTTCCACCATGACGGGACAAAGTGACGACACATTCAAGCCCGCGGAGCGCGTTGAGAAGATTTTCGCTACCATGGACGAGGTAAGACCTTAAGTCCCTCTACGAAAGGGATGTGGCGCCGAATTAGAGTGGATGATGCACTTTTTGAATAAATCGCGGATAAGCCTAATTGTATCCGTTGTGTCCCAGATAGAAAGGCGGTTATTAAAGAATGTTCACTGTATAAAAACGAATTTCAGGATGGAAACGGCGAGCTAACCAAGGCCGAATTTCTTGAGGGTGCGAGAAGAGATCGGAGCATCATGCAAGGTACTCGATTTTTGTCCTATAACTGTCTTATCCAACAAATTTAAGCCTTGACAATGGACGCTGGTGGAGGTGTCGCATAGTAGAATCCCGAAAAGAGAATACGAAAAGAGCAAAAAACAGAATACATCATTTTCATGATTTCTTTGCTTTATTTGTCTGTATTTCGCTTTTTAATATTTTTACATTTCTTTTTGATCTTCCGAAAATTATTCAGTATCTTGTCATTAATAATAAACATAAGAAAATAATCCAAGAGAGTTTAGTCCAGGCGCAGTTTGAGGCGAAGGAAGATGCTTGAGAAAATACAGTAGTTGATGTTGCGACAGTTGTCACGTCTGAGAATAAAGGGATGAAAATGGATTCCTTCTAATATAAAGGTGAATTTTTGATCCCATGACTGAGGAGTTAGATCCGTTCTCGTTTGGAAAAGTCTTCTTTGATCTTACCAGTGGTTGAACTGTGACATCTTTCAAGGGTTGGAATAAGAGAGGCAAATATACATGCTAAATTATTCTTGATAAAAACCTCGATGAACCCTTTTGCTTTCGTAGGAGTTAAAAAATGAATCAACTTATCCAGAGGAAATTATCTTTTAATCTTTTCAACTCAACCTTCAAGTGTTTGGTCTTTTTTTTGGGATTGACCCTCCATCGGCTGGTCTTGTTCTTGGCTCACAGAGGGAGCAGGGGAAGAGCTGGGCAAGACCATCGAGCAGGAACATTGACATCGTCTTAAAGATTCAATGTTTTTGCATATTTGAGCATAAGCAAAAAAGGGCTTTCAAAAGGTTCGACAAATTATTAAGCAGCTACTGTATCATACACGTTACTTATTTCTTAAACTCTACTGTAGAAATTCTCCGGAAGCCTTTTTTTAATAGAGAATACTGGTCTCTTAAAATTTTAACACTAAATAAACACGGTATAAATCTTAATTTACTTACTCGAGATGACATTGTTGGCAAACACAGAGGCATGATTCTTCATCATCATTATACGGACAAGCAATGACTTTGCACTTTGATAGGGTCAAAATAACAATCAAATTCTAAGTTAGAATTATATTAGAGAAACATCAACAGGCTAGTGTTGTTGCTCTTTATAAATTTCAGCGTTGACCCTTGTTGTCGAAATGCACTTGGAGGCGTAACGCTCGAGGAATTGATCTCTTGAGAGTACTTCGCTCTGGAGACTGCCCGGCAATCTTAAGGTCGTTGGCTCATCAGAAACACTCATTAACCTTATTCAAGGAGAAAATGGCGAAGCAAAAAAAAGAAGATTGACAAGTTCTGCTGGTCTACGGATAAACTGGCATATGATAACATCATTTGCAACGCGCGGCTGCAAAATCAATGACTTCAGCAATAAACAATATCTGCTCGATGTTGGCTTTCACTGTCAATTTAAGAGATGCTACAGTCAGTAGCCTACAGTATTTTCAAGCACATCAACAAATCTGAATTGCAAATGTGCTTCGTGTAAATTTTGGAGTGTTGCTGAGAAACACTACTTGGCCGTTTTGGATGACATGATGAATATTAAATAAATTCAGTTCAATGTTAAATTCGACTCCGATTTCCCGTATTATAAAAAAGCGTGAAAATTGAACTACAGTCAACTCGCACGATTTGGCCCTATTTTGTCTTTCCGATTTCTCAAAAAAGGCCAAATTATGCGGGTTGAAAAAATCGTAACATAATGCATATTATGCATTGCATAATATATTCTTTGAAAATGTTTTCATTTACTTACGATAAATTAACAGCCAACGTCTTTGCAAGAAGTGATTTCATAAAACCATGCTCTTTATTCTGTCTTCCTTTAGAAAAAAAAACTGGAATCAGAGTTGCTTCATTATATCAGTTGTATCTTGCAACTGGTAGAGCGAAGTCCTGCTATCCAATATTAACCGAATGAAATATTCAGCTGCTGAGAATCAGAGCACATGCGATAATTTCTAGCGCTCTGCAGTCGTGCTAATACTAAATAAGACTGCTAAAATTAAGTTTTCATTTAGGTAAGTATCTTATTAGCAACGGTCTTAAAAATTTAAGAACTGCAAATGTCTCAATTTTTTCAAAATAATCAACGATGGAAAACCAGTTTTCCCAGGCACAATGATCAAGAATTAAGCGGGCTAGGTTTAGGGTTAGGGATAATTTTCTATTCCTTGATCAAGATAGTCTTTTCGATTTCCAGTATCGAAACCGGCTCAAACATTTTCTGTGTTACATTGACAAGTTTTTGGTTTGAAATTGTACCATCTGAAATTGCAAATTCATGATTTTTGAGAAACTTTCCAATCGTATAAGGAGAATAATTCGCCACTGAATAAAATATGCAGGTCAAGATAAACCCGGGAGATCATTTCGGAAGATCGTAGAAGTCTTTTGAATAAACAAATGCCAGTTAGAGCCCCCTCAATTAGCGGCTGTTAATATTCACAGAGCGAGTACTGGAAGTACTGCAACTGCGTCTAATTAAACATTTTACTCTACATCCTGGAATGAAAGTGATTTTTCTATACTGCGATTTCTACGTTTGTTGCTGCGTGATATGCATATTCTGAGCGTTGCGAAAGCAATCAAGATGTAAACATGTGGTTGACAAACTCACGTATAAAAATAACGGTTAATATTCATTTGACTTGAGACACGGTCGTTCAGGTTCATCTTTAGTCAACATTCGTTGGTTCTGGAACTTTTTCGGGTTTTATTGAGGAAGATCCATTCTTTAGTCAGGGGCTGAGCAGTTTTAGTTTATGAGAGATGATGACTTTAAATAACAGCTTCATTAGGTGATGGACATGAGTTTTGTTGAGGAAAAGAAGGCAGGGATACAGTAGAAAAAGCAGTATAAGTTTTGTTATTGTTCTCATCTGTCGACGGAAGACGAGATAGTGCGTGCTTTGCTTTGAGTTTGAAGTTTTCTTCTTTGAACTGAGCATTTTGGGCAGCAAGGAGCTCGTTGCGCTCTAGAATTCAATAAATATCTATCGTCTGAGGCGGTCTTACCTTCCAGTTTTTTCATATGGGCTTGGTATTGCCCCATTTTGGAAATGCACGCTTCAAGTCGGGCAATACTTTTATCTTCCTGGTCAGTGAGGCTGTGATTTGTCATTGCTTCTTTAGCTTTTTCCTGGCTGAAATGTGATTTTGCTTGGTCCCGGTCCAGCGATGGAGATTCCACCAGCTTCGATCGAAAATTATCACAGCTCGGGCGGACGCGGTGGGAGCCATCCCATTTAAAATTCAACAGTCGAAACATCTAAATTTGGTAGAGCAAGTTATCTGACAATGAGTTGAACCAAACGGATGGCGAAAGTGAATGGTGTCACAGTTGATTACAGAGTTCAACTAGTGAACCGGTCAATAGAGAGGGCAAAATGTTCTCAAGACAGGATAGCTTACACTTCGAAGTCGATCGGGTCCAAGGCTTTGTACACGCGGTCTTTCAAACTTGCCAACAGGCTTCAGAAATCAGAATAAATATCCAACGTACCCCAATATTACTTCAACAGAAACCAAAATTATCAACAGCTTCAAAATAAGCCTGTCATATTGTAACTGTAGCGAACGATAAACGTGATTGGTAAGTGATTCTACAGTGATTTCTTCGATTTCAGTGCATATAAGTTCGTTTCCAATATCTCACATATGCAGAACACATGTATAAATTAATATAACCGAAGTTTTAATAAAGCAGACTACGACTTTTCGACAGTTACTGACTGATTCTTCTGTGCCAGATTGAAGTTGCTCTTCAAACATTGTACTCTTACAGTAATATGAGTATAAGTAAAGAATCGGAAAGAGGAGAAAAACACATAGGAAGGAGTTTATTTTTCAAGCTATAATTGATTTATTCTAAAATGATGATGATTATCACAGAGAGCGGGATAAATGAATGATAGTGGGGTGGTAGTTCGGTTCAAGTTTGGTTCAGTCGGAATTGAATAGCCAAAAAAGGCTCTTTCTGAAGCCGTCCCCGCACTCCTCCGCCAGCGAGAGGATCTGCTCGCGTCGGTTCTCGTTTCGATAGTGTTTCTCCGTCGATTTGTTTTTCCATTGCTTGACGCAGAGGTGAAGAACGCGGATCTGCCCGGAAAGGATTTCGAGGCCGAGGGTATCTGAAGGATAACTGTAACTCGAGTCGATGACAATTAAGTGCGCGAGCAAGTATCTCAAGATATGGTCAATAATTTAAAGACTAAAGCTATGAAAAGTTGATGGGTTAAAGCCTTTAACTTAAAGGACCTTAAACTTTCAGGTTATGTAAGGTCAAGATGGTGAACTTACCGAGAGGTATCATTCTATTTTGATACTTCCGATCCCACTCTGTCATTTTCCCGTTCATCACTTCGGCGACGATGTCCTGTCCGACAGATTCTAACGGGACTAAAAAGAAGAGATAGAGCTCCAAGAAAGTTCTGAAAAGCATGGTACCTTGTCGAAAGAGCCCTTGGTAGGGGTTGTCGATTCTCCTCGCATTGCGCCACGCAACTTCGGAGTCGGGGTATTCGGGATCTTCGGCTAGCGGATCGAGGATCGGTGAAGGAATGCCAGCTGAGGTAGACGCGGAACAAGTTTTTTCGTATTGGCCGGATTTCTTCGACGCCGCCTAGGGATGAAGATAAACCACTTTTACAGAATGTCATTTGATGAGAACAGTACCATTACTTCTAGAAACCATTCAAAACTATTGATGCTTGGGTCTTGATTATCGAAAAACTCTTGGAGGACGTTTTGCATGTGTTTCTTGATAAAATTGCCCCTAATAGCGATTGGCTTTTTTTATGAGATTTTCAGGAAGCTCTAGTGGCTTCGCGATTCTTCCTGAAGGATCAAATTCCCAATTTGTCTTTCCATCAGTGGATAATTGGACTTGCGGACCTGCTCGCAAGTGAGCCATCATTCCTGGAGCTCTCTTGAACTTCTGGTACATGTCGTAGATTCCATTCATATAGTATGCTTCGCCGTCCTTTTTTGGGTCGAATCGGATCAGTGCCATCGTGTCGTCTCGTTTTTCCAGCGATGCAAAGTACTCTCGACCTTCTGGGCTCACTGCCCATCTGAGGAAGTCTCGCGAATCGGCGAAGAATCGCTTCTCGAGACGCATGACACGTGACTGGACGGAGAGATCTTCCTTTTTCGCTGCTGCTTTTACTTGCGGACACCCAAATTTCGGAAGATGAGGCAGAAGGTGCGGAGGAGGACCTGTGTATGGAGGCAATTTTTTTGGATCAAAGATCGGTGTTGGATATTTATATAGTGGTGGCTTTTCAACTTTCTGGAGGGGAGGAAGCTCAGAGGACGATTTTTTCGTCATTTTTTCTTGTTTCGCGTTTTTCTTCTTTTTCTTTTTGATTTCAAAAGCTGGCTTTGGTGTATTAGTAAGTCGTTCCAGCTCTCTCTTTGGCTCTTTCTGGTCTTTGGCTTGCTCTTCAAGAAACTTTTTTGCTTTGCTCTCGCTCTCTAGCAAAACGTCCATATTTAAAATTATTCTATCTCTATTCCCGCTGTTTTCAAAATGAAAGACCGAATGAAATGAAAAAATGCAAAAAGCGAAAAATCTAGAGATATCGACATAGACCGCATTCAAGAAAAATCTTCACCTTTTTTTGCTGCTCGCTGTGTTTTAGTTTTTCATCGCCATTTTCGAGGATGTTGAACTGTTGGGGAGGGTGGACTTCGCCGTTGACAGGTTTCTACGAGTAAAATTAGCTCTATAATTTGTAAATTTATCGTCTCGCGACCTGTGTAGAAAACCTGAGTCGGGCCCTGATCAAGATTCAGAAGGCGCTCTAAAAGAACCTAAATTCACGGCTTTTCGGGGCCTGACTAAGGTTTTCTACACAGGTTAGAGAGCACAGGATGAATTACCATAAGAATTTTTCGGGCAAAAAAATTTTTTTTGAGATATTGGTATATTCAGAATATAATATTCTGAAAGCCCGTAAAAAGTTATACAGAATCACCAAATTCTAGGGTCAGATGACGTCATTATGACGTCATCGGGCTGATTTGAAAATTTTGTCTTTGGAACGCTTTTTCGAGCCGAAAACGTTTTTTAATTTTATTTTTCTCGACGGATTCGGATTTTCCATGAAAAACTACGTAGGGACCCGGGATCAAACCATTGAATATCAACCATTACCGACCGGTTCAATTTTTGAAACCGGTCGGTTCGAAAAATAAACCTCGGGTCCCTACGTAGTTTTTGATGGCGAACAACATGCCATCAATAGAAAAATCTATTTCCAGCAAAAACAGCCTCAAAAAGCGTTCCAAAGTTTCATGAATTTGGAGCCTTTTCGGACATTTATTCATCATAAATGACGTCATAATGACGTCATTGAGCCCTAGAAATTTGGGAATCGACTAATTTTGACTTGGACTTTCAGAATATACCAATATCTCAAAAAAAATTTTTTTGCCCGAAAAATTCTTATGGTAATTCATCACAGGTTCTGGCCTTACCATACGGGCTTTCCCTTTCTTCTGCTTCTGCCCATTGTGCTGCACAGGTGGTACTTCAGGCTCTAATCGACTCTGCTGATTCGCAACGCTCATTCCTGAGAACAACAAAACTTGACACATTTCGACATACAATTTTCAATATTGAACGGTTTTGAAGAGGGCTTTTTAATTTTGACTTTGTCAGGCAGCATAAGATGATAACTGAACTAGTTTCAATTTTGAACAGACAGGAAAGTAATTAGGTTACAGCGGAGGCGGCCTACTGTTATTAGATCCGCCATTGAGGATCATGCGCTGCGTCTTCTCGTACCAGACGGGATGCTTGCGTTGGATTTTCTCGACAATGCTGAGCAAAGAGTCGCACGTGTCGCGGATGGAGTAGTTCCACACTGTCTCTTGACTTTCGTGTTCAAATCGGATGTACTCGTCTACTTGATCCAACTCGGCTCTGAATAACAATTCGCTGTTTTTTGAATCTGCCAAAAATTTGAAAAAAAAGACTTTTTGGCCGAGGGAGAGACTTGATCTTCGATTTGACTTACGACAATCGCTTCTCAAGAATCATGTTAGCAACAAGCTGCTCCGCCTGGCGGCAAGGAATGCCAAGAAGTCTTCCCAGATCTTGAAAGCATAACGATTTGTAGTGAAGTGAAATCGCGAAGATGTTGTGTTCCTTCATCGCTTTTTCGATCAACGTCCATCCTTCTGGTGTCATTTGTTGGTAGTGTTTTTCTTTGAGAATTGAGGAAAATACTTGTACTTCTTTCTCGCTGATAATTTGTTGCTTGTAGACCTTTTCGAGGAGACCGAAAGTGAGCATTTTTGGAGCGCGAATATCTGAATTTTTAAGAAAATGATGAAATGCAAGCTTAAGAATCTACCTTTATATATCGCGCAAATGAGGCGCGTTCGATTCTTTCCAGCTGGAGAAAGAATCGCACAATTAATCGCTTTCAATAAGCACTAGTCGCAAAATAGATTAGTTTTAGTCATGTTATCATATGTTACTTTTGCTCGTTCTTCGTCGGCGACAATATTCAAGTCTAACGAAAGTTGAAAGTATTTCTGCGAAGCATCGAGGAATTTCTGCTTGTAGTCGAGGATTCTAGCGTGGCTCAATTGGTACAATAGCTTGTCACCAGCGCTCGCTTCTTGTAAAAATGCTAAAAATGAGGGTTGAAAAGCTACTATTTGGTCAACAAGAGCAACCTGTAGCTCGATTTAAAGCAAGTTCTGCTTTTGTTGGGTCGTTTACTGACTCCATCAAATAGAGCTTCACAATTCTGAGGTAAACTCCCAGTCGATTGATTGTCAGAAACATGTCGCTTCCGATCGTCATTGCGGTTGAATTGGCAGTCACCGAAATCGAGTTGAGAATATCCGCCGTTTTTTCGAATTCGCCGTTATTTTCGTAAAGATCCGCCAGAGTCATTTTCAAATTATTGACTATTCGATTTGGTAATGATGATTTCCATTTGTAAAAATTACCGTGTTGCTCGAAGGAAAGATTTCGTGCTTGAAGGCATTCGAGTGCGACTTCGCAGAATGATCGCTTGTTCTCGTCGCTAGAAAATGGATTCGATGGGGGAATGAGGCTCAATGCATACTTCAAAGGTTGAATATCGTCGCTCAATTGATCCAAAAACTGTCTAGCGAAAATTTGCGACCGGTTCTCGTCAGTAAGCGCGGTTAGCGTCGTCCTAACAGGGTGGAACATTCGGCCGGGCAAACTCGGGCAAATTGGTCGGCGCCGGGCAACGGCGGGCAAACGGCCGGCGCGAGGGTCATATTTTGGGTAAAAAACGGGCAACTTCGGGCAGTCGGGCAAAGTCGGCGCCCGAAAAAGGCACCATCGGCCGGGAAAAACGGCGCCCGGAAAAAGTTGGCGGGCGGGCAAAAAAGTCGGCGGGCCAACCAGGGAAGCACTAATACTAACATTTTCAATCCCAGAGTTCGAAATCTATGGGAGTAAAATTGGGAGCTTCCAAAGGGAGCTCCCTTTTTTGGGAGCACGGAGGGAGCAGGAGCACAGGTTTTCAGGGCTGGGAGTAAATTGGGAGCTCCCCAAATAATAATAATTATTAGCTTAATAATTATTAATTATGATACCGTGATTGCTCAGATTTTTATTAGAAGAGACGTTTTTTTTATTAGATTTATTTTTAAATGTCTCTTCTGAAATTTGATATCAATAAATAGCCTAAAATTGACCTAAATTTGGTTATGTAATTTTAATAAGAAAATATTGAAGTCATTCACGAAATTCGCCTATTTGGCATTATGCCTATTTATACTTTCTTTATCATTGCTATATAATAACCATACAACGATGGTTTTGCTACTTAGACTTTACTTAATAAAATTAAAAACTTTCGAAAATTTTTGAAATTTGAAAAAGGGAGCAAAATTGGGAGCTCCCAAAGGGAGCTCCCTTTTGGGAGCAGGGAGGGAGCAGGAGCACGGGTTTTTACGAGGGAGCTCCCTTTTTCAGGGTGAGGGAGCAGGGAGGGAGCGGGAGCACGGATTTTCTACCAGATTTCGAACTCTGTTCAATCCACTACTCTCGATTATTGTTAATTATTATTAAGGGACTTTCCTTTTTATGGTCGACATGTTTGTCATACGGTGAAATTATCCTCCTTTTTATAAAGAATGACTTTCTACTGCCTAACCGGGCTCATATCACGAAATTTTTACATTCACTCATTTCTTAGTCGAGTAAATCGGCGTCCTAATTTTGTCCATAAAATATCGGCGCCGGAATTATTGTTGGCGGCCGGGCAGAAATCGGCGCCGGAGTAAAGTCGGGCAAAAATCGGCGCCGGACAAAAATCGGGCAGAAATCTGCGCCGGGCAAAGCCGGGCGTCCGAAATTTCGCCGGTTTTTCCCGGCGCCGATGAAAATTTCCGGGCATCGGCGGGCAATCGGCCGGCCAGACCCAAAATTTTTGCCCGAATGTTCCACCCTGGTCCTAAGCGCTTGAATTGGCGATTCCGGATCATTTATAATTGCGTTTGTCCAAATTCTATAATCAGGTGGAGCATCGGCTGTCCAGGAAGCTCGGATTAGCTCGTCAATTCGACTGGGATTTTGGCTCATATTCGAAAACTCGTCGATAACTCGGGATGAAAGTACAGTACCAGTGTTTCTTAAAAGAGATTGCTTGTATTTACTGCTTTTACTGTAAAAATGCATATTCTGAAGGGACAGAAGGAGAAGAGCATGAGAAAGCGATGCGTTTCGCCTTCTTTATCGAAGACCGAATAGAACTGAGGAGACTAATTGACGCATGAGATTTGAAGTGTTGAGAAAGTTGGGCCGATAAAGATTGAAACCGGGGCTCCCAAGAATAAAAGAGCACCGGCAAAAGCGTATATAAATCGAGAGGTTCGAAGCGTCAGATTGAGATTCATCCAAAACAGAGAAACACACGCGGATTTTCAAATTTACATCGCCATTTATAACTTCGTAAAAATGAAGAAATACACTCAACGAATAAAGTTAAATGATAATTAAATACTTAATTCAAGCTTAATTTAAGACAATTTCTCTACACTAAAATTGAGCAGAAGAAAGTCAAGTCCTTTGCCTCAGAAAAGGAGAAAGTTTGCGGAGTTGTCCATCTCACAATTTCCCATTGGCCAAATCTTCAGCGAGTGACTCAGAAGAGTGCACTCATTTGCCCCTAGAGAAATCATTTTTGCCTATTTTTCAGACTTTCAATTTTTTTGCATTTTTACAAATTACGCAAATCTCAATTCTACAAATTCCAAGGCAGTAGACAGAGAATCACGTGACGCGTCAGGAACGCAAGGCCACCTCGTAATTTATCATTTGCGCAAACATACCATTTTTATCATTATTTCAAAAAATTCGAATTCCAAATTTCTTTTTATCTAAAACTTTGCTTCCGAAAAACTGATTTCGGAAAAAGTTCAAAATCTGGACAACCTTTGCGTGCTCGCGGCGAAATGTCACCTCCTCGTTTCATCCCTTATTTTATTCTAGCGTTCAATCAATTTTCAGTATAATCAGTGTTTATAGTATAAACTTTATACTGTTGTCTGAACGAAGATAATAAAAAGGGATGAACCAATGTGGGGACATTTTGCTATTGACCAATTGATAGCTGTGCTGGGCTCGACCTGTGTAAAAAACCTGAGTCAGGATCTGAAAATTGCCATTTCGATCTCCGTCGGCTTTTCCTCAATGATCTTTCAGACCCTGACTCAGGTTTTCTACATAAGTTTCAGAGCCTAGTAGCTGTTATTTAGCTTAAATTTTTGTCAACAAAGTTTGACCCAGTATTTCTTGATTAATAAATCAACTAGAACACAAACAAAAATACTTTTTACACTCTTATATGATCAACCCTCCGGCGAACGAAAAATTTCAAAAAAGTAAAGATAGTTGGATTAAAAATTCCGCGATCTTTGAACCAGAACATGGCTATTCCTAGCCATGTTTGTTGTTGCTTCTAGTGGGGTGCACGACTACTTATTTCATTCGTGGCGGTTTTCGCAACACAAACGCTTTTTAGTAAGCTGTTGTTTGGGAAACATGTTACGCTTTCCGTATTTTGCCCTTCGACCTCGGCTCTCGCTAGGTGGCGCGGCAAAAATGCGCGTTCGTGCCAGGCACCACCAGGATGCACCACCAAATGCAACGTGCCCGCCACGAAAAATTGAAAGCTCTATTTTCTATTCCCAAACGGTGCTTTTTAATTAATAACAGAAAATAAATGAGAGAAGATGATTGAGAAAAAGCACGGGCTACCCCAGACCTTCAAGTTGTGAAAAAACGGAACTTTGGTACAACAGCTCGTTCAGCTGGCTGTAGATTCTGTCTGCGAGACATCACAGCCGTCCGGGCAGCTGGCGGATCAGTTCTGTCCATTCGACGCGTTACTGTTAAGTTGAAGTCATAAAGAGAATAGAAAGGAAAATCTGTTATTTACTTTTTATTCAATGCCAAAAATGACCCCTTATGCTTCTTTTCCAATCGAAAGACTATAAATTGCATTGTCTTAACATCTGCATCCTTGTTGATTTCAAAACTTCGAGGCGAGGATCTTGACATTCGATCTGTAAGTTTTGGGAAAGTAGCGGCGCCTTAGGTAAGCGGTAGTGCTCCACCGCCAAATATGCGCCGTGCGGTGTATTTTGAGGAGGCGGGCACTCGACAGCGGTCAATTGTTTGGAATTTGACGATCGCTTTCGGAAATAACCTTGAGGCTTATTATACCTGTCTGATGCTGTTGCTCTTGGAGGGCGACCAAAGTACGCAGAGCATGAAAATATTATCAGATTAGAAATTAAACTTTGGAACGCGTATTGTTTTATCCCGATTGGGTTTTCCCAAGTTACCCTCTTTCACAGGGAATCCCAGAGTCTATTCACTGCACTTTTGAAGAAACATGAGGTTTTGAATTTATCATTTTGTTATTATCAAGAACGGATACTCGATTGGTGAAATGGCTCAAATTTGTAATTGGCACGTTCCTGTGGTCGGATTATCATTTTATTTAGTAGAAACATAATTCGTGCACGTGGGATTGTGTTAAGTGGCAGCAACGATCGTCATCATCGTGGTGGTTGTTTGTAGAAACAATGCGAAATTGGAGTAACAAGTGTTTACATGAAAATAGAATACAAGAAGCACGATTCTAGTGAGTAGTCCGCGCGGCACAAGAATAATAACAAATTTCGAATTGAGTATTGAGTGTTTAGAATTCTTCATTTAGAAAAATGGTTGAAGCCAGCTGCTTGATTATTTCTACATACATGAAGTACAAGTTGTCAGACAAGGGAATACGGGAAGTGGCTCTTTTTCATTTGTATTCTAATTTCGACGTCGCCAGTCGCAGTACCGTGAAGATAAATGTCAAGAAAGCAATCCACTCAGCTTTTCAGGGATAAAAATTTGCGTCTTCCAAGACTGCATTCTGCAAAATTGTGGAGGTCGAAAGAGAAAAGTTCGAAGAACAACGAAAAAGACGCTGTTTGGCAAAGTACCAACCGTTTTCTTTGCAAAGTTGTAACTTTGCGCATGTCAAAAAAGTGACTCGCTCCCGGCTCTATTGAAACACTCGTCTGACATTCAGTGACAATTACACGTCAAGACTAGTTACTAGTTGTAGCAAGTTTGGATTACTAGTAACTAGTTTTTGTATCCCTTCCGAACATGATGAACGAGTTGAATAGAGCTTTCCAATTTGTCTTCTCTGAAAACATATTTTTAATAATGTCGTTCTCTGGTTGACGCATACCATCTGCTTTTATATCATCCATGACTTTTCTGAAAAACGATTTCTTCGGAAGCTGACGTTCACTGCTTGAAGCTGACTAAAAACACACCGTCTTAGATTCTCTCCTCCGTCCGTTTTAGTTGGATAAAACAATCAAAAAAAGCCTTGATCCATCAATTGTGGCGACTTTCTTTCATAGCTCCAGCACAGCGGGCTGTTTTTTTTTCGTAGACTCGCCCCCTTTTTGGTAGAAGTGAACTGCACTATTTGCGCGAGTTAAATAATGGTGCAGAGTGGGCTTTTTATGGTTCATCAGTTTACCGAGGAGGTAATCAGCCTAACCGTGAAAATAACAAAGAAAAGATCGTATCATTATAATCAGCTCAAAAATGCTGGACTACACGCCTATCTGGGGTACTACAAGAGATTGCCAGTAATGAGTTCTCGGCGCTTGAATTTCGCCAAGTACCACAAACAAGGTTTGAACGACCGGGTACTCCCCGGCTCGCTGGGTCAAAGATATTCAAAACCTGCGCTAACAACATGCAAATGCTTGAATGACCATTGTTTCCAAAATAACCAGGCGCGCTCAAGACACTCTCCGCGATGGACCGAATGGTTCGAGGAAATTTGAACACAGTTCAAATTCTAGTTAAAATTTGAAGAAGCGCCAAAAGTAAAGAACAGTTGCGCACTTGAAAGTGGCAATTTATCATTCTCGGGCGCGGTAAGGGTAATCATACACTGCCAGGTCATTATCTTGCCCGCTCTGAGGTCAATTTAAAGGTGAGGCGAGTAAAAAATGTTGATTTTGGCGCTAGAATGATATTGACGAATTCGTAAAATACTTCAAGTAAAAATATCTGTGAAAGAATGATTATTAACAAACCTCCAGAAGCGGCTCTTCCGACTCTGTTCTCATTGCCAACGAAAAAAGTGACAGTAAGAAAAGTACGCGCGTGTTATTAAAATTTCTCTTCTTCGCTAGTAACAATGACGCAAAGCTTGCAAATGGCCCCGCACCCTAACTGTGCAAACACAAAGACAGAGAGAGTTGATCAAAATCGCGTCATTGTGAAAATGATAGCCTACTACCAGGGGTGACCATTTGGGCATTGGGCATTTGGGCAAATCGGGCAATTTTCGGGCAAAAACGGTTGAATCTTCCAACCTTTCGGGATCCCGAATGTTTCGGGATTTCCCGAAACATTCGCAGTGAAAATGAGCCTTTTTGTCTTCGAACCTTTCGGGGATGATTTTCAATGATTTCTGTCCGAGAAAATATTTAAAGCAAAATAGTAACGTCTACGTACATCTTTACTGAAGCAAATGAAGGCGCGAACGAAAAAAATAATTTACACGAATTTTTGGATTTATAACTCATGAAACTCTCTATAAGACAGGCGCGGAGCGCATACATTCTCTTTGACTGCGAATTCACAATTGAAACAAGGTATGGCCTTCTTAGACCATCGAATTTGACGAAGGCAGCTAGAGATATCTTTTTGATAAGTAAAATGCCCGAATTCGGCATTTATACCACTTTTTTATAACGTAATCCTCAACTAATTTCCCGAATGATTCGGGCGATCCCGAAAGGTTCGGGAATTCCCGAAAGATTCGGGAGTAATCCCGAAAGATTCGGGAAATCCCGAAACATTCGGGATCCCGAAAGGTTGGAAGTGACGACCGGCAAAAACGCTTTTGGGCGGGCATTTGGTCGGCTCAACGCCTGAAAATAGGCTGGGCAACATTGGAAAAGTCGGGCATTTGGGCATTTCTGGGCAGTTGGGCACCATCGGGCAGTTGGGCAAATGCCCACCGTGGAAAATCATGAACGTGGGCGTTTTCCTGTCCGCTTATTAGTCGTTAAGCTCACAAACAAGAAAAAAGATATAAGGAGAAGGTTCTGCAAGGGTGTGTGAAGTGGACCTCTATGGTTAGCTGTCTACCTTTGACCTCTTGATCCTTTTGTGAAATTGTCCCTACCCTTAACTCAGCCCCTTCTTTGCGGAGATGGTTCTGCAAGGGTGTGTGAAGTGGACCTTCATGGTTAGCTGTCTACCCTTGACCTCCAGATCCTTTTTATCCCTCATTTTTCCAACCCCATTTTTGCACCCCTTTTTTCGAGACGGTTATGCAAGAGTGTGTGAAGTGGACCTTAATGGTTAGCTATCTATTCTTGACAACCTGATCGATCTTTTACAAAATTATTTTTTAACCGCTTTTTAAATATATTTCAAACCTTCCAAATCTTAAACTGGGATAAATTATTGAGAGAAATTTAAAAAATTAAAGTTTTAACAAGCACGAAATGTTGGGAAAATTTTTGCCCGAAAAATTGCCCAATTGCCCGATTGGGCATTCTAGGCACATTGGACTGGTCGGGCATTTGGTCGGCCCGGGTCTTGATTTTTGCTATTGGGCGGGCAATTGGTCGGCCCGACGATAATTTTTTGCCCAAATGGTCACCCCTGCCTACTACAGCTCATAAAAATGACGATTACACTGTTTTAGTGATGACCAAAGCAAAAAAGGAGATGATAAATTTAAAAAAAGGAATGAAACATTAAAGATATTTTATATCTTCCATTCTAAAAGTTATCGAGTAGAACATTGAACAACGCAAGGAACTTGACATCAACAAAAAATCTGACAACACAGAGCCTCACCATATCTACAACTCGGATATCCATATTGAAAGCCCTTTGAAACTTTCACTTGTTATTTCTCTCTGAAATATATTGTCTGAAGTATTTGATCGCAATTTCGTAGAACAGAAATCTGCGGGAAATTTCGGCATTTCCGGCATTCGCTTGATCCGGTACTACTTCTTTGGAGTATTTTTGTAAGAAGTTTATTTAATATTTTTTTATTTTTTTGCGAAAGTTGAATGGGGCGAAATACGGAGATAAGTTGATGTTCAGTACTACTGAACTTCAGTAGAGCTGAGAGGAATTAATGGGAGGCAATAGGATCGGAGTCAAACCTATTAACAGACTTTTTAACAAAGTAAATGGTTCATTAATTGACTGTGATTGAACTTGAAGAGATTCCGAAGATGAGTGGTAAGAGATTGGGTGAGCTTTGGTACTGACTTAAGGGGGTAGAACTAGGATTTTCGAAAATAGCCAATTCTAGACCGGCGCTCAAAGTCAGACAAGCTAAGATATTCAAATTCTCTCTTCAGCTGAAGATAGAGCAAACGTAGATCTAACAACATTTTTCTTAAAAAAATTTTTCGTCAACAAATTTTGGCGGTGGAGAACAAAACACCAACCTATCTCATCGAAAATCGCCATTTTAGCCTATGCGCGTCCTCAAATTTCTCGAGTCACGTGACTAGCCAAATATTTTAAATTTCAATTTTTGATAGTTTAACGCTTTTTCTAGCAACATCTATGAGGAAATTTCGTTAACATAAGTAAAAACAGGTTTTTCTTATTTAAAGGGGCTCTCAAAAATCACTTATTTTCGAAAAATCTAGTTCTACCCCCTTAAATGGAGCTAAATCTAAGTGATAAATTGCCTAATTTATGAAATGAACAAGTTTCTAACTCGAAATTCAAAACTTCAATTTTAATTAATAACTTCGAAAAAATAGAAATTGGAAAAAGTGGAGCTGAGATAAAATGAGACTAAAACTGGAGCCAGCCGAAGGTACTGTATTCGAAGATAGGCCGGAGAAAAGGAAAATAGGTTTTGGAAGAAAACAACAAGACGGATATTCATAAAGAGACGAGTTAATCTGTAAATGCTTGGTTGTTATTGTATGTATTCATTGTATCGTTCCTTTTTGAGCGGTCGTAAGTTAGGCTTTATAAGAAAAGGAATAATGAAGATATTGATGGGTTCAATAAATGTCTCAATTTGTCGAGAAACAAGATTCTAGCGCACAAAGGAATTGTTTTTTGTACAAAATGCAAAGAGAGTACGCTTTTAGTTGATAAAAAATTGCAAACAAATTGAAATTGAAAATTGGTAAAATAGGAAAAAGAAGATTCGCTTGAAAATGGAGCTGAATTCGAAGGTTTCCGAAGAAGGGTCGTGCGGGTGGAGCAGCGGGTGGTCACTTTTAGCTTTTTTTTGAGAACGAGAGTGTTAACTTGTTGCAGCTTCGAGGATCTGGCAGTTGGAGCAGACGAAGTCCGGGTCGTCGCGGACGTCTTTCGGGTTAACGTTGAGGCAGAACATGTGGTACCATTTTGCGCAGCGCTCGCAGTACACCCACTCGACTTTGTTGCCGTCTGGACGCTTGCATTGGCCTAAAAACGCGTGAACACAGAAAACATTTATCCATCTTACCAGCAGCGCAAGGTCCATCATCGTCAACATCCTCGTCGTCGTCCTCGTTTTCACTAGTTTCTTGCTGGAATTGAGTCCGAGCTCCTTTGTTTTTCTTCCGCGGATTCTGCGAGCGTCGCGGGAGATCGGCATCCTTATCGCGTCGTTTACGATTCGGCGCCTTGTTTTAGAGATAAGAACATTTCAAATTTCTTGGAGTAACCTTTGTTTCCTCGCCGAGAATGGCGCCTTCCGGTGCTTCTTGCTTGAAAATGTGAGGCCATTTCTCCTTCATCTTCTCGAGCAAATGGGTTTGATCGTCGCTGGAGACCTCTAGAAGCAAGCTTTCAAGGTAAAGATTCATCGCACGGGCGAATGTTCTGTCAGAATCACGTGATAGGTTAGGAATAAGACACTTGTAATTCGTCTGCCAGGTAATTACTCGTTCGATCAGCCCTAGAATGAAGAAATAACTGCCAGATCTGATAGAAAAGGAGAGCAAACCTTGGAGATATTCCGACTCTTCGAATTGAAGGCCTATGTTTTGAAGATCGTGTAAAAGAGGAAGAACTTGGTTGAGATTGGGCCGTCTACTTCGAACACAACGGAAACACAATTCGAACTTTTGAAAGGATCGTCTGTGACACAGTGCGTGGTACCACTCTCCGCATAAGTCGCAGGGAAACATAGTCTAAAAGAGGGTGATAACGATCATGAAATTTTTTGAACTACCGATTTCGCGACGCGCTGACAGCTGCAGAAAGTCGAGTTCTCGAATTTTAGCTTTTCTTTGTTTGCAGCTCTTAGGTTTTTCATTGTCTCGAGTTCTATCTTTTCCATAAGTCGGTAATCTTCAGATGTCTTCCTTTCCGTCGCATCAATTAGCATTTCGTCGGTGATATCATCACCATCGATGTCGTCATCTGTGCTTTTGTTGCGCTTCTTTCGGTCTTTTAGTTCTTTGGCCGTAAGATTTGCGTTTTCCGCCGTCCTTGGAAGCAGAACCTCTTTAAGACTCCAAACGCATCCTTTCTTTATGAAGATCTTTCGAAGTTTTTCAATCCATTCTTCCGCCTTTTCGACTTTTTCGTGCAGTTCGCCAACTTGAATCGGATGGAGTTGCAGTTTCTCAGCAAGCTTGAGAAGCCGGTTGGCTGTTTGCAGACTTGGAGCCTCACAATCCGGTCGTGGCTTTAGGAACTTTTGGAGCTTGTCTTTCCACTGATAGGATGCCTTCCGCTCTTCACTGAGCTCAACACAGTATTTAGGCGAGAACTGACGCATGAGAACTGCTTTAGGCTCACTTCTTAAGGGTGTACACGACGGATTCGCGATTTATAATCAGCGAAAACCCGCTAAGGCACTACCGAATTGATCTTTGGTCAGAACTCACAAACTTAAAATAAAATATTGCCTCTATGTAGTTAAAATAATCCTTCAAGTACACCCTTAAGTATCAATTTTTTCCTGTAGTTAATTTTGAATCTTTAGTAGAATCTTAGGATTTTTGGAAATCCATCATGGTTTTGTACAAAAACGGTAGTCGCAAAAAATTGAACGACTCAGGTCTGTCCTCGATAAGACAAGATAAAAAGAATCTTTACTTCACGTGATTCCTTTAATTGTTAGCCTTTCCTTCAAAGCGCATGTTTTCAACGAAACAATCCACCTGAACAAAGTCGGTATGATCTGGCGAGTTCAAATATTCTTGCGCTTGAACATCAAGTCTCCTTGCGTGCTCCAGATCTTTTTCGAATTTCTCCAAGCGGGCCAAGAATGCTTTGTTGATCTCAAATCCTGGCATGCTGTATCCTTCGTCGACGATCTTTTGCGCCGCTTCTAGTGATGGATAGTTTGCTGAGAGCTTTGGTAGCCAGCGAATAACCGATTGCATTTCGCGAATGAGCTTCATGTCGACAATTTCAAATAATAGGCTTCGTTCACGATTGATAAGATTTTCGCATATTTTCACGGTCAAATCGTCGAATTTCAGCTCGTCGAGGATAGTATTCGCTCGTCTGAGCTGCTCGGTCAGCATACCTGTCTTTTCAAGCTCGAATGGGAATGTTTTGATGCGATCCACAAGGGTTGACAGGTCGTTGTGAGTAAGAACAGGCCGTGTGTTTGAGTTGAAGACTTCTTCTATCAGCACCCTCACCTTCTCTGCTTCTTCGACAGTCTGACGAACTTTTTGGTACACTCTAAAATGAAAATCTTCTTTAAAAATTAATCAGAAAAAGGCCGTTACCTTGTTGTATCATAATACTTTCCAGCTTCAAGAAGTTCCTTGAAATCGTCGAAGCTGCCATCCTCGTCGGGAAAGCTATTGATTCTTGCCTCCCAAGCTTCGAAATCAGCAAGAGATTGTTTGAGTCGAGCATTGAGTTCTTTCAAATCGGAGATATCCCAATTGACCATGAGATTCACATGTTGAGGCTTGATGTCGCAACATTCCAGCTTTGAAATCGAACAAACAAGGCATAAAAGATGGTCGCGGCCTTTCTCGATTCCCTGGAAAGTAGAATTAGCTGATAAGATTTTAGATGAAAAATTACCTGATCAACGAAACCTTCAGGAACCTCGTAGACTTCATCATTTTCTAATTTCAAGCCAGATCTTCGGTCAAAAACAATGTATGAGCAGTAAACTGCGGTTTGACAAATGCCGCAATACGTATCCGATTTTAACCTGGTTTTCGTTATCTTCGGATTGATAAGTTTCATAATTTGAGTACGCTCGTGCACTTCTCTGTCGATCATAAATTTCATGTCCTGGTGAGCTAGAGTGACGATCGATCCGCACACGGAATTGTTGTTCGCTGCTTCTTGGGCTATCTTCAAAATCAGCTCATCCTGGCTGAAGATGTTATATCGCTGCACTGTGCGATAGTTTTTCAAGGCTTGTCGACCAATGGTGATCCAATCGGGCGGGCAAAAATTGACTGCTTCATTCATGTTCAACCCAGTGTTGAATCCGGCGTGGTAGCCCCTCGGAAAGGTGACGATAAATTCTCCAGGGCTCTGGACAGCTCTGTAGATTTCTACGTTATTTTCTAATAGAACCGCTGGAGACAAAGTAGTGGTGATGTGGTGCATGAGATCTCGGTTGTGTCGGTAGAGATCTTTTGCTTCGTTGCGATAAACTCGCTCTAAATTTTCCGCGGCAAACCGCGACGCTGCGTACCAAATTTTTGGCTCTCCAAAATGATGATAATTGATCGAATAGGTCCAATGATCTTCGGTATGCCAGGCGAAGGCGCTAAACATCATGCCAACGTATAACCACGGGACCTTTACGCCGGAGATATCACCGTCAATGTATTGCAAGACAGATTTTTTCGCAACGGGCAAATTCACCAGATTCCAAGGGTGATCTTTATAATGCTTATCTTCTAGCGAGCCAGGCGGATTAAAACGCGAGCAAAAGCCGGATCCCTTTTCAAGCGCTTGAATATCAGCGCCGTATTCAACAGTCAAATCGCCTTCGATCTCATCTGTAAGTCGCCAAAACTCTTCTTCGACATCGTTAGGATTGATCTCATGAGGAGGGCGGCCGAAATAGGCGCGTTTGAATTCGTCTGCTCGTTCGCCGAATTCCCGGAGACTGTATTCGCGCTCTGATTGCTCAAAGCCAAACTTTTCTGACTTTAATAACGACGGAACGAATGTCTGAACAATTATCCGATAAAAAGCTGTATATTCGGAATGTTAATTACCTTCATACAGGCCCAGCAATGCCATTTATCCTTGGGAACTTCGAACAATTTCGGGACAACATCAGCCATAAGAATTTGTAAGCCACATTTGATACATCGCAGCGTAACGTCGGCATGCTTCCTCGGCGAATCTGTTTTCCCAGCAGATTCTCGCTTTCTCATCGCTCTGCCGTTATCGGTTATCTCCAGCGTGGGACTGATGCCGAGGCCCTGCATTTTCGGGCCAGCGCCGAAGAGTTTCAGCTTGGCCAGTTCTTTATTCGCCACGCCGCCGATGATTTTTGCTTCTGATTTTGTTTCTTCTCCTTCACCTTGGGTATTCCTAGGAATTTCCATTAATCAATCCATATTCGTATAGAATCAAACCTTTGCTGGCGGATAAGTTTTGCCTTGTTAGGTAAGGATCTACGGCTTGGATGGGTCGATTCTGGTTTGAGGTCTTGTGTTAACTTAAAAAAAGGAGTCAGACAGAATGTAATTAGCTATTCTTTATGAGCAGAAAAATAGACTCCGGGTTCAAAACAAGTCGGGATAATCAACAAGGGATACGCAATTATGCAACATCGTAATTATGCGAGATTGAGCTAAGAAAAAAGTTGAAATCCATCAAGAATTTAATCTCAAAAACATCTTACCACATCGAAAGGATACAAAATTCGCTCGTAATGTCCTCTCAGCGCACTTGCCGAGCCCGACTTGGAAGCAAATCCAAGGGAAAGCGCCAGTTCACCCCATTTCCTATCTTCGGAGCATTTGACGAAGCCGCCAAGCTTTTGAACATTCTCATGAAAGGTGAAGAGGCAGAGCAGCTCGTTTTCAACGCGCGGAATTTTCAGCGCGATTCCTTGAAATTCCCAAAAACGGGAAACTTTGTCGAGGAAATTTTGACGCACACGGGTACATGCGGAAAGTTCACTGATTCGTTGTCGTCTTCGAAATTGGTTATTCTGATTTTATATATATTTTCATTACCGAGGACGGAATTTGAAATCGTCCATGTCCAAGGAGAATGTCGGATTGAAGCTTGGAGGAGGGCAGATTTTAACGATTCCATAACTAAAGATAAGTCGTGTTCCAAGCTATTTTGAATAAATAAGTGCTTCTTACCGCTCTCCTTCCGCCCGAATCGAACTAATATAAGCCAGCGGGTCCTTAAATTCTTCCTCCGTCGGTTGATAACTCGGAACCGTTGGCGGTCTCCGAAACTTGGGCGGCTTCCACATTTGCCCTTTCTGATTTTGGAGATATTCAAATTTTTCGATTTTGCGAATTTTCTCGACTTTGGGGATGAAAAATCGATATTTTCTCAGATAATGAGAGCGAGATTGGCGCCTCGCTTGGCTGGAGTAAAATATTAGGTGCCCTTTGAAATAAAAAATGTGTATATATCTTCAAAAATTATATAATATTACGAAAAATATATATATATAAATACATTGATTGATTTATGATTTGATATATCTTTCCTATTCTCGAAGGTATTTCTAGAGCCGCCAGAGCCTAAGAATGTGATGAGAATTTACTCTTTCAGATTTCGTTCCTTCTCCTCAGATTTTCACAAGTTTGTTTCAACAAATTCACAATTTTTGCAACACCAAACAACCTCAAAACGAAAAAAAGCTGCGTCGCCCCAAGCAGTGTGTCTACTTTCTACTAAAAACACGGCCCAGAACTGCCGATTATCTACTTGAGCCGAAATGCTTAGAATTTTAGTTTTCCAAATTGAAAATTTTTTTCTTAAAAAATTCCAGTTCCGTTACTAGGGGAAGCTCGGGCGCGCACTTCACTTATTTAGGGTGAGAGGGAGTTGGTGAGAGAGAGGGTGGTAGTTGCGTTTTTTGAAGTGACTCGCCCGAGACGGGGACCAAGAGAAGAAAAGAGCAAAATAGCGTCGCGTTACCGCCGCCCGCCGACCAGCGTGAGGCCAATCACGCCCGACCGACCGCCAAATATAAAAAGCTAAATATTCGCTGATCTCATTTCGCCACACTAGAATCAGAACCAACCCTTTCTAGCCAACCATTTCTATCTCATCCCTGTACATTCCACTTTTACCCCCTTTTCTCATCAAATTTCAAACTGACCTTCTTTTTGGTAGATGGAAGAATGAATCGAGTATCGGATGCAATTGTCAGAAGAGATCCTGATCCTGAGGATTTCTTCGTCATTGACAAAACAAATGCGGCTAAAATCGACCAAGACGTAAGCGAAGCTTTCTATTTCCCAATTTTCTACTCATTCTAGCGCTTGAACAGAGCTCTTGGAGTTGCCAGAGTGGTAGAAACCAATCCTGGCCTTCAGGACGATCTATCGTCATTCTCTTCATTGTCCAAATTTGAGGTAAACCAAGATTCACAGTAGCAGTTCTTCTAAAACAAATAATTCAAGAGCATAATCTCAAACACTCGAAGTCAGGCTTCAAAAAAGTTTGTGCCGAAAGAAGGTTCTGGTCTCCTTACTTTGAAAGAAAAGATTGAGAGGCAAAAAGCCACTCGGTCAATCGTACCGCAACTGGATTGTGCAAATGCTAACCCAAAAGCTCTTACGCGAAAAGTTGCCACGACTTCTGGACCTTCCAAGTATCTTGGATTCAACACTGATGGACGCGATTCAACACCGAAAAAGAGCACTCTTAGTGGAAAACCAAGCTCGACAATTCATCAGAAATCGTCAAACTCGACTCTGAAAAAGACGGTAGTAACAGAAGTAAACACAACGACCACTCGGAAGACAAGTAAACCTGCCAAACCAACAATAACAACATCAAGTTGGAGAGATTCGCAAAAGAAGGCGCGGGAAATCTTGAAAAACGAGACTCCCAAGCGAGAACGAAACACTGAGAGGTCGAAATCGGCCGAGGTCAAATCCATCTGTGGATCAGTCAAAAGCTCTTCAAAGGACACTTCAAAGACCTCGCTTCTGAAGGAAGATGCAGAGCTGTACAAAGATCTGTCTCCAGAAGTCCAAGCGATTGTTGCAGACTTAAAACTCGACGAACCTGCCAGCAAGGAAAAACCAGTAAAGATGGACGATGCTACTAAAATGGACCGACGAGCGCGCTCATATACGCCGAAAAGACCTGCTAGAAGAAAGAAATCACCATCGCCAGAGCCGACACCGAAAAAGAAGCATAATTATGACCAGGCAGAGATTCAAGAATACATGCGAAAGAAAAAGCAAGAGCGACTGAAAGCCAACGAGAACAAGGCAAAACAAAAACAGGAGAAGCAGGCCAAGATCGATGCGCAACTAAAAAGCTTACGAGAGGCACAGATGAGCAACGCAAAGTCGAAAGTCAAGGCGAAATCGAGGGGTCACTCGGCGGACGCTGCGAAATCGTTGGAAATGGACTCGGTCGCAAAAGCGATGCAAATTATCAACGAGCTTGACGAAAAAGACAAACGAGCCAAATCGGCAAAGATGGCAAATATATCGAGGAGGCCTAAATCGGCGCCACCTAAGAAGACATCCAAACCAAAAGCTGTTGATGATCCCCCAAAAGAAGCCGTGGGGATTCCGCCGAAGCTCAATCTGTCATCTTCTCGGAACTCGATAGTTAGCATAGAGAAGTTGTCCATCCCGGCAGCGAGTGGGAAAGCTTCGCCCAAATCAACGCCACGTGAGAAGTCTCACACTCCGAGAAGTGAAATATCAGATGGTTCTCGATCGGAAAAAGCCAAGAGTATTCTTGGGTTCATTCAATCATCCATCGACAATCTCGATTTTCACAACCCAAATAGACCTCCACTGGCTGAAACCCAAGAAAAAACGCAACCAAAGCCTAAAAGAACACCTCAAAATCCAAAACATTCAGCTCTATTGAAAAATCTCAAGGCCAAGTCTGATAATATCAATAAACTGACGGACGCTTGGGAGAGCAAATTAGAAGATATGGTTGAAAAGCGCGAACAGGAACATGCGTTTGACATGGCCAATCCGCCAGGTGTAAAGAGTCTTGACAAACTCGTGGAAAACACGATGCAGGAGAGATTGATATCAACTGACTCGCTTGAAAATCAAGCTAAAATGCCAGAGCCAGTTCAAACAGTTGGTATCGCCGTGGATCTTCCTGTCTACAAACCTGCTGAGAGCTCTTCATCTGTCGAGAACCTTCCACCGATGGATTTTAACCCCGATATCGGGCCCATAAAAAAGTCCTCGTCAAGGAAAAGATCGCCTAAGAAGACTAGAAAGCCCGTTAAATTCGCCCGCTCTAGCTCTCCCGATGAATTTAACATGGTTGACTTGATGTTCCGAGAAGAGCAAGCGAGAAGAAAGGCAATGAAAATAAAGAAGCGCGAGTCTGAGCTTTCAAAGAAATCGCATAAAACATCTTCAGTTCTTGAATCAGACGGTGCAGATTCTTACTCAGATGCCAAATTTAGTCTCGCATCTTCTGGCAAGGAAGTTGTCTCGGAAATTGTTACTCCGCGGAGCCAAGTCATTACGTCAAGGTCTGATGGCTTGTCTACGAGATCAACGGCATCTTTGAGATCTGGATCTGACGCACTGGTTTCAACATCATCCAAAAGCAATCAGTCAAAGACAAACTCTCATACTGCTTCCATAAACGAAACCAGTGCTCCTGTACGTAGCGACAAACCCGCGACAAGCGTTAGTGAATCAATCACAGAAACTCTCTCATCCTTAGCGGCAAAGAAAACTGCATCTGAAAGTGACACAGCTCAACTTTCCGAAGAAAAGTACAGCTCTTTCTCAGAAACAGACCGTGTCACAACAGTTTATCAAGGGGAAGCCTTGAAAAATGCTCTAACCAGCCATCTCAAGTTATCAGAAGGCATCGATGAGAACATTCGAGCGCTTGACGAGGCAAAAGCAAAAATGTTCCTCGATGAGATGCGAGAGATCCAACAAAAAGGAGCAAAAGCGGCGGAACTGATGCTGAAAGCGTCCAAGAATTTCGTCAAGGGAAGTCGCATCGATATCCGAGACGACGATCCTACATCAACAGATGTTACTCCAACAAGAACCTCGACGAGAACTGGCATGATCGACGAAGAGTTGTCCATTCAAAGCGAGCCGCAATACACTCCGATAAGGGCTACTGATCCTAGCTATTCAGAGGTATTTTCAAGCCATTCGGAAGTAACAACGACGCAGCAACTTCCAACCCCGTCGATAAGCGCAGTAAAAACGCAATCAATCTCTGAGATAACGAAATCTCAAGCGCCCATCACGATTGATGAGACATCAACTGTCACATCGACTACTGCTACTCCTGTCAGTCAGACATCAACTATTGTGACGGTCCCAACATCGAAAAAGACAGAAGACGTTACCTCATCCTCAACTACTGTAAACGAAGAGTCCTACGCCTCAACATTTGATGATCTTAATGAGTCCGCCAAGCTTCTGACTCCATCGATGGAGTATCGCAAGAAGATCCCCGACGAAATCAGAAAGCGACTCCCCTCAGAAGCTTCAGATGTTTCAACTGACCTGGATACTTCTGGCTACGATGCGTTTACAAATTTCATGGCCGACATGGTCCGGCAATACGTATCAAATGAAAAGTCTTCAAGGGAAAAGTTCCATAAAGCCATGATGCAAGCAAAGGAGCAAGCTATTCGGGAGAAGAAAAAGAAGAAAATCCCTGAAAGCGACCCTAAAAGGTACTTTTAAAAGATATTTCAGCATTAATTCATCTACAATTTAAGAAAATCAAAGAAAGGTCGAGGTGCAGATGATAAAATGCCAACTAAGGAACAACTCGAGCATTCGATTACATTGTCGGAGTCTGACACATCTACCTCAACAATAAACAGGGTGAAAAAGTGGTTCGCGATCGACGAAAAACATCTCACTCAACGGGAAAACCAGCTTCAAAAGCGCCGCAAGAAGGCTGAAAAGCTTCTCGCTTGGAAAGAGCATTTAGATGAGCAAGAGAAATCCATTTTAGAGATCGAACAAGATGTGGCTCAAGCTATCGCTAAACGAAAAATAGTGAGTTTATGGAATAAATAACCATCTAGCGCTACATTCAGAGCAACGAATCCGAGATCTCACAGGCTGAGTCTGCAGCTACGGATACTTTCAATGCTACAAGGTAACAGTAAATAATTAATGACTTTTTTTACCATTTGCAACTAGTGAAACCGACATGGATAGCTCTGACCACGAAGCAAGACTAAAAGCTCTTCATGGACAGTGCCGGGAAAAGGAAAAAATCGTTGCAAAATTACGCAGGACGTTAAAAAAGCATGCTGGAAGCAAGAAGCAAGAGTTGAAGGCACAAGAAGCCGCTGTTCAGAAGCAAATTGAGTCGTTGGATGTGATGATTGCCAAGGCAAAAGAGCAGCTGGAGTTTATTGAAAACAACAAGGTGATACATCTTTTGACTATCATAAATACCTAACTGCTTCAAAGGAGATAATCGTGAAACCAATAATAAAATCGCCACAGTCATCACAAGTTGTCGACAGACCTATTGATCGATCCGTTTCTTCTCCAGCTATCCCATTAATCGCCTCACTCCCAAAGGATGCTTCGCCCTTCACATCACCTCGTAGCTCTCGCAGCTCTTCGGAGTCTGAGTCTCAGCAGAAAACTCTTCGAAGTGAGAGCGAAACGATCTCAGAAATCGTCACAGAGTCAATCAAAGACTCTCAGTCGGTGTCTGTCAGTCAAAGTCAATCTATTGCATCAAACTCGATCGATTTGAAATCACATTCTGAGCCGCTGATTTCTCTTGGTGAGGAGAAGGCGTTCGACCTTGTCTCGCAGTTTTCAGAGTCACGTTCAGCGACAAGTCCGAGTGAATCAGATACGGTAACAAGTGTTGCTACTGTGACTGCCCCTGTTACTGAAAGCGTTGCCACAGCGCCTCAAAATACTCCTCCTGTGAAGTCAGAAGACCCTTGCCTAAATGATTTCTTACCAGCCGCAGAAGAGGAGGAGGACGAAGATGTTCCTCCCACTAAAAATGCTAGCATTCTTGCCAATACTGGCGATGAGATGGCAAAAAAGATGATCGAAGAGATCATCGGCAAGCTTTCCGGACAAGAAAAGGAAACAATCAGAGAAAACCTCAGAGCACAAGGTAATGATTTTGTCTGTAAAGTTGAGATTCACGCAATCCTGAATCTGTCTGAATGTATTTTGAATGTTATTTGTTAGACTTCGCCCAAGCGGATGATCTATCGGAACATTCCAATGACTCCGACGACTCACTAACCGATGCGCTTCTTGAAACGAGACCGAAAGACCTTGAACTAAACGAGATCGAGCCAGACCTCGAGTGTGATGAAGTCCTAGAAACTTCAGGCGATGGAGAAGTTTTCAACTATTTCCAGCATTACAAAGTTGAGCAGGAACAAAAGTTGTCTACTGAAGAAGTCTTAGAAAGAGGTACCTCTGTCTGTTTATTCTACTGTTTTCATATTTGGCTTTCAGCGGATGGAATCGCTGACATGGTAAATAACAACCCTGGAGTTCCGCCAATTCACCAAGATGAGTTTGACGAGGCCCTGTACGATGTATGCCAAGAAATTGCATTTGACCTTCACCTCAGGTTAGAATTGTAAACTTCATAAAGGCTAATGACGGATCTTTAGTGGTACTGAATCTAAAGGTGCTATTCTGAATCAACTATCGCAGTATATTTCGCCCAACGGGCCCGACCTCGATCGGCACATTGTTGAAAAGATGGGCCGCAGGTCAAAGAAAGACCGTGTTGACCGATTACTCATCGCAGAGCTTCGCCAAGACGAGAAAAATTGGATCGACTACTCGAAAGATGAAATGGTAAGTTTCCCCTTTGTATGTTTAATTTTTACATAATACTATTTAGTCGGTTCGAGATGAAGTGACCAATTCAATTCTGAACTACTTACTCGACGATACAGTTCAAGCGCTCAAAGAACGATACTCTGTTGCAGTTTGAAAGAGTTACAGTTTCATTCTCAATTATCAAATCATTGCCAAAATGCTATTCACCAATTCTTGTGTTACACTGTTACAGTTAGTTTCGAACACATTCCACCCAAGAACAAATGACTCAAACATTGATAGCATACAATTTTTACGAAATCCGAATCCTCTGAGAAACAAACTCAATTGAGATTGAGAACCCAAGCTTTGTTCAATACTTTTTTACACTGTTCAATATTTTTATTTTTTCATTTTTTTGATACATTCCTTATTAAAAACATTTCTCGAACATTATTTGTTAAGAAAAATGTCAGAGATTGATGAATTATACGAGCTCCGAAATAACTTTTACTTGGGGCACTTTGCGACTGCTGTGATTGAGGCGAACAAACTGAAATTATGTATGAGAATTTTATCATAACTTTTTCATAAAAAATTAGCGGGAGAAAAAGCTGTTGAGCGAGACGTGTACCTATTCCGATCTCTCATTGCCCAGAAGCAATATTCGACTGTGCTGTCTGAGGTGAAATCAAGCTCTCCACCTCAACTTGTTGCCGTCAAATGCTTTGCCGAGTATCTTTCCCGTGGAAACGCCGAGGCGCAACTGAAAATCCTTGGTAAAGTAGCTCAATATCTTCCTTGATCTATCGCGATTTTAGACGGGCAGATTCAGTCCCTAACTCCAGAGAATTGGGTTTCTCCAGTGATCTCCGCCTCTATTTACTTCCAGGAAGGACAGTATGAGAATGCGCTGAGAACGCTCCAGCTTACCGACCACATCGAAGCTGCCGCTCTTCAAGTTCAGATTCTTGTTGCTATCGAGCGACCTGACCAAGGTTGATTAGGATTTCAGCTCTTTTTCTAATCCTTTTCATAGCTAAAAAGCTTGTTGCGAAGATGGACGAAGACTCCACCTTAACTCAGCTCGCTGGAGCATGGACCAACATCTCTCTCGGGGGAGAAAAGGCCCACGATGCCTACTACGCCTTCCAGGAACTCATGGACAAGACCCAGACGAGTCCGATTCTGTTGAACGGAGCTGCTGCGGCGCATCTTGCTCAGCAAAAGTGGGAAGAGGCTGATGGCGCCGTAAAGGAAGCGACTGAGAAAGATATCAACTGCCCAGAGACTCTCATCAATCAGATCATGGTGAGCACACTTATTCTCTTTTTGAATATTTAACAATTGCATAAACAGGTTGCCACTCAAACCGGAGAGGAAGATATTGCTCGACGAACCCTAGCGTCATTGAAAGGAAGCCATCCTTCGCATCCTTTTGTTGTCGATTTGGAACAAAAAGAAGCCGAGATGGACCGCATCATTCTCCAATACAAACCCTGAGAGGTCATTAGAGCTTACAACATTTCGACAAACATTTCTGAGGAAAATTTTAATAGAAAAAAACAATATCGCCGTGCAATAATAAAGCAAACTATTAACTCCTTTTTAACTCCCGTTATTCCTCCTGTGGTGAAGCTTCATTACTTAGACAAATACACTATTCATAACTTACTCGAGCCAATTTTTAAAACAAGACTTGCGTAGAATGGATATCACGTGGGCAACAAACTTGCCGCTCAAAATAACAGTCGCTCGGGAATCAAAGGACCCAAGTCGTCCGTCAGACCAGAAGATTTACTACACATCGACGAAGTTGCTTTCATTTTTGCCCGTTACAGTCAATCAAACACGCCAATTTTTCAACAGGGAGAAGGAAACACCTGTCTGGTTCTCTTATCAAGGATCTGCGATAAGGTTAGGATTATTTTACTGCCTTTTTACAGTACTTCCTAGGTGGCATCTTCCCGTTGGGCTTTTACTCGACCTCTACAATGTATCCACTGATGTTTGGCCTATTGAAGTCAATTTCTCTCCAGTGCCCCCTGAGATTGAAGACCTTTCTATGTCACTACTGGAGTCGAGCTTCTGCATGTCGCTAAAAGAAGCGGACCAAATCCGCTCACGCTCCGAAAGAATCAACCTTTTCCAAAAACAAGACTTCAAACGCCTCTGGAACGCGATACAAAACTCATCACTCGAGGAATGGCGCTCGGTCGCCAATCAACTTCTTCGCAGCAAAAACGGCGATTTTAAAATCCCAGTAAAATTTCACTATGACAACACGTACTTCCAAAACCCCACGGAAGTTGAGGACACTGTGCAAGCTGCTCTTGAAAAAGCCTTGGCAGGGCACCAATTCAGCCCAGAAAATTTCAAAGTCGTTTTGCTCGGCACTGAGCTAGCAGCAGACATGCCTTTGCGCGAGCTTTCGGACTTTTCTTATCCCGATACTTTTCTTCATCTTGTACTTCAAAGAGCGTAAAATTCTTGTCTTTAAAATCTACCTAAAGTTCAGTTCCTTCAAAAGCTTTTCCTCTAACTCTCATCCATTTCAATTATTAACACACCCATTGAAACAAAAAAATCTTTAAAAATTCATTTATTTCCAGCGTCGTCTGGAATTTTCTAGAATTGTTGTTCCCTAAAAACTTACTCATCCGATTCACTCATTCGAGCTTTTGTAAATACAAATTTCATTTCTGAAAGTAAGCCATTTCCGAATTTTTTCTTCATCCTTTTTGATTTCAGAGATGACCGCCGGAAACGCAGCAGCACCTGCGAAAGCGCCAGTCGGCAAACTTGGAGAAGGAGCCTTCAAGGACAAGGAGAAGCCAACTCATGTAAGTGTTAATTTCTAAAATCATTATTGTAAACCGTCTTAGATCCGAATGTCCAACATTGAAGCCGCCAAGGCCGTTGCAGACGCTGTCCGAACCTCCCTTGGTCCCAAGGGTATGGATAAAATGATCAAGGACGACAAGGGTAACGTCACAATCACCAACGATGGTGCCACTATTCTCCAGCGAATGAAGGTCCTCCACCCAGCTGCTCGTATGCTTGTCGAACTCAGTAAAGCTCAAGATATTGAGGTAAGGTTCATGTCGTTTACCTTCATTTTAAACTTCTTCTCAGGCTGGAGACGGAACCACAACTGTCGTTGTTGTCTGCGGTGCCCTACTTGAAGCTGCCAAGAAGCTTTTGAGCCATGGTATCCATCCAACCAAGATCTCGGATGCCTTCCAGCGGGCTGCTTCCGAAGCCTTCAATGTCATCGAAACGATGAAGATCGAATTCGATCTTTCAAACAAGGAAGCCATGATGAAAGCCTGTGCCACCTCTCTCAGCTCCAAAGTCATCAACACTCATTCTCTCCACATGAGTGAGCTGTGCAGCAACGCCGTCTTGAAGGTCGCCGATCCAGAGAAGAACTCGCTCGATCTCAAGGACATCAAAATCGTTGCCAAGGTTGGAGGCACCTTAGACGATACCGAGCTTGTTGATGGTCTCTGCTTGGACAGCAATGCGATGGGCACCACTAGACGAATGGAGAAGGCCAAGGTTGCGTTGATTCAATTCCAGCTTTCTCCACCAAAGACTGACATGGAAAACCAGGTACCAAATCAATACACCCATAAAGACTCAGAAGAGTAATTTTAGGTCGTCATCAACGACTACAGTCAAATGGATCGAGTCCTAAAGGAAGAGCGACAGTACACTCTTAACCTCGTCAAGGCGATCAAAAAATCCGGAGCCAACGTGCTCCTCGTCCAAAAGAGCATCCTTCGAGATGCTATCTCTGATTTAGCTATTCACTACTTGAACAAGCTCAAAATTATGGTCATCAAGGGTAAGCTACTCTTCAGAAACAGACTTCATTTACCATTCTCATAGACATCGAACGAACTGACGTGCCTTTTATTTGCAAAACTCTTGGATGTCACCCTGTCGCCTCAGCTGATCACTTTACGCCTGAAGCCCTTGCCAACGTTGACCTTGTCGAAGAGATCTCGATCGGTGGTGAATCCAACTGCACCAAGGTTAGTTGTCTCGTTGTAATGAAAAACTCACCTTTTCATCTTAGTTTACTGGAATTCAAAATGCTGGAAAGACTGTTTCTCTTCTCATCCGAGCTTCCAACGAAAATCTCCTCGCCGAGGTAAGACACTCGTTTTTGATGCAGAAAGAACTGAAATTTTAGGCTGATCGATCAATCCACGATGCTCTCTGCGTCCTCAGATGCCTTGTCAAGAAGCGAGCTCTCGTAGCTGGAGGCGGAGCTGTCGAGTCTGAGCTGGCACTCAAACTTGGTCAGCGAGCCAAGGAAATCGGTGGTGTTGATGGCTACTGTCTCCAGCGATACGCTGAAGCCATGGAGGTAATAATATATTTTTGATATTCAGTTTCTTATTCGCTATCTAGGTCGTTCCATACACTCTTGCCGAAAATGCTGCTCTGAATCCTATTGAAGTGGTTACTGAGTTGAGAAAACGACATAATGCTGGTGAAAACAGCGCGGGTATCAACGTCAGAAAGGTCAGTGTCGAACTTGTTGAAATCAAGGAAGACTAACTTCATTCCAGGCTGGCGTGAGCGACATGCAACGAGAAGATGTTCTCCAGCCGATGCTCGTGTCGACTTCTATGATCACACTTGCTACAGAGACTGTGCGTTCTATTCTCAAAATCGACGACATCGTCAACGTCGTCGGTCGAGGCTAATAATGCTGTTATAGAATTTTCACCATTGCCCTGTCACAGTGTCATGTACCTCGCACGCATTTATTACATCTAGTCCTACACCTATTTCCTTTTTTTTCTCTAGAATATTTTTGTTATAATTTTAGTACCAATTCCCTTTCATAGTTCACAAATACCATCAATGGCTTCACTCCCCGTTTTTGACAATTCTGACATTAGAGAGCGAACACACCGAAACCTGTACTGTTACTTTTTTTGAAAAAATACATAAAACCTTATAATCAAACTGGCTTTGAGAAAATATAATGCCTTCGATTTTTCAGCAGATAGCCCTGTACTGAAATGTCGGATCGAAATGGCGAGGTGATGGTTTTAAGTGTGCCTGAGCAAGTTACTTCCCCCACTCTACCGGGACCAGCAGGCGAGTCTGGTTCTCTCACTTCTTTGCAGGAAAAGGTTCAGCCAGCGCATCAGCCACTCACAATTATAAGGCAAAGCTGAACCTAGAAAAAGAGCGGCTTGAGTCGAGAAGCGTTCTATGAAAATGACGACAACGAGCTAAAGCGCGAGTCGGCTATCGAGGAATTTCAAGCCGCCCTTGATAGCAAAACTTGTAAGTAAAAACTTCTCTAGAATATAATTATATCATACTTCAGCGCTGCTATCTAAAAGCTACGCGTTGCAGAATAAGCTATCCGAATACTTCAAGCGAAAGCGAGGATCTGGCGGTCTAATCCAAGTCGAATCAGTCGAAGGTAGGTCAAAGGGGAATTTATATTCTAATAAAGATCGCTAGAGATCGAGTGTCAATACAAAACAAGCATGGACAAGGTCGATGAACTCACGGCAAAGCTCAAGAAAGTTGGCTCCGACTGTAAAACCGACTTGGAAATGTTTCTCGAGCGATGCGAGGAGAAGCGCGTCTCCGTGAACGGCGATTACGAACGAGTCTTGAAGAAGAAACGGACCATCAGCCAGAGCTGCATTGTCCCGCGTTCTGGCCGCCCAGTGACCTCAAAAGGTAAGTGAAAGGTTCTTCTAATTGGGCTAAAAGCAGGTTTTAGACGTTGATGATTTCGAAGAGCAAGAGCGCAAAAAAGACGAAGAACTCGAAAAGGCCCGCCTGGAAAACATCAAGTGCAAGACAAAGCTCGAGAAGAGCGAGCTCTTGCTCAAAGAAAAGGAACAAGTGATTGAGGGTTTGAATCTCATCGACTTCGAGCAGTTGAAGATTGAAAACCAAACTTATCACGAGAAAATTGACGAGCGAAACGAGGACCTTCAGAAGCTGCATAAGAAGATTGAGCGAACAGTGCAAATCCTTACTCATATGAAGGAGAAGCTAGAATTTGTATCGATTGAAAATCAAGCGAAAAAGGACCAATTAGACAAGGTACGGTGTTGATTTAATTATCCTTTCTGAATTGTTTAGCGACTCGAAGTTTTTCGACTTCGATTGTTTTTATGCTAATAGCAAAAACCATTAAGGGCTATTTGATTTTCACGATTTGAACCTAATCAGTCACGTACTTCTCATAGAAGCCAGTTTTCTACACTAAAAATGGGGGAATTTAAAATCTTTTTGCCTGGGACGGCCTCGGGGCACCTAACTACCGCGTGTACAAACACCATAACCAACCGTTTCACCGGCGCGCCGCGATTTTCTCTTTAAAAACACCAAATCTTGACGGTTTTCCGGATGTGTGTGACGTGAGATCTGCAGTCCCCTGTTTAGGAGTCTTCTCATCCGGTCGCACGCCTTCCACATCTCCGGAGCCCCCTCCCGATGCTCTCGCGCTCGGTCGAGGTTGCTCGTCATAAGCAATTTCCCAAAGACATAAAGTCCCGAAATAAGGTTTCTCTGACTTACGGCCCAACAAAATTGTAGTTACGCTTGCAATTGGTTGCACGAATGGTACTTTCTATCGACAGCTGCGTCGAACAACGCATCCCGCAACATTTCCGTTGAGGTTTGAGTGAACGAAGTAGCTCCGAGTTTCTTCTAGGTTGAACAAGCAAAAGCACAAAACGCCGAGCCCTGGTCCCGAAGCAATAAAGTAACATAAGTTCCAACAAGTAGCTATAATCGTACGAAGTCCGTATCCAGTTAAAACGTTTCGTGACGCACATCCAACAATGGCACTACACGGGGTAGTTTGCCATATTTTTAGCACGTCATTTTTTCGAAATTTACGCCCCTTTCGGTCGCGGATTCTTTGACATTTAGTTATTCAATTTTAAGGCTGAGGCGGATCTCCAGTGCCAACGAGACGAGCTCAACCAACTCAAGCAACAACGAGAGCGCACTAGAAATAGCGCTGCCAAACTCCAGCGAAACATGGGTCTCTACGGCAAGGAGGTAAAGTTATCTCTTACGATGCGTTCCTCATAATTTCCAGGCCCTCCTGTTCGACTTTGAAGAACAAATTGACAAAACGGAGGAGATGAAGAAGGCGGTTGCTGCGTTGAAGGCTCGCCACGCAGAATTGAAGAAAGAAAACGCTGATTTGAATGGCAAGATCGGCACGAGATCATCTAATGCGACGCGCGTCAAGAGCGCAGCGACGGTCAATACAGTCAAGTTCTAATTGCCATAACCTTCGTATCGCCTGCTTGCGTATATTTTCATACTGTAACTTTGCTGAGAAATTCTTCTATTTTTATAATATATAAATAATATTTTTATAAATGTCAAAGAAAAGAGTCTGAATAAGATTCTTTTCTTGTTGTTACGCAAGTTTTCTATGCTGGATGAATTTGTTTGGAAAGAGGATTTTTGAAGTCAGTATCTGATGATTAGAATTTTTGCTCGGACAGGAATAATTTACTTCTGAGTTTATCATAGAGAGAAAAACAAGGTTGCTAACCATGTAGAAGCAGCAGCTCCTAAAGCAGCTGCTGATCCCCCTGGACCGTGAGAGTGGCCGTCATCATCTGAATGCTGGTCATCATCATGATCATCCGCATGCTGATCTCCCTGGTGATCGTCCGACTGTTGATCATCTTGGTGATCATGCGCATGTTGATCATCCTGGGGATCGTCCGCATGTTGATCGTCGTCATGAGAGTGGTCAGGGTCGCTATGATCACCATGGTCATCTGTATGATCAGATGGTGGAATCGTCAGTTTTTTCCCGTAGCCGGCGTTCGGTGTTACATCGGCCACAAATCCTCGGCCGGAATGGTAACTTGGCACTCCATTCGAGACTGTTCCGTGTGCCCATATAAGAGAACCTTTCGTCTAAAACGTTTGTTTAGCAATCTAAAGAGAAAATGAACGTACCGCTGGATCCATGCAAGAATCGCAAGCGTCAGCAGTATTCTTCTCGACCACCAAGTTAATTTTTCCTTGTGAATCTAGCTCTTCGCTTTTGATTTTCCAAACAGCATTGTCAAGGAGAATGGGCATTCCGTTATAACCGGCTCCTAAGACTGAGTTCCACAATGCTCAATGAAAAATTTCTGACCTTGGTATTGTTCAAGTTCGACATCTTGAGCATCGGTCCATCTGAAAAGGACAATCTCTGCATTGGCCATTTTTGCTCCTGATGCGGGTCCGAATCCAAAGCTGACATATCCTGGATCTGACACATCAATTTGAACGGCCGCTTGGATGATCCCGTTTTCCGCTGCCTATGGATTTTTAATAAAAATAATTTTCAAATTTACTCAACTTGAGTTCAACCGAGTGGCTTATGTCTGACGCAAGATGGCCATCTGCCATTGCCAATGCTGGTAAAATGAACGAAGTCTTCATGTTTAGCTATTCTCTGAACAGTATATTTATCTTTTTAAAGTAAATCTGGGTCGCCACTAGCACTGTCTAGGCTTCAAATAGCCGCTGGCAAAATTTACCCTTTACGTTCTCGGTTGCTTCTGTCTCACCAACCATAAAAAGTTGATTGTTGAGAAGCTCTCGAATCTTCTTTAATGCGTGCTCACAATGAGATGATACGATTGTTGTCAGTAAAGCGTAACCAACATCTTTCCGCAGCTGATCATAAATTCACTCTGGTCAGCATAATTATCATAAAATAGATTACTACTTGATAGAAAATCATTTTTGTTAATCTTATTCTCGAATAAAAGCTGCAATCTCAAGCTATGTCATGAGAACTTGCCAACTGTCTTCAAATTTGAGTCTTTTGATTCCACAAAAACGCTTATCCTTCCAAAAAAAAACCGCAGAGGCAATCATGAAGTTCGCCACCGCTGTACTCTCACTCGCCATGGCTGAGACCGATGTGCGCGTCATCGGCGGCTACACTCCCCCCGCTCATCGTGAAAATTACATTCTCTCCCTCCAGGTTTTATGAAAATATTCTTATGCTAATACTTACGAAAATCTGTCACAGCGATCTCGACTGAGAAGCCACTTCTGCGGCGCTTCCCTTGTTTCAGCCAACAAGGCAATTTGCGCTGCCCATTGTAAGATGAGGTATACTTCCGCCTCGGGAAAGCGAGTTATAATTTTGAATGCTTTTAGCACTTTTAGTACCGTATTTTAGCACTGCCATTGTCGCTGTTGCTGGGGCCCACGATATCTCACAGTTACGAGTTTCATTGACTTAATGAACCTCTTTAGCAAAGTTCATAAACGTTAAGATCCTCCGTTGTAACTCATATAAGTCTGAAAGCTCCCAGCAAGTGCAGACTGTCTCTGACCAGAAGTCACACCCGGAAAGGGCTTATAATATCAATAATCTAACCCTGAGGCTTCCATCAGAATTATGCCGTCTTTTCCCCGACCGACGGAGATTTATATGAGCCTAAATATAGCAATACAACTCCAGCACTTTTGCAAACGATATTTCCGTCTTGACAATGCTGAACAGCTTCACTTTGAACGATTACGTTCGACCAATCGCCCTTCCAGCAGCGAGGTCTTCCGAGTGGATGACTTCTGGAACTTCCCTCCGCGTTTGTGGATGGGGAAATACTTCTACAACGGAGAATGTTTACCCAGGATAGAAGTCGAAAATACCAGAAGGCACTTTGTTTTAAGCTTTGGTCCAAAACTGCCATAATAAGCTTACGACTTTTATATACAATGTAAATGTAAAGGCCATTTCGATGTATTTAAGCTTTGAAAAAAGCAACCCTCAAATGTGTTGAGGTCCCTTACGTCACTAATGCCGATTGCAATGCTCCCGAGTCTTACGAGTGAGTAAAACCCGCCTTATACAATCTAATATTTGGATGTTTTAATTTGTCTAATTGAAAAGCCTACTTAGAACGGTGATCTACTGGGTAGTAGATCGAGAAAATTGCGTCGGTAAATGATTTACTGTATATTTATCTGACAAGGATTTATCGTCAGCGCGTTGGTTATTTCGTTTTATTTTATTTATTGCTTTTAGCGGCGGAATTCTGTCGGGCATGTTCTGCGCCGGATTAAGTCAAGGTGGCAAAGATGCTTGCCAGGGTGATTCCGGTGGACCAGTCACCAAGGACTTCGGAACCAGCGTCTCAGACTCCATCCTCGTCGGCGCTACTTCCTGGGGCTATGGTTGCGCTCAGCCAAACTACCCTGGCGTTTACTCTGATGTCGCCATGTTCCGAGAGGATTTCATTGACCAAAATATGTAAACTTTACTGAGTTCATCATGTTAATAAATTCATGAAAGTCAGAATCGAGCCTCATGTTGCCAAATCAAACGATTATTTTTCAAACCAATGCTTGATAATTTAGCAAAATGAAAAAAATGCTGCGTTGCTCGGCGCTGGATCAGCTGAAGTTTTATTGGATTTCTAATCCCCTTCGGTGCTCTCGGCTTCCCTATATAAACTTGAGTCGGGGGGACAGGTGGCTGAGATTCAAAAAATGAAAGTTTTCGTTTTATTTGGTAAGATTCTCTTTTAGCATAAAATTTTAAGCCTATTCTTGCTAAGGTTTAGTGACTGCGTTTTCACGAAACTTTGACGACTACTTGAAGCGAAGCGGGTATGTCAAGACATACGGGTAGAATTTTGTTCTGGTCACTTTTAGGACTGTTTCGAAGAGATCACATTTTGATGACCTTCTCTCCTCGAGTATCTACAAGAAGTCCCTAGAAGATCAATTGTCTTCAGTCTTTGATTCTCTGGACTCATTTTAAAGACCATTTTCTTTAAGATCTTATTGAATAAACAAGTCAAAAAGATAAAAGCATTACTTCGGATATATTCCTACTTAATATTACCTTTGTTTTGAAAAGTTTAAACTTGACTTTAATTGGGTAATAGGTGAAACCGTTCCATTCAAGGAATAGTTGCCAATCTTATGACGTGTTTTCGACCAGCTGCGATGATATGTTATACAACTCAAGTTCCGATAGGATTCCTTCTGCTCCAGCAAACTTTTATAGTTGCCATTTCACTTCATTCTTTATTTTTCAAATATTGTGAAAATGAAGCTTGGTACTTTTTTTCTGGGCGCGGCGTCAGCATTTGACTTTCTTGAAGGTACAACGCACAAGTGTGGAGGCCTAAATAGCGGCGACGGAGGGAGAATCGGAAATGTCGACAACGAATTAATGACAATCGAAAAGAGAATGCACATGGCATTGACCACAGAGAAAATTGTCGGAGGACGCCAGGTTGAAGATATGAAGAATTGGAACTGGATCGGCCAACTTGGGGGCTATTGTGGAGGGTCCTTGGTCGCTGATGATATGTTTTTGACCGCTGCACATTGCTGTGCCAGCACCAGAATCGGACAAACAATTTATTTTGGTGTTCTCAATCCTTGGAAGGATCAATCAAAGTCTCAAAAAAGAAAAGTCAAAGAGATGTTGAACCATCCGGATTTTGTGCGATCCACTCTCACCCACGGTAAAACGAATTTTTCGAGCTTATTTATAACATAAATAAGACATTTGCATGATCCAACTCGATTCTCCGATTGAACGAACTCGAACTGTCCGACCAATTTGCTTGAGCGAGTCTGCACCCGTAAAGAACATACCGTCATACGTTGCCGGCTGGGGCTTGACAGAAGAAGGAGGACAGCAATCGCGGGACCTGATGGAAGTTTCTGTCCCCATTGTCACGAATAAACAATGTCAGAGTGCATACAGTCATCGACCAGTTGATGACTCCATGGTTTGCGCCGGCAAAGTTGAGGGAGGAGAAGACGGTTGCCAGGTTGTGAGCAAGTCGAAGCTAATGATTACTCTTCTTCTAGGGCGATTCTGGAGGACCAATTGTCACTGTCGATGGAGAAGGAAATGTATCCCTCGCCGGAGTTGTCAGCTGGGGAGTTGGATGTGCTCGCCCGGGCAAATTTGGTGTCTACTCTCGAGTTGATACCCAGCTTGATTTCATCCACTGGTCCATTCAAACACTCAGGTTGAATTCTCTTAGGTCTGGTAGCTTCATCAATTTTCAGAGGCGACTATGATGGAAGTCTCAACTCATTCGACTTGAGCAAAAATTCACTCTCCGGCTCACAGATGCCAAACCCTGGAGGGGAACCAGGTAAAATTTGAAACTTAGTAAAAGTTTGATATGGATGTGCTATCAGTCAACCTTGTATTCATATCGAATCGATATTACTAACTATAATTCGTAAATTACGATTATCGTTATTCTGAAATCCGAACGTCTTTCGGTAAGTTTGCATTAAAAATTTTTCTAAACGACATTTTACTAACTCAAGTTGAGAGAACTTTTGAAACTTATGCTCAAATTTAATTATGTCCGTCGTCAAATTTTCCTTTTGATTTCAATCTCAAGATGTCTCACGTTGTTTTATGGCAAAGGGAAAATAACAAAAGCTCGTCCCCGAATGATTGGACCCGAGATGATTTTTATAGAGCTAAAGGGAAAGTGAGCAAACATAGCAGTGTCTGCAAGAGGGAAAATATTCAAAAAGAGGGAAAAGATCAGCAGTTTCCCTTGAATATAAGATCAAACCTAAATAGGTTTTTGAAAAAAAAACATTTTTTTATAAAAATGGAGGTCGATATTCCGACACCGAGCAATAACTACACAATCAAGAAAATTGAGACAGAAGTGGGTACTGAAAATCTCACACAGCAACGAGTGAAGTTTTTCCTAAAAGCAAATCAAAGAGAAATCCAAATTGACGATTTGAAACATATCATCGTTGAAGGATCGGTTAAAGTCAGCAATGCCACATCAGTTGAAATTAATCTCAACCGGGCCGATTCGCGGCGGAATGTCATAAAAATTAAGGTACCGTATTAATATGTAAAAGAAAACCTAATCCTTGTTAGTTCCGAGAAGCACCAATTGAAGCGTGTGTTGAATTATCTGTCACTGGTTTTGTGAAACAAAGAAATACATCAACAGGAAGAGAGGAAGTTCGTATGGAATCAAATTGCGACATTATGAAAAATGTCAAGAGCTTGTTTGGCAGTATCGACTCAACAAGGGACTCCGTCGACTTCAAACGTATACCTTACTAGTTTTTTGTTTGGAAATTAAATTCGTATTTAGCCAAAGATTTGTTTCTGAAACGATGGCCAACCCATCGGAAATTAAACGATCTGTACATGGGAAGGAAGATAAAGTCCCATCAAGTGGAGATAACAATGAAGGTGATGAGAAGTATTTCAACGGGGCAAGGGATGCGAAACCAGGAAGGTCAAAACCCAGTTGTCGTTGTGTAAGGCGTAATATTTAACAGGAAAACTGATTCATATTTTAGAGCTGATAAAGAGTACAAATTCAGTCATGTCTTGGACTTCATCAAAAATAAGAACGACGGAACTGAAAAGCGAGACAAGTTCATTTGGGGAACCCCAAAGATTCGCGGACAAACTTTCTTGACGAACATCACCGTCGGTGAGCTAGTTACACGCACAGAAGGGCTTCCTATCGTGATGATGCCAGTAGAGCAACGGCAACAAGCGCTCTCTCCAATGACGGGAAATCCAACTGCAAGAATGGAGGGTCACAGTCAAAGCTCCCAACAACAAGGCCAACATCAAGCTCCAATCCAACAGCAAGGTCAAGTCCAGCAACAAAACCAACAACTCCCTCCGCCTCAGAGCAGTGTCACTTCAACGAACCCCGTTGATAACCTTCTGAACCCTGCAAACAACCTCCCATTCAACCCAACCGGTTATGGTCTTCTGTCTGATCATCTTATCCCGAGACAGGAAAAGTTTGAATAATAAGCGCCTTTTCCTCTCTCGAGCAAAAATATTCAACTCAATAAAAAGCGCCAAGAAACGATAGAGTACTTCAGTAATCAACCACTTTTTAACCCTGATGAAGCAGGGCGTCAGCAGCTAAGTCAGGCGGGAAATCGTCTTCGACACATCGCAATTTTCCATCGGTAAGCTGCGCTTATCCGTCTAGTTGACAAGTAGCATGATTATTTTTTATTTTTACGTAGAAATTTCCGAGCCGCTCTCGTCCAGTGCGTCAATAATGCTCGGCCAGAAGATCGTCCCAGGTTTGGATAAACTCATTACATCGAAATAAGATCAATAAGATATAATGATCCTGAACGAATGACTCCTGCAACTCCCCAAGCAAGGGATCTTGGCCACACTGTCCGCCTCCTCGCCGACGACATCAGAACATTCGGCCTCGAACTCATCCGGCTCGGCGCTGAGTTCCACAGAGATCCGAACTTCATGGGCGACGACGAAGGTAGAGAAAAATTCCGGCGGCTCATCCAGGTAAATCGTTCTTCTTTACGTCTTATTATCAAGAATCAAGAACAACATGGACGCCGCTCGATACCTTCATCCTCTTTTAACGAATTTGACGAACATAACCATTCCTCTGCCTCATGATCCACCGCGATATTTGAGTGTTTATCAACCAAGATAGTGCCAATAAAATAATATATTTCATGAGTTGTTATTGATGTTATTGATGGTATAAAATAATGATGCTTGCTCCTGAATTCATGGAATAATGGAAAGACTTTGGATGAGTTTATTGCGATAATCGAAGGAGAATATTTTAATGGTTTTATGGTATGATTCGAAAAGACGTTTTCAAGAATTTATTCTAGACTGCTGAAGCTTTTCGGCCGAAAGACCATCATCAGTGCTTTTCTTCTGCAAGATTACCACAGAAAAAGCTCTGATGATGGTCTTTTCTAGAATTGATGGGACTTTGATTATGGGTGATTTTCATTTATTCCATTCTAGACAAGAATTTATAGTGATCAATTTATTGGGAGAAGGTCAATTTTTATTAAATATGGTGATTTCTTGAGAAATTACGAATTTAATTATAATTTTTGCCCAGGTGGATGATTCGCCATTCATTTCCCTAATATAAACGCTATTACGAGCAACCGTAATTTCGCTAGAACGGAAAACCGTCGAGCGCGTTTACTCTTCACTTGCCACGCACTTCAAGCCAGTCAGCGCGCTGCTCTCCGCCCACGCTCACTATTTTTCGAGCAAAAGTCGTTCGATTTGGAGAGAATTCTAAAACGAGAAGTTTTCCCTGCGTAAAAATTTACTTTATGATCCCATAGTTATTGTCCTCTAAAAATATGAAAAATTTTAGATTGAGAGATGATTTCCCGAGTCGCCCTTGCCGCCCCACGACGAATGGCCCTCCAGGCTGTCCGGTAAGTTTTTTTCATTCATTATTTCAATTATCTGCTTTTTGTGAAAAACTTTGATTACTCATTATTTTAAAGAAATCCATGATTTTCAACCCTTTTGCGCTTATTTAACTCTTCATGGAATTAATGATAACTCTTAACTTCATATTGGTATAAGAATATTGTTGGAAAAATCATTTGATTTTGAATAATTTCGGGAAAAAGCATCATCTGGATTCTCAAAGTCTTCTTCTTTTTTCTGGAAATTGATCTTTCCGATCACGCTCCCCCTCCTTAGTTTTATTTTTAGCACTCGCAATTTTTTTTACTTCGAGAAGATTAATTTTTCCATTTTGATAACTATCTTTCTGTGCCCTTAAAACTCAAAGATTCTCATCGTTCGTTACAGACCTCTTTCCGTCTCCGCCCAGGCCCGAGATATTGACACCGCCGCCAAGTTCATCGGTGCTGGTGCCGCCACCGTCGGTGTTGCTGGATCTGGAGCTGGTATCGGAACTGTGTTCGGCTCCCTCATCATCGGTTACGCCCGAAACCCATCCCTCAAGGCTCAGCTCTTCTCGTAAGTCCCTATCCTCAACAACAACTCCTAACTGAACTATTCTAGCTACGCCATTCTTGGATTCGCCCTCTCCGAAGCCATGGGTCTCTTCTGTTTGATGGTTGCTTTCCTCATCCTCTTCGCTTTGTAAGCGCCTCCCGTTCTTCGAAAGAAACAACGAAGAATCTTTATTTATTGGCTTGCTCTTTAGGGCCACCAACGTCGTTTTTTCCACTTCGACCTTTAGGAAATTCAAATTTCTGCAACAACAACATCTTACATGAGCGATTTCAATAAATAACTTATTTATTCAAAGCAGCCTTGTCCTTTTTGCATCAAGAAAGACAGTAAGACTCATTCTATTCTCATTCACAGTATGTATTTCTGACAGAACAATATTATTACAAAAGTACGTCCGGCAACAGGGTTTTTAATTTACAAAAGTTTTATAAGTTTAATTAGGTTTCTTTTTCTTGATTAGTATCGTCGCCCACCGGGTAGTTCTTATGAACCTGATCAGGGCTGATTCCAAGCTAGAATCGGATTATTAACGGGAGAAGAATCTAACGGCTTACCTGTTTCTCAAGATCTGCCGTGAACCGGTAAACGAATCTTCTTCCAGTGACCTTTTCCAAAATTCCCTTGTCGTAGTAATAGCGCAGTCCCCGACTCAGCTTATCGTAGCTCATCTGCGGACGATTTTTTCTAATTCCCCATCGCCGTGCCACCTCGTCAGGATCCGCTAAAACACAACACGGTCACTTCAAGTGCAGCAGAAATGAGATTCGAATCGTATTTGTTCGAAAAAAGGATTATTCTCGTCTACTGCCCCTCGTCTTGTTGCAATCTTGCTTATCCCCGCCTTACCCATGACAAACTCCCAGCCTTTTTTCGTCCAGCTAATGCAGCTTTGATCCGGATCAAGCAGGAGTAACTCCAAAAGGAACAGCCAAAGCTGGGTGGGACCGCTCGCAGCGCTCGAGAGACGACTTCGAAGCATCTCAGTCCGACGATCAGGCGGAAGGTCGGCAAGCGCGGTAACGGGTGAACCTGCGGAGAGGGATCGCCCGCGCTCTAGAAGAGGCTTCTTCGGTGGCGACGAGCTGAGCAAATCTTCTGAGTGAAAACGGGATCGAGGAATCTCCTCTTCCGGTTCAGTTTTGATCTAAAACAATCAAAGTTCAGTGGTACTGGATGGAAGAAGCCTCCTTACCGGTTGCTCTTCGCTCAGATAGGTAAAATTGGTCTTGAGGAAGTTCATATGTTCCCAAGGAATATCACCGACAAGAGGCGGCCAGAGGTAGAGAAACTCGTCTCTGGTGAGGCCGAGCAGCTGACTGCCATCGATATTGTTTATATTGAACGAGTCTGAAACGCATTAGGGATCTTGGGTGCATAACGCATTTTATACCTAATCGAAATTCATCCTTGATCCAGTTTGCCCATTGGATTACATCTTCACGTGTCTAAATCACATGCTCGTCAAGATCAACATACAGATTATTATCGACCAAGAATTAGGTCCAAAACTTACCCATAATGAAATTGGCTTTTTGTTCTTGAATTTTGCGAAAATGTGGCCAACTGACTGTGTGAACTTGGTAGAACTGCGAGGAGTTATGCAAGGTGTGAACACCGAGGGAGTCGGTGTGAAGACGGGAGTAGCAGGGGTCAGTTCGCAGCTGGGCATGCTTGGATACGGGCTGGGATAGTAGCATGAGTCCAACGAGCGGTCAAATGAAGGATTGCAAAGATCTGCGGCTAAAAATAGTGTAACCAAGGTGCTCTAAAAAGCTTTTGTCCGATTGTTGTTTAGCGCAAATAATGAGATCATGGATTCTTATAGGATTCTGCAGCTAATCCTTTTTGCGAGAAAAAATCGAAGGTTACAAAAATGGAAAGAGTGACCCTCGGAAATTTACACTTGGGTGGCGATGCGCACTTTTCGTGTGCCACTGCGTAGGACAAGCGCTTATACGATTACACCCGGTCGGTTAGGTCCGTAAGTAGCGATCACAGACCTTCCAATTTTGTAACTACAAACAGCGATATTATAAGACCACAGTGCAGTGGTTGGGGATGAGAAATATACACGTCCCTTTACAATGAAAGTTTAATAATTATAAAATGGAAGGATACGGAATTTAGTCTGAACCCCACAAGTTTATTGGGAGATTGATATGACGCGCATTTCCTCACGTGATAAAGACAGAGCACTTAGGCTCAATTATCCGCTTTTGTAAAGTCCGAATCAAATAGAATTTATTTGGCGTTATAGCCTATCGTAAATGGGACACGGAATTAACTGGCCTATTCAGGCAACATCAATGGCCAGTCAATCAGGCAGCTTGCGATAGATTGAAAAGGCAAGTCGCATGACAGGAATCAGAATTATCGGTGACTGGTACGTGATCTTTGGATTGGGAGCGAATAATTCAATAGCAGTGCTGAATGATTGAGGAACTTGCCTCTTTTTTAGAATTGGAAACGCTTCTGTTAATATTTAAAACTAACATCAGCCTCTTAGAAAATTCACGCCTTTTAGCTCCCCGGAGACTTTCCAGTAGAGGGTGAGGGAAAACGTGTGCTGAGCATGTTGTTTTTGGGACTGGAACCGAGTTGAGCAGGTTCATTTGTAAAATTAATTATTCACACCCTTGGAGAACAGACACCGGTTCTAGATGGGAACTTACGATTGTGCGTGTTTGCATGTTGAGGGTAACGAGCATTGAGGTTGAAAGTTGCTTCCTGAGGGAGGCTTGGGACTCGTTGATCGGTGGACTCTCCTGGTAGTGTGAGCGGAGGTGGCCGAAATCGTTGTAAGCGGCTTGGAGCTTTCGGAGGTTTAGACGAAATCGTGCTGCTGGGATATGGATCGCTGTCAGGCGGTAGTGTCTCTGGAAAGTGCATAAAACTGCCCAAGCTGTCCGAAAATGATGGTACTAGTCGCTCCATTCAAACATTTGTTTCTAAATACGATTTCCTCATTAACAAAAACGTAAAACAATCTCTTTTTACGGAAAAAAATTTCATAATGAAGAACGCAAAAATAATCGGAATTGTTAAAAAAAAACGCAAAACGGTCAGAGTCGTAAATTTATCACCACAAAGCGGAAATCCATTCGGAAATTGACTCAGCTCGGACTCACGACAACTCAAATATTTGCGAATTCATTATTTTATTGTTTCTTTTATAGCGCTGTGTTCAAAAGGAAACATTAATCTGTTTATAATAATTTTATTATTAATTCAAGCGCTTGAAATTTATACAAATTTATTTGTTCTCTCCCCCCCAAAAAAAAAAGGTTCTAAGAGCAAAAATTTGAATTTGAAATCATCCTTTTTGTTCGCATAGACAGTTCTATATAAATCAGCTCATCCGCCAAATCAAATTACCGCTTCCGGTCAAAGCGCTAGCAACTCAACCCTTTGATACATATTTTGATGCTCACCTGTTTACTCCTTCTTTTGTTCTTTCTACACTTCACGTGACGAGTCAGCGGGCTCTCTCAAAGTGGAGCTGTACTTTTGAAAAAATGTGTGTAAGCCAAAAATAATAAAAGGAAAATTTAGCGTGGGGTTTATCGCGCCCTAATGTGAGACGTTTTTTATTTCATTGCGCGTTGAGGATCTTCTGGGCCGCGCAACTCTGTCTCGGGTATCTTCGCACTGACACAGGGCGTCCCTTTATTATTTCTCGCTCTTTTACTCAGTGTTCAGTCGCGCTGTTAGTGCTACCGCGCAGCGCTGAGGGGCAACGCGCGCAACACCGTCGAGATACCAGCGGCGCCCGTCGACCCTTACCAGCTGGCGCTAAAGAGACCAGCGATTCAACTCTAGCAATACTCAACCAGTATCTTAGGTTATTCTCCTAAGGAGGCTTCGTTCCGTCACTTTCTCGCTTCAAAAGATGCTAATTACATTGAGTCTATTTTTGATTTAAATCATATCTATATTAGGGATTATAAACATATAAAGAAGAATCGTTACCGTCTATATAATTATTATATCTCACAATTTGAAGGTTAACTGAGAAGAAGAAGCTATCAAAAGACCCTTTATTTTAGTCAATATTGAGTCAGATTTAACAGATCTTGCGATTGTCTTAAATCCGAGGATCAAGATAAACCCCTTTTACAAAGTACCTCTCCCCATGAAATTGAGCAAAAACAGTTGAGGATTAAGCTACTCGAGCATATTACTTGCAAATCAGAATCTCACGATGTTGTGAGCAAATTGATATGGTAGTTTTTGTGGTTCCTTGTGGATTTAAAACAATGACGACATGGAAAAAGGCATGGGAATATTTCCAGGAAACATTTGATAATTATAGACACGGTATTTTAACATAGATGCGGGTAGAAGAATCTCATTCAGCTTCAACTAACAGAAGAACCTAGTTTATCTATACTTCCAAGCTGCATTAATTATGTTATTCATTTCCGAAACCGAAAGCGTGACATCAGAGAAGAATGTTTCTCACTAGAGACTTGAAAAGCGCCGCTGATTGTTTCACCGTCAGCGATAAGTCTGACGAGAATGACAAGTTGACTTCCGAATTCTTCTCCCGCACATCGGAAATGTAGCGATAACGCGTAAACACATTTTCAATAAATCAAGCTTCATCAAGAAGGAGTCGTCTGCGGTACTCTTCCTTGATATCAGAAGCTTTCAGTTTTTTGAATAATTTATTTTCAAAATTGACAGAATTGAAGAATTAAATAAATAAACAAAAGAAAAAATACTATTTTTCATCGTTGTTTGCTTCAAGACTAAGTTTATTTTTTAATTTTTCTTCGTACATTTTCTTGTATTTTCTGTCAATATCCAATAAATTTGGATTCACGAATGATTCCTCCCTCGAAGCTTTTTGAGATTCTTCAACGTCTGAAAGCCAAAGTTGACAGAAAACCACCTCAAAGAAAGTCTTACCAGAAGATTTTTCACTCTTGAAATCAGGCAAAAACGTGAATTTACTCAAGTTTTCCTTCATCTCGTCAAGTTTTGCTTTGAGTTCCTCTTTCTTAACCAAAAGCCAGTACTTTTTAAATCTATAGTTTTCCGTTCGAACGTATTCAGCCATTTCCAAATCGTCGCACATCTGCGTCGCCAAAAGCCTAAATTCAAGGCAATCTTCGTTGAAGTAGTTTTTCTTTGAAAGCGCTGCGTTAGTGCTGAATCCCCAAGTGTTGAAGATGCTAGGCATATCTGGATGCGGGAAAAGAAGGTACGGGCTGGAGTGGACTCATTAAATGATAAATTAGAAAAGAAAGGAGAAAATTGAGTCTTTGATCAATTTCGGAGCCCATTTTATCGGTCTTGTTATATCTGCGGAGACAGGTATGGAACTGATGCATAAACCAGTCGCACTCACGTCTGTTGATCGTCGTATTCTCGTTCCCGTATGTTTCAGATATATCGAACGTAGCTGTCCTTAATTAATGAATCTTAACTTAAAAATTAATTTCAGGAAGAAGGCTCACTTTCTTACGCCTTTACGTGGCTACTCAAAAGATCTTTTCAAACATTCAATAATCAAAAACAAGTAGCCATTCCTGTAATTTGTCCGAGAATATCAGGCGTAAAGAATTTCCCCGCATTTTGTAAGCCAGAGTAAAGACTTTCTCGATTCCAGCCCATCGCTGTTTTCCACCAGGACTCGTCGAACTTCGTTCCACCGGTGGAGATAAATTGCTCTCGTTCTTTTTTGAGTTCGTCGAACTCATCTTTCCTAATAAGGAACTGTCTGTCTTCGGGAATGTAGTCTCTTGCTTGCTTGACGGTATACTCCGGGTCCGTTTTGGAAAGACGAATATGCGCTCGGCGCCGATTTTCCAGAGCTGCAAATTGCTCTCCTGCGCTGAGTTTTGTGAAATCTGCCGAGTCTAATTCTTGAAGCTGCTCTGTATGAATCCGTTTCTGAGCTTCTGTGAGCTCTTCACTAGCTGGATGGTTCATTTTCTAGGAGAAAATGAGTCAATTCAACTTTTTTAAGGAAGTTTTTTATTTAGAGAAGCTTGAAACTGACAGAAAATGGACATAAGAAAAGGAAATTATTGGTCAATGAAAAGTTCAGTGTAAGGTTCAGGAAGGGATAATTTGGTTCATATATTCATAATAAAAATAACACGCGGTTAGAAATTGAAATCAATAGGAAATATCGAGTAATACTCGATTCGAGTATGTAATAATTTGTCTTCGGCAGAAAGGAAAATAGGTTCAATAGTCCAGAAGAGCTCTCAGCTCACGGAACTCACTTCGATAGAGTTTTGAATGGAAAATCAGCTGCAGGGCGCTCATTATCGGCTGAAAATATTTTCAGTACTTTTAAGAGTACTTTCAAGTGCATACCCAAATAGTTCCGAGGGCGGCTGCATTCCAGGAGCAAAAGTGCCAGTCAGAAACACCTTCCAGGTGCGCCATCACGACAAATGCTATCAAGCAGCCGATAGAGCCTAGGAGAAGTAAATATCCAACGCCGACGAAGAGCCTAAAAGTTGTTTAGGTGGAAGACATATTGGATCCGCATACTTGAGTCCACGGAGCCAAGGTCGCCACAAATCTTGAATGTACATAATGTGGCCAACAAGGTCCCATAACTGCCCGACACCGCCGATTCCGAAGCAAATCGGAAGCCCGACGCATGGATATGGATAATTATAGACTGAAGTAAAAGCTAGCATAAAGTCTCAGATGCAATTTCTTACTGCTAATGGAGAGCGCTACAACAAAACTGAGCAACAGAGCGATGGCCGACCAACCAAGGCGAATTCCAGTCAACGAGCGCGGAAGCTCTTCTAAACTCCGCGCCATTGAATCCGATCTCCGATCCCCGTTCTCGACTCTGAAAAGAGGAACATTTGAAGTAAAGCTCAGTTATTATCATTTTTGCAGATGGAGACAACACGAGCGATTGTATCAGCTTGTGACTGATGAACAGTCCCAAGATGAAATATGGAGTTTTGGAAGATTGTTTTAGTACTGAAGCTTCCGTGAATGAAATCGACACCAAGATCTAGTATGGATTTTGCGTTTTGATCAGTTACTCCTCCTCCGATCATCAGTTTGATATTCAGCTTTTTACATTGCGTAGATAACTGACAAATGTTTTCTGTTATTGGGCTGATTTGAGTCTTATTTTCACTGTTATAGAAAAGTTTCCGACTGAGCCCATTACGAAAGCTAAACCTTTATCTTTACCAATAGAAGCTCTCCCAGACGTTAGCAAGTATGAGCAGCCAGAGATGGAAATTGCCCTGAGCTCATCCTCAATTGGTCCCATACTTACGTCAAATGCACGATGGAAAGTGAACGGCTTTTGAGAGGAATTCACAAGACTTGTTGCGTCGCGTTGACAAACTTTCAACAAGCCGGAATCTCTCCTGAGACAGCCGATTACAAAACCATCAGACCCAGCAGTTTCCAAAGACTTGATCTCCTCCTTCATAATGTCAATTTCACCCTAGGAGCACAAGTAAAAGAAGACACCCTTTACAGCTACGTTTCCATATCAAGAAAAAATACCTCTGTGTATTCGAAACCGCCAGTCCTACATCTTATCAAGCAATAAACTGTCAGATCAGGGATATTCTGTTTTATCATCTTCAAGAGACCTATCGAAGGTGTTAGACCCCCAAGTTCTAACGCCGAGCAAAGTTCTATTCGATCAGCTCCAGCTGCAAATGCTGCTTGCGCACTAGCTCTATTTTATAGTCTTTCTTTAAAATCAGTTTTTTCTACCTTTCAAAGGTTTCAACGCAGATTTCTACACCACACATTTTCATTCTTGAACTTGTTTTCTACGTGGTGTAGATTATGTTTATTTATTCTTATTTTAAAAAGAAAGAAATGAGATTCGGTGATATGATTGTTGTGACTCACAACTTGTGAGTAGGAATTGTGAAAGTTGAAAAATAAGAGGAGGTAGTGCATTTTTAGTGTTGTGAAGGGCAGCGCTTTTTCATTTAAAATTCGGAATGATTAGAGTAAGTGCTCGATACGCTCAGATTTTTCAGCGAGAATTTTGCCGAGAATATTTTTGTAGTACTCGCGGAGCTTATCCGATGTTCGTTTCTGCTCGGCCATGACTTCTCGCTAGAGTTTTTGGTAATAAAGAGTAAGAGATTAAAAGTTACCTTGAGTCGATCGTTATGTTTCTCCTTTATCTTTTTGATTGCTTCGTTGCATTCTCCTTTGACTTTTGTGAGTGTTTCCGTGTATTTGAGCTTGACTGAATTGAACTGTGACTGTAACTTTGTGAATTCTTCGTGAGAGACGCCGCGCGGCGTCGAGGTTTGCGTTGTACTCAGCGATCGAGTCGATGGAGTCGGGCTGCTGCTTCGCGATGAATGCATCGAAACATGCCGAAGTTTGCTTTCCAAGCGGCGCTTTTCTTTGTTCCACTGCTCTTTTTCCCGAGAATAACGCTTCTTCAGCTCTTCATCAGTAACTGAAAGAACAGCTTGTTAGAACTATTTTAATTGACATATTCCTGCTCGTGCTTACCTTGAGACTGATCAACACCTTGAACACGCTTTAGCAATGCGGAATTCTCGAGCTCTACATTTTTCAGCGCCCTCTCTGTCTTTTCTAATTTCGCCCGAAGCTCTGAATTGGAAGTTGACAGATTTTCGCTTTGAAAAGTTGTTTGCTGTCTCGAGAGTTCAACGTAATCGTTCTTTATTTCGTCGAGCTTTTTGTGCAAATCTTTGATTTCCGCCAAGCGCTCGGACAGTTGCTCTTTCAATCCATTCACTTCCAAGTCTGAAATCGCAAAAGGTTGGAAACGATGAGTTTTCATTGAATCTTTACCTTTTGCTTTGTTGAATTCTTTAGTCAAGTTGTCGACTTGAAGAGACAGGGATTGTTGGTAATGAGTCTTTAAACTCTCTTCGAGTTTTGTAACGGCTTCTTCTTTCTCGCTTTCAAACGATATTTTCAGCTTCAAATAATTTTTATATCACAAATGAGATACCTTCGAAATGTACCTTTTGAGTATCAGCGTCAATTTTGGCCAACTCTTCCCTAGCTTTCAAGAGTTGATCCTCGAGAAGTCGTTTCTCCTTTACCGCTAGTTCAAGATCGCTTTTGGAATCTTGAAGTTGTAGTTTTGTGTCTGCCAGTTTGTTCTCTAACAAGTCGAAACGTTTCTGCAAGTCGCTGTTTTGATTTTTCGTCAAATTCAATTCCATTGTTTTGCGCATGTCAAGAGGTGTGCAGGCTCCATCAAAGGTGAATTCGGACTCTTCAAAGTCGATCTTCTTTGCGACTGTATCAATAGGGACAGTAGCAGGCATGGTTTGTTGATGGTGCTGCGCTTGTCGAAGCTAAAAAATCTTGAAGAAAACGACGGTACAGTTAAATCCTACGAGAGTGTTGAGTCTGTTGATAGTTTCCCCATTTTCGACCATATCTCGTTTCCGGTTCTTTTCCACCTCTTCTGCGTGAGCTTCTGCACCTTTTCTAGCTCCCTCTTCTTTTGACAAGCTATCTTTAAGTTGCTTGATCTCATCAGCCATCTCGTCAACAAGTTCTTGCTGTTGGCGACGCATTTCGTCCACAATTCGTTCATGATTGTATTTTGCCTAAAAAATGTAATTATTTAGTTACTCTTTTCTGACCTCACCCTAGGATCGACAAGTCCCACCCGACACCCGATCGAAAACCGACGTTTTTGTCGGGTTTTTGTTGGATTCTGCCGACCCTACAAAAACCTGACGCTGAAATTTTGGCGACCCTACAAAATCGGGTATTTATAGGGTCATTTATCGGATTTTTGTAGGGTATTTTCGTCGGGTTTCTCTTCGGATCTACTCATCAGTTTGATTAAAGACAGTACCCGAAATTCTGTTAGCCAAAAATTATGTCTATTTTCCCCCATTTGGATTTATTTTACTTGATTCAACTTCAGTGTTGTGAAAACTCGACAAGAACCCGACAAAGACCCGACAAAAACCCGACAAAAACCCGAAAAATACCCTACAAAAACCCGAAAAATACCCTACGAAAATCCGATAAAAACCCGACAAAAACCCGACGAAAACCCGACAAAAACCCGATCGGAAAAATCAGACTTCGAGAAAATCCGACGAAAACCCGATCCGGATTTCGGGGCATTTGTCGATCCTAGACCTCACCTTTGAAAGCGCGTCATCAGAATGAGCTATTCTGAGCTCGTTCTCTAGCGATTGCAACTGCGCTTCTTGTGTAACTATTCGCTTCTGCATCTCCTCATTTTGCTGCCGTAGCTGATTGAGCTCGATTTCTCGCGCGTCGCACTTCTTTGAAAATTCGTAGCTCGCGCGCTCAGAGGAGTCCAACTGCGATCGCAACGCAAGTAAATGCTCGTCTTTCTCACGAAGTTGCATCGTCGCCATCTGAGCATGGAAATAATAGATTTCGTTATGAAAGGAGAAAGCTTACGTCTTGATCGTGGATTTTTAACTTGTTGATCTCCTCAAGCTCTTGTTTTGTGAATGTAAGTTGATGATCTAAATCTTGAATTCTTCTCTGCGCTGCGGAGTACAGTTGTCTCAACTCGGCCAGCTCTCCGTTGCCTGCCGGCTGCCTCTCGTTTTGAAAGCTTTGGTCGCGTTGCGGACTCGGCACTGGTCTTGGAATACGCGAGTGATACGCAACTGGTGACGCTTCTGCGCTCTCGCCAAAACTACTCGTCAGATTATGCGTTTCGTTTCTAGCGCCGTTGCCGCCTCGCATTCCTCGGTGATACTGAGACGGCTCGAAGTCTCAAAGAACAACTACTTTATCTATCTACGCAGCATTAATCTACCTTCATCATCTGAGCTCAGATCTGGAAGCTGATTAGCCACGGCTTCGTCTATTCTTTGCTGATCGAATTCGTCGTCGAACTCGCTCTCGTCCTCCTGCACATGCACATCATTCCCTCCAAAAAGGGACATTCTACCAAGATGCAATTGAATAACTAGCGCATATATTTTTTGTTCGTTTCAATAAGTTATCAATATATATTCTCAATAGAATAATTTGAACTAGTGCAGCATTTCAATCTGATGAGGCAGTTAATTTTTGATGAAATTCAGGCAAAACGGTGCTAAGGAGGGTAAAACGGGCCATAAATTATTATGGCAATACCCAAGTCAATCTATGTACAAGTTTCTGTGGCTCAAACAGGAGCAGAAATGGGCATAAAACGGTTCTAGGGGAGCGTGAGTGAAAAAAATGAGGCGAACGGGTCCTATGGCAGGACTTATGCCTAGAAAAGCAAGTCCACGGGGTAATCAGAGCTGGGGGTTGGGGAACTCGAAGTCATCGGCAAGAAATTCCCAGACATCGTTTGGGAAGATGGAAGGGCTAAAAATAATAAAATATCATAAGATTTTTACATCTTACGGTTCGATCCAAGAACTCTGACGGGACTCATCTTTGTCGTTGTTGTTTGCAGATTGCAGGATTTCCGCAGCAGAGCATTCCGCTTTGTCGAGGTCGGAGACGAGAGGATTCTTATTTTCTTCGGATGGGGAAGGAATTTCGATGATCGCGGGGGCGTTCTCGTCCATTGTCTTTTTCATCGGCTTTCTTTTCCTGAAATTTGCATTTTGTAAACGTTTTTCTGAGAATTTTACGTTTTCATTTCGTTTTGACTCCCTTGATTCAACTTCATATTCTTCGCTGTTCTTCGCGTGAGCCGGAGCGGAGGAGCCGCCGGGTTCGGCAGGGCTGTCTTAGCTGTCTTTCGTGCTGGTCGGTTCTTGTCTTTCGGCGCCAATGTGGCCTTGGTCTTATTCTTTGCGGATCGTGTTTTCATTCTAAAACTAATCATTGTAACTGTCTGTTCTTGAATTTTTAAAATTGATCAAGTTCATTTTCGATTTCATCTAACAGACGGTCGAAAATTTTACAAGCTGGTTCATCAAATTGTGTTTTATCAGACTCAAGAATTCCTTCTTTTCCTTCACTGCCTCGTATCTTTCTCTTTATAAATTGTGTTACCCCAGCGAGATATTTCAAGTGCTCTGTAGAATTGGCTGCTATTATATTCTTATCTGACTCGGTAAATGTAGTCGAGAACTCGCCGAAGAGCAGCTTTTTGTTTTCTGACAGCTCTCTATGTTTTTCTTCTCGAAAGACTTCGAGTTTCTTGGATATTTCCGAAGCATTAGCGATGTTCATTCTTTTCAGATCTTTTTCAGTCACGAAGGGTATTGTTTCGGCAGTGATCTCGTGATTTGTAAGGACGTCGAGAAGATCTTCTTCTTCAATCCCGATGAGCATTATTCGCAGTTCGCTGAACTCGTCTTGATTATCCTCAGGAAGTGGCGGAAGAAGTGATGCTTCTTTTGCCAAATCTGCTGGATCGAAAGGAAGACTAGACGTTTTTTTCATGTGCTAAAAATTAATTTCATTGCGGATGGTGAAGAATAGGTAGAATACTGAACAATCTAGAACAGAAATGGGCCAGAATAATCAAAACAGTAGTTAAAATTGCACAAAACCATGAGACATGTTGAGTATAATGATAAAATTGATAAAGTGAAAGTAGGATTCAATTTGAAAAAAACTAGAACAGAAGGTCGGGGTCGTGTTCTTCTTCGAGCAGATTGTCAGCTTCCTTGAAGTTACCGAGCTCTTTCATGATCTGAAAAAGATATATAACAAATTGCTCCTTTGAAATTAGACTTACTCGAAGTTCTTCTTCTTGGGCTTCTTTGAGTTCCTTTTTCTTTCCCTGGACCTTTTTGAGTCGGTAGAACTCTTCTCTCTCACACTCATCGAGTTCAGAGATGATGTAGGCAATCTAAGATGTGATTACCGTGTTTGATCGGAGTTAGGACTTACAGTTCGTTCGTATTTTGGAATGATGACATGCTCAATTGCGTTGACGCGGCGGTTTGTCGCTTTGATCACTTCGTCGAGAGTAACGAAAGATGTTTGAAGACTACAAATATTAAAATTCATGTTTTATTTCTGTTTTCTTGCCTGGCAATGTCGACAAGCAACTGAACAACGTCAGCGTAGGCCTTTTTAACATGATTGAATTTCTCTCCGCCTCGGCCAAGACCTGTGAGCTCGTAATTGTCCGTTCCATCACTGATACACTAAAAAGATTCTCAACAATTGAAAAACACTTTGTTTATCACCTCGAAAGCAGGCAAAGAAACGCCGGCGACATTTTCTTTTCTTGCTTTGAGTCTTCTCGACGCGCGTGTTCCCACATTTTGCAAAATGTCGGAATTGAAGTCACCCGCCGCGAATTTGGCCTCGACAAATGCAAAGTTGGCTATTTTCATCACCTCGCCCATCTTTTCTTTTTTTGTGATAATTTCCTAAAAATAGCAGCGTTGAATTGATCAATCGATTGATTGATGATTCAACCTTCATGATTTGCCGAAATTTGAGGGAAAGAGCATCCGCCTTTTTCTTTAGCAAGCTGTGGCCATTTTGAGCGCCCTTTAGCCTCGCTTTCATGATGGTAAGGTTCATCCGCGACGGAAAGATATTGACCTTATCTTTTCCCGACATTTTTGTATCTCTAAATGGTTCTATTGAGACTTATGCTTGAATAAAAGACGCGAGGGAAGCATTTTTTCAGTTATTTTATTTTGTGAAGTACTGAAGGTGAACGACATTGAAATTTAACATTGAAATTTTACAGTATCAACAGAATGATAAGCTAGACAAATCCAAAGGTCTTCGTTTTGATAGCCATGGACAGTTTCTGCCTCAGAATAGCTTTGGAACTAAAAAAGCTTGATCAAGCTTTGAAGACTCAAAATCTCACCTGTAAAGGGGAAGGTAAAGGCGGGAGATACAAGTATTGGCAGAGGGCAGACTCTGGTCATTGGGACCGCGAATAGTCACTGAAGGAGCAGGCTCAAAGGCTTCCTCGCCGGCTCGAAGTGCAGGAGCCCCTAAAATTAATTGAGTCTTTGTATAGCTTTCATGACTGCTACCTGTCCAAAAATAGAGAAGCTCCTGTCTCTCTTGCTGCGTAAACGAATCGACAACCTAAACGATTTAAAATATTTATCAACACTTTTTTATAAGATGACTCACCTCCCACAGCCACTTCTGCAACTTCTGTACATCATTCTTTTCACTTTCGTCTTTCGCGTTACTTTCATCATTGAACGTCGTCATTGCTGTCAACTTTGCGACGTCAACAGTTGCGACTCCGTTCACCAACAGCCACCAATCCTCTGGCGTGAGTCCGGCAAGTGCCTGCTCTGATACAACATCGAAAATTCCCTTTCTCAAATGCTCAACAGCATTTTCCCACTTTTTCACCATGATGTAATGGGCGTATTTACGCACGTAAGTGTAAACGTTTGCGCTCGTCACTGAAAAAAGTTAGTTTCCACTTTCAATTTGAATTCTCACCTGCGATGTTCTGGCCGTCGGGAATAAGTTCAACCGACTGGATAGTTCCATCGCGGGTTGTCTCGTCGATTTCGAAGGTGAAGCCTAGGTCCTCCACTGATTCAGGGTGTTCTTTCGCGGAAAGGACCAGTTTTCTTAAATATAATAATCATAAACATGTTTCTAGGTACAGCTAGCTACCTGAGAGACTCGAAGATAGTTGAGTCATAGAAAGCCAGATCATGCCAGTTGACTCGTCTTCCAAGAATTTGCTTCACAATCGGACGGGAAAGGGGAGTGGGCAGAGCTCACTATGAAGAAGACCCAGACCGAGAATTCGCCCGACATTACGGAAAATATTCATTCGCCGTTCAGAACCATTGCCGGGATTAGGGCAGTAGTAGCGCTGGCTTGTGCTGGGCATCGTGAAGAGAGGCTCGTCATCGGGGTCAGACTTTTTACTGGCTGGCTTTTCTTCAATGTATTGGCCGTTTTCTTTCAAGACTTTGACTGCTTCGGCAACTCGCATCTTGCATAAATCCTCGTCATTTGTCATGAGAAGGCGATTAGATGCGGAAGATTGAAGGAACATTCCAGTGATCTTTGCCGCATTCAACTTATCCACAGAATGAATCTTTTCATAAAGTTGCTCTAAGATAAAAATTAGTGAGCAAAATAGTTGATAATGAGAAGGTCTTACTTTTCAAATCGTTGGAGCTGTTCTTGGCATGAGGATCATCGTTACCCTTTCCGGGGGACCATGGGGCAGCATTAACATTCAATTGACCCTTGTCTTTGTTCTGTCTTTGTTGATATCGCTGCAAACCAGATAGCCCAGAGCGGCGAGAGATGTACTCTGACTTCGAAGAAGACGAAGGAGGTGGCAAAACGTCCATCTTAGGAACAGGAAGGTCTTCAAGGAACGCATCCGCAATAGTGGTGAAGAAGGATCGCATGACACCATTTCCCTCGCCTGGTTCTCCCTCAAAACGAACCTTGATCTTTTTTGACACCATCAAGCCATCAGCACGGCTTGAGGGGCGACTGACTGGTGCCATCCCTGACCAAAATCCTTGAGAGCGCACACTCTTTGATTGATCCTTGCTCTCTTTCTTTGCGAACTCGTCATTGAGCTGCTTGATTGTTTGCGGAATAAGCTTTTCACGCTGACGATGGACAACAAGGGACAATTCTGAGTTCTTTGCGCCTTTTTGAAGATCTTCCATTTGTTTCTGGAATTTCGATTGTCGAAGGTTGAATGATGCGAGCTGTCGGAGGACAGAATCTTGCTCCGAACCGACATCGTCCATGAAGACACGAGCAAAGATTTCCACACAACTCTTCCAACGTGAAAGAAGCGCGTCCGGCTCGACATGATTGTCTTGTCCATTTGACTCGCTCACGGGCCACATAAATTCAGACTCCTCATATCGCCGAGTCAAACTCATATGTTCAGGTAGCCGAACGACTGAGGATTGGGGCGCTTGTTTGCCTTCTCCGCGAGTTCCACGGCCGAAAAGTTCCTCTTTTGAAGCTTTTGGTCGAAGAAGGTGAGGCTTGTCTGCCAATGGAAGCGCCTTATCGAACGGAGTCTCGAAGGGATCATCGTTCGCGCCGCCGAGGAAAAGCATCGAGTCCGATCGGCGGAAGAAAATATGAGTTGGAGTCTCATTAGCTCCAGGAGAGTCAGTTTTCTGGCTTTGCCTTGGAGTTGAGCTCAATGCTCTCTCCGATTTGAGCAGTGAAATGAACGCATCCAAAACGTAGGCAACATGTCGAAGAGCTCCAACATCAATTGAAGGCATGACATCAGAATGTTCAGAATTCTGTTGCCTCATTAGAGACAAAGCGTAAGTCATGAATTCATGCGCGGCGATGTGGTTCTTAGTTCTCTTCTGCCCATCAGAATCGTTTCTTAGACGAAGATGATTTCGGCGGGTTTCAGAGACTTTGCTCAATGTAGCTCCATATCGCAATTGTGATTCAGTCCAGTCCATGGTGGTCATTAACCACTCCCAAGATGGTCGGAGGAGTCGCTGGACATTCGGCATTATCTGATCAGAGTCCGTTGATGGACGATTCAGATCAGGCTGCAGAAGAAGAGCAACTTGTTTGATGCAAAGGGCTGCACAGCGGGCAAGCTTTGATTGGCTTTCGGAAGTTTGGCAAGATCCGGAGAGTGACATATTACGTTTAGAGGGATCTGCACCACCAAGTGCGCCAAAACCTTCTCGGATCATTCCACCGCTCTCTCGTGGATCTCTCATTCGGTATCTGCTTTCACGGACAGCCCATGAAAGATTGCCACTGCCTTGCTGGTCATTTAGTCGGCGACGACTGTTTCGCAAATGGACGATATCAACGTCAGGGAAGATTCCTTCGAAACTTTCATCATCAAAAGGAGTACTTTCTCGATGGTCTCCATCATACAGAGGAGAGCCGACGTCAAATGTGGACCCGTCACCCCATCGGTCTTCGTCTTGATCCATTTCTTCTTGATCTTCCATATCATCATCCTCATCGACTTCTTCCTCGTCGCGCTCTTCATGATCATCATGCTCGCTGTTTTCCTCGTCCGTTCCGTCTTCGTTGAAATTGCCAGTTGGCCATCCGCCATAGTCTTCAGGAGGGCCATTGTGCAAAATATCCTCTTCTTCCAAGTATGGATTATCGTCCAGAACCAGCTGATTGTTCTCATTTATCTGCAATACTGGTAATTCCTCTTCGTCCTCAGCTCCCTCGTCATCTCCAGTGATTTCGCCGTCTTCTTCACCTTCATTCTCATCTTGATCATTCTCTCTATCATCGCCATCTTGATCACTGATAATCTCTTCGATGGGTCGATCATTGGTGGCATCCATTTGGTCGTCATTCTCTGAATGATCTGTTTCAGGAATATCGAGCTCCTCTAAAAGGTTCCAACCTCCTCTCGCTCGGTAGGCATCTCGCTCATCGATCTCTTCCTGCAGTCTGTTTGAGCGTTGTTGATGAACTTCGTTTAATCTTCGTTCAAAAGATCGAATAGCTTGATTTCGGGCGGCACTTCCCCAGCGACTTGCTCTTTGAGTTCGATTATTTCCTTCTCCAGAATGCTCCTCGCCAAACTCCGAGCGATCATCAGTATTGAGCAATCGACGGGTGCTGCGGCTGAAATTTCGGCCTTGAATACCTTCACGGTTGTTAACGGGGCGATTACTCATTCGTGGCGTATCACTTTTCTTTCGTTTCGGAGCGCAAGGATCAACCCGGAATAATTCGTCAGTTTCGCCGATAGCATCGTTGGAGTTCGAGAAAAATTCGAAGCCTGGAACTGGCCGGACAGCGCCAAGTCGAACGGGCGCGAGGAGAGCATCAGATGTCTGGCAGAGTTCTTCGATTGCAATATCTGGCAACTCCTGGAATACCTTCGTAAATCGTTCAAGGCACTTGCGTTGAGCTTCGTTTGTCATCGTGCTCGGCTGAAGATTTCCTGCAAAACACACATAAACTCTCACTACTGAGCGAATGAAACGGTGGATTCCAAGTAGGACAGTTTCTTCCCGGTCGGTTCCTTTAGCAAGTTTATACTGCTCAGTCAGGGTATTTAGTAGGGCGCCCATGTAGTCCCATTGGCTTGAGTGAGATAGCCGAAGAAGAAGGGTCTGGACGAATTTATCAAGCCGAGCTACTCCTTGCTGAGATTCCAGTTGAGTTTTGTCCTCATTGGAGTATTTCGACGAGTAATAACTAGCGGAGAGACTGTCTCTCTTGAAAACGACTAGTCCTTCGACAGCCTTCCACTCTGCAAGACAGTACTGCAAAGCTTTTCGACAAAAGACAGGCGGTGACTCGCGGCTAGAAGAACTACTTGAGGCATGAGATCTTCGTGCACCCAAGTTTTGATTGTCAACTTCGGCGAGATTGTTTTGCTCCTTGATTTGGCGCGCAACTGTATGCGCGAGGAACTGTAGAATGTGCTCGCCTTTGTTGGTGGAGACATGGAAGAGCTGAGTGTGAGTAAGCATCATTTCGAGCAGCAATTCGCGCTCCTTTTGATCGCCAGGATTGAGAGCCTTGCACGCACAGCTGCTTGGACAATCACAATAGGCAGTTGGCGAGGTTTTCTTGAGAACACACTCGTGGCCAACGTGACAAGTTTGGGCGCACTCCGTGCAGCAGCAAAGTGACTCAGTCAAATTGCAAGTCTTGCACTCATAAATATCCTGCTTTATATGTTGTTTCTTTGTCCATGTGTAGCTGCAAGTATCGTTGCAGCAAAGAACATAAAGCGGGTTGAGTTCACGAGGAGAGTTGTCAGGGAAGATGAATTTTTTGATGGCACTACTTGAGTTGGAGCTCTTCTCGGCTTCGCACAAGTTTAAAATTCGCTCGAAAATCAAGGCAGCATCTTTGTATGCTCGCCGAATGATTGCATACATGAACGGAGTTCGTCCGAACGCATCTTTTTCTTGAAGAAGCTTTTCGCAGGCAGAGGATGATAGACAGGAATGCCCGAGCAAAATCTCAAGGCAGTTTTCTTTTGGAACCGATTTCCAGCTTGAACCAGAATCTTCCTTTTTGTTAGATCTGGTCTTGCTAAAAGGTGCGCAGATGACAGAAGAACGATTGCTATTTTCCATTTTCTGGGTGATCTTTTGACGAAGTTCTTCGGCAATCTCTGGCTTAACGATGACAGAAATAGATTCAATCATCTCCGCAAGAGATTTTTGAACATCTGACTTTGTTTGATTCTTCTTGTCCTTTGAAGGAGCATTGCTATCGATACAAACGTGAAGTAGATTTCGCTCTCCATCAACAACTTCGCCGAGAAGGCGGGGAATGACCCCTTGCCAAATGGGGTTATCGGAAAGTACCGAAAGAAGGGCTTTCAAAAGATCAGGATTGTTCTTGATCAAGATTGGCGAGAGAATATGTCGATCCAGGCAGATGAGAGCTACAAATGCCCGATCGCGTCTTCTAGTCTCGGTCACATCAGTCATGTTGTAAATTGAGCTTGTAAGCGCGTTTATTGGCGGCAAACCGAGCCAAAACCACTCCGGATCTTGAAGTGTTCCTTCGTTAAAGAAAATCGGCTGGTGGATCTTCTTGCTATCGAGGAGGATGCAAGGGACATCACCGAATGTGTGATCAATTTGAACAGCGTCGTCTTTCGAGAAGCACTCCGGCGTGGCTCTCAGGGAAACTGGTTGATTGATGAAGGTGTTTGTTCCGAGGTCAAATTTTCCATATTGAATTTTGCCGGAGTTGCTATTTTTCGAGATCAAGTGCACAGTTGCTTCTTCATCGACTTGAGCTGAGATGACTTTCGAAGAACCAATGTTGAGTTTCTTCGGAGTCCGAATGATCGCCTCGATTGATCTTGTCGATTGATTCGCGAGGCATAGCTCTTCTTTTCGGAAAATTTTGATTCCAGGATCGTTAATTTTCTCAGCGTTGCCGTAGCTGACGATGCAAACATTGTCCTGCATTCGTTTGATAGTGCCAACAACTTCAGTTCTGTCCCCTTGCTCATTAGGAAGAAAAACGACATGTCGCAAATCCCATTTCTCATGCTCCGCCGAGTCCGTCTCTTCGTGCTTACGTTTTCGATCATTTGACGAGGAGCTGACTGGTTCAAAACTCTCGACGAGAAGTTCGTAAGGCTGGAGGACCTTGAATTCAACAGCTTGTTTTGTGTCAAGCGAGACGAGATCATGAACCAGTTCGCCAATTCTAGGTTGATTGTCGAGCAGTTTGATGGCGCGAGTTCGGGCTCTGTAAGCTGGCTGCTTCTTCAAGCAGACAACACTTCCTACCGAAAGGGCTTCTTGCTTTTTGCTAGCCTGCTTTGAAATTGCCTCAAGCTGACGCTTGCGAAGCTCGTAAGGCGCAACGCCCATCCAGAACGCTTCGTTTCTTACAATGACCAGTGTCCACTGAGAACATGTGTAGAGCAAGGCGTTGGACAGATCACCAAGTTCTGAGTGGACAGCTGCGGGGGTATCAATAAGATTTTCGAAGGGGTTGATAATTGCATCGGCGAGAATAGCAATTTTGTTGGATTTGGTAATGATACTTGCGCGGCAAACACTTCCTGCAAGTTGAGTCACTTCCTCGTTGAGCAGACCAAGCTCCTTCGTTTTCGGATGGAAAATCACATCGCCATCTTCTACTACCCGATAAGGCTCAGAATCGTGCCAATTCCACTGATGAAGTCGACCACAGCTGTCGAGCGCGAGAAGTTCTTCGTGAAGAGCAGCAATATTCACGAACTCGTATCGTTCGTCCTCTTTGTTCAACGGCCACCATTCAGCGTCTTGGTACTGGACGTCTGCGTTGGGCGTATTTGCGTCGCGGGTAGACGACTGGCGACTAATTTTTGGCGGCGGTTCGTTGCTGGATGGATTTGCCCGCCGAGCACTAGCAGCTTGAGACGCGCTGAAAAAGGGACGGATAGAAGAGCCGCGTCCGCGGCTCATCATAAAGCCGAACATTTCTTCCTCGCGGCCAGAATCGCCAATAATCTGCATCAAATCTTCAGCTCCAGAAATGTGAGGAAGATAGGTGGAGTGCATGCTCGGTGGAGGATCTTCATCGCGCGTCAAAATGTTGTTGATCGCCATGTTTACGTCCAGATTGGTCATTTGCAGCTCTTTGCGGATTGTGTCTCGTGGAGTGCCAGGAGGACATCTTCGCATCGCTTGATGTGGTCTTCTGGCACTTGCATTGATTCATCAACCGGCCGCCCACCGATTCCTACGAGATTTATTAATTAATAAATTATTATCGAAAATTTACCTGGAGGACGGCGATGATAACTTTGATGCATTCTTCCTCGATGAGAACGAGATTGAAGCGCTAGTCTGATGTCTTTCGCAATATCCGTGCTCATCAGGCCCGAGTATGTGCCCGACTTGCTCGATCCTTCTTTCATTAATGATGAGTCCTTATCTGGAACTTTTTCTTTCTTTTCCAACACTCGCGGGCTGGCATGGAAGCCGACTCTGCAAATTTGGCCGTCTTCGGTGAGAAAAGCGAAATGACGGGGACCGATTGCGGCCTTCTTCATTTTGAACTGCTGGAGTTCATAAAGACCGGTCGATACGTCATTTTCTGCCTATATAAGTGTTTGAAAAAGAAGTAAGACTAGACTATCACTTTACTAATAAGCATTATACCGTATAATAATTTATACGGTATAATTTATACGACATTCCCAATGGATTCAAGACTGATAAAATATTAGAAAAATAACAAATTAATTTATGATTTTCAAGATTTAAAAATAAAACACCTTCCTTAGATAAAACCTTCAATTTTTCTTGAAATTCTTGCTCAGAAGCAGGGAGTTTCTGGAATATAACTTTTATATTCGACATTATGATTTCTTTGTTTCTTTTCTTCGTTTTTCGATCTCTACGTTTTCTTCGTTTTCTTTGGCTTCATAAGGAGCCGACTACAGTCCCTTACTACACCAGGGATAACTCCTTCTTCTGGTTTTCTCTCGATGAGAGTGTGCCTGCTCGCTGATTGGCTTGTCCGCTCATTCGAAAACTCTCGAAGGGGTTCGCAATACTCACGCAAGGATTTTTTTCACCGCCGGCTAGAGCATTTTTTTATGAATTATTGATTGAGAATTATTCAACTCAAAAAATTCCAAAAAAATATCGTAAATTTGTAAATATGCGTACATACGAATTGAAATCTTTCTATTTATATTCTTCTGTTGAAATTTACTCATTCATTAATTATCACGTTTCTTTGGTACTCCATAGAGTCTTACAGACAACAAATTTTGTTCTCCTCGGGTTAGTCGGTTGCGTCATTTTTCTCTTCAACAACAACTGATCATTATCTACCGTGCCGTTTAAAAACTGGCACGGCTTTTCCATTTCTCCTCATTCTGAAGATCTGTTTTTCAGGATCGCAAGATAGCAATTTATTTTTTTAAGAGCGAAGGATTCAAAAATGTACTCCCGTAAATCGGAATTTGATGGGCATCGGCGGCTGACATCCGTTCGTCGATCAGAGTTTCCAGGACAAGGGAATCGCCAGCCAAGAGAGAGCATTACGGCGGATGCGTACAGATTGAGCATCGCTGGTGGACAATCGACGGTGAAACGACCTAAATCGCACGCATCGAATGATCCACGTGATCTTTCCAAAAAACAGTAAGCAAGCATGTCCTAATCATTTCTTCAAAATATACCAAGGAACCAAAAAGAAGCTATTGAGAAACTTCAATATTTTTTGATCGACCAGATCAACTTCCGCGAAGTCTCGATCAAGGAGCTGTCCACCATGTCAACCGGAATGTTCCTTGAGATTTTCTCAGCTCTTGTGCGCACTGTCTTGGGCCCACACTACTTGACTAGCCTTCAAAATGGCAATGGCAAGATGAAGCCACAAGAGATGATCGTTGAAACTATGCGTGTGTTAGACTACCCTATCAAATTGGTCAAATCGAGCTTTCAAAATCTGACGAAACAGACGTTCCCAATTGCACTTGGCGTTTTAGGTAAAAATCTTTCCATCTAACCGTCTTTTTCAACGATTTTAGACTGGCTTATCGAGCTGATAAACATCAACCAAGCAGCAGAAAATGCAAGCCAAGACACAGAGGGCCTCGAAGACTTGATTCCCATCTTCGAGGGGTACGCTGCCTTTGCCGCTAAAGAAGGAGACGTAGATGAGATAATTGACCAAATGTGTGACGAGAGAGCCCGAGTGAAAGAAAGAGAGCTGGAGTTGGACGAAGTTGACATTGATGATGCGCACAGGCGATTGGCGGAGGCGCGACTTGAAGTCAAGGATTTCAAGAGAGCGAAACTGACCTGCGAAAATGATCTCGTCGGTAAGAGTTTCTTCGAATTTCTATGACTAATTTTAATTTAAGATCTGACGAAAAGGATCGATGACTCCTCAAAATACCTCGCGATGACCAAGTACAAGACCGAAAAAACCGTACAAGAGGTGAAAGCGTTGCGCGAAGAAGAGACGAAGCAAAAAGAAATGATCGAACAACTCAAAAAAGACAACTCAGAGATCAGAGAACGAATCGGCGATCAAGAGACAGCCATTGAAAAGAAACACCGATACAATGCGCTCCTCGAAGAGGATCAAAAGTGGCAAGAAAGTGTTGCGGCGCAACGAGAGGATCTTGGAAAAATTCGTAAATAAGCTTTTTACAAAGAAAAGTCGTTCTTGAAATCATTTTAAGAGGTCAAAGTACAACGGGTTCGAGCGAACGCAAGAGATATTTTGATCGAATACAACACAGCCGCCAACTCGCTGCGGGAATTTTCCGAAAAGTTCAAGATCCAATCTTCTATCTCTGCAAATGACTCGGCAATGCTCGAAGAAAAGCTGAAACTCGTCAGCGAGGCGGATCAACGTTGCCACCAGCAGATCAGCTCTCTTACGAGTGAAACGGACATGCTCAACTTTGAAAATGATGAGCTTGAAAAGTATGTTTTATTCTAAGATATCGAGATTTGACGTGGGTTTTTCAGGCAAATTCAATCGGAGCAGGATGACCAAGACTTTGTTCAAATGCAGTTCGATACAAGATTCAAAAAGAGCAAGGTCGAGCTGAAAAACGTCGAGGAAGAAAATGCCATTCTCAAGAGCCGAATCCAGAAAACGAAGGAAACTGTTATCAACATCAGTGCAGACATTGAAGCGCTTCAAGTAAGTCAGTACGGTAGATCCATCGTTAGAATGTTATTTTAGTCGGACAAGACGGACCTTCAGCGAAAGCTCCAAGATGTCAAAGAAGAAGACAGCAACGCCACCTTCGCCAAAGACGAAGATAACAGCTTGATAGAGCTCCTCCAAGCGGCGGATGAAAAAAAGAAAGATGCTGAGGCTCAAAACAAAAGTAAATCCAAGACCTTATCCATTATTCATTAAAAATTTTCTATAAAGCTGTTCGGGGAATCTTCGAGCGAGAAATGACCGCAGTCCAGACACGCATCAAACGCGCCGAAGAAATCCACGAGCTCAGCAAGAAAAACGAGCTGAACTAAACTTATTCCTCAAGTTCAACTTTCATATTCCCCCTTATCACACTGCCCCTTTATCACTAACCCAAAAACCCTCACTTTTTCATTTTTGAAAATAAACTACATGATTTTCAAGATAATCTTGCTTTCCTGACCTTCTTATTAAAGAAACATCAAACTGACTATCAATCTGTTAAACGGAGGCGTCGATCAATAAACAAGTGTCTTGATTTTTAAATTGACATGGGTCAGTATCGTATTTTGTCTATTTATGTTTGACAAAGTTGCTTCCGCTGACTTTGCTATTCTGACGCTCTCTCTTTCACTGATCTATAAATATAAGCAGAGCTTCTATTCAGCCGCGAAAATGGCAGACAGTACGGTCTTATATCACAATGGCTCGATTTTTTCAAGAAAAGGGCGCCCAGACTCGTGGATTTTGATAAAAAATGGTAGAGTTGCATCCAGGGGAACGTCAAAAGAGGAGTTAGAGAAATACAAGGCATCTGTCGCGAATTGTGTCAATCTTGAAGGAAAACTACTCACGCCAGGTAATTATAGACGACTCAATTGTTGGGTAAACCTAAACGATAGCAATCAGGCATCGGCGATGCGCACATTCACGTGGGCGACGTTGGATGGGGCAAAGAGGTCCTTGACCTTCACAGGAGAGGGCTCAAGAGCAGCATTTTGTATAAATTACTCTTTTATAAACTGTCAGTTTAAGTGATCCCCGAAAAGCTCACAGTCGAAGGAAGATTTTGTCAGATTGACAAGAGAATACTTGAACTCAGAAAAATGGCTTTCAATAAAAGATACGGTGAAAAATTTTGAAGCGCTTGGTTGGTGGGAGGAGGCTGACGTTCCGGATCGTGAGTTTTCTCAAATAGAGACTCAGGCGATTATAAAGCAATAATTAATAGTGAAAACATTGGACTCTCTTGTGAGCGATCGACCGGCGATCTTTCACCGTAGATGTCTTCATGTGATGGTTTTGAATTCTGCTGCAATTGCAGCGCTAGGCTTAGATTCTGATGAATTTGTTCCTCCAGAAAACATCGAAATCGTTAGGTAGAGTGATTTGTTCCTTTTCAAGCCAATAACAGCCGAATTTAGGGATCAGAATGGAAAAGCAACGGGGCTTTTGCGGGAAGGTTTCAATCTTGTCTCAGAAATACGAGTAGAATCAGAAGAAACGCTCAAAAGACGAATTCTTCTCGGCCTTGAAAGTTGTGTTAAAGCTGGTTTGACCCAAGTTCACGCCTGCGAAGGAAAGGAGCCAGGTCTACTTGAAGCCTGGATTGAGCTGGCGCAAGAAAACAAGCTAAAGATAAGAGTCTTCCTATCAATCTTTTACGACGCCTTTGTTGACTTGAAAACGCGGGGCATTCTTCCGAAACAAGGAGAGACTTTCGGAGATCGGCTCACTTTCGACAGAGTAAAGTTGTTTGCGGATGGAGCTCTTGGTGCTACTACTGCTGCCCTTAGGTAAAAGACGTTAATAGGCTTGAATTATAGAAAGTTTCGTTCAGTAAACATTACAAACAAGCTCCCCACTCTGGAATCGCCCTTGAAAGCGTCGAATCAATGACCCGTAAGTTGAAAGAAATCATGAGCGAAGGATATCGAGCTGAAATCCACGTGATCGGAGATCGCGCCGTTGATATAACTCTCGATGGACTTGTCAAGTCTGGCTTCTCGACAGATCAAATACGCGGCTTCCGGCATGTGCTCAACCACTCGCAAATAATCAGAAAGGACCAGCATCAGAGAATTATCGATCTTGGCTGCTCCTGCTCAATCCAGCCGCAATTTGTCACTTCCGATGCACCGTGGGTGTACGACTCTGTGCCTGACGAATTGCATGATGCGTTGTACACCTGGAAGACTTTCCTTAATCTCGAAATTCCTGTTCACGGTGGCTCAGATTCGCCCGTGGAAGAAATTCTCCCTCTTGAAGCAATCGATGCTGCTATCAAACGATGCAATGGAAAGGGCGGTATATTTATGCCGGAAGAATGCCTCACTCTTCAAGAATCCCTGTCGATTTTCACGCATGGTGTTGCGCAAGGAATACGACTTGAAAACAAGATTGGCTCGCTTTTTCCAGATCAGCTCGCCGATTACAACATAATCGATGGTAGTCTTGATGATACCTCTGTTGGTAACTGGAAGATTCTCGAGTCGTACGTCGATGGAAAACTTGTTTTCAAGGCTTGAAACCCGCGTCATCGTACCTATTTTATTTCTACAATCGTTTAATTACTATCAGTTCTTTCTCAATTACAGTTCGATCAAAAGCACGCAAATTTTCTGTAAAAAAACCCCCTCCAACTTTGAAAAAGCGAATCTTGATTTCTTCAATTAAATTAATGCTATCTAATTAATCATCGACAACTTTTAACTATTTCCTCTGTTCAGAAAACAGAGAAAAAATGAGCTCGTACACAGGCCAACATGCACCTTTGACCATTCCAACAGCTCTTATTCCTTCAAACGATACAGAGAAGCTGATTCAACCGAAGCCTGTCCCGAATCCTGTACTCGCTTCTCAACTTCATAAAGCGTTGAACTCGGAGATCAAGGTCAAGTCAAAAGCAGGCACTTTGATTGAGGAGAAGTCAGAGTTGGAGAAGATTTTTCATTCGAGAAAGACAAAATCTGTCCAAAAACCTGCTCCTGATAATCGAACGCCAATTGAATGTGAGCTTGGATCTCGCTTACAAGGTATCTTTAACAAACATAATTTTTAGTAAATCAACTTTTTTACAGAGCGACGACAACGCCTCGATTCTCTGGAGAAACCAGCTTCAGAAAAAGCACCTGCTCCTTCAGCCGACGAAAATGTCCCTGAATTCATGAAAATAAAACTTCGAAAAGCATGAACTCCAAATTTACAATACTCTTTATCATAATTTTCTTCACGCGCACACAATCTCCTTCAGTTCCACATGAAATTACCTCCAGTCCGTCTTATTTTTAATTTCTTCTTTCTTAATTTTCTTCCAGCACCGCATCTTTTCCTTTGAATTTTAAAGTTCTAATCGTTAAGAAATTCATTTTTGAGTAATTAAGAACGAAATCGGCTGCAACATTTGCAAAATTACAATTTGACGGGCAGTACGGGCTGGGTCATGGACGGGAAGCGGTTGTTTGTCGACTGCAACCCGTCCAAATTTATCATTTTTTCATCACTCTTTGTCTTCTCGATCGTCCTTTCCTTGAAGCTCGATGGAATCATTTATTGGAATAACTGGTGCATCTTCGCGCCTCTCTTTATTTGGAAGGCATCTGTACTTGTTGGAGCGTTAATGGGGTGCATAGCCTGGTCTAGGCATCCCGAATCTCGTGTCGAGGGATACGTGGAGTTCCATGCCATGCTAATTGCTGCAGGAATCCATTCGCTCCTGCTCTTTTTTGAAATACTCGTTTGCCTAAAGGTTAGGAATAAACTTGTCCGCAATCTTTAAAGCGTTTTCAGCTGGAAACAAATTTCTTGCCAGACGAATATGGTTGGGTAGTTTGCTTTTTCCCAGTCTTGGTGCTTTGCCCGCTCTCCGTTGCAGCGTGTATCTGGGGCTTCAAGCATGACCGCTCTCTTGAGGTAAGATTAAGGATATAGCCGTTCTCAAGGCACTTTCGTAGCGCCAAAAGGGGACGATAAATTTTTTTCATTTCAAAAGGAACCCTACCTAAAATTGCCTAAAAAACCTGATTCTAGTGTTCTTTTTAATTTTTTAATGGAAAAATTTCTCTCTAGAGCAATTTTAAATCTTACGATCACTTTTTCTCGAGAATTTTCCATTGAATCGGTCGAGTTTTTTTGATAAATTAATAATTTGGACCTTTCTCTACATTCCTAGGGTCTAAAGTTAAATAGATTCCAATTATTTATTATTCTAGAGCCATTTTTATGAGGCTTACTTGAGTGAGCCGAAGCGTCAGACAGCGCTCTGGTTTGCTGCGCTGGGCGCCCTCCTCCATCGCGCGGTGAGGCGCGTAAATGAAAGAGCGCGCTGATTGGTCGAGCGCCCTGAACGCAGCATTAATGAAAAAGAAAAGTCAAAAAGAAGAAGACGCTAGAATGAAAATTTGCTCGGGTTTTGAAATTTTGAGGCCCTAGAAAGATAGATTAGCAGTTATTTATAACAAAACACGGATTAGTTTTAGCGATTTAATTGAAAAATTTCGAGTAAAAGTGATCGTAAGATTTCAAATCGCTCCAGAGAGAAATTTTCTTTGAAAAAAAAATTAAAAAACATCAGAATCGAATTCTAGACATAATTTTAGGTAGGACCTGTCTGGGAATGAAAAAATTTTATCGCCCCATTTCGGCGCTACGAAAGTGCCTCGAGAACGGCTATATCCTTAACTTTTATGAACATGTTTCAAAGAAAATCTTCTACTTGTAGCTCGAGACAGTAATTTCTTCCAATGTTCTACTTTTCATTTTCATCGCGCTGAAGCTTGACAACGTTATTGATTGGCAGTGGAAAGCAGTTTTTATTCCGCTCTGGGTTGTTATGTGCCTCCCAGGTAAATTATACAATTGATGATGCCTTTCTTGAGCCCTATTCGAAGGAATTGTCGCACTTTATTACGTCATCTGGGCACTGCTATTCCTCCGTCAACCCCAATACACTTCCGATCGAAAAACTTCATTAACATATGCAACTATCTGGCTTTTAGTAGTTATTCCTTTGATTGCTTTTGAGGTAAATGCATGTTGAAAAATTCAGTGCAAATATTCGCTCATTAGGTGCTACTCTCGTTCCGACTGGACGGGGACGCCCAGCTCGAGTACATGAGCATCTTCACCCCGCTGCATGTTTGTTTGTTCACACTTATGTTGACGTCCTGCGGTGGACGCGGCGGGAATCGATGGTGGTGTGGCATGCGCTCTGACTTCTGCACTGCGCTTTTGAGAACTTGTTCCTGCCTTACTCTCTACGGGAACATCTATGTTGGCGAAAAAGATGACTCTTCAACATCAGGTTCTATCATTTGATAAAACATCGATTCTAACTTGTTTCAGATGCTTCATCAGATCACGATCCACGAGAAGAGCTGTTTCTTCGCGATCCACGAACATTTGACGTGAACTATTCCATTATCAAAATCAACGTTCCAGATTAAAAAATACGTACTTGAAGTCAAAATCTATAGCATAAAAATGTCTAAAATTCTACATTCTACCTGTTCCTGCCACAAATCCCAATTCCCGTTTCTTGCTTGTAAAAATAAAAAACAGTGAAATTCATCTTTGAGAGTCTCTTTTTTCCTCTCAATTGCGAATATGTATCTAAGTAAATTATGTATCTTTATTTTGGTGGACAGATAAAGAAAGAAATAATTGAAACAAACTTCTCCGATGGCAGTTTCGCGTATAAATAATTGAGTGAAGTACGGTTTAAGCTGATCTGATGGGTTGCGGCATCGAGATTCGTGAAATTAAAATAATAAATGTCGGCAGGAATGAATGAACTAGTATCGGTTCTCCTTGATTTCTGAATGTATAATTTAGCTTGATGAAAAATTAATCGCTAATCGTACCAGTCAGAATCATCGGCATCATCTTCCAGACTTTCGACGTACTTGTCATAGAGCCGCTTATTTTTGGCACAAGACTTTTTGTTCAAATGTCGCTCGTAGTGGTTCTGGGCTGGGAAGCAGAATTGACAAATAGAGCATCTATGGATTCACATTTAAAACTGATTTAGATAAGACAGTTTACCTTATGCTTATTTGATCCGTCTTTGTGATTCTGAAGTGAATGTAGTGCCTCTCGTGGTCATTCTTCATGTGTACATTAAGCAAGCCAAATGTAGGGAAGCTAACTCCATTCTGGCAGATTTTGCAGTGGTATTCGGCGGGCGATTTTGAGTCTTTAGCGCTCACGGGACTTGTCAGCAATTCTTCGGAAGTCTCCTCGGCGGACTGAGATTGCTGGGAAGACTTATCTGGAGAGGAGGTTGAGCCATTAGAATTGTTGAGTGCGGGGGACAAGGGCTTTTGGATTTGAATTGGTGTCGAGGATCCCAATGATTTGGGGGTTTGTTTCGGGGTGGAAGAGGGGGTATTGTTTTTTGAAGACGTCGATTCCAATCCATACTAAATAAGAAAGTAAAAAATTCGCTTTGAGAAAGATATCTTACAGTTAACTGATCTATGTTTCTTTTACAAGCACCGTCCTTTCGTTGATGATTATGAAGTTCGTTGTCAGTCGAGTAGCAGAATCCACAGATTGAGCACTGGAATCCCATAACTGGATTCGGCACGATTCGCCACTTCAAATACTGGTCTGGGTGAGAGAATCTCATGTGCGTCACCAGTCCCTATAATATTGTATCAGTATTTGTTTTAATGGTTATGTTGGTTACCTTGACGCCTAGGGTCTCCTGGTTACAGACTGGGCACGGATTTTCGTCGCCACGGGTGGGCTCTTCGATCGTCAACCTCGATGTATCGTACTTCTTGAAAGATGCGATGTTGTCATTGCAGATTTTAGATGTATGCTGACGACGCCAAGCTTCGATTGGCAATTCTGTGCCGAATTTACATCTGAAGAGTTTTTTTTTATCAAATATCGAGAACCCAAATTCCTTTACCTTTTGCAGATATGAGTTGTGGTAGGCCATCTATTTGTCCTGAACTCGATGTATCTGTCAGGATGTGAGCCTCTAATATGTGCGCAGAGTCCAGTAAAGGTACCAGCGAGACATTTACTTAGGCAATACGGGCAATCTCGAGGTTCTGGTGGATTGCCAGACTCATCGACGGTCGAAGTTAAATCTTGATCCAGCTCTAAAATGAGTTTAAGTTTCCGCTGATCTTTATGAAATGGAGTTTACCGAATTTTGATCGTTTCATGTCGCCGAGGTAATCTTGTGCTGACTTTCGTTTGATACCATGGTTGAACTTGATCGATTCTCGGATTTGCTCCTGGATCATGACTTTTCCCTGTGGGCCTACTTCTTCGCACCACTTGTCGTACTTGATTCTTTCAGAGGCGTAGTACTCGCACTTTTTGGTCGACTTGTGGTTGTAAATAGCGGAACGAGAGTAGAAAAAGAAACCGCAGGCGTCACAGCGCTGATCGAAATAGTCGCTCTTGCTCGTTCGGAACTGGACATTCAGCTTTGGATGTTTTTCAGAAGCATGGGTAGTCAAAGTGCGGAGGGGAGCAACATAGATGCAGTTCTTATCTGGGCAGTGTGCTTTTACATCAGATATGGAGTCGTATCGCTCGAGTTCGTCTTGTTTGGAACTCAGATTCGCCACGTCCTGACTTTTCCCTCTAAGGGGCTGGAGCGGACTCTTCTGCTCTCCGTTCAGCATCGTGTTGACTGGACAGTCGACGATCTTCAAATGACGAGTCCAACGATCTCTTCCTTTTTCGAAATCGATTGGTGCCATATTTTCCCGATGCTTTTCCTCGGAATTATTGGAACAATCGCCATGGTCTTTGTTGAAATATTTTTCCGAAAAGTAGCCGAATTTGCAGCCTTCGCAGCGAAATTTAAACGCCTCAAATTCAGAACGTTTGAAGTGCCAGAAGCATTCTTGATGTCTTCTTGAGATGTGATAATCGAGGTTTTGATATTTGAGTTGAATCGGGCAGTCATTTATTGGACATTCGATAATAGTCTCTGGATCTGGCTCTTTCTCCGTTTTTGTGGGTACTGGAGAACTTCCATTTTGTAGATCATTCCCAAGGCCATTTCCGAACCCTTCGAGCAAACTCAATCCTGAAAGTCCAGATAGCCCGCTTACAGGCGATGGGGAGAAAGTGGTTGATAGCGCTGCTGTTATTTTGTCTAGATAGGACTCGTTCGTCTTACGTCGCGAATGGGGCTTGTCTTGATAGGTGCTCGTGACGTAATACTCAAAGAGGGCAGTGACGAAGTTGGAATGATCGGCGAGTTCGTAGGGTGTGAAGGTACCTGCGATACGGATGTAGGCATCGCACTCGGATCCTTTGTTTTCGCCTGGCAATTGGTGGGGCAGTTGCGATTTGTGTTGATGATAGGTTTTGGCAGAAGTAAACCAGAACTGGCATTTTTCGCATTTGCGATGAGCAAGCGCCATTTTAGTTCGACGGAAGATAATGTATTCCCGCTTGTGTTTGATACGCATGTGGCCAAGCACGCCTTTCATGGTCTTGATAAGTTGGCAACAGTTCCGAACTGGGCATAGATATTGTCCTTCGTGAGGCTTGTGGCTTGGGTTAACCTCTGTCTCCATAAGATCTTTACCAAATGGAGCCACTACCGTACTGGAAGCGTTATCCGTGTTTATATTTTCCACATCATCTTCTACGATGCTTAGCTCAGGGTTCAGTGGGGAGTCCACAGCCGGAGAAGACGAAGTCTCGTCCATGTCAAAGGGAATTTTGCATTTGTAGACATCTTCGAGAACGCGGAAATCGAGTTGTTCGTAGCTCGGTAATTCGTGGATGCTCTTGACCTTGCAATCGTGCAATGCCATACGTTGATACTGCTGGCAATAGCTAATTCTTGGCCCACCATCGCGGCTTGTGCCGGTACGTTGATTGTGCGCGCCGTAGTCTCGGTAATTGACAAACCAGAAAAGACAGTCGTTGCATCGTTTCTTGGTGTTTTCCCGCTCAAGTCGTCTGAAGAGAACATATGCGTTTTTATGATTCGCCTTGATATGGGTAAACAGGTTCTTCCAGCAAGCATGTGATTGAGTTTCCGGCTTGACAACTTGCTTCCTGCAGCTCTTGATAGGACAGACCATGTTTGTTTGACCGTTTCCAGTGATACTGACTGGCATCGGCAGAGGGCTTTCTGTTCTGCTTGAATTGAATTCGGCGATGGCATGGACTGGTGAACTGTCTACATCGGCGAATTCATCTGGATCGGTTATCTCAGTGATCTCAGTAGAAGGGTCTTCCATGATGCTCTGCTGGGCGATAAGTTCTGCAGCGTTATCAACGATGCAATCGTAGTTTTCAATGCACATTTTGATATCGACCAAAAAGAGGGGATTTTCATGTTTCTCCATTCCCTCGGCAAGTTTTTGGTAGACATCGCAGTATGTCCCTTCTGGCCGAGCACCTTCTGTTTGGTAGCGTCGATTGTTCTTATGATTGTACCATTCGGCGCCCTTCAACCAGAATTGACATTTGTCGCAGTAACGATCGAAGCCGCGACGTTTCATGCGGCGGAAGACAACAAAGGCGTTACGATGAGCGTTTTGCATGTGGATCCACAAACTTAAATAACATTAGGGAACAGAACAAAATAATATTAATAGTTTATTAGAATCTGATAACATTGAATATATGAATATATCAACGCACACCTCGATATATTACTTTTTCCTCCATGGGTAAAAGCTGTGAACTTTCTCTTGCAACCCCAAGCTGGGCAAATGTTTGTATTTCTCAGATTCTCCGAGTTGCCAGTGGAGAGAGATTTTTCAGGTGAGATATCGTTCACTGAGGGAAGCGTGGCTCCAGTTGACAGGGAATGCGTAATTAGTTGAAGAAGCGTAGCAGCAGTTTCTGGAGTCAACTGGTCGAAATCAACACCAAGTTGTTGAAAAGCATTTGTACTGGTTCCTGTATCGGCATCAGCTACAGCTGGGGATGGAGAGCGATCGGATGCGATGTTGTCTACAATTTCAAATTGATGTTTTATGATTTAATTGACTTTGGCCGAAATAAAAAATATTGAGCGGAGCTTCATAAAGAAAATTTGTTGACTATACTTACCGTGAATATACTGAGTCGTGTCAGCATCAGCCGGCAGTGTCATCAAATGACTTGGTGTTACTCTCTTCCTTGTTCCTGGTGGAGGCTTGTAATTTTCGCCAGTTACGGATTCTAGGACGTTAAAATCGATTTCATCCATGATCTCCTCAAGTGGTCGTTTATTTGGATCGTTTTCATAAGCCTCCTGCTGCTCTTTGGTTATGCGAATATTTGAAACGCAAGTATTCAGATGCCGATGCTTGTAGATCGCGTTTTTATCAGCGTAATTCCAGCTGCATGTTTCGCAAATCATCATGAGTCCCGGAACTTTGTGTTGCATTCGAAAGAGAACACCAGCGTAACCATGGGCGGGGACGAGATGTTTGAAGATTCCACCGAGCTTGGAAAACGCTTTGCCGCAGCTTTTGATAGGACATCTGTAAGACAGATCAGGACGGCTTTGTTGTGTCGGGCCTCGAGCCCACTCTTCTTGTACTCCTGCGAGGGAGAAGCGAGAATGGATGTCTGCAGTGGCTGGAGTAAATGAACTCGAGGGAAGATTTTCCGTAAGATGCTCCACACTGTTCTCTACATTTCGAACACCTTCTTCGAACATCTTTGCAGCGCTAAGAGCTGGATTTACTTCGCAATGGTCACGCCATTTATGACAATACACGTCTTCTTCAGAGAAAAAATTCTCGCCACAATCATCGCATCGAATCGCGACATCATTCTCTTCCTTGATTCCCAAATGATTACCCAGACTATGCGGTGTCGACTCGTCCCCGTGAATATCTGCTATAGCTTCTTCTTTCTCTTCTTGGCTATCGAAAGCGATTTGTTTCAGGGAATCGCATGGATGAGACCATTCGGAAGGTTTAGGAAAGGCGAAACCGCAATCATCGCATCTTGGGCCTATGAATTGAATGCAGGGAATGTTTCGCCGAAAATGCGCATTTTTCTTTGGATGCGAAGTTTCCATGTGCCAGCAGAGGAGGCCAAGCGAATCGAAGCCTTCCGAACAGCTGATTATCGGACATGAGAAAGTACATTCCGGTTTTTCCTCGTTTTCTTCAACTTCTCGTAAATTATCGCTGCATTGCGATTTGAAGTAGCTGATCATGGCGGGGGAAATAGTCTTCTTGGCGAAAACCGCGCATTGTTCTGGAATGTGCGCTTCGTATTCGCTGGCGGAAGCGAAGTGAAATTCGCAAATCGGACATCGCACCACCGAGTGATTGTATTGTGCTTAAGAAAAATGAGTGTCGCAAACTTTAGTGCAAAGTTACTTAGATAAATCGCTAAATGTCTGTGATAATCGTAAGGATCATTTCTAGGGAATAGAATTCGATGCGTATCATGCTCTGCCAGCAACAGTAAAAGATTGGTTGTAAAAATAGAATCCCGAAGACGCGAGCTCATAGAAGCACGAAAAACCGTCGATCTTTTCTTTCTCTTGCCGGCTCTATGATGGGTCTGAGAGAAGAATCGGGTTCATATCTGATGAATTGCGGGGGCGAGCCTTCAGAGAAAGAAAGAGCTGAGAATCACTAAGAACGTCAACGCTTTCCACGCTTATCTTAGCTTTCTAGAAGAATTCTTCTGTCGCATAGAAATTTGTACCAGCTAAGCTTTATTTTATGCGCTCAAATCAAAGCTCCCAAAGGTCAATCTGACTCAGAGGCTATGATCTTTAAAATTTTACTCATCATATAAAATAAGGCCGCCTGAGGAACTACAGTACTCCTGTCTTTCCAGGTAGTTACAAAATTTAAGAGAATCTTACCTTGAAGGTCGCGCTTGTACAGAACAAACAGGTCCGGATGATCGATCTCTAGATGCTTTTCGATGCCGCGGAAGCTTTCTTTTGTCTCGCAGGACATCATCGGGCACTAAACGATTTATCAAACATCTGAAAAGCGGAGTGAGACGCACGTGGTAGAGTGTTGAATCGTCTTTTAGTTCTACAGGCGACTCTTCAGGTCAGGGTTCCAATTTTGGCCGAAAAAATTTTGGAGCGGAGTGGAGAGATGAGTGGATAGCCCAAAAAATTTTTTGAGCGGAGTGGAGCGGTGAGTGGATCCCCAAAAAAAATGGTTGAGCGAGTGGAGTGGATGAGCGGAGTGGATTTTGAGCGGATTTTTAGGGAATTTTGAGCGATTAAAAAAAATTTTTTTGCCATTTCATACACCCTACAATACACTCAAAAAAGGGTCATGAGCAAGCCTTTCCTTTTCTGAAAAAGTATAGAGGTTGAAAAAGGTCGGGCCCCCACGAGCAGACAGAAACCGAAGTCTTCTTTGCACGCCGTGAGCAAGCCTTTCATTTTTCGAAATAAAAAGGGTTTTAGAGGGGTCTGATCATCAAACTTTTATGAAGAAATTGGTCCTTAATTAAAGGTTGATCCTGATATTATATCAGTGATTTATTCTCTTGATTATCCCCTGAGAGAATGTGATTCTTCATTTAAAAATAGACAAAACTCGGTCTCCAATCAGAATACGAGAAAAGGGGCGCTAAAGACAAAAATCCACTCTATCCGCTCAAAATCCACTCCATCCACTCAAAATCCACTCCAAAGTAGATTTTACAGGTTGGAGTGGAGTGGAGCGAATGAGTGGATACTAAAAATATAGGCTGAGCGAGTGGAGTGGAGTGGATCCACTCCGCTCACGCTCCACTCCACTCCGCTCAAAATCCACTCCATCGCTCAGCAAAATTGGAACCCTGCTTCAGGTTCTTCTTTGACTTCCTTTTTTACACTTTGCTCTGTCACCTCCATGTCTTCAGTTTCTATTTTCTCGGATCATAAATTGTTATAGACGGTTGAAACAGTATAAGCGAGTGTGCATTTACTTGTCCAAAAGTATTGGGTCGATTCACAGAGAGTGGCGACTCAGAAAGCGGGCCCCTGGCTTGGGCGCGTTTTCTTTTCTTTGTGAATCCACTAGACAAATCTCCCTATAGACTATCGAATCTTTTATGACTCCGCCGCGTCAGTCACTTATTAGCCCAAGATGTGATGTGAACACGGGTGCAGTAGGATAGATCAATTCAATTCCTAACTACTCTCTCACTATCGTATGAACAGTGACTACGTAAGGTAATGCACACATCCCGAAAAGAGAGAGCCACCAGGCAAGGTCTACAGGGCCTCGGGTGGGTGAGAAGAGAGGAAGAGGCCTGATGATCCAATATTTATTCAGGGCAGACCCAGACCTTTGAATACATTCTCTGATGTACAGAGAAATACATTCTCTGAAATTCAAGAAGGCATCTCAAATGAATTTTCAATCATTTTAACTTCTTTATGATCCCTTTTCCTAATGTTCCGTTGAATAAATCATTACCGGTATTGCTCGCTGGGGGACTCGGACTAGCGCTTGTTGTCGGACATAAATCATCGAGCGCGCTCGGAGCCGATAATTTCACTTTTTCGGGCGATGATTTTGTTGGCGTCGCGCTCAGGTTTGATGTTCTCGGGCTGAAATAGAGTTTGAGACGAGTGAGTCAATCAGATGATCAGATCTCTCTCCAGTGTGTGAGTCTCATCGTCATCCTTTGGGCGGTTCAAATCCCCTGAGGGGCTCTCCTGATGCGTCTGAGGGCTCAAGCCTCAGGTCAAGTTATTACCTTTCCGTAGCCTCAGGATACATTTCTTGTGAAGAGTTGACTGCTGCGCTTACTTTTTCTGGCATTTTGAGTTCATCTAAAAATAAAATGGTTAAATAAAAATGAAAACTATTGAAAATCTCTTGGTTCGGAATAAAAGTCTGGTAAGTCTGGGAGCGCGTGAGCTCAAGCCACTGCCTCAGGGCAGGACAGAGCTGTCCTTGGGCAATAGTCAATGGACACTTGAACAAAGCATTGACTCGTTCTCTAAGAGACGCTACAAGAGAAGAGAGCAAAGCCCACAGTCCACAAATAGCCCTGTGAAAAGCGAGCCCTACCCTCCGGCGCGAACCGTCAAACAAAACTTACTTTTGCCCACTGGATCTTACTCAGCAAGGCGATAATTTCAAACTTATTTCTCGGCTCTAATAAAAAGACAACTCCCGGGGGGATGTCTTTGACGATATCTGTCGACTACCTTGCTCTCTTATGCTTATTGTATTTTCTCCTGACGATAGTATAACCGACGCGCGAGGCTCGTTTCTATCGATTGCAAAAGAAGAAGAAAAAAAAACGGTTCTGCAGACCTTCTGTCTCGTGATCTGGTAAATATAATAAGTATTGAAAGCTCTCTCTTTCGATTTCTGTTGCTAATGATTCAACTTCCTCAAACCTCTCACTGGTACATGCCCTTAGGTGATGAATCTGGAGAGAATAAAAACGGAAGCAGATAGAAAAAGACTCATCAGATCTTCTGACTAGTATGATTAATCTCAGAATAGGAGACAACTCACAATCGGATAATCAGATAATACAAGCCTTCTGAATCAAAAAGCAAGACCACGTCTGTCCGATAGACAAAAGATCTCTGTTCTCTACCTGATAGAAAAAAAAATGAAAATTGAGACGATCAAAAAGTCACTTCAAAGTAATGCTCGGCTATTAGATGCCCGCTTGGCCCTGCTTCGGCGCAAAATCGATGGAGTTTTGAGGCTCTTGTATGTCTCTCTGTCCACATCTATTCTAAGGAAAGGAGAGCGTGTATCTTGCTCCCGAGTTCGAATCTGAAGCCTAAGGCGCGTGCCCGCTTCATCATTTGAAATCCAACATAGATAAACCCCTATTCTAAGGATATTCTGTAGCGTTTTACCTGGGTTAAGGATCTCTTATAACTTGCTTTGAAAATTCAGTTTGATTTCAACTCCTTCTCGGGCGTTCAAAACAAGAGACAGAGAAGGAGAATTGATGGCGCTCACTTGAAAAGTCGCCTAAAGGCTAAAGATTTCGGATAGCGATGGTTGGTCCCGCTTCGAAACGGTGGCAGGAGGCCACAGACAAATAACAGTAGCCAAGACAAAAATCGATAGTGCAAGCGACAACCTTAACTACCTTATCTATCGATTGGTCAGTTGGGGAGTATCATATGAAAAATGAAATGGTAGAAAATTCTGAGCACTTTCCGGTTTCACAAAATTTTCTGCAGTAGATAAAACTTTTATCCGGAAATAGTGAATATTAGACCTTTGGATGTTTTATCTTTGCATAGGCGTTCTATCGTGTTTACATGTATTTAACCAAGTCTGGTGTCTTTGGAAATTCAGAGGAAAAAATCATATATTTCTCAGAAAATTATCTGCACCAAAGGCTCAACATGCTGAACGAAAGAATCAATAACTTCGAGTGTGGTAAAAAAGTCGCTCTCCTGGAGAGCGGGCCACTTCATGAAGCACCAAATAGTCTTTGAGAATCGATCCGCTCGGTAGTTTGAATAACATGAATGCCCAGGCCTGTAAAATAAGAGAGTAGAGTCCTACTCATAGGAACTGCCTTGGCAAACATGATCTGCCATTAACCCAATTAACCCTTCCTTATCCGCCATAATTGGCCGACTGAGTGAAAGACCATTGAGTTTCATCGTTTGAATTGACAGTTTGACAAACGAAATTTGTTTACAAAAGAGCGTGCCTTATGGCGGCCCCTAAGAAATCATCCACTGGGCTTCATTGAGATTCTGTTTGACTCCTCTCAACGCATGAATAGGCACAGCAAGAGTGCCAGGGGCCGGGACCTGTCCGAATTATGAAAAATTTAAAAGGCAACGAAATTTTCTCCTTCTTATAACTTGTTGGCACCGTTTTCAATAGCTCTTTTTCAAGAGACGAGGAAAGAAACTGCATCGGAGAATTGTACTTTTCTATTGAACATTTATTTACCTCGTTATCTCCGCCGAAAGGTTTAAAACTGATAGTTGCACTGTAGACACTGAACTGTAGTTATAATATCGCGAGTTTGACGACTTTTTTAGCGTGCGTATGCGTGGATCTCTTTTTTTCTTTCTCTCGCTCTCTGTCGGTTTTCTGCGCAAAGATAATATCTTCCCAATTTTTATTCGGGTGCCCTATTGTTGTCGGGGCGCTTCTGTGGAAGGTGATTTTTGTCAGTTTGTTCGGGTTTCAAACGAGCAGAAAAACTGGGACACAGAGGAGGGCGCGCAACAAACAAAAAAATAATAACGCGCAAAAAGATCTCAAGAGGGATTGTGGCGAATGGGCCCCCTTCGTCAGTCAGGTGGTGCGATTTTATGCTCAAGAGAACGCCTCTCTCTTGGAGGCCTCACTCACTGGATCGTGATGGCCCTGTGACAGGTGGCCGCGGACGAAGGCCGCCCGAGGGGTCTCAACAGAACTAACTTATCCATCTCTCACTTCACCTAACCACTGCCGAGCTCTCAAGAATCACGATCGAACTATTTTTGAACTGACTAGGTCCACTGGAATCCTTACTTTATGATGAAGTTAGACCAAAACGCACTACTTAGTCTCCATGCTGATTTTTTTAAGGAACTTCCGTCTTAACTTATTTACTGTTATCTGAGTGGAATTCTGACCTTATCGTTTCTTTCAAAACCAACACATGATTTTAATAAGATTGAAAACTAACTAAAGGTATCAAAGTTCTTCTTGTTCTAAGATCTTACAGAAAGACATTGAGTCATTATTGAAACGAAAAATGTGTCTGTAAATGGTTCTTGATTCAGTCAAGTTCCGAAAATTTTCTTTATCAAAAAAATTTACGGTTGGTGATTTTCAAGTACAAGGAAAATGTCGATTCTTATCAGCTTCTCAGAGGGTCCGAGGAGGAAAACATAAACAGCTGCGGCTGTGTTGAAGGCGTGGAATCAAAATATCAGCGTTTAGTCAACCGTGACTAGGGTTTTCTTGAGCCTCTAGAATTTTAAGACGACTTCTCTTGTGCTCATTATCTCATATTTTTGCAAATGGAAATGTTTTAAAGCTGGCCGTATCTCTCTTCTCTTGCTGTGGTCTCTTACCTGATGGTTTTTGTGGTGCGAAAAAAATAAATTCTAGCGTGGCTGAAAAAGAAGCTGCGGAATGAAAGGGTTGTGTATAGTGTAAGCGGTATGCCGTTCGATTTGCGGAGCTTGACTTTGAGTCAGGGAGTAGTATGAGAATCAGGTAGTATGAGGATTGATAGAAGGTCTGATAGGAGCTGGTGGTGGTGGTGCCTCGGCTCTGCTACTACACCAGAGAGAGTTATTCAAGCGTCACTGGCATTTGAGACGTCGGGCAGGTCCATGTCATCGGATGAGTGAGCAGAAAGTGCATCAAGAAGGCGCCGCGGGGCACGAAAGCAGCAGTAAAAAGCACCAGATATCAAGAGAAGGCACCACCAAGGCAACTCGCCACCACCACCACTATCCCGATTTAGACTCAACCGTCCTTCTATCGCAGCACAGTGAATTGTCAACTGTCACGTCTCAACGCCAAGCCAGTCAAAGCGCGTGGTATTGATCTTCTTATTCATTTCATGATTTCCGGAATCATCGGTAGTAATGCCAGATGCGTATTCGTAAAGAAAATATTTCTTAAGAGTATCATCGGTGACCTCAGTTGACTTTTTTAAACTGAGTTATATTAACTTTACAGCTGATTTTGATTGAATTTGATCATAAAATGGCGTATCAGGATCATATTTTTATCAAATAATCGTAACAAATATAATAAGAAAATTGCTAGAAAGACAAGCTTAACTGCCGAACTTTTGAACCAATAATTTTCGTCAATAAAGATTTAATAAATAAGTCGGGAATTAGAATAGGCAGCAGCTACTTTCTTCGTTGATATCAGTATTGTTTTGAAACGATGACGACTGAATATCATGAGGTTCATCCGTGCGATGCTGACAAAAATCCTAAAAAGTGAATGTATTGATTTTAGTTACGCTAGAATAAATCAGAAAATAATTTACTTCCAGCGCGTTACGCCATAAAGAAGTAAGATAGTTTGACCTATGTAGGTTCATATATAAATCTATATCTGAAGAGCAGTTAATATAGGAATATACAGGTCATTGTTCCCGCAGAATCTTCCACGCTCTTCTTTTATGATTCGACTATTATTCAACAAACCCCTGGAACCCCGCATCGATGTCGATATTAATGTTTCCCCCCTTAAAAACATATACGCGTAAATATGTCATCGTAACATAACAATATGGAAGGAATATTCTTTTACAGGCTTTTTACGAGGTAGTGATGCAACACCCCATAATTCTCTGTATAAAACTAACCTCGTTTCTCGTCTTCCGCATACACACGGATCTCTTCGACAACCAAAATGTTTCCAATCTCTCAACCCAACACTTCTCGACCTCTCCGATGCGTTTTCTGCTTCAGACGCTTCAAGTACGACCAATCTCTTCAAACTCATCTACTTGCCGACCATTCATCCACGATTTCTGCCCTCAACCATCTCCGGAACTACAGTAAGGCCACGGCAACAGACGAGTCCTGCAATCTTGCGCCAAGAAGAGTTTCAGTGATCAAGAAGCTCGAAAATTACCTGCCATGAATCTCTCTGACTGCCTGATTGAACAACATGCTATTAGCGAAATAAAACCTCAATTTTACAAAAATCCAATGTAGTCATCAACAACTATATTTATTCCATCAAGCGTCGGCAGTGAAAGATACAAGGCTTCCACCGTTTGGAGAAATACGGTCATCGGCAAGGTGGACCAAGTTTACTTGGATCGAGCTCGCATCTGAAAAGTAGAGATTAAGAAAATCAAGAGTTCAATTTTCAAACCTTTCTTCGCTTTCGCTTGAGCCTTCGTACACGCTTCTTACGCCACTTTGCACGCATTTTTCACCGACTTCTCAGTCTGAAAGAAGAAAAGTTGATAAATTTCTAACTTATTTAAAAAAAACCTAATTCATAAGAATAAGAGTGACGTACGGGAAAGACGTTGACGACAGAATATATCATGGTGGTGTGGAAGGAACATTTTATTGGGAGGCATATTTTTGGGAATAATTAACAACTCTTTTCGTCTTCTCAGATTATTAAGTAATTTTCTGTATTCAATTTGGAGAGGATTCATTTTTTTCTTTTCAAATTATAATTCGAATTGGAAAGTGCGCGCTTTGAGCCAATCAGAGGCCGCCATCCGCCTGATTTTCTCTTTCACACTGACTCAGACATAAAAGAATTACGTAATCAACTATGATGATATAACTATGAGTAATCACTAGAGAAATGGTGCAAGAAAGTTCTACTGTTCTCTGATAAGACCCTCTGGTCATACGACTTTTTCTAGTCTAAAATTTGTGAATTGAAGCACCCCAGTTTGAAAGTTAAAAATTCTAGAGATCGTTAAACGAAAAAAAGAAGGAATAAGCGAAATGGGAATGCTGCGGAGTATTCCCGAAAGATGTGCCAAGTATCCATATGAAGTTCTCGTCTTCTACCTCGTCATTCTCGTAAGTCATCAAATCCGATATAAGTAGCTCTGACGATTTCGATTCAGATCGGATTACTATCTCTTCCTCACTCAAAAGAAGCCCTCTTCCAACTTTCCTTCGACGAATCTGAGTTCCATTCCTTGATCATTGTCGCCAGATGTCTCGCCATTCTCCACACTTCTTATCAAATCAAGAAACTGCGCCTTTTTCATTCATTTTGGCTCGCCGCCGCGATGGCAATTTTCTCCCTCGTCATTTTCTCCAGTTTCGTCTTGCTCAGCAGCATGGTCGCTTCCTTCTTTCCCGACTCCAAAGTCCTCTCCTGGTCCACTTTGATCCCTCTCTGCGTTCTCGTTACAGAAATGGACTTTCCACACGCCCTTCTTTTGACTTCTTCCGAATCCGTGGCGAACAAGGAGACGATTCCACAGTCTATCGCCAGCGCCACTTCACGCCTTGGATTAAAAGCAAGTTCTACCTCTTTGCTGGACATTTTCTGCCTTGGAAGCGTCATTTTATACAACAGATATGATCTTTCCTCCAGCGGGATGAATTTCGCCCTCGCTGTCAGCATCATCTGCGTCTTACTCCAAAATTTGATCTTCTTCACGCTCGTTCCTTCGTTGACGAGCTTGATTCTCTACTGGTTCCCTAGAGCTCCTCTCAAAGCGTTAACAGACGATGGCCACATTTGTCTGCTCACTCAGCGAGCTCTCAGTTCCCTCAAATTCGGCTCCGGCTTTGAAGTATCCATCCTCGTCACTTCCACCTTCGTCCTCGCGCAATCCAAGAAGGTCTTTGGCCTCGTTCTCCGCCAATTCTGCCCATTTTACCTGCTCGACTTTCTGCGGCGAAATGTGTCGCCATTTTGGCCCAGCCGTATTTCGTTCTCCGAGACTGGCATTTGGACCTTCCTTTCCGTCTCGAGTAAGTGTTTTTCAATATGACTCACTGGGATACACTCACTAAAGTTGAGCATCATTTTCGTGATCTTAACAAGTAGTTTATTTTTTCTATAAAGAACGTTTTCTGATAAGACCCAAAATATCCGACTTATTATAGATGAGAAGTAAGAAGAATCAAAGAGAAAAATTACCAAATAATAAATATTTTTTAGTTTTCCGATACTTGATCCTGGACAATGTCCGACGATCCCGAGCTCGTCATCTTTCTTCTTCCGACAAGCCGCTGAAGAACTCCTCCGCCCGAGTTCGCCGCCAGAGCGATTCTTTCTACGATTTTGATTCGAACGAAGAAATCAGAGATTTAGAAGAAATGAAGCAGCTTCTTTCGGAGAAAAAGTGCGATCTGATGAATAATTCTGAGATTTTATTCCTTCTCAAGCTCGGTTTAATCCGGCCCTATGCTTTGGAAAAGATTCTGCAAGATGCAACGCGAGGTGTCGTTATTCGTCGAAGGTTCTTGGGCGAAGAGAAGTTCAGGTCGTTGCCATATCAGAATTACGACTTCGAAATTGCGGCGAAAGCGTGCTGTGAGAATATTGTCGGATACGTGCCCATTCCGCTGGGAGTTGTTGGTCCAATTTTGGTCGATGGACGAGAATGCAGTCCGCTTTTGGCAACGACAGAGGGCGCCTTGCTTGCGTCCGTGAATAGAGGATGTAAAGTTATCAAGATCTCTGGCGGCGCAAAAACGTCAATCTTTAGGTTAGTATTTTTGTCCTACTCCTCTTTTTATGTTTCTCAAAAGGGATGAGATGTCCCGAGCTCCGTGTGTATCCTTCCCTTCCACTGCAGCCGCCCTGGATTGCTTCCAATGGCTCGAGGACCCATATAATTTCACGATTATCAAAGACGCCTTCGAAACGACAACTCGTTTTGGGAAATTGCTGAAAGTAACGCCCTATCCGGCGGGTCGCCTCCTTTTCCTTAGATTTTCAGCGTCTACTGGAGATGCTATGGGAATGAATATGGTATCTAAAGGTAGATACAGAGCAGTTATCAACAGTTGAAAAAGTTTTCAGGAACTAACAAAGCGGTGGATACGTTACTTGGACTTTTCCCAAGCGCAAAACTGGAGTCGATTTCGGGAAATGCGTGTACCGATCAGGGTTCGGTAATTTGAGCTCACGCTAAAACTCAAGGAAACAAAGCTTGAGACTCACGTTTTTAAATTTGAGTTTTGAGAACTCAGAGATGAGAGCTCACGTGAGAAATCAATTCTGGCGATCCATGAGCCAATCAAGGAAGCGCTCGCTTAATTTGAGTTTTGAAAACTCAAAACTCTCAAATATCCCAAAAACTCAAAACTCCCAAAACTCTCAAATCTTCTCAAAATGATTTCTCAAGTCACTTTGAGTTCTCAATTTGAGGAAATTTGAGCGTCTAGCCAAAATGAGTTTTAGCTTGAGCTCAAATTACCGAACCCTGGTACCGATAAAAAACCATCAGGTAAACCGCGAATTTAACCATCCACTTGGCCTCTGAGTCAATGAAAGAAAATAAATTGTCAAGTCAAGACTTACAAGTCTTCTTCAAATATATACAATTTTTTCAGCGATGAACTGGATCAACGGCCGTGGAAAAACGATAATCGCGGAAGTTTCGATTCCAGAAAAAGTCTTAGTTGCTAATTTCAAGTGTACAGCGAAGCAGCTGGCTGACCTGAACGTCAGAAAGAACCTGATAGGGTCAAACGTTGCGGGTTCCATCGGCGGATTCAACGCGCACGCAGCCAACATTGTGGCGGCTTGCTTCATCGCATCTGGCCAAGATGCCGCACAAGTTGTTGAGGGATCGCAGACGATGACGTTATTCGAAGAACGGGTCATTGATTCAGGGAATGGGTTGATTTCACTTGAATAATAGTTTCAATAGTCAGTTAGAAAGTAGAAAGTAGAATTATTTCAATTATATTTTCTTTTAATTTGATTATTGTTTGTTTCATTTAATAAGTTTCTTCATAAAATTATTCGTTTGATAATGAAAATCAACCTCTCGATAAGAAACCTATCTCCACGCATCTGTAACGATGCCATCACTAGAAGTAGCGGCGATGGGCGGTGGAACCAACCTTGAACCCCAGAAATCCATCCTGTCATCAATGATTGGATCAGACTGCGTAGAGCCAGGAGACAAATCGAGACGGTTGGCAAGTGTGATTGCTTCGACAGTTCTCGCTGGAGAGCTGAGTTTGATGAGCTCGCTAGTGAAAGGACAAGTTCGCGATTTTTTTGTTATTTAGGAATCGGTGGATTTAAGGGACCCTCCCATTAGATACGCGAGGAAACGTGGGCTTAGGCCAAGAGCGGGAACCGATTTCAGATTTCAGATAAAAATATGCAAACTTTGCTGTCCTTTGAAAAAAGTTTACCGGCGCAGAATTGAACGCTTGTGTTTACATGACCACCGTCAAGTTAACTAGACAGTACTTATTTTGTTTTTACGTGGGGAAGTAATTTTCTTATCAAATTTGTCATCAATGATAGGTTGGATATCGTCGACCATGAATTTCAGATGATCTCCAAGCTAGGCTTACTTAGTTAGCTACGCATAAAGTGAATCAAAATCGACTATTATCGACAAGAGTGTATTGCAACGTCTCGGTTTTTAGTTTTGTAGACTCAAAGAGCATGCGGCATGCCTAATGATGGTCTTAGTACCGAAACGTTACAGTAAACTCTTGTCTACAATTATCTCCAGTGTCATTTAACGATTAATTCAAATAGTAGACAATCAATGCTAGTATTTAAGTAAAAATTAACATACAATTCTTGAACTTCAAAAAAGGCGATTTAGTCGAAAGCCATATGAAACTGAACCGAGTCCAAAAAGCAGCTCCTGTTGCCAAAGAAGAACATAAAATTCTGTGAGCGATTCTTTATTGATACTAGACTATTACTATCTATGTACTACTTTGTGTGATGCACTTTTATATTCTATCCAGTTTGCAATTAGCTTTTTCAAATTTTTCTTACTACTATTCATCCTACATAACCAACTTTTGTGTTACTGTACCTGATCCTACTTCACAAAATATACAGAAAAGACTTCATTTTTACTCCTGCCAATGATCGAGAATTTTAAATATTTTTTTTCTGTTTTATTAGGTTTTTGTCATGCTAGATTCATGAGAACTTACGTACAGCGGTGATTTTACAGAAAGGGGAACAAATTGAAATGGAGAGTAAAAGATTCTTAACAACCTAGTCGGCTGGCGTAAAAAGCCTGGACTTTTCGTGCTCGTCGGATGATTTGACGGTAGGTTTTGCCTCGTCCCTGGCAGGCAAAGTTTCGGGCCCAGCTGGAGAGAGCAGAGTTGACCTGGCCATTGAGCTTGCAAGCGTTGTCTTCAGTGAAGACTCGGGAATCCTCCAACTCAGCGGCTAATAATTAAAAATTAGTAAATGAAAGTTCTGATTTTCTTACTTTCTTCGAGGATGTTAGTAGACTTGCAATTCACCCCTGTGAAGGAACTGGAAGCCAAATCGAAAAGTTTGGTCATTCGGGAATCGAATCGAGCAGCGAAGTTGCTACCATCGGCTGGAGTCAAGGATTTGAGGGTCTAAGAATATGTTAAAATTAGCTATAAAATATAGTTTGTTTACCTCGAAATGGCCCTTGATGAGTTCAAGTCGAGCCTCGGCGTTGTCAGCGTCGAGTTCTCGGGCAGCGGCGGCGGCAAAAACGGTGACAAAGGAGAGCTTCATTTTTTAAAGTTGTTGTTTTGAGCGTTGTCGGTTGAGCTGGTCGACTCGTTGTTGAGTTGTGTTTGATGATTTGACTACAGTTGAGCGGGGCTTAAATAGCGCAAAAACGCCGCGCTCTAGCGCTACCGGAGCGCCGCTGATAATTACGCTCTCACGAAATTACGTGCGAAAATGCGATGGTCAGGCGACTTTTTCTTGATAGCTTATCAATAACGAATGATGGAATGTAAAACTATTTATCCTGGGTCTTTCTTTATCTGAATTCTATCATAGACACTTGACTTTCCGTTAGAGAGCATACGAATTAGAGATAAAGAAGTAATTATGCAGTATTAATTCAAATTCAAATTGATAGATCATCATTTTTGTGCGATGATTTGCAAAATGAAGAATTTAGAATCTACGGTGTGAGAAACTTAATTTGACAACTTGTCAAATTGAGGCTTGAAACTCTCGACCGTGATGTTCGACCTTCATAGAACACGCGTTTATAGAAACTCTTCCCTTATGTTTTACTACAAAGCGAGGCACGTTTTCAACCCCGCGAATAGCTCAAAAAATTAGTCTCTGTTCTTATTTGATCCTGTAATCCGGATCTCTTATGAATTGGGATAATATTTACGGATCTAATTTAACATGCGCGAAGGATTTTTACATCAGTCAATTATATTATAAAGTTCTCATTTGATTTTACGGTTTTTTTGTAAAAGGTTATGTTTTTACATGTTTTATTATTAAATTACTGAAGATACTTTTTGAAGGCTTTTGCTACAAATTGACGATAATAAGATCGATTTAAAACTCGTGTTAGAAATCCAAGAATTTGAAATGTAGATCAGAGTAATCATTCCCAAAATTGCTGGCAATAGAATCCTCGAGTCGTCATGAATCCGATTCTGTGATTTCTGACCGCTACCTACATTTTAATGCTATCATTGCGACAGGTTTGAGTGGCGATAACAATCCGGTCTGGGCTATTTTCACGCGGCAATCGCGAAATTAGCGCACCTATCATCTTCTCCAATTTAAAAATTATGAAATTTTTGATTTTCGCTTTCTAAAGGGTTTCGGTAAGAATGTTGTATATTTGCGTTTAAGTCATACGGGTTCGTTTTAGATGAGCTGAAAGCGAATCTTATTTAATGAGATTTTAAAAACTAGCATGAAAAGGGTGGTTATCTACGTGAAGCGGCTGTGGAAATGGCGGAAACGTGATAACCTTTTGGTGAAAACTGACAAGTGTTGAAATATGGAGACATACGGAATCGAGTTAAGAAGATAAGGAGTCCAGAATGTGTTTTGGCGAATTGGGATGAACGGTTGATCTTCGCGTTAAAGTCGTGGCCTAGCTTGTACGTTAAATCATCTTAATTCGCCACCTTGGGGATGATGATTTCAGATGGGGATTATTCTATTATTTTACAGCCTACCCGTAGATGAACGTTTAATGCGCTGTTATTTGAGTGAAGTCTGTTCAGAATGAGATTTTCTCGTATTTTGCGAGATCCGGTGAAATTCCAGCGGGCGGAAAATGTCGGAATCGTCACTTTAAACCGTCCAAAAGCGCTGAATGCTTTGAATCATCCCATCGTGAAGATGATGAGGCCGCAGGTAAATTGTTTATTTTTGTTCATATTCCATGCTATTTTAAAGCTCAAAGAATGGGAAGAAAGTGGAATCGACCGAGTCATTCTCAAAGCCGAAGGCGGAAAAGCATTTTGCGCGGGAGGTAAGGTGGGATTTCTTTCATTTTGTTAACATGGCTCCGTTAAACGTTTTCGCGGTTTTCATCCAAGGATATAAATCCGGCGAAGTTCACCTTGCAGTTGCAGCCAAAACATGATCACGTTTCTTCTTTCTGAAGAAAAAACACCCTAGCCGGAAAATCTCGTTTATGCGGATTCTTCTGTGTTTTAAAAAAATGAAAAAGTTATTTACACTAAAGAATGTTTCAAATTCTAAGATTAAAGATCTAAGAAACCCTACATTCTTTTAAATTAACTAGTAAGGGCCTTTCAAGAGCCATTAAAGCGAAAATTAGATTATAAAATTTTGAAATAACTAAAATTATAGGCGATATAAAAGATCTGACGCTTCCAACTTACGACGGTGACTACGATTCCGGCGCAAATTTCTTCCGCGAAGAATACCAACTTGACTATCAATTAGGAACGTATTCCAAGCCAGTAATCTCTCTCATCCATGGAGTGGTCATGGGCGGCGGCGTCGGCATTTCTTGCCATACGCCGATTCGAGTTGCAACCGAAAAGACCCTCTTTGCCATGCCGGAGACTGGTATTGGTCTGTTCTAGGGTCGGACTTCCTTCCTTAATTTTTTGCTTACTAAGGGTCCTTCCCTTAGTAAGGTAAGGATTTTTTCCTTACCCTTTTTCGGATTTCGGCTGAAAAAAATCCTTACCATAGTTCCTTTCTGAGTTTTCAGAGATCCTTAGTAAGGATCTTCAATCCTTAGCGATTTTTCCTTAATTCCTTTCCTTACTAAGGATTTTAAAAAGGATTTTTTCGACGGCCTACGCATTTGGAGAGCGCTTTTATTAAAAACCCTTTTCAAAAGCCTTAGTAAGGAAAGGAATTAAGGACGAGTTGTGAAGGAATTTAGGAAAAATGTCTCTTGCCAACTTACTGACTGCAAAAAATACCCAATTGTTCGAAATAAAGGGTCGTTGACTTAAATAAATGCTATTTTCATCAATAAGAACATTTTTGCGAATCGTACCTTATCAAATCCAGGGGTGACCATTCGGGCAAGAAATCGTCGGTTGGCCGTCCGAGTGCCCGGCCGAAATCAAGGGTCAAGAGTCGAGCCGTCCGAATGCCCGGCCGAGCCGAGGTGCCCGAATTGCCCGAAGTTGCCCGAAACGCCCGGTCGGGCAAGTGGCCGAAGTGCCCGAAATGCCCGAAAATGCCCGAAATGCCCGGTCGGGCAGGTAACCAAAGTGCCTCAAACGCCCAGATGAGCAATAATTTTCGATTTTTAAGTCAACAGAATCGGATTGATGATGGGATTTTCGATAGATAACGGCTAGAAAAATAAGTTTCGAGGGACTTTTGATTCAGCTAGAGGAGCAAGAGAGCAAAAATGGTTGTAAAGAAATTCTTCTTGCATTATGCAAAAATTGGCAAAATTAAGGAATTTTCCTCGACGCGGGCTTGCCCAACTGCCCGAAAGCGCCGAATTGCCCGAAAGTGCCCAATTTGCCCAAATGCCCGAAATGCCCGCTCTTGCCCGGCCTAATTTTAGGGGCTGAGCCGTCCGAATGCCCGGCCGAACGCATTTTGCCCGAAAATTGCCCGAATGCCCGATGCCCGAATGGTCACCCCTGATCAAATCCTTACTAAGGTTACTAAGGCCTTAGTAAGGAAGGCCCTTAGTCCTTCCTTAGGCCTTTCTTGATTTTCATCAAAATCAAAACCCTTACCCTTAGTAACTAAGGAAACCTTAGTAAGGGGTCCCACCCTAGGGTCTGTTCCCAGACGTCGGCGGTGGCTACTTTTTGCCGAGAATTCCAATTCCAGGATTGGGTCTCTTTCTGGGACTCACTGGACAAAGACTCAAGGAAAGAGTTGTCAATTTTGATAGAAGAACTATTTAACAGTAAATTCGACCGACACGTAATCTAATTTCAAGTACCGATCTAATTACAGTGAAAACCCATTTTAAGGCCCACCCTTTTAAGGCCACTTTTTCGGAAAGTCTCCAAAATCTGTCATCCTAAAAAAGTCCACTTTAAGGCCACTTTCTTTTATTTTTTTTTCAAAATCCGAAAGTAACAGTTTCGCTTGTAAAAGCAAATTATCTTCGACTGTGTCTTCGGCCATTTTGAAGTCGATGGCTTTTCAGTGTCGGCATTGTCTGTCACTTGAACTTAAGGCACTTCTTTAATCTCCATCGGAGTCCCAGGACGTGTTTCATCAATTTGAAGCGCCAGAAAATGCTCGACCAATTCTTCCTCTTGTTTGTCCAGAACATTTTCTGCAACATCGAAATCTTCAAACTGCTCGATTTCTTCTCGAAAATAATCCTCTTGAAGTAGTCCTGTGTTGATCCATGATCGCTTGAAGATTGCTGGGTTCAAGTGCATGAAGATTTTGCCATGAAATAATCACCAAGAGTCCAATTTAAAGAACACATTTGGAATCATACTTGGTTCGGGCGAAAGAAACATGCGGTAGACTGGGACCTTCCCCTATTAACCCTTATGATTCATTTTTGTTCCAAAAATATGGGAAAATTTGTTGTCATCCGACGAAAGGCAAAAAATATCCATTTTAAGGCCACTTTTGAAATTCGCTGTCATCCAAAAAGGGGCCTTAAAATGGGTTTTCACTGTATACTCTTGATGTTACGGCCTTCAACGTATAATTTACGGAAGCTCATTCAACGTGTTAGATTTTCTCCTCTCAGCAATTTTCAATTTCAAAAGATCAAAGCCTAACCAAAATCGAAAATGACTCAAGCTGCATTAGAACGTGATAGCAAACATACAGTTAGACAGCCACAAATAACTCATTATAAGGGCGCAGATTGCCAGCACGGTCATGTTTCTACTCATACGATTTCATCAGACAAGCTCGAGCAGATTGAGAAGTACCTCATTTCTCTCCCGCAAAACTTGGTCGCTGAAGAAATTAGCGAAGCCATCCAAAAGTTTCAAGTTCCTATTGGCGACTTTTCGCTTGCCAGTCAATTGGACAACATCGCGAAGTACTTTGACGATCCAAAGAGCCTTTTGGAGCTTGTTCAAGAGTTAGAAAGCTCTAGTGGCGAGTGGGAACAGAAAATCGCCAAGAAACTAAGATCCATGAGCCCAACAAGTCTTGCGATAACGTTCCAGCAAATTCAAGATGGAAAGAATATGAGTTTTTATGACGTTTTCGCGATGGAGTACAGACTCGGTAAGTTAAATCCCCCAATTAATATTAATTGAAAATTCGCTAAATTCAGCTTACCAATGTCTCCGCCATGAGTTCCCAGAAGGAGTACGAGCCCTACTCGTTGACCGAGATAATAACCCTAAATGGAATCCTGCCACAATTGAAGAAATCCCTGACTCGTTAATGCAGACCTTTTTCGAAGAAAAACCCAATGCATGGCACCCAACTAAGCCCTGGCAATCGAACCAATAATTATTTATACATCGTGTGTTTTAATTCATATATGCCAATAAAGAAACTATTCGATTAACATTGAAACAAGCGTATTTATTAAATTTGATTATGTACAGATATGATTTGAAATTATTCATCTTTCGTCAGGGTCGTAAAAGTCGAGTTTCCTGGAAAAAATAACGATGTTGTGAAGAATTTGACAAATCAAAATATTCATTTATTGGCTCCAATTTTGGAGTAATCTCTTAGCAGGTTATATGCGTGATTCTACGAAGCGATAAATAAAGAAAGTGCTTTCAGTTCCATTTTTGTTTACATACGGCTTCCACCGCCGCCCATTCCCTTCATCATTTCCATCGGAATTGGGAAAACGATTGTAGAATTCTTCTCAGCTGAGATTGTGGTCAAAGTCTGGAGATATCTAAACGAGGTTGCATCCATAAGTCAAGTAATAGAATTTACCGGAGCTGGAGTGCAGCGGGAGAGCTATTGATGACATCAGCGGCCTCTTTCAAGCTCTTTGAGGCATTCATTTCTCCCTCAGCAGCAATAATCTAATAAGTTCATTATAGACACGAATCGTCCTTTAAAAGTTCACGAACTTATTTTCGTGTCCGAGCAAATAAGATACTTGAAAACACGCGCAAATAATTCAATCGGAATGCGTCATTATATTTACCTTAGCTTTGGCATCTCGGGCGGCTTCGGCTTCAGCAGCCATGGCTCTCTGGAGGGATTGCGGCAGAATAACATCCTTGACTTCAACTCGTTCGACAGTGATTCCCCATGGGTCAGTGGCATCATCGAGGATCTGCAGCATTTCATTTGAAATGGCTTCTCGGTCAGAGAGAACTTCCGAGAGGTTTCTTGTTCCCAGGATGTTTCGCAGAGTTGTCTGAAGAATGAAGAACTGATTCTTATACTAAAATCACCTGAGCGAGGAGTCGTGTGGAGATTGACGCGTTTTCAACGTTCTTAACCGAGGCAATAGCATTTCCAATTCTGTAGTAGACGACGGCGTCAACTCGGATTGTGACGGAATCCTTTGTGAGGATCTCTTGAGGTGGAATGTCAAAAGAGATCGTTCGCATATCGACCTAGTCATTAGAATTGAATTAGCATTAAATCAATTCTACCTTGATAAAGCTGTCAGTGCACGGGACGATAAAGAATAAACCAGGTCCGACAGCTTTGTTGCCGCTGATTCGCCCGACACGGAAGATCACAGCTCTCTCATACTCGGCAATAATCTTGACGGCCGAAAATATCGTGATTGGGAAGAGGAGAATAGTCAAAATCGTGAAAAGAGAACAAGGCAGCTGGAGCAGCAGCCTAGTCCCTCGTCAACTTCATTATCATCGTGATTTGCAGTCCTAAAATTATGTGAAGTCTTATTCCGAAACTCAACAAGAACTTTTCAGGCCGGTGCATCAGCTAAAGTTTGTGTTTATCGTTTTAATCAAGAATTGTTGACCAAGCAAAAATTATCAACATTGGAATCAACTTTTCATAAAGTTTTCTTACACTTTAGTCATTTTATAATCTTCTTTGATTCCGATTATCTAAGCTAAAGGTAAAGTACCGCGTTGAAAGTTAAAAAAATTAAAGTTTGCTTACATTTCGATGCTCTCGACTTGATTTTTCATTCAAATGCCCCCGTGGCGAGCGCCTGTCCTAACTAAACAATGGGCGCTGGCCTGGGGCAAGTGAGCAATGGAAAAATATTCATTTCTTGGAGCTCATGGCAACGTCGGTGAATGGGAGGAAGTTTATTCTGCACAATTGACAATCGTGAATTGACAATTCAAAATTCTGCATCAGGACAATGGTTAATTGATCGCTCGACAAGTTTATGGGAATCCAGCAAGGGCAAGCATTCGATACTTCCATTTTTAGCATGGGTTATTAGAATTTGCACAATTGATAGTAATTAGTGCGGAAGACTTTCACTCCACAATCGCTTAAAAATTAACATGATTTCAATTGAGCGGTAAAAAACTGTCCGAATCGGTTTACTCTATATTTTTAGTCATGAATAAATAAGTCGTGGTTAACTGATTACTGAAACGCGAAAGTCCCTTCAATCTGTCAAGTTCCACGAAGCCCAAATTTTGACAAAACTTCACTTGCCATTTGACGTTGCCAAAATGTTTTTAGATTACCCTAGATACAGTAAGGCTTTCATGATAAGTTTTTCAATTCAAAAGTTCTGAAAACAAACCAATTCAAATGGTTCTGTTCCACCTGCAGACCAATCTGTTACGCTCTAGTTCCCCTCCGTATCTTCCTTATCGACCGTAAATCTTATTCAAGCTGAACGCTGCCCAATATAAAAAGGGGGCTCTTCCTCCGTTTCTCATCAAACTCTGAAAATGAGAATCTTATCACTTTTCTTCACCTTCTCCTTTGCATTCGACGATGTTCTGCTTTTGAGCCTGCTTTCCCGTTCTGGCTCTGACTCGCAAAACAACCAGATGAACTCGATTTTGCCTCTACTTCTTCTTGATGACACCAGCTCTGACAATTCGGATTTGATGCTGATGATGCTCATGAATGGTGGAACTCAGAGCATGGACCAACTCCTCCCACTTCTTCTTCTTGGTGATGACGATGATTCCTCTACTGACATGATGACGCTATTCATGCTCCTCAGCAATATTCAGGGCAACTGTGAGGTAGACACAGCTTCTTCCCTCAACAATCTTCTTCCTTTCCTTCTTCTTACAAACTCAACCGATTCTTCTGACTCGCTAATGACAATGCTCATGTTTTCGATGATGGGTGCTGACAGCTCTGCAATCAATCCCTTCGTGATGCTTTCTTTCGTCAACAACGACGACAGTTCTACCTTCGAGTCCGATAGTCTCATTCAAATGGTTCTTCTTAGCTCTTTATCCGGAGGCTTTAGCACCCAAGAAGGATTCGACAACTCATTCAACCTTCTTCTCCCTCTTCTCCTCGCTAATGAGACCACCACATCTGGATCATCTCTCTTGGTTCTCATGATGGCCATGCAAGGCAATGCGCCAAACAGCGGATTTGGAAACAACATGCTCTTACCTCTCCTTCTTGCTGACTCCACATCATCGAACGAGAATCTTCTTTTCTACATGATGATGTTCGGCGGTGATTTCAACTCTGGAACTTGCAATCGAGGTCGAGTCGAACTCCCGAAAGAAGTTGCCCAGCCAATTGTCGTTCCCCAGCCTGCTCAAATTGTCCAGCCGGCACAAGTAGCACAGCCCGCTCAACAAGTCGCCGCGCAGCCAGTTCAGCAAACCGTCCAGCAGGTCCGCTACGTTGACACTGTTGTTCAACCAGGTCAGCAAGTGGTTTACAAACAAGCCCCGCCTGCATACGTCCAAAACTTGAGAGATGTCTACTATTACGACGATTACGAGATGTACGGAATGCCAGCCTACGGATTCCAAAACCCTTACATCCGAGGAGGTCGAGTTTTCTTCGGATAAAATCAAGCGCGAATACTTTTCATCCCACTTCTTTCTTTTCATTCTATATTTATTACTTCGAATTCATTTTCAACCTGTTTCCCGAAAATTTATGCATTAGTCTTACAAAAATTGAAATAAATTATTTGAATAAAAAATCTTGAAAGAGTGCAAATATTGAACCAATTATCCACTTTTTGGACAGGAAGGCACAATGGGCCAAACAAAAACGTCACTTCTGACTACTGTTACTTAGGATACGAGAATAATTTATGTGTTGATTCCAATTTTTCGCCGAATTTATCGAAAAATGGCATCTCAAACAGAACTCGAGAAAGAAATTGAAGATGAAATGAAAAACATGTAAGAGGCTATTCGTAGGATCTCATTTATTTATTCATTCAAGTCGAATAATGGAAGCTTCAACAAAGCAGATGCAGGGCAATTTGAAAAAACTGGAGAAAGAGAAACAAAAAATTCAAAAGGAAGAAGATGACTTAGGTCATTATTGGTTCTAAAAATTTCTATTATCGTGAGAATTTGCCTGAAACCATGAATAACGCAAGACAGTATGAAACTCTTCGAAAGAAAAATGACCAACTTGAGGCGAAACTAGCACGTGAACAGGTTAGATTTTTGCTTTATTTAGTTGTTTCTCATGAAATCCGGCTGAAGACTATCCAATGTAAGATCGCTTCGTTTAACCCAGCCAAGGGGGTTCATTCTAAAACGCGTTGAGTTGTTTCAACTGCGTAAAAATTCGAGCTTGTAGCTTACGGTCTGTCTCCTCTCTTCACCCAGCCTAGGGGGTTTATTCTAAAGCCACTAATTTTTCTTTATTTCGATTGACACTTACGGTCGGTTTCTTGGCGATCGAGTGATCACATCAGGGCCATTGATACCTTGTACTTTACTAGGGGAAAGCAAGTATCTTGGAAGCATCATGTCCATGATTAGGAACTGGGCAAAAAGATTAAAGTTCATTTCGTATCAATGGCTCCGGTTTGAATGCTGCCGCGGTATTTATGCGTCGAAAATCAATTATTCAAACCTAAATTGAGGACATGAGCATAAAATAACATCTGTATTTATGAGCTAAATGGCACATTAAAACATTAATTTATAGAAGTCGGCTAAATCGTCATCAAGCCAAAGCAAAGACCTTACTGTTGTACCGGCCAAGACTAAATGGCTTCCGTCATTAGACTTCACAGATGAAGAACTTGCAAATATGACAGATAAAGAAATCAACAGTCTGGTAATCAAGCTGGAGCGGGAGCAAAAGATTGCAGGTAGACTTGTCAAACCCTAAATAAAAAAAATAAAAAAAAATGGAAAGATGGCAATTTGAAAAACTCTGAATGGAAACTTGATCAAGAAGCAAAACAATACTTTGAAGCGAAAAATAAAGTAGAAGCTGCCAAAGTAATTGGAGTCAAAGCAAATCAAGATTTTAAGCGACATCAGCAACTGTAAGTCGACGAGTTTTACCCAAATGATAAATTTCGCTAAGAACGCCTGTGGAAAGCTCTACTGGAAGAAGTACCGATAGTCGAGCTTCGATGCATTCGAAAACTTCAAAATCAAGAAACGGTTTTTAAGATATTTTATATTTGTGTGCAGATTTTGAGTTTTCAATAAAATCTTTTACTGTTTCTTCATCCATCGTTGAATACTTTTCCAGACCAAGTCGGGATTAGCATGGAACATGTTATGCCCGTAGTCAGAAAAGTGTTCGATTTCGACATCGCCAGAGATATATTTTCTTTCATTTTCCGGAAGTTCTTTGATAAGTGCAATGTCTTTGTCGCCCCAGAGAATCAGCACATTATGCGGAATCTTAACATATTTATGGCCGGACTTGAAGTTGAGTTTAAAGATCGCTTGACCTGAATTTTATCTAAGACAGCACATTGTCGTAAAAATTTAAAACTCTTTGGCTTGTGTTTGACTGCATGTTTGAGTGCGACTCGGCCGAGAGCACGATACCAGTTTATTGGCTCCGTAAATGGACTCGGTCTTGTTCGAGCTCCCATTCCCGTCATCACATCTTCGACATCCTCCCTATGCGTTCCCATTCGTCTGAGAATAAATTTGTGCAAAGCATAATCATTAATTTTCCACACTAGTTCTGGAATTATTGGGAGTTAGAAGAAGTAAACATAATAGCTGAGATGATTTCAAAAAATATTTCGCGGGCCCGGAAATCGTCGAAAAACTTCTTGTCTAGTTTTGTAGAGCTCGTCGAGACGAGTCGAATGATATATCAAACTCCTGATAGTTTTAAGATTTTCCGTCAAAAAAAGTGATAAGAAGGTGTCTTATCAAAAATTTTCTGACCAGCGCCGTTTTTGTTCTAGAAAAGCTGAGGTCATGCTTGACCCCGAAAAATGATCCTCATGATCTGTTCTATTACAGCAAAAAATTTCAGCTCGTCCTTACATATCCTGCTGTGCTTATCAGCGAAAAATCAAAAAATTAGTGCATTTTGTTGTCGCTGCACGTTCCTAATTTCTGGCCCATTTCTAGTCCCATTTCCTTTGAAAATGAAATTTAGCGATAAAATCGGCTGTGTAAATGATGGGTGGTATGCGGTCAGGCTGAAATTTTTTGCTGTAATAGAACAGATCATGAGGATCATTTTCCGGGGTTAAGCATGACCTCAGCTTTTCTAGAACAAAAACGGTGCTGGTCAGAAAATTTTTGATAAGACACCTTCTTATCACTTTTTTTGACGGAAAATCTTAAAACTATCAGGAGTTTGATATATCATTCGACTCGTCTCGACGAGCTCTACAAAACTTGACAAGAAGTTTTTCGACGATTTCCGGTCCCGCGAAATATTTTTTGAAATCATCTGAAGAGTTATTGATCGAATGTTTTCTAAAATGCGCTCACCTAGCAAATGTTTGTTTCCTATTGCTCAATGCTGTCTCAATGTATGCAGGAAGTGAGACTGAATTGAATGCAATTATCCGCTCAACCAAATCCGGACGAGTTCGCGCCAAATGGAAGCCTACAAGTGATCCCCAGTCATGAATAACGAGTGTGACCTTCAATGGCATTATCGTTTTTAATTATTTAGGTTTTAACCTTTCTTCCTGAATTGATATTTTCAATAAATGAAGCAACGTCATCTCGAAGACAATCAAGCGCAAAATCATCGACCTCATCAGTTTTATCCGATCTCGTCTGTCCGTAGCCTCTCTGTGCTGGCGCAAACGTGGTATGGGGTGATTCTTCGGCAAGGCCGAAGAATTGATGCTTTCACTAACACTGATTCTTCGGCTAATTGAGAATTGCCTTGAACCGAAGGATTAATGATAAACTTGACAGTGATTCTTCGGCAAATTTTCTAGAATCCATTATCAAAATTCTTTTGATAAATCTTTGATTGTAAAAAATGAGTCATAACTTAAGAAAAAAGACATTTTCTAGAGAAAAACTTATTTTAGCAATAAGTATTTTCTATAATTTGAGGCTAGTGTTAGGGGGCACTGGGCAAAGTGACAGAACAAACTCACCCGAGGGGGATAGGCTAGGGTTAGTTAGGGTTACTGAAGGTAACCCTAAGTAACCCTAGACTAGACCCCGGCATTTTAGGACCTAAGGGGCGGAGCCCCGTGGTAAAGGGCAGAGGAATCTGTGAATAAACTCACCTTAGCCGAAGAATCAGTGCATCTTCTATCACTTATTCTTCGGTTTTTGCCGAAGAATCAGTGTTCTTACACGCATCAATCCTTCGGCCTCCAAGCCGAAGAATTAGGCCGTATCACCGGCGCAAAAGTTTGGAATCCTTCTCCCTGAAATTTGAGCATCAGTGGGATCCAACTTGTGGGTGAATCTGGGAAACCATGGAGGAAAACAGCGATCTTTTCCGTCTCTTTCGTGGAGCTTAGGTAATCCATCGTGAGACCTGTTTCTGTTTCAAGAAATCGCTGGGTGAGAGATTTTGGAAGTGGCTTTGGTTTTGTCGGGAAATCTTGTGACTTTACCCACAGTGCTGATTTGAAAGCAAGATAAAGGGAGAGAGGGATTCCCATTTAACCTCCAAGAATGATGTTCATGGTCCATCTTGCGAAAAAGAGGAGGATACTAAACATAAAATTCATACTTTTCGTTGCAGTCTCTATTATCTTCCTAGCTTAAATAACTTACTCTTGTATCATTAAAAGTTTTTAAATAAAATCTATTCCATTCAATTTGACCTCGATTTTGCTGTATATTTTAGCATGATTTCGTCTCGTTTAAGAGATGTCTTGTGTAAATATGCTCAAGTTACATATTTTTATTCATTCGTTTCGCAGATTTAAAGATATTTTATTGTTTCTTCAGCCATCGTTGAATACTCTTCCATACTATTTCGTGGTTAGCATGGAACATGTTATGACCATAGTCAGGAAAGTGCTCAATCTCGACGTCACCAGAAATATACTGTCTTTCGTTTTCAGGCAACTCCTTTATAAGCGCTTCGTCTTTGTCGCCCCAAAGAATCAGCACATTATGCGGAATCTTAACATACTTATGGCCGGACTTTAATGAGTTTAAAATACATTCAACGTCTTTTATGCAAAATCTTTCTAAACGACGTCAAATTTTAGAACTCTTTGCCTTATGTTTGACTGCATTTTTGAGTGCAGATCGGCCAAGAGAGCGATACCAGTTCATTGGCTCAGTAAACGGATTCGTTTTTGTTCGAAGACCCATCCCAGAAATCACATCTTCGACATCCTCGATTTTAGTCCCTAAAATCTTAATAGCGAACAGGGATTTTCTTTATGTACCCATTTGACAGCAAATCGCTTTGAGAAGAGCAAAATCATTCATTTTCCACATCAACTCGGGAAATATAGGGAATTGAAAGACGTAAATGTAAAAGCTAAAACAGTGTTAAACCCATATTTTTTTTATATCAGGTCACCTGGCAAGAGTTTGTCTAACATTGGTCAATGCTGTTTCATTGTATGCAGGAAGTGAGACTGAATTTATTCCAATGACTCGTTCAACAAGTTCTGGCCGAGTTCTCGCCAAATGGAAGCCAACGACTGATCCCCAGTCATGAATAACTAGCGTGACCTTAGGATAATAAAATCATAGAATATTGAATTATTTAGATCTAAACCTTTTTTCCTGAGTTAATGTTTTCAATAAATGATGCAGCATCATCCCGAAGGCAGTCGAGTGCATAGTCCTCGATCTCATCCGTTTTATTCGATCTTGTCTGACCATATCCTCTCTGCGTTGGCGCAAAAGTCTGGAATCCTTCATTCTGGAATTTTAGCATAAGTGGAATCCAGCTTGTTGGTGAATCAGGGAACCCGTGCAAGAAGACGGCGATTTTGTCAGTTTCTTTCGTTGAACTGAGATATTCCATCGTAAGACCTGTTTCTGTTTCAAGGAATCGTCGGGCGATTGATTTCGGAAGTGGCTTTGGTTTTGTCGGAAAATCTTGTGACTTAGCCCAAATCGCTGCCCTTATTGCCTCAAATAGGAAAATAGGCATCCCCATAAAACCGCCAAGAATGATATTCACCGTCCATCGCGCAAAAAAGAGCAGGATTCTTAAATTCAAAGTAAGTTTTCTTCTTCTTTTCTAATTACATACTCTTGCATTTTCGAAAATTTTGAAATCAATTTTTCTCCATGAAGATTTGTGACCTCGATTTCAATGAAAAATATTTGCGCACGATTTTATCTATTGTGTAAATATGGTCTAGTTACATAATTTTACGATCCTTGAGTTCAAGGCCAATTTTATTGAATGGCAAGAATGAATGGTTATTTGAGGATGTTACTGTAAATGGGCTCAGCCAGCGACTATGAAAACAGTTTATCCGCACATGACCACAAAAAATAACAAAAACTCAAAATTAAATGTTTATTAAGGAAAGGGAGGCAAAAAGTGTCAACTATATAAATGTTAAATGTTATCTTTCTCGATACCAAGTCTAAGTATTGGTCCTCAAGGAGGCAAGTAAAAAATGAAAGTTGCATTGAAGGTCAATGTATTCTGTTTCTTTTTGATAATCTCTGGAAATGCTTATATTCCGAGAAGAATGCTTGAGGAAAGATTAAGGCAGCATCAGGTTCGAAATAAACATTTTATAATAATGACCTTTTACTAGAGAGATGCAAATTATCCCGTCATGGTGAATGTGGGAAAGATGAAAAACTTGATGAAGCAGTACCGTTACTTATCAAATAACAAAATTGTTAAAGTGAACAATATTGAAGAAAATGAATCTGCTTCTCCTCTTGACTTCGCCATGGGATGATCCTTCTGAAGCTTTTTAATAAAAAAACTGTTCGTAAATTATTGTTATTATTATAATTTTAAATTATAAATTTTATAAACATTGATGACTATGTTTCTCTTTCTCGAGGTGATAGCTGCACTGTGCTATCAGCCTGCACATAGAGGTCTAACTTCGTTGCCTATGAATGAGTTTGAAGTTCTCGAGCACATTCTTTAATCAAAATTTTTCGAATCTCTTCACATGGATCAAAAAGACCGCAAAGTAACTCAAATCGGTTTCCGATCATCAAAGGTGAAGATCGATCTTAGTAATTGCCTTCACGACAAGTCATGTTGCGATGGTTATTCCTGTTCTCTTTGATCAACACTTCACCACTCTGTTTCGAAGTGTGGCGAAACAAACGATTACTGTTTTTACTGGAACAACCCCAACAGAAATTCATCTTGCAATTGCAACACTTGTACAACGTGTCAAGTAGTCACAAAGACGAAAAGCATTATTGCAAGTACTACCGAGGCAAAGGTGTATGATAAAATCTCGACATCTATGATGATCAAGCAGGGGCTAGGAGGTTTCGTCGTGAGTCAAAGACCTAAATACGGATTTCAGGTAAACAAACTGAACAGATTTATGATATATTCGCTGAGTACAAAGCATGATGGGGCCCAATAGTCGGGGTAGGCAGACAAGTCCTTCGACGCCGCAGTGCAGGGACCGATCACCATCGACACAAGCTTCGAAACATCTGTCGATTTCACCTGCGATACTGGCGTTCTCCCGGGGCACCAGAAGAACATCATTGCAAAAAACGATGAGCACCACGAAGGATACGATGTTAGAAAATGGTCTGTCCTGATCTTCTATATGAGAATTTTTCTACTAAAATGAACGATCGAAAACGTGCGTGAACGTAGTGAAGTTCTACGGATTAATTTTTATGATTCTCCAACTTCCTGAAAACAAAGTGGGTATTTGTTATGGATTCGGATATGTTTTTATGATTATTTGCTGACATTTTCTAATTGTTCACCAACGTGCGTTTGTTTTGGCCCAAATCAACCCAGCGACGTTTTTGCTCTACGATTTCGATTCCAGAGAAACCGAGCTGATTATGAATGTTAACCAAGCTTTGGCATATAAACTCGCGGTTTCGCTCCATTCTATCAGAAAAAATATTTTTCTTCTTCACTTTTAAAAATGAGGTTTTTCAACGTCGCCGCCCTTGCTTCGCTTGCAACGGGTTTATGTGTATGGAGAGACGATTTCAAGGTAAATGAGAGAGAAATAGAGAGAATTATGAAAAAAGCGAGAGTATGCAAATAATTTGACATTTTTAGCCAAATAAATGCGTCGATCTTACTTTCAAGATGACAAAGACCAACTCCTGGGTCTGCAAAGATTGCTTCAACTACAGGTAACGCGCGAAGATTTATAAATCTTCTCAATAACATTCATAATTAAAGAGTTGAATTCAACACGCAGGCAGTCAAGATTAAGTGGTGGTTTACGAACAGCGATTTCCTCTATATGACTTTTGACAGGCCGGTCAGTTTTGTCACGGCGGCTCATCCTGTGAACGACGTTACTTTCTTCGACGAGGATGATCAGGGCCGACAACGGTACCGAATCGGGTTCAAGCCTGATTTCTTTCCTGGAGACAATCGAATCGACTTCAACATCCGTGAGTTTTGCTGGATAATGAACATTGCTCATTTTTCTTTTTAGAATTCCGAGAAGATAACCTCACATCTCATGCAGTTGCGCTCATCGTCTGTCCATTCTGCTATCCCTTCCCTGACTACATCGAGGTCTACACTCCTGAACTCATCAAAGACGAAGTCCAAAAAATGAAGGAGATTGTGACAGATCTCATTCCTGGGGGAATCCCGAGCTTGTCAGACCCGAAAGAAGCGACTTCCTCTGTCGTTACTAAGATCGACATCGTCAAGTTTTCAGGCAAGATTGATAAGGTCCTCAAATTCTTCGAGATCGACGACGTTCTCGTTGACTCCAGTTTCATGTGCGTCCAGCCTTACAACGAAACTACCTATCAATCCGATGGTTACAACCAATGGTAAGATATTTAAGCTGATTTCGACAAATAATCTTAATTTTATTTCAGGCTTTTCCAGAATCAAGATGAGCTTGAAAGACTTTCAAACAGTGATGAGTTGAAAGATATCTGCGACTTGGTCCATCTCATTGAAGCCGGCATAGAAGCGATGGCACAAACGTATGCCTGCCTGGATATGCTTCCCGATCGCTGGCAAGACAAGCTCGACAACAAGATTGCCAAGATCAGTAATGGTCAAGGCAGGGAATGCAAGAGGCTTTACAGGCGATTAGAAAGAGAGCAAGCAACTAACTAATATTTCATACCATACTGTCAATATGAGAGCCATCACTGTACAAATTACAAATAAACTTTATTCGTTAAAAATCTGATTGTACATTTCTCCGAATTCAGAGGTCAAAATACTCTTTGAACTCGTTGAATTTTGAGACGAAGATCGAGAAAATGTCTCTTTTATATCTTCGTCGATCAAAATCTGGTTTTTCTCAACATAAAGCTCAAGAAATTTTTCCGAGAAAGATGCGGGTTCCGTGAAGAAGCGTTTGTCTTCTTCATTTGTGAAATTGAAGGTGTCCCGAAAGAACTGATCAGGATAGTTAGAGATCTAAAAGAAAGTCTTGTTGAGCCACTAAATAGCACTTAATTGTCCAAAAACTTATAACATAGTGGCAAAACACGTCTAACACGCAATTTGCAAATAATTCCAGACTTACGGGAAGAAATCTCTCTTCGATTCTTGAAACGTATCGAACAAGGTCTATATCTGAAAATGTCTATAAAACCACGAATTCATGTTTGATATATTATAAACCTAAATACGGAATTCTTGCTTCTACATTGTTGTAAGCCGCGCTCTTGTTCGCCACGATAGAGCTTGATTTTGCATCGCTCCTAAATCGGATTTGCTTCACTTTCATTTTTTGCTTCTTGCCTGATGATTTGCTTTGCGGTTTCAGAAAACCGCTCTTTGTTGTTCAGCTTTTGTAAAAAATCAAGACCGCCAAAAACTTCGCGGCCAGTTGTAGGGGTAACTATCATTTTCAGTCCATGTTCGTTTGCCTTTTTTGACGCTATAAAGTGGTTATTAAAATATTAATCAATAAAAAAGTTGCCGTAGTAAATCGTAGAGCCTTCAAAAATCTTTGCTGGATCAGCTGATTCAATCGCGTACATGATATCTTCTATGTCTTCAAGAATTCGACTCGGAGAAATAGTAATAGCGTGTAAGTCACAACCATATTCTTTTTGCAATTTTCGAATATCATCATCGCTGTAGAAAAAATCGCCATGAAGTATGATCGGGAAAATCCTCTTCTTATCGTTGACTCGACCTTGAATCGCGTGAAATAGCAGTTCTGCGTAAATTGAACCGTCAAGAAGGACTGCAAACGGAATCTTCTCGGGGATGATGCGCTCAACAGCAATGCAGAATTTCGTAAGAATTTCTTCAGTACTCCAATTTTTTATAGGAGCAAAAGAGTGCTGGAGCGGGTTGTTTGGAATTGTCTTCACTTGTTTCGTCTGTTGTATTCTGTCGATCAAATAATATTTCCCGATAGGAAAGTCAAAGATTTCATCCATATGCTCAACTTGGTTCATCAAGCCCTTCTTTTCCGAAGCGAACCAAGATTCTCCATTCTTATCTTTGCAGAAATGAAGAGGCACTTTTCCACCAAAATCTCGGCCGATGATGACTTTTTGTTTCTTCATATCGACCAAGATAAAAGCAAACATTCCAACAAGGTCGACTTTTTGAAGAAAATTTGGACCGAAAGCTTGGTAACACGTTATGAAAGTCTCGCAATCGGATTCTGATCTCCTTTGTTTATCTAAATTACTTTGGTGATAAATTCATATAAACTTATTTTACTGATCGTGGGGTCGATCTTATCCAGCTGTTTCCAGATAGATTTATAGTTGTAAATTTCTCCATTAGCGATGCAAACGATAGATGAGTCATATGAACTCAGTGGCTGCGTTCTGAAAAAAATAAAGTTTGCTAAATATTTAAACGATTTTCGTACCCGCTTGTTCCACCAACAAATCCGAGCCTCAAGTGGCCTAGAATAAAGTTTTCGCCCCAATAGAAGCCTGTCGAGTCTTGACCTCGATGTTCCATGCAATCAAGCTTCAAGTGGCCAATTAATGAATTTAACTGTTGATTCAAAATTTACGTTTTCAAGAAAGTTTTTTTCATAATTTTCGGGATGTCCTTCAAGTCCAAAAACGGCGAGAATTCCACACATCTATTCTCTTAGTTAGGAAAAATTGCTTCCTGTTTTGATTGTTGAGTAAAACAATTATGCTTTTTAGACAACTGATTTTGAGAGAAGATTTTTCGAACATAAAGTTTTATTTAGTCAATAGGTACAGTTGTTCTGGTCGTTTATGTACAGTTGACAATTTCAGGTTGAAATTGAGTCTTTTGGAATTTCACAATTTTTCAGCGAGAATTTCAAAGTTTGATGCCGTGGCATTTTGGGCCCTTCGACCAACTGATTTTCTCGATTTTGTACTGAAATCGTCTCTGAAATCGGTCTTTCATTGCGTCAAGACAGACGTAGCTTCTGGCCATTTCGTCCACACCCTGTTCGATGAGCTCGACAAGTTTGCAAGTGTCTTCTACTTCAGGGCTTAGTCGGAGGGTTTCCATCAAGGCTTCGTTAGTATTGAGCCTAGAATCGTTATTAATCTAATTCTTTTCAAGATTTTAGCTCACCATTGGGCATACGAATTAGTCATATACTTCTCTGAGTCGAAAGGTTGCGCACATTCGAAGTCAGGAGAAATGATTTCGTCGACAGATCCTGCAAGATTGAAGTATTTGTTGACTTTGTTCATTCTGTTCTTGTATCTCTCGTAGTTAATGTGAGTCTTCTTTTCGGCCGTGATGTCGATGTCGCGCATTGCAAGGAAGTTCTCGTGGATCTCCTCGGGTGTGAACTCTTCGACGAAGATTGGAGCTGGATAGCACCAGGGGCACATGATTCCGGTGGTTACGTGGGAGGTGAGGTTGGCTTCTCGGAACTCTTAGAAAGACGAATTTTGAGTTTGTTGAAGTAGCGTTAAGTTAAATATACCAATGTTAAAGTCGATCCGATTATCGCCAGGGAAAAAATCTGGCTTGAAAGAGAGCTTGTAAGTTGAATAGGTACTGTCGGCCGCAACGACATCCTGGATGGGATGGGCAGTGGTCACAAAGCTGACGGGCTGGTCAAAACTCAGATACAAAAAGTCCTGGTTCGTCCACCACCACTGCATATTCATGTCTGCGAGATTGAACTCCACTCTAAAAGCAGGACTAAAATATCATTCTTGCTCAAAGTCTTACCTGTAGTTGAAGCAATCCTTGCAAACCCATGCGTTCGTCTTGCTCATTTCAAAAGTAACATCAACACATTTATTTGGCTTTTCGAAGGTCAACACAATTGAAAATTAAAATCTTGTGCCTGCTTAATAATAACTACTTTCTCTTTTAACATAAATATTGATCATTAATACTACGCATGTTATATTATAATAGCTGTCTAATTATACCACTTCTTAATAATGACACGTAGCGGCGTAAATATTGATCATTTCCTAAAATAAACTCGTAAACTAAAAAGATATGTTGATAAGAGCTTATTACGACAATTAACAAAGCTTTCTATAAATTAGAATTGTACAAGTTATTAATAAAAAATAGCCAAACGTATTGAATTTCTTTTTCTCTCTCTCTCTGTGACCCAATCTTTTGATGATCTTTCCAAACGCATTCAGCTGAAATGGCTGCGACGAGCGAAGCGGCTTTTAAAAACTTCATATTGAAATTTATCTTTCAAATATGAAAGTTGATCGAGAAGCTCTTGAAAATATATGTATCTATATTTTTGATGGATTCGAAGGAGCCTGAGCCCGCTTTTATATCCTGAGCGCAGGATCTAACACGAGGGCGCTGAAACGGTTGTTTTTCCCGAAAATAACGGTGCTAAACGAAACGTGCACGTAAACTGCGTCACTAAAAATACTAAGCTCTTTGTTAAAAACAAATTACAGGTTAATTGTCATCATCGCAGATCATGTAAAATAATAAATATGATTTGGCGAGTCGACTGATTATTGCTTTTAATTGTAATTGCAAATTATTAGTGCTGAATTCAATTTACCAGGCTGACAGACGCAGGATTTGAAACCTTTTCTGATTCTTCTCATAAGGTATCGAGATATTACTAATATGATATAACTTATAGCCTATAAGTTATAGGCTATAAGTCACAGAGTAAGGGTCAGGGTAAGGGTTAGAGTTAGGGTTTAGGGTTAAAGAGTCATTGACTCGGGTTTTATCTTCATATCAAAGTGCTACTTTTTATTTCGATACTTCTGTCAAGAGTACTTATGAAGTTCATTATTCCGAAGAAAAATTCGAGCTGTTTTTCGCAAGTATTCGAAATGAGCGATTCCGTCTGATTCAATTTAAGGCGAGGCACTCACGTTTCAACAAAGTTTGACTATACTTGGTAAGCAATTATGTGAAATCTCATCGAACTCACAAAAACTTATTTCTAACATCTGAGCATTGTTGCTTTCCTCATCCTATTACAATTTTTAAACGTGCTCACAAGTATTTTCAAAATAATCGAGAAAGTATTCGGAAACAAAATGGCCGCTAATTAATCGCTTTTGTGAAAACACTTCAGTTCTCTTTTGCCTTAATCCGATCCTTAATTTACCGAACATGCAACGTGTTTCATTTGTTGCAGGAAACAAAAGGAATAATCATTAAATTAATGGTAAGGCAAGGCTTACAACGCCGCTATGTTGCTACGAAAAACAAGTAGATTGTTGGCGATATTTCCGAATGTCCCTAATTGACAAGAACATATATGCCATGGTAAAACGAGAGAAAAATGACTCATTTGAACTTAGAAAGGCTATTCAAAAGTACCTTGAATAGTAAACCTGGACAATAAAATGAGTTCAATTTGTGACAGCCTGTCACTAACTGTTTCGACCAATATCTCATCTTTTTTGTTCAAAAACAAGCTCAAGGAGATCAGAGGCAATGAAATTATTCTTGGATACCTTCTTGTCTATTTTCATCATAAATTGATTCACGCTTTCAACCGAGGTTCACCGAATCCAAAATGAGAAAAAAAAGTACCATCGACTAGTCATCGTCCATTTCCTAGTCATCGTTTAAATTCGTTAAATTTAAGTAGTCAAATGAATTCAATCGATGAGCGGCAGATATCAGTAAAAATATTTTCAAGGGCGCAAAGTCCAAAATATGCAAGTAGCAAGGAATCTTTGAAAAACTCAAAACTTAAAGTTTTAAGAAGCAATGAATTGATTGAAAGGTTTATTTTGAAGAAATAAATGCACATCTTCAGTTTTCCGCCTCGTAAACGACGCTCGGGTAAACCTTGTTTTTCAACCTGGTCATGTTTGCAAGCTCGATAACGCTGTTTCGCAGACGTTCGATCTTGCTTTGGACTTCTGCAATGACTATTTCGGGTTCTTCCTCAACTTCATCCTGAATTCCGAGCCGTTTAATAATGAGCGAAAAATATCGTTTCCTACCTCTTGTCTGGAAATTTCGACCTGTGTGTTTTGAGATGCGATACATTGTTTAATCAATCCATCGAGGGTGTTGTCTCCTTGCCTTTCGTCGGCTCTTGGGTAACATTCGAGCTGTAAGGAAATGAATTATGATGTTTTTATCTTAGATTTTACCGGGAATTTGTTCAAACTGACGGCATGATCTCCAGGAACTCTCGGCCAACAAACGATCTCAATTGTTCTGTGTTTCTTGCTTGCCATCAGAGAGTAGAGGAAATATTTGCAGATCTTCAAGATATGGTAAATTGACGCAATTGGCGTTGGAATAGGATCCTTGTGAAGGTATTCCATGACGACATCGAATCTTTTGAGCTTCCAAATTTGATCGGCATCTTCTTGGACATTTTCATAAGTTGTTGCGAACAGAGCAACAAGAAGATTGACGAGCATAACATTCGCCACGAGCATGTAGAGTCCGAGGAAAAGTGTATTGATCCAATATCGCTCTAAACCAAACTCGTTCGAATAAAGAAAAAATAATGATAAAAACCTGGACATCTGCTGAATTTCTTTTCATAGAAAAGCAAAAGGCCGTTGCTGGAAATCATTCCTTGATCTAGCTCCTCAATTTGATCTAACTCATCTACTTCTTCTTCTTCGTCTCCACTCTCGACCGCGACATAATCTTTATCATCGTCGTGAAAAAACTCAAGCAGCAACATGTCAACTGTCAGATCTTTGTGCTGAATGTATCTGTCTTTCATTCCAGCAAGAGTAGGAAAATTTTTCTTCTTGAAGTTGTAATTATTTCCAAGTTTGCTTTTGTAGTCTTGATCAGTAAAATTAAAGCGGCGTTTATCTGTTTTCAGGTTCAATATTTTATATGTTTCCGAAAAATGGAAACAGCTTATGATATTCTTACTAAAAAAGCTTAGTTTGCACTCAAGTAGTATGTAATTTAAGACAATCTGACGCACTCTGTAGAAAAGGAGGATTAACATTGTGCGCAGAATTTACTCTTCGACTAAGAGTCGTTAATTGCACCACAGATTATCGTACATTTGATAAGTAACAGATGCCAGAAAATTATTATCATCAAAAGAACCGTTCTCAAACGAGTAAGTCATCAAAGCTCCTAAAACAATAGCTTCGCTCCCAAAGCACGAGCCAGCATTGCAGTCAGGGAGAACATCATTAAATTGAATGTCCAATTCCTTCGTGATTCTTCTCTCAAAGATGTTCAGCTTTAGTCTCTCTTAAATTCAGAGACTTAGATATTGTCTTTAACACTTTTGATTACCTGAAACGATGCCTACATTCGTTGGAATAATTTCTTCTTTCTTAACTCCATCGTCAATATATGAATTGTTGAACGTATAAATGCTTGGGACTGGAAATATTTCTATGATGTCTTTTAACGCATTTCTTCGCAGCTTATCGGTAATTATTTTAACAGCATCATTCTTTGCCTTGTCCAACTCGGTTTCTAGTTCTAAAACTGCAGAATCTGTTCCATTTTGAGCAGATTCAGTTTCATCAGTTGTTGCCTCCGCAGTTGTCACATTTTCAGTTGACGGATCTAGAGTGATTTCCGGGGCTGCAGTTGTTGCATTATTTTGATCATCCTTATCCTCAGGTAAAATTTGCTCCCAAGGACTGAAGACATAGTAGTCGTAATGAGAGCTATTTGCTCCGTCGATTTTCTGGATAAAGTCATCGAATGGGCCACCAGGATCGTCGAACAAATATGCGTAAGTAGTTTCATATTTTTCGGTTTTATTTATCAAATCGTTATCAACTTTCAAAACGCGAACTCGATCGAAGCACTCGCCAAAAATATCTATCAATGTGACTGTTTCTTTGATTCCGGCTTTCTTGATCACTCCATCTTCGTCTTCAGTATTCTTTCCCTGTAATGAAGATATAGTTTAATAATTTGCAACTATCAAAATAAACATACCTTATGAAATTCACAGGTGATCTCGTCAATACCCGATTCTTCGCCAAAATCGCAATCATAATTCATCAAATAAAAAGCGGTAAGCTGCGACATGTGCGATGGCGTGCATTCATTCCAGAGTTTTAGCTCCCTTTCCCACTCGTGTGTAAAGTTTTTCATCAGTTCAGTCATTTGAACGTATCCAAAGCCTCCGTATATGTCATTAGTGGTCGTTATCGCGCGAATATCTTCTGCACTGACACAGCCTTGGAGGTCATCGTTGTGCTCGTACTCTGTGTATTCGCTCATGATTAAATCACCGTACAGGTTTAGAATAGGCTTGAAGAAAACACCTTCCATAGTAGCTGCGAGCCTATGTTCGTTTGGATGCATTAAACCGGTTGTCACAACACCATAGGGAACCAGAAACATAGCAAGAATGAAGATAAACATAATTAAATCAACCATCATCCCCATGATAGAAATAACAAGTGGCCCAAGTCGGCGATGAATGTTGTAGAACTGAAGAAATGCCATCGACATCGCAACGAATGTCATCGCATAGAAGATCTGCGCCCATTTCATAAAAGAGGCGTCCACGAAAATATCATTTGTGAGAATTCCAAGAGGACAATAATTTATGATTCCGGGATGATCCTTCTTCGCGCTGATATATTTAAGGGGATACATGCCGTAATTGTTGTCTACAAAGTCTCTAGCTGCTCTTGAAATTGTAGTTTCATTGTACAACGGATTTGCATCGTTAGAAAGGAACGCAGAAATTGAGGAAAATTTATAGTCTTCTTTGAATTTAGTCCAGTTGCCATCGCCCTCGTCAAAAAGATCAATTCCGATTTTTTTACCTTCTTCATCGTATATCTCCAAGTCCTTGAAAGCTTGGACGTTGTTTTCATAAATAGTTTCGTATGATATAACGCCGACAGTTCTAAATATAAGTCCCACGACAAAACAGACGAAAGAGAACGAGTAGAGAATATTCCAAGGATCTCGTAGAATAAGCCGAATCTTCGACCTCTTGGACATATGTGGAATCGCTATAAACTTGCTGATTCGTTCTGCTTGAATGCTGATCATCCAGGCAATGAGAATGTACTCGTAGAAACCAACTCTGATACAAAATTCCTGTAGAATGACGAATGCGAAGAGTGCTAGAAAACCTAGGTAGAAAACGGCTTCAACTATCATAGTGAATAGCGGCGAGGTGCAGTAGTTTGCTATCATCATCAGAAAGCCTGGATCGTAGCCCTTATTTGTTCCAACGTTTTGCCTTGAGCTGACTGGATTCGGATACTGTTGTCCAGACCAACAAAAGCCTGATTTGAGCCATGGGATTCTGTCGATAAATGGATTTTTCGACGACTTCATGAAGAATGGAACAAGAAGTGGGCAGATCGTACAAACGAAGAGAGTGAAATTTGATGCCGGTTCCATCGCACCTGTCCAGATTTGATCTAACAAGTCTTGCACTGCATGTGTGGACATGAACTTTTTCAACCTGGCCTTTTCTGCAAGCGCTAAAGCAGTTCGTTTTCCCCAGTGGCGGTTCTCAACACGAATCAAGTAGGAGCAAAGTTCGCTATCCACTGAGTAGCAAGCATCAACAAGTTTGACAGTGTACTCTTCGATTTCTTCCTGAAGTTCCCGAAACGATCCCTTCAAAACCGACATTGAGTTAGTCATGTAAATTTCTCCTTGAATCAAGCAGTTTTCTAAAATCAGAGCGATACCCAAGTCAAAGCCGAGAACGCTGGCGACCGCTGGACCAGAGTATTTATCGTCAATTTCCAAGCCATCTTTAACGTGATCACGAATCATCTCAAGACATTCCCAATTATTGAACAAGACGCTCCACATAGCTAGTTCACGAAGAACAAGTCCTGTTCCGCAAAGTTCAACTCTCTCCTCATTTGGTTCTGGGATGTGATTTCTATCGCGATCTCTATCACCTTCTCTAAATGCTTCTTCCTCTGCCTTCCAAGTCTCTGGGAGGATCCATGGCATATTCATAATTGGTTTGTCTGGATTCAGGAACCATTCTTCTCTTCTTGTTTCAACAAAAGATTTATCGGACAAGAAGTCATCGTCAAAGATGTTCAGAAGCTCGATGAAGATCCCAAGATTTGGTCTCTCCTCGTCTAGAAAATATTGAAATATGGAAAAAGTGCTTCTAGGCTACCATATTTTACAGCTCCACATAATCCAGCTTTAACTTTCCTGATTGCATCGTCAGTTTTGTCATTCAATACCTTTTCGAACAATGTTCTCTGGTAGTTATACGTATAAAGCTCGAACAAAAACCGAGGAGTAACTTTCTCGGGATGTTCGAGCAAATACTCCATTCTGAGAGTGAGCTCGTTTGTTTCGAGCTAGTCTGAGAAGTACTTTTTATCGTTAATTTTATGCTTTATGCTGGGCAGAAGTTGATTTTACGATTGTCAGAAGGCTGTAAATTATTTTATCAGAGAGTTTCGCACGTAATAAAATCACGTTTAAATAATTTTTCGATGAAGAACTTTAATTTATAACGATAATTTCTAATACCTTCAAAATATTTTTTGCTTCATATTTTTGTTCCGAAAGAATACATTGACTATATATAGATTGAGATTTATATTGTTACTTGTTGTCGTTGAAGTCGTCGTGGTAGTCGTCGTGGTAGTCGTCGTGGTAGTCGTTGTGGTAGTCGTTGTGGTTGTCGTGGTGGTTGTAGAGGTAGTAGTTGTCGTTGTTGTCGTGGTGGTGGTGGTTGTGGTGGAGGTGGTGGTGGTGGTGGTAGTAGTTGTGGTCGTCGTTGATGTGGTTGTTGTAGTCGTTGTTTTCGTTGAAGTTGTCGTTGTGGAAACAGTAGTGGTTGTAACGGATGACCCGTCATCAAATGCAGGGCAGCTGACAACACCATGATCAATGCCACTATTATCTCTAATTTCCACGAAAGTTGATCCATCTGCCGGGTTAAAATGCCACTGAGACGCTCTAAGTCCGTTATCATAAGAGAACGCGCTCGCTGCAATTGAATACGATTCGCCAAGATCATCGACAAGGGTTCCACCAGCTGTTCGATCTGAAACCACATTGATTCTTGCATGAATCCAGCCGCTTTACAAGGTTTTTGAAGGTATGAACTATCTTTTGGAAAAAATATTATTGCTTGTAATTAGTAAGAAGCCGTTCCTTGATGCATGGTCATCAAAAATAATGATCTCCCCATCTGTTGCAGCTTCTGAGTTCAGCTCATCAAAACTTGCGACTGTTGCAATTGGGACCTCGTTATTATTTCGTCGGACATCGTAAGTCTCCATGTCATCTCTGATGAACTTCCTTCCGGTTTGAATTTCAGTAGTCGCATTCGTTCCCGCGCACCAGGAAATTCTATACCAATCATCCTTTCCAGCATTTGTCATTCTGATCACAACTCGCGTTGCGGGCGCGGCGTTCAATGTTTGAATTGAATACGTTTGGAAGGGCTCAATAACAACTACCGATTATTTTTATTGTATTGTAAAACATAAACGCTGAACATTACCTTCCGCGTCTCCTCGGTTAATCTGATCTGAATTAAGAGAAAATACTTCCCCGTTTTTATAGTTCTGCACGTTGTATCCTCGTTGGCCAGTATTTGCAATAACATCATCGTCATTTCGAGGCTCGAGCAATAACTTTCCTGTTTTCGTGGAAAACGGACACCACTTGACATTCGTTTGCTCTAACTCATCATTGATGTCCACGACATCGCAGTCGGTAGAAACTGTCGAGACTCGTGTATTAAAAACGTAACCGGGTGCTCCTGTTATCTCTCCATCGAGATCAGCCACACCATAGGCATTCTCACTATCCTCAACGGTCAACGGGAAAACACGATCGACATTGACGTAGGTATTGTTCTTGATAATGTAATTTTCCATCAGTTGGAAAAAGTTTTCTCCGTCGCTTTCTCTAGGAGCAAAGATTGATCTTACAGCTTCGGTGTCTCCAGATTGTTTCGAATTGAAGTTGTAGAAACGGTTATTTTCGATAAATGAAGGGTTGAGAGAATCTTCAAATGTGATGGCAGGATTTGGCTCGTCTTGACGAGTGATACCTTGTCGATAAACACCACCCTCCGGCTTGTACCAATGATAAGACCAATTGTCGAAAGAGTTCGGCTTCGGATAGAAGGGGCCTGAGTCTTGTTGCCCCGACGGACAAGTAATAGGAGTGGTAAGATCAATAGAAACTCTCTGGTTAGAAGCGTCGTCTCTGAGACGCTCACATCGTTGATGCCCGGTGTTTTTAGAGTGGCCGACGAAAATCGAATCTTTGATGCTTCGAGTTGCTCCAATCGAGTTAGCGGTCTGTTTGAATTCATAGCCTTTTCGGCAGTCAGACACTTGCCATCCTTCAAGGTGATTCGAAGATCCAGCAATAGTGTTTTTATTGTTGATGTGATGCATTTTAAACCCAACAAAGTATTGATCGGCCCAATTTCCATTTGGCGAGGTCCAAATGTTTGGTCGCATATCCGCAATAGCTCGGTCATCAGAAGTTGGGTCAAAGTTCTCATTGTCCCATTCTTCGTTCATAGCTGCATATGTTGGTCCGTCTCGGAGCATCGAGAACTGCGCCTGGGGAAACTCCTCGCTAACTCCTTCGTCCTGAACGTGCCAGTCGAATACGAAACCCCAGTAAGCACCAGAAGCCTTGTTATTGCGCCACTCCCGTCGGCCAGTATCCGGATCAACTGGAATTGCTTCGTATCCGTACTTGTCGCTTGCAGTATGTGTAAATACCCAGAATCCAGCATTTCCTCCTACAGCCGCATTATCATGGATGTAGTTGTGTGGATGAGCAATCCAGAAAACAGATAAGCCCTCACAAGCAATAGTCGCATCTGGGATGTATCCTTCGAGCTGATCGTTTGTATCCGCACAGATCGAGAAATGGCGATCACTTGGCAAAATGATGCCAGGCTTGACACCGATTCCGAGATTACCTATAACATGATTGTAAGTTTCAAACCCATCTTCGAGGAAATAGCCATGACCGTGAGTCAAATGTCCAACATTGTTCTGAACGATGGCTTCGTGTGTACCGTGCACGGTAACGAATCGAGAGAAACAATCGTGAATCGAAAGAGAAATGGCAGAAGAAGGATCTTGATAACCTCCCATTTCACCAACATAGCCAGCATGATGCCAGTGCATCGGATATCGCGCTAATCGAGGTTGACCAGCATTGAAAATTTCAATGTGTGAAACGTGGAAGTTTTTGAATCGCTTCGTTCCAACCATATGAGCTCCATGTCGATCAGTGTCTTCGCCGCTCATTTCGTTCAAATAATCGCACCAGTTATTCTGCCGATTAGGAGAATCGCTATCCAACTGCTCTCTCGTTCGAGCATAGACACAGCCAGTATCTTCAAGTTCTCCAAAGAACCGAATGTTTCTCGAAAGAAGACCGACCTCTGCTCGTTGATCTACGCCAGTTTCACTGTCTATCCTACCCCAGTGAGTGTAATTTGCTGGTCTGTCGAGGAGGACTTCATTTGGTAGACAATCGGGGCAATCCTGAATCGTGAATCGCTCCGAGTGATGTGGATCTTTTCCAGTGGCAGCTACAACAATCACATCGCCAACTTCCCAGCTACTAACATCATCAGTAAGGACAATCTTTTGAGCTTCTCCCTGTGAAGATTCTGAATATTTCACTGTTGTCTCCATGCTATTGAACAGCTGTTTTGCCCAGGCAAACGCTTCAAGATCAAGGAGCCAGCTTTCGAATGTATCAGCATTGACTGAAAGTGGATCGTTTCCATTTTTTAAGCTCCAAGTAGCAGAGTAGTCGAATTGAAAATCGAAACCACTCTTCTCGCCACCTAAAGCGACCGGGCCGACTGTGTCAACCATGGGATGCACCATCTTCCCATCCGGTGGACTGAGAAATTTCATGTCAGAACTCATATCTACCAAGCTAAGCACACCAGCAACTTGACTGTAGACTTTTGAGTGGTCAGATGCAAAGATCGTATCGAAATGACTCGCCGGAAATCCTCGTGCTGCAAGTATATTGACGAAGGTGTCTGTCAGCTCATATTTGAAATCAGTGAAGAAGAGAATGATTTCCTCATCATTGAATTGCGCTAGAAAATCAAAAAGCCCATCTGTTTGACCATCGGAAACAGAAAAAGTGTCCTTCAAGTCTCCCTCTTTTGACAAAACATGGAAAACCATTCTAAATCCAGCGCGATTGTCGATGTCAGGAAAGGCGTCGTCATTCGTCCTGTCTTGGAGCCACTGAAGCTGTTCAGCAGCCACAGAATCTTTGAAAAGATGTTCTTCGAGGTGAGTCCAGTGATGTTTCTCTTTTCCGTGAAGTTCAATGACGCCACCTTCATCTGCGTGTAAATATTTTACACCCATATCAGAGTCCATTGCGTCCTCATCCCCGTAGAGAGTGATATCAAGCCGTCCTTGATATCGACAGCTTCTTGAGCCAGCCCAAATTTCGCCACCGTTTTCAGATTTCAAAGCAAGCGCACGGAAGGTGATTGGATCAGCACCGTCGCCAAGATCTTTGAAAATCAACTTTCCTCCTTCATCGACCTTTACGACTCCAGTATTGACATCGGCATCTACAATAACCGTTCTGTTGGCGATCGTAACATCTCCGAACGGGTAATCCCAAGTTTCGCCACCTTCAGTAACCGCTGCTTCATCAGGGCATACTCCTGATAGATCCCATGCATTTGATGGATATTTGTAATTTCTCGCTGTAGCTCCGTTATTGTTGTTCCACTTTGGTCGTCTTCGTTTGTCAGATCGTCCAGTGTTAAAACGTTGCCGCTTGAATTTTCTGAAGAACTCATCCGGGTTTTTGGAAAAACTCGGATCGAGGTCAGAGTAGATTTGTTTCCATTGCTTTCTCGAAAGATCTCCGTACTTGTCCAAGTCCTCATCGGAGAAAGGGTTCGGTTTCTTATGGTCATGATGAGCCAGCACTTTCAATGTTTTAAATACGATTACAACTTATAGTTTATTGAAGATTAAATATCTTTATAAACATGCCCGTCGCCAGCAAGGATGGAAAAAGACGCATGAGCACGACTTTCTCTGAAACTCTCTAACTAGCAATTTGTTGCCACAACTTCCTCGTTTTTATAGTCGGCGATCAGCGTCAGAAGTCGTGATCTCCGAGATTATGACATTTCGCAATATGCATTTTATTATCTAACAAAAATCGTTCCCGAGGAACCTCACGACCTAGGACCAGTATCCAGCTCTATTGCCAAATACTTTCCGAGTTTATTAATTGCAGCGTAAAAATACTTGAAGACTCTTTGCGATTCAACTCGAAATCAAAGCCAAGCAAAAAATAATTTATTTTTTCTCAGTTGCACATAAAATTTGTGAGCCAATTACAGTCAGCATCTTCGCTAAAAAGCAAGACTTTCATAAAATCGTCGACAAGATTTCGCTTGGTATCTTTCATAAAAAGCGCATGGCTATTTTCATCCAAGTGATACGAAAAGCAGGAGTGTAGCAGTATCAAAATAGTATTAAGTGTTCTCTGAGCTTTCATTTTTGTCCTTTATCGACATTGTTTTCTCCGTTTTTGTCTCGACCGCCTTGTAAAATATTAAGCACTGTCAATCGCAATTATCAGGTAATTGACTAAAAAATCGAACCCTTTATTCTTTCATTCGTTTAAATTTAATATGATTCTGTTGTGGTCTTGTCTAACACTTGAGTTCTAAATGTATAAGTTGTCAGTTAAGTGCGTTGCTTTCGCAAGATTCTTTAGAAAAACTATTCTGCTCCCGCAGCAACATGTGTAAAAGAAGCAAATTTGAAATTTAGCTCGAGAAAGCTGAATGACTTCCGAAAACCCTGATATTTCTCCACTGATTTTTTCAGATACGATCAATTAACTGCAAATACAAATAATTATGAATAAAAATGAGCCTCCTGTAAATCACAGAAATCAATTAACAGGATTTGTAGAAGAGCAAATTGGTTCTATATTTAGTTGTTTTTCTTTCAGTAAGTTGTAGTTTGAATTGTGGCAGTTATTTTCGTCTTTCAATTTCGCTAAAGTGTCGAACGGTTTGTGAAATGATCTTCAGGTGTCCATCCACTTTCGCGACGACAAAATGATGGTTGAAGCATTTGTGGAGCAGTTTGCCGAACCGGACGCTTCCAGCAGCGCTGATCAAAAAAGATGATTTTCCGTCGGTCATGCTATCGTCGACTGGCTGAACGTCGAGTGTTTCAATTCTTGGAGACGGAATTATAAATAAATTTTTCGCAAATTGACTAAAATCGAGAGTAGTTTTTTAAAACTCCTTTCCTGTGATTGGAATCGTCTCCATCACTGAGCAGCTTCTTGATTTCGTCCTGGCTCTGCAAGCGCTTCCCGTCGTAGATGAGCACGGCGGACTCTGCGTACATCCTGTGGATCTGGTGCCTCTTCTTGTCCAAGCATTCGTAGTAAGAGTCGCACAGCTGCTGAGCCGCTTGTTCTGCGTCTTCTGTTCTTTCTTTGAATTTCTGGTCGCTCATTCTTCGTTGTTTTTATCCGATATTCAAAGGATCTGAAAGTAAAAAGTCATCTTTCTCTTGATAATCGAAGAGTGAAATTTCCACAAATTTTTTAATTCCAGTTTTTTTTTATTTGAATTTTCGAGCGGCGCAAAACGCGCGCGCCCACGCTTCTCCCACGCAAAATATCGCTAAAAATTCTCTAGAACTTCTTTTCCTTTTTCAAATCAACAAAACTCTTTCTTACGGTTTTTCATTGCTGCAAATCTGTAACGAAAAGAACCGAATTTGATGAACCGAGATTGAATTGTCGTTGACGACGATTTCGCCGAATCTAGCCAATCGCGAACCAGAGATTATGTGTCATTTATTTTTGCGCGAAAGGGAAAGAATGAACGTAGAGAAATTACTTCATGAAGATTACTCTTGCCTTCTCTAGAATTTGCTTTATTCATTCCGAAATTTCGTCTTTGGCAGCTTTAGGAGTTTCTGATTTTGAGAGATTTTTGGTTTAGAAAATGTCGGGTCGAGTAATCCCAGCCGCCGTCAACTGGTCCGAGCTCCTCCGAAAGACTGCTCCAGGAGACAAGAAGCTCATGGCTGCCTTCAAGGTCAAGGTAAGTTCTCTTTTGATTTTAACCACTAGAAATAATCTACTCTTATTTCTTTTAAAAAAAATAATATTTTTGATAATATCATATCAACAGTTTTTGATTCATCTCCCAAATCTTCATCATCATAATTCATCCTTTTTTATCCACGTTTCTCCCTAGTCCGACATCATCGCCGGTAACTACGCCAAGGCCGCCGCGTTCAACCGAACCATCAACTGGGATTACTACCAGGGCGCCATCAAGAACAAGGCTCTCGTCGCTGACTTCAAGGTTCGCCTTCTCGCCCTTTCTTTTGTTTATTTTATTCGTTCTTAGGCCAAGTTCGAAGCCACTGAGATCCCTGTTCCTTCCGATGAAGGTCGACAGGCTGCCCTCGAGGCCAAGGCCGCTGAAGACGAAGTCGCCGTCGCCAACTACATCAAGAAGGTCGACCAGCAGATCGATGATGCTTCCGTCACCCTCAACAACATCAAGGCTCTCCCACCATTCGGTAACTATTTCCTACCTGTCACTGCTTCTCAACCCTCTTTGTAGAACAGATGACCCAGTCTGACATCCTCTACTGGTTCCCCCAGCTCTGCAAGAACCAGGAGCCCGTCCCACTCTCCGAGAACCAGATCATGACCTCCGTCCATGGTGTCCAGTTCGTCGAGACCTCCACCTACCAGTGGCCCGGTGACTACGGTGGATGGTACAAGACCTTCGAAGAGACTGTAAGATTCCAACACGAATTGCTTTTATCATTTCTCTTTCATTCAGAAAGGTACTGACGCCGCCGTCGAATACCGACTCAACGAGTCCCAGTTCCCCGGCAACAAGTTCCCCGCTTTCTTCTCTTCCTTCCCCACTGAGGACTTCAAGGTACGAGTTGATTAACATGCTCCCTTTCGAGTACATTCTTGAGGAATCCTTCGCCCTCTCCGACCCCTTGATCCAGTGGGAAGCCATCGCTCACCACCCCGACTTCGACGCCAACGTCAACGCCATCCAGGCTGCCGAGGGCGTCCAGGAAGGTCTCCGCGCTTAAAAAGTCCAAAAAGAAGACGGCAAAATTTTATTGCATCTTCTCCAGACTCACATGTTGTCCTACATCTTTCCCTCTGAGCGTCTTCAGAATTCCTAATTTATTTATTCTCTCCTTTCTCTTTCAAAAGAAACGAAGAGTACCCTGTTTTTGGAGCCTGTTCAAGTGAAAATCTATTCGAATCGAGTTTCCAAGTCCACCTAGGATGCATTACAAAAAAACAATAAAAGTTCAACGAAAATTCAACAATTCAAATTTGTGCATTTCAGTTTGTAAATATACATTGAAAAATGAGTGAATCCGACATCGCAGCCAAATCTGAAGGAGGAGAGAGCGCAGAAGCCGCGATTTTAGAGCACGGGTTCATTTTGTTTTGATGAAAAATTTTTGTTTTACGATCTTCAAAATTTGAAGCTGCAAGTGTTAGCGAAAAGTATTGAACCTCAACAAATTGAAATTGAAAAACGCATTACAGAAGCTTTTCTGGTTTTCGACACTCAAGCAAACAAGCAGGCTGATGTTCGTGAAATCGGAACGATTGTCCGCTCTCTCGGTTTGGTTCCCACCGAGGCTGAGGTAATTTGAAATAAAGAACGATTTATCTGTAATTTTTAAGGTAAATGAGTTGATTTCGGAGACAGAGGATGAAACCGCTTCTGGATTTGTCCGATTAGACCGACTGTTGCCGGTTTTGACACAGTGCATCTTGGAGAAGAGATACAAACCCGAACCGGAAAATGTCATTCTCAAAGCTTTCGAATCTCTGGACACTGACAAGAAAGGCTACCTTCTGCCCGAAGAAATCAGCCAGTACTTGCGCGAAGAGGGCGAGCCCTTCTTACAGGAAGAACTTGAAGAGTTCCTCTCAGCTGCTGTCGATCCATCAAAAGGAAAAATATTTTACAAAGGTACACCAACTCGCTTTTGAACGAATTTTATGACCATTTTTTTCCAAGATTACGTTGCGCTCCTCTCCGTCGACGACGCCGGCCTAAGCCTCAAATAAACACGTTTTCTGTACTAATTATTTCTTTTATACCTTCTCACAAAATATATTTTTATACTTAAGTACTCTTCACATTTTGAATTCGTTTTGATTCTAGTATGGCGGACGAGGAGAAGGACCTTACCGCAATCGGATCCTTTGTCTGGGCAAAAGTGACTGGCCACCCGTTCTGGCCTGGTCAAGTCGTTGAATCCGGCCCAGGGATCAAAGCAAGATCGGGCTATGTGGTAGTACGTTTTTACGCCTCGAATGATTTCGCTTCGGTCAAACCGACGAATGATCAACTCAAAGCCTACAAACCTGGAACCGTCCAAACGCCCGGCAAAAAGAACAGAAAGGTGAGAAAAAGATCTTGGTTTTTTCTAGAGTTTTCAACAGTGAAAGTACTTGAACGGATAGGCGAATTGTAAAAGTCTTGCGTGATCCTATTTGGCTTTTTCAGCTTTTGAACAAAGCAATTCGGCATATTGAGAGAGCGATGAAGGGAGAAAAGGTTGAATCGGATACAGAGCCGGAAAAGAAGAAACCAAAGAAGTCAACGCCAACGCCGGAGCCAAAGTCGCCTACTCCTACTCGAAAGAAGTCCCCGCTCGATCGCAGAACACAACAGACGATGGACCAGCAGCTGGGAAAGCGCAAAATATGGACTCGGGAAGCTCATCAAGTAGAATTCGTCCATCAATTGTCCCTGCCGATTCTACCTCACTGGCAACGATACTTCCTCAAGCTTCGGGAATACCAGCCACAACCGCAAAGCTTGGATTCTTGGGTCTTGGAATCATGGGTAAAGTAAAGTTTCATTCCAAAATGTCTCACTGCTCATTTAGGTGGTGCTATGGCGATGAATTTACTCCGCACCGGCCATGACGTTTCTGTCTGGAATCGTACCGCGTCCAAGACGATTCCTCTTCGAAACCGAGGTGCCACAGTTTACGATACAAAGCGTCAAATTGTTGAAAACTGCGACATCATTTTCGGTAAAAATCTTTTAAAGATAAATTATCTAAAATGTCTTTTTTTACACAATCTTAATTAGCTTGTGTTTCTGACCCTAAAGCAGCTCGAGAGATAGTTTTCGGAAATGGTGGTGTGTTGAAGGTAAGGAAAAACATCAAGGGATCTAAGGCTATCATTATTCTAGTACATGAACGATCAGAAGGCGTATGTGGACATGTCAACTGTCGATCCCGAAACAGCGATTGCGATTGGAGAAGCGATTCGAAGCAAAGGAGGACGATTTTTGGAAGCGCCTGTTTCTGGATCTAAAGTGCCGGCAGAGCTTGGCGAGGTACTTTCCCAACAGAAGCTTATGTTAATCACTTTCTTAGCTGATAATTATGTGCGCAGGAGATAGAACGCTCTATGTGGATTTATATAGCTGCATGGAGGCGATTTCGAAAAAGTGGTTCTTCTTGAGCGAAGTCGGAAGTGCCGCCCGAATGAAGGTGCTTGCCTTGTTGAATCGAGGAATTTGAATTGAATGCATTCTTTAGCTTGTTGTGAATTCGATAATGGGCGCTCAAATGGCCGCCCTTGCGGAAGGAATGGCCCTCGCCGAGAAATGCGACCTTGACCAAGTCACACTCCTCGAGGTTAGATAGAAAAACATGTTCACAAGGGTGTAAACAAGCGTTGTAGATCTTATCACTTGGTGCGCTAGGCTCCAAGATGGTCAATGCAAAGGGATCGGCGATTCTGGAGTCGAACTTTCCACCAAATTTTCCTCTTCGGCTGCAGCAGAAGGATCTTAGACTGGCAGTGTCGCTCTCTGACAAGGTTCACCAGCCAATTTCAGTTATTGCCTCCGCGAATGAGCTGTACAAAGTAAGTCCTTTATCCAAGAAGTATCGAAACGCATCCAACCCTCGTTTTTAGCGTTCGATGGCCGCCAACTTAGGTGATAGTGACATGTCAGCCGTCTACGAGGTCGTGCATCAACGACAAGACAGCTCCATGCACGAGTAAACCACAACTACTCGTGACATAGCAACTCAGAGGATCAAAATCTGAAGTTTCCGATTTCCAATTTAGAAGAAAATTGATTAGAACCGAAAATTACTGTGAATACTCACTGCCCCTAGGTCTAGGATGGGGGGTGATCGCTGGAGATCCGAAATGAGGCGCTCGAGATGAATCAACGATGAGTGGTGCGCGGGTTCTTTGGATCTCCAGAGCGCGGAGATCGAAGCTCGATCTCCAAATGAATCCCAGGGATTTTGTCGATCTCCAGTTTTCGGTGATCGAAGCTCTGAATTTTCTCGAGCATCGATTTTTCTCGATTAAATTCATATTTTGCAGCGACTTTACGGGTCAGTATCTCAGAAAATAATAGTTTCTAATGCTAATCTTCAAGAAATTATCGCTCACCCACCGAGCTGAGTCTTTGGAAATTTAAACCGAACCAATTTTAAAATTATGTGATTTCAACTGTTCAAAAATTTTGAAAACCATCTTATTGAGAAAAATACTCGAGCAGAGATAGAAAATAGTTCATTTTTTATCCAAAATTACAATCCATGCACTTGATTTGACAAAAGATTTGAAATCTACACTGGAGAATAAGTATTGCCTGAGATTTATAAGTTGATCCGGTCAGTCGCTTTTGATATCAGTAGGCTGGCAGAAGATTGTTTTAAAGTGACTCATCCGACTTCGGGGATAAAAAATTTTTGGATCTCCAAGAAGTGGAGATCGAGAGTGGTGATCGATCACCGCAATTTCGGGGTGGAGATCGCGCGGATCTCCACGCAATCGGAGATCCAAAGAACCCGCGCACCACTCATTGGTGATTCCTCTCGAGCGCCTCATTTCGGATCTCCAACGATCACCCCCGATCCTAGACCTAGCACTGCCCTATTTTTACTTCCAATTTAAATTTACCCTATTCTTTCTATCCTTTCCTCTTTTCCCATCTCCCTCTCTCTCTCTTCTTGTAATGCTACAGTAACTGACATGTTGTTTGCATCCAGCTGACAAAAAATAAACGATTGCCCTATCTTACAGTTATTGTTACTACAATATAAATTTAGAAAAAGTTAGATCAAGAATGGACGCTATTGAAAAGCGTGCCAACGGAGTCGCGCTGAGCGGGCTCGACGAGCAGCGGCTCCGAAACCACCAGCTCAGAATGATGCGCCGAGCGTGGCTCAAAGATATGAAGGTAAACTATGAAGGATTGATCAGAGCCTGTAGTATCATATACGTGCTTGTATGAAGCACGTGACTCTGAGAGACATCTCGCGTGGATGTAGATATCGATCGACTGTGAGAATCGTTACTCTCTTTTCTGAGTATGACGTTTAGCCGTCTCCACGAGAGCCACTCTGGCCGCAGCACAACCTCTACTGGGGCTCCTCAAACTTCCTCCGCGCGAACTTGAACTTCACCAACTACTGGAAGCTCCTCTCCGACAAGCTCTTTCTCGCCAAGGGCGTCCGACCCTTCTATCCCCAGGCCTTCTTTGACGAACTCTTCTACGGCCGGTAGATGGCGTTTTCCATTATTGTATCACGTACTCACAAACTCGTACTATAGGCTCGCGAACGTGCCCCGTATGGCGCTTTGGGGATCTTTCCGAATGCTCAGATATGCCGTCCCTGTGTTTATCCTTTTCTTCGGCGTTTCAGGTACATTCAGTGATAAGAAACAAGTAACATTACTAGTGAAAAAATCAACCGGAAGTGGCAATGATTTAAAATTTTGAAGCCAGAAGCCCATTTAAATTTCTATTGTCTTTTTGGAGCCTTTTTTGGAGGATGAGGTCGTTAATTATAAGGTTATCGAAGACACGTTTGTGACTTTTGAATTCAAAGAGCTACATCTGAAGTCCGTTTTAGCCCTTTTCGAGGAACTCGCTCTCGCCAAATTCCCTACCTGCTACGGTCTCTTGCCAACGGCTAACCGGCCACAGCATTACGCGTCATTCTTGGGAGTCTACCCATCCGACAAGACCTTCACTACCCGACTTCGAAACGTCGAATGGAACCACGACTGGATTAACATCATGGTACGCCTCCATCACAAAATTAATTAAATAGTTCGATGGGTATTATGCAAATACTCATAGTCTCATATGAACCTGCGATACGTGTAAGTGACTGATTACGTGACTGTTTTTAGCAATTTACCCCTCGAATGAATCCGGATGCCGAGACCTACCCCGGGGCACCAGAATGAATTGGGTGACTTATCAGGTTCGTACTATCGAGAAACAGTTATGACTTGTCTTTCAATCATTACCAATTAACCCTTATCAATAAACCTCTGTCCCAAATAGAGAATAAGCTAAGAAAATAAATCCAAAGAAGAATGCTAAGAACATCAGACCCTTGAGAAACAAAGCCTGACAGCAGCTATAAGCAACTTAGTCAGGCGGGAAAAATGTGAGTGAATGCATTCCATTCGAGGCATTTATCTCAAATAGATAATATATAATGAAGTCTAAATATCTATTTAGCATGTTATCAAGATAAATAGATTCTACAATTACTCGCTATTACGTCTCTGTCGATCAAGAATTGAAAGCAATTAATTACAGATATCATCAATACACCTTTGATGTTATCTTTGAACTCTTGTCTTTCTATCTCTATTAGCTTTATTTATAAAGAGAACTCTAGGTCTAAATTCTCTCATTCAGCCAATCTACCCCGAAGATAACTACTTATTAAACGAAAACTACGGTAACGGACCCGGTGGTCTCGGAAACGCCACCGAAACTTACCGACTTGTCCATGCTACAAAGCCAACTGGTCTCTACTCCAAGGTCGAGCCTGGAGAAGTTCACTATCCAATGTCCACCGCTTTCAACCGCCTCTTCAGGTAAAAAAGGGTCACCAGCCGGTTGCCCCGATTTATTGCCCCCATAACAAAGATGAAGGAAAGTGAGACTCTGAAATTTTTCACCAAAAAAAATTTCACGCTTGGAAGCTCGCGCTCAACGTTGATTCGCCGATGGTATTGAAATTATCGATTTCTTTAGTTGAACCTATCCCCTTGTGTTTTTTTTTTGTCGAAAGAGATATGCGATTACAACGCTAATTCTAGAGCGCTGGTGAACAGACAACAGGCCGATGATTACAACTGGGAGACGGACTCTCGCCAGTGGTCCCTTTGGCATGGCGATGTGAAAACAGCTCAGGAATAAAACGCTGGAAAATATATAATTTAATATCTGTTCAAATACGAGAAACATCATTCTAGTTTCAATTTCAAAAAACCCTACTCTGTTCCTACAACCCTTATTTATTGAATGAATCTGCGCCTACATGAAACTCAAGCAGAAAAGTTTGAGAATTTAAACTAGATGCTGAACTAACCGGATCTTCTTTTTAGGGACCCACCTTACGCAGGGGCCCTCGGACAAATTCAAAATTTCTATATCTGTAGAGTCTCTATAGATGAACACATCCGTAAGTCCCAAAATCGTTAAATATTTGCTATTTAACCTATTTAGAGACCAAATAGCCAGGGTTTGCCAGCACAGCAAGGTCATGTGAATCCCGCAGCCCAACACGGAATGCCCCAGGGCGGCCGGCAGGAGGTGAGCCACGTCCACCATCCGCACGCGCCCTCGGGCCCCATCCAGTTCCAGCCCACGGTACGTTCCCCTTTAGCCTTTTCAATCTCTTCAACCTCTCCAAAGGACAGCCAAAGACCCAAGCAATCCATGAAGTCCGGACTTAGCCCGGTAGCCACCCCATTCACGTCAAACCAAGAGGTTTGACCGTTTTTCCAACAGAAATATAAACCTAATCAAGAAAACACACCACACGGAAAACTCAAAAATTAACAGTGTTAATTCAATTGATTGATATTTGAACCGGTATTCCGGAGGATTCCTTGTTGATTTCAAAACTCATCCAATCGTCCTTCGATGATAGCTTGTCCTAAATTTTGTTCTAGGGGATGTCCCAGGGCCAACGAATGCCTAACTTGTCCCATGTTGATCCACAACGCGCCCAGCAGCTCTATCAACACAACATTATGCAACAGCAGCAACAAAAGCTGCAGCAACACACACAGCATCAGCAACAGGTTAGTGTAGCCCTTGCTTTTCAGTAGCGTTGCATAGATAAAGAAGGTCTAGTAGTAGTGATGATTACTTGTATTTTTTCTCGAAGGAATCGGAGAGTAGCGATAATCAGCCGTCGGAGAGCGGTTACTTCGTTACCTCATCGTACCCGTACTCGGCTCAGGCGGGCATTCCAATCAATATCCGACACTCTCAAAATTACCTCGTCCGGGTAAACGCATAAAAACATACATGTCAACTCAAAATTATTATTTGATCATGAATGTATTGTAAATCTTTTCGCGTCTCACTAAACCGCTCGTTCCCTTAATTGTCCGTCCATTCTCACCCTCAAAAATGATAACGTAGTTAGTCTAGTTGTTTGTTGATGTTTCATCGTTGCATGAAGTCCTTCTCTAGCTCCAAGAGCAAGATCATCAATCTTTTTTCAGCCACAAGGGATGGTCCACAGAATGCCGAATCCAAGACAACCATTTCAACCCCCGAATCAGTTTTACGTAAGTGCACTAGCTTCGTTTCACATTGATCAAGCATCTTTTAAGCCTCCCGTCAGTCAAGTCAGCGGTATCCGACCAATTCATCCGGGACAAGCTCGAGTGAGCGCTGCACCAAACGCATACGTGGGGTCATCTACTCCGACCTTCCAGCCGCGCTACCAACAGCCCGGGCATCCAGGACAGCCTGGCTACCCAGCGAACATGGCTCAGTTTGCGCAACAGGGCAACTTCTCCCAGTATGCGGGCATACAGCACTATCAACAGAGCCAGGCGCAACAGTTCCAACCGGGCGCGCATCAGTTTCAGCCTGGCAGCCACGTTCCCAATCCCAACGCGCCCCAATACATGCCCCAACAGTTCGACCCGAATAACTTGTCAAACATGCAAGGCCACCAACAACAGGTAGCCGTAGATTTTAGCTAATCCTGTGACCTCCCATATTCTAGCAGCAGCAATATCCAAGCAAAAACCTTCAAAAGCTATTCTTATTAAAGATCCAAGTACGGGAAAAGCTGTCAATATGAATGATGAAAAGGTAAGTCTACAGTTACTTCAGCTTCCAACCCCGTTTTAGCCGAAAACAGAAACGAGTAGTCAGCCCAAAAGTCGAAACGCAGCGTCGGAAAGTTCTACCGGTAGTCGGAGTCGACAACAGTCAGAAAGTCAAAAGACGGAGAGTCAAGCTCCTGCCCAGATTAAAGTTGAAAAACCGCAAGATACCACTACAGCCAGCCAAGTCAAGATACAGGCGCCAACTCCCGCTGCTGGGGCTAGAAATCCAAGCATTTCAGAGTCGGCCAATGAGGTGAGCATCTTTTGGAAACATAAAGCTGTATGCATGCAGGAATATGCAGGCTTGCTTAGATGTTTATTGCATTTGTTTCACTGTATCTGCGCATATGAAATTTATGAGGCTTTGTCGGGCTTTTCCAGAGTATTTTTTAAATATTAATTTATCAGATCAACGCTTATGAATTGAAAAAACAAAGGGATGTTGTTGATGTTATGCATTTTGAATGGGACCTTGTCCAGGGGCGTATCTGCGTGGCGTTTTCTGGACGCTTGGGCGGCCAGTGACGTAACTACTCGTATCCCCTTAATGCGTCACTCGGCCAATTACTCATTCTAATTCTCGACCATCATTTTACACACTGATAAAAAGAAAGAACATGGGCTGCTGAACAATTGCCCGTATAAATACTTTTTCAGGGAGAGGTGGATTCTTTACTAATTAGAGAGAAATTTTATTCCAAAAACGAAATCCTTCAGATTTTTCGGAGCGAAAATTTCGCGCTTTTCCTCGTTTCGAAAATTGAGAAAAACAACCAAAAGTGTCAAATTAACAAAATACCGATACAAAGCCGAAAATAAAAGGCGATTTCTGTTGAATGCTTTTTGATGAGTCATCGTAAATTTTATGTAGGCACGCGATGACCTCGTGAACCCTCAAAGTTCACGAAAAAAAGAACAGGTGGCGAGAAGTTAAAAAATAAGCAAAAATAAAATATAAAAAGCAATTGAATCCTCAAAAAGTCAACAAATTACTCGATGCCAAGTAAAACTAAAGCAAAAAAGAACAATAAGAAGAGCGTAAAAAAGCATGCAAAAGCTCCTGAGATTTGGGTCCTAACTTTTCCCAATTCTACGATAGCGGTCTCTAGAATCTACAAAATTCCGTTTTTGACTCCGTAATTTTGATCATGAAAAATGATTGTCTGCAAGAGAGACTGTAATGTGGCGGTACTACCGTCCGGTGCCCCTGTGGTACAGTCCTAGGCCAAAGAGAAAGTGCTGGCGAAGGCTTGATTTTGATAATCTCGTAAGTATTTCAGGAGCGGGAAAGTTAGGATCCGAGTGACAGCGAAACGCTTCGGCGAAGCTCCCAAGCAAGTCACAGTCAGAGATTGTGGAAATCGTAGAAGAGGTGAACGGAAACCACGAGATTGCACCGCCAGAGACCATCTCTGATGAAAGTTTTGAAGTGAGGGCCTTATTCTTTCATTTTATTGTGATTATAACTAATAGCTGGGATGACGGTTTTCATTGAAGGGCTTCCTTAAAACACCTGAAAGGAACTGTTTTCGGATGATCTAAAATTTTAACCCTCTGTTGAAACTTTTAAGTTCTTGAAGTAGAGAGAAAGAAAGCTTATATTTATGATATTTTTAGTGAACCATGTTGAATTTAGCCTCTGGCAACATTTGCAGGTTTTCTTGCGTAAACTCACCCTTTGTACTTTGTTCTGCCAAAATATCAAAACAAATCGTCCCCTCTTTCTCTTCAAGAACTGACATCTATCTATTATTTTGGCAATATCGCGAAAATCGTGCATTTCTTGAACCCCGCTAGAGCAGGCAAAACACGCGTAATCGGTGCTTCAAATAATCGCCTCACTTTTTGCAGTCACGCACATAAATATAAAGCTCAAGGCCCGGGAACTTTTATTTTTCAAGTGAAAAGATGATGATAGAAAATCGCCGCTAGGGGCAACAAAAGCGAAAAGTTCGGATAGAGTTGAAAATAGTTCGAAAATTGCGCCACTTCTCGGCGGGGCATAATATCATTGGGTCAATATTTGAGGAAACTTTAAACTAGAGACCATTTTTTGAACAGAGAAATTTTGAATCGTTTTTTAATGAGTGAATATTTTTGACTCTAACCAGCAACTGGCGCGGCCTATATTTGCATGGAATTTGTACCGTATAAGCACCGAGTACAGTCTATTTTAATGCTCGTTTTCTAGGAGACGCCACTGAAGCCTGTTGACGATCCTACAGTTGACGATGGATCCTGGGCGACTGTCAAGGACAACAAGAAGGACAAACGAAAGAACGTAAACCGAAAGGACTCTGAATCCAGAGCAGCCACTCACAATCAAGAATCAAGAGACAGTAAGAATAATGCCCCACACGGAAACAAGCAGGGCAACAAAAACGCTAAATCCGACGTTGGCTCCAAGCGCCGACCGAGCAAAGAGGAAACAAAGAATGTCAACAGTGATCCCGTCAAGGTAATTAATCTTGGTTTGATACGAGCGACGCCCGCGCGCTTATTTTTTTTACTATCGCTAGATTAAATAAAAGCGGAACAAAAGCATTAACGAGATATGCTTGGAATTTAACATTTTTATGGCTAGTTAGCGATCTGTTACAGTAAAATAATCATCATTTCCTAGGTTGAGCCTGTTGCTGTGAAGGAAGCCGAGAAACCCAAGGAAGAACCAGTAGCTGAGGCTACTCCTGAACCAGTGGCCACAGAGCCTGCAACTACCCCCGTTGAAACAGCTGCTGAGGAACCCACTGAAGAAACCACCAACCCCGAACCAACTGTAAATGCTCCCACCCCAACCGAAGCCACCCCCGAACCTACCGAAGAGAAGCCAGCAGAAAAAACTGTCGAGGAGACCCCAGCCACCCCCGCCGAGAATGGTGCACAGTCAGAAAAGGTCGCAGAGACAGCTGCTGCTGAAAACGCAGCGAAGGCTGCTGCCCCAGCTGCCGTTGTCGAATTCGGCACGCTTGCCGCCGAGAATAGAACTAAATTGGAAAATGGAGAGAAGGTCGCCTACGAGCGAGACTTCCTTCTCAAATTCCAGGGCCTCTGCTTGAACAAGCCCATCGAGCTGCCCACCTTGGACGTCATCCTTGACGGCCCTACTGATGGGCATCGTAAGCCACCTAAACACGAGTCTGTCGGTCGAGGCTCGTGGACTCCAGGCTACTTGCCAAAGGGCAACAACAGAAAGGGAAGCCGAAATCATCCAAACAAGAACACGAGCGTCATCAAGATTCCTACGAAGAAACCGCAGCTCCACGTGACTGAGAATGCTTACAAACGAGGTGTTGCAGAGAACCTCGAAGAAACCGAGAAGAAGACTGTCCAACTCGTCCGATCTGTACGACACAGCTTAATTAGTAGCAGAGTTATTCATTTCTTTTAGGCTAAATCAATCTTGAACAAGATCACCCCAGAGAAGGAGGCGAAGCTCACCAAGGAGTTCATCCAGAACATCAAACCCGACACTTACGATCGGCTTGAGAAGGTCGTCGCCGCGGTTTTCTCCAAGGCGATCGAAGAGCAGCATTTTGCCAAGATCTACGCCAAGGTGAGGCTAAAAAAATGACTCCCGTTATCAATCTAATTAATCAAGCTCTGCAAAAACTGTCACGAAAACTGGGACAAGGACGACAAGATCGCCTTCTTCAGAAAGGAAGATGGCTCCTACGAGAGCATCACTCGGCGTGAAGCGCGTGATCGCAAGATCAAACCAAAGGGTTTCCGAGAAGTCCTTTTGAGCAAGGCTCAGGAGCAGTTCAACAAGCTCAAGATCCTAAACAGCAAGGACAAGGAAAACTTTGCAGAAGGATCGCTCGAGCGGCGACGACTCGAAGTCGAGGAAAAGATCAACGCCCTCCCTGCTCCAGAAGACAAAGAGGTAAGCTCAAATAGTTAGCCTCAGTCGCGTTACATTTTATCAGTTCAACAAGCGCACAAAGATGGAACTTGACGAGGAATACGAAGAACTCAATACTCGAATCAAGATCCGAGGCCTCGGAAACGTCAAGTACGATTTGAATCTGAATTCATCGTTTTTAACTACTCTTCTAGGTTCGTCGGCGAGCTTTACATGGAAGGTCTCCTTTCCCTCAACATCATCAAGATATGTTGCCAGCAGCTCGTCTACTCCGACTCTGAGAACGAGCTCGAGTCCCTGTGCAAGCTCATCCCCACCATTGGAAAGCGCATGCAGACCGGTCCACAGGTTCCCAATCGAGCCCAGCAAGCACAATTCGCGCAAGCTGAACAGGATAAGAAGAAGGGCGCGGAGGTAACTAGCGACGATTTTTAGTTCTCCACTAACATTTTCTCTCGTAGATCTTGACGATCGTCTTTGGTAAGATCGAAAAGATCGTTTCGGAAGGCAAAACTTTGGGCGCTACCCCGTCGAAGGTGTCTCCTCGAGTCATTTGTCTCCTCCAAGACGTCATTGATATCAGATCGGTAAGACAAAACAATGGCAGCTTGTTCTTACAATATTCTTATAGCGAAACTGGGAGATGCGAACGACCGCCATGAAGGGACCATCCAAGATTGGCGATCTTCACGATAATGACCGAAAGAAGGCCGAAGAAGACGCTAAACGTGTCGAACGAGAGTTCATGAAGGCGCAATATGAACGTTCGCAACTCAAGTAAGACGACCTTTGAGGGAAAAGTTTAATCACACGTTTGTAGCAACGAGCGACGACAGCGAATCAATCAGGGCGATTGGGTCAAACAGTCCCACGTGACCAAGTCCAAGTTTGACGCCTCCAAACTTGCCTCGACAGCGTCGAGTTCTATGGACGCTCGATCAGCTGGCTCTGGCAACATAACCCTCGGTCCCCGACGACGAGGTGGTGGATTCAAGAACGCATCTATGGACAAGGGATCCAACGAGAACAGTGCCAATTCCAGCGGCCGAAACACCCCCATTTCTACTCCTCGCAATCCTTTCGACTTGCTCGATTCCGATGCGGAGATGCCCGAAAGGTAAACATTTGCCTTTTCGAATGTCAATTGTTTAACACATTTTAGACTCCCACCAGCAGGCGGAAAGCGATCGTCACGAGATCTCACCGCTCGCAAGGGCTCACTGGCGGCTAACAACGGTCCTCGCGGAGGCGGTCGACCTAACTTCAAGAATAGCACTCACGACGGGCGCTACGTTAAAAAATCTCTTACTCCAGAGGAGGTAAATGCCCTTCGTCCCGAGGTAAGTCACCCAACGGTAAACAGCTCGATTCCTTCCATGTTTGGTGCTTGTTTATGAACGCGGTGGCATGTCAAAAATCTCATCTCACATACACAGAACAAACCTCTAGTTCAATAATAACTACGATGGTTTAAGGTGTCATGTTTCATGAAAGCTTTAGCTCTAGTTGACTTCTGCTCCCTTTCAGCTCTTTTCAACCCATATTTAGATCCAAAAGAAAGCTGGCACCCTTTACTCCGATCTCGAGGAATGCCAGGGTGATCTCAAGATGATCGTCGACGTCGGCAAAGATAACGTTGATCTCTTCGAGACCGTCGATCATCAGATCATTATCTTGGACGTCCTTTTGGAGAAGGTTATTGAAAAGTCTGTTGGTGATCGAGAGGCCCTCTCGAAGCTTCTGATGGTTATTGCTGATGAAGCTAAGTTTATGGACTGGGAAGCTTGGTATGAAGGGAGCAATTGACATCTTTAGCCTTACTTGTTTTTAGCATTGTTCCCTTCGTCAAGAAGGCAGTCGAGGAAGATCGCGTCACTGATTGCCCCAAGTTCTGGCAATATCTTTCGTAAGATAAGGCCTTGTTTATCGTTTATAAAACTAATTCTAGTCAATGTATCTGCAAGATCTACACATCCCCAGCAGTTGACCCTAAGTCCATCAAGGGAATTACCGAGCCAGCGAAGGATCTCTGTGCTTGGACAAACGCCATTTGTGCTTTGATTGAGGAGATCGACTACTCTCTCAGGAACAAAGAGAAGATTCATGATCTGTACACCAACGCGGAAATTGACCTCGCCGCCATCATCGCTGAAGATGGTCTCTCACAGACCCCTGAAGAGCGGTACGTCAACTGTTTCGTTTAGGATTATTTATCAAGGCCGACGGCTCATTTTTTCGTTTAGGCTTGGCAGACGTGGCCTCGATTTCTTGCTGAAACCTCTGGTCGTCGTTCCATGGGGGAAGGTTGAAAGCCAGCTTATTGGCAGCTTGGAAGATCACACTTTCGGTGAAGCAGAGATGGAAGACTTCTCGAAGGAGTTTGATATGTTGGAGGAGATGGTTCCTGAAGGACCAGATGGACGTGGTCACCGAAACTTTATCAAGGTTCTTGTCAATGGAGTCATGACCTTTTCCGTCGACTCTGGTAAAAGCAATCCTTGTTTTTCTGTTTTAAAAAGGGTATTCGCGTAGATACGAATCAACTGATCGTTCGAAGCCATGAAGGCGATGTGCGAGACACAAACTTCTCCGATTGCGAGGTGCTCTTGCGAAAGTACATCGACAACGAGGACGATAGAATAGAAACATTGTTCGTGCTGTCGGACATTTTCAGAAAGAAGCACGAGAACAATGCCAGTAAGTTTTAGTCCAAACTGTCAAAAGTTTAAAGATGTAAATGGTAACGACGCCTTTTAGCATTGATAAAGGAGGTTTTCTCTGAACTGTACGAGCTTTCTATTATGGAAATCCCGACCTTCCAGAGATGGATCAAATTGAGAAGCGCAGAGAAACTTGAAAACTTTGCCGTCATCTCAGCTGCCACCAAGTAAGCAAAACACCTTCATGTACTTGCTAACGATTCTCTTTCTAAAAGGAGTTTCTACGACGCCTTGGAAGAGGAAGTAAAGCTGAACAACGAAAAGTCAAAATCGCCTACCCAGGCGTAGGATTGCCGCGCCAGTCCAACTGGCCATGGCTCCTCTAGGTTATTTCAAGTTAACTCCTATAATAATATTATATTCGCTTGTCTCTCGAGATCTTCCAAAATCTCTTCTTTATCTCCATCGCCCGATCTCCACATCTCCAACAATCTAATTCTCTAGCACTCTTACGAATTCGATCGCGGCACATTACGATGTGTCAAATTTATTCTTGTTTGTATCATTATTTGAAATTATTATCATTGGCTTCTGTGGGACCTTAAAAATGGCCCACGCTCAAATTTTGTGGGAAAAATTGTCAACACACACTTTACTATTATCACCCCTTTTTTACCAATTATCCAACAATAATAGATGAATTTTGAAAGATTTCGAAGGGTACTCTATTTATATTTTTCACCTCAAGGATCGCTATCCTCGAGGCATAGACCTAACGCTACCTTTCTGGGAGGCTCCCAGCGCCCATATGGATAATGAATAGGCGCACTAATAGTTACAATTTTGTCTTCAATGAATATTCGCGCTTTTTCGACCATATGAGAGTGCCCGGCTCCGAATCCCTAGGCGATAGGACGAGTAATGTAGGTTGTGAGAAATGTTATATCATCGTCAAAATGATCCCTCTCCAAGAAACTATTTTAATAGGTTAAAATTTCATCCGATAATCCAACATTTACTATTAACGCCTCTCCAACGATTTTGATTTATATCTAAATTTCTTAAAAATTTTATCTTTCTGAAAGACAATTTCTAAGAAATTCATGTATATTTTAGATTCGTTTTAGATGCTCATCCACCATATTTTTCTAACTGCTAAACTATTATTATAATCGCTGGTCTTGCTTTGGGGCCCTTTAAATTTATTTAATGTACATTGTTAAAAATATTTATTCTAGCAGAGTTTTCTTTCTACCAAATTCAAACTATTCTAGGTACACCAACCAACTTTAGGCCCCCTTTCAAGGCCTGCTGAATCCTATCATACTCCATTTCATCCCCTATCCTTATTTTCTAAGCTTACCCATCTTAATTTCGCGTCCCAAAGACAAAACGAAGCAAACTCCCCCAAGCTAGTAATATCCCTCAAATTTCATCACCTGTGGGTTCGGTCACTACCCGTCGAAAAAGCTCATTGATTTTATTATTTTATTATGCCCGGTATTTGCAAGTTGCCATAGTGAAAAGAATCAGGAATCAGAACAAATAACTTCAATATCTTTATTCACTAAATACACAAGTTCAACTAGTCTTTAATTAACTAAGATAGTGAAGTTATTAATAACAAAAATGAAAACGAAATTCTCAACTACTGTATCTTACTAAACGTAACCCGAACGAGGACCGGTGCATATTTGGAAACTGTGCATATTTACAAACCACCACGGAAATCTACCATTTTCTATCATATTTCTCCTTACCAACAAAAAATTTGAAAAATGAATGTGCGTTTATGAGTTTTCTGCTGTCGACGAAACCAACCCTTCGCTCGTGTAAATATAAACAATTTAAACCCTGAAGATTGTTTTTCCTTTTGTTATTTTTAGCAGGTTTTTGCATTCTTCCATGATCGCAGTAATACAAAATATGCATGCAGTGTACACACTTGAGCCTATACATAAATTAAGGACAATTTGAACTTGTTCGTTTTTGTCCAACACTTTCTTCTATTTAAACTTTGTGGAGTTGAGGTCCAAGAGTCAAAAGACAGAGGCGTTTAATATGAATAAGGTGGTATCATATTCGTTCTGGATGCAAAAGATTGGCAAGAGATGGAGAGCGGTTTCGTAGAACAAGGAAAAGAGAGGTGCTTTTGACTTAAATTGACTTTATTTCAATTGAATCCCACTGATCAGTCTAATCGTTTTTGATCCTTGTCGGGAAGCAGACCCTTTGGCCGATTGATTTATCCATCAATTCGGGCGACTGAGAGGCGAGGGCATGACTAATGTTCATTGATCAGTAAATTATATATAAATTAACTTCCCAAAACACATCCAGTCTTTTGAAAACTTCCTTAGAGACTCCATTTAAATTCGTTCTTGAAAGAAAACTGGCTTCAATCATTTTTCGTCGCTTCCGTCATTTGACTTTATACCGGCGTGCAAATGAGCTACAGTTTTTTCACTAAATGGTCTATTTAATTTGCGGTATGTAAATTCTCCTACAGGCAGTGAAGCCAACGCAAACACTTTTCTGCCCAATTTTGTACTCGAATCCAGGAGGCGTCATCTGTTAGAGATCATTTTTAATAAAAGAGAAGAGAAAAAAATGCTCTTGAGACATTTTTACATTAATCCGTCAAAAATTTGAGAAGGGAAAGAATGAATGCACTTCTGAATAGATTTATCTTTCTACGCATGTTGGCCTATTTATTTTTATTTTCTCAGACTACGAATTGTCTCGACGACGGATTGATTCTCTCGATAGAGAAATAACTCCCAATTTAATTGAGAAAGAGTTAGGAAAAATATTTAAAAATTATTTTTTATAATCTCAAGGGATTATAATCGTCAAGATTTTCGTGGAAATGAGAATTATAAATCTCTCGATAAGAAGACAAAACATCGATTTGTTCACCGCGTTATTTTTAATACAGCGAGATTATTTTCTGTACTAATCAGACCGCGCCATAAACTCATTTGAGAGTGATTAGTCCAGTGAAAGTAGCTCCAAAGAAAGCTCTGGCGCGGATGGTCACACGCCAGAGCCCCCTACTCAAAAGCACCACGCATTGCTGAATTTCACTTTTCAAGAAAGCCGTATTGAAAAAATAGAGGATAAGAAACAGAAAATATGAATGCATGTGCATTCTGTAGAAGTGAACTCCAAGTTTCTTATTCTATTCTCGCATTTTTAATTAGAAACATCCCTCAGTTTTGCATCGCCCGAATAGTCCGCTACTCATTTGATTTTTCCGATGTGTTATTAATATTTAACAACCAGACTTTTATGGCCCCTCGTCACTATTTTTCTGGCCGCATTTCTTACGTTAAAGCTGCGATATGAAATAGCTTTTATTTCAAAAATATTCGAATTTTTCATTTTGAAGATTGGTTGAATCCGGGCCAGATGAGAAGAAACTCGGAAGAAATAAGAGAATTATGAAAATACGAAAACAACCGAAATGGAGAGCCCAACAGAATTTACCTCAATTCCAGCTTCAGCTTTAAAAAATGGCGAAGACAACAGCTCAGTTTCAGACTGGCTTGTACCAGGTACACTCAATTGTCAAGTTGGTCAATCGACAATTGATTTATTCAAACCACATTTTGACCGCGTTTATAAGCCGCTGTAGAGCGAGTTGACGGCTACACCTTAGCCTTTCTTCGAAGAGTTCATCAAATGAACTCTCTTCGAAAAGAGAATAGCTTTCCAAACATCGGAGTTACTTTTTGAAAGAGCGCTAATATTTCCGAAGAATAACAAAATCCGTTTTTAATGTCCGTTAATGAGGGTTAGATTTTACGGTCGAATAAATCGGTCTATTCTGGTTTCTAGTCGAAAAAGGGAATAAAGTTTCCCTCTATTCTCTTTCGAAAATATATATTTACATATTATATAATCAGGATTATCGATTGTCTGCATTCTCTTTGCATCTTCGCTGCTGCTGATCCAGTTCTTTGCCGTCTGTTTTGCGTAAGTGGATACAGCCATAAATCCTCTTTAAGTCTGAATTCAGTCGGTATCACTTCCATCGTCAGAAGAATCACAAACTCACAAAAGCGCCAGGTGTCTCAATTCTAAAGCCTCTTCGATTCACTGGTAAAACAACTCCAAAAGCGCGCATATAAAATTCTTTTAGATCAAGAAGTAAAGTACTTGTCTGACAACTTGGAGTCATTTTTTACCCTTGCCTATCCGAAATATGAAATTATATTTTGTGTCCGAGAATATGACGATTCTTCTGTGCCGATTGTTGAGAAACTGATCAAAAAATATCCGAATATTCCGTGCAAGCTTCTTATTGGTAAGAAAGTCTTCAGAAAAAAGTCCCTTTCAAAGAAATTCGTAGATAAGCACAGCGAATCTTCGATAAAAAATCATTCTTACTCCACGACAAGCTGATTTTTCAGCGAGGATTCGCCGCGCTCATGTTCTTACTTATAAAAATCTCCTATCCTTTAAAATTAAGACCCAAAATTTAGGCGGAAATGACATCGGCATCAACCCGAAAATTAACAACATGCAAAAAGGCTACGAGCAAGCAAAATACGAGTTCGTCTGGATTTGCGACGCTGGAATTCGCGCTCATCCGGACACTCTCAACGATATGATGCTCCGTATGCTCGAGTCGAAGAGCGTCGCACTTGTTCATCAACTACCCTTTGTCGATTCTGTGCAGGCAAATATGGGCAGTTATTTGGAAAAGATCTATTTCGGAACGCAACATGGGAGAATTCAGATAACAGCTCATTGTCTTAAACAAGTAAGAAATTAAATTCGATGACTGTTTTTGAGCTGTTCTTTTCTAGGTTTGTATCACGGGCATGTCGAACCTTATCCGTCGCCAGGCTTTGGAAGAAGCGTGCGGCGGTCTAATCGGCTTATCGAGCTACATTGCAGAAGACTACTTCATGACGATTAAAATGCACGAGGTAAAATGGAGGAAAGGTTCACGCGTTCGGCCAGACAGGCCCTCAGGGGCGTTGTAACAGTTGTCTGTCCCTGCAGATTGGATTTAATTCCTGCGACTTCAACTGTTCAACAAATTGAATGCTCGTTTTCAGGCCGGTTGGACATTTCGCATGTCAACCTATCCAGCGCTGCAGAATCTGATCAATCCGACGATGCGAGGCTTTTTTAGGAGAATGGTTCGCTGGTCCAGGCTCAGGATAAAAATGCTACCAGGTTCATTTTCTTTCCCTCTTCATCTCCTTTTTCATTGATTTTTAGGCGTGACCGTGGTGGAGCCATTCTCGGAGTGCTTCGTTTCCGGCCTTCTTTTTTCGCTGGGAGTTGGGCACTTTACGGACTCAATTTCCACCATCGCAATTTTTCTCCTTTATACAGCTTGGTGGATGACCATGGACTTGATGCTCGTCTCTGGTCTCCAGGTAGGACAGGAAGTCAATAATTCAGCTTACAAACTCGCCCAATTTCAGTCTTGTGGCTCGCGAATACCGCTTCACAAGTTCATTCCGCTCTGGATTCTACGAGAATTATCAACGATACCGATTTTATTCACAGCTCTGCTTAGACCCGATGTCACATGGATCGGCTCTGCCAAATACAAGTTCGTGATTTTCGTATAGCGTCTGATTACCTTCTATGTTTAGAATCGGCTTCGGCGGAAAAGCGGAGAAGATTAATACCTGCCAAAACGACGATCTTCAATGATTTGGAATTGTAACTCTCATTTTCTGACACAGTTCGCTTCAAATCCTCCTTTTTACTGTATATTTCGCTTCTACTGAATATAGACAAAGATATTTTGACTTTCGCAAACCGAATTTTGGCAAACAAAAAAACCAATAGTTTGTTCTTTCCTGATTTCTACCAGTGCAAGTGTTGTCGAAAAGCCAATTTTAAAGTGTTCGAATAACAGCTTTTTCCAATACCAGCAAAAGAATATAATAAGATTATGATAAAATCAAACTAATTGAAGCAGTGAAAAAATTATAATTATTTAACTTATTTCTATCACTTTTCTTCCTTCAGTACAAAAATCTTGTATCCAAGCAATAATATTAATTTCTGTCGACCGTTTGAGTTCACACAAAAGATGATTTTGTGATTCCTTTTTTCTTTCTGTATTTTCTCTTCATGCATGACAAGATTAACACTCTTTTCTACAAAAAAAAACAAATTGCACAAAATCCAATATTACGCACTTTTTATCGAACATCGTTTTTTCCTCTAGAATGAGAAAGATTCTAATAAGTTTACGCTCAGTTCTTTACTCATACATGTTTTGATTCTATCTATGAGTTTACTAAAATTAATTTTATCTTTCTAAATCTTTATACCGTTTCTTAATTTAAAATGACTGATAATCTTTTATTTCAAAAAATATCGAGTTTTTTGGAGTTGCGGCACGAAACGACAAAATGCGACGAATCGCCGTCCGCGCAAAATTTGTCGCAATGTTTTGTCGTTCGGTACAGCCTCCCTTTTTTCACTATCCGCTAATAATCTGTTTTTACTGATCTGAATATTATTTTTACTTTTTTTCTGATTTCTTTCTTCGCAATATCTCAACATCTCACTCACCAACTGTAACTCACTGATCTCACCACTGAAATAAACTACTACAAAGACTACTGTTATGTCACGTGTTGATGTTTTACTGCTTGGCAAACTGTTTATGCGAAAACTCAGAAACAGAATGCCCTCGAACGGGATCATGCACTCTCACACGCCGAGCAAGACGATAACTCCGATGAGAAATCGAGGACAGATACAGCTGATCATTGGGCCAATGTTCAGTGGAAAGTCGACAGAACTTTTGAGGTTTGGGTGTTTTTCGGATTCTTTTCAGCGGGATTTTTCAGACGACTACGACGATCGCAAAATGCTTGCTTCAAATGCCTGGTAGTCAAGTTTAAGGAAGACGATAGATACTCCGATCTAGATATGGCAACTCACGACGGGCAAAAAGTATCGGCTGTGAAAGCGAGCAAACTTGACGATGTATATGACGCGGCGAGGGATTACGATGTCATTGGCGTTGATGAAGGTCAATTTGTAAGTCTAATACTATGTAAGTTCATTTATGCGTTGCGTACTAGTTTGAAGACTTGCTGGAATTCTGCGAGAACCTGGCGAACAGCGGAAAGACAGTTATAGTAGCAGCGCTAGACGGAGATTACAAGCGACAGCCCTTTGAAAAGACGATCAGTTTGATTCCACTTTCCGAGAGTGTCACAAAACTCACTGCAATCTGCATGAACTGTCGAGCTGATGCCGCCTTTTCCAGACGACTTGGAGCACAAACTGAGGTACACTCAATGACAGTCGTCAAATTTTGACAGTTTCCTTGAAGCAAAAAGTAATTGGCGGAGAGGATAAATACATGGCTGTTTGCCGTGCTTGCTACAATCTTCCTGACATCACCAGCCCACACAAGGTTGAATATTCACTGTCACATATACTCACAGTATTCAATTAAATCAACCTGAAGACTCATTATTCGTGAAGTATTTTGTAAGCAGGTTTTCATTTGTTTTTCAAGGATAATTTCAGGAATTGATCTTTTTGGAAAGGAATTAAGTTTGTTGATTTCCCATTTAGGTAGCCGATGCGCGAATCCCTTTCAATCACAAGTTCAACGATATGGCTAGAAAGTCCAAACGCGTACTCTTTAGTGAAGACGACGAGAAAAATATGAAGAAGCAAAAGAATGGAAACGATATGTAAACTACCAAAAGTTCAACTAACTCTTACTGACCCTTTCTGGAGAGATGATCGGCTATCATTTTATTTTTCCTCACCATTTGAATAACAGATGTATTTATCCCTTACTGCCCGCGTCTTCCAAAGGCTGAAATTGTCGTCAGCTGTTATTGGAATTCGCAAACATTGGAATTTCACAACCGCCACATCTCACCGACCACCATCCTATAGTATCACTGTAGTTGCATGTATTATTTATAAGAAGAGCTCTCCTGGATCCCAGGGCCTGGAAATGGGTACAAATATCCTAAGTCCGGATGCACATTTATCTGTTTAGTAAGTTCCTGCCAATCAATAAATGGTTATACAAAACTAACAAACAAAATTTATCAAAAGAATCATGACAAAAAAATATCCTCAATAACTTTCCAGGGGTAAAACGATTATTGTATCCCATTCGAAGTAATATCATTTGCATGAATAATTAAAGAAGTAGTGACCGCTAACGGTGCCATCCATTTTTCGCATTCCAATTAGCCTTTTTTCCTTTTCCATATAAGAAGAGCCGACTTTTTCCATTCCATCTCATTTTTTAAAAAAAGAAGACTATCGAGTATTGACTTTATCTTTTCAATTAGACATTTTTGCTTGCAAGAAACTTGTTGTAATGCAACTTTGTTTGTACTGTGACACATTTGTCATCAATATTAAAAGAGGTCATTACATTAAGGGCCCCTTAATAAGGGGTTATAATCATCCTTCTTTTCAGAGAAAAGATGGCGGCTTTAGCACGAGTTAGAAAAAGATCCAAAGCTGGGAACTTGTGGGGAGCAGTGCTCAAAGAAGGCGAAGGACCTGTAGAGAAAAATACGTGAGTCGTGAGCATGCTTATAGATTTTAAAAGACAGATTTTAAGAGGCTCTGCGTCGCAGTACTTCTGCGAGGCGTGCAACAAAGACTTCAAGGATCAAGAAGCAAAAGCTGCCCATTTCGCAGAACATATCAAATGCGGCTTTCCTGGCTGCATGTTCGAAGGACACATGCTTGTCATCGAGACGCATATCAAAAATGCACATGGAAATGGAATAGGAACGGGTTCACATCTACAAGTATTTGAATTCTGAATAATTCAAATAACTGAACTCCCCTTGGTCATTAACTATTCATGAGCGTAATTTATATGCCTTGTCAATTAAAAAAAACTTTAATTTAATAACTGATAAAACAAAGGGAAAAAGAAAAGCTTGCTCTCGTAAAACTGCTGAATCACACTCACACTAGTGGTTCAATTCAATTTGAGTAAAGATTTGCTTGAATGACGTTTTTCGTAACGCGCGTTTACCCCCATTTAAAGCTCCGTTACCCTTTTTGTATTTTCTGTTAGAGAATAGACTATTCTAGTTGTACTTATTCTTGTTGTGAATCGTTAAAAAAGGCGCTATTAGGCTAGAGACGGAAGAAGATATCAGAAAATGGAGAGAGGAAAGAAGAAAGAATTTCCCGACGAAGGCGAGGATTGCGGAAAAGAAGGCTGCAGGAGCAGCGGTCGAGACGAAGAAGTTTTCGAAAAGAGAGCAGCGAAGGGAGCAGAGAAGGGCGGAAAAATTGAAGAAAAGACTGGTAAGTCAGCAGACAACCCTTTTTGTGGAATTGCGTCTTTCCAAAGAGAAGATATTCGATTTTCCCTGCAAAATGAATGATGCTGGTGAAGATGGTATCACTTGTAATTTTGTTTTTCAGGTTACGTCGCAGGAGCCCGCTAATAAACGAGCTAAGAAGGGAAAACAAGAAAACGCTCTCGTCAATTATGCATCCGAATCTGAAGACTCGAGCAGCGAGGACGACGACCCTCTCGACGACGAGTCCAGCGATTCAGAGAATGAAAATGAGGAAAGGCTGCCAATAAGTCGATTAACTATTAGTTCTACGAAATAAAAAAAAACGATCATTTTATTTGATAATTCCAATAATTGTTAAGATCAAAAATGAGTCACTTGAAAAACGAGTCTGAATGGAAATGAACTAATTGAATAAATAAAAATGAATAGCTCTTATTGAGTGTCTATCTTTTCTCAGCCAAAATAGACAGAAGAGACGAAGAAAAGACAAGCCAGAAGTCAGCTGTCAAATCGACTTACAAAAGTATCAGAGAACATTGCTGCCCAGCCTGCGAACGAAATTCTTTACAATAACAAATTGTTGAGAAGTCACAAGCAGAATATAAAAGAGGTAGCGAGAATGAGCGGTTTCCTCTTTTTTTCGAAAATCAATAAAAAAGCTCCATGAGCTCCAAGCACGGAATATAAAAGCTTTATCGATTTTGGCCAAGGGCAGAAAAAGCTGCCAAAGTCAGATTCATTACCCGCGACCTATTATCTCATCTGCCGGCAAAATATCCGCCATTTAGCGTCTTCTTTTATTCAGGATGGAAAAAAAGTCCGATATCCAGTTGGGTCGTACAAATGCCACAAAACGGGGGAGAGAGATATGCCGCAGTTGGCCAGACCCAGTTTATTAGAGATGCTGCTAAAGGATGAAATTCGAGAAGAAAGAAACCGAATACTACAGGCTGTGCATTACATCGTTCAAAATGATTTCTTCGGAGTCAACTGACCCAGCTAAAAACCCGTCAAAGTGCCTCAAACACCCAACTTGAATTGAATCCTCTTGTCTTTCAGAATTTCGTGATTCGATGCAATCGGGATGGCCACTTACAAGGTAGACTTTCCTTACAAAGCGACGGAGTCAGACGAGCTCTCGTTGGAAGTTGGCGATGTCATCCGAAATTGTGTACAGAAAGAAGATGGTAAGTCTTTATATTGATATCGTCGTTATGTCTTTTTTTCTTTAGGTTGGCTTGAAGGAGAGCTCCTTGGTCGTGTAGGCATGTTCCCAGACAACTTTGCGACAAAAATTGCCGATCCAGAGATAAATAAAAAGGTATCACAATCGAACCCTTTTTATATCCTCTATCCCTTGATTTTTCTAGCCACCCCCACCAGCGCCACTGAAGCCAAAGCCAAAAGTGAAGCATTTCAAAGCGACCTTCCCTTACAAAGCTTCTAACGAAGACGAACTGAGCTTCGCAACAGGCGATATCATCACATTCATCGAAGATATAGAAGATGGCTGGGCAAAGGGAGAGCTAGAAAGCGGCCAATCGGGACTCTATCCGACCAATTTCGTCAAGGTAATCTCAGAATAGAAAATTTAAAAGCCCTTGTGCCGCTTGAATCTCTGGCCCGTTGCCAGGATCATCTCAAGATTAATCTTTTGAATTTGAAATTCGAAATCCGAGCGAATATTTGTTCGCCAGGACCGCCCGTCGTCTAATGGCTCAGGTCTTCAATTAGAAATTGCCTGATCATCTTTTTTCGATTCTGATAGCCCTCTTCATTTATCATCGCTTATCGGGCCGTCCAGCATCCATCATTGTTATTTTCAGGAGGTCCTTTTCGATAAATAAGCACGCGAGGGTTACTGTTGTTTTCTGAGTAAAAACTCAGATGATGATCATCTAAGTCAGATGTAGAAATTTTCCTAGAGTTCCAAAGTTATCATCTGAGTCAGATGAAGAAATTTTCCTAGAGTCCCAAAATACCGTCCTGAATCAGGACTCCTGATCCACTAAGACCTACTTGTACCAATCTAATTTTGGTACAAGTTACACAGCATCTGGGGCTGTGTTTGAAGCCCAAGAGTTGAGCTTAATTTAGTCACATTTTCTCACTATTTGAACAAGTCCTCGTACTCGCGTTAGCGCCGTGTAAACTCCTGCCTCTCTCTCTCTCTGCCGTATTTGCTCTTGCATTTTTACTTTTCCCTCAATCTTTCTTGTCCTGGCGAGGTCGAAGCGCAATCATCGTAGGCGCTCCGTAGCTCGAGCCCCGTTATTTTATTTTTTTCTTTCAGTGCTCAATTAGATCAGACAAATCGTGTCCAGCGTCTTTAAAACATACCATTACATTTTTACGCGTCCAGACAGAGGCTCACACACGCGCTGCTCACCATCGCTGTTGACCAATGTTGCTACTAGTAATATTGCGTTGTGGGATAGTTGCTGAATAGGAAATAAATTATTACGAGCAAATAGAGAGAGGCAGAGAGGAAATGAAGAGAGCCTCCAGGTCCTTTAGGCGCTCAATTGATAGAACAGGATAGTGAAGAAAGACTAATATTGTTGATAAAACCAATAAGATTTAAAATTCACGGGCAAATGATTCTTTATGAAGGGATTCAATCATTACTCGCCCCTTGATTCAAAGCAGACCTGGTCAATTTCAATAAGATTTATTGATTTTTCCGTGTTGTGATTTCAACTTTTATTAAGAAAATTAATGAAGAGGAGCGTTTGGATTATTGTAATCAGCACATGAACACTTGAGCGGAATTTATCGAGAGATTAAAGCTTCAAAAGCTTTTGAATTTCTTGGAGAGAGCGCCCAAATACTTTATTACCATTTCCATAGTAACACTACCTCGCTTGTTTCATTTAAATGACGAGCTTCAAATCAAACACTCTTTTTGTTCGGAGTATTGTTGATTGACACTAGATTACAATTATCCCAATTCGTGAATATTTATGCCCCCTAAAGTAAAATCTTAAAATTTCTCACTTTGGAAAAGTAAAACAAATTCGATCAATTTCTGCCAGCCGTTTGAACGGATCAAACCAGCATTTTCAGGCTGTGGAGGGAGACGTCCAACCTTCCAAAGGAAAGGAAGAAAGAAAAGCAGCAAGAAAATCAGATGAGGGCCTTTCCGGCAGACGCAAGGATGTCCCGCCACAGTCCTCGAGTTCTTCATCGTCGAAGGAACCTGCTTCTAGCACCAGCTCTGCGTCAGATTTGCCTAGATACAAAGTAGCGTTTGATTACGCTGCTAGTAATAGCGACGAGCTCACATTGAAAAAGGACGAAATTGTTACTGTAAGTCCACTTTTTTGGAAATTCTTGATTGACCCCATTGGTCACCCCAATTTTGAATAAACCTTAATTTTAGATCACAAATCAGAAAACACTCGATGAAGGCTGGTGGGAAGCGAGAAACACTTCGGGAAAATCAGGCCTCATCCCTACGAACTTTCTAGATCTGAAGAACCCAATCACATCGAGATCAAATACAGACTCCAGTGATTTCGCGAAAAAGAGAGACATCGTCGGTGGCTCCGTGGCGGTCAGGCCGAAACCGGAAAAGAATCAAAATCAATTCCGAAAAGACATCGTTTCTATGCCTCCCAGTGCGTTCGACGACAAACCTTTGGGCAAGCCCAAGCAGGTACGATAAACTCGTGAAATAAATTTAATTTTTTATCATCGCATGGGCTCGTTCATGACATGATCTTTGATTTTTATGAAATCATAAAATGTGCTACCGTCAAAAATATCTAGCGAGAAACTATCGAGGCTTTCTTTTTGCCAAACTAAGAAATGGTAAAGGTGCGATTTTCCATCTTTCACGAGCATGAAAAAGAGAAAAGAGATTATGCTATTTGCGCTGGGAATATTACGCCCTTTCAGACGATGATTTACTGTTTGCTTTAGTTGTCTAATGACATGGTGCGTGCGAAACCTCAGGGGCCGGGAAGAAGACGACCAAAGACGAAGCTAATTGAAGACAAAAACATATCCGAGTTTCCAGAAGAGATAGAAATGGTTCTCTTTCAACCCTCGACCACAACAATTCAAGCTTGTTTTAGGATCCAGAATCAGAGGAAGAAACAAGTAGTAAAGCACCCAGTTCGAGTGCCAAAACTGACGTGAAATCCCCTATCGCTGGTGGTGTCGCGATCATCCCCAACATGGGCTCGCTTCTCAAGAATCCAAAATTCAGAAACGAAAACTCAAAAACAACTGCAATCAGCAAACAGGAACCAGTACCAGAGACGGACAAACCGAAAAATGCAAGCATCGACTTTAGAAATAATTTGAGAAAAGTCCCGCCAAAATCAAACTCATTCAAAGCAGGTAAGTCGCAGTTCACAAAAAAAAGTGGAATAATTTTTTATTCGACAAAATTTGGTTACTTTGAATTTCAATTTTATTCAATACCGCGCAAAAGCGGATCATATAGCTGTCAGCTAATCCGTCTAAGTCTCCACTGTCGGCGGCCCAATCACTCGAATTAGCCACTGGAGTGCTTATTTCGCCGCGTCAGACCCTCTCCATTAATTTTATGATCTTAGTGCGCAGAGAATATCTGCTACTTTTATTTCTCGTTTCTCAGTAAACGAAAACAAAAGTATTTAACTATTTTGGCAAATGCCAAGGAGAAACGGGACCGTGCGTGGCTTGGCCGCGGCTTTTGAGAATGGACAAGTTCAAAATACTAATGAAAGTAATGAACAAGAAAACAACGATTGTAATTGAAAAACGAAGGCTCCGGGATGGTTTTGTTTACTGAATTTTCAGATCGACCGATTCCGCAGGAAGCAGAGAAAACGATTCCTGAGTGGCAGCTGCGAGCGGAAGAGCGCAAGAAACGATTTACCGAGCACTATGGCGATGGCGACCCTCTAGCTCAAGAACCAAAACCGGTAGTAAAGAACGAGCCACCGCCGGTGCCTGATCATCAGAATCGGACGAATGAGCGGCTTGAAAGCCCCCCGCCTGCCCGACCAGTAAAGGTAAATTACAAGTCGGTAACCAAGGAATGTTATTTAATTCTAGCCGGCTCAGCCAGTGGCGTCAAAACGACCACCAAGTGTCCGAAAAGATCCTGTCGCCCAAGTTAGAGTGAAAGAAGAGCCTGAAATGTATTGCGAGCCGCCTGCGCAGCATGAAGAACCGACAATGGCAGATTTGCTGCGCGAGATCAAGAGTCTGAAGATGAACGTCGAGAAGCTTTCGAAAAGGGTTGACGAAGAGTCTGCCGCGCGTAAACTGCTTGAAGCGAAGATCCGCTCGCTCGAGAACTGATCTTGACCGGTGGTCGGCACTTGCATTCCGTTGTATTCTCTATCTAAGCGTTCTATCTTCCTATTTCAATTCTGGAAACAAAAATACTTAAAATATTCTGAGTTCACCGTTCCTTCACATTCAGCTTCGCTCTTCATCCTTTCGGATTTTAAATTTGTATAAAAGAAATAAACAATTTAAAGAAAATCATTCAAAACATGTCTTTAAATATTCCTTCTTGTCTGGTAGACATCGCCTGCTCGGAAGAGGATTGGCTTAACCGCATGGGACAGAAGGTGTATTCCACTGCACTTAAGGACTTTTTAGCTAAATAACTTCCGAACGAATTGTCCAAATTAGATGAAAATTAAAATGGTTGTTCTTTTACTTTATTGGAGCATGTATGCCAAGTTTCAAGGAATTATCGGATACCGACCGCCCTCTGCACCGGATTATATGCGGCCTAATTGCCTAATGTGTTTGCACATTGAAACCGAACCAATATCAAGAATTTCTTGTACTAAAAGAACTTTTATATGTTTTCGATACTGCTGATTTCAAATATTGACTTTACTATGTCGAGAAATCTAAGTAAGAGATATTTTTTTAATTCACCCATATAAAAATGGGATTTTTTCTGCAATAAGGAAAAGAGATATGAAAATTTTGAAAGCAGATTTGAAATCTACACCCCGAAATTAGTATTGGGTGTAATTTTCAAGTTTATCCAATCAGTAGTTTTCTTAAGTGCAGTGGAATACACCTTCTGTCCGAGCGCCTCTATCCCCCGATCTGTCCCATGCGGTTAAACAACACCCTTGCATTTCTCGATTGCAACAATCATCAGGGCATTTTAAAATTAGTCTGATTGTTGTTTATTTGCATCTGATTCAATTTATTGCGAAGAAACTTGTATTTTTAATGTGCAATTCAAAAAAGTATTTCCCTATCTTTATTACTTTTACTCAGCATGCGCTCTGCTACACTTCTATAATTCTATTTTAACACCCTTATCCAGCATATTGCCTCAACTTAAACTTATTAGATGCATGCTTATTCATTTAATCAGAACAAAGAAAATTTTCCGTGCCATGATTTGAAATAAAAAGAAAACTTGCTTCAGCTCTTCTCTTGAATCTCCTACTTTCTTTATTGATCTTCTTACATGTCTTTTTTCATCCCTTCACCCCGCTCGCTGTTTTTCTTCTGATCAAAAAATTACTGAACTTATCAATTGCTTTTTGCTTCTTACTTTTCTTATGTGTAAACTTAAAACTTTAAAACTCCGCTTGGAATAATTCAAAAATCATTCTGAATATGCCTAAATATGACCTGAAATCAACAAAGACTAACTTGCTGCTTCAGAAAATTGATGTCGTCGAACGAACAACAGACCTCAATCAAAGATGACTACAACCCTGAATCCGATTATGATGTAAACTGCGAATCGATTTCTAATATCCCCCACAACCCTTTTTTCTAGTCAGCAGATTCGGCAGACGACGAAGAAATGGACCGAGACGAATTGACGAAAGAAGAAATCGAAGATGAGAAGAACGATCTTCTCAACGAGGCCGACATTCCCCTTGAAGAGCTTATGAGAATGTATCAAATGCCACAGGGGGATGACGAGCAAGAAAATAAAGAAGAGGTAGGAAGATAATTTATCGTCCTCGTTGAAGCTATTCTGATTAACAAAATCGCTTATTTGAACTTGAATTTAAAGGTGAAAGACGATGCCGGTGAATCATCAGAGGCGGGATTGAACCGCTCTGCGCTGACTACTATCATGAATACGTCATCTCTGGATGACGGGACCGACGAGGAAGACGCAGACTACCAGCCACGTATTAAAATGAACAGTAACAAGCACATTTACAAAGAGCCCAGGATTGGAGAGCAGTACCAAGTCAGCCCGGCAAATATTCCAGAGGTATTGTTTGATATCATTTCTATCAAAAAATATCATCTTCAGGTGCTTAAAGCTGACGATAGCGCGAAAGAAGAAACTTTAACTTTGGAGACGACCCTCTGGAAGCCCAGTGAAGAGGATCCTCTCACTTTCTATAGAACGCTTCAAAATTCCAAGAAGCGAAAGCGAAAAGTAATCTTGTTTCTCCCAGCAGAAGTTATCAGCTGTTCAGGAGCCCTCAACCGAGCGCTTATCGGCCAATCATGAGCGCCCGCCACCAAGCCCGTTTTCCGACAACGAAGAAGCGCTTTTCGACTTTTTCTGTACGAACTACAAGATTCCGCTGGCCGTCAAACGAGTCCAGCATCGCCAGAGCCAACGGAACCCGCGACATCAGAAATGGACGGGTAGAAACTATTTAAATTCAAGTGCCAATTTTTATTTAGCCGAAGAAAAAGCTGCTTTCGAAGTAGGAGTTGCAACGAAAGGCAAAAACTTCTTCAAGATCCGCGAAGAGTACCTTCCAAAGAAGGACGTGAAAGACCTTGTCCTTCATTACTACTTCGTAAGTCATCTTTCTCTCGAATCTTTTCGGAAATCTTATTAGTGGAAGAAAAGCGCTAACTACGACACCTTCTCTGCCAAAACGAGATCGAAGCGCAACGGAAACTCCACCAACTACATGGAGAAGCTCATCGAAGAGCTAGAAACCAAACGACCCAGACGAAACGGCCCAAGAGCGCCTGAAGAGCCGTATTTCTTCTAAGCCTTGACCTGTAAAACCAACATTTCAGATCATCAAACACTAACGGTCACGCAAAGACTGAAACAAACGCTGCGCAAAGTGAATCCACCGCTCCAACTTCCAACAAGGTGATGACTCTCCAGCTGAACGGTGACACTTGGAGCGTCAGCGAAGATTAGGCAAATTAAATATAACGAGATTAAAAAACGCTTTCCTTGCAAACTGCACTTTCTCAGCACCATTATTCATTTATCTGCGATTCGTTCTCGTTCCTTTATCTCCTCCCTGTTCAGCAAGACCCTGCCGGATCGGCTTATTCTTGCCGGCCTGGTGGGGTCCTTTTTCATTTATCTACGAATTTTCTACATGTTCTCTGAGTTGAATAAGAGCTTTGCGCTGTCAAATTTTTCTAAAAGAAAACCATTCCAGAATTGAAAGATGGTGAAGAAAACTGGCAAGCCAGGAAACTCGACTCGTGCGAAAGCGCTTGTTTCCATGGCCCAGCAAGCGTCGCAAAAGTATCTCGAGGAAATCGACGTCAACATGGGAGATGGCTACTCGCTCGTTTACGAAAAACCTTCGGAGGAGTCAATTAACTACGCTTTCGAACTTACAAAGCAAAACATGCAGGAGCTCTACGAACAGGCACCCGAGTGGGGCTGGCATGGTGAGTTTTTTTTACCAACGGTACAGAATCTGTTACTACAGTGATGGAATAAGTATCACTATGTGATGGAGTAAGACCGCCAAAATAGGCATTCATTTTATTAAAAATCAGCTACCAGTTGGACCATGTGTTGTTCCAGCTTATAGTAAAGGAAAAACAGCAGCAGCAGATAACACAATCGCTTCTTGAATTCGATTCCGATACAAATACATTCTCATATCGTGAGCTTTCTTCTGTAGTAGCGATTTCACTGCTGTTCTCAAAATCAATTGTATCGTACGTTCGCCAAACCTACAAAAATAATTTAGTTCCAAATTCTCATTCAACAACTTACTCGCATCAGTTTCAGGGACATTTTTGGTTCTCTTATCATTATTTTCTAAAAATACTAGACCTATTCTTTGACTAAGTAAATAAGAGTCTTTTTTCGGTCCTCGATATCCAATATGGCCAGCAAGATTGTTACGTCAAAGAACTTATAAGCCCATATATTGATGATCATCCTCTTATGAATCTGAGTATATTTTCAGACGACGAGAAAATGAAAGAAATTAAAAGCGCGAAGCAGCATACGCTGTTTGTTCATCACGAAGGTCAACGCCGTGGAATCTGTTGCCTTCGCTGGCTCACCGAAAACAATGAGCCCGTGCTTTACCTGTACGAAATTCAGCTTGAAGCATCTGCCTGTCGCTTTGGCCTTGGGTAAGCGCACAACCTTAGTTGCGCTTTTGAAATATCTTTTTATTCTCAAGGACGAAAATCATGACATTGGTCGAGAAGTTGGCGAGCAAATCACGAATGCAAAAAGTCGTGTTGACAGTTTTGATAAATAATGTCGCCGCTGTCGAGTTTTATAGAAAACTCAATTACACGAATAATGAAAAGTTGGACAAGACCTTCAGGACTCGGATTTGCTTTCTGACGATTTTAATCAAAATCAGGCCAATGTAAATCCGAACGAACAGCTACAGAATTCTGTCAAAGAAAATCAAGCCAGATGGCGACGTAGAGCTGAAATACCAAGCCTAGAAAAGACGTAGAAATCATGCGTTTAGTTTCTTATAGAATTTTCCTTTATCTCAAACTGCCTTACTGTAACTGCATCAAACATGTCTCCTCGAGGGAGCCAGAAACAAGTTTATCCTTGAAATTTTAAAGTTTAGATGGAGCAGCGTACTCCAGTCGTGAAAGTAAACACGCAGAAAGAAGCGTTGGCAAGGGCGGAGGCGAGGTTGAATAACTTGCTAAGCGGACTTTCTGATGTAGGCCTATTTGAATTAGTTACCGATGACGGTAGCTTAATTTTGTGTAGGAACTGAATACAGCTCATGAGAAGTCAACTGTTTCTCAATCAGAAGGCTTCGGTAAATGTGCCAGATGCCAGCAAAGAATCGATAGTCTTGAAGAGGGATGCAGAGCTCTTGGAGAGACTTTCCACAACGCTTGTTTTCACTGCAACAGATGTGGAGATCAGCTCGTTCATAAACAGTTCGTCCACTCAAGTAATCATTAATGCAAAAGTATCGGCTTCTTATTTTTCGTATTCAGACAACAGAGTTTACTGCGAGGAATGTCACAACTCAATAGATGTTCTCTCGCATCCTCCCTCTTGCTCGAGCTGCTTGAAGCCGATCACGGATCGAATCTGCACAGCTTCGGGAAAGCGTTTCCACATTCCGTGCTTTGTCTGCTCAATTTGCAAATGCCCTCTCGCTGGGCAAGAGTTTCGACTTGGTCCTGGACCAGAATGGGAGGTAAGGAACTAACTTAAGACTTGCGTGTTGAAATAAACTCGTCATTTCAGCTCCTGTGCTTCAAAGACTGGTCGCTGCGCTATGCCCCACGATGTGGCGGTTGTACGAAGCCCATTCTGCCCAAGAATTCCAGCGACAAAATCGACTGTTACCAGATTCTCACTTCTGCTTCACAACAAACGCCTAACAGCTTTTATCATTTCCAGTGCATCAATTGAAAATAGAAAGTTCTTTACCGAAAAGTGCTACCAAAGAAGTCTTCAATTTACTATTGAGAAAATAATTTACAACAACTCGTTTCTATTATTATCTTCCTTAACCTCTTATTCTTCCAATTCTCGTTTCGACCACTTTTTCCTCTCCTGTTTGCCGTGAACTACCTTATGAGCCGTAAGTCTTCCAATAAATTATTTCCTAAATGGTTTATTTAAATCTAAAAAAACAGCGTTAAATATGTATGCAGCTCAAGAACAGTTTTCTGGTTGAATGTATATTTCCTCGTCAGCAGTCAGGCTTTGCAGGGTTTCTTTTACAGAAGAAAAGTCTTTCTGAAAGAGAATTTTTAAGGCGCTGAAATTTGAATTGACCTTGATTTTAGCCGGGCAGATTCTACTCTAATGTCAAACAGAGCTCCTTTCAGTGAGTTAGTTTCATAAAAGTCTTTGGAAGCTTCCAACTCGCGCTAGAATTCCAAATCTACGTCTTTAGCCCGATTTCGAGATAGATTACCTGCAGATTCTTGAGACGTCTCACGAATTCTTTGTCACTTTCTGATTGGGACGCGTCGTCGATTTTCTTCTCAATTTGTTTCTGAAATGGTTTAATTCAGAATGGCTTGAAGGAAGGACTCACGCTATCTTCGTCCAGTTTGATCAGGTCGTTCATCACTTCTGAAAAGGAAAAATGTTTAAAAAGTTTTCAATTTTTTTCTTGGAAACCTTGATAAGTGTTGGAGTAGAGCGTTTCCACGGAAAGTGAAGATGCTATGTCTGAAGCAAGATTTGTCTCGTGAGAGTCGGAGGATAGATAACGGAATTGAGCTCGAATCCCTTCTTTGAATTTATTGAGCTGGGATGTATCTGTTGTATCGGAATAGTTCTTAAGAAAATGTACCATAGAAAATAGAAGAATCCGTAGCTCTTACTTTTGCGCTTGTATGAGGAGCTTCAACATCATTCAACCTTTGGTATTTCTTCATTCTTTCATCCCTCTTGCTCGGCTTTTTCTTTTTCCATCGCCAGACGGCAATTCCAATAGCCATAAGAACAAGCCACACTCCAAAAGTTATCAAAGCTTTTGAATTTTGAAAAGTCCTATCAACAGGCTCGTCGTCATCCATTTTCTTGGAGTTATCTGCTGGTCGATATTTCATAGAGAGCACATAACAAACCGCATCTAGAAAATGGCCTTTGGTCGTAGAAAACGGATCGTTCTGCTGTCAGGACCAACTAATTCTGGTACTGAGCGCATGATTTACTAATATTCATCCTTTTTTAATAAGGCAAGACGACTTTGTCGAAGGAATTAGCGGAGAAGATCAAGAACTGTCTATTGGTTCACCAAGATCCTTTCTACCACCCTGATGAATTTATCTTTTCAAAAGGTCTTTCTTGGGATCACACTGAAGCGATCAATTGGAATGAGATCAGGAGAAAAGTCGAGTTTTCAGAAAAACAGCTGGTTATAATCGAAGGAACAATGGTTGTGGATGAACTGATAGGTCTTGGAAAGAAAGAACTTTTGAACGAAGAATGGAAAGTTCTTCCAGTTTGGCCAAGGGCTTCAAATTTATTCTTACCGCAACAATTGAGTTCATAAGCCCTTATTAAGCTTGATATTGAGAAAGAACTAGCTGAAAGTCGACGAAGTTCAAGGGCAGACTACGAAGTTGCTGATCCGCCGGGTTACTTTGAGAACGAAGTTTGGCCACTCTCCTGCAGGAAGAAAAAATTATGCGAAATTTCAAATATTGAAATCTTCGCTCAGAAAGATATTTTGCTATTGAAAAATTTAATCTGTCAATTTTTATCAGATCAAGACTCTTGATTTAAGAGCAATGAAAGTATCTTCCATGATTTCAACAAATTCGCGTTCATAATTGCCAAAATTTGTGCTTTCTCCAGTGGTCCTATGGTGTAATGGCTATCACTGTGGACTTTGAATCCACCAATCCGAGTTCGAATCTCGGTAGGACCTTCCTTTTTTCATCCCTTTCAAATTACCCTTTCTGCTCTCAGCATTGATTTTTACTTACCCCTCCCGTTAAAATATCACAAGTACTGATGATTCGCTTAGAATGGATGAGAACTCGTTGATTTTCGGACTCGAGAGCGCATCAAGAGAGCTCTGCCCTGTTGTTGGCGATGCGGATGTTGTCAGATTTCTAGGTACTGCTGGCGCTGTTTTAATTAGCTATTTATGTTCAGCTGTGACGCAAAATCCTACTGGAGGAAACTCCATTTCTTTACTCACGTTCGACGAAGACGACAATCAAGTAACGCGCTTTCAATTCATGACAAAAGCGGAGCACTGGAGAGTATCTTCCTGCCCTCAAGATGTTGCTAAGTTTGCCACAGTCTCGCAGGAGATTTCAAAGTCTGAAGATGGAAAGTACACAAGTGTGGCCAAAGCGAATGTGTTCATTCTAAACGAGGACATTTCGAATTTCAACGAACAAAGTCAGAAAGCCTTGGATCCAGCCCTGGTAATCATGTTGGCTTTGGTCGAAATTTATTCGAAATATTTAGCAATTCAAAGTCGATCATTTGGCGAATTTAACCTGGAAGCCGGAGGAAAGCTCGACTCAAGGACTCGCAATGGTGTCTAACACTAGCCTCTTCGTTCTGGAAGACCTTGAGCAAGAAAATCCGGAGCTCATCGCGAAAACAAGAGGAATGAATGGCCCTGTCGCCTGGGATCCGCACAATCCAAGCTCAGTCGTTGCCGGTAAATTCTATAGCACCTCGATGATGATGCTAATTTGCATTTTTATCAAGTACGCACTTGAGAATCAAATTCCCGAATCTTCCTTCCACAAGTTTTACATTCACACGATTAAAAAAATTTATTGAAAGGTTGAAGCGACTTGTAAATTTGTGTATTTCAGCTGCGGTCGGGCATTCCGCGCGCGCCTACGACGTGCGTTCCAAGGCGCTTGCCTGGGAAGTCGGCCACCGCTTCAACGTGCGCGATCTCGACTTCAACCCTAACAAGAGCTTCCAGCTGGCTTTGGGCAGAGTTTGAAATGCTCGCAAATGCTCGCGAGCGCAAAGAGCGAGAGCGAAAATATATTATTGCTCTGAGAGCAGGGGAGCGGGAGCATGAAAATGAATATGCTCGAGAGCCAAAAGAGCGAGAGCCCAAATTTGAAATTTCAAACTCTGGCTTTGGGAGCGGACGATGGTGGAGTCAAGTTCTACGACACCAGAAAAGCGGCGAACCCGGTCAAGACGATACAGGGAGTTCATACTCACTGGACTTGGCAGGTAACTATCATTTCTCTTTTCAATGCCATTTTCCAGGAAAAATTTACTCGAATAAGGTCAAATTCAATCCTGTTCACGATCAATTGTTCCTCACATCTGGCGGTGACGGTTCTGTTTACCTTCATTCGATTACTTCTATTTCTTCTGAACCATTCGGTTCGATGATTGAAGAAGAGTCGACTAAAAAGATAGACGATGGAGTCATTCTCAAATTCGACGAACATGAAGGTATCTATGCTGAATAAAATATTTCCTTGAGTTTTTCGTTAGATGCTGTTTATTCCTGCCAATGGTCGACCGCAAATCCATGGCTATTCGCCTCGCTTTCGCACGATGGAAGAATGGTCATAAATCAAGTCCCGAAATCAGTAAAATACGATATTTTACTGTAACCCTTTTCTTCAAACTAAAAAACTTCTTGTTACATCAATATATGTGCAATATTCATAATTGAAAATATCTTCAGCTCTCCTACTCTCCAATTTGAGCTGAGAATCTATGATTTTATGCAGGGCAAATCAAGTTTCTAATCTCGCAAGACACGTTGATTTTCTTTCATTTTCAAGGTCAGCGCTCGGCGCCGCGTAATAAACCCTTGATATTTGGGTTTTCTGGAGCGCATGTGGCTTTCATGGTTTTTGATTATTCTTCACCAAGCACTCAAGGCGCGACAAGTGCTCCACCATCTCAGCTTCAACATGTGCCGCTCCGGTAATTCTAGCGCCAAGTGCGAAGCACTGCCTCTACCCATAGAAACATCTTTATACCATTCAATTAATCTATACTGGACAACTCCTTACTACTCAACAACCGCAATTTATCTAAGCTAAACTGACCAATGCAAAAGAAGGACACAAGACAATTTTGATGGGAAATTGATTTTATTCAGGATAACAAGCCAGGTTTTACCGACTTTTGTCACGATAACTTTCTTCTTCTTTTTCCCCTTTGCTCTTCGGAAGAAGAAATCGTAGAACTGAAATGAAATAATTTTGAATTGAAAGAAAACGCATTTTCTTACCTTTTTGTGGCCTTTTCGGACCGAGGAAATCCTCAGACTGACTGAATCTCGGTGCAGAAGCCCTGATAACAACAGTTTATCTAGAGAAATTCGACGGAAATTTTAAAATAAACAGCGCCCACCTCGGGAGGTACTAGAATCGCTGATAACAACAACAACATATTCTCGAATGCAGTTTGATTTCTTTTATCTTTTCCAGGATTGAGAATCGGCTAGTCAGTGTTTGATGATATTCCTGACAAAGGGTTGGCCCTCTTGTCAAAGCACTGCGCCCTACTCATGATGATCAGCGAGCTCAATAGCGCCCTCCAGCTCGGCATGCTCCTCCACCAACCACATTCTTCGGCAGACGCTGCTAAAGCAGAGAAAATTAAAACTAAATTAAATAATTAAAACTTTAATTATTCCCGCCGCCACAATAATGGAAAAAGCTTTTTACGATCATTCAGGTAAAATTACAATTTCGCCTCGAAATGAAACGAAAATGAAAAAGAGAGCGCCCGACAAAATGCGAGAATTTGTTTCATTATTCAACACCTCCACCATGTAACAACACAAGAAGGAGTCAGTAGCCGCCTTCTCTCACACCATCTTGAGATTCACTTCAAAATTCAAGAGATAAAATTTTTCAAACATCAACGCGTTTTTGACTTACTACTGCAAATGTTCCCGAAGAGCTTATGAACTTTGAGAGTTGTTGAAAATAAACAGAAAATTTTGGCTTTATGTTTTGGTATTAATGTTAAATTATTTGTCTTTATAAAAATGGCCATAATAATAACCACTATCAGTGATAGTCTATCACCCTTCAAATCCAGCCTTGTGGTGCTCTCTTCGTATGAACTTCGTCCTACAGAAATACCAGCCTTATTAAACAAATTGAAATTAAGGTTGGAGCTCCGGTCCGAACCTTTGTGGACCCACCACTCCAGCTCTCTACCCTCCCGCGTACCAGCACCAAGCGCATCAGCTCTGTTCCAATTGTCAAAGTCCTTTTTACCCGCTTCATTTTGATGCGATCGACCGCCTTTGTCCCAGCTGTAGAACAGTCGACAAAGTCAGTTGGGAGTCTCCACTTGCCTCTGGATCCGTAACAACAAGTCTGCCGCTTTCGTTGACAACCGAGACAACAACGACAAATCACCAGATTGTCAACAATACCAACAGATCACCGATTGCTCCGACAGTAGCCTCAACAGCGACAGTGACCAGCTCGACATCAACAAGTCTTTCCTCAGAGATACCAAAGGATAGAGAATTAAACGTACAGTGCTTCGAATACAATGGAGAAATTTACGCGAAAGAGATTTGGAAGGCTCGACAAGAAGTTTTGTAAGTAAAAAATTGGTTGCGTAAATAAAGCTCAGCTGTTTTTCAACTCCAGCCTGGAGATCGTCTTAGTACACAGTATCCGTGCATAATTTGGGCGCTGCCAGAAATGTGGAGCAGAAGGCCGTGCTAGTACTGAGGCCCGTTGTTTTATGCCGGGCACGGTGTGATGTTTCTTGTAGTCTCCGCCTTTTTGACATCAATTGTTGAATTTTTTATCTTTTCTTTCTACCCCGGCCAAGAGAATTTTTTACTTTTTCTGGGAAGGAAAACTGGTGAATGAATTCAAAAATAATTCTTCTTTTTCAAATGATATTACAGAACTGAGATAAACGAGTTGCAATTTGCGTCCGGAATTTTTGTGATTTTTGCCAGGGCGTGAAGAAATTCTGTGGCGAGTGATACTCGGCGACCTTGGCGTGCCGCGCTGCTCTCGGAAGTGCCCTCGGAATTTGGCAGCTTCTGGCGCTAGAAAGAAAAACGCAGAAGGGGATAACTGCTCTACGGAATTTGGAAAATATAAATCCAAGGCGGAATTCGGTTCCCACCGAAGTAGACCGACTGGCGCGGCCGATGGGACACCGAGGCCCGCCCATTAGTCTGCTAACGACCATCAACCTTTATTAATTTTCAGCTCGTAGTGAATTTTCCGATGCAAGGGAATACGAGTTTACAGAATGCGTCTATTTTCAGAATGAAATTGTTTCCAGTTATTCAAAGTAACCCTGAAAAATTTCAGGGGCAGATGGATAGGCAAGCTTGAAAAATAATTCGAAGTAGATAATAATCATCTGGCTCCCTCTAGCCACCTGTTTTGATCGTCATATAAAGGCGATGATGCGCATAGAAAATAATATTTACAAATGTAACTCTTGAATTATTAGCTATGAGAATTCAAAGAAGATCTACGTTTTACAATATTATTTTATACATGAAAGGAAACTTTTTACGTGGTACAACTCAGTTGTAAATCACAAATTATGATAGGACTTTCACAGTGTTTTTATCGCAATTTATGTGTATAAAATGTATGCAAATTCTGTATTGTGTATCGGGTCTTCAAAGAAATGGAAAATATATTCTGTGTTTGAAATCGAATACATGTACATTTGATTCTTTCTTTCGTCATTTTAGTCCCGTTTATAACTTTTACGATTTCTATTTGAAATTAATCTCTAATGAATCTGGTATTTGAAATGCATGTCAACATGCACTTAGTTGAAAAATGCGCTTGAAAATTCCAAATCACACCTCAAGCTCCTCAAAAACGTCGGACGCTAAGTACTCTCTTAGGCTTTTCCATTTTCGGCTTGTGTTTGATAAACAACCGCCGGAATTGACTAATTAGCTGCGATTCATCCGTGCTCCTCTAGCTGCGATTCTAGCGCTTGTCCAACGTGTGAAAGTTGAGAGAGTGCTCGAGTTTTTAATGAAAAGAATTATTACAGATGTAACTTGCAATATTGGGCACTCGGCCATCTGGCCCTAGCTTTATGAAATGACGCTCCAAAAACACATAATCTCATTTCGCTGCTCATTTTCGTGAACCCTGCTCTTTCTTGTTAATCTGAAAGCAATACTCTTGCAATTTTCAAATAATTTATTCCGTATTTCTTAAGACAGTCGGTGCAATTCTCGTTCGGGCAATGAAATTAACGCAATATAACTTTAATAAATAAATCATAAAAGAGATATCCATAGAGTGGCCATCATCACTAGAAGAACCAAAACTAACAATATTTATTTTTTCATAAACCGTGAATGAATGTCTTTACCTTTATCGGGATCTTGCGAGAAAATATTGTTCTCTAAAATCATTTTTGATAAAAATACCTCTTTTAGTAAAAAGGGCATGATCCTAGCGCATGTTTCTATTTACCTTACCGTAATTTACCGTATTTGCATTGTAATTAATTTTGATAGGCAGGTCTCCAAGAGATTTTGCTCCTTGGTGAATCGGAATTTCCGAAGTTTCGAAAAATTCGCGGGGCCCTTGCGCATATTCGTGTATTGTGGGAATAGGCTCTTTGTCCTTTCTGAAGTCTTCACACGGCCGCAGAAAATGTCGACGGTACATTTTTTCGCCTAGAATTTACATAATTAAAAATCGCTCTAGAACAAAGCCTCGTTATCCCTATTGTGCCCCAGTCTTTCAGCAAAAAAGGGAGTACTTGGACGAGCGTGGGACTCAATAATCCCGTCACTCTAGCACTCGAAGCGCGACAAGTTTCGCAAAAAGTCATTTGAATCTTGAAAAAACGGAAAAGCGCCTTTCAAACGGGAAATTTTAATTAACACCCAAAGTGACACTTTCGCACGCAAAGAAACTTTTATTCATGAAAACAAATGGCCTTCAAGTTAACCCATGAGCGTATTCTGACCAATCATTCAGACACGAAGTCCCTTCGGCTGATTCCAAACCACTTACCTCCCCTCCTCCAACGCCGTCTTCGACCTTCGAAAAACCCAGTCTAAGTGGCGATTGTTCAGTTCCAGAAGCTCCATCTGGTGTGTTGAAAGAATCGTTTTCCTCTCTAAAAGCCGATAGAATTTCTACGTATTCTGCTCCCAGCAGCAATCCGTATCCTAGCTCTAAAATTCAAGATTCAACCAGGTAAACCACTTATTGAAATTTGAAATTTTAATAACGTTTAGCGACGATGGAAATCTAGTGATCGACGACGACCAAAATGGAAAACCAAAACGTCCGCGGACAATTCTTACAACTGAGCAAAGGTAAACCATAACTCTAACCCTAGCCCTAACACTAAACCCTTTTCAGGAAAAAATTCAAAGCTTACTTTGATTCTGGAGGCGAAAAGCCATCACGAAAAATACGCGAAAAATTGGCAGCAGAAACTGGTCTGACGGCGAGAGTTGTTCAAGTTTGGTTTCAAAATCAACGCGCTAAGGTACTTTCTTCAAAAATATTATTTATCAAGAATATTGTAGAAAAAGAAAATGGCAAAGAAAGAGCAATCTGTGGAGCTAGGACACGGGTTGATGGATCCACGGCGAGATTTTTATGGATACTCAGCTGGTATTCCATCTGGCTTTGACTCTTATTACTCTGCTGATTTCCAAGCTCAGGTTATCAATCTCAACTTGACATTTATAACGCTTGCTTCTTAGGTAGCCGCAACAGCAGCCGTCGTCGGAGCATCACCTCAATTTCACGGAAGTTCTTATCCCTCAGCTTTCCCATCAGCATATCCGGTCTGAAAAAAATTCTCAATTCAATCGTTAAAATGAATTAAGCCATCTCCTTATGGGATTCATCAACCATCACTCCCTCATCATTCGCCTTTTTCACACCTTCCAGAGCCCCCTACGACGGTAAAAATATCATTCTCTTCCTTGATTTCATCATGATTCTTCAGGGTCTTCAATCTTCTGCCTTTACATCGCCGCCTACCTTTGGGTATTCCAGCAGCACGCCTTCAATTTCCTCACCGAGTTTTCCAACATTCGTACCATCTTCCGTTAATTCATTGTCTTCCGTCAGTTTCAACCATGAGTTGCCTCCTCATCCTGAACCACAGCCTGTCGTTTCAAGCCCCACAGAGGCAAAATTACCAATCAAAAATGAAGAAATTCTCGATCCGTCTACACTGCAATCATAGTTCTACCTTTTTATTCATTAAAATATACATTGAAATTCGAAATTATGACAACAGAATGTTCTTTTATTAAATAAATCGCATCAGCTTCTACAAATGACAAACAGAAATACGCTTCGAAGCCAACTGAGACAAATCCGGATCTGAAATTGATTCACTCATGCTTTCATTGTCGAGCTTTCTTCCCAATATTTTTAAATAATTCCTCTTATAAAATAAAGATAAAAATATTTTGAGACCTTTTCCTTTTCCTTTGAATACAGCACAGGATAAAAATCATCACTCCAAGTGCAATTATAGCTTGCAAGACCGATTTTTATGTTTGTCTTTCCGAACTCTTATATTTCAAGCCTTCCGTAGTAACATAATAAGTGAAGCTACGCATACCAAAATATTCTCTGTTGGGGAGACCATTAAAAATCAGTATAAAGAATGAAAGTGATCCCTGGTCGATCCTTTCCAAAGACTTTAATGTCCAAATACATAGAGCAGTTCTGATTATGTCTGAGTAAAGACATCAGAAGCTTGTCAGCTTTCGTCTTTAATAAAAAGCGAGCTGGCTTTCTGAGACAATAGTAGTTCTGCTGCGTGGCTTTATTTTTTAGCACTAGCAATAAAGTTATATGGACTTTATGGTAATCTGTCTTGGTGCCACGAATAAATTTTATCTCACAAATTGAAATGGGCAATAAATTAAGGTTATCTCTTGTTTTAGGAATTTGTTTGAAAATAAGTGATTTGTAAAACTAAGAAATAAAATGCGGTCTTATTCTGAAATTTATCGTAAAAGGGTCGTTAAAAATCAGCAAGCAAGTTGGCGAAACTATTAAAATTTACACTGAAAGATAATATCGGCTAAACGATGGCGCTATACACCGCATTATCGTCGTAATTATTTTCTTCAAAAGCACGCGAAGAAGCAAAGATTTTGAATTTCGCAGAGATTCATCAAGGTTAGTTTATTTTCATTCTTCTGAAAAGGGAAAATTCATAAAGAGCTCAACATGGATCAAGTCGTCAAGCTTCGAAAAGCTTCCGAAGATCGAACCGACTTCGAGGACAACCAGTTTGATCTTGATGATCGCGAGCATCGGGCGACTGTCGAACGAACTTTTCGATTGAGCAGCCATCAGTCTATCACTAAAGACATGGTGTCTTTCATAGTCGATGGATCTCAATCCTCAGACATCAACCAAGGGGGTCTTGGAGATTGTTGGTTCCTAGCAGCTCTTTCGTGTATTGCCACAAAGGATCAGCCAGGAACTGAAGTTGCGAAAATCAAGGAAGATACAATTGAAACGGTCTTGCAAGTACGAATTCATATTTTGTTTACTAGCGCGTTATTTTGAATCAAAGATTTCATTACTTGACAGCTTATAATAAATCTCAGGTCGGCTTCAATAAAACAATGATGGCCGAAGGCACCGGAGGATTTAAATTCAAATTTTTCCGAATGGGCGAATGGGTCGATGTCGTTATTGACGACAAGCTGCCACTGAGAAAACGAGCTCGGCCATCTGATTCTGGCGAATGGTGGGTGCCTCTCACGGAGAAGGCATATGCTAAGTTCAATGGAGGCTACGAAAAAATCCAGGGAGGGCAGACGGGTCGAGCAATGACAGATCTCAGCGGTGGAATAGCTGTGGATATGAACGACTTCGAGTACGGCCTTGGAGTCAATGAGAATAACACCATCAACGGAATCAATTTGGTTGATCTTCTCAAGAAAATCCAACGAAACGCGCTCATCTGCACATCAAACAGAGACGGAGCCGGAAACGAGCAGATTAGAAAGGGTCTTGTTTCTGGTCATGCTTACTCACTTTTGGCCGTCGACACAATGACGTTGTCCGATGGAAGCAAAAAAGACATGGTCAAGATTCGAAATCCATGGGGACAAACAGAGTGGACAGGGGATTGGAGCGATAAAGACTCCGCTAACTGGAGCCGGTATGTACATAATTTATGACATGAATCATATTAATCTCATAATCGTTGTTATACGGTATATGATATACCGTATATCAGGCTAATAAAAACCAACCTGATTGACTTTTAAAATATTTTACGGCCGTTTACATGGTTGTTTTTAACAACAATCAAGTGTTCCCGCTGAAGAAAAGAAGCGCTTGAAAATGGATGAGGCCACAAATGATGGTGCGTTTTGGATGGCTCTTCGGGACTGGGTTGACGAGTTTGAAAATCTCGCCATCTGCGCACTTCCAGGCTTGGATGTCAACGATCCGGATGGAATCATTTCAGAGGAGTGCGGTTTGGATAACATAATCGTTGATGCTAATTGGTTTTTAGAGAAATGAGGAACCGAGATCATCGAGTCAAAGGAACATTCCGACCTGGGAAAAATGCCCCACTTAACACCGGCCATCTATGCCAGACTTTCCGAAACCCAGTTTTCTCCACACAAGTCGAGCTGACTGTCGATGCATACGGCGGAACGGATAGCCGTTTAGTCTGGCTCCAGGTGAGGCGATTTTATTGGCCGATCATCAATGCTGACAATGGATGACCTCGAAATAGCTAATAACTTATTTTTATAGGTACTTACTGACACGCCCTTGAAAGAGAACCGACTGCTGATGGTGAACTTTTGGGCTAAACGAAATGACGATTCTGAGTTCGACGGCCCGCAGACTTCAAGAAACTTCAGAAGGTTCAAAAAGATAGAACCAGTTATTCCAGCTTCACCTGGTTACAACATTTCCGTCTACCAGCACAACGGCTTCTTACTCAACCTCAATCCTGGCAAATACCTCATTGTGAGTTAGGCTGACAGTTTTAAAGAGTAAATATTTTGAGACCTTATCCTCATGCATGCAACAAAACTGCACCGACCCAGCTGACTTCATGGTCCGAGCGATGGGAGCAAACCTCAAACTTCGTCCCCTTACTTCGATGTAGAAAATGAAACTGACTTCTGTTCTGTCATGAAAATGACAGATTTCCTGAATATTTGACTTTCATGTTCTCTTCTGACATTTTTTCTTACGCTAGTTAATCTTTCATGTTAAACTTGCTCTGTCATAATATATCGATCCTTCCAGACAAGAATAAAACTCATGCTCTTTTGATAATGCCATTTGCTACAGATCAAGTCTTCTCTTGGAATCTAATTCGGCGAAGAGTAGTAGAGAGCCGAAAAAGGAGCAGATAATTGGCATGGACGTGCCAGTTACCCAATTTTGATTTTCTGATTCAAAACGAAACTTGTTAGAGAGACCACGATGGAAGGAATCAATGCAACGAAAGAATCTCTGTTGAAATTAACCGATATTTTTGATGACATAGAAGATTCTTTAGAGGATAATGTGAGAATGGACGTAAATTCTTTGACTGAACTTTTTTTAGAAAGAATACAGGCAGATATATTTATGGCAGCCGGTCATTAAAACGATAATTTGCACGCTTGCGATTTGTCTGAATTCTATCGCACTGTATAAACTTGCAGGGAATCGAGACTGTCACAGGCGGACACATACTCTTTTACCGTTTAACCTTGCTCTGTGTGACTTGCTTATGGCGTTGGTGTTACCGCTTGAAATCTACTCGACCTTCAATGGCGAAAGCTTTAAATCCATGGATGATGGTGCGAACGGTAGAGCTTGTTAAAATACTGAAGAAAGAAACTTCAATCTTTTTTGAATATTCATCAAGCTCGAAGGGGTTTTATGCCGCGCTCAAGTAGGCATCCGTTCGATAAACATGTTTGTTTCGGTCTTTATTCTGACATATCTTGCATTCGACAGATATCTAACCGTTGTCCAATCCAAAACCGCGAGAATCTTCAGAAAGACGGTCGAATTCAGCCACAGTCAAATATCGGTACTGTCGTGCAGTATGTTATTTTAGTATGTGTTATAGATAGTCGCGGTCATTTGGTGCGCTGGAATACTTATTGCAATTGAACCGATCCGAAGAGCGAAAACCAGCGCATATGGAACTTGTGGAATAGATTGGGGCGACACAGAAGAGTGTTATGTAACAGTGCAAAATGGAACTGGGTTTATCGAAAAACAGACGAAGATACCCTTAAGAAATGTTGGATTCTGCGCTTGTGACATGTCTCGCTCACACAAGATCTTTCAAGTTGTCGCCTTTGTTTGTTCATTTTTATGTCCGTTAATTATCATTCTTTCATCGTACTTCTCGATTGTTAACGAAGTACGAAAAACAGAGAAGAACGCATACCGCCCACAAATCGACAATCAGCGGTAACCATTAATTAGTCGAATGCCAAGTCAATCATTTAAAAGATTCCTCGATCTTCAATTTCAATCTGTCGATTCTTTGAACGCCAAAAAGTCCGCAGGGGTTAAATGGAAGGTAAAACGAGACAAAACTGTATCTCATAAAATAACCTTTGGAAATGAGCCTCATTGTAAATGCCAACGAGATGTCAAAGTGTTTATGATTTTGGGCAAAAGATAGAGCGGCTGGGTCATAAAAACTTTTCAGAAGACTATTCGCGTTTCTTTGATTTGCTTGTCTCTTATTCTTGGATTCGTTTGCTGCTGGACCCCCTACCATCTAAATTATATTATTCTCATTTTTTTCAACGGTATTGATAAATTACCATCGATTTTAAATGAAAAATATTCCCAAATTTCAGATTCAGCTTGGACCATCAGAACCTGCTCGTCTTTCAACAAAATATACAACTTTTTGATCTGGTCAATGCGCATAACGAACCCCCTTTTATACTGTTTCCTCCAAATGATGCTCAAAGACAACTCAATTGCCCAAACAAGGAGAAAAATCTCTACTGCTTTTAGGTCTGTTCTATTTGTTGACATGCTCATTCGAAAATGAATTCTCCAGAAAAGCTGCCGCTTGCACAGAAACGTCTGGAGAAACGCCTGTTACACTTGAAAACAAAGCTGTCGATTCTCAATAAGTTCAAATATAGATTTATTCATCGTCAGAGTCAAATGTATTTAATTATGCTGAAGAGTTCAGAGGTCGTAGGTCAATGTTAGATCCCATTGTTCTCAACATGAATTTGACAGGTTTATTGGATTCGCCGGGGAGAGCAGTGCAAGCCATCTGAAAGAACGGTTAAAGTTTTGAAAAGGCTTTCGATCTTACAATAAGATATCTTCCAAGAGGGAGATTAAGCAAGAATCCGTTGTGCTTGTAGTGGTCGACAACGTAGCCCTTTTGAGTTGGAAGAATTGGGTCGATCTTCTTCATCTTTCGAAGCTGTCGCTTAGTCACGGGGCCGTCAAATGGCTCATCATCGTTCTTTTTGTAGATATTAACCATAACGTAGCGGGTCTCTTTGAGTGGGGAATCGATAAGGAACTGGAAAGAGTTAACATTAATATTATTTAGAAAAAATGCACCTGGAGCCAGACAAGTCGGGTAGTTTCCTTGATGTAAAGATTGACGTTCATTTCGACTTGGATATTGTAGTTGTAATCCAAGAAGACTTTCTGGAGATGATTGACATCTAATTTCTCGATAATATATTTAATCAAATTTTTATCAACCTTGTGGAGCATTAACTCCCGGAGTGAAAGTTCCAATAACGCGAGTATCTCGCTCATTTTTCTCTCTAAAACATCGTAAGACCAGATAAATGATTTTAACTAACTCTTCCGTGAAGTGACCGTCTTCGTCTTCAAGGTCCATTCCAGGGAGCGCGCAGATGGTCAGAACCTCAAACTCATCGACCCAGTCCTTGAATGTCATCCAGAAAGACCCGTCATCTTTGTCTTCGATATCGAGTGCTTTCTTTTGCTCGTCGCTCACTCTGACAAAATTCATGAAATTCTAAAACCCACAAATGTTCGAAACCTGTCCCAATTAGCGGTATCTTTGTCGCTCCAGTCACCATCCCATTCTGTCTTGCCCCATGGATTTCGAAGTCTGACCATGTCCAATTTCGTTCCATCCTTGAGTGTCATCGTTTCAACGGACAAGAGCGCGTAAGCATGACCAGAAATCAAACCCTTGTTAATCTCCTCATTTCCTCCTTCATCGATGTTTGAAGTGCAAATGAGAGCGTTCCTCTGGATTGTTTGCAGAAGCTTGACCAAGTTGATTCCTTGAATAGTATTGTCGTCGTTGATGCCGATGCCGTATTCGAAATCCTTTCAAATGATAAAAATTGTCTGATTGACAAAAGAAAATTCTAAGAGTTTTTTCACGAAAAGTTATATTCGCATCATTTCCTGAAGCTCGACCGCAATGCCACCACTCAAGTCGGTGAGAGCCCAGCAAGTCTGCCCGCCAACGAGTTTTTTGTAGCCGCCATTAAACTTGGCGTAAGCCTTTTCGGTTAGAGGTACCCAGAACTCGTTGGTATCCGATTCGCTGGCTCGTCGGCGCTCAGGAAGGCGATCGTCAATGACGACGTCTACCCACTCCCCCATGCGGAAGAATTTAAATTTGTAGCCTCCAGATGCGGCTGCTGCGCTCGTGTCGTTGTGTCCGATCTTAAAAAGTATCGTTTTAAAAAGGTTAAAACATTTCCTTGCTTTTTCTTTTTATAGTCTTCCCAGCCTTCGAAGAGGAAAATAAAGTCGTTTCAGCTTCCCTAAGGATTTTGCAACAACCAAAGCTAATGTTAAACGACCCTCTTTGGCTTGATAATTACCTGTAAGACACTTTCGATCGTTTGTTTTTTCAAAATACCGACTTGGGTATTCGGTTGATCGTCAGCTGCGACAGTGGAAAGAGCCGAAAGGAACCAGCAATCTCCAAGTGATCCCTGACTGACATCGCATGAGCTAAAGCCATCGTCACTAACGAACACAACCGGCATGGATTTATCTTTGACATCGATCTCGCTAAGTCGAAGGACCTTCTTGACGGTTTTTAGGTGAACTTCGTCTTCGAGGTTGAACGCGTCATCGGAAAAACGCTGCCGCCTTCAGAGGCTTTTCGAAGTTTTTGAACATGAATTTCAGCCTCAGGCGCAATGTTATGGACAACAGTTGATTTCCCAAACTAAAATTGTTCTATTTTCCACGTTTTATCTGAATAAATACCTTTATTTCAGCCATGATAAACGTCTCTTAGAATGTCTTTATTCAAGACAAGAGTCCTCCTTTTATTTTCGACTGGAAAATACTTTCGACGGAAGAAGCAGTTGAATATACTGCCCTCTGTCTAATCTGAGTTCTTATTGCTCGCCACTATTTTTTTATGTTTCCAAGTAAATTTTATTGCTTGTCCTCGGCACGATTGATAAAGAACCTCTCTTCTAATGATGATGGTAAAAGTTGCTTACACAGAAAATGCTCATTACGAGGCGGAGTTCTTGAGCAGCTCAATAATTTTACGGCGTTTTTCCATTGTTCTTTTTTATGTTTGAAGTTATTGCATCCTAATCAGCAGAAAAAATAGTTACCCACAATCGATTTTTCTCGCCTTCAGATCGTTCCGTTCTAGCGGAAATTCAATTTTTTTTAAATTGATCGAATGGGCGGTATTTTCGTTCGCGAATCTAATAAAAATAGGTGCACCTGAGTTGTCAGAGGAAGATCTTTTTCATAGCCTTCATAAAGTTTTATGAAGTTTTTCGGCCGATAAATTAACAGCGTCGTCAGCAGGTTCGTAAATAATTTTGTTTTTCTTTTGATAAGTCCAAAACTGACAGGGTTCACTTTTCTTTCTCTGATTTATTATCAGTTTTTAAGCCAAAGAAAAACACATGTTGCTCTTAAAAATCTCCAGGGGATAAAATTCCAGTGAAAAAAGGTTCTTTTTGGCCAGCCATGTCTACCGAATTTTTATCACTGTTTCAATGATGTTTACTGAAGATCGATGTTTTACAAATGAAACCAATGATAGTACCATTATCAAAGCTCTCTCACGTTCCGCCAAGCAAACTTTTTCCTTTTCTAAATTTTTCTTGATAAATTCTGGTTAGAAGTTGAAGCTAAAGAAGTTTAAACTTTGCGTAATCTTCTGCTTATCTTAATCCTGCGGATGATGCTGAATTTTAGAGACGGACTGGTGACACGTTTCCTCATATCTTTATGAAATTATGTAGGTTAAGTCGCCTCTCGACTGCGTTTTTCGGACACTAAACGATAAGATAAATTGGCTTCTCAATTTATTTTTTATAATGGCTTAATCGGATATCAGAGCAGTAGAGTTCAATAGAGTTTGATAATTTGGGTTTTGTTGAATTTTTTCGGCAGTTTGGACAACTCTTTGGAGTCATTAGATCCAAACACTGGTGGCAGAATCGATGGCCACAGGTAAGAGTACATTCGTATCGTTCTTCTTTGTCGTATTTTTCCCAGCAAGCACCGCACTGAAACTTTTGTTCGAACTCATCATTCGTAACAATTTCTGAAAAAGAAGGTCACGTCGTTTTTGAGACTTCGCAACTTACTTATTCCGTCAACTTCCATCGCGGCCTCCTTGAATGCCTCTGTTGTAGCTTTTTTTATATTTCTCCCGAAAATTTGACAATGTCGACTTCAGGGTTCGGTAATTTGAGCTCACGCTAAAACTCAAGGAAACAAAGCTTGAGACTCACGTTTTTTAATTTGAGTTTTGAGAACTCAGAGATGAGAAATCAATTCTGGCGATCCATGAGCCAATCAAGGAAGCGCTCGCTTAATTTGAGTTTTGAAAACTCAAAACTCTCAAATCTCTCAAAAACTCAAAACTCCCAAAACTCTCAAATCTTCTCAAAATGATTTCTCAAGTCACTTTGAGTTCTCAATTTGAGGAAATTTGAGCGTCTAGTCAAAATGAGTTTTAGCTTGAGCTCAAATTACCGAACCCTGGTCGACTTCCTCTTTCAATCGAGCTACCACGATTTGAGCTTGACGATGTCTTTCAACAGCATCCGCCTCAACCTTCTTCCACGATTCGAAATAGCTTCCTACCACTTTCTGGTATTCAAGACTATCTTTAAAAAGGATAAGAGTAAAATGCAAAATAACATCTTAAAAGTATATCTTATCGCTTTCCTGAGGCGAGTTTTTTCTTTGCACCATCGCAGCATGTTCCCAAAAGAAAATCAGTAGCTGTCGCGTCGCAGCCACCGATTTCGCAGATGAATTTCGCTTCGCATTGATAGAAAGATGCTTGAACTCGACCATCATTTACATCATCCTGTTTACAAAGGTAGCAGAAGACGTTCTCTTCAACGCGGATCATGATTTCCGTAAAGTAACCACTATAAATTTATCGTAAAATTACGATCGTTGATCGCTGTTTTTACCAGTTGAGACATCCTCGATAGTTGTCATCAGTTCCCACAAATCGAGCATAAATCCGTTGCATTTTGCTCATTTAGCAAATTCTCTAAAAATCCTCAATTGACTTTTGATAAACCAGAAAAACGTACGATTTATTGCGAGCGCTTTCTTCGCGAAAGAACAATCTCGAAATATTTAGACAGAAAGGAAACTTTCGAATCACTAAGAAGACGGTTTCTTCCTCCATCTGCTTCCCTACGACCGCTAAGACGCGTATCTAACCGCTACCAATCGTGAATATCAGTACGCGTGGTCAAAACTTCAAGGGGAAGGCGAGCGCTAGAGAGCGCGCTATCGCGATCACGAACAGTCGACGCTTCAAAAACTTACTACAAAAGATCTAAAAACTTGTTGTGCTTTAGGCTTCTTTTAGAAATCAAAACAAATAATCAAAAAATGAAGATTTTTCACACTCTCGTTTTAGGTAGAAAGCTTTTTCCTTTTTCAGAACTTAATTATTATGTTCAGGGCTTGCCCAAGCAAACCAGAGATCAAAAGACTTTTGTATGAACACAATTGAGCTTCCATGCGCAGAGAACGAAAACTGTCCGAGATGGAAATGTCCGGAAGGAACAGGGCATGGAAAAACATGCGAGCAGTTTTGCTCAATAACGAACGCAGAAGCTGTTGGAATACGAACATGTGTATGTTATCGACAAAGTGGTCCTATAAGGAAAGGCTCTACTAGATGATTTTGTGTATAACTAAATCGCGAAAAATCACGTGTAAATGTTGATCGAAAATGCTCAATCCTCTCTCTCCGTCTTAGAAATACATATGTATATACATCTCGTCAAATATTTAGACGCACAAATTTTGATGAGTTCTTAATCGGCTTAACTGGCTACACCCTTCAAACATTTTCGTTGGTACTGATTTATTTCAAATTAATTACGAATCGCCGAGCCCTATCAAGACTGTTTATCGGATGCAGATGGGTCGAAAAAATTGATGAAACATGTCCTACTGTGGCTCCTCCTGAACCTGAGCCGAAGCCACTTTCAAATATTATCCGTCGCCGTCCAGTTTACTCAGCTTCGGTTGTCAGAAAATCATCCGCTCCAACAAGAGATGTCACAACGAACAATGTCAGTATCTTCCGAGCGATGGGAGTGCAAAAGCCAACACTTCATCCACCAACAACCAAAACTACTTCTACGACGACAGTGACACCGGAACACAATCAACGTGAAACGAAATATCCCTCAATGGCGTCGCTGGGCATTAAACTTGAAGATTTCAAGGTTAATCTGAAGTCTGCGGCTGGTAGTAATAATGAGAAGACATTCGGGAACCGATCAGAAGCTTATTCGAACTGCCCGTCTATTGACGAAGATTCCATTTGCGAAAATGAGTAAGTTCAAAGTTTGCGAGTTTAAATCAGCCAACCGCCAATCCTATTGAGTAATGATAACAGATCGGTGAGCTCCAACGCTGACAATTGAGTTAAAAGAATCGGATCATCAGAAAATCCGATGAGATAGGCATTCTCTTATTTTAGACCGGCAATGACCGTAGTCAAAATCCGCAGAACCGTAAATCCGGTGACCGGATAGTTCCACGCGCTTATCGTGCCCTAGATTGACACGGGATCAGAGAAGAACGTGCTCAGGATTCAATGAATAAACATTTTCTGACCTTGATAAGATAATTGCTTATTATGCAAAGTCTGGAATTCTCTACTATTGCGTGAAGCAGGGTCTTCGGAAGAATAGGTTTAAGGATATAAGCTATGAATTTGAACTTTCGTAGCGCCTAAATGCGAAGTAGGATCATTTTCACTTCAAAAGTAATCCTACCTAAAAATGGACGTAAAACTCAAATCTGGTATTTAAAAAAAAAATTTTATAGAAAATTTTCCTTTTAGAGCGTTTTGAAATCTTACGCTCTCGATTTCTCGAAATTTTTCCACTAAATCGGTCGAGTTTTTTCGATGAATAACTTGTCTTAACCCTTATCTACAAAATTGACGGATCAGTTTTCCCTAATTCCGACCGAAACCGATTTTAGAGCCATTTCCATGAGGCTTACCCAGCGCGTGAATAGTGTAAAAAGCGGCGCGATGGGCGCTCGCTCTCTCAACTCTTCTTTTCCGTGAGAGTGGCGCGGGTGCCCCGAGCGCTTTGATTGGTTGCACGCGAAAAAGCACAAAAAGAAGAAAAACTCGAGCAAGAAAGAGGAAAACGCTAGAATGAAAATTTGAGGGAGTTTTGAAATAAAAGCCCATCAATTTTCTAGCTTAACATCATCAAAATAAAAGACACGGTTTAGTTTTAGCGATTCAATGGAAAAAATTCGAGCAATCGAGAGCGTAAGATTTGAAATCGCTCTAGAGAGAAAATTTTCCATAAAATTTTTTTCAAAAACTCCAGATTTGAGTTCTACGTGCAATTTAAGGTAGGACTGCTTTTGAAATGAAAATGATCCTACGTCGCATTTAGGCGCTACGAAAGTTCAAATTCATAGCTTATATCCTTAAGTCGGATTGAAATCTAATATCTTTTGAATGCGATCGGTCAAATCTTTCTTTGCAAAGTTCGGATTAGAACTAAATCAAGTGGATAGTTCCGAAATGCGGTTTCGCGTTCACATAGGTCACATTTCTCAAGTTCTAACGCGACCTCGCCCAGGTGGCTAATCATGTATTCTAGCGGCTTCACTCTGCGCTGTCATGTCAACTGCAGAAACCGAAATAAGGTGAACAAATGCGTCTGCGTAAATGGCAACTGTAAATGGAGCTCGACATGTGGCATTTTGAATGGGAGAAGTAGAATTTCGCCGGAAAAGGAGACAGTTGATTCGATAAGGACCATAAAGATTCAAGGTATGGGGACATTGATTATTGCTTTAGAGACCCTAGCTGCACTCAATTTTGATAGACTCACACGTCATTTCATTTTTAGACGGTACATTTATCAACTTGAGAGACTTCATCGACTACATCTCGACTTGGGTAGAGAAATAAATAAGAATAATGAAATCTCTTCTGTATAAACATGTATTGTTATTAGTTCCTGCCGTAAATAAATTCAATCATATCAAAGTTCAATTCACTACCATTTGTTGGATTTGTCAACAGATCACAATCCAATTGTCTGGCACCAGAAAACCGAAATTATTTACGGATGCATGTCACATGCAGCATGTGACACCTTTTTTTAGGAGCCTTCTTTTCCTCCTTGTCAGTCGATATTTGACAAATACTACTGGATAATTACTGCATCTTCAAAATAAAGTTGCGATGGTTCAAGCAGGAATATTTGTATGTACCCAAACTTTGCAACCGGGAGAATTATTTTCACTTTGTTTTCAAACAAGTGTAAATTTATCCGAGGTAATGTGCGGTCAAATTCACTAGTTTCAAATTGCATTGAAATTTTATTCGAAAGTGTCCATTTGCTTTTGATACAGAACTTGTTGGAGAGTAGTATAAATACAGTAGTGTCATCGGTAGTAGAGATACAGAGAGTGAAAATATAAAAATAGGGTTGAACTGAGAATAAAAGAAAGCTACAAAATGTAGCTAAAATTGAGATGCGGAAATCGCGGCAGGTTAAAACAGGTCGATTTCCATTCGATTACAAATTTTGTTAGACGTTTATGGCAGACTTGAAGCACCTGGAAAAGATCGCGTAGAACATCTTAGCGAAGAACTTGAGCGCCGCCTGGCCGCCCGGAATATACGAAAGCGTAAAGTATGAGAGTGCCACGATCTGAATCGCAGCGGCAATGACTGTCAAAATGTAGCTCTTCGCTCCCATGGCCGCGTAGAGGGTAAAACTCATTGACAACGTGTAGCCGAGGGTAAACGGGAGACGTTCGGTCGAGATAAGATGCTAAAAGAGAGGAGATTAGAAAAAAGGTTTATTTGCACGAGCAAAGCCTTTGTTGAAATAGGTTAAAATGAGAGTTCTGAAGAATAATTTCAGGTTTCCTTTTGAAAATTGGCCTGATCTTCCTTCGAAAATACCACAGATAATTTCGTTTATGAAACAACCCTTCTACGATAGAACCTTCTATCGAAAGAAAAAATTATCAATAGACTGAACTCCCGGAAGAATAGATAGACACACGCCTTATCGCGAGTTTAGTCTTGGTTTAAGTTTCCCGGACGAAACTATGCTTATCTTCACCATCCCAAACCCATTTACTGATCACTTCTAAAATTTGACCTACGTGGAATCGAATCTCACCTTGAAATGCTTCTTGGGCCCATAGAGCAGCGAGAATGAGGAAATGAAGAAGAGCGAGCCAAGAGTGTACAAAAGAGCGAATTTGCGCGCGGAAACGATCAGCACTGGAAGGTACATTGCCGCCATCATGAAGCAGAGGAGTCCCATGCCCATGCAGCCCATAAAACCGAGGATGCGCTGCTTCTTTGAAAGCTTGGGACAGAAGGGGTCTGATTCGGCTTCTGATAGCCAAGAAGATCCACCATCACTGCTAGAGAAAATATTTATTACATGAAAATTACTGAACAGAACAGCGGGAAAGTCTTACTAAGAACTGTCTTACAGGACCTACATACTGTATGGTAACATTTTATATATATCTGAATTAATTGATCTCAAATCCGGGTATTTCACTCTAAATATCTATGTCGCATTTTAATCGGTTTATGTGGTTGCTGAAATTCGTACTCGGGTTATATTGCCCTGAAGTTGGGATCCTACTGAGCAGAAAATAATTAATCAATCAATATCGTCATCGCATGAAATTTTAACCGTAAAATCTGCTTTAAGCAGGTAATACCTTCTGAGCGGGTTCGGAAGCGGAATATTTTCCTGAATCTTTGAAGCTTTATTGACTAAATTTCCAAAGCCGCTTTTCGCCCAGCCGAGCAAGTTAGCGGTCTCGGATTCATCGTCTCCTGCATCACCAATATTTACCTAAAATTTGTTCATCAAAGATAAACTTAATTTATGCTTACAGAAGTAGACGACTTTCCCGAGAATTCCGCCAAATAATTTTTGAGTTTTTCCGCATCCGACATCTAAAATCAATCCATTTAAGTCCGATAGAATCGAGAAAACATCGAAAGAAAGAGATCGAACGCAGTGTTTTAATGAACGATATAATTTATTGCACACGTACTGGTATCAACATAAACGCGTAAGATTGTTGTTTTTATAAAATAGAACTTCCCACTTCCAAAGTTCAAGTTTCCGGGCTCTAGTTTTCAGTTCCTTCTCTTTTTGAAAATATACGATACAGTTTCATGTTTGGTCAGTAGCTGGATATATACTGTCGAGTCATACAGTCATTAAAGTAATAGTGGTTGAAAAAAGAAGAGTTGTTATAAGAGAAAGAATAAGAAATATAGAATGGGAAAGGGTTGAATTGAATGATTCTTGATAAAAACTAACTAGGGCCCCCTATCTCTCGTTGAAACTCAATTCAATTTGACACCATATTATTAAGGGATTTGGGAACGCTTGAAAAGTGAATTCGAACAAGTTATTTTTACATCTGAACACTCGAACGAAGGGTTTCAAGAGCCGATTCAACGAGAGACAAGGAACTCTTCGGAAAAGAAATGATAGAGTACCAAAGTGATGAAGGTAATAGCTTTAACTCTTATTTCGATTGTAAAAGTAAGTCAAGGCACGTTTCGGCAGGTGAGTGGACTTTTTATTCTTATTTTTTTGTTATGTACTTTCAGGACTATTTCTTTAAGCGGGGTAGAAGAAGAGGGGGAGAATATACTTTGAGAATATTGAATTTGATAAGAAAAAGCTCGGCGTCTCTACCAGGTATTCAGGTGATTTTTGGCTATGAAAATATTTTGGGATCAACTTGGTTATCGCAAAGTACAGTCAGATAACCGACCTCATCCCTTAAATTTTAGAGGGATATTAAAGTTAACATTTATACACTGACATTTTTAATGTACTGAAGTTTTGGGCAACCTGATTTTTAGAACACGCGGCTTTTAGATTTAGTTGAGATATAAATTATATAATAAGAATTATTGGATATGTTTTAAAGGGTTTCTATAATTAAGCTTAATCCACTTTGACAGCGCCGTAGATCTTTCGAACGAACCAGTAGCATGCAAGGAAACCGACTGTACCGGTGAAAAGGAAGATCGCCAGAGTCATGATTGAAGTGTACCTACAAGACAATAGTATAAGTTTTATTCAGAAGAACATCCTAGACGACAATGTCGATTTTTTTTCTTAATAATATTGGTAGTCTACCAAAGTCATCTATGATAAGCGTTCTTCTCATTATCGATAAGCGATTTTCATTTTAAGAAGTATAATTTGAATTCGAATCTTGCTGGAGCGCCTAATATATCCGCTCAAAAAGCAAGCTGCACCTGGATCAACATTTTTTATCTGCCCCTGACGATAAGCTTGAACGTGACCGATATCCTTATTAAGGATCATGCGTCAAATCAACTCAAGATACTAGCACGAAAACAGCGGAGAGAACTTACCCGAAGTAGATAATAAGCGATGCAGCTCCGTCACGGAGGTCGAGCTTTGAAGTGCAGAAGTGAGCAGCGTAGATGAAGAAATAAACTGCGGTGAAGCCGGAAGTCAAGTAACTGGAATTCAATTTTATTTCGTTAATCATTTTAGCATCAATTTACCTTCTCCACCACCATCTGTAATCTTCGGCAGCGAGGTGGAAGTAGCAAAGAAGAATGGTAGTTTCAGAACACGTGACGATGAGGATGATCGTTACCAAAAACAAGAATCCAAACATGTAGTAGATCTTTACATATTATTTATATCGGCTCGTTTATGCTTCATACATACCTGATGAGACCAGATAGAATTGAGGATGAAAAACAACTGGATGAAGATGCAACCGAATGGAAGGATACCGCCCATGATGATTCCAGGAATCGGCTTCGTGTAAAAGATTTGCTCTGGGATCTCACGCTGGATGGGGTTGGTGCGAACAGGATGTTCAATTGGTCGCTTTTTATAACCGTAGAAAGCTCCAAGGAATGTCAGAGGGATGGAGATTCCAAACCAGAGGAGAAGAATGACAACTAGCGTTCCAAAAGGAATGGCTATTGTAAAGAAAGTTAGTGGTGAAATCAAGGAGGAGAATCCTACCTGCGCTGGAGTGCTCTCCCCAAAGAATGAGGTTCATCACGAAGAAGATAAAGAAAATAGTTCCAGTAATGAAGCAAGATGTAAGAATGGTGTTTGCTGAAAAAATATCAAATCAAAAGAAAAATTCAAATGAAAGCGCTTACATTTCCAAGCTTCGCCGCCGAAGGTCTTATAGAGTCGAGCAGAAACATAACCAGCTGGGAGACCGAGGAAAACGAAGAGAACGATTCCGGTTGATCCGAGAGAGCCACGATTAGCGGGAGAAAGGAAGCCAAGGCAAGCAAAGAAGAGGGTGAAGAATGTCATAATGATGATCTAAAAGATTATTAACTCTAGTTTCATTCATTGGCAGATTACCTGGGCACCGGAGCCGCAAAGAACAGAGAAGAGCATGGGCGCATTTGGTGGTCGGAAAACATCACCTGACAAATAACTCATTTTAGAGAAAGAATCGCTATATTACCGTGAACCAGCTTCCAGCCGAATTCTTCTTGAGCTTCTTCCTGGCTCTCGAGGGAGTTGTATCGAGCAATATCTTTGTGGAGGGATCTGACGGTGATCATGGCGACCATACCAGAGAGGAATAGGACGATGACGAGAGAGTTCATGATCGAGAACCACTAGAAAACAATAGAGAGGATATTGAAGGAAAAAGAGTACCTGAATATTGGTATGTGGCATAGAATCAAGAATATAATCCCATCGAGAAGCCCACTTGACGTTGTTGTTCTTGACAAACTTGATGGAGTACGTGTATGGAACGGTAATATCGCCTTTGAGCTCCTGTGGAATGGCCATGGGATCACCCTTGCATTCTCCGCTCTTGTAAGACTTGGGATTGAGTCGAGCTGAGATAAGTCGGTTTCCAACGTATCCTCCCTCAACACCGTCGTGGTAGTAGATCACGATGTCGTGATGATTAAAGAGGTAGAAATTGGATTTCTTGTTGTAATTGGTGTTGATCACGCAAGCGTCTTTTTGAGTACCATCCTTTGTGACGAAACAACCCATAGGAATGCCAGTAGAACAGAAGGTCTTGTGCGCTTCATTATCAACTGGGTAGCACCATGTGACGGGCATGTTGTCAATGATCCAGTGATGCTCATAGCTGAACATCATTCCGTGCTTCAAGAATTTCATGTTATCATCGTCGCCAGAATATTTCTTCTCGCAGACTTTTTTGCACGTCTCTTCACTGTCAAACTTGAACTTGTATGGCGATGGTCGAATTCTTTCGCCGAAGAGGACCTGGCCAAGATTTTCCGTTGGCGATTTTTCACCGTCTGTGTCTTGGCAGAAATCGAATGCGCTAAAGAAGGGATTAGATGATGGATTGAAATGGGAGAGGGATAAGTACCTGTATTCGAATGGAATGGCGGAATCGTGAGAAGTGAGCTTATTGACGAATAATTCGATGTCAGCGTGGCAAGGTTGATCTCCTGGATTCTCCTGCCCTTCCCTACAATAGGAAACCGGGGCCAAACCGGGGAGGTAGAAGGCATTTGCTACTCCCAACAGGAGAACACTCAGACGTCCCATTTCTTAATTTATAGATTTGATAAGATTGAAGAGTTTCAGTAAGGCATCTATGAGTGTTTTGAAGGAATCAGGCCGTCACAGTGAAAACAAACAAGGCGGTAAGTAAATTATTGAGATTTTGGATTACAAATTGGCGAATTTGTTGTTTATAAATTTTTAGGAGCTCATTAGTAGATGATATTTTGGCTTATCATTCTTCTATTCTGTCTATGATATTTACAGTTAGATATTTTACCGCCGAGTTGGCTGAATGAATCAGTAGGTTTCAGTAGTTTTTATCACACGATGAAATAAATGGGGACACGATTTTGCTACGAAAACAGCCCTTTGAAAAGGTTTGTAATTTCTCGTTTTGGCAAGGAAGCTACTTTTACTTTAATTTACAGTATTGCGCAGATTTTCATCAATTACCCGTGTTTTTTGCTAGTTAGATTGAACTGAGCTAGAATGAAGAACATGTGGAGATTCTGTAGAAAAAATCGAAGAATGCATAAAAAATCGAAGGAGAGGTCAGAAGGGGTGCGTGGTACGACTTTTGTAGCTCAGAAGATAGGTCTTTTGTATTATTACTGGTTGTAGAAAGCTTCACCACAGGTCCCAGGGTGTTTTGTTTGCAGGAATCGTGTAGGTATGATTATGCGGCAAGGAGAGACTTGCTGCCATCTGAAATTCAAAATGATTTTTATGTTTGGACGGCTAATTTGCGGCCATGACCAAGTTCTTACGATCTTCTTGTTTTCTATTCTAGAGATTTTGATTGACAACTTACGCCGTGCTTGTAGATAGAATTCAAGATCATGTGGCCATTCTTCCCTTGCAGCCAAACAATGGGGATGTCCACAAGATGGCTCTTCTCGCTCCCATCATCGACCATGTCAATATTGCTGTCGACGTCGATCGGGTCATCGTTGAAGATAATGGCGCCGATGACTCCTGTGTTCTGAGCCACAATCGCCTTCTCCAAAAACGAACATCCCCCGCGCTTGATCAGCATCATGTTTCCTTTCAGCTGCGCCACATTGGTGGGCGGCGCGTCTGGACATGCTTCGATTGGGCTTTTTCAGGGATGATTCTGTGGCTTTTTAGACGATTTAGAGATGATAAGAAGTTATAAGACGATTAATAATTATCTTAGAGGGCTGAAAATAAGAAAATTTCTCGCACTTTAAATGGATCTTTAGCAGTTGACTTTCAAGTCAGCTGATTTTCGACTGAATTTTTTTTCTGTCATCAAAATGACCATCCTTTCCTGGCGGGTATAAGCGGAACATGAGACATAAATCGTTCGAATATTCCGCCGAAATCCCTTGCAAATCTTCCTCTGTAACTGTACGCAATATCTACAAGATTAACTGTAAGAACTTTAAGTTTTCTTCTACCCTACCTTCGGGATGATGAATTTCAAAATAAAGAATGCTTCCGTCGCTGGCTCGCGAAAGAATACTGAGTAACGAAATCGACAGCAGCCAAAATATCATTTTTCTGAAAACACCAAAATTGTTATTTTTGATTTCTCTTGAAGATGATCCCGATCCAAGTTGAAAAGAATAGTTGTTTACGATGGTTTTACGCGGCGACTTGCCTCGGAGGAAATAAAGCCCATAAAATTAATACCCATTTTTTCCTGAGAAAAGCCGGTAATCAGATTATAAACTGATAACAATCGTTTAGCACATGATGAAAACCACTTTCATGATTAAAAGCCGCAACTTACCGGTATCTACAGTATGAAAACCGGTTAATTACTGTGGCATGGAATCCAAAATTTTACTTTTTAGCTTACTTTTTATTTATTTAATTTCAAATTCAAAGTGAAAGGTTGTCTTCAGATTTTTTTCTGAAATCAGCCTGTAATAAGTGCGGGTTTTTTCATGTGCGCTAGAATTTACGCAAAAAGTTACTTTATTAAAAAATCCAAAAAGCGCGAAAAGATCTTTCTTTTTTCTTTCTCACCATTTCATAAAAATAAATCCCTTAGTCTCCTACCGTTTTCCTACTATCCGAGATAGTCTATCCCACAATACGCGTTTTCGTCAATTTTCTCTTATTTTTCTTTACCAAATTTGGCAAAAGTAGTGAAATTTTTACCTTCTCTCATAAAAAAATAAGTTTAAACTTGTAAAAAATTCCGCCCTTAGTCCGATAAAAGGGATGCGAGAAATGCTATCCAAAACGCACCGCTAGCCGCGGGGCGGATAATTCTCCCTCCTCTGAGCTCTAAATTTCTACTTCTTCTATTTTCAATCCTTTCTCTTTTTCGAATTCGTTTTTTAAAAATTCATTCTCCCCGGGCGAGTGAAATTTCGGAGGTGCCACGCGGAAGAATCTCTTTCAAGACACTTTTTCGAGTCAAAAACGGAGCGATTATGTAATCCAAGCGATGACGTCATCGCTGGCACAAAACGAGTCAGAAGCTCAACAACAGAGAAAAAAAAGAAAAAGGAGGAATTTGGAACCGGTACACTCATTTCGGGATTCAGAGATTATGGACAAGAAGAATGAGAAGCTGCAGATGACTGATGAAGAAAAGGAATGGGTTTTCGAATTCGAACTACCATATATGCATAACGAAAGAAACCAACTCCATTATTCTACTGCTTGTTTTACTGAGTAAAGAACAAATCTCCGAATATTGAAAAGGGAGAAGCCTTCTGCGGCTTTGAGCCAAAAAAAATGGAAAAGCCGCGCTTTCCGTGGCTTGAGTTTCTCGGTTTTCAAAAGTAGGAGATTCCGAATCTCAGATTCGGCTAAAAACTCAATAAAACTAGCGAAACTTACAATAAAATGGTCACATTCTATGGCTAAATAATTCGGAGTGCCAAAATTTCAACCTCATTATTCAAAAACCGACTCAAGAAAAAATTCGAGGAAGCAATCAAAAAGCCCGAATTTCGCGAACTTTTCATTGACTACATGAAAGAAATGCAGGATCCAAAGAATAGAGCAGAATATGAACGCGAAATCGCCAAATACGAAGCCCAAGTAGTAAGTAACTTTTAATTTTGTCTGCATGCCAAACAAAGTCGATTCAATCCAGTGCGTTGAAAACAGTAGTTTTGAATGTTTGAATAACAAACTTATTATACTCTTTACTAGGCCGCTGAAAACGCCGGGAAGGATCCATTCGCCCAGCAAAAGGCTGAAACTCAGAAAAGCAAGAAAGAAAAGGAGAAAATCGTCGAACAGCCCGTTGCGAAGAGCAAATCAGTCATCAAAGGATTGGTTCAAAAAGACACCCTAAAAAGTTCCCCTGGAAAACCGTCGCTTTTTTACCTTTATAAAAGGAAATCGTCGCCGACTCCAAAATTCAAGCGCTGCTTCGTCTGACAAAGACATTTTCTGAAGCAACTTTTCTACAATATTCCCTGCTAGCCTTTTTATTTTGATACAACATCGAACAAAATATATTTTTATATTATCACCAAAATTGACGTTGGCGTTTTTTAAGATAAATGGGGAATTTCTTCTCGAATATCTTCAACAGCCTGTTTGGGCAGAAAGAACTTCGGATTCTGATTTTGGGTCTTGACGGCGCCGGTAAGTGAAACTCTTCCTCTAAATTTAACAGCCTACCCTCTTCTTTAGGAAAGACAACGATCCTGTACCGCCTTCAGGTCGGCGAAGTCGTCACAACTATTCCCACCATTGGCTTCAATGTAGAAACTGTATCGTACAAAAATTTAAAATTTCAAGTTTGGGATCTCGGAGGACAAACTTCAATCAGACCTTACTGGGTAAGCTTAGCAAAGAAAGGCTGCTGATAAATGATTTTGTAGAGATGTTATTATTCAAATACAGATGCAATTATTTATGTGGTGGATTCAGTGGACAAGGAAAGAATCGGAATCTCGAAGAATGAGATGGTCTCGATGTTGGAAGAAGAGGAACTCAAGAAAGGTAATAATTTTTATTTTCGCTACAGACATAGGTTCCAGTTTCGAAGTTGGTGTTTCATTTTGTAAAGTTTCAAGGGCACAGAAATTTATTTTACCGTGGGCAATCGTTGAAGTTAGTTTCATTTTTTATACCCTGACGCAGCTGGAGCAGGACAGCTGCAATCCGAACCATTTAGGCCATGTTTGGAATGCACCATTAAAAATTTTGAATCTTGCCAAAAACTTAAAATTCAAACAGCTTTCCTTTAGCAATCTTATTGGTCTTTGCGAACAAACAAGATATGGAAGGTGCGATGTCTCCAACAGAAGTAGCGAAAGAATTAGGTTTAGCTGCGCTAAGGTAACCCCTATCTTTCTCCCTTGATTCTGAATGCTTCGTTTCAGGGAAAGAAAATGGCAAATCTTCAAGACATCCGCCGTGAAGGGCACTGGGCTCGACGAGGCAATGGAGTGGCTCGTAGAAGCGCTCAAATCGCGACAGTAGCTGATAACGACACCCTACCAAGCGTTTGTTTTACTTGAACAACATCGTTTCTTTTCTGACTTCTTCCTTTTTCTTTTATTTCTTCTGCGCCTGTGTCCACGGAAAGCTCATTTCATAAGAAAACAACCAAAAATACAATCATCTGTCCTTATATAATATCACAGCACCATACCATTTCAATCTTGAACATTGTATCATCCTAATCATAATAGCCATTTTATTAAATCATACGTAGAAATGTACGATCTACGAAAAATTGTATTGCTACTTTTGAAGTCTCATTTCGGGATGCATTTTTTGCTGTTTTGAAGTCATTTGAGGTCAAATAGCCAAATCTGACCCTTGTCGTTTGATCATTGACGGTCAGATTCTGACCGTCAGAACTCGAGCTGAGTGACCTTAGATGCGAAGTGACGTGCTCTAGTGGCCTCAAAAGCCGGAAAATGCTTAGGATATCAGGTCGGATCTATATTCTCTACCAACAGTGCAACCATTCTCTCAACCTTGTGCAATATTGTTCCCCGCGTTCTCTAGTCGAACTAGTTAGTGAGAGTCAACAACTCCAGTTCCGAAACTGTTGATAGATTTTCCCCAAGAACAGTATTTAACTCCTTTTCCTTTACTTTTTGTAACAATTTTTATTCGTCTGGGGGATTTTCTGATTGAAAAGAACATATGTTACTATACCTATTTATGAAAAAAACAAACTTTTGAATTGATAAAAATTAGAGAAAATATAGCATAAGAACTGAATCGTTTCTGAATTCAGGTAGATGACCAGTAGGGAAGAGAGACGGGCGAGGATCGATGAGCTGTTCAAAGTTTACGAGGAAGAAATCGATGGTTTAACCGCCACCAATGTAAGTTACGCTCTCTTCTAGTGACCTTCCAATCGATTGCGTATAAGGTGCGGCTGTCGAAAGAACTACGCGATACGAATGTATGCTTGGCCGGCAAGGACAAACTCATCAATGCTTTAAAGAATGATAACAAAGCGCTCAAACTTCAGCTTGGAAAACGCACTCCTGTAAGTAAACCAATGTTGAAGAATCAGCGCCTTTATTATTCATGCTTCTGACCATCAAATTAAAACATGCTTTTGTACAGTACGACAAAGAGTAAGTTGAATTATAGGTGAAACTCGGGAAGCATATGCTTGAAACAACTTCTGCTGAAATGGAAATCCTCCAATCTACGAATCAAAAGCTCAAGGAGCAAATCAACGCGCTGCAAAGAAAACTAGATCTTCAAGAAGCCTCCCTCAAATTCATAGAAAAAGATTCAGCGACTACAAATCCGGATCACGAGCAAAGTTCCGATTCTGGCTTCGCGGACAGGCACTACAACCAGTTGAACAACAACACGAAGCCGAATTTGGAAGTTGAGGGAGTTCAAAAGGGAAACGCTGCTTTTGGCAATCACAATGGGACGCAAAATTCAATTGACTTCATGAACATTGGGCACCAAGAACTCATGTGCAAGGAAAACTTCCACCTGACAACGGAAGACATTAATATAATTTACGAAGAAACGCTTCCAGCGCCCGATAATGTTGAATTCTTCACTCCAAAGTAAGTCTATCTTGTCGGAGTTCACCTCATTCTCTCGTGTTCTAGCAACATGGTAACGCCAAAGAAGAAAACCGATAGAATCGATGTCAACTTCAGCCCTGCTCGATTACCGAAGAACATCAGAACGCGCGCTGTTCATTCTTCTCAACTTGGTAAGACGTTTCCTTTCGAGCTTACCTTCAAGAGTAAAATTAGGGTCCACCTCATCAAGCGGAGGCCGCGTTTTCACCATCACTCGTTCGGGCATTTCCTCGCTTCACTCAATGAACCCAGCAGATCCAAACTCAAAGCTGCAGCCTTTCCGACGAACATCACCAATGAAACTTTCGCGCGCGCCAGAAACAGCATCCGAGCATCACCTTGAATACGTCAACGCTTCCTCCATCGCTTCTACTTCCAACTCGTCGATCATCTCAACTTCTAGGACAGTTCCCGCTTCTTCCATCGCCTCAAACAACTTTCAGAGTCTTCCAACAGTCAAATCCGACGCTGATAGAGCAATCACTGAACAGTAAGTTCTTTCTCAAGGAGTTATTTTTCGATCCACCTCAGAGAGTTCTATGAATTAGCCTGCCACGACATCATATATTAAAGCTTTAATAGCGCTATATTGGTTTTTAGAAGTGTCTACTCTTACCGTAAAAATTTCAGCTATCCTTCTACCTCAAGTGGCTTAAAAACTGAACCGCTCAGCTCGCCACGAAAACATTCGATTAATATTCTAAGACGTCGCCGCATATCACAAAAGGTATTCAACAACCGGATGGTTTTTGTCCAACTTTATCTCAAATTTGTAGAGTACGTTGTCGAAGAATAAACCGCAAATCGTCAAAGGATGCAGCATATTAGGCCCGTCACCAAGCAAGAGTCGAAGAAAACAGACTCTATGACGTCTTAGTCGCTTGATATTGAAATATTGAGGACTTTCAATAAAAACACTTGATGCAAGTTCATTTCTTTATTATCCTTGACTGAAGTATCAACTCAATCTGATGCACATTTCATGTCTCATGCAAATGTTGTATGTTCCATTCGGACCCCATTCTTTCGGACAAAGCTTCGCACAGGCTGTGCCGCAACTATTAATGCAACTGTGCCTACTTTCTTTATACTTTCACTTGATATACTATTGTGAATCCAACTCGACCAACTTAATCAATCTTGACCCAGCATTGTATTCATCAATCATGTGTTTAAAGGGTTTGATTTCCTTACCGTTCACTGCCCCATGTTCTTGCGAGATGCTGTATATATGTTCCACTAGGTGGCTTCCCTTCTATTTCGGCCCGGGTGATCCTTACGAGGTATTTTATTCCTGACGATTCTGTCTTCCCGCGCATTCTAACTATGATCTGCCATTTCTATGGCGATCTTGCTCGTTAGGGTTAATCATTCTTAATAAAACCAGTGCCGAAAATGACTTAAAAATATTGTGACACATAAAAACTTTACAATAAAACATCTTTCTTTATCATCTGACCTTGATCGTTAGCAAGCGTTTATACTTGAATAATCACGGAATTTGTACTGAGTTTAGTTTTAATGCATGCATGCTTCAACTACGTCCATTCGTGTAGATTAATTGTACTCTTGAATTTTAAACTAGCGATCAGCTAAACACTCGTCTAGTTTTCAGAACAGCTTGCATACAGCAGAATTCTGGCCGCCCTTCAACTTCTTTGTTTCTTTTTAGTTAGCTTGGGAGGGTAGTTTATTCTTGTATGTCAAGTAGCTTTAATTTTAAAAAGCGTGAAGAGGCAGAATAAGGATGCGTTTTTTTAAGTCCAGGATATTGATGTTCAGTTGGAATACAGTCGTTGCTGGCAGCTCCTTGAGACGAAAAGATAATTAGACCTCGGATTCCCGGGCGTTGTGGCTTATCCGGGTATGAGCTCTCGTGGCGATCCGAGTAAGCAGACTTTGTATTGATAAACTATCAGCTTCGGTCGAAATTATCTTTGTTGATTACCCTACTTATCAAAGAGCATCTTTTAATGCAGTACATGCTTATAGCAGGCACTTAATTTCGCCGGTTAAATTATTGCCCATGCATTTTCTTGATCAGTGAACACAGAATAACTTGAATCCAAAATTAAACCTTCCTTGGATCGCTGCCTTTACTACAGAAATCATGAGAAGAAACGCGCCAACGTACAGCAGTTGATTTGAAGTTGATCTTAGTTTCGCAGGTCGAGCTGAAGATAAGTAATTAAAACAGGATAGCTTTGTGATTGCATTTGGAGGACTGATTACTGTCCATTTTAATTAGCCTCTAACCTGCTTCGGGAAGATTGATTACATAAAAGACGCCGACCATTCCACTGATGAGTAGAAAAAATGTAATCAGGTTCGAAAATGTTATTCATGCATGTGATTCAATAACTCATGATCAACGAAACACGCTCATTTTGTTGCATTATCGAATTACTGTTGTTTTTCGACCCTAATCTCCACACGTCGTGCGTAAACAACTGACTGGATTTAATGTTTCTGGCTTCTCCTCAATCAGCTCATCCTCTTAAAATGAAGCAATAAAATTGTATCGACAGCAATTTAGATAGACATCGGCGTCATCGAGAATTTATCGAGCTTGTACTGTAGTATTTCCTTTTTGAATCGAGTCCAGTCATCATGATCTTAGAACACTTAGTCGTTCTTAAGCCGGGACGAATACCCTTTGTATATTCAGAATAATATAGATACGAAGAGTAGAAGACACTCAAACGCATTATTTTATCATTGTCTACTCTACGGCTTCATTGGATACATGTACTATCATTACGTGTTAATTAAGTACCTGTATATTCGCGCTTTAACCTATCGTATCGTATTTTGTAATCTCTAATGATGCTCATCTGATTTTTCGAATCTTTCAATGGGCTCTCCATATTTCTTCTCGTATCTTTTCTCATTACTTCATCCATTTATTACAGTTCTACATACAGCCGAGCATCTGGTGTCCCGGAGCGAACGCGCAAAAAAACGAAACGTATTACAGCTTTAGCGTGAATATCAAATAGGCTGATATTCTGAATATCTGTTCGTTACTGTATCCAGTATGCTCACTCAGTAACTAAATGAAACTAAAGAGACGTGAAGGAAAATCCATAGACGATATCGTCTTGCGCTAAAAGGATTACAACATCGATTTGGCATCCAAACATCTGGCCACACAAGCCACCATGTTGATGCATGTCAACCTTCTGCATCGGAACTCATAAGTGTTGTTGAACTTGACTGTCAATGATAAATTATAAAATCAAAAGATGGATGTTCTAAAAAGCCGAAAATATTCACCAACTCGTTCATTATTTTTTTCGCACTCATTTCAACCCGACTATCCAGACAGTTTTGACAAGCTTACCTTACAGAAGCAGTCCTCTGGACAATACGCGCTTGAGGCACTCGAGGGCACTTGCTTCGGGACTAATTACCTCATCAAAGGTAGAAAAACGTTTCTGCTATTCCAATATGCATGGGTAAGTGGAATTGAATATGCACCTGCGCTGAATACTTTATTATTCCGGAGATATAAGGGGTCACCATCGCCCTGGCCAGAGCACAGAATCAAAAAACAACTCAGCTCGACAAATTGACTTTGACAAAACAAAACTTTTTGAAAAGACATGAGATTCTCGACTATTTCCCTGCTTCTTGGTCAGCTCGCCAATGCTATGTCTGATGATGAGCTTTTGCGAATGTTTTCAAGAAGATCGCCAGTTAGCCATGTAAGTTGATTGAACCCGTAACATTCCAGGAGAATAATCCGACATAGACTTGTGCTCATGAAATTTTTTCAGAATCTCCAGGCCGCCCGCCCGTCCAAACGAATGTTCGACCCGTTTTCAGTCGACTATGAATTTTATTAAACGACTGTAAATTGTTCATCATTCTGGTTGTGCTTTCGAGTTCCAAATTTTAAGTCTAATAAATATAGTCGAAAAATACTTGATCTGTTCATTCAACAAGAAATTCAATTCTTCAAAAGAAAATTACAGAAATAGTTTCAATTGAATGTTCACGTAACATTTTGGTCGGAATTTTGTAATGAGCGAGAAATGTCACAGTTCCGCTGCGGTAGCATTCGAAGCATTTCAAGAATTACACTTGTCTTCCGAGACAAGCGTGGGTGTGGTGGTGCTCAGAGGGTGCCCGCAGCACCAAACGTTCCAAAAATGGAGCTCACTTAGAGCAAGTCAAGCCCAAAGGTAAGAGCGTTATGCAATTTATTCACATTTTGAACTTGGATTTTTTCTACTAAGAGAGCTGTAAAATTGACTTTATTTCCAATAATATTGGCCCAATAGTGTTATGTGACTGTATTAATAATACAGTATTATTTTTGACAGTAAGGGTGGAACAGGGTTATTCGATGTCAAAAGAAGGAGATAACTGTAATTGTGACTCTAGTTGCAGCAGTCTTCTATCACGATATGCCTGAGTAAAATTTCATTCTATTTTGTCCACGAAAAACCTATATTTTTGTTCTTCTCTCAAGCATAAACTGGTCAATAACTTCTGATAGAAATTCCACACCCGGTTGATTTCGCGGATGATCAATTGGTAAATAATTGAATTTCTATGAAACTGTTGTGTTTGCTCAGAACCAGCGGAAAGTATTCCAGTCCATTGGGTTCGGGTTTATTTTCGATACCTCGGAACTGATTAGCGCCGCAGCAGGGTGCTATAAAACTGCAAAGGCGCTTCTCTAAAATTCGTTTATTATCCGACAAAACTGCGATTTCAGACGGAACAAGTCAACAATTGGGCTTCAATTAAACTCCATCAATCATCGAAGACTAATCCGACGAGGAAGAGACTCTTTTTTCAATAATATTCTTGAGAAAAACGCCACAAGAATAAGAAAACCAAAGAGATAAAAATAGCAAACAGAAGACGATGAAGCTATCAAATTTAATATTTTCGACAGGTAAGCACTCAGAATGAAAATGTTGGTTTATTTGAACCTTGTGTGAAGAAAATATAGCGGTTGTCGAAAATAGACTCTGGTTTCTTACTTGCTTTGATTTCTTGGTTTCTTGGCGAATGTCCTACATTTTGATTGAGAGATTTAAACGTTTTTAGTGGCAGCTACGTCAAGTATTAATGACCTTCTCGTATGCTCTGTTTGGCCTGGTGAGACGGTTGATGAAGCTCAAATCAAAAAGTCTGAGTGTGACGAGCTCAGAGAAGTTTTTTCGTCATCAAATGGTATTGTAATCGGTAATTAGCAGAATTATAATTTGTGTATTGAAGGTGATGTCCGGTACATTTCACGGACAGCTACACACGGACTCTGCATTGATCTTGATTGTGTAAAACAGGCGCGACAAAACAGCTTCCCAAGCGAAACTGTTGAACCAGTAAAAACTGCTACGATTTATGGAGATTCGGTGGAACACAAAGCTTTGACACCAAAAAGAGAACTGATTCCTGTACCAATTGTATCCGTTTCCAACGCTACAAGTCCCAAAAAGACGAAACCTGCGGAACATGAAACGAAGCCAAATAGGAATGGCTCATAAATTTAGGCTCTTAGTCCTCCTTATGATAATTTTTAAAGCCAACATGATAGTATTGCCAGTTCCTGGGGTAGGCTTTTCAATAAAGCAAAGGAAGAAAAAGAAATTGAAAAGGACGAGTATGCCATGCAATATTCTTCACAGTGCTCTCTTTCTGATCCAGGTAATTTTCAACAACTATTATCCCGTCTTCAACGACAATAGAAAGCCAAAATACATGCTGCTCGGGGCACGATCCGTCACCATGCTGTGATTACCACCAAAAAATCCTCCAGAAACAGGGAATGGCAAGATTTGGCTTTCTTCGGCGACCAACCGGTCGAATCGTCGGTGGAGTTCCCGCTCGAGAGTTGAAAACTTCCGTTGCATACATCGCAAAGCTTTCGCATGACCAGAACTTTTGTGGTGGTGTCCTCATTCATGAAAATTGGGTGGTCACCGCTGCACATTGCATGGTTGAATACTGCGATGCTGGTGATGAATATTTGAAGGAACTTGTTGTGAAACTTGGCAAGACAAAGAAAATTAACTGGCTCATTGAAGATGGCGAGCAAGACGCGTATGTGCAATCTGTTCATTGCCATAGTAGAAATTGCAAAGCACCCGGAAATCCTAGATTGAACGATATTGCTTTGATAAGATTGAAGGAGCCTGTCCGAATGAGGTATTTTTGTTCGTAAAAACTCTAGTTAAAATTTTCTCAGCAAAACCGTGGATATTGCTTCCATTCCAGAGCCGTATGCAATGCCAATTATGTCTCAAGAATGCATCACTCTCGGCTGGGGTGATACAAAGAACACGGGATATGCTGATGTTCTCAAACAGGTGTCGATTCCCCTTGTTTCCAATGAACAGTGTAATGATGGCCGATGGAGAGGGTGTACAATTCGAAGCTGTATGATTTGCGCCGGTGCGAAAGAAAAGGCTCCTTGCGCCGGAGACTCTGGTGGACCACTCTTCTGTCCTTGGCACGATGGTTCTTACCAACTTCACGGTATCTACTCTTTCGGCCGCTGTGGAAGCGACGCGACGAAACCTGCTGTTTTCACGAGAGTCTCAAATTATCGAGAATGGATCGAAAATACAATTGTGCCTTTTGGTGATTTCATTTAAACATTAATCTTCTAGCTTTGTTTAAAAAGTTCAAAATTCCACTTCGACTCTTTTCTGTACAGCGACTGACTGCTCTTCATTTTTCACTGTTCCTGCCTCACGTCAATCAAATCGATCAGATTCAAGCTTGATTATTTTAATAAAAATGCTTTTCATCAAACTTCATTTTGAGTTTTGTTTTTATTTGTTCAGGCACTTGTGTTATTTTTAATGAAAACTAAAGTGTGTTAAAAAAGTTTGCAAAATTTTTTATTCATCTGATTTGAGCATTTCTGTTTCTTGCGATTCGACGCCATTCATTTTTGCGAATTCAGCGTTGATTTCCGCAAAAGATTTTCCTTTGGTTTCAGGTGCAAATTTCCACAGGAAGACGGCTAGGAAACCCGATACGGCGCAGAAAAAGATGAAGACCCATTCGCCGATGGCACTTTGAGCTTTTCCGGTTTCAATACTGTTTTCATTCAAAAAGGCAGAACTCTCTATATAAATGAAACCGTTCCGATCGGGAAAAATTTTCCAACGACAAAAGCCGCGGTCCAGTTGAGAGCACAAGAAACAGCTAGAACATTTTTTAAAATCATCGAAAACATTGACATTCTTACATCCAGCTGGGCCTCTGGCTCGCTGTGGGAAGTATTCAGAGTTCCAAATCCATGGAACTGGTCCAGGACCAAGAGCGAATCCGACGATGTATCCAAGGATGCAAACAATAGAAAGGTACGGAACGAAACTTGCTGCAGTCAGGTATTTCAAGCAGAGGAACATGCCCAAGCAGCTAAATAACAGTAAACAAGTGAAATTTTTCGAGTTCATACAAGATCACCATGAGAACATTTCCTCCAACATGAAGACCTGTTCGTCCAAATTTTTCAATCACAGCTAGACTAACAAAAGTCATGCCAACATTTTCAAGCCCCACCAAAGCAGAAATCATAGTAGAAGTTTCAACGCTAGAATTTCATTTGATAAAGCTAAATTATTTTTTCCCTACGAGAAACCAGCGGCTTTGAAGATATCATTTGTGTAGAAGAAGATCGCGTTGATTCCGGAAAGTTGCTGGCCCATTTGAGCGATGCAGACGATCATTAGTTGCCATCTGAGAGTCGGATCTTTGAAGAGTTCAAGAACAGTCATTCCATCGTCATCATCTGATTGTTCTGCCTTTATGATTGCTCAATAAGAGAAGCAGTTCTCTGAAAAGACTTAAATGAAAGCATTTCCTTCAGCTTAGCAGCCTCTTCTTCAAGTTCAGCAAGTTCGCCAGAAACGTCCTCAACGCCACGGAGTTTTTGGAGATCTTCTTGAGCTTGTTCGGAGTTGTTCTTTTCGATGAGCGTGTATCTTGGTGATTCAACCATTTTCGGGGAATAGAGAATCCAAACGATGCACGGAATCGATCCAAGTGCCATGAACCAGCCCCAAAGTGATGCTTTTCCAAGAATGCTTGGAAACGCAAGAATCTTAAAATCAAAATTCGGTTCTTTCGATATTATCGTACCTGTGCAGTCAAAATACCGATGGTAATGAATAACTGGGGTAAAACACCAGCTTTTCCTCGGAAATCGGCCGTTGAAATTTCAATAACGTACATTGGGCAAATTCCAGTAGCTAATCCAGCGAAGTATCCTACTGCCAACCTGGCGAGGAGGAGACAATAATGGCTTGACAAGTAGTACGCAGCAACGTAGAAGGCGCCTCCGATAAACGATGCGAAGCAATTGACAAACTGCGCTCCTTTTCGTCCGAATCTCGTCACCATAAAAGTCGTGGAGAATGAACCGGCCATGCCACCGACGGTAAACATAGACACTGCGGTCGAGAACTGGTTTTCCTGATTTTTGACGAATCCCGTGTATTCTTCGACGGTGCAACTTTCATCTTCAAGTACAGTCGAGTTACACTGTTTGCCATACAGAGGATTCGTTTCCTCAAGGGAGTCTAAACAGATAGTTTTATGATATGTTTGCTTCCTGAACTTTCACTGATGACTGTTACATAACTCGGTTTTATGCATGTTCGCTGATGAATACGAGCGCGGTTTGGTTAAGATTTACCTGCATCTGAGAGGCATTTGTCAACGCATAAATTGGGGTAGAGCTTTTCTTTGATGAAGCCGGCCGGGCCGTTTACATTTGACACATTCCAACCATACTAGAATTTAGTTAAGAATCTCACTTGCTAAAATATATAAATGTAATCTGTCTACCTAGTATCAATTTCTTTCTATTGGAATTTCTTTTTTTCTTTGATTAAGTTCGCTAGTTTAGAATTCATGTGACCTTGTTGCTCATAAATCAGCCAGTTAATCTACCTGAAAGCTTCCTGCCAGAACACAAATGATGAGCCCTCCCAAGAAGGTCGAGGTCATCTTTTCCCCCATTTTCTTCGTATCTTATTGCTCTACTGTTTCAAAGCTTCCGGGTCGTTCGTATTCTCTCTCGACTCGTCCGCTTACGAGGACCTCTTTGGTTGATAAATACTACGGGGTAGATCGTGTGTTAGAATCAACTTTCGTTTTTGTTTGTTTGAGGCAAACATGGCTCACAAGTTTCAAACTCATCGAAAGTAATTCACATCTGATATATGCATGGTTATTACTTCACTAACGATCGACCATAAAAGTTCGGGGGATGGTCCAAGAGTCAAGTGCAAAGTACTTCGATATCTCCATTCATTACAAAGTATTAAGTCAACATGCATTTCTACCTGCTTATGCGATGTGATAAATACGAAAAGCAAATATATCTTGCGTCCTATAAAATTTCCATTCTATATTTTTTCAATGCCCAAGAGTAGTATGTAAAAACACCATGTTTTACATAAAGGTCAATTTCACGGTCTGGCGCCAGCTTGTCTGGGATACAGGCGGTAATCTGTTTGATCAATTTAACAGTACTTCCTGTATCCCAGACAAGCATTTACTGGGAAATTTGGGTGATGTAATCTGCTTCTACAACCGACTAAGAAACTTTTGAAAAGTTAGATAAACGCTGTGACGAGCCTAAATTGGGGGCTATTATAGGATGACGGAAAAGCTGGCAAATCCGATATGTTCCGGAAGTGCCAGTCCGCTGCTGCGTTTTAGGATTTAGAATATTTGCTAACAATGTACCAACAAGCTGGGCGAGAATTGAAGAATCACCAGACAGTTTGCTTCTATCTTCTTTCCATTTTGATATTATTTCATTTTCTGGAAACATTTTCGATAGAAAAGACACGAGCAAGCGTCGTAATTATATATAAAATGATTAATGGAGGGGTTAATGTAAATATGACTTCCGGACCGGAAGTATAAACTTCTCGATTCTCTCCAAACATTGTGGATCTTCAGCTGGTCTTCGCGAGTAAAAGCAAGACTTACGCAAGTGCGCTGAGAGTAATTTGCTCCGTATCCTGATCCTCGAGTTTGGCTGCAGTAAGTCTCGCCTCGGTAGCTTCCTGTCGAATCTGACGTGCAGTTTTATTCAGATCATGCGCTTTCGCTTGTCGTTGATGTTGGTTCACCATTTTCGGCTCCATCACTCCTGATTTCGCGACAGCTAGAATGGAGGCTCATTATCTTTTCTTTTCAATTTCAAACTTACATGTTTCATGACCTTGATTTCTGTTCAAGCGCTTGTTTCTGCCTTGATTCTTCCTCCGTTCGTCTCTGAAAATCGCGTCTTCCATTCGACCGATACTTCTCATGACGAATTCTACCGCCTTGAGATTCACAGTACCGTCTCTCGTCATGTAGGACTTCATTTCGCAAACAGTTCCTAGAATTTCAATAAGAAAAGATTCTCAAAAGATCAACTTACGTTTGTAGATTCCAACAAGTTTGTCGATCGCTCCCTCTCTGATCTCCCACGAGGGCAAGTGAGGCAAGAAATCGTTGCCAACGAAGAAACATAATAGAATCCAATCATCTATGATATTCTCCAAGTCCCAGGGAATAGGAATATTAAGAATTTGAAGCAGTTGGGCTATCCACTCGCGAACTAGGGTCTGTTTAGCTGTTGAAAGAGGGGAAAGTGTAGTACCTGTTGCGATTCTGATGAAGATATAATTTCCCTTGGAGAAAACAGGCGGCTCTTTGTCTTCCGCTCCTTCTGGAAGACCTTGGCAGTCGATCAGCTCGTGGCTACATTGTCCACAGAGCGTACAGGGCTTCGGCTAAAGAGAGAGGTTAGTTTTTGATGGATTTAGAGAACCTTACTTTTCCGTAAACAAACTCCTCTCTAACAATAGTGAAATTGGGCTCGTGCGTAGCCAAACCCAACATGATCAAATCAGCATCGGCGCCCCAAATACAGTGGTGCGTGTTGGGATCGTGGGTTGGCGTGTTACGCTGTTTTCGGATGTAGTCGATGATCTTGTGCTCTTCTTCGCCGGGAACAGAGGCGTCGGACAAGATCACATTCAACTCGTGCCAACCAGCCTCTTTATTCAGCATTAAAAAGAGTGTCTAATGAGGACTCTTTCATGCTAGTTTTACCTTTCGGATTCGGGCCAGATAAATCGACTAGAAGTATGAATAAGGAAATTTGACGTAAAAAGAGTTGACTAAGATGTAGTATGAGTTGTTGGTCACATGGTAGCCGTAAGTTTTGTAGATGTTTTCTTAAGTGGATGATCTCATGTTTGGAACCAAATAAAGGATGATTATTCTTTGTTAACTAGATGGGATAAACTGGAGCTACTAAGACAACAGTAATCGTGATTTCTCGACAGGCAATCAGAAAATTTTCGAGAACTCGTTCTCCGGGGAGAATTATCTGAATCATTTTTGAACACGCGGTGCACCTACGCACCGCGCGGGGCTCTGATTGGCGCGCGCGCATGCGCAGACACTCAGAATTTATTTTCAATTTTCAAAAATTTGAATTTATTTCAATTTTAAAGAGAAAATCTGCGAAAAAAGAGAAAATCGACAACCAAATAACAGTTTTTATTCAAGACATCGACTTTTTTGGCGAGCCCTACTTTAGAGACATACTGTATCTTTTTACCTCTTTTTTTTTCAATAATTAACCGTATTGAATTTTAGATTGAAATCGAGAGGTAGAAACTTTCCTCCCTAATCGCTCCTAGCACACTCGATCGAGTACCGATTCTTCTGCAACAAGTTCGGCTGGAAGAACGATCTTAAGGAGCTTCTCCGAGAAATCTACTCCTTCGACAAGCCCGAAGCTGTCATGCCCATCACGCGATCAGGTAAATAAACATTCTGAAATATATTTTACTATAAAAAAATGATCAAAATTATTAAAAAAGTAACCCATATCTTTTAGGAGCTGGAGGAAATCTCGTGATTGTGGAGGATGAGTCTTCAACTCCCGATCAGAAAAGGTAAGATAAAATAGAACTCAACCCCGACTTATCAAACTTATTCAGCACCCAGCCCTGCGTCGAGAACCAGGCACCGATTCAAGAGCCACCGACGCCCGTTGAAGGGCAAAAAAGGAAAGAAGGGGAAGAAAGGCAAGAAGGGCAAAAAAGGCAAGAAGGGGAAGAAAGGCAAGAAGGGCAAAAAAGGCAAGAAGGGGAAGAAAGGCAAGAAAAAGAAAGCCTCCCCAAGCCGCCAAGCCCCAAAGCCCCCCAAGCCGCCAAGCCCCAAGCCGCCAAGGAGGATATGCCGCCTCCTCGCAAGCGTCAGCGGCGAGGTGGATACAAGAGGGCCAGGTTAGTTTTTGAGATTTTTTTTTTTGGGAAAGGGAGAAAGCCTCTCGCCTCATAAATAATGGGGATAAAAATGAACATTTTCCCTGTGTACCTGATCAAAATTGGGGTAAACGTCTCGATTTTTTTAAACGCTCGAGACAGGGTTATGATTTAGAGATTGTGAGTTTGGCAAGGGAAGAGTGAGGTAAGGCTCGGGGTTGTTACAGAGGTTATAAAGGGGAAAGAAGAGGGGTCATACGGAAACTTCTTAGTACGGACCTGGGAGTCTGACAGAGAACGGAACGGATCCGCTGATTTTCTCCATACTTACCTCTGTAACAACCTCGAGCCTTACCTCACTCTTCCCTTACCCAACTCACAATCTATAAAACTTAATCTCTAGTCATGTTCGCTGGTGAACCTGGAGACCTGAGGGTGGAAGGGGTCATACGGAAACTTCTTAGTACGGTCCTGGGAGACTGGCAGAGAACGGAACGGATCCGCCATTCCTCAGGTCTCCAGGCTCATGAGCAAGAGCACGATTAGAGGTTAAAACATAGTAACCCTGTCTCGAGCGTTTAAAATAATCGAGACGTTTACCACAATTTTGATCAGGTACACAGGACAGGGTCAAAAATTATCCCTATTTTACTCAGGTACACAGGACAGGGTCTCAAATACAGGATTCTACATAGCTCAGGTTGCTGAGCTCAGTTAAGGTTAAACGTAGGACCTTGAGTCGAGTCAGAGGAAAGGAGGTGGAATCAAGGGAATATAGCAGAGGTAATAAAGAAAAAAAAAAGGAAGGGGTCATACGGAAACTTCTTAGTACGGTCCTGGGAGACTGACAGAGAACGGAACGGATCCGCCTTATTTTTCAATGTTTACCACTGCTAAATTCCCTTGATTCCACCTCCTTTCCCCTGACTCGACTCAAGGCCCTACGTTTAACCTTATCTGAGCTCGGCAACATTACCTGAGAAAACTTGAGAGTCAAGATACACTGATTCTCCACCATAAGGGTGATTTTCTGATAATAGGACTGTAGGGTTGAAAGTTGTCTTGGTAAAAGACAACGGTTATAATTTTTATGTGTGAACTTGGTCGAAAAAAAACCCTGTGTTTAACCCTGAGTCTGACCTGAGTACCTGACTGAGTGGGAAGGGCTTTCTCCCGAAATTAATTACAGCGAAATTAATACAGCATAAATTTAGGGACCGTAAGTGTCTCACAAGAAAGGTGTTTGCGAGCGCGATGAAGTCGGAGGGCCAGTATAATCAGCGATTAATAAGAATCGTGCAAACGGCAAAAACATCAGCCAAATTTAAACGGGTGCCAACCATACAACAAGCTGATATCGACAAGCTCAACAGCCGCGAGAATCCGGTAATTTATAAAAAGAAAAAAGTTTTAAACGTTATTTTTTAGGTCAACAAAGAGATCCTTCGAGCATTGGGAGGATACGATGGGTGGAAGCTAGGACATGTATTGAAGGATCTCTACAAGCAACAGGCAAAAGGCAAAGAAAAACTCCTACTCCCACATCCCGACTCCATAGCCAAGGAACAGGCGGAGAATTTGGAGCAACAGGAGATTGAAAATCTCACCGACGAGGAGATGGAGGAAGAGGAAAGTGTCTTCAAGTGTTATGATCACGATTCGTTCGAGGAGAGGGAGCGACGGATAAAAAAAGACAAGTTTGCGATCTCCAGAGTCGCCCTTCTACGTAAGTCAAACATTTTCGTTTCATTCAATGAGATGTACTTTTAGGATTCGAGATTCCCACACTGCTGAAAAACGACAAGGACTTGCGCTACAGGTCACGGTACGTCTGTCTGTACTCATGGTGGAACGACTGGATAGAGGGGGTTGCGCCGTTCACAGATCTAGAGTGTGCCATATTCAGCGAGTTCAAGCGTACAAACTCGGCAGGCGGCAAGATGGCAAAAAAAACGGTGGATGCCCTCGACAAACTCTGGAAGGAGCGAGAAGAAAGACAACTCAGGCATCATCGTTTTAAAAAACATATGCATCTATACCACCCGCATCTGACAAAGTCACGATACAGAGCAAAGAGAAACGCCCTCATCAATAGATTGTCTTTTGCAAAGGTGCTCACCCTGGACAGATTCATGTAAGTTTACTTTTTGAATTCTTATACTTATATTTCTCCTAGGAAACACAGCGTTCTCGTCGACCCGGCGGAAGATTTTGTAAAATTTAAAGACGAGGAGCATTTCTCGAATGCGGTCATTGTTGCACTCTCGGATTGGAAGAAGTTTCAATTGAAGAAGACCGGCAGGGTCACATATGGGAGCGAGTACACTGCCAACGTAAGTTTAATATAAGCTTTATCCATCTAACTTTATTTTTAAGCCGGCCGCTGGCGAAAAAGTGGACGACTTTGCGGACGCCGTGTCGGATGATGACGACAACCACTCGTGGACCACGGCAGAGTCAGACGAGGGGGAAGAGTCCGAAGAAATGTAAACTGTCCTCTACTGCCCTCTACTGCCACCCTCTACTAGCACTGTATAATATACTAAAAACAACTCATACGATCCTGTTTTTCCTTTGCATTTGATTATCTAAAGAGTCAGGCTCGAGCAATTATTCAAAACAACTTTATTCAAGGTAAATTTAAATTATTGTTCTATGCAGGCTTTTACTATAAATGCATGCAGAGGTCGCTTGTGTGATCGACTGCTGATATAATACGTGTAGGTTTTAAGAAATGAGTTATATTCGAATTTAAACACAGTTGATATTCACGAGAAAAAACCGAATTTTGCAGGTAAAATTGTGACATTTTAAAGGAAGAAACACCCGAAGTGACAATCAAAATATTCTTAATGATTGAGTTTCATTTTATCAAGAAGTAGGCAGATGCGATCAATACGACAGATAAAAAAACATATGTTTCATTTCAAAGTTCAATTTTCAAGTAAACTTCGGCTTTGAAAGCTTAACCCAAATGTCGTTTCATTTTGACTTTGTGATGAGGAAGGAGAAGCTGTCGACTTCACGGACAACGACCACTTCAGCAACACGCTGGTGGCAGCGATCAACGACTACAAGGGCTTCATCTTGAAGAAGACAGGGGCTCTCCCCAATGGAAGCGAATACACACAAGAGGTATGACTTATTCTTAAAAATCAAACTACTTTTTCTTTAGCCCGGCCGGGAGGAGGATCGCCTCCAAGACTACGCCCAACTCGACGTGCCCGACGACTGGACAGACGAAGAAGACAACGAGGAACCTTAGCTACTGCTCTCTCACTGCCACCCACAAATAAAAAAAAATCGAGGACACTAATCCGATGTTTTTTCTTTGAAGTAGTTAATAGATTTAGTCAGGACCAAGCAGGCAGTGACTCAGGTTTTGCATGATGTAAGGAAGTGTATTGAAGGGAGATCAATAAATTACGAATAGAAACCTTTGTATCGTTTTATCAATTGATACAGTTTGATGAAATCTTGCCAGTGTATTTTGTATTGCTACCAACAGAGGGCGTAAGTTACGTCTCAGCAGGATATCAGTAGCTAGTTATGTTGGGAAAATAAGTTTTTGCCTGATTGATAAGCCGGAAATGTTATCCTCTGAGAATTTGCGAGAATTGTTCGAAGAATGGGTTTTCTAGTTTCCTAAGCCGGAAATGTTGCGGCGGAAAATCACTCGGCTGTTGCACTCTCTTCGTATATAGGTCAGCATGCATGTGTTTGAGTACAAAATAAACAGAAAATGGAAGAGGCTTTGAGTTTGACCGAAATTATCAAACAGAAATTTTTCTTTTTTAACCGAGATATCCTCCGAAATGCGCGAAAGTTCAAAACATGCGGGGAAAAATTGAAAACTGAGAATCAAAAGGAATTCCAACAACTTGCAAGTAATAATTATATCAGAGTTTAAATACCAACGATTTATTAAGAAAAACTTGTCCAACTCCTTGAAAAGGAACTCGATGCTGTGAGATTTTTGGAACGTATGATAACACTTGGTTCGCTCGCTGACAATACTATTGTCATTTCCTCGGACGAAAGCGAGGAAACTCAGTCGGACATTAGAGCGTTTCTTTTGCCAACTTCGACTCCTCTTAAGCAGCCGACCCCAATCGAGGGATTATCGCTTACCCCTATTCACCATGAGAACGCTCCGGCTGAATCAGCGATAAATTCTAAAAATAAGCTTGTGTTTGAAGGTATGATTCAATCGAAAATTTGATTGTCAACTGTTTTAAAAGATGATACGATTTCCAAGACTGAAACATCAATGGAGCAGACTTTGATTGCCGCTGAGAAAGGTAGTCTCTATCAAAATGATTTGATAAACAGAATCTTTAGTTTCTACTAAACTGCTGAATGTGGTTCCAATCGTCAATGGTGAAAAATTGGTAAGGGGAAGCTCCATTATAAGTACTCATTTCGGATTCTAGCAAAGCCGAAAGCGTAGCCTTGACGATGCATCCTCTGATCAGAAGAAGAAAAAGCTCTTTGATGATATTAAAAAACGAGCAGACGATTACGTTCAGGAACACATTAATTCCTTAAAAGAAGATTCCGGTAAAAATAATAAATCCGATAGACTCGTAACTTATTCAGATTATCTATCCGATAAAGAAGTCAGCCTTTTCCTCGAAACAATTGAAGCTGAAACCAAAGATGAGACAGATGCTGCCCTCAGCAAGATCGAGAGCTTCGAAGACCTTCTTGGCTACTTTGACTTGTCCTCCGGCTAATCATCAACTGTATATATATCCCGTAAGTGATTATCCGAGCCAAAATGTCCGGTTTTTATCCGAATATTTCCTTTCTTCAGTTAAAAGAGTAATTTTTCGAAAAATTTATCATCTAACCGATTTTTTAGACCGCACTTCTTTTCCGACAATTCCGACAAATCCGTCTTCATTGCATACACGCTCGCCTACTTTACCTATGGTTTATCTGTACTTTTATTTCTTACTTGTGTCCAACCTTTACTGAAAAAACGCTCTCAAAGCAACTCCGAGACTTATGTCTAATAAATTCCAATCCATGAAATCATCAGTTTGTTTTTCTACGCAGGTCTGAGGAGAGGTTGGTTCGATCGCCAGAGTTCTATTTTTAGTCTCGCGCATTTTCCGTTGGCAGTTAGAAACAGCGCCGCGAGGTTTCGTTGACAGCGCCGCTAGGTCTCGGGAGCAAGCTCACGGTCAAACCTCATACGTAAAAGATGAAAATTGTAAAAATTATTCTCCTTCTTTTTCTTCCTCCGAGGTTCCCGAGTGGAGCAAATGAGAAAACAACAAAAACGCCAGAAAAAAAATTTGTAGAGAAAGAGCTGTAAATATGTACCTTCTGTAGATTCTTATTGATAAAAAAATAAATTGACTGCACTTGATATGAACGATTCTTACCAAAATTTTTCATTTCAAGTGCAATCATAACAAAAAATAATCTTAATAAATTTAGAATGAGACCTTTTTGGGCGGTCAAACTCCCCGGCGAGGACCCGGACGAGCCAGTGTCACCTGAGTCTGTCACAGATTCAGACGACATTGGTTCTGAAGGCGTTCTTCAAGGGGAAATTCAGTTCAACCTCCTCAATTTAGGTAATCTTTCAAAATCCCTACCCAATTAATTTTTTTTCTAGGGGTCATCGTTGTTGTTGCCTGCCTCTCACAGATCACTACTATCTACTGCTTAGGTAAGAGATTCCTTATTAAATACGATACTAAGCTTTAATTTAGCAACCTGCAAGCACATGAAGCGAAGGATGAAACTCAAGGCTGCACTAGCATGGAGATGGATGAGGAAGTGCTGCAAGAAACCACCCCAGCCCCAAGATCAAGCAAGAGACAACCGACAAGACTCATGACTGTGAAAGAATGCATACCGCTTGACGACTGTTTACACGACTGATGAATAGAACGACTTTTAGGACAGGGACTAATTGTTTCTTTTTTCAAGATAATGTCGTGCATCCGACCAGATTCGCCTCTTTCGGACTACGAAAGCGATCCGCAAGTACAACGTCTGTTGACTGAGTTCGCCCTCGATGCTGGTCTTCTCGAACAGAAGAAATCATTGTATTTTTTCTTAGCAATCGGAATCCTTTTCTTTTTATCCTGCATTCTTCAATGCATTACCATTTACCACGTCATCAAATTTCGACGAAGATACCATCGATTCCTTGATGCTCTTCGCTAAATTATTCTGAATTCGTCCGTTTCCAAATTCTTTCATAGCCCTCTGACGGTCGTTCAAAATTTACGACATTTTCTGACTGTTTTAAATTTTGATCGACCGTCTTCAAATTTTCTTTCAAATTTCAAAATAAACAATTCGGCCAAATAACAATCCTTTCAAATTTCAGAATGTTCCCGACCGGCCCAAACAAGGATGACAAGCGCAAAGAGAGACCCTTGATCTCCTTCAGTATGTTACAGATCATCAGCAAATTCTAAAATGATATTCAGACGTCCTGAATTTCTCTATCGTTATCCACGACCCCGTCCTCGCCGTGCTCTTCGTTGTTTTGCTCGTCGTTGGCATCTTGGCTCTCAACTTTTTCCAAGGTAACAGCAGCTTATTAGAATCTTATCCAAAATTGAATTTAGCCCGAGCTCGTCATCTCCTGGGTCGAGCTCGAGTACGATTTCAGCAAGTTCTACCTTCTCCGCTTGAAAATGGCATCCGAAGGATTTTCCCAGGCCTCTTGCTGGTAATAATTCAATCTTTATTTCAATTTTTAAATTTTTAAGCCGACCCTTCCAAGACCAGAACCAGCGATCATGGCCGCACCGAGACAAGGACCAATGATCCTGCCCACAATCGACGAGCCTCCCACAGTCGATGAGCCTCCCCAACCGCGCCAGCGTCCACGACCAAGCCAGATTCCAAGACGTCGAGCTAGACCTCAGGAATACGGTCGAGCGGAGATCGGACCGGTAAGAGTTGATTCAAAAATTGTCTTCTTACATATGTTTAGCCAAGCCCGGAACCAACTCGTAATGCACGACCCCGAAGATCGCTTCGCAAAAACATCTTCAAAGGAGAGTACGGACAATAGGTAATCCTTTTAACACCATTCTTATCTTATTGTAAATTTTATGCTCTTCGATTCCGACATATCCTGCACATTCCAATCCCACGTCATCTCTCTTCGCAAACACTTCCGCTACACGAAAGCCAGCGCGCGAAATCTTAGTTCTGTACATTTCCGCTACACGAAAGCCAGCCCGTGAAATCCTAGTTCTGTACATTTCCGCTCTTCTCAAATACGCTCAATAAATATCGAATGCATTCAACCAAAAATTTGGTCTTATAAGCAGCCAGAATTTCAGCAGAGGCATCCAGATAAAAAAAATCAGCCAAAATTACTTGCATCAACCAAAAAATGGAAAAAGCGAATAAACTCGCAACCCAACTTCGAAAGCAGTTCAATAACTTGTCAACCACAATGCTTATGACTGCATTGAAATACCAGGAGGAAGCAAATCATATCCCAGTTGAGCACGCAGATGAATTTACTGAGCTAACACGTAAGTAAAAAGTGAAAACATCGCTAATAGCTTTCCTGGAAAACTCGCTGACAGTCTCAACATTGACAACGAAGCCGTGGGCATCATTGAAAATCTTCTTCTCGCAGAAACAGACGACGAGCTCTCTCTTCACTCATCCAGCGAAGAAAGCGACTCCGAAGAAAGCGACTCTGAAGAAAGCGAGCCCGAGTCGACCTGGACTCAAGGTCACATTGTTGCTGACAGCGGTGAGCAGTACGGTTTGGTCTGCGACGCTTCTACTCAAACAGCTGATTCTGGATATCTTTCCCTCATGGAAGACTACCCGATTGCCTCTCATGATCCCGTTTTCGACACAACTCCCGAAATCAGCCCCATTCAGCCAAGACTCATGAGACTCAACGCAACTTCAACAGATCCTACACCAATGCTGATCGATATCCCTGATGATGTTTCCCTTGGAACGCTTTTCGAAGGCATGATTGAGCCAGAAAATCAAGACTATGTCACTCTTGAGGAGCTAGTTAATCAGCAATCTACAATGACCCCACCGAAAAGCCCAATGCTGATCGACATCCCTGATGGAATCTCTCCTCTGCAATCTGAAATGATGGATACTACAGCTTGTGTCACACCACCAAGAAAAATCAACCGCAACAAAAAAGCACGAAAGCCACGATGCGCTCGACGAATCTTTCCAAGTAATATAACGCAAGCTTTCTTATCTAATTGCTTTTAGAAACTCCATACAAAAAGCAAGTTGAAACCGATTGAAGATTCTCCTTTTCTGCCTGAAACTCTTTTACTGTCTTGATTTAACCTGCATTTCTCGCTCTATTAGACACAAATAAACACTGGTGAACTTTTTACTCGTTGAACTATGTCCTTCATCAGAATAAAACGCGCAGATGATTGCAAAAGTTATGAGAAAATTCGATGTTACTTTTGAGGGTGTTTCCCCGTTCCTTTTTATAGGAGAATTATTCTTGAGCGAGACGCCTTATCAGATTTTTTACGACCAAGACGGCAATCTAAAGAGCACTGGCTTTAGAAATCACATTGCACAAATATCAACAGGCTGTCCTTATTCAACAAAACAGGAATTTGAGAATCATTACAATCTTAGATTTATTGAAATTGAGCATTATCGAAGTAAGTTGATAAGATTCAAGAATGAAGCGTTTTGGTCGAATAGAACTTGCTTTTATGAACAAAACGGCGATCGTTTTCTTGTGGTCTATCCCATTCTTTCTCTTGCTGAAAAACCTACATATGCTTGATAAACGTTTCGACAAAATATCTGATTTTGCTATTGAAATGCCCGACTTAAAGTTCTTTAATTATCACGGTGTTTTTTCACATGATAACTATCTATCCATCGCGAAAGAAATTCGTCGTGAAATTTCGATTTATGCAAGATCAAATCAGAACCAAGAAAAGAAAAGAATGCGCTTCCAACGAGTTGGTCGATTCCGTGTAAAGGATCCCATCAGTGAGCCTCTCAATCTCTTCCTCAAACATGATGAACCAACAAGGATTTTCGTCATTTTCAATCATAAAGGTAGCTCTTTTCGTCCGTAAGAATTCTTTATTTTTTAAGTTATTGAATCCAATCTGTTTCGATGTGAAAATATCAATTGCAACTTGTCTTTCACAAGAAAGTTGGAACTCGAGCGCCATGACTGTTCCAGAGCTCGTCAAATAGAACCAAGTCTCAAACCGTACGGTAAAAACATCAATCCCCTTGTCGACATGATCGAGCTAGGCGTTTTGGATCGTAAATATTCAAAATATCGAAAGACGTCATTTGGTATGTGCGTATTGAAACTAAAAAATTAAATGATTTCTAGTGAGCTTTGATATAGAAACTTACGAAAATCCGTTGAATGAAAAACGACAAGAAACCGAAATCCACTCGTCTCTCAAACTGCTGTCAATTGGAATCGGGTCAAACTTTGGATACGAAAAATTCATAGCTCGCCAAGGAGACGATTCAGATCACGCTCACAACATGGTTGAAGAATTTGTCTTTGCTCTCGAAGAGCTCTCTCAATCACCAGAAACTGCTCTACCTCTGGATTTTGACGTTGCTCTTGAAAAGCTTAATGAGCTTATTCAAAACGGTGAGTTTAATTTTATAAGCAAGTTTACATGACTTTATAGAGACAAGCATCAAGGAAAAAATGCGATTATCATCTTTGCGAAATCAGTTCAAACAGTACTGCGTCATGAACGTCTTCGGATTCAATTCGGCAAAGTTTGATTTGGTTGTCTTGGCACCTTATCTCATCCCATTACTCAAGGAAAGGTATCCAAAGTCTTTCAACGTAATTAAAAAGGGATCCTCCTTCTTTATCGTCTCAACAGAAAGATTTGTGTTCAAAGATGCCATGCTTTTCGGAGCACCGACAAGTTTGGCTGGCTATCTCAAACAGTCTGGAATCACAGAACAAAAATCAATCTGGCCATACGAGCTTTTTCATAGTGTCAATGATATTCGAAATTGTTTTCAGTTTCCTAATTACGAGAGTTTTTTTTCGAATCTCAAAAGTTCCAATGTTGATTACGATGATTATTTGACAGAAATGAACAAATTTGAAAGACTCAAAGCGCAAAATCCGCAAACAACAATGATGGACTGGCTCAAGCACTACAATATGCTAGATGTCAACCCTTTCGCCAAGGCAATCGCGATTCAATTCGAAATCTTCCATGAAGCATTCGGAGTGGATCCATCCATGTGCAGTAGTCTACCGAAGTTTGCAATGATCTGCCTCTTTGATTTGTACTCAAAATCATCGCCATTGTCTTGTAAGTTGATAATATAGATTCTTTCCTCAGATTTTCAGTTTCTTTTGGTCCATCAAGCGCGGAAGAACATCAGTTGTTTCGTGACAATATTATGGGTGGACTCGTCAACGTATTTTCACGATACACAGAGCTACGAGAAGATGTTTCTGCTCCTCACAATGCAAAATTTGCTCCGAACGGAGATAAATTTACGAAAATAATCTTTCTTGATTTCAATGCATTGTATCTCTATGCTCAGAATCAAGAAATGCCGACAACACCTGGTAATTATTCTTACTCAATTTTATTTTAACTTATATAATAGGAATCCGCTGGATTCGTGATGGAAATCTGTTTCGAAAGCAGATCATGTCGAGTGGAAACAGTCTCGCTGCTCTTGAATGGCTCACTTTCATCGACGAATACAGCCCGTTGCTGATAACCAATGATGGCAAACGCGTTCCACTAGAACATCAATACTACCGTGGCGAAAAACAACTTTTCGACTGGACGATCGACGGCTACGCTCTTGTTGATGGTACCGAGCTCTTCTTTGAGTTTCTTGGCTGCTACTACCACTCTTGCTGTCCGGAATGCAAGCCTGGACAGACAGATGAAAATTGGGAACAAAAGAAATCCTACCTTGAAAGTCGAGGACAGCTTATCTTCATTCATGAGTGCGAATGGAAAAGACTCTCTTATCGTCATTTCAAAAAACGATCTAAACATTGGGGACTGATGTTTCAGCGGCACAATGAAGAGGATCTTCTCGCTGAAATCAAGGATGACAATGTTTTTGGATTCATCGTCGCTGATATTCACTGTCCTGAAGAAATCGAGGCTAAAATCAAGCATCTCAACTTCCCTCCAGTTATACAGCGTATGACTATAACTGAGGATTTGGTCTCTCCATACATGAAAGAGCGAGCAAATGCAGCTGGTAGAAAGATTGAGCAGAACACCGTCGTTCAAACCTTTAACGGCACTCAGCAGCTGATATTGACAAAAGTGGCAAAATTCTACATGGATCTTGGACTAAAAGTAAGAAATGTCTCCCGTTTTGTCCAGTATCGTGCTGATCGCTGTCTTGGGAACTTTTGCAATACCATTACTGAAGGACGGATAAAATCGCTTGAGGAGAAAAACAAGTCACTTGCCCTTGCTTTCAAAACCGTCGGCAATTGGTATGTTACAGCAGCTGATTTTCTAATAACTTTTTCTTTAGCGGCTACGGCAAGATGGGGGAGATTGTGGATCGTCCAAGGGTCAATTTTTGCAATGAAGATCAACTTGCGAGAGCTGTTCAAAAACCAAACTTCAAGTTTACGGAGCCGCTCACGAGGGAAGATGGAGATTACGAACTTTCACAAGTGACAGTAACACCTTCAAAAATCATGGACAACAAACCAATCGTTCTCGCCGTCGCGATTCTTCAGCAATCGAAATTGTTATTTCTACGATTCGTCTATGATTTTCTATTCAAGTACCTCGAGGAAGGAAGTTTCAAGCTCAATTATTGCGACACTGATTCATTAGCGATCTGTGAGTTGAATACTTTTTCAAAATTTACATATTTGATAGCAACGACGAGGACGGCTCCATCGGGCGAAACGCGCAAATCCAAAATTGCATCGACTTTCTTGCCAATTGTGAAGCCGCATCTTCGAAAAGCCTTTTTACGAGAATGGCAGAACTGGTTTGTTTTAAAAGACACTCACCGTAATGAGAAAACTCCTGGTTTGATGAAAAGTATGAAACGCTCATTTCTTTAAAACTAACGTTTTTTAAGCGGAATGGGAAACAGACTGTGGTGCTCTTATAGCTCTTGGAAATAAACTCTACATCGGAATCGATCCTGAAACTGATGAAAAGAAGAGATCTACAAAAGGAATTCCTCACAATGTCGAAATCGAGTTCGAATCAATGCGAAAATGTTTGAAGGGCGAAGTTCTTGAAAACAATAATTTTGATCTCAAAACTCTGCGCCGTCAACCGTCAAATGGTTTAGTTTGCCGGACGAGTACTTCAAAGCGCCTGCTTAGTGACGTCTTTTTTAAGTTCTATGTTGAAGCCGATAAAATAACCTGTAAACCATTATCAAAAGATGGCAAGCTGCTTTGAAAACTGATCATGTGTGACGCCTCTGTATAAAACTGAACTCTTTCTCAAAACTCAATAAAATGCCTTTTAACCCAACTGAAAGATCTGAGCTTTTGAAACTTACGAATTTATTTGGAAGCGAGCAACTCACTCTCGACGATGACGAGTATGCTTTCTTTGAGAGAATAGGAAATATGAGACAGCTGAGGAATTACTTGATCATCAATCCTCCAAAACCAAATCGGATCGTCGAAACTGCTGTTTTGATTCTGCTCGTTGATGATCAATTTGCACTGACCGAAGTTTTAAACGCTCTCAACGAGTTTCTCAATCCTCCGTACCGGCTGCTCATTGACTTTTCCTTTTTACTTGAAAAACCAGATGCGATAGATGAAGAGAGTCGATTCCGATACTCTTGGGCTCAAATGAGTACCAGCTTACCTCTCGACATCAATCTTATCAAAGATGACATATCTTTCGAAAAACTCTTGACAGAGCTTCCTTCAATGCCTGAAATTCCTGACATTGTTGCACGATCTCATTCCAACCAGAGTCATTATAACGAGTCTGGATATCAGCTCCGAAAAATTCTAACCTGCAACATATTCATAACCAAATTTGAGTAGAAATTTTATTTCTGAAAATAACACCGAAATAAAGAAAAGAAATTTCAGAACCGCAGTAATTTGTAAGAGCAGAAAACACAAGCACAGAGCATGGTAATCGAGAGAGTCGGAATCAGGAGATTTTAGTCGGAGTAGCTTGTCCAGTCCATGTTGTCGAGGACGAAGTCGTAGAAAGTAAGGTTATTCCGGATGTCAAATTCTGTCTGAGTTCTTTTTCCAATGATGCAGACGCCAATTTCTCCGGCGATGAGATCCGGGAGGGCATTATCAAGTTCTTCCTTCTTGAAAAACTTTTTCAGTTTCATCAGCTCCCGTCGATTGTCAGAAGTTCCAGTGATCGTGACGAAAAATCCGTACTGTTTGGCAACTCGGACGGAAAAAGAAATAACTTGAAATTTGGTCATTTTCGTTTGTTTTTTCAGTTTTCTGAATTTTGATGAGTCTACTGAGATGGGTACCGCTTAAATATATTTCAATTCATGCTCTAGTAGATTTGACCTTTTACCCGTGAAATATCAATTAGCAATATCAAGATGTAAAAGAATCTACCGATTCTGAGAACCAGATGTAGATACGGCTATTATTGTTACACATGTCTTAGAAAGCAGATGCAACCATGCAGATAGCGGAAGCAGCGGCTGTGGGAACTCCAGATTTTAATCCGATTACTATCAGCCGGACGTACATTGGCGCCATCTTAGCGCTAGACTAAGTTCTCCATATTTAACTCCACCCAAAACACGAAACTCCATCAAATTATGTCAAATCTAACAAACCAAAAGCCTCTTGTCGGCTTCAACACTCGAGCAAACGTCGTCTATCGCAGCAAGAGTCCTTGGTCTCAGACCATCTACGCAGAACCTATCTACGAAGAACCTCCAAGCCCTATCTACGACCCAAACCATCCCGACTACGACGCTTCAGTCTACGACATGCACATTTCAGGAGATCTGACTTACAATCCTGTCAGCCCAGTCTACCAACCCGACGACGCTTCCTCTGCCAGTGACTTCTCCGACAGCGACTCCTCTGACAACGACTCTTCTGAGAGCGATTCTTCCGACAGCAACTCCTCCGACAGCGACTCCTCCGACAGCGATTCATCCGACGACGACTCCTCCGAAGACGATGTCATCACAATCTCAGACGACGATCACATTACAATCTCAGATGACGATGTCATCATGATTTCCGATGATTCAATCATTAGCGTCTCTGATGAGGAGCCAATGGAGATTGACGACGAGCCCGTGCAAGGCTGCGAAGAATGGGAAACAGCTCGGCAACGCTTCATCCAGCATCACATTGACATGGGCAACATCCGAACAGAAACCGACTAATTTTTCCTCCTCTACTCTCATACTTCACCTTAGATTACTGTTTTTCTATTGCTGTGCTTAACCTGCTGTAAATTTTGTCTTTGTAATAAAACACCAAAAACCTTAAAATTCAGTGTTTTTATTGACAGTTAAAGAACTTCTTTTTCGACAGAACCATGCTCGTCGATAGTGATTTTTACAGAGTGACATGACCAAATTACAAGCGTTTGATTTTCCGATGGATTTTCTTTGAAATCAAGAACGAGATTCAACCATCCTTGCGTTTCTTCTGCTCCAGAAAACTCATGCGCAAAAATTGCTGATTTTTTGAATTGGTCAAGTGACAAGGCAACTCCTGAAGTCGTCGATACAAGTCTATCAATAACATCCATAAGACGAAAATATGGCCAAATCGGAAGCTCATTCGTTATTTTCTTAATAAAAAATAAGTTTTGAAAACAATGGTGATAACTACCATCGGGAATCCCAAGCAAGATTGACCATTCAGAGTCAAATTGACGTTTTGCAAGTCTTCATGAAATGCGAATCTTGTCGTCTCTCGATTAAGTGACCCTTGAAAGGACTCAGTATCCGTGAGCGCAAAGAAGAGGACATCAGGCGTGTTTCCTCCCTTGATATTATGAAGGGTGATATTTGACGTGTTGGCAGGTAAGTCTCTGGTGGAAACAGTAATTTCCTGGTACTTGTATGAAATCGGCTTCGACTTGATTCGAGAAAAATAGTTGCGCATCGAAGGACTTGTTACATATTCACAGAGAGCATAACAATCTTTTATTTCAAGAGGTTTTCCCTTATGAACAGCTGTGGCTGGGGTTGATCCTATGTAAACCGTAGAAAACTCCGAATTGAGTCGGTTGAATTTGAGTTTCATCGTTGTATTCAATGGCAGTGGCTTGTTATCCAAGCAGAATCCGTTACTTGGAAAAAATACAAGCTCGTACACATAATAATCGCCATCCTGAGCGCACTGTGGACGTCGTAATGTTTGCAGCAGTTCTTTATCAGATTTCCTTTCCAAGTAGTCGTAGACTTCGTGGTCGTAATAGCCTTCAATCTGATACGCTGTCGAAACATAGTCTCGATTAAAATTCCCAAATTTAGTCATGTAATCAGCAAGAAAGTATTCGCAACTAAAATAATTCAGCAAAATTAAACAAGTTCATCTTACGTTGTCTTTGAGCTTGAAATAAGCTGCGAGTTGATCTCAACTTCCATCACACCGAATTGCTTAGCTGCAAATCCATTACTTGGAATATAATCTTTATGAAGCGAAATCGTCATATGAATCGCGATTTTGTTTTTCAGCAAAAATAAGTTCGGGTCGCTTTCAAACTCGAACGTAAGAATCTCTGAAGATTGAAGATCCTTCGGAAAATGTTTTTTAAGGACGCGAGTGTCATATTTATCCTCCATTTTTCTAAAAATTAAAGATATTATTTACTTAAAAAGAGAGTTTATTAGAGTTCACCACAATTTGTAAAGAAGAGACAAAAGTATAGCATCATTGTTGGAAAGTGTACGAGAAAACAAAGAAACTGCTGCAGATAATGAATGAGATTGACGGTACAGAATAAAAAAACATGAATATAAACCACAGAAATAAGATTTGTTTGGCTGTATTTTTCGTATTTTACGCACAGGCTTGGATAACAAGAATTTTTTTATAGTTTCTGGATAATTTGCAAGATTAAGACTGTCATAAACTTCAATACTATTCTCGTCTTCACGAATTGCAAACCAGTGGGTACCTTTCTGATTTGAATTATCAGTATTGAGAATAAAGAAGGAAGGAAACGATGTGCATTTTGGAATCGCGTCACATGGAAACGATCCTATGAAATTTTGCACACGCTGAAGTCTTTTGACAATAAGAAACTCACTCATCGTCTTCTCTTTTTCGATCGCTTCTTGGATCTTTTGGAAACGTTTGTTTTTTGAGTATTTCTTTTTTTCTTTGATGATTTTTTGACTCCGTTTGACATGCTTGGAGACCATTTTCGTTTACTTTTTCCTTCACCAGTTTGCTGAATAGGGGTCCAGATTTTGCGTCGGTTCTGAAGAGCTTTATTGATCTTTGCCATTCGTCTCTCTTATCAGAATCTGGATAAAAATCTCGGAAAATTCAATAGCTCCTGTCTTCACTTTGAGTTCGAAGCAAGTGGCACCAAGCTGATTAGTTCGCAGCGGATGGAAAACTGTAGGATTGCCTGAGGTCATCTTGAAAAATCGAGCTCCATAAAGAACTAACATCGATAGAGTGTACGGCTTTGGTCCAGGAAGAGCTTTTATTCCGTTGTAGAGAACCTCTATCAGCGAATATGTTACTTGTTCCGGTTCGATGATCCCGCATATGTTGAGTATCCCGATTTCATAGTTTTTGTTTTCATCTAGCACAATATCTGGAAGTTTCAAGGGAGTTTTATTTCCGTAAAGACTCAAAATCATCAGCGACTTTGTTTAATTCGTAAAAGTATTTGATCCCTTCTTGTCGATTTCCTTCCAAATCTCCTATTTTATACCAGACAACTCCTGCTCTTTGTCGAACGTCAATAATTTTGTAAAGCTCAGTCGACCAGTTTTGTTTATAACCCTTATCGAAAATCTCTTTTTTCAGCTTGACTCTGACAATATTTCCAATTTTTAGTTTTGGAGATGTGACGTCGTTGATGTCTGGAAAGAGACTGGCAAAAACTTGTTTTCGATTTGACTCGTTCACATCCTTTGGCGCCATCTTTATTGATGAATGAGGAGTTGAGTTGTAACCCTTAACCACTTGATCAAGAAAGTCAATCCATTTTTTTGACTTGTTTTTCACCATACATTTTTCGAGCCTTTCTTTTATAGTACGATTCGCTCGCTCAGCAATCGACGCTTTTAATGGGGTTTTTATGCTGTAGTGATGAATGCCATAGCGTTCGTAAATTAATTTTGCCTTGTCATTGTAAAACTCAAGTCCTTGATCCGTGATAAGAGAGTTAGGCCAAGCGGTAAAATCTTGAAAAATATCGTTAAGACAGTTTGCGGTTGTCGTTTTGTCTTTATTCTTCATAGGTCTCGCCCAGATAAATTTTGTAAAGCAATCGATCATCAACAAGATAAATTTATAGCCATGATTATGATAGGGGTCTTTTTGATATTCAATAAGATCTGCCATGAAGATTTGAAATGGGTATTTCACGATGATTCGACGACGGGGAAATATTTTCTTGACAATCCGACGATGAGTGCTGTGGATTTTATTCTGACGAAGAAAATCCGCTATTTTCGCTGTAAACGCTGGAGGATTTTCGACGTTTTCGTAAAGTTCTTTGATCGTCTGACTCGGTTGCGGTTGAGCTGTCGCTATCTGAGGAGTAATATTTTCGTTGCTTTTTGGGTTTTCTTTCGCGCTTTCGTCTCTTCTTTGTTGATTTTGTGTATCTTTTTGTTCTTTTTCTTTGCGTTTCAACCGGTTCTTCAGCCGAGCAGCTCGTGTCGTCGGTAAAGCTGTCGATTTCTGAGAAATCTCTTTTACGCGACCTTTCGCAGCTCTGTTTGATCTCGTCCTCATTTTTCAAAGTTGCTGAAAATTTTCGCGCTCTCTCTTCGATTTCGAAAAATCGTGAAAAATCAGTTTCGTTGATAATATAACCCTTCATGCCATCAACTGAGTATACAACCGGATGTTTTGCGAATATATCCGTGTATAATCTATAGCTCGAGGCAAAAGCTCGCGGCGACTGGTCGATGAGAAAATACGGATATTGTTCATGCTGAGTATCAGCCTCAGCAGCGTCCAATGCTTTTGTGAGTCCGAGCTGTTGGCAGACCCTTTTGTTTATTCTCAAGTCGCAGTAATTTCGGAGAAGTACTGTTATATTACACTGGTTGCGAATATCTCTCGTAAATTTGCCAGAAGTAAAATTATTTTGCGTCATAATCATGACATTCAACATTTGTTTTCCGCTTGTGACTCGAAAAAGGTGGTCGACAGCAGTACTTTCTACAGCACCATCGTAATTATCGTCAATTACGATAGTTGTATCCTCATCCATTTCTTCAATATCTTCTTGAGATGGAATTCCAATCCTGTAAGAGACGGGAATCTTCAATGTTTTCTCCCAGTTTACCGGGCGCTGCTTTATGAAACATGGGTAATAATAGACGACTCTTTTTGCTTTTCTTTCAAATAAATCACTTCTCTCCAATATCTTTCCGGCGAGATATGTTTTTCCGCTTCCAGACGCTCCGCTCAAAAGTATTCTGTACGGATACGCAAACTTGGTCTTTGGAATAATATCTCCGTTTAGTGAGAAACTCATTCTGGTAAAAGTCTGCTGGCATCACTCGAATTTATAGGACTTGAAAATAACCTAAGGCAAAATATAGTATTTATTTATTCCCGTATTTGCAGATTGTTTCAGCGAAGTTTTGAATCATTTTGAAAGAGCAAGTATCTTTGATGAAATTGGTGTTATCTCATGCGAAAATGCTTCATTTTATTGGTTTTTTTACCACAATTTGGATGAAATCAATGAGGAAATTTGCGCTTCATTTCATCAATCCTGATTATGTAGAAATTTATGCATCATTTTATGAGTTGTCACAATATTGTCTTCTTCCTTCTAATTCTTTAGCTTCATTTCGACTTTTTCATAAACATAAAATTTCAAGTTTCATTTTTAGTTTGTGATTTGAACCTTAATCGCCTCCTCTATAAGCGGACACGTGTCCAAAAGAGGTCGCAATGTGCAGCGTCTTGCGCGAGGTCATGCACCCTGCTGAGCGACTAGCCACCTCAGCGTGTTACCAACACCTAGCTCCCTCTTTTGTCGTGGACAGTCATAAATACGACCGTAAAACCTGGTTGGGTATCAAACACAAAATGAATCAAAATTCTTTATTTTTTCCATGATAATTTTTCGATGAGAATCCATTTTGAAATGAATCCAAATACTTAATTATTTCCATTGACTCAGTTGATAAGTTTTGATAAAATGAAACGAGAATAGTAAGAGCAAACAGAGTGAGTATGATGACGACAAAAAATGATTCCACTGTTATAAAATGAAGCTAAATTATTTGTTATTGTCATTGATTTTCCATTGCCAATAAAAAATTTACAAAATGATATCTTGTTTATTCTACAATAGTTGACAGACATAGAGGACATGAATTTGCTTGTTCAAGCCATTTTTTTATACAGGAAAAATGGAATTGATGACGGCAGGCAGGAACTGTTGCAGCGAGAGCGTCTTCTATGTCGTCCAAGCAAATCATGCATGGATCAGCTTCGTGTTCAACCAATTTGTGAAGTAGAGCTGCGCAGCGGCGAGAAACTTCCCTTGCATGAGCAGTTGGTCTGGGAACGATTCTCCCATCTGGAGTGACAAACATCGACCGATTTCGAGCATCGCCCGGCGAAGAAGAGGGGCTGAAGCGAGACGAAGGGAAAAACTGATCTGGTCTGTTTTCAAAATTTCGCTCGACAAACCAGCTCCCGCATCGACTACAACAATACGGTCTGCAAATAAAATCCGCTCTTTGGTCGCATCCCATACAGAAATAAAGAGACATTCTAAATTTAAAGTGCTTTATTTCGAAGGATAAAAAATTAACTTGAGGAAAACAGAAGCGGATTAAGAAAAGAAAAGAAAATAACATTTCGGAATACTAAAAAAGACAATTGCAAGCTACACATCGTCTCTTAAACAAGTTTTCAGCAATTTTGATGCAGGAATTGCAATAGAAATGACAGCAAGGTGTCTAATAATGATATTCAATAATGCTTGAACCTCTGGGGTAATTTTAGAATATCATTTCCTGGTAGCTAGCTTTTGGCTCTAAGCAAATATAACAGGTTTTCTCTCCTCTTCTGAAATCTCCCTTTCTCGAGCGATTCGAAGGTTGGCTTTTCGAATAATTGATTTTGAAGATTCAGCCCAAGAATATTCCAAAGGTCGTCCCCAGTCACGGAAAGCTCTCTGCACATGTTTAATGTAGACTTTATTTCTCGTTATACGAGCATGTTTGAGAAGCTGTTCCCATTCGCGGGGAGAGTATGGGTGATAATAGTGTTCTCCACATTTGTAACAACAATCCTCAATTTTGACACGACCGTCTTCTAACGGAGTTCTGATTGTTAGCAATCGAGTCTCATCAATGCATAACATACACCAAATATGAGCGTGACGGGTGGTCACTTGATACTTTTCTCCAAAGCTCATTATCAATCTAGAATTTTAAAGTTTTATTCACATAAGAAAAGAGAAAGTTGATATATGAAAAATATCGTAGTAGAGGTGACAAATTTCGGAAAGATAATTGATCAGAACAATTAATAGTCAAGAAAAAATCCTGCGTAGAGGTGTTCATTTTTTCGAATGTCAATTCCATCGTAAACGAATCGTGTGTTGCAAGCTGGGCACTTTTTGTCGAAATGCTTTTTCGCTTTTTCTACACATGAAGTGCAGAAATGATGACAGCATGGCGTCTTATTACGTTATTCAAATCAGTCGAATAGGAAAATGAGAATTCTGAAACTATTATTTCATAATAATATCTTTCACACTTCTTTTCTCTGAACTGTCGATTAAAGAGAATACAGTAAAGAGGACTTGAAACGACGTTATCAAAATAAGATCGTGTCACGACCTCTTTTGTGTAAACCTCTGAAAATTTGAATAGCTTTTCCTGGAAGTCCGCATTTGGCTCCAAGCAAATCAGGCATTTGGTTTTCTCTTCTTGGCTTATCTCTCGTTCTCGAGCCATTCGAAGATCACTTTTTCGTATGATTGACACAGCTGGCTCAGCGACAGAGAACATGAGGTCAGGTTTCCAGTCACGATGAAGGCTTTCCATTCCAGCATGGAATCCGTAAATCTTCTTTCTCGTTACGCGACAACTGCTGAGAATGTGCTCCCACTCTTTTGGACTGAAAGGTTGATAACAGCACAGCCCGCACTTGTGGCACATATCCTCGCAATCGATAAGTCCCTCAGATTGAAATCCCTTTGAGATAAGTCGAGTCTCTTGAATGCACTTAAAGCAAAATATGTGTGCATGTCGAGTAGTCACAATATATTTTCCTGAAGAATTCATTTCTGATAGAATGAAGGGTTGCTGGTCGGAATTTATACCGATCTCAAATTTCCTTAGGCAAAAAATAAATAGACCGTTTCAATCAGAACCTACTTCCGGTTGAAAGGTCAGAATACAATTTTCAGATGCTGTATATTCTCAAGGAAGCTCACTTCCGGGGTAAAAGATGATTATCTGTGTGCTGTTTCCATGTACATTTCCCAAAGCAGTCAACAGTAAAAAACATCAAAGATTATCTCTCTTCAGTGAACATTACCCGAGCAGTGATCATCAGAACCAAATTGGATTATCTGTCTACTGTTCCCATGAACATTTCCCAAACCAGCTTGTCTGGGATACAGGCGGTAATCTGTTTGATCAATTTAACAGTACTTCCTGTATCCCAGACAAGCTGGCGCCAGACCGTGAAATTGACCTTTATGTAAAACATGGTGTTTTTACATACTACTCCCAAGCTCATTTTTTATAAGAGAAAATGAGTAGATCTTTAAAAGACGGCCAATATGTTGGTATTGACGATTCTAAATTTGGTGATCCAAGAGGAGTCACAACAGCTAGAGACACCCAAGCTGGAACAACTGTAATGATTAAATGGTTTCAAATACGATCAAGGGAGCAACTCGAAGAAGCAAAAGAAGAAGCTGATAATTTGAAGTCCTTTGGTAAGACAAAAGGCTCGTTTTCTTCTTTGAAACTCCCTAGATCATCCGAACATCGTTAAATTTTTCGATTATCTTGGCAATGTTCGACCCGCTTGGTGGGAATTCGGTCCTTTATCATTCATTGTTATGGAGTATTGCGATGGTGGAAGTCTATCCGATTGGATTGGAGACATGGAAAGGAAAAATAAGCTCCCTACGCGCGATGAAGTTTTTCATATTTCATCACAGATAGTTGCTGGCTTACGATATTGCCATATGCAGAATAAAGTGCACTTGGATATCAAGCCCGCCAATATATTTCTCAAATCAAACGGAATGGTTGTGAAGATTGGAGACTTTGGCAGTGCTTCTGCAGTCAAATCAGTTGTCAAAACTTCTACGTCAACTAATGCAGCGCATGTCAAAAATACCGAGCTTTATGCTCCTCCAGGTATGGTTGAAAACTACTGATCATTTGAATATTTTTGCAGAGCTCTTTACTGAGTTTGGCATCGCAAAGTCAGCAGCATTGGACATTTGGGGATTCGGCCTCGTTCTTCAAGAATTGATAACGCTCAAACACGCTTTTTATCCGGTGAATGATCCTCTTTTAAATCTTTCGAATCAAATAAGTAAGTTATATCAATTTGTGCCTGTAAATTCATGATTAAGAGTCAAACATACGTGACGGCAAAAGAACAAAAATATTTGATTTCCGAGAAGATTTCGCGGAATTCACCGATTTTGAAGACCTTTTGAAAAAATGCTTGAGCTCTGAAAAAAGAGACCGACCGAGAAATGCTATTGAACTTGCTTCTGAAAATATCTTCCAGCACGTATTTGCTACAGATGAGAATACTGAAGATAAAACAGTCAGTGAAAAATTCATTGAATTGGAGAAAAAGCTGGAGCGTGAAAAAATCGAGAATAGATCACTTGAAACTTCTAATCGTATGTTGAATGAAGAAAATTCGAGATTGAACGACGAGCTTGAAAAATTAAGAAAAAAATATCAAAAGACCGACCTTCAAAATACGAAATTTTTCAAATTGAAAGTGGACTATGATGAAATCAAAGAACAAAACAGAAAACTGAAACGAGAAAACGAAAAACTCCTAGCGAAGCTATCACAAGCAACATCTTCAAGAAGCACTGTTGCCTTGTCGACTCCATCAGTCGTAGTTCAGCCCCAACAACGCCGAGTTGTTACAACTAGAAGAGTTACTTCGCGTGTTATTCGTAAGCCTTCTTCAAGCTCATCACGACCAAATTCATCTAGTAATACGTATACTGTCTGAAGGAAGATATTTCTAATTCATTTATTAATCCTTCATTTGTTCAAAAAATAACCACAACTTAAAGTTCTTCGTGAAGAGTTCTTCCTTGAATAATCTTCCTTATATCTGCTGCCACCACATTTGGCTCTTCCCAATGAGCGTAAACACGTCGCACAAACCCTTCGGGGTCAACGAGATATTTCCAAAAATTCCATCTTGGCGCGAAACCGGAATATTTTTCAAGCTCTTTCCAAAACTCATCTTTCTCCACATCTAAATCCTGTAAATCATGTTATCACTAATTTTGACGATACTCACCAAGTTTTTCGTAGATCGGAAAGTTCAGACTAAATTTATCGTTCATATTTTTGCGGATCGTTTCAACATCTTCAGGTTCTTGCTCGCCAAAATTATTGGTAGGGATAGCAATGATCTAAGAATAGTAACAGGAGTCGAAGGCAGTCTCCTGCTTACTTTAAGTTTATCACCAAACTCTTCTTTTATCGAAACAAGCTGAAGTATTGAGTCAAAATCGCTCTTCTTTAGTAAAAATATACCTGATTGTAGTTTAGCTCTGTATATCCGCAATGACTCGCAACATTGACTTGTTCAGTTTGATAAAAATATATTATTTTATTATTTGTTTGTATTATACATTCAGAATGTAACATTCTTTACAATTGCCTGAAGTCATGATGATCAAACCGTTCCTATAATCACAAATTGTCCTTTAGCATCAGCGATTTGAAATGTTTCATCGCCTTCGTAAAGAGGAACCCTCGTGAAATCGGCGTAAACAAAACTAAAATATTATATTCTTAATTTTCATCTTCAAAAACTACTACCTGACTATGCAAATAAACAGATTGAAATCTCTCATTTTTAGAAATTTTAATAAAAAAATACAAAAGAGGGGAATATTTGGCTCTGGTTTGTTTTGGGTAGGTTTCACACCAAAGCTTCAATCGAAAGAGAGGGTCGTTAAATTTCGAAACAGCTGACGTCTTTTCAGTACAACTGCGTTCTATTACTCTCATGTTCAATTTAAAAGAAACCGTTTTATTGCAACTTTTTATAAGAACGCAAAGTGAATCAAGAAAAAGAACGATTTTCGCAGTAACGAAGTTAGACGAACGACCAAACCCATGCATCTCTTGACCAATCCTCTGACTCAGTTTTATTAACAAATCTTACTGATCTTGATTTTGAAGCTCTGAGGCTTAACTCTTTAATTAGTGATCTTATCATTGAAAACTTATGAAATCACTGCCTTGAAGAAGGTCTAAGCCGTCGACATGATCGTGTTTTATTTTCATCGCTTTTCTTACTGTTCCATTATTTTTGTCATACGTGTAATCGTCGTCCCACTGAATTTGGAATCTTCCAGACTAAAATACATGCAATTTAAATCTTTGATGGCTCGTCTAAAAACATTATCTGGATGAGGGATGAGTCTCCATATTGAACCGTCCTCAGAAAGCTGGACGAGAGGAAAACCATTTTTGTGAACTTTTCTCCACTCCAAATTGCGTTCTCGATTCACAGTTACTATTTTTCCTCTTATTTGTTCATTTTCTAGCGATTCAATTTCGTGAAACTGAACACTTTCTCCTTCTCCTATTATGGCTTCAAGACAGAATTCGGTATTGTTCCAGATTCCAACTTCTCTTATCTGGCGGTTCTCGATCATAAGTTTGGACTTCACATACTCTGTTGTCGTTGTCGTTGTCGTCGTTGTCGTAGTTGTCGTCGTCGTTGTCGTTGTTGAAGAACTAGATGTTATTGTCGTCGATGTTCCAGTCGTCGTTGCTGTAATATCAATGGCCGTAGTTGTCGTTGTCGTAGACTCGGTTGGCAATGAGTTTGTAGTTGTAAATAAAGTTGTGGAAGATGCAGGTTTCGTTGTTCCGTTATATTTAGTTGTACTCCCGTTGTTTGGTATTTCTGTTGGTGTATTTGCTGTCGTGGTCAATAGAATCAAAGTTGTATCTTCATACACTGTTGCCGGAGGGACTGCTGCATCATTTTCCTGAGTTGTTGTCTCTGATTCAGAGGTCTGCTTTTGAAAAAATTTAGGAGCGGTGAGAATTACCCCCACTGAAATTATAACCAGAAGAAGGTTGGTAAAAGTCAAAATTCTTCGCCTTTTATTTCTCATAATTATTTAAAAACTAGAAGTGGTGATCTCATAAGAAGGGTCTCTCGTGATATTTGAACGGATAAGTGACATTTTCAGGACTAAATCATTTGATAGTGTCCCGATTCAGATATTTACTTATTTTGATCAGCAGATTGTTCCAACAGAGGGCTTTCTTCTATCGTAAAAAGTCAAAAAGTCAATGATGACTTCTTCCTCTTTTCCTAAATTTATTCCTGTTCAAGAAGAAAATGCGTCGATATATGTTTTGGTATTCTTAGAAGACTCCTCCTTGTTTGCAGCCAAATTTTGCCAAGTTGTGTCAGCTGTGCATTTAGTAAATGCTTTGCTAAGTACTTGTTTGAAATTTAAACCTAACACCGATTCGTTTTTCATGCACACTGTTGCATCAATCAAGCTGGACAGCTTAACCTCCAGGCGAAGTAAACAACGCTCCATTCAACGAGTCTTCCATTAAAAAGAATTGTTTCATTTTAGATTGCCCTCCGGAGGACCTCTGACGCAACTAAATATTCTTTTTTTCTAGAAAGAATTTGATATAAGTATCATAACAGAGAGAAATTGCGAAGAGAAAAAATGTCCGGTTTGCGGGGACGAGCTGGGAGAAGTAGAATTCAAGGCGGTCGAGGACGAGGAGGGTCTTCGTCGAGAAATACGGCCGATTTCGCGAGGCCTGTTTCGCAAAGAACAACTTTTGCTAATGCAGAGGTATGATACGTAATGATATCGTAAATGATGAATGTTTAGTTCTCGCAAGTCAAGTTTCAATCAAAATCGAAGAAGTCTGTTGAAGAGAGCACAAGAAACTTTGCGTTCGAGAAGGAAGACAAGCCGCCAGATCTTGAGCCCTTCAAGAAGCACATGATATCTCCCGGTTCTTTTGTCGAGTATCACGTGGCTGTCTTCGAAAATGAGGAAGAGCTGTCGAAGAAGCTCATCAAGTATCTTCCTGTAATGGATGATGATACTACTCCAGGAGAGGATAACTAAAGTCTATTGACACTAGAATTTCTTACTGTGGAATAAAATTATCGTTATCCAGTCTGTCAGACACCCTCCGACGTCTTCTAAGATGCGAGTACCTTCCGGAAAAGAGACCTTGGCCGAATCATATGGAAGAAATCCGCTCAATAACAACCCAAAACCTTCAATCAAGATTTGAAGAATCCTCCTTTGACCGTGCAAAATGCAATCTGATACGCTACGAGAAAGACATTTTTACGTTTACCGGAAACGACCCTGAGTTTTATTGCATCTTTGGCGATAGTCGGACAATCTTGTTTCAATCAAGGTAAGAAATTATAAAATTGAGCGTGTATCAAATCTTTTCAAGAAAAAGCCGGAAAACGCGATTCCGAATCGTCACCTTCTCTGGCTCATTATTGATCCTCTCTGGGAATATCTTCAAAGACTGGGACATCACAATCCCCATCGAGTACCATGATCGGGACTCGACCGTTTTGATAAACTTTTAGAGTTTATATGGTGCTACTTCTCTGTCAGTAATCTGCAATAAATTTTCGCTAATCAACAGTTATTGAATGGGACGTATGTATTTGAAAACGAAATAGCAGTCGAAAATGTCAGAAATTTGAACAGGGTTTTGAGAGATTGGTAACCAAATAAAGCTGCTAGATCCTGTTTTTCTTAGCACAAAGTATAAAAATATGAAATTTTTATTTAGTGGCTTGATAAAAAAGGACTCTAATCAGGCGATTTTTAATAATTTACTTTATTGTCGATGCACTTTTGGGATCACCTTCATAACGAATTTTGCGAGAGAATGAATTTTGCGGTTTACAGCTATATTCAGTTATTTTTACAAAGTTGTCACATGACGCCGGTCTGATAGAACGAGTGAGAAGCTTGTTGTGGAACTTGTTGGAATTGGAACGGCTGAGCGAGCTGCGTCATCGCTGGAATCACGTGGAACGGAACGCTTAATTGAACGGTTGAGATGACATTTGAAAGAATCGTTTACCTTTGAGGAATTTGCGAGATTGGATTCTGAGCTTGAGGAACTGTCTGCTGTGGAGCTGTCTGTTGATAGGTCGTCGTTGCCGTTTGTGTCGTTGCTGTGGGCACAGCAGCTGTTGAAACAGGTACAGTAGCAGATACAGCTGCAGGTGTGGTTTGATTTTGCTGGGCAATGAGAGTTTGCAGGTCCAATCCTTGGATTTGCTGCCCGAATTGGCTAGTAAAAATGAGAAGCTGAAATCAAGGAAGACTACTTACTTATATGGCAGCACAATCATCGGGGATTGCTGAACTTGCTGTTGGTTTGCAACCAGAACTGGTTGCTGAGTTCTTGTATTGTTAGCAACAGCTGTAGGCCGAACCATGGGATTGTACCGTCTGCCCTTGTAGGTTGCCTGATTCACAGCGGTGTTGACCGCGGATTGTCCGTTTGCAACTTGCGCGACAGATGGGGTTGATAGGATGGTGCTCGCTTGAACTGGTGCAAGGGATGCTGTAGGAGTCACAGTAGCTGGGAAGCCTGTTAGCATCGATGCTTGAACAAGCCATTCAATTGGAGGTTGAGATTGAGATCGAGCGAAGGAAATCTGGAGAGGCTCAGTCGCGCTGGGAAGGGTCTTTCCGTTCATTTCCTTCAAAACATAATAGAAAGAGTGTAAGATAGATGTTTTCTACCTCGCAAGCTCGTTCAGCCATTGCCTTTTCGGCGTACAGGAGAAAGCCAACTCCAGTGCCAGTTTGAGTCGCTGGGTCAAAAAGGATTCTTGCATTTCGAATGGTGCCGAATTGATTGAAAGAATCTTCGAGGTCTTTTCTCGTCCAATGTTTCGGGAGGCCCTGATTAAAGTTAAAATACGTACATCGTAAGCATACCGTATGCTGCATACGTATTATATGTTTACACATGCGTATGTCAAGTGAAAAAATCTTGCAATAAGAGTTCAATTTTCTATTGAAAATCAGATAAATTTTCTGCGAAAATCTAATTTTACCTTTATATAAAGATTGATATTGCGCGTCCGATCGCCCGAGGGGAGAGAATAAGCCACCTTGAGCCGCTTATGTCCGATTTGATATTGATTGAGCTTACGAATTGCTCGCTCAGCATCCTCAGCAGATGCCATGTCGATGAAGCCATAGCCGAAGGAGTAGCCGGTCTGGCGGTGGCGGATGATTCGCGCTTTATTGACGCGGCCGACGGTTGAGAAGAGGTTGAAGAACTCTTGGTCCGTGAAGCTCTTAAAATTTTTATCAGAAAAAGAGCTTCATTGCTGTAGTTCTGTTATTCCTGTTGAAAATCGTCAAACGTATTTAGATAACATATCCCTGAACAATTTAAAAGAAGGAGGGCCGGATCTTAATTCTAAACAAGTCAACCCGCAATTTATAAAACAGCAATTCCAATCGCTTCTGCGATCCAAAGAGATCCAAAGAGCCCGTGGCCCACACCCTTCCTTATTTTCAAGTTGATATTATTTTGCCAAGCTTTTTTTTATCCACAAGTTAAAAGAAGAGTCTCGGATTTTTTTGAAAAGGACCCTCTTTGGCTGGCTGAAGTGTTTTTGCGTCGCTTTGTTCAATTCATCTAAGCTGCGCTCAAAGCTTTTACAGGACGCGGTGATGCGCTTGCGTCCTGCCAAATCGGTTCTTAGCCGCCTTTCGAGCACTTTTTTCGTAAGCAAGCTTGTCAAAACAAAATCTATAGCTATTAATCCAAACAGAACTTCCCCACCCAAAAGACCGAAGATTGTCCATGAAATCTTAGAATACGAGAAAAAATATGTGGGTTTCGATCTCTCAGAATTGAGTCTTTTATAATTACAAGAATTCTAGTTCGATGATCTTTGCTCAACAAAAAAATGAATTGCTACAGGTGTGACGCTCAGGGAACGTCATGAAATTTTATGCTCGCAAACTTTGCACACGACAAGCTGAATCTATACAGTACGGCATCAAAACATAATGATCCAAATATTCTTTGAAGCGAGATTTCAAGATTTTTGACAGATTTTACTTCCATAAGTACTTCTGCCACTTCATAAAGAAATCGCTGGGAGGAGACATAAATAAATAATTGTCTCGGAATTCAGAATCCGTACTTCCGTAAATATTACGTGGAGGAAACTGTAATCAACTTGAAAAATTCCGACGAGGGCCAGGCTGGTGGTAGAACGTGGCAGTTCCAAGCAGTGTCGTGAGAGTTTTACGAGATTATGATATTTAAAGAGATAATTTCATGACAGCTAGCGGGGTAAATAGCAATTTATCATTATTGCTCCGCGGTTACTGTAGCTATAGTAGCCGCTATCGCTCTATGGAATTCGAGAAGTGACCACTTCTTTTGCTCGAAAGAAGCTAACCTAGTGACTCGAGCATAGACTTGAAACTAGACCGGGCTTTAGTTGGTAATACCCTGGGCGCTGAAAGTATGCAACTCTATCTAGTGCGTCCAGAAAATAGGATTCCCCATTTCCTAAATTTAAAGTGCGGAAGGTTTACTACCCATACCCAGTTTCCTCTTTGATTTAAAAAAGGGATGCTCAAGTGAGTATGCTCACTTCAACTGTGTATCTCTTGAATACTGAATTTATTAGTTGAACACTATGTTTTTTCTTGCACTTTTGGGGTCTCCAGGCGAATGTTGTAATTTTAGAGCCCTTGTTTCTAGGAGTTAGAGTGCTGTGTATTCCCGAATCTCGATTAATATCTAGCTATTTTCAAGCCCTAACCAAACTCCTAGCTATATTTAAAATCATAAGTTATGATTCATAACCCTAACCCTAACGAAAGAGGTGGTTTTAGCCCCTTGGTTAGGGTTAGAGATTGAAGAAAATAAAGAATAGAAGCTCACCTGCGGTAAATAATTGACAATCAAATTCGTCTTCTCCTTGTTAAAATCGACATCTGAAGTTTTCATTCGTTTTTTAACCTTAGGAGGCGCCTCGTAGGTTGCTTGGGTAAAGATTTGGTTTGACGTTGAATCAATGGTGGAGGTGGAATTTTCAAAATGCGCCGTTGGCTGGGCTTCGGAGGACTCGCTAGAGTGATCGGAGCACTTCGCGTTGTCAACTTTCACATTTTGCATTTTAAACAATTCACAAATCTTTCAGGTGCTAAATGGTAAAAATTGAAAAGAAGAAATAAACAAGTTGATAGTAGTAGTACTATGCTCGGAGATATACCATACTGATGCTTTATCTTACTGGAGAGTTCAACCTTTTGTTTGAAAAATTGACTTGCTCTCCGCAAATAAAAACATCAGCATTTGTTATTGCCTTTTAAATTTGCGCAACATTCTGAGGTTATTCCAATCCTTGCTCAAAATATCACGAGAATTTGGCATGATAAATAAATAGTTAAAAATTACCGGTTCTGGTGAGTTTAAAAATTCAGGTTTCGAAATTCGAACTCAAGTTGTGAACACACACAATTATCTAAAAAATAGTGATAAGTGGGAAATATTTTCGATTATCTCTGTTAAAAAAATTGAGTACAAAGTGTGTTAAAAGCCCGTCATAAACTAATGTTTTGGGAGCAGCTAAGGAACATGGGTCGAATGAAAAATTGATAAGGGTCGCGTTAAAGATTAAGATGAAGACAGTGTGACAACTTCTATAGCTACTGACTACAGGCCACTTTCAGGGGTTCTAGTAGAGTATGACTAATGAACCTTCTTATGTACCGTATTTTTCGAAAAAAATGAAAGACGAAAAATGTCTCTTAGCGACATTTTTGGGGCATTTTTTCGAAAAAAAACTGGTAATCGGGAGAAAATTGAATGTATCAACCTTTAGTTGGCATTTATTACCGAATATTTGCACATATTTTTGGGGAAAAAGAGCATCAAGAACTTCATATAGATTCATTTTTTATCCCATTGTCACTCAATATCGAGCAAAATCTTGCGCGTAATCGATTGAGCACACGGTTGAGGTGAAAATGCACACTCTCCGGCGCTGCCAAATTAAGAGTATCCTGTTGTATTAATAAATTATCCCCCTTTCTTGTTAATCATACATTACATGTATCTGAAATCTATCTGTCTCGCTACAGGCACTATCCAGAAGGAGTAAGCTCGCACACTCGAGCTGCGGCTAACACTTAAATTGCGCTATTTATGAGATATTCATATCTTCTCGGGGTATTTTCGACATGTTCACGATAAATTTTTAAACAAGAACAAGGAAGAAAAAGAAGTACATATACTATTTTTTCTTCCAAAGATCTTTCTTGAAAATCCATCAATTTTAAATTGGTAAATTTTTAACTTTACCTTATCATCGGTAATTTCGAGGCTTTCAGCTAATTTTCTTGGATTTCTCGTTCGAATAAAAATTCACTGGGTTTGGATTTTTTGAGAAAACTTCAAAAAAGCAATGCGGCAGCTGTCACGACAGCCGAATAAATAAAACTTGTGGAGCTATGCCATTACGTTTTACGAAGACGATATTTCATCCACGATTTCACACTCTCAATGCCAAAACACTGCCTTTTTACTGCTCAAAAATGAAGATCCTCTCTTCTGAAAAAATCAAAAGCTCGAAAATCCTTCGATAACGAATTGGGCTGCCCAAAATCTGATTTTGATTAACGAGCGATTTTAGCAATTAATTATCATGTATGATAATAAATTAACGTTTTTATGCCGATTCCATATAAAAATTCGTTTCTTTAATTTTGATATTTCGAGCGCTCGCAATAGAAATCACTGAATTCTCTTCGACATTCATAAAAAAATGCAGACAAAAGAAGGCGACTTCCGGCTTCAGAGAAAAAGCATCGTCAACCCACTCGATAGAAATCCGGAATAGCTATTTGGCCGGTGCAAATAAAATAGCGCGGCGCGTTCTGTCACCTGTCACGCGACGAGTTAATTCCAGATTTAAAATGGACAAATCCAAAATAAACAAAATAACAGTTGAACAAATAACTGACTCCCAGCCACATGTTCCTAAGCCACCTGTTTCGAAATAAAAGCATTATTTCTTAGATTCTTTGTATTCAAATTAATTAACCAAAACCGTTTGATAAAAAATGATAAAGCAAATAAACGACCTTCGAACTTACCGAATTTTTACATAAATTGATAAATTTGAATCTTCAAATATATCTCTTGAAAGCTTCAAAAGGGAGAATTTCCTTTATTGAACACTTTTTGACTTTTAGTAAAAAAAAATCTTTAGCTCTTGAAAGATGAAGAGCCAAACGTTTTTTGCCAAAGCGGATATTTTTGGCGCTTTGGAGAAAAGGCAGCAGCGCCCTCCCAAGCGGAGCACCGATTTCAGCAACCACTTTTTACAGCGATATAAGACAAGTTTAGATTATCATTATCGGGGAGCCGACTTCTATAATGCAAACTATGAGGAGCAAAAGCGTCCTTATTTTATCCAGCTTATGATTGCCTTTCTTTTGAAGTTTGTAGCTGGGCTCGCCAACCTGTGTAAAAAACCTGAGTCAGGGCCAAAAAGATCTTTTTTTTTAATAATGTAAGTTGAATTTATTAGAGATTTATGCCTTCAAATCACATGCAAAAGGATTTTCTTTTATAAAAGAATATACGATTGGTGTCAGATGTGATTCATTGTTGATTTATCTCTTGATTGTTGAGCCTTGCCATTTTGAATCTGTCACAACTCCGAGAAGAGCAGGAAAATTACTGCTTTGGTCTTCCGCCATTCAATAAATCTCCTTAACTTGCGTCATAAATTACGCGCCGCACTATTCTCGTAATCGCTAATGTCATCAATGCATGAGCGACAAAGAGTTAAAATGGTTTTGATTGAAATGAATAACTTTTGAATCTAACCTTTGCTAAAGAGTGATTAAATAATGCATAACGTTTTAGCGCGGTGCTGCATGGCGGCCTTTGCGCTGTTTTTCCGTGCGAAAGGGCAAAATAAGCGCGGAAATTAGTGGAGCTTTCTACCGTAAAGCCACGGAAATTGACGCGCTGGTCCTCATGGGTTGACGAGTCAAGGTTCACTTTTGATTTCAAAGGAGCCCTACTTGAAATTGAATTAACCATTTTGGGTACTCCTTGAGATTGAACGGTTATCCTTTTCTGGGACGCTCTTTTCAATGATTTAGTTCGATCAAAGAGAATCGAGAAAAAAGACTAGTAATCGCATTTTGTCGCCGCGCTAGGAGGAACGAGCATCTGTGCCGTCGGTCCTTACTTATCCTGACAGGCTGCCAGCGGATAAGCCTAAATCCGCTTTTTGCATTTTTCTCTTTCCGTTGGGCAAGCGGTCATACGGGAAGTGCCATGATGTAAACTTATGAGAACATTGGTTTCAATGATGATTGATTTATACTTCTGTGAACTGCCAGTTGGGTGGTGGATTTTAATCGCAAACAGAAATTCTAATTATGTTCTCAGATAATTTATTCGTCAATGACAACAAAATATGAAATACTAAAGTACGTTAAGAGTTATGTTTGGCTGGGGTTAAGGTCGGTAATTTATCAGTTTTTCATTTTCTTGTGAAGAATCGGGAATTTCAAGGGTCAGAAAAGAAGATGATTGCCGAATAAGCGCAATATATAATTGCAGTATAATTATGACCAGAAAGTCACTGCCGAAAATGTTGTTAAAAACCATAATTTGAATAATTGTGACGCTGCTGGAAAATGATTTGAATCACTCTTACTAGGAAAACGGCAGGGAGTCAGAAAGTAGCTCGATTGTAGATTGATCACTTACTGAAAATATCTTAAATTTCAACTTGAATACTCGTCTCGTAGGTTTGATATATATTTTTATAAAGAATAGGTGTTAAGTTTTTGCATCGCACATTTTTTCGATTGAAATCAAGGAAGAGAACGCGAGGATCGAATAACTAGTCCAATAGGCAAATGAAGACGGCGGGACAAAATAAACCGGTTCTATTTAGTTTCATTGTCTACTAAAATAGATGAGACATAATAGAACCGAGATAGCCGGATGTGGTTTGCTCGGGCCTGGGTTGAAGCGCTGGATAGGCAGCCTCGATTTTGTTTGGAAAAGCCGTTTTCATCCATTTGTTAATAAACGTTTGTCAACTTGATATACAGATGGTAAATTTAATCTCGGCTTTTACCACCATCATCTTCTATCGTACGAGAAGTCGGTCAAATCTCGAAAATATTTTTGAGCTTGAAGAACCGGAAAAAATGCAGCTTACTTACAAATATCCTTATAAACTGGGTCCTTTAAAATAATTATTTATACGATGTTTGGCTCGAACCAACCGCGCTGCGAAAATTGAATGATCGGTGGAACGATGCTCCGAAAACAGGGAAAAGTGGAACGAGTTATATAACCAGTGTCATCAGATTGGTTTTTTAGATCCAGGGTTATATCTTTTACATTTTTGTTGTGATACAAAAATCATCAAGATTCCACTTGGCAACGGTCTAGTAGCCAAAGAGTTCAGAAATTTTAATCGTCTAGACTCTAGACATACTTTCTAACAGAACGGTTCTATCGTTTCTTCTTTGTGTTTGTTGCCAAAGTTCGCGGCTAATATTTACGGCGCCACTAATTGATGATTACAAGGTTAATATAAACTCGCCATTTTATATCGCGATAGTGTCTCGTTTTGATATGATTTGAAATTGTTTGATAAATTCGAGGCATGAGCGTTAATTGGAAATGCAAACGAAACGGCGGCTTGGGGACCTTCGCGGAGAAATCTGTTTGTCAACATTTGCTACAACAAAAAGTTGAAAACAACCTCCAAAAGGGAGGAGCCGGCCCAAACTCCAAAACACCCTAAGGTGAACCTCTGTCTATTTTTTCAATTCTTCAACAGAAAAGCTTTAGAAACGCTGTTTCTGCAACTATCCAATTTTGTTGCTTACATATTATACATAAAAAACAGGCTGAAAGCTCTTTCACAGGAATCTCAGGAGCTGACAGAGCGAGTATTTACGCCAATGTATGCTTCAATACTTTCCATAACTCACGCTGCTCTGCATCGACTGGAGGTCAACATAAAAGCGGGCAAAGAAGCTAAACCGCAAACTAAAGATGCTCTTTCAAAAATCTTTCGCTCTTTTTCTTGTCGTTTCTGCTACCGGCGCGTTTAGGCTCAGGCCTCAAAGAAATCATCACAGAGTGCTTTTAATTATCACTTTTCAATTTTAACAATTTTCTAGGGAATCAGCAAACGCGATCAGCCACAAGAAGTAGGCCTCAATCTTTTTGCTGATAACGACGAGCAGGAGCTAAACTACATTATTGACGTAAGAGTAGCTTTCTGTATTTTTTTTTCTAGAGCTGATAAAAATAAGATGCTGATTGACCAGATTATGCAAAAACACGGAATCACGCCGCAAAATGTTGGCCCGACCGACGACGAAATCATCTTTAGCGACCGAGACTTTGAATTTATCTTCGACGAAGCAATCGACATTCTCGGCGAAATGATTGACGAGTAAGAAGACCAATGATAAAAAGTATCTCAACCTATATTTTAGAGCGGAGAAAGAATCGAAGGAAAGAAAGCTTTAAATTTTGCTGTTACTTGTTTACCGTTTTATTGATGTTTAATAAATTCCGATACGATAGATTAATGCTTTTTTGATGAGAAAAGCAAGTTTGTTTCTTCTTTTAAAATATCTACTAGCACAGTATTCCCAAAGTGCGTGAGAGTGTTTGGACAAGTGGCTTTCAATTAGCAACAAAGCAAATTCTGAGGAAGCAAATTTCCATGGATACGGTAGGGCTCCAGTTAGTGATAACTTTCTTGAAAGTAGAGATTAGGACAAAGCCTAGTTACAAAGCCGCGAAATTTCCCGCCCACAATAAAATAAGATACAGACAGAACTCATCATGCCAGAAATGCAGCAGATCCCCAAAAGATATCACCAGCCATTCAGGTTAATCAATAAATTCTTAGAGACCTAGAAATCAAACTCGAAAAGTAGGTTCGAGGAGGCAGAAAGGCGAAAATCAGCTCTAGGGCCCAGACTATCCAGAGAACCTAATTTCTCAGGTGGCAGAAAGCGTCTTGTTCCAAATGGCTTCGAAACTTCGCAGGTTTTACTTCCCTCTATTGTTCGTTGATCGATCATTTTTTTAAAGGAAGCTTCGTCTGGATTGCGGAATTTTACCAGAAGAGCTTTCAGCTGTAACAGACACGAGGTAAGTCTGACTGTTTTGACTCAAGACTCTCAACTTAACTCGGAAGTTGAGTTATCAAAAGACGATTCCAAATCATCCGAATCAGTTCTAAATTTAGATAAGTTTGTTATTTCAGATCAACGGGCGAAGCTCGTATCGCGAAATAGAACCCAAGCAAATATCAATGCGACAAAGTCGATTCAAAACACAGCCTGAACTTTGGCAAGCAGGTATATTTAACGATGATGTGTTTGACCCTGTAGCTACTTGTTTGATTCAGCGACAATACAGTGGAACAGTCCTGCTAGAAATGTCAGACCGCGAACGGGCAATCATGTTGAGATGAAACGACCTGCTAATAACGTCGATAAAACTTATTTTGAAGTGTACGCAGAAGGGTATGAAAGATGTATTCCAGGATACACTGGTCATATTCAACCAAGATATCCGTCTAGAATCACTCGTCAGGTAAAGAATATATCAGAAATTTCAATTAAAAAATGAAGGAATCGTCGCAAAACAACATGAAGCCAGTTCTTTTGCGAGAAAACTCCTTTCCTAAAACGGGAACTTTCTCAAAAATGATCACCGTTCTGCCTCCTTATAATCCTTTTGCGAGATATAAATCGATTCAATAAACAAACTTTATGTAATCTTCTTAGTTTATTGATCCCTCAAAAATTCCAAAATCTGATCAGCAAGAGAATTCGCTTCACTTTCCGGAAAATCAGAGAGTTTTTCAGTCTCTTGTTTCAATAATTCTTCAATTGCTTTCGCAAGAGTCCACTTTTATGGTTGCAGAGCTCATTAGATTTGAATGAAATCATAAGTTCAAATATCAACCTTCCAGAATCCCATCTTTTGCCGACAAGGACAAGGCAATGAAGCTCGGGTCCGACATTCCAATTGCTATAAAATACCGTAAAAGCGGCAAACTAAACCGACGAATAACAGACTCACCATCGTCCAAAGTCAATTCCAGATCTTCTTTTGTTTTCTGCATTGAAATTCGTTTCAAATCATACTCCTCAAGTTTGATTTTCAGCGACTCGATAATTTTAGTTTCTTTACTTGCTTCAATAAAATTATCTTTATCTCATACAAATCAATTGAAGCCATGCCCATTTCCACTTTGGACTCGAGAATCTGGAGCTCTTTCATTGTCATCATTTCTTCTTGTTGGTTCAGTTTCTGCTCCTGCATAAGTTGATCCATTTTAACCTCATTCTTCGCCGCAATAATTGCATTTTTCGCAATGATATCATACTTAGCTTTTTCAAGCGCATCGTCATCTGCGTCAGAATCTGACTTCTCGATTATTTGCGGTAGAACATCGTATTTTTCTTTGAGAAGACTTGTACTAGCCTTGACCTTTTTAATTTCAGCCTCGAGTTTTTTCTGTGTTGTGACCTCCTCAAGCTCATCAAAACTTTTTCAAATTTTAATTTTATCAAAAAACTTATTTTATCAGTCGACTAACCTGACTTTTTTGATTCTTTGTTGGATAATATCAAGCTCTCTTTCAGTAAAATCTTTCTTGCTTACTTTCATCAGCTGGTTATTCTTTCGCCAAAGAATATCTTTCTCTTCCTCAGTCATCTCTTGTGCTTCAAAGTCCAGTCCCTTGGCCTCCTGGAGTCGCCGAAAATCCTCTTCCAATATTTCATTTAGTTTGAGCATCTTTACGCGCTCCTCTTCGACTAGATCCTCCTTGTTCTCTGCTTCCATGCGGATTGACTGCTTGTCATTTTGATAATTTAAAACAACTCGTCTATCTTGTTTCTCCATGAAATTTCTCATATTTTCAAAGTGAACTTATTGCGCTGAGTTTATACGCGTGTTTCATTAAATTTTCATCACGATATTGTGTTTGATAATCCGGGTTACGGAAGTTATATTAAAGATATCACAACAGTTTAAGTTCTTTTAAACATAGTTTTATACAGTAAGATAGCTGTCATCTGAATTTCTTTGCTGCTGCTGCTAAGCACCACTGTGGTGCCACCACAACATAAGCAGCAACAACAAAGGGCGAAGACGCCGACGAGGATGAATTTAAGAATATCGTTTGAGTCTCCCTCATCATCAGCTATTTTCTTCAATGCGGCTTGGAACTGATTAAGAGTCCATACTGTCTAAAATAAACGCTCAAGAAGATAAGAACGTCTTCCTCAACTTACAACTTCCATGAACATGGGCGGCCCTGATTGTCCCGTCACTCAGAAATGATAATCATGGTATCTTCAAATGAAGGCAACTATGCATCCATATTAATAAAAATTTTGTATTGATATAATCGGCTATCGTAGTGATCAGTTTTAATACCAGAAATTTATCATCAAAAAAAATATTACCAAAAATTTCAAACCCGGAAGAACATTTTTAATAAAGTGAGCAGTTTTGGTTGAGGTCGGACTGTTAGTAGAGTTTTGAATTACAGTGAAAACTCAGAAATTGGCCGGTTTTTAGATTCTTATTCAAGAAAAAAGCGGCCAAATTTTGAGTTTTTTACCGGATAGCCAAGAGTCCACCATTTAGAATTAAATTTTCGAAATTTTCGAAAATGGGCATGATTTTCACGTTTTTGATCAATTTAATTCAAATTTTTGCTTCTTTGAAGACATTTATTTTATAAATTAGTCATTTTAAATAATTTAAACAGTCTAAAAAAGATAAAAATGCCCAGGAATAGCATAATTTGGGCGCAATTTTGAACCAAAATTTTCTATTTTTGAAAAAGCGGCCAATTTTTGAGTCTTTTTTGGATTCTAAAATCAGTCAATTTCGACCAAAACCGGCCAAATTTCGAGTAGGCAAATTTTGAGTTTTCACTGTAACAAATTTTAAGAAATTTTTTGATGTTTTCTGATACCTCCTCCAAAGAGCCCTATTTTCACAATTCTTGATGGGAAGATTCAGAACTCTAATTTTTATTATTCCTCAAAAAGAAGTCAGAGACACGATTCTCGGAGATTCATTTTCTTCATGAGTTTGTAACATCTCTTCCATCATCTTCATTTGAGCAGCATTCGCAGGCTGCGAAATCGCAGCACATGCCACCAAAAACATAGCAAAAACCGATTGGTAAAATTCAGGGCTGGATATTTTGAAATCAGCAAAAATTTCAAATCAATTTTTGTGTGAAATCTCATTTCTATCTCAAAATTTTGCACCATCTCAACAAATCTCAAATTTCAATATTATTGCAACTTCCTCGTCATAATTTTTCCATTCTTGAGATTGCTGAGATCTCGAGATCTCAAATCTCAAAATTTTGCGAACCGCGCAAGGGCCGCGGACAAACGTCGCGGGCTTACAGCAAGACTTGTGATTGGTTCAGATGGACCTGAAATGCTTGAGATCTCAGAATTTCAAATTTCATTTCATTGCAACGCGCGTATCCAACTCACGCAGTTTTCTGAAATGCTTGAGATCTCAGCATTTCAAATATCATTTTTTTGCAAAATCGAAAATTGAGATCTCAGACACAAAAATTTCTGAGATTGCATTTTTGAAATGGATGAGATGATGATTCATGTTTTTTTCGGGGTTTGAGATTTTTGTTGATTTCAAAATATCCAGCCCTGGTAAAATTGCAATGAGGCAAGGCCAGCAACAGATCAGTCCCAATTGACTGCCACAATACTCCTCGTTCACTTAATTTTTCTTATCAAAAGCAAACAACATCGACTCTTACTGTCGTTGGTCAATTTCTTTAATCCTGAGTAGAGTTGTTCCTGAGTCCAACCCAGAGTTCGAAATCCGAGAAAATATAGCTGCTACCTGCTACCACTTGCTTTCACCTTAGTTACAAATGTATTTTCATCACATTTTTTATGGAAAAATACATTCTAGAACAAAATTATTTAAAATGGTAGCAATGCTAGCAGGAGACGATTTGCTACAACTTGCTACCACCTCTGATGACATTGCTACCTGCTACCATTTGCTACCAAAAGTGGTAGCAATGGTAGCATGCTACCATTTGCTACCAATTGCTACCATCGGATTTCGAACTCTGGTCCAACCTGTCTGAAGGAAGGCTTTTTGTGAGAATAAAAAGAAAAATACGTACGAGTTGAAGGACCATGATGTCCTCTTCTGAAAGTGGCATTGATTCAGTCCAGTCTGAAGAAACTCCGACACAGTTGGTAGTTGTTGGATATTGGTACAATCGGTCGTCGTAATTATCATCATCGCCGCATGCATCCAGGCCTCCTAAGAGGGGACTTCCTAAGAGTAAGAGCTAGGTTTAGACCTGGGAGTCCCGAGGCTGGGACACAAATACAAACCAGGAAAGACGTCTTTGATCATTTTTGCAATCTCCACAGGTGTAATATAATTAGGACTCAAACTCAAAGTATATAATGTTGGTCTGTTTGCATTCGGATTTTCGCGAATTCTTTGAAAGTATTCGAAAAGCATTTCTCTCCGGGTATTGAATGAAGCATCTCTCGGAGCTCTTATCGGTTTTAATAATCGTCAATTCTATGGAACAAAAAGAAGAAGAAAAATTAAAACTGCATTCCCTAAAGTCGTCTTTGAAACTCTCGTAAGATAGCTCGTCACTGCTCACTGGCGCCGAGTCGTAGTTTGAAGTCGGCGATGCATTTCTAAGAGAAGTTTCGTGTTCTGCCGCATTACTGTCTGTAAACACTGAGCCAGCTACAGGTCCATTTTCTACTGTATTGGTTGCTTCTGGTAAATTAGAATGAGCATTTTCTGTTGGCAAAACGGAGCCAGCTACGGGCGCATTATAAGCTGCATTGTTTGATGGCTCGAAACTGTAAGGATCATATTCAGTTGAAGCAGGAGGTTGAGGCATAGCATGGCTCTGAGGAAGTTCTGGGACGACTGGTTGAACTGGCTCGGAAGTAAGCCCTGGAAACTGATAATCCGACCATGGATTGTCGGTCGTTTGCCCAAATTTATCATCCCCAAAGAAACTCATAACTGAACCTTACATCTGCATTTCCTTATACAATCACGTTTATTCTAGAGAACTGTATCGACGTGGTTTTCTCCATGTTGTGGTAAGTGGATCCAGCAGAATGAAGAAATTCGTCGCACCTGCTCAAAAATAATTTTCGCTGGCCCGAGCAGCTTTTTGAGCACTTGCTTTGCTAAATACGCCGATAATATAAGCTTTTAAAAATCTAAAACAAGAGTGTTCCTTCTACGCGTTTGAAAGTCATCATCGTCGCTGCTCTTTTGATAAGGTGCGATAAAATAATTGAGTTCCTAATTTACCGAAAAGTGCAGTAATTGCCTAGGGGCGTTCCTTCTACTTTCCTGCTTGCAAAGCGAACCAACCTTGACATCATTTTGGTACAAACAGAAAAAGCCTTATCACATTCGTTCAATTTTTTATGTAGATGATCAATTTATTTGAGAATGGAACTCAGAGAAACGTGTTTTGCATTTACATATTCGCATGGGTTGTTTATGGACAACTTGTCACGTTCGCGAAGGGCGAAGACGGAATCAATTACAGGCATGGATTTCAAAAATCTGAAAAAGACATCTTTTTGTATGGAAGAAATAATGTTAAGAAATCTAAATAGTCCCGCGTTGCTTGTTATAATGGCCGAATTTATAAAGACGTTTGTTTGCCTCTTCATATATACCCGCGAGAAGACCCTTGATGCTCTCTTACAAAATGTTTTGCAAGAAAAGAAGCTGTTTCTTCTTTGTAAGTCCATCTTTTCTAGCGCTCGATTGGAACTTCATTAGATTCCATTCCTTCCGGAATGTATGCGCTGTACAACATTCTGTCCTTTTACTCGATTTCTTTGGCCGATCCAACCACTTACTTTGTGCTTTTACAATCAAGAAGCTTGGCAACAGGAATTATCTACCAAATTCTTTTCAAAAAGCAGCTAAGTTGTCTCCAGGAAAGGGTTGAAACGAATTTAGCGCTCTCCACGTTTGGGAATGTTTATAAATTCTAAACAAGAGCTAACTTATTCAACTCGCTGACAGTGGCTCTCGCTGGTTACTCTTACTGTTGGAACATCGATGAAGCAGTTTTCCTTCTCATCATTCAACTTTGTGTTCAACGAAGCGATTCCGCTGATTTTGATACAGATAGTTTGCGCTTGCTTTGCCGGCGTTTACAACGAGTACTTGCTAAAGGCCAGGAATGCGGACTTTTGGGTTCAGGAAAGGATACGATCATCATTATTTACAAACATTTTTTAACTCGCTAAAAGAGCTCAAAAACTCCCGAAAGCTGTTTGCGCAAATTTTTTCTCCCTTTTGATGTCGAAACACCCCTCCCTGAGTTTTGCCAAGTAATCCAGCGACTGCTTAAATTTCATTGAATTTGTGAACATGATCGTTCGTATCTCAAACAAGAATATATTTTTCTACGTCAACTCGATCATCATCAACGGTTTCATTTTTATCATTCAAGGAAATGTCAACAAGACAATTTTGGCGAATACTTTTAAATTGCCAGCTTTGATCATCCCTTTCAACCTGGCTTTGATTGGAATTACGACAGTCATGTTCTTGAAACACTTGAACTCCATTCTGAAAACAATCGCAGCAGGAAACGGTCGAAACTCATTTTTTGCATCATTGCAACCAAGATATTCAACCGATCAAAAGCTTCTGAGCTCTTCTTTGCTGCATGCTTGTCCTACCTCTTCTTCGGCATCCCGATTGAGATGGGGACAATCGTCTCAGTTGTCATGATTTGGCTTTCGTTGTACATTTACGCGGTAAATCCCATCAAGCAACCAGAAAAACAGACGAGTGAAGACGAAGTTATTGAAGAAAAACTAGACCTGTTGAAATCTGACAAAAACTCGAATCCAGTTTGATTTTTCTTACTTAGAATATTATAATCCTATAAAGCTGTAACCACCAAAAGCATTTTAATTCTCAAAAACACAAAACAAAAACTATTAATTCTTTATCCGTTTATTCTTTGTTCAGAGGTGTCTTGAAAATTCAGAGTAGAAAGAAAGACCTTACAAAACAAGAAGCTTCTATGTGTTTTCAACAACATATGCATCAAGGGTCATTTTCACGGCACGAGCATTAACGGTATATAAAGTGTTTCCTGTCAGATGGAGCGCATATTGGGCCACTCAGTTTTTATGCGATTTAGATACGCTACTTTGTGGGCCGAGAATTAAATATTTACGTCCAAAATCGAACCTAAGTCACTTTGTCGTATCAGATGGTCTATAAATGGCTCTTGATTTATTAATTTTACCCCCTTAAGTCGGAATTTCTTCTAAGTTACTAAGCTTTTCTCCGCAAAAATGACCCCTGCGAACTGTAGTTCGGCGAAGTCTGGGTAGTTTGATCGACGAATTGTCTGTTTTCTGCGCTTGATTGCTTTCTGTTCTTGTCCTTGTCTTCTCGGAAAGCAACGTCAACTGCGATTTGAATCAGCCCACCCAGCCAGCTCAGTCCCATCAGCATCTATCAACGTCAACTTCATTAAATTGCTCCGACAGCTTACCCATAAAAGACAGACAATTCTGTAGAAAACCGATACGACACCCATCCAGAACTCGTTTGTACCTTAGAAGATCGTCTCATAAACTCTGTTGTATAAAAAAACTAACCGGGCAATTTCCAATTCTTTTGCGTTTGTCCTTCGAACTCAGCTGTCGGCGTCAGGTCTCCAAATCCAATCGTAGTCAGAGTAATGATCGTAAAATAGAACGCGTCCAAGAAATCCCAGCCCTCTATTTTTGAGAAGAAAAGCGCCGGCATTACCGAAAATATCCTGAAACAGACTTTGAGTAGGAGTTTCTTAGAATCATCTCTACCCGAAACCGATGACAATGTAGAGCGATATCGCTGTTCTTTTCCCACGAAAACGGTAGAAACCAGCGGACTTGACGAATTTGTGTAGATAGTTTCCAGTGACTTTCATCAAGTAATAAAAATATGGAACACCAAACAAGGCGTAGATCACGCAAAACATCTTGGAAAAAATAATTATCAATCGGACGAAATTCTGTGGAACGGACCTTGCCATATTTGGTCTTTGGCGCAACGTTGCCATATCCGATCGTGGTAATAACGGTGCCCACGAAGTAGAAAGCGTTTTTGAGAGAGAGGCGATTTTCTGGCAGTTAGACTTTCTGGCAGTTAGACTTTCTGGCAAAGGCGATTTTCTGGCACTGCCAGAAAATCTAATATGCCAGAAAATCTAATTTCCAGAAAATCGCCTCTTTTGATTTTGAATCTACAGTTAGTGATCCTGGAAGGTAAAAAAACGGAGAGGGTTTTCGACAGTACCACCAATTTTTTCTTACATGTTTTATAAAAATTCATTGACAAAAGCCATTTTTGACCCATTTATTCAAGATAATTGGCTGTAGCAAACATAAATCAGCTTCTTCCGGGAATTTTCACCCGGTGTTATTTGCATCTGATTTCGAGTACTTGGTCACAGTGGGCACCCACTGAGATAATGGCGCACGCTCATGCTTTTTAAAACTGAACTTGTTATAAAACTCTCCTGAAAATTCTTCCTCAGAAGGTGGTGGAATCGCTGTCATTTTCAATATTTATCTATACGATTTTTCTTCCTTATCATTCTCCATTTTCTCAAAAAAATCAAAATCTAACTTTTCAGCTGCCTGTGAACCCGTTTGTCACTCCGAAAACAGCTAGAACGAACTGCGGATGCTACCCTCATTCTATTTTTAGCGCAGAAATTTCAATTCCCAATTCGTAGTCTTTTTTTACCGCCCTGAATAGTCGGCTTTTAGATCAAACGCTCCCGTCGAAAGGTGCAAACTCCTGCTGAAACTGCTCCGAAATGAAATTTGTGTGATAATCACCAGTTTTTCGAATTTATAAAATGATTATTATTAAGAGTTTCTTGCAGAATTTCAAATAATATCCATCCTATAAAGGCGATTTCACCACCTGAGGAAGAATTTTCTGGAGAGCTTTATAACAAGTTCAGTTTTAAAAAGCATTAGCGTGCGCCATTATCTCAGTGGGTGCCCACTGTGACCAAGTACTCGAAATCAGATGCAAATAACACCTGGTGATTAACACAAAAATTCCCGGAAGAAGCTGATTTATGTTTGCTACAGCCAATAATCTTGAATAAATGGGTCAAAAGTGGCTTTTGTCAATGAATTTAAAAAAAAAAAACATGTAAGAAAAAATTGGTGGTACTGTCGAAAACCCTCTCCGTTTTTTTACCTTCCAGGATCATTAACTGTAGATTCAAAATCAAAAGAGGCGATTTTCTGGCAGTTAGACTTTCTGGCAGTTAGACTTTCTGGCAAAGGCGATTTTCTGGAAGTTAGATTTTCTGGCAGTGCCAGAAAATCGCCTTTGCCAGAAAGTCTAACTGCCAGAAAATCTAACTGCCAGAAAATCGCCTCTCTCCGTTTTTGAACGTCCAGTTTTCTGGACAACCGTGTTCAAGAAGCGCTCCAGTATCGCTAAAAATATAAATGCGAGTACCGACGATTTGCTTACCGGGCGACAGTTGTAATGGAGTCAACAAGGAGAACATAATTGTCAGCTGACAAAGTCACATTCCAATCGACACCTTCTGGCTTAGTCTTTTTGAACTGGTTCCAAATCCAAACCTCCGTCCCTTTATCAATAAATAAAGTCTAAGATCTATTCTAATTTTAACTCTACTGCATGATAGATCTGCCGAATACAAATTAAAAATGAAGCAGATTTTAAGTAGAAGCATAAATGCTTGCTTACCCGCCATATAGATATTGCTTATGTTTTGTGCAGCTTCACAGAGCGCGATTTCATTCGGGCGCTCAGTCTTAATAAATTATTGTCTGAATGAACTTGCATTTGAAAATGCGAACAAACCATTAAGAAAATCGCTGCCCCAAAAGCCAGGTACAGAAAATAGACGGCGATTCGACCACAGTAGCCGTACGCATCCGGCAAGTGACAGCCCTATATAACAAATTAGGGATAACACCCAACTACCAAAATATGGTTGAATTACCTTTTTCTTCTCCTTTTGCCCTTCGGAAATTTGCAGCGGAATCTGTTGTTTTTGATAATAACTTTCAAGGTTCGATACCAGTTAGATTTTAGAGCTCATTAATGAAATACTGTGAACGAATATGTATTTTCCTTGCCTGTTTTGTGAAATTTGCGCAGTGAAGTCAGGTTTTTCTGCTCTTTTCTCTTGGCGAGGGCTTTCGCCGGGCGATGCTTCCGAAACTCCATCTGTTGGATTCTGTTGGAAAAGAAACAGCACTTTTTCGCCTTCAATAGAATACTTATCTCGGAAATATTCGTATAAAGAATTTTGAAGGGTTCCTGTCATATTGGCAGAAGCAAGCGCAACTTTCAGAAAAGTCTCATTTTTATTCTCGTCATTTTTGTTTGTCTTCGTCATTTTGGATCTTCGCGAGTTGATTTCAGTCTCATTCTCTGGCTTAGTTGTATATGCACGTAAAGAACGAAAAGGAGAAAATATAAAAATAAACTGGAAAGCATCGAACAGGCGGACGAGCGTGCGGGCGACATCCGCTGTCAGCACAGTCAAGCAGGTACTGCAGCCGAGATTCAGAGATTGCCAATACGCCCCATCACCCGCAAAATTCAATCAAGAGGGGTATCTATTCCAAATAACGGCTAATAAGTATAAGCTGTTGAAGCGCTTTTAGTGAGATAAGACTGTTGTACCAATTACTTAACAAAAACTCTATCGTCAGATGTAAATCATTCTATTCGCAAAACCTTGGATAGATTATCAAAAGAATAATCTTCTGAAGATTTGATTGATTGAATCAATAACAGTCATAAGAATTCACTTTGATAGATTTATCATTGAGATTCAATACTTATTCGTTTTGAAAACTCATCGTTTTAATTTGTCCGATATCAACCTTCGGAAAATTCAACATTTAAAAGACATATTCCGATATTCTGACAGGAACAGTTTGTCGATTTACCTTTCACCGCCTTGAGGTCATTAAAGTTTCTGATCCCAGCAGGAGGTCAAGAAGCAAAAAGTGTCGTTTTATACGTCACGCTGTCATTTTCAAGGACGTTGATATAAAAATTTTACTCATTAATTCCTTGATCAAACATTGATATTCCGATGATACATACAAAGTGCCGTAGTCGCAGACTTTTGAGAGGATGACTTGTACTTTGGATACTTTATTATAAATGCAAATGCTAGAATTCTAGTTCGACTCTTTAATTTTGGGCAATAACGATTGCAGAATCGACTGAACAATGATGCCGTCACTGATGAGCTACATTTTGCAATATTGAATTATTCAGCGTCAATGATAGGAAAGCTGTCTGATGTGGTGCATGAGTACGTTCTGTCATCCTAAGAGTATGCTTGAGCGGATCGTTAGGCACAACGAAAACTGAGCAGTGGTGCGAACGTCGCGTTGCTGATTTAGAATCACGCGCCGATCATACAATTGTCAATTGTAATACGTCTTGTAAAACGTTTGTTTATTACAGAATTAGATCAAGAACATGACTGTCAAAGTATTTAAGAAGTTAAAAGATTGCCGTAAAGTTGAATTAGAAATTACTTTTTCCCTTTTTTCTGACCTTTAGTAGCGGCTTCAAGGACATAAATAAATTTCTTCTCAATATTGAAGTCTTTTGTTAGAACTTTTTCGATGTGTTTTGCTTGGTTTCCTTGAATTTGCACTTGTATCAGTTTTCCGCTCACATCTGTTCCGATACTTGCCGATGCCTATTAAAAATATTGAGCCGAGAAGGATAGTTATGTCTCTACCTGGGCGAGCTTTTTCATCTTGTCAGCGAACAATTGCGGATCAAGAAAGAACGATTCAAATCCAGTGATCATCGATACCATTTTATTGCCTGAGACCTTCTTTGTCGTCAAATCGATGCGGGGCATCTTCCCCTTCTTGACCGCTGCAGTTGGCTGTCCAGGAAACTTGACAGAGTAGGCTGGACCCATTTTTGATTGAACACCTCCAAAAACTTTGTCCCAGGAGGCCGTTTCTTTATCTGCACCGCCTTTTCCGAAAACCGCTTGATGAAGAACAGGGTCCATTTTTACATCCTTCTTTCCTCGTAAATCATTTGCTTCGATATACTGAAATCTTATATTGATGGTGATTTGAAGAATGATTCAATACCATTGTTACGAATTTTCGAATATCCTGAAGATTGAGAACTGCACCACGCCTGCAACCAACACTCGTGAATAAGTTTTCGACCTGACCAGAGACGACATAAAGCTGGGTAACCGCCGGAGCAGAGTAATCCTCTTTTGTAGACGAAGAACCTTAAACAACCATTATCATTCTTTCATGATAGTCTGCGCGTTTTTCACGCTTCCGTGCACCATTGACTTCATTTTGTGTTATTCTTGTGCATTATCTGGCAGGCCAGTGGCAGCCGATTTCTGGCATGCTCTATTTTCTTACCCAAAATGTTAACCATCGGCTTGGCAGCTTCTTCAGTAGGCTCGTCTGCTTCCACCGACTCTTGCCATCCACGGAAGTACGAGTGCTTGAAATCAACGGAAGAAATCTGATCAACGCCGCTGCTAACTTGTCCGATTTTCAAAATGCCATCTTTTTCTTTCGCAGAAAAGAAGGTGGAAAGCTTCTTGAAAGAAGTTTTCTTTATTTTGAGTTCTTTTCCGTTTGGTACTGATGGGAGAAGATATTGAGAGAAGAATGTCGAACAGAGAAGAGGTAGAGCTCCCTAAACATAATTTTCGATAGTAAAACAAGATAGATTACTACCTTATCCTCCTGAAGCTTTGCCTTGACGGCGATTTTAAAAGAATTTTCTAACAGAGAATCTTGTTCATTTCGCATTTCTTCCAGACTCTTTTCTGGAGCCTCTTCGTCTGCCTCTGTAGTTACGGCTTCACTACTGTTTTCCTCGACTTTGCAATCAGGAGATTCTTCAGTTTCAGCTTCATTATCAGCGGTTCTCTCGGTGGATTCGTCGTCAATGTCTATTTTAGGGGTCATTTTTGTAATCTTTGGAGCAAATTTCGGATATTTTGCTAAATTTAAAAGATGAAGTTTTTGTTTAAAGTGAGTCCCAATCATTGATATCCAAATTTTCGATATCTTCTTGCGTCAGCGTTCTATATGAACATTGTCAAAGAAATTCTTGTAGAATTTTCCCAAGTGGAAAGAAGTGAGGCACCTGAACTGCGGATCTGTCTCAGTGGGTGGGATCTTCTTGCTCCCACTCGCCCAGAGCTGATCGCCAACGCACGAGACAATCTTCACGGCTTTGCCGCTCAAGCCCTTCGAAAGCTGCTCTGTGGATTGCTCCGCTACTCCTATCGCGACGAAGTGCTTTTGCCCGGCGATTTTGATGCAAACGGCTTTGTTCCGTTCAATTTTCTCGTGCACCCCGACCCCAGGAGAAAGAATTATTCCCGGTGCCATCAAATCGGCTCCGTTGGCGAATCGTTCGAGGACATTTCCAGTCGTATGGAGCGTCGGAACACCCAGAAATTCATAGCTCCAGAGCGAGTAGAGATAAGGAATCAATGTCCCGTTTTTCATCTCGATCACTGTTGGTTCCCCTTCCACGGTAAATACAGTTACTGGCTCTCCTTTATGCGTAACCACCTTCATTTCTTTCAAATCGCCCTTCGCCGGCACCATGGAATTGAGCGTCTCTTCCGGAGTTTCGGGAAAGAAATAGGCAAAGCGACTTTTCAACTTTCGCCGATCGGAATTACGGACAGTTACTGCGCTTTTGCTGCGAAACGGCTTTACGAACATTACTCTTCACTGAAAACATAAGCTACTGTGACGCTACCGAATCTTCTAGCAGTTTTATTCTGCGGTAAAAACACTCCTCCTTGATATGAGGTTTTGAAAACGAAAACAGAACGAAAGAGGATTGAGTCGGGAGTTCGATCTCAGCTGTATTCTTTGCGGCAGAATCGACAGAAAAAGGGTTGAAAAGACTCTTGACAGTCGATTTACTTCTGGACCTTCTTGGCGGTGACGCCTTCTCTGAATCCGTTATGGAATCGTCGGTTCACGTCCTTGAGGTGCTTTGCTCGGCCAGTTCCGGGGGCAGTTCGGCGCTTGGCCTTGGTCGACCAGTTGAATCGGCCTCGCTAGAATGGAAAATGAAAATGAGAAAAGAAAGGATGAATAATAACTCGAGAGTCTCGCTTCTTCTGAAGATGGTAGGCTCGTCGACCGGTGATTCGGGAGATGATATGGGTCTTATCATTGCGAGTACCGCGAGATGTCGTTCCCTTGGTCATTTTCTAGTCGATTTCTGAACAAAACCAGATTTATTGGTCGTCTGCGATGACGATTTTCGGAAAGGTATCCAGTAGGGAAAAGTCAAGTTTAGAGAGGATATACCACAAAAACTAGTCAATACTCGCCAATCTCCTCACAACTTTACTTTAAATACGGTAGAAATATAATATCTCTGAAAACAAAGAAGTTTGAAGAGGTCCATCCACAAATAATAGGGTAAAAGCAAAGGGAATAGGTTCTCCACGAAAGTCTTCTTTATAATCTCTGAATAACATTCATCTTCTGACAAAAGAGGGGAAAACGGAAAGAATGTTGGAAAGAACGCGCGTGCTGCGTAAAATAACGGCGCTGATTGGCCAGCGCGAGGTTAACACGCGCTCTCAATTGGTGGAGTCAAGAATTCTCTCCAGATTTTCCGTCGAAGAGGAAAATGTACAATTTCCATTTCAAAATGAACTAAAACTTGTCCAATAGCGCGGAAATTTCGAAGAATTAGACTACTTATTTGTCTTAATTTATAAACCATTTGAAATAATTTTTCCTACGATATATTCATGGATTTTATTAACAAGTTTTGCCTGCATGATTTTCATATACTCAACTGTATTTATAATACAGATTCTTGAGTAAAAAGTTTTTAAAAACAATTCTCTTCAATCTCTGCCTGTCACTTTCAGCCTTGTTGGCGTTGTTTTTTGCTCTATCAGCAGTTCTTACCTTTTCTCAAAAGGTCCTCTTTATCCTCAAAGAATTGGAGGGTTGAAATGAGAGCTAGAAAATTTAGACGATGTCGGAAGGAAGGAGCGAGCGTTACCGCCCGCCAGAGCCGAACCAAATGTTCACGCTCGGACACGATAAGTGGAAAAGAAATGGCCCCTCAGCGCATCAGGTACTGATATTTGATTTCCTGTGGTTTCTGACAGTTACGGTAGTCAACAGCAGGAGCAGTAGAAGTGCGAGATGCAAAAGGCCGCGTCGTCGGCCTCGAAAAAGTCAAAGTAACTCGTTATATGGCGGGTAAACGTCCAGACTGGGCGCCAGACGACTTCGATTCCGACGAAGAAATCCAGATCCAACCGAAAAACATCAAAATTAAAATGACAGGCGCTACGGTCCTTTCTGAAGAAGCGAAACAGGCGGCTTCTGGCGAAGAAGGCGGTACTTCCGAAATTAGCAATTTCGAGGACTCGGCTGCGGTAGCTGCTGATCCTCGACTTGCTCGACTCATGCGCCATCAAGCGGAGATCAAAGACGACGACGAGGATGATCGGAGAAGAGTCAGACATGAGCCCGTCATTATGTCGAGTGAGGATGAAGATGAAAAAGAAGAATCTGATGACGGTAAGTCTTCATGTTTGCTTGACCTGAAGCTAGAATCTTCAATTTCTCTAGAAGCCACGGAAAAGAGGCGAGAACTAATAAGAAGGCGGAACTTGGAGCGAGAAAAGCAGGAAGCAGAAATCCTACCGCTCGACGATGATCTTCCAGATATCCAAGCCGACGATGAGAGCTCAGAGTACGAGACTGAATACGAATCAGAAGAAGACGAAGGACCCAGGTTGAAGCCTGTCTTTGTCAGAGAAAAAGGTACATTTCCCCTTCATTTTGATCTTTTTACGAGCAAATATATTAAGATCGTCTAACAGTGAAAAACGCTGAAATCGAAGAAGCGAAACAAAAGCGTATTGAAGTCGAAAAGAAGAAACTAGCAGCCAGAGTGGCTATTTTGGACAAAAAATAGGGGTCTATCCATCCAAATTCCATCCAAAAAATTTCTAACCGGGTCTATCCATCCAAAATCCAATCCAATCCAATTTTCGCCCAATTCCCAACTAAAATCCAATTCCAAGTTCTTCCGAAATTCCAACTTTTCCCAATTCCCAATATGCCCCGATTCCATTGGATTTCCAATATTTTCCAGCTAGCAAATTCAAAAAAAAACAAACAAACAATACTTATTCTTCAAAGTTTATTTCTGTAGATCCAAGGGCAATGTCTAGGATTGTGCTGGCAGCAAGTTTGTGGCGTCGAATAGATCGCATCAATGTCGTGAAACTGAAGGCTCGCTCCAGGCTTGAACTTGAGACGGAAGAGTGATGAAGCTAAGAAATGCTTTATTTTTGAACTCAAAAAAACCGAACCATTAATCCGATTCTGCTCAATCTTGGCAAGGTTTCAGCGTATCGCCGCCAGAACTCTCCAACAATATCATCTTCCGCAACCTTCTTCATTGCGCAATACTTCTTGTCTAATTTCAAATAAAGTAGATTAATGATGAAAATTACTTACGCGCTTCTATATCAGTATCATTTACTTCGTCGTACTGAGCAATCTCTTCTTCGATCTTGGAACGGATTTCTTTTGGCTTTCCTAGTCCGCGGCGGTGACTAAGTGGGCCAACAGCGTTATTTTGGCTGTCACATTGAACATTATTAACGCCAGCTTCAAGGAGCTGTAACAACTGTTCATCTGTCAGCTCGTCGTCTTCCATTGTTCGATCAACCTCTGTGATCCAGTTCTTCGCTTTTTCGAGCCAATCCTTGGTTCCGTCGACGAGTACTTTCTGAATTATTTTTTTTTTTTTGGCATGAAGATAAATACATACCATTATTTTGGAGATGAAGGGGACTCGGGAATCTTTCATTTTGGCGACGACTGGATGAAAATTCATCGCTATCGATGTAGAGTCGGGTGCCAGGTAAATGCTTGCCAAGTCTTTGTTGGTAAAACGAAGGGGTACTTGACATGGGACATCGTTTCCATTCATATCAATCCGCTTTTTTGTAACCTGTTCCACCACACTGATGAGCACAGCCTTCGCAAATCTGGATTCCTCGGTCCGACTGATTGTGATTCGATTGACGCACTCAATCATTATTCGTTCGATTTGCTTGTAGTACGCTGATCCGCAGGCAAGCGAGTCAGACTCGAGAATATTGATACTGCGATGAATTTCGATAAGAAGAGGGTTGATTGATCGCGCAAACTGCAGATCTGGGACTGGACACTCAGCGAGAAGATGGCGTTGAGGGTGGTTGATAGAAAAGAGGTTGTTTAGGCTATCTTCGCTCAAAAGGAGACGCTGAACTCCATAGATTAATTTCCGGAAGCGCGTGGAGCCGGAAATTCGATCGATGGCCTTCCCTTTCTCCTTTCTGTTGAGGAATGCATCCGTCTTTTCTTCAACAAGTCGTTTGACTTGATCGTCTTCAAGAATTTCAGTACTCGCTTTTATTTTTGCATTATAAAACTCTTTTATAAGCAAGCGATTAGTCACTTCTTGAGAAATCAAAAACGCATTGATTGACTTGTATCCGACACCAGCCGGAAGATCACTCGCCGATACTGTAGCTTCACACTTGTCGATGAATTTTTCAAGTGATTCGTACTTCTTATCCTTCGGTCCACCTGGTCTGAGATTTTGTTCGCACGCTCTCTTAAGGTTGCAACACATTGAATGACTTCCGCAAATGCTACGGTTGATCGTAAAATGCTCGGGCACGGACTCTGCTGCCTGATCGCTCACAATGCAGACCAAGTTTTCTCTATCGCATCGGTAAGGTTGTATTCTTCAAATATCTGCTTCAGTTTTTCTATGGTGTGATCCGCAGTTGAGTCCGGCATCGGAACATAACCGATCAAACAGTTCCAAAATCCGTTTTTGCAGCGAATATTGACCTCAACCCCGAGTATCTTCCAGAGCGTATTTTCTTTAGTTTTCACGTATTTGTGGTCTTTAAAGGATATTAAATTGTTAATAAGACAAATTATTCAAAAATTTTTAAAGAAACTTTGAAATCCTTATCCTAGAGAAATTGACAGGCGGCCCTTTTTTGCCATTTCCGGAAGAATCTGTTGAAGGCGCTCCCGAATTTTCTTTGCCTCTTCTTTCATGTATATTTTGATGGCATCCTTCGAAAGGCAAAGTTGATTGATGAGCATCTGGCTAAAGGATACATTTTTGAGAAGGCAGCGCATCAGGGCCTTGACAGAGTCATGTGACCAAAACCGGAAGCTTGTTCCGGTATCGCGCATGACTTGCAGAACTTTCTTCTGGACATCAACTCTGTGGTCCTTGGTGTTATTCAGAAGCGCGAGTACTCTCTGCTCATCTGGTGCTTGCGCGTGGCGATCCACAATCGGTTCGAGAGTCTTTTTATAGACATCTGTATTTTGATCGTATGTATGGAATGGCTTAAGGTTTTTTAAGAATTTTTACAAAATGCAAATTTTACCTCTCCTCTGCATTTTTTGCACTTAGCTCCATCTATTCTTGCGCAGCGCAAGTAGCAAGTCGGAAATCCCTCGAAATAGTACTCTTCAAATTCAAGGTTGAGCTCTCGAATCTTGTCTTGTAGTTTTGTAGGGGTCCATTTCTTCCATTCACCAGTCGGTTGCTCACTTTTTTCATCAGCAGTAATTTCCGCTTTCTTTCTATCAACCTCTTCTTTTCGTTTATCCTTGTCTTTTTCGTCACTCGCCACATAAATGCATCTCTTGGAACGCTTGGCAGGTGGACTCATCCCTTCTGAAAAAAGGTTGACTAGTAAAAGAAAAGAAAATGCCATTTAAATCGCAGTAAAACTCTCTAATGATCAGTATTTATCCGTCTGAGAAAGGTAGACTGCGCGTGATGAGTGTAGGTTGAGAACAAACCTGATTGGTCGATCATTTTTTCGCAATTTTTTCTCGGATCCAATCTTGCCAACAACTGCCAATTCCCCAAGAAGATCCAATTTTCCAATGTCGCCAATCCCCAATTTCCCCCAATTACCCAATTTTACCCAATAAAATCCGATACCCTGGCCATCCAAATTCCATCCAAACCTTATTGGATTGGATCCAATCCAATTCCAACTAACCCCCAAGTCCAAAATAGCCACCCTGCTAGCAGCCGAGAGGAAAAAGTACACCCTGACGATGATCGAAAAAGACGCGAAAAAAGACTTTGAAATGGAGAGAGACGAGAAGACGCTTCTGGAGGCGTGTGACTCCGATGATGGAGATCCAGACGTCGAATTTGAAGGTAAAAATGAAAAGAGGGGACTTGTTTGCTCAAACTTATTTTCTTACTTTAAGCTTGGAAATTCCGAGAGCTGCAGCGTCTGAAGCGAGACCGAGAAGCTCGTGAAGCAGAAGAAGCAGAGCAAGCTGAACGAGATAGACGCAGAGCAATGACGGAGGAAGAGCGAATCCGGGACAACGAACTCAACCCGAAAATTATTACCAATGCTCAAAATAAGGGCAAGATGAAGTTCTTGATGAAATACTATCATCGTGGTGCCTTCTACATGGACAAAGAGGAGGATATACTGAAGGTACTCCTTTATCGACTTTACACATTTATAAAATTATTCCAGCGAGATATCATGCAACCTACGCTCGAAGATCACCAAGACAAAGAAGCTCTTCCAGATGTCATGAAAGTCAAGGTGAATACAAGATTTCTTTTGAGTTTCTTTTCTGACTCAATCATTTTAGAATTTCGGAAGGTCTGGCCGTACAAAATGGACTCATCTTACTGCCGAAGATACCACAGCCTTCGATGGTACTGCCGGTGGAGCCTGGGCGGCCAAAGACAACACGACTCATCTTAAATATGGAGCGGGTTTTAAACAGACTTTTGAGCGGCCGTCAAAGAGAAAGAAACTCTCTTAGACCGACTCGTCTGATTTTAACTTGCACTAATTTCTGTACTGCCCTGTTTTTAATTGTAAATCGTAACTGATTCCCATGCCAATTCAATTTTCCAGTTTTAAAAAGAGGATTATTTTAGAATGGCAACACAGTTCGACGAGTACTCTAGAGGCGATCCATTCATTCATGCCGCTGATCAGGGAAACAACTGTAAGTCTGCCCTTCAACTGAATTTTTTAATAATTTCGCCAATAGCGGCCGAGTACAAGCGTCACTGGTCTCCTTATTCGTGGCACGGAGGCACTTGCCTGGCTATTGCCGGCGACGATTTCGTTCTGATGGCTTCTGACACTCGACTTGGCGAACATGGAGGCATTTACACTCGCGAGCTCAACCGAAACAGCAAAGGTAGGGGACAATCATTATTTCTGCTTGCACAAAGACAATTCTAGTTACCGATCACTGCGCAATTGGCCAATGCGGCTTCCAGGGAGACGCACGCGTTTTGCTTCAAAATGTCAAAGCAAAGATTCGAATTTACGAGCATCAACACATGGAGCAACCAACTGCTCCTGCCATCGCTGCCATGCTTTCTACCATGCTTTATTACAAGTAAGCGACACTTATCAGCGGATGAGTCTTCATCTCTTGAATTTTAGACGTTTCTTTCCATACTACGTGTACAACATCGTCGCTGGTCTCGACGGAGAGGGCAAAGGCTCTGTCTTTAGCTACGATCCTGTCGGATCCTACGATCAGGTCCCGATGGTCTGCTACGGCTCCGCTCAGAATCTTATCCAGCCATTCCTTGACAATCAGATCCGACGACCTCACATCAAAGTAGCTACCCCTCCTATTTCAATCGTATTTACTATCTCTTTCAGGAAGATGAAGCACCAAAGATGACTCGAGAGCGAGTTCGTCAATTGGCCATTGACGCGTTTATTTCCGCTTCTGAGCGAGAAACCAACACTGGTGACGGGGTCCGTCCCTTTATCTATCAAAAAGTCCTAATCAAAGCTTTCAGATCACTGTTACACTCATCGACAAGAACGGCACAACTGTTGAGACAATTCCACTCCGACGAGACTAGTAAAATATCTTTTTCAAAAGTTCTATTTTCATCGTTCACTTTTACGCACGGAAACATGTAAGAATTCACGAAAACTGCTTCAAACTGCAATAAATTTGAAAAAAATAATTTCAAAATGCTAAAATTGGCAAAGGAACTTTTGGTTTATTTGCTTTTTACACAGTCGGTAATTTTACAAATGAGAGAGCATCGTTGACTGAGGCAGTTCGTTATTGATCACTTCGGATGTCGTCTCGCTCTCCAAGTGCACTTCGACGTCTCTGTTGTCTAAACAGGTGCCTAAACAGCATGAGTTTAACATTTTCTCTTGAATTTAGTTTGATCTGACCCTGGGAGTCATGATTGTGCAGAACACATTTCCACTTGACAACAGCTTTTTGAACTATTGCTGATTTTCGTAGTTCGCCTTCGTCTAATCGACCCTTCGCTAGATTGAGGAAATTCAACCCGTTTGCGGGTTCGATGTTCAGCTTTTTCTTCGTATCGTCGATGTTGCTTTTCAGTAGTTGTTCTCCTTTCTTTCCTAAAGCAATTTTGTAGTTATAAATATCAGGTCCTGATTCCAAAAGTTATCATTCGCGCATGATCCAAATTTATTCATAAACCCTTCCCCTTGTCTGCCAAAAAGTTTGTACCTTTTATTTGCATATAAGTGCTAACCATCCGAATCAAACTTCCAAGCCAAAGAAGACCTAAGATCAGCCAGAAGAACACTGCTATTCTATACATATTGAACATAGCTTCTATCCCATGTGACCAGCTTGTCTAAAACTTCGTCACCAGCTGTCAAGAAAACAAAATAAAACAAACCTTGTCACAAACCACCGAGATCCCACTCTCCGCAGAGACGGCTGACGACGGCATTGGGTTTGTCAACTCACTTAGGCACGCGTCCTCGTCCATCACGTGCTTTGCCTTCTCGATCGGAGGGATGTTCCTAAATTATGAAGATTGAATTGTCAAGAACTTTTAGCAACCTTGGGACCATATCACCGAAACCAGTCGTAGATAAAGAAATGAAGATGAAATAGACGGAATCTACAACGTCCCATCCTTCCATATGGTGAAATAGCCAAATTGGTCCTGCAATAAGGAAAAAGAAACCCATCACACAGAACAATGTTGTTCCTACGGAAGCAGGGATTCCTCTTTTGAGTCGCTCTTCAGCCGCTTTGCCAATCTTGAGCACAATAATGTTTGAGTTTTCAGACAATTTTGACATCATGTAGCCGAAATATGGGATGCCGACGCTGACGAATACAATACAGAAAATCTTCCCGTGAGGAGTTACTGGTACAAGATTTCCGTAGCCTTTTTCAGCATGAAAAAAAAATGTTTTGAAGTGAAAAAAGAGATCATTTTCTCATGCTTTCCTATCGTTGTAGCGATCGTTCCCGCGAAGAAAAAGGCATTATGAAAGTTCCATTTCTTCTCACAATCTTGATGCAGCGCCATATAGTTTGAGATAGAAAAGTCGGCAGTGCGTTTGAGAATCTTGCGTAATGTCGCTCCGCTGAGGACGAAGACATCTTCGTCGAACTTTCCCTTGAAGTCGGCCATCACCATAAGTTCTAATGAGTTTCGCAAGTTAGATTTGAAGGTTGGCGAAGATCATTATACTATACTTTTGAAGACCATTTCTAGCTGCATACGAAAGTCGGGGTCCTTGTGCATGATCATATCAAGGATATCGATGTAGGCATTTTCGGCGCAGTCGGTGCTGTGCCAGTACTGATACGCCTCGATGATATCCCCTCGATAATAGGCGAGTTCTGTCTCATTGCTCATCATCTTCTTTATCCCTATTTTATAATTAATTCCTGCCTCAGAAACTTTCTGACTTGATGATTTTTTAATACTGTCAAGTTCGGAAACACGATCTATTCCAACCGCAAAAGTTCAAGATAACACTTCTCAAACTAATAACCCGTTAGTACCTCTACAGAGCTTCTTGTTCATTCCCAGTTCGTAGAAGTACATATTTCCGAAACTCTGCGTTTTCAAGATAAGAGCAGCTTTTGCGTCCTCGCATTTCTTTTCTTCGAATTCGCTTTCGCACCAGATGAATATTCCAGCACCAATCAATAAATATATCATGTAACCAGCGAAAATCTATCATAAAGTTAATCATGATTTTTTAATTAAAACTTGATAGGATCGCCTGTTTAAATCAAAAAAAAAATAATTCAAGAGTCAATACTACCACTGACTCGATTGCTTACTGTTATCCTAGTTACCTTTGCTGAGCTGAAGAAGAGCTGTGCGACAGATAGATGTATTCTTAAGGGGGTGGCCCTCCTCTGCATTTTTCTCTCAAAATTACATTTAATTGTAAAGTTCCTAAGAGCACTGCTGCCCTTAGCAAAAGCTACGTATCGCCTCGCCTGCTTCATGAATTATTTTTTACAAAAACTTGGAAGCGCAGCGATTAATTCGTCGCTCCAAATCAATAAGGATTTACGAAGCAATCAATTGCTTTCAGGATCATTCTTACACTTGAATTGAAGAAAGCCATTCTCGTAAATGTAAAAAATAAATAAGATGAAATTGAAAGTGCTCTATCGACATCGTGTTGAAATCTAACGACAATCTTGATTCCCTAGGCATAGGATGAGCTACTCCTCGAACCTTTAACAGATTTAGATACGCGCCTGGCAGATCCAATTAATGGATTTAATCCCTTAACCGAGCTGCTTCTATATAATACGACCTAAAGTAAATTTAAAAATAAAGGTTAGTTTGGAAGATTTTCAATTGTAATTCATGTATTTAAAAAAAAAACAGTATACAGTCGACTCTGGCAATTACGAGTAGCAGAATTACGAGTATTTTGACAAAAACCCGCCAATTTTGAAAACAAGGGATCATCGACCGAAAAAAATTTTTTTCGAAAAAATTGAGAATGCTTGATTTTAATCATTAACCCGCTAACAGGGTGGTCGATTTTGCCTACGCTTTTGCCTGTCTGTGATTGAGTGAAAACATGGATCCGGGCATGCGATTGGCTACTCATTTCCACGCGTGGCCGTGAGACGGCCACGCGCCTGTAACCGGGTTAAATCTTTGGCTTAAGAGTCTCCGGCTCTTCAGATGGTTTTAAAGCAGCTTCAACAGATTGAAAATTTGCATTTTTTTTTATGAAAGTCTCTGAATATTATTTTAATTTTTCGTTGACAAAAAACTTTCCAAAGGAGTACGGTGGTAGCTAAGAGCCTTAGCTCTCTCCTGAAAAAAATTAAGGGTTTCCCTCAGCTTAAATCCCTGAAAAAGCTTGATCCTATCAACCTGATCTTTAACGGCCTGTATATCATTGAGGAGGTAGAACTAGATTTTTGAACAACCGTGATTTTCGGGATCATCATAAGGGAAGCGGTTGTATTCGAGTGTTAAATTCGAGTTCCAATTAAATTAAGGGTGTAAATAAGATAGCTTCGGAGAAATACTAACTTCAAGGAGGCCCATTTTCGCAATTCTTGATGGGGGGTCCTTAAAAATGAAATCGAGAGAAAATCGAGCCACATTTTCCAACTCGGAGAATTACGAGTATTTCACGAAATTCCCGACAAAAAAAGGCTCGTAATTGCCAGAGTCGACTGTAATACTTGGCCCCCCGAAACCTTATTTTAAAATAAACGAATAAGTGCAACAAATAATATTGCAGTTCAATCCACCCATCCCTTTTCTGTATGTTTCGTTTTCCTCGCTCTCTAACAGAAACGGACGAAGTTAGCATTTTCTCCTGACAACTGTCGACTAAAGGGGACAAGTATTGAAAAGCTATTTAGAAAGCAAAGCAATGAATATTAATCCTGGCATGTACAGCGCCCGAGAAGTGCATCGATACTACAGAAAACACTCTAGAAGAACACAGTCCCCTTTTTTTAAGTATTCTAACCCGAGTCAACCAATGGCTTTATTATGAATATTTTCAAGTCTTCTTACCAGTCACTGAGAGCCACTGCTCTCAACTCTATGGAACCCAACAGCGAGCCAATTTGTTTAATAACCAGCTCGCAATAGAAAAACAATTGTGAATTTCTATTAGCAATTCTTGGGTTCATTCCAACATGGAAAAAAACAATGAGATTGCTCCACGAAATCAAAATATAGCAATATCTACAAGCATTTTTTTCATTATCAATTATAAGGAGACAACTGTAAATATGCATATCGCAAGAAATTGATTTAATCTCCCCCTGACTTTGGGCTCACGCTTCTGACTGTATCAGAACTGTTCAAATATTTTCCATTTGTAGCATAAACAAACGAAAGTGGACAAGATGTCAAGCCACCAGTAGTTGAGTCGTTTGAACTGGAGTCTTGAACAAATTTTATCAACTATATAAGACTCTCACGAAATTACAAAATGTCCGTTTTGTCAACAAATGAATTGTCGAGGCAGCAGAGCTCGCCTATTCCGGATTCAGCTGAAGAGATGGTCGAGGAAGGGAAGAAGATAATGGCGATTTTCAACCAGTGTGCAAAGGTAAGTAAGATTTTAAAGAAGATTATTATTTCCTAGACGATAAAAATCTACAATGCACGACTGAATAAAATACATGAACGCCGTGTTCAAATTGCCAAAGTGATCAATGCTCTTGGAATAAACAACTTGGACACGCGCCCAGTCGAACGTCACATGGAAGTAAGAAAACGCTATTTCCCCCTCTTTATCTTCATAATTCCAGATAAACGTGAAGAAGGGGAAAGAATCAGTCGCTTCAGAGCCGCTCTTTTTGCAAGAAAACGCAATCAAAGCAATTTTCCAGCGAGACAATGCCACAAAACAAGCATCAGTTGCATTTAAACTTCGCCTTACGCCAAGGTTCTTCTTCCTTGATTTCATTTCTTAAAGTATTTTCAAGGATTAAAAACGTTACCATTCAATGGCAAATCTTCCATCCTCTGATTCGCGAAGAACCACCGATAAACGAAGCTGTCTTCGAATTCAGCCGAAAGTCACCTGATCAAGCTTTTGGTGAAAAACTAATAAAAGTGGCTGACTTTTAATCTTAATTTTCAGTGACACCGATTTTGACGGACAGAATGGATTTCGATCGACTCGTCGACATGGATAACTTTCATATTGATATCCACCTAACAGTTAGGGGTGTTAAAGCATTCAAAGATGACGACGAGGGCGAAATTGTATCAGGTGAGATTAAGAAACGAATACTATACTCGAGAAAGAAGAGAATCAGTAAAAAACGGTTTAAAATCTTTGAATCAAGCGATGATGGAGGGCCTGAACTTCATGACGAAAAATGATCCAGCAGTGGAGGAACAAATGAGAGCCATAAACGAAGCGACCAAATTTTTGCATTGAATAGCTGATCGAGCTGTTTTCTACTATAATCCCAATAAACGTATATACTGTTGCTTGCACCATTATCGATCATTGCCATAAATTATTATGACCATAATCTTAATGTTCTCCAATCCTATCGGTTAACAGATGACATTCTCAGAGACAAAGCAAAAATTATTATAACATTTTATCATTTTAAAAGTCTCTAGATGACCGAAACCAAATTTTTATGTTATTGTTATACAGTTAATCCGCCACGTCCGACAGTAGAGAGAGAGAGAGAGCCCCCGTCCAATGACAAAACCGATCAAGCCCGTATTTGGAAAACAAAAGCAAACTGCCAAAACTACGCTTAAAAAAACTAAATCAGCACCTAAAATCCGAAAGGAGCCCAAGAAGCCGACCAAGAAGACTGCCAAGAAACCGTTAATAGTCACACCTCCAAGGCAAAAGGGTCCATTAACAGACGAACAATTCGACGGATACGAAGATGACATTGAAGACTTGGAAATTTTTAAGGTCCATGGTTTCTCGATGAAAGATTTGGGGGTGAACAACTCAACTATCGGTATGTATTTCGGTCTATTAGACTCGATGTCTTGAGGACTTTCAATTGAGCCCGTGGGAACTAGAGACAAATTTTAAGATGCAATTGAGACAGAAGAGATCCAAGGCGAGCTTGACGAAGATGGAAATTTCATCGATTTTCCTGATGACCCAGAAGAAGAAAACAAAATTATCAAAGAGCCACCTAAACCTCCTATTGCAGAGCCGAAGAAACCAGATTTTGCAAAGCCTGGAAAGAAGACTACTAAACCAAAAAGATCAAAAAGGAAGGCCCCAGAGCCCGACGCCGATGCTGACGTGAAACAAGAATATGACCCCGATGCTCCCCCTTCAACTAAGCAGAAAGTTCGAAAGCGGCAGAGCAAGCCTCGAACAAAACGGCCGGACACTTATAAAGAAAGAATTAAAATGGCGATTCGGAACTGGTAAGACACTGATAGCAAGGAGGAATATTTTCAAACTTTTTTTCTTAGTGGAGGATCATCGGCGGTCCACATGATTTACAAATTCATGGAAGAGAAATGGCCAGAAGACTACGTAGCCGACAAAAGGCAGCAATGGCAGAACTCGATTCGACATAATTTATCCCTTCATAAAAAAGACTTCCGACGGTAAGAAGAACAATTTCAGAACAGTGTTTAAAAAGCCATTAGAATTCATAAAAATGGCCGGCAAGAGTGGGCAGTAGTCGAAGAGGAAGGTCGGTTGAGTGCAGTTCCAACAGAAGAAGAGTAAGTTACGCGATTTGATTATTACATTCATTCCATTTTAGTGAATCCACAGCTCGTCGATCAAGAAAGAAAAAGAACCAACAAAAACAAATCGAGAGTTTGAAGCCACAAAAAACTGACCTAAGAATTCCGCTTAACAAACAGTTGCTCGAAGTAAGATTTTCGATTAAAAATTCCAATTGATCTTAAATTCAGGCTCACAAGAAGGGTTCTCGAGAAGTGGTCCTTGTCTCCCAGCGAGATGCGATTATTCTCTGTACTTTCTACCAGTATTTCTTCTATGAATTGGGAAATACTGCAGCATGGATGCAACGATTGACTTTCCAGGCAATAGAAGAAGGTAAAGCCTGAACCACGTCTATCAAATGAACACAAATTTATGTTTAGATGAGCGACCACGGCGGCTCTGCCCAGGAGTTGTTCCGATTCCGACATCAGAACTCATCGCAAATACTTTGGCGCACGCCAAGACCAACGAAATCGAGGAGGAAAAAAAGAAACAAGAACTGCAAAAACAGATTAATGAAGAAGCATCTTCGCCAGAACCCGAAGTTTCTTCAAACTCAGATTCGATCGAATCGACTTCTCCAAAGCCAGTTCTGATTGAACCTATGAAGATAGTTCAGGAGCAGTCTAATTCAACTGAGCCCACCAAACTTGTTTCTTCCAATCTGACGCCAGCAAAGCTGTTAGCATCCCGATTCAAAGATGCCTTCAACAAGACTGTCAAGGATGGAAAGACTATCACGCCTGCCAAACCCTCAGTTCCCAAACAACCAGAAAACACAAAGCAATCAGAAGATAAACCTGCGCCAAAGAAACCAGTTTTCGGTCGAGCTAGAAGGCCCGTTTTCAAATCGCCCTTCATCAAAAAAGAATGAATTCCTAATTCACGTTCCAAGTTTCAAAGATATGCCCAGGGATTCGGGCTGAAATTAGTGTAAAAATTAGTAATAAATTTATTCAGTTGCCCGAATTCCGATTATTTCCGTATTTCTATATTCTTCTCTTTAAGTTATTTATATATGTTTTGCTGCATCCAGAATGCATTACATCTGTACCTTCCCTTATCGTGCAATACCTGCTCTGCTTTCTAAGATACTATTTCAGATAGTAGACTGTCCATATATTCGTAATAAATAATATAAACAAAAATATGGAGAATTGAAGTATATTGCACAAAAATAACAAAGTATAAAGTTTAGACACTCATGGAAGAAAGGACTTCAGTTCGAAGTATAAATCAGCCGGAAACGGAGTCGTCACGGGATGGCTCAAGGTTCTAAAATTTCTTTGAAATGATGAGCAGAAACTTTCGCGTGAGGTTGTCACTCAAAGTGATTGATGTACCTGACATATGAGCTTTACATAAGGCCTCGCTGGATCCACTGGTATCGCACAGAAGGGGCAACGCGATATGAACTCCTGTGTTCCTTTAGGCAGTTTATGCTGAGACCAATACTTTGCTGTTGCCAGGCTGACAATGTGTCCGCAAGGATTAAACGTGAATCCAGGCTCTTCTGAGTCGATGTGGAACGCTGCTTCTTTGCCTTTCGTTGGGGTCTTGAATGGGATTTCACGGTTGAGTTCAATGTGAAATTTCAAAATGTGAAAGCTAGCGTGTGATATCGAGCAGCTGTTCAAAGACGACTTTGACAAAGTTTACGGACGATGAGTTTAAACATGCTTTGTGGAAACATTCCAAATGGCAGCCTGGATCCAATAACGCTTCGGAATTGACATGGTTTGACCCTTTCCTTGAACAAGCGCCACAACCTTTTGACTCTCTTGTCTACATAAAGGGCACTCCTTGACAAGCTGCTTCTTCTGGTCGAGCTTTTGTCCCCAGTCACAGGGGCCCTGTACGTGCCCACATTTCATGTAGCAGTAGGGCTGGCGCTGATCGTTCGTCTTGTGCCCGGAAAACTTGAGCGTCGACAAGCCGACGGGACACTGGACTCGAATGCTGTTCAGACGATCAAGAGCGTTATCTAGTGCGGAAAAAATTTAAATGGGGCTCGGAAGGGCAACGGAATATTAACAATATGATTCTACGGACGTAATATAAATCATATTGTTGTTTTATATATTTACCTATATCTTGATCTTTTGGCATATTCAATACAGATTTCTCCGATCGCCACAGTAAGGTCACCCCGCAGAGGTCAATTAGCGTCCCATCCCTGAGGACGTTGTCGAACTAATTTACAAAAAGATAAATCACATGATTCGTTTTTGCAAGTGCAAGTTACAACACGCACCTCGGGGCAGAACTCGCCACGTTTCTGGTCACTTCGAGTTTCCCTGAGGGAGAAGACGGAACCGCCAACTGATAATTCGCGCCAAGTGAGATTTTGGTCGTCAATGTGGTGGATTAGGACGCCGTTTGTAGTTAGGCCATCCATTGTCCCGTTCATGTCCCATTTTGGGGCCTTTTCGCCGAGGAATATCCTATTCTTCGAGTCGAAGCCGGCTTAAAATTAAGCTACAGTAGTTTTTACTTTGATATTTTTACCTGCGTAAATTCTAGCGACATATGGAGGCTCCCTATCACAAACAATACGGCATGAAAACCTCGAAATTGTTGATTGCTCCGGGAGGACAGTTCTTGATCCGGCTTTGGCCGAGGCGCCAGGTTGAATGTCAATCAAAACCATGTCGATCGGTGGGTCTGTCGATCTGCCAATTTGGAACAAATCTACATACTGTTATTGAGAATCGATAACGCATTAACAACATGACAATTGGACGCAATAAAATACAGTAGAAGACGCTGTAAAAGACACTTTCTAAAATTCTAGCTTGTGACCACGTGAGAAGCTATAAATTTCTATTAAAAGTGTCAGAATACACTCAGAAAATCTACTCATATTTTTACTGTCTCCATAAATCTCGAAAAAAAATCTGCCCGACGGAAGTGGTCAGACCTTCTTCAAACAGAAGCTCGTGTTGAAACCGTAAATTTTACCTCTTCAAAAGGCAAATATAATATACTGTCTACGTAACACTACTGTATTGCTGTGTATATAAAGAAGAAAACTGACGGTACCTTTTGTTTCATCGTGTTCGTATTTGACGACGACTTGGGTCTTTTCAAAAGGGTCGAATCAGCAGTTCAAGAATCTTATTGAACAAAAATTGTGATGGGCAAACAGTTGACAAGAACTTCCAGTAGCTTCAGTAACAAAAACTCAGAAGCACTTATGTCGGAAGATAAGTGCAACAAATATTGGCACACTGTCGATTTTGCTTTTGAAACTATCACTGTAACTCAACTTTTAACTGCTCTTCCAGAAAGCTCGCCTCGGCAGCCTGTGTAGAAAACCTGAGTCAGGATCTGAAAGTTATTCATTAAAGATCGTTCAGACCCTGACTCAGGTTTCCTCCACACAGGCTGCTGAGCCCAGAAAGAAAGGAAGCTACAGGGAAGACTTACTGTATTTGACGTATGAAATATCGCTGAGTGCCAAATATTTGAAGCATATGTTTAAATAAAATTTATACAGTCGATTCTTTACGACCCCATTCCTGTCTATTTAGCGTGTACGTGACAGTATGATTTCTCAACTATCAGTTCGGCTCAGAACTTTCCGCAGAGGATATGGATCTGCGTGCGGTTGACATTTGCGTGGCAAAGCCAAACACTCCAATTTTCTTTCAAACATGAAATCGCGAAAAAAAAGAAGAAATACAAGGGAAGTCGCGGAGCCGCCTTCCTGACTTTGATTGATGAGCTGTGGGCTCGTGCAGGACAAGTCGAAGGTTTGTTGGCCTGTTGGTGTTACTCCGTTCGGTTTTGGACGACGACGAAGCTGGAAATTAAATTAAAGCAATTTACGAACTCAAAACATAATGATCTTTGTTCACTCAAATAAAGATAAAGATGATAACGAAACAACTGTAGTTGTCGTTCATCTAAACGAGTTAACCTAGTAAGAAATTTAATTTGAATTATTATTTCAAAGCTATGAGCTCTTACAGTATATCTACTTCTTCTTCTTCCCTTATTGCCTCCAGGCAGTTCTCCATCTGTGCCCAAAACTACAAGTTCTCCATAATTTATCTCCTGTCTTCTCATTTTATTCCATATCTATTCAAAAACTAACGACCAAAAACAATTTTCCTTTTTAGCGATGAAAAAAGCTCGTAAAACGATAATTATCTTTTTCGATTCTTTCTTTCTTTTTGAGATTGAATGAAAACTACGAGAAATCGTCGATTTCGTAGTCAGCTCCGAAAATCAGTGAGTCACCAGAAGTGCACGAGCGCCGCCGCGCGATTGGTCAATTGGAAATTTCGCTCTCAGCAAAATCGAGCAACAGAAGAAGAAAAAATGAAGAACTGGAAAAATTGACGAACCAGATGAATAAGTAGTTTCTTTTCCGAAGATGACTTTGCAGAGTTTTTTTTTCATTGATGATGATGACTGAGAAATTGCCTTATTATTATCTGCTTTTTGATAAAACTCTATATTAAATGAACTCGTAACCTCCGAAAGGTGCTCGTCTTTAGCAATAAGCTGTATACATAATCTTGTTTCATGAAAATATAAAATGACAATCCACAATTTGGTCTAAGCTCTAAATTTAATTTCTAATGAATCGAGTATCGCGAAACTCGTTATAAAAAGTTTTTATTAAAAACTTCATTTATTTCTTCCTCAGAATGGGCCGAGGTCGCTCCAGATCACGAGGACGCGGTCGCTCATCGTCTTCTTCCTCGTCTTCATCTTCGTCCTCTTCTTCTTCTAGCTCCTCTTCTTCCTCTTCCGGAAGTTCTCCAGACCGCCGCGATCGACGAAGCCCTCGTCGGGGGAGCCCAGGAATGTTTTCAATTGTTTCGCTTTCAATTGTAATCGCTAGAATCAAATCCTTAGAAAATCCTTTTCAAAAACATAAAAATAAGGTCGACGAAGAGGATCTCCTCGACGAAATTCACGAAGACGATCCCCATCGCCGCGAAATCGTCGACGATCGCCGCCAAAACGTAGATCTCCAAGGTAAAAAATGCCTTTCTTTCAAAAACTAAACTTCTGAAAAAGCCCAAGAAAACGAAGCCCACCTCGACGCAGACGATCTCCCAGTCCTCGTCGACGATCGCGATCACCAGTTCGAAGGAGAAGATCGCCAAGTCCCAGAAGACGATCGCCCGTGCGTAGACGAAGCCCAAGACGTAGCAGATCAAGATCAGCTCCGCGAAAGCGAAGAAGTCCTACTCCAGTAAAGGTTAGAAACGCCGTAATTTCTTAATCGAGAAACCACTTGCGGCTTCGAGACTAATAATCGACGATTGTCCATTTCTTCAGTAATAATGTTCTCTTAGGATCCAGTGCGAATTCAAGTCACGAAGCTCACGCGAAACATCACAAAAGATCATCTCTCCGAAATCTTCGGCACTTACGGAACAGTCGCTCATGTAGAAGTCCCCGGTGGGAACGGATTCAGTTTCAGCTTCCGCCACCAGGCTTTTATCGAGTACGAATCGTCAGAAGATGCGGCTAAGGCGGCGAAGTTCATGGATGGCGGACAAATTGATGGACAAGAGATCATGGTTACTTTGATGAAGGGAGCGCCGCAAAGGAATGGATCAAACTTTCAAGTTTGAAAACTTTCCCATTTCGATTTTTTCGAAACAAAGTTTATTGAAAAACGAGATTTTCTCTAGATTTTCCAGATGTATCTATTTTCATCCTTCCTTTTCGATCCTTTTCCTAAGACGACGAAGTCCCCCTCGCCGAGACAACTCCCGCGATCGTCGGGAACGCCGCCGCAGCCCACGCAGAGAGAGCCCTCCTCGTCGCCGCCGCCGTGGCTCGACCGGCTCGTCCTCCTCCGATTAAAAAGAAAAGAAACAATCTCTCACACTTTTACCCTGACTCGCTGTGAAAAAGCACCCTTTTTATTAGCGGCCCGCCACATTTCTTCGTTTCGTTTCCAACCTTTTGAATTCACCACAGCCGATTTCAGGAATTCCACAGAGACAGATTTAGAATAGAACTGCCGTTATTGAATGATCCATTCTGGGTAGGGTGGGTCACTTTCAGGGTTGGTCTTTCGATTTCGATTTTTGTTTGTAAGATGCTTGTTCTTACCCCAATAAAGAGCTTTCCATGGAAAACTGATCAAAAAATTTTTTCATCCCTCATTTTTGAAAAAAATTTTGTCGAAAAACCGGTTTTTCTAGAATAACACCGGAAGCCGCTGACAGTACACGTGATCTTACTGTATCATCATAAAGAACTCGTTAAGCCGGTCATTTTGGTACCCGAAACTTCCCCGGGAAATGGCAGGAAAAAAAACTGCTGAGATTAAGACTGTAAAAGTACTTTCCCGGGAGTGCACAGAGGTGTTCGGGTGCTCAAAATGATCAGCACGGTGAGAGCTTTCAAATGAGCACAAAAAGAAAGTGCGGCTCGAAAAATGTTTAAAAAGTGACCCACCCTATTTCTGGGTGAATAATTAGGAAACAAATCACATTATTTTCACTCAGAATCATAATCTCACAATTTGTCACTTTTCCTTTCCTTCGATTTTATTGTCTAGTACAAATTTATCGTCTAATTGTATTGGAAAAAAGAATCCTAGACCAATTAACGTTTAATCCAAGTTTATCTTTATCCCTTTTAGAAACAAAAGAACTCAAGATGCCCGGGCTTGTCACACTTGTCTCGCAAGACAACCAGAAAATTGAGGTTGAGCTCAATGTCATCAGACAATCAAAGGTAAGAAATATTATCTAATTTATAAATTAATATATATAATATAATTAATAATTTATCTTTCGTCAGGTTTTTTCAACGGGATATTTAAGGTCATCTCCGGAATGCTCCAAGACCTTGGTGAGGATGAAGATACCGAGTACCCCATTCCCAACGTCTCCCACGCCATTTTGAAGAAAATCATCGAATGGTGCGAGTAAGTACTGCTAGACTTTTATCAAAAGAAAACCAAGTCTCTTTGACCGATTTGACTTACCATGTCTTTCAGAGAGCACAAAGATGACGCCCCGATCGATGATGAAGACCCGAACTACCAAGAAAAGAAGCGAACCCAGGAAGTGCCCCGATGGGACGCAGAATTCCTCAAGGTCGACCAAGGAACGCTCTTTGGTAAGTCTCCGCCCTCTCATCTCTTTTGCTTACTTTTTCGCCCTAGAAATCATCCTCGCTGCCAACTACCTTGATATCGGCCGCCTTCTGGACTTTGCCTGCATGACTGTTGCAGATCAAATCCGCGGCAAGACACCAGAAGAAATCCGTAAGGTAAACCGTCGGTATCAATCACTGTTTCTTAGAAAAATTGCTTGATGAGGAAGAGCGAGTAAACTCAAAATACGGGCCCCCTTCAAATATGAAGCCCCGTAATGAAGTTGAATCAAAGCCGTATCTTTACCCCTAACCTAAAAAACGAAAGAATGCTACTAGAAACAGCTGCCAGAAACGCTCTTACATCCCATTTTGCTCCTTATATTGTGCGAATAAAAAGTTTGGCTTAAATTTGCTAGTTTTTGAATTTCCGTCTATTTCAATTTGATAAATCGATTGAATAAAGTTCCACAGGGTCAATTCTCTAGCTTACTTAACCCCTATACCCGAAGTGTACAATTTTTGTCGATTTCGGGATATAATCGCCCGCTGAATGGAACTGGTAGGTCGGAATGACCTGAAAACTCAAATGAGTATTTGCACAAGACTTACGCACCTTTTAGCAAAATTTCGGCGTGATAAGCCCAACAAGTACTGCACGAGTACTGATTTTCTCACGCCACCCCGCCCGCTTCAAGAAAAGAAAAATTTCCCTTTATCTTTTGGAGTCATCTTTGCTCCGGTTTCGTGTTTATCTATAGGTTTTCTACCATGTGGAATTCGAAAACCATCGTTAAAAATGAATTGGATGAGTTTTTTTAAATACTCGCCATATAAAAATTTTATAATAACAAAATAACTTATCTCAGTTTCACCACTAAATATTGATTTTTTCGAAAATCTAAAAGTGCAGTTCGAAAGAAAATCATTAATTTGGTATGATCTGAGATTTTCAGAAGATTATCTCGAGAGGAAGATCAAATCGACAAAAATTGTACACTTCGGGTAAGGGGGTTCTTTAGGCAGCTTCGAGTATAGGGGTTAACAAACCATAATTAAATTTTTTTAAGTTCTGGTATATAGTTTTATTGCCCGAAATTCACGCTAATTCAATATGAGTAACCATCGTATTTATGTTTTGACAAAACTTTGTCCACACTTGTGGATCACAAATACTTAACGTCACCTCTAGCACTTCAACATCAAGAACGACTTCACCGAGGAAGAAATGGAGCAGATCAAGAAAGAGAACGAATGGTGCGAGGGCAACTAAACTATCTTCTCCTACCACCACCAGTCTTGAACAATTCCAAAAGCTCTTTTTACAATTGAAATGTTCTATTTAATTGTATGATAGATACCCCCTTCCGCGCGTTGTTTTTTCCTCTGTATAATTTTTCGAAACCATTTTTTCGTATTTTTTTTCTCAGGCGTACCAATCAAGTGAAAACCTCTCTTTTTCATTTACCAATTGAATAAACTCATTTACGGAACTCGTACAGTCTCTTTTCTATCATCTTGAGTTTATATTATCCGAATAGTTTATCTTGAGAAAGAGAGTTATCTGTATCAGTTTGAAGCTCAACAAATCGACCTGTTTATAAGACCATCAAAAGTTCAGGGCATTCAAAATGCATGAAATAATGTTCTTGCTAGCCCAATTTTTTCGTCGAGCCTATGAAAATCCGTTGCACTTGATTGTAGTCTACTGTAACCAGTATTGTCTCCTAAAGACGTTATTCTTCGATGATTCTTTTTTTCGAATATACAGTTAAAAAGTTTATTTTGTATCCGCTCTATTCTTAAACCATGCAAAAATTATTCTTGATTTTATTCACTTCAACAGCCTGTTACTCTCTGATTGGGTTAGAATGTCGCACAACATGTATCACAAAGAACCGAAATTAGAAGCACCAAACAGCGACTACGCAACTCAACAACATCAACGCGGCATGCATCAGCGCAGGACTCATTTGCCCCAGAGTTCTCTTATGGAACAGGTGACTTGTTAAAGCTTTCTTATTCCTTTCAATCGGGCTTTTTAGATCGCGGAAATTGCCCGAAATCCAATGAATCGCTCGCCAGAAGAGATGCGAGAGCACTTTCTGAACATGAAGGCTGAGCTTGGGAACATCAGAGAGCGTATTAAAAACTCCCCTGCTTTGGACTCGCTGCGGGAAACACAGCAACTCCAGTTGGAAGTTGTTCAAGAGCAGTTGAGGATGAAACAAGAGCTGATTCAGCGACTCAAGGACTCTGATGTAAGACACGTTATTTATTGACCTGCTTCTTATCATTTTTAGCTGGACAAAGACACAGCGATGGAGCTGATGTCTCAATAGAAGATGCTCTGCGAGATGCCCACTGCCTATTTTGTACATTGCCACTTTATTTAATTACGATCTACTAGATTCATTCGATAGAATAAAAATCATAATAATGCATAATTCAAACAGCGTAAATATCTTCCATTAATCGTTAATGTGAAGATATCTTCAATTTCGAGTCTATGTATTTATCAACAGTGTTTGTTTATTAGTGGTAGATGTAACGATTGAGCTTTATTTGATAATTTTTCCAGGAGCAGGGAACACCTTGAGCGATTTTTCGAATAGTTCTCTAGTAACTCCGTTCGGAGTGTAGATGGAAGTGACTGGAAGCCGACTGACCGCGTTCATATTGTTCATTTGGTTGTCGTAGAAGACCATATCATCAAGAGCGATGCCGGTTTTCTCTGCAAGAGTCCGGAAATGCACCTCTTTAGATCGCGCCTTGTAGATTTCCTTGTGGGCGAAGACATCGTCTGGCTTGATGTCAAGTTTAGGCCCGATTCGCATTTTACGGAGGCACTCTGCTGCCCAACTCGGCTCTTAAAACAAAGCTCAATACACTGTAGAAAACTTGTGTACTTGTCTAACCATCGCAAGTAGAAGCAATGCCGACTATTGAATCGGCATATTTTGGGTCAGTGTGAAGCTCGTAGAGAATCTTTCTAACATCTCCCAGAAAGTGCACCTCTTCGCCTTTACAGTCCTTGACATTTCCATTCTCCTGGAGCTTGAAAGGACTCCCTCCTCCCCAGATTTCGTACATTTCCGGCGCCCAGACGCAACCGTCAAGGTCGAAAACGAACATTTTTGGCATTTTGTTCGACATTCTGTTGGTTTCAAGGTTTAAAAGTTAAGTCAATGCTCGCATGCTTTTATTGTTAGAGACAGATTATTGTTAGATATGTACAGGAAGAGAATTATATTAGCATTCAGCACGATAAGTACCAATATATCTTCCACAACTTGGGTTTCCGCAATAGTGCTCGATGTCTCGCATGTACTAAAATGAAAATAAAACGAACGCCCTTTCAAAATATCAAGGTGAATTATTGATCAAATAATCTTTAAAAGCGAGAATATCCTCGAGTGCTTACCCTGCAACAAAATGGAATGAAGCAGCAAGGCCAACAGCCGCACAAGAACATTGTGAAACAAAGAAGGAATGAAAGAGGAGCATGAGCTGCTTCTGTCGTTCGAGTGATTGCAGTTCCTTAGTGAAGGTGTTAGGGTCAATACTTAGCAGAAAATTGCAACTTACGTTGGCACTGGTCGCAATAAATCCTCTGGGGATATCGAAAATGAATTCCCTGATCTGACCCCATGCTTTGGACAACATAGATTTGCGTGTGACCATTGCTAGTCCTTACTGTCCGTTGTTCTTCAAAATATTGACTCTCTGGTTGGGTTGCGATAGGGATTTCCTGTGATCTGTGAATAAGATCACCGTCAAAAGACAAGTTTGTTTCTCCCTTTTTAGTTTCATCCATTGCTTGATTATATGATGGTGGCATTTCATTTGCCATTTTTTCGCTTTTTTTTCTATTCTCTCAGTTGCAAGAAAAATTAGTCACTTTTTCGTATATTTTATAGTTGTTTTATTGAATATCATATATAGTATCTTGTCCGTTACAGGAATACGTTTAATTGAGAAACAGAGAATAGGAAGTAATAGGATTCGTTACTGATTAACCCCACCCCTCTCTTTTCCACAGTCTGCTAATATTGCAACTAGGTAAACAAGATAGAAAAATGAGCATTACGCATGCGAACATTCGCGCTTTTTTACAAAAACGAACTTTGTGAAAAGAAAGCAGTGACGTACAGCGGCCAAGAGTTAGAAAAATATTTGACAAAAACATAGTTTGTGTGTGACAATACGCGTTTCGTGGTTTTGTTGTGTATCTATCACGTGAGCAGTTTGAAAGACCGTTGAACTTTTTCATTTTGACTCTTGACGAGTTTTACAATTGTCGTTTACTTTTGAATCTGTAGCACCAGTAGTTTTGGTGTATTGTTTATCAGGTTTTTGTTGATGTTGGAGATGGCAGTAGAAGAAATTAATTTAACCGGGGAGATCCGGGACGAACGTTGAATTACTAAATATGAGCAGTTATTTAAACGCAGTCATAATAAAACAGAATGGTTTAAATGGAAAATAATTGCTAACACACCTGACTAAAAGGAGGATATTGTCCGTGTTGTTGCTGCGGAGGTGCTCCCATGCCTGGTGGGGCTCCTCCTTGTGGTGGTGCTCCGGGATATCCACCTGAAAAGAAAGGATTATTATCGAATACAAATATAGGAGCAAGTTAAATTATCGTGATAAATTTAACTCACGGTGTGGTCGCATACCCCCTGGGTACTGAGGAGGATACTGGCCATATTGAGGATAACCTCTAGGCGGGTATCCTTGGTATCCAGGATGTCCAGGAGGGTGTCCATAGCCAGGCGGCATTCCAGGTCGAGGTGGATAACCACCTGAGCCGGGGTGTCCGTGTGGTGGGTAACCTTTCATTCGGGCTTTGACTGGGTCATTTTCTTATTTTTTCTAAAAGTTTTTCACTAAAGCCGTGCCTTGCGGAGGATATCCAGGATGTCCACTTGGGTAGCCATAAGGGTAGCCTGGTTTCTGCGCCATGCCAGGGTGCATTCCTTGAGGCGCGTGAGGGTTGTATCCTGCTGGTGGTGCACCTTGGGGACTTTGGCCAGGATGGGGTTGAGACTGCCCTTGCATTGCTGGCCCTCCTGGGCTTTGCATCATCGATGGGTGTCCTTGACCTAAAAAGACATCTTAGCTAGATAAAGACTAATAAGGATCTACCCGGAGAAGACTGTTGAGGTGACTGATGCGGGATATTCGGCGACTGAGCATGTGGTGCTTGAGGCGTTTGCGGATTCACCGATGGGCTCGCATGTGTTGAATCTGGTCTGGGAGGAGGATTAGGCGTCGAAGGCTGTTTCTGGGGTGATATCTAATACTCGGAATATAAAAGAACTTAAACTGGCGCCAACTACGACCTGTTGTTGCGCCTGCGGTTGAGAGCTGTGTAGATGGTGAGGCTGGTTCATGGCGTGTGGAGGGTAGCCTGGCGCCTGGCTACCTGGATACGGCTGGCTGGCTGGCCCACCAGGATAACCGGGGCCATAGCCTGGATGCTATAAAATGCTAAATAAACTTATAAAAATAACGATTTACCTGTGAGTAAGGAAATCTGTGTGCAGGATTCTGAGCGGCTTGAGGATTAGGTGCTCCAGGTTGCCCAGGCCCATTCCCATGAAAACCAGGATAACCGGGATGTGGCTGACTTTGTGGCGTAGCTGCTGGATTCTGTTGCGTTGGCATCGCACTGTTTTGAGCTGCAGATGGAGACTGTTGAATTGGTGTTTGTTGTTTGGGCGGAGGTTGTTGTTGCTGCTGTGGTTGTTGAGCTTGAGAAGACGCCGAAGGAGCGGGACTTTGAGCTGGCTGAGACTGCGCCTGTTCTTGTGGAGTTTTTGGAGGCTCTTCGGTAATCGACTGGGGAGGTTCGGTTTCGGAACTTGGCTTTGGTGAGACTCTGGCTTCGCTTTCGGAGTTGACCGCTTGAGGAGGGTTATTTCCAGGAGTTGGCGGATTATCTGGTTGATTTTCCGTAGGAGCGGGAGATTTTACAGCGGATTCAGTCGGAACGGGAGTTGAGACTGGAGGAATTTGTGTCTGTGATGGCTGATCATTTTCGGTTTCTTGTGTTGACGCAGGAGTTGCTGGCTTTGGTGGGTGACCGTTTGGAAGCCCGTTCGGTAGTCCTGGGTGCTGCTGTATGCCTGTATGAGCTTGTGGAATGGGTGGTTGGGCCATTCTCGGGCCCTCAGGTCTAATCTGAGACAGAGTGGCTATTTTGGACAAAAAATAGGGGTCTATCCATCCAAATTCCATCCAAAAAATTTCTAACCGGGTCTATCCATCCAAAATCCAATCCAATCCAATTTTCGCCCAATTCCCAACTAAAATCCAATTCCAAGTTCTTCCGAAATTCCAACTTTTCCCAATTCCCAATATGCCCCGATTCCATTGGATTTCCAATATTTTCCAGCTAGCAAATTCAAAAAAAAACAAACAAACAATACTTATTCTTCAAAGTTTATTTCTGTAGATCCAAGGGCAATGTCTAGGATTGTGCTGGCAGCAAGTTTGTGGCGTCGAATAGATCGCATCAATGTCGTGAAACTGAAGGCTCGCTCCAGGCTTGAACTTGAGACGGAAGAGTGATGAAGCTAAGAAATGCTTTATTTTTGAACTCAAAAAAACCGAACCATTAATCCGATTCTGCTCAATCTTGGCAAGGTTTCAGCGTATCGCCGCCAGAACTCTCCAACAATATCATCTTCCGCAACCTTCTTCATTGCGCAATACTTCTTGTCTAATTTCAAATAAAGTAGATTAATGATGAAAATTACTTACGCGCTTCTATATCAGTATCATTTACTTCGTCGTACTGAGCAATCTCTTCTTCGATCTTGGAACGGATTTCTTTTGGCTTTCCTAGTCCGCGGCGGTGACTAAGTGGGCCAACAGCGTTATTTTGGCTGTCACATTGAACATTATTAACGCCAGCTTCAAGGAGCTGTAACAACTGTTCATCTGTCAGCTCGTCGTCTTCCATTGTTCGATCAACCTCTGTGATCCAGTTCTTCGCTTTTTCGAGCCAATCCTTGGTTCCGTCGACGAGTACTTTCTGAATTATTTTTTGGCATGAAGATAAATACATACCATTATTTTGGAGATGAAGGGGACTCGGGAATCTTTCATTTTGGCGACGACTGGATGAAAATTCATCGCTATCGATGTAGAGTCGGGTGCCAGGTAAATGCTTGCCAAGTCTTTGTTGGTAAAACGAAGGGGTACTTGACATGGGACATCGTTTCCATTCATATCAATCCGCTTTTTTGTAACCTGTTCCACCACACTGATGAGCACAGCCTTCGCAAATCTGGATTCCTCGGTCCGACTGATTGTGATTCGATTGACGCACTCAATCATTATTCGTTCGATTTGCTTGTAGTACGCTGATCCGCAGGCAAGCGAGTCAGACTCGAGAATATTGATACTGCGATGAATTTCGATAAGAAGAGGGTTGATTGATCGCGCAAACTGCAGATCTGGGACTGGACACTCAGCGAGAAGATGGCGTTGAGGGTGGTTGATAGAAAAGAGGTTGTTTAGGCTATCTTCGCTCAAAAGGAGACGCTGAACTCCATAGATTAATTTCCGGAAGCGCGTGGAGCCGGAAATTCGATCGATGGCCTTCCCTTTCTCCTTTCTGTTGAGGAATGCATCCGTCTTTTCTTCAACAAGTCGTTTGACTTGATCGTCTTCAAGAATTTCAGTACTCGCTTTTATTTTTGCATTATAAAACTCTTTTATAAGCAAGCGATTAGTCACTTCTTGAGAAATCAAAAACGCATTGATTGACTTGTATCCGACACCAGCCGGAAGATCACTCGCCGATACTGTAGCTTCACACTTGTCGATGAATTTTTCAAGTGATTCGTACTTCTTATCCTTCGGTCCACCTGGTCTGAGATTTTGTTCGCACGCTCTCTTAAGGTTGCAACACATTGAATGACTTCCGCAAATGCTACGGTTGATCGTAAAATGCTCGGGCACGGACTCTGCTGCCTGATCGCTCACAATGCAGACCAAGTTTTTCTCTATCGCATCGGTAAGGTTGTATTCTTCAAATATCTGCTTCAGTTTTTCTATGGTGTGATCCGCAGTTGAGTCCGGCATCGGAACATAACCGATCAAACAGTTCCAAAATCCGTTTTTGCAGCGAATATTGACCTCAACCCCGAGTATCTTCCAGAGCGTATTTTCTTTAGTTTTCACGTATTTGTGGTCTTTAAAGGATATTAAATTGTTAATAAGACAAATTATTCAAAAATTTTTAAAGAAACTTTGAAATCCTTATCCTAGAGAAATTGACAGGCGGCCCTTTTTTGCCATTTCCGGAAGAATCTGTTGAAGGCGCTCCCGAATTTTCTTTGCCTCTTCTTTCATGTATATTTTGATGGCATCCTTCGAAAGGCAAAGTTGATTGATGAGCATCTGGCTAAAGGATACATTTTTGAGAAGGCAGCGCATCAGGGCCTTGACAGAGTCATGTGACCAAAACCGGAAGCTTGTTCCGGTATCGCGCATGACTTGCAGAACTTTCTTCTGGACATCAACTCTGTGGTCCTTGGTGTTATTCAGAAGCGCGAGTACTCTCTGCTCATCTGGTGCTTGCGCGTGGCGATCCACAATCGGTTCGAGAGTCTTTTTATAGACATCTGTATTTTGATCGTATGTATGGAATGGCTTAAGGTTTTTTAAGAATTTTTACAAAATGCAAATTTTACCTCTCCTCTGCATTTTTTGCACTTAGCTCCATCTATTCTTGCGCAGCGCAAGTAGCAAGTCGGAAATCCCTCGAAATAGTACTCTTCAAATTCAAGGTTGAGCTCTCGAATCTTGTCTTGTAGTTTTGTAGGGGTCCATTTCTTCCATTCACCAGTCGGTTGCTCACTTTTTTCATCAGCAGTAATTTCCGCTTTCTTTCTATCAACCTCTTCTTTTCGTTTATCCTTGTCTTTTTCGTCACTCGCCACATAAATGCATCTCTTGGAACGCTTGGCAGGTGGACTCATCCCTTCTGAAAAAAGGTTGACTAGTAAAAGAAAAGAAAATGCCATTTAAATCGCAGTAAAACTCTCTAATGATCAGTATTTATCCGTCTGAGAAAGGTAGACTGCGCGTGATGAGTGTAGGTTGAGAACAAACCTGATTGGTCGATCATTTTTTCGCAATTTTTTCTCGGATCCAATCTTGCCAACAACTGCCAATTCCCCAAGAAGATCCAATTTTCCAATGTCGCCAATCCCCAATTTCCCCCAATTACCCAATTTTACCCAATAAAATCCGATACCCTGGCCATCCAAATTCCATCCAAACCTTATTGGATTGGATCCAATCCAATTCCAACTAACCCCCAAGTCCAAAATAGCCACCCTGATCTGAGAAGTCGGTTGAGGGGTTGGTGCTCCAGGCTGAGGCATGCCGTGTTGCTGAGAGTGCTGCTCAGTCGGCGCAGTTGCTCCTGGAGCGGTGGGATGTGCTGGTCCTCCAGCTGGACCGGGTGTCGGACCAAGTCCCATTCCAGAACCCTGTTTATCCGCAGCAGTAGCGAGATAGACGAGATTCTTGTGCAGCTTGTTTTGATATTGGACGCAATCTTGGACCATTCCTAAAAGAATTTCACGAGTTAGAAACCGCGTCTGTAATTACGCTAAAATAAAGGGAATTTTTGAAAATTGACGACATTTAGGCATAAATACGCCCGTTTGACGTGACAAATTCCACCGAATGTTGTCTAGATTGTATGAATCAATTGAAATGGAATAAATTAAAGAAAGTGAATAGCGAATTCACAGTTGGGCTCACCCTTCGACTGGTAGTTGATTATACATTCGATCAAGTGCGTATTTTCGTCGAGAATAAATTGAATCTGTGAGCGGGACGGTGGAGCTGCATTTGGAGGCATTCCATGACCATTATGACCGGCACCCGGTGGTGGTGGCACAGGGCCGCGCAAGTCGCCTCGAACCTGAATTCGTAATTTTTAATACGTTTTTAGATTGACAAGATTATATTCAGCGTATCAATTACAGTAATCAACGACTAGAAAATTGTTGAGATTACGGTACCTTCCGCAAATTCGCAACTAATTTTGGCAAGTTTAGCGTTATGGAAGAGTATTTTTGCTTATCCATTTCCAAATTCAACTGAGAAAGAGAACAGAAAAATGAAGGATTTTTATTGAAAATCTAGAAAAAATAATTTCTAGATAAATTCGATGAACTACAGAGCTCCACGAGCGATCCGAGCATGAAAAAGACTCGAGGTTATGAACAAACCTGGCTACCAAAAGACATTCTAGTGAATTCTTTCTAGAGTTTTCCTTTTTCCCTTCTTTTTTCTTTTCACTCTAAATTGCTGGTGCGAGTTGAATTATTCTCCAACGCTGATTGGCTCGTCTCGGCCATTCATTTTGACCGACCCGTTCTCACGGCGCTTGAAAATGGAAATCGACTATTTCACCGACGGGTAGGCTTCACTTTGACAAGAGCTTCATTTCGACAGAGCTTCACTTGGACAAAAGCGTCACTTTGACAACATTTTAAAAGGGTCATTTTTATGAATTTGATAAAAAATTCTCATAAAGAAAGTAACAGTTTTCATAAAATTGACAAGTTTTTTACATACAGTTAATAATGGAATTTCTGGACATTTTTTGTCCCCCATTTTTCCCGAAAATGTCCAGAAATTCGATACAGAGCCTTCAGAAAAATGTCCCAACAAAATTGCTTAAAAATTTTTCGAGACGGAAAAATTGACGATTTTTTTCAAAAAAATTACTAAAGAACAATAAAAGAAACGCGCTGTAGCCGTCTTTCTTGTTATATTATAAGATTTTCGAAGAATAATAGCTCTTTATAGATGAAATTGGCATAAATAACTCAAGTTTGACTAAAAATTTAGATGTCGAAGACATCTGTTGAGAAAAAATGTCCAGAAATTTGATACCCCCTCTCTTTGAATTTGTCCCAAGAAAACCCCTTAAAATCCGAAAAATGTCCAGAAATTTGATGTCCAGAAATTCCATAAAAAACTGTAAATATCCTATAAAATAAATTTATTGGTGAAAAATTTGTCTTTGTTTACTTTTAGATCAAAGAAAACATCTGATAGTGTCTATTATTCTTAAAATTTGGCCATTATTAGTTATAATTAATTACGTTATTAATAAATAATCGTTTTTCAAAAGTTGTCCAAGTGAAGCTCTTGTCCAAGTGAAGCTCTGTCGAAATGAAGCTCTTGTCAAAGTGAAGCCTACCCTTTCACCGACTACCCAAGATCTTTTGGTGAATTTTTTTCTTTTTTCTTACAGAAAATTTGTTCACAGAATAAATGTACAGTAGCAGTCATGAAATGGGTATAATTATTATTCTGACTCTTCTGAAAAGTAGTTTCCAATGAAGGCAAAAGAAGGTTTGATATGCACTTGTTCTGAGGATAAATCCCGCTCGAATACCCGATCTTAAAGATTTATTAGAGGTCGATAATTCTCCAAGAAAGATAGACTTACTCGCAATATTTTTCTTGAGTGAAGATTTTGAATATTTTCGGAAGGTAGCTAAATCGAATTTCGACTGAAACCACTTGTTGTAGCCGTAGACACTGATCAGCAAAAGGTTGAAGATAAGCATCTCGATTTTCGAACAGAGTAATCCAAAAACAACATGAACCTTTTTTATATACGGCTCATTTCGGTAATTATTAATGGTTATTTTGAGCGGCCAGTAGCCACTGCCATGTAGACTGTAAATTACTGTGTTGTGAATTGAATGCAATTTTCGATCATCCCTTCTTATTTTTTTTCTAGAACATGCTCTTTGAGGATATTTTTCTTTGCAAAACTGTCAGTTGCAATCTACCCGTTTTGTTGCAAGATGAGTCTTAATTATTACTGGGGCCAGTACATCAAGGTAAATAAGCTTTTTTCTTTTTTTTTATCCAAAAAATAGCGATTGGAAGAATACCTCGATGGATCTCCAATCAAGCCATACTTGGAAACGGCGGAAAATAAATTCAAGATCAAAAAACGACACATGGTTCTTGCAGGTAATATTTTTTAACTTTTCTATTTGATGATGTTTTAACAAGTCGGCTTGACGATCGTCTGCACAACCATGCACCTGATGGCGCCGCTAGTTGTCTCCCTCATGGCATTTTGCTACCCAGCGATCAAGTCAATCAAGTCGCTCGAATCTGGCGATCCCGAAATGACCAAGAAGTGGCTCACCTACTGGATCGTCTACGGCACCTTTTCTGTTGCCGAAGTGTTCGTCGATATTTTGCTCTCCTGGTTCCCGATGTACTTCCTCGTCAAAATGATCTTCTTGATCTGGTGCATGTCTCCGACTGAATACAATGGATCCATCGTTGTCTACCGATCTGTCATCCTCCCTCTTTTCATGCAACACGAAGGTAAGATTGTTTTGTGGTAGTCTGTCACACAAAATAGGTAGATGAGAATGCTATTCTTAGAATAGAAAACTTTTCGAAACTCAAATTATTCCTCGTATAAAAATAAGATGAAATCTATCTGATAAGTTTATAAAGAATAAATTTAGCGCCGCTCCGACGCGTCTCAATTTTTTCTCCAATGGCTGAAATTATTCGATCAAGCTCTCCTCTTTCTGATCAAAATGACTCCGTATATGAATCCGCTAATGAAACTCTTACGAATGTCAACTAAGCATCTCTTACTTTTTCTATTTTTTTTCGCCTTTTATATATCCCTGTATTTTATCCCTGAATAAACGTTTATAGGAAAACTGAACGAATTGAATAACAAGTTGGTCGAAGCGGCTCAGGAAGCAAAGGACATCGCCGTTGACGAGTTCACCAAGGCTCATGTTGATTCTGTCCGAGAGCAAATCGCCTCCAAACTCGAATAGGAATAAACCGACTGTTCTTTTTTGTACAATTTCGTTTTATTTATTGCACAGATGAACGAGCACACGAAAAAGGGTGATAAACGTAGTTATGAATTAAATAGCCGTTGTAGTCAGTGAGGAAAGTCGTTTTGGGGAATGGTAGGTTGCTGGGGGAAGCTTTGGAGACCGTTGAGTGCGGCTGGATCACACTGGAGGTTTTCAGGAGGAAAGTTTGGGTAGACCATCGCTTGATAATGCATTTCTGAAGAAGGAGATTTAGGTGAAGAGATGATTGTTAGTTTACCTTGATTATGAGGCTGCTGAAGATCGACAGCGTGATTTTGAAAGACATGATCTGGGAAGGGCTCACTCTTGAAAGCGAGCGGAAGATAAGAGCATTGGTTGGGAAAATTGTGGGACGGATACATTCCTTGAAGACGACCTTAACATCATAACCGTTACGCAAGCATTTTGAAAAGGAAAATTAAGATTCTCAAATTTAAATAGTGCTCACCTTGTCCCCGAAGCATTGGCTGAGGAGGATTGATAGGAATTTGTCCGTTCAGAGCGTGCGCTTGCTGGGCCATTCTACGAAAGAGTTGTCAAAAACGGCATATTTTTGTTTTTAAATTTACCGAAGATCGCTTTGTCGTTTTGCGATTTTCTTTACTTTTGCGCGTTGATTTTGAAACCAGACTTGTACAACTCGTTGACTAAGTCCAGTCTCATCGGCAAGCTTGTCTCGCAGCTACAACTCAGAGTGAGAATGCGGATTAGATGTCAGACTGTGCTCTTAAAGAGAACTGCCTATGGAAACTGTCTAGACATAAGGTCAAAATGGGAAGTCGAAACCATTTCAGATAAATAATTTTTTGGGGACTTTCTACCAAAAAGCTTAGTCAACTAAAGCTGCAACAAATATAAAGTGCAATAAGGACGCTGTCATAAAACTTCGGCGCAGACGGAGTGATGACAGTCAATTTGGAGCGAGTCGATATATGAATATTACTTTTTCGAAATTATTGCGGCTGCAATTACCTTGCGACAAGGCTTGGGTGTTGTTTCAAATGCCTCCTTGAATCGGCGTCGCTGGGCTTGGTTTAGGATCGTACGTGGTCTTTTTGCTGCTTGGAAGCTTTTACGTTCTTGACGAGCGTCACTTGAAGAATCGCTCAAGCCTGAAATTAAGATTAATAAATCTTTTCTATTAGCTACAAGAGCTTACGAGATATAAAACGTCACTTGATTATTTTTTTTACTTATCATTCTATCGCATAAGATAGAGTAGAATGAAGATCGGACACCGAAAGGCGTAATCTTTTCTCTCAAAGTGATAAAACGGAAACGCCTTGATTTTGTGTTTAAAATTTTTGTAACCTTGGAGTCTACTTACTGTCATTGGTGTTGTTTTCTCCTTGGGTCTCGGGCGTCTTAGCTGTATTGTCACCTCCAAGCATATTCGACCAAGACCCCATTGGGCTAACAATCGACTGGTATCCAGAAGACTCACTAGCAGAGCATTCGGTCTTCACCATTCTTCCGTTTGCATCATTATTCACTTGATAGCCGTTCATTTTTGTTTAATTAAATCGAACTAAAAATATAATGCCGGCCCGAAGTACTGAGAAACAACGCGAACGAGAAGTTTATACAATTTACGGTCTAGCACATCAAGTGTTCGATATAGTACCCTTCGATCCACGCACCCGTGTTCCGCAGTTACTTTCCTTATCTTATGAAATAGGTGATCTGTCGTAGTGATAGGAAATTTTTTCGTAAATAAGAATGAACGGGTGCCTGAAATGTTCTCTTTCTTGATGTCAACAGAACTATCGCCCGGGGATGGTAAGCTTCGTTTTTGCATACAGTTGAAACAGACGATGTCGGATGGATAGTCGATCGAGTACTGCTCGCCGGAGTCGATTTTTGTCAAGCAAACGGTGCATTTGAAGCAACTTGAAATTTTTTTACCATTTCTTTTTGGTCAAGCTTACCTCCAGTGAAAAACGGATGTTTCCGTTTTCATGATAAATTCGCCTGGTGGAATAACTTCCTTACAAGCATCACATAAGGATTTGACGCTAAAATATTCAATTATAGTACTTTTGACTCGAAAGAGTGTTCTTCTTAGAAGAGATCAAAGCAGACCCCACTGATCGGCTTCTTTGGAGAACTTTCTTTCTCCCGCTGAGCGCGCGAAATTGAAATAATTAAAATCACAGTCGGACTAGTAATGAAGACAAAAGTTGTTCAATCATTTTATGACATTCTTTTTCTACCGAAAATGTTGCTTTTATGTGAATCGAGACAAAAATATCGGATCGATAGTTCTGATAATTGCTCTGATTATTTTTCTTCCACACTGTACCACGAAAGATAAGCACTTTATGTAAGGATTGATAATGTTTAAAATTACCGTTTTTTTTTCTCTCTTTGTCTAGTCACCGAAAATACCGGCTTTAGTCTCTGATGATGATCGGGAGGATGAAAAAGGGAGGGACTCTCAAGTTGTTTTAGGGACAACGAGCGTGTTGAAAATGGGTCCGAAAAATGCCACCTTCAGATGAAAAGTGCTATCAAAGAGTAAGGATCATCTTTTTCATATAATTATTATTTTAATCATTTAAATGTTGAAAGAATGAAGGACTTTAAACTGCATTTCCAAAGCAATATTTTGCTCGACAAATGTTGTGGTGGTCTAGTTGGCCGAAATTTCCCATCTTTAGAGGCTTCTTTTGCAGTTGAGGACACTTACTTTTTTTAATGATTGAGTATCACTTAATGTTTTCATAATTTCATAATTTAAACTCAATCTCCTTCTCACGTGTCTATCTATCTTGATTCTGTACCGTGAATAATGGGCGTATCTTATTTTTGTCTTTTATCATTTACGAAAGAATTTCGAATAATTGTGGATGCGTGAATAATTTAATTTGGCCCTATTCGAAGATTCGAGCGCAGATATTTTTGTCTGATAAGTATTTACCTTTCGTAGTCGTCTTTACAATATAACTTTGTTCCTTTGACATAGCAGCTCTCGCCAAGCTTCTGTGTGCAGTTGTTACAGTTGATGCATTCGTTGTGAAAATTGAAACCGGCGACATTTGACTAAAAAGGTATTTCTTTGCTGATTTCTTGGAAATTTAATAACTGTAAAGTTATTGAGCAATATTCTTGACAATTATTTTTAATTAACGATTCTTACGAGGTTCTCCATTGCGGTCAGACTCTCTCGGCACGCGAAACAAAAGGTGTTCATCAAGTGATCTCATTTCGTCGGGTATTGGCAAAAATGAGGAAGAGAGGTCGGTGGCGCTCCAGCGTGCATTCGCCGCGGGATACGTCGCGCGACACACGCTTTTTCGCAGCAGCGCCACTCCAGAGACGTTCACGCCTTCGGGCGAATCAACAACGCGCTTATACGGTTAGTTCTTTAATGGAAATCTTAACGATAATCCGGAGTTTCCTTAGGCAGAAGTCGGATAAATATTATCAATATTTTCAAGGAAACTTTACGTCAAGTAATGGTCTTCCTTTATGATCGAATTGATTTGAGGTCTTGATTAAAATATCATCATGCGTAGGTATTGTTTTCCCAAGAAGATGTACGGATGAAAATATGCAAATTCAGAAAAATTGCTATAATTGTTTGTAAAATAAATTGTGTATTCCGAAGTTGATGGCAAAATATTCAAAAATAAATACAACCTTGTTTGTTCAATCGAAAGGTGCTGCCATCGTCCTCGCCAACCTGCTGCAATATGTGGAAGGAAGCTATCGATCTATAGACTATCGAATGCCATTTTTATTACCCTAATGACGGCTAGTAACTCAATACAGAAAATAAAAATGTACGAAATACCGCAACAAACTGCGCTTAAATTACTATTAAGCGTGAATGATTGAATAAATATAATCGCTGTGCTCGCGAGCTTTCCGTTTTTATTTTTGATTGAGCGGACCGCTGCAAATTTTCAAAAATGAGCGGCTAGCATGAAATGGGATTCATCTAGCCACCCGCAACGTGTAATCAGAGGAAAGTAACACTATCGTCACCGGAAGTCCAGTAGACTATCGCCATCTGAGCTTTACCGATCTGATGGCTTTTCATTTGCAGAAATTTGGCGCTTTCGCGAAAAATTTCCGACTTGAAAAAATAAATTTTTTTAATAGATAAAATATTGAATTAAATTTAATAAAATCAATAAAAAAAGAATAAAATATTAAATAAAAATCTAAATAAATAAAATTTTCTTTAATAAAAAATTTAAATTGAATGAATTAAAATCTGCTGATTTTCCGAGATTTCATAATTCAAGCTGCTGCCAACATGTTCATCAAAGAGTTAAATCCTTCTAAAAGATAAATCAGTTTCTAAGATAGCGGCAAAAATCCTCTCTCCCAATATTTTTTAATCCGACTTCGATAAGAGTCACCTGCAACACGAATTAATAAACAACAAACAGAGCAGAACGTGAGTTGTTTGATTGCCTCTAAACGCAGCTAAAACTAATCATCAATGGAAAGATTCTTAGACTGCTTCATTTCTTGTTTTAAATCGAGTCTACTCATTGATTCGGGAAAAGCGCGTTTGAAGGGTCTGCCGAGGAGATTTTTTCATAATTCGACACTTGAAAATTAAGGAGAGAAGTGTTGGACTTGGAAAAACATTTTTCCATGTCAAGAAGCTTCAGATAATTTGGAATAATAATCTTACGAAATCCAATATTCATTCTCATTAACCCGTTGCCGAGCGCTCCGCTACATTGGCTTGCCGCTCGCGTAGCATCCGAAATGCTACGACTTTAAGCGCATTTTTCTCCTACTTTTACTTTGTTTTTATTCAAAATTTTTACTTGTGGGTATTCAGTAAAGCCTTTGCTACTAGATTCATACTTTTTCACAAAGTTTCCGAAGAGGTAAAAGACCGAAAATCAAGAAAGAATGACGGTTCCGTCAGCGGCGCCATTGTTCAAGTCTAGAGAAAAAGACAATGGCGCGCCGCAAAACAATAGAAAGGAAGCGCCGCGAGGGCTGACTTCACTTTTTCTTTTCGATTTTCTAGCGGCAAACAACAACATTTTTATGATTTTAAAGCACAAGATCTATTTGAAAAAGGTTGAAATTTTTATAATCAAAAAATTTTTGAGAATTCTCAATGTTAACTTTTCGTTATGAAGCATTGAAAGCGCGCGTAGCATCCTGAATGCTACGCGCTCGGCAACGGGTTAAAAATATTCGGCTTCATATTAGCTGTGGTCACGTGAGCGAAAATACATAGCACCTTGCTGTCCCACTTTCATGATGAAAGTTTCATCCTTGCCTTGACCTTGACCAAATTCATCAGTCCGGGATAGTGTAGCTTCAAAATGACATCATTTCGTGCCTTCATTCCACAGCTGTGACGCGCTAGAAACTCGTGGAACTCATCTTATCGTGCAATTTTTCAAATCGACCGGGGCTGAGTGACGTGACAGAATCGTGAACTTTTGTTCGCTCGTGACATTTTTTTTCATGCCAGAGTCACATTTACTGAAACTAATTGGAATTAACAATAACTTATTGTCAATAAGCATGACTGTATTTTAGATTTTTTACTAAAAATTTAATTTGAGAAAAGATTTTTATACAGTAAAATTGAAAAAAAAATCATGTGCGAAAATTCTAAAAGCATCTAAAGCGAGTCCTTAAGTTCTTTTCTAAGAATGAACTTTTTATTTTCGACCGTCTTCTCGAAACTCATAAAAATAAATCAATCTGACGGCCCCTATGTTTACGCTATTAAGTCGTTATCGACTGTTTTTAATAAAATCTTCATAAGCCTCTTCTAAAAATCTTGAATCATGATTACTCTCCGCGGCGCTGTGGAGCGGCGCCATGCTGATGAATCGGTCAAAATGTCCTGCTGAGCTTTATCACTAGAATTTAGTTGTCCGAGGAAAACGTCACGTCAATCAATCCTCAAGACATTTTTTATACACGCATTTTTATTTTTAGCAAGTAGAGCAGATATTCGATGGAAAACAACTGAAATCAAGGAAGAGAAATTTTAATTAAAAATGAAGACTCATACTTTTTTATTTTATGTGCTTATAGCAAATTCACGTAAGTTTGAACCTGAGTGACTGTTTCCCCCATTTTGTCAGACGGAAGAATTTTGTCATGGAAAATATCTTTACGATAATATTAAGTAATATTGGCGCAAAAACCGAAAAAAGCGAAGAAGGAAGTAAATGAAAGACTTCTTCGAAAATGGGCGAAAGCAAAGGCTGCTCGCCAAGCTACAGGAGCTTCAACTACAGCTACAACGATGTCGGACTCTAGTTCAACGGAAAACAATCAAACGAGTACAGCCGCAGCATCAACAACAGCAACAACGACATCGACAATGACGACAAGAATAACAACTGAAAGAGCTCAAACAACAATAAAACCAACGACAACAGAAAGAGCATCAACGACATCATACCAAAGAGTTGTCAGAAAATCGACCGCAGCGGCTCAAACATTGAATGGTATAATAATGTCCCGATTCAACAACCCCATCGCCAAATATCTCCAAAAGCACCTTCGTCAAACCGGCACTGTGACCCCTCAAACCACCCTAAGTCCTCCCAAAACACAAATTTTAACAGCTGAGTACGACGGATTCCCACCCGTCTTTCTCAAATCCTCTTCAACCCCTAGTTTTCATTCCGTTGACATTTCCTCGCTCGACATGAGCGCCTATCCACCTCAGAAAGTCCTCTTTTCCGAGAAAAACTCGACCAACAAATTCGAAATCAAGCTTTGGGATACCATTCCTTTCAATACGGAACGCGAAGTCCCAGATGGTAAAAAAACATAAATGTTCTTCTAACTGTCCAGTAATCAGCTTCGGAGCGGCGGAAAATGAGCCGGAAAATCGGACATAGACCCTAACGTGTGTTCCGCGTCTTTTTCTAATGCTCATCTGATTACTGATGAATCGTAATTTTTAATAATTGAATGTTTGGTGAATCTTCTTACACGTCTATTATCTAAATCAGGGTTCCAATTTTGGCCGAAAAAATTTTGGAGTGGAGTGGAGAGATGAGTGGATAGCCCAAAAAATTTTTTGAGCGGAGTGGAGCGGTGAGTGGATGCCCCAAAAAAATGGTTGAGCGAGTGGAGTGGGTGAGCGGAGTGGATTTTGAGTGGATTTTGAGCGGATTTTTAGGGAAGTTTGAGCGATTAAAAAAAATTTTTAAATCGCTGGGGGGTGAAAGGTAGAGAAAGAGGTGGCGTAAAGAAGAGAGGTTGAAAAAGGTCGGGCCCCCACGAGCAGACAGAAACCGAAGTCTTCTTTGCACGCCGTGAGCAAGCCTTTCATTTTTCTGATCATCAAACTTTTATGAAGAAGTTGGTCCTAAATTGAAGGTTGATCCTGATATTATATCATTGATTTCTTCTCTTGATTATCTCCTGAGAGAATTCGATTCAAATAGACAAAACTCGGTCTCCAATCAGAATACGAGAAAAGGGGCGCTAAAGACAAAAATCCACTCCATCCGCTCAAAATCCACTCCATCCACTCAAAATCCACTCCAAAGTAGATTTTACAGGTTGGAGTGGAGTGGAGCGAATGAGTGGATACTAAAAATATAGGCTGAGCGAGTGGAGTGGAGTGGATCCACTCCGCTCACGCTCCACTCCACTCCGCTCAAAATCCACTCCATCGCTCAGCAAAATTGGAACCCTGATCTAAATAAGGCCTGTCTCACAAGCTGTCTCATAAAAAATAACAGCTCCTTATTGTTATTTAGAAGAGACGATTACATCTTGACATGGGAGTATTGAGTGATAATAATATTCCTCAAGACGTGTAATAATCTAAACTTATTTTGTCCAATTTTGAGATCGATGTTTTACTTTGAAAACTGAAGCTTTTACGCTGAGTTTTCAAGTCTTAATGTCAATGGGTCCGGGAATAAAAGCTTTATTTAGATGGATTGGTTTGCTACGCTTGCCAGAATGCCCTAACTCATGAAGAATGCAATGTGAATAAGATCAAATGTAACACAAGCCAAAAGGAACGGTGTCTCTATTTTCATACCATAATTGGTAACGCAAATGTTTTTAAAAAACAATAAATCTTGTCCTAAATTGGAATTATAAGCCGCATAATAACAGACTCGTAGCTGATTTTGTTTTGGTAAATTTATTCAGGAGGAGAACTGAATTAATTTATGATAAATAGATCTAGGGAGCTCATATGATAATAATACTCAATTTGTATTGTTTTATTCTTAAGTTATTATCAATCATACCTCCTTCGGAGTACCGTCGACAAAGTTTTCTGTAATGTAATCACTAATGTCTGTCAATCGGACATCTTCCTACGTCATCATGTGAACCGCACACTTTTTGCACCCTTGAAAGGCTTCATGCATGATTGAGATTCGAAGTGGTGGCCCTGGACAACCCGATTTGATCAGCAAAGGATGCAAACAGGTACCTTTTGATTAAAAGTCTTCTCGTGAACGAGCTCTTGAAGCCACGTTATTCAAGCTGCGTTCATCTAAAATTTTAAAGTTTATATAAGAGTCCTTCTAAATCTCGATCATTTTCAGGTGGTCGCATGCATCAATAATAACAAGAATCCAAACAGCCACAATTGCTGCTGTGAGGGACGGGTTTTAAACAAAATATGAACAGATAAAACGTGAAAAACGTAACTCAATAATAATACTACCACCATCTTGCATAACTACGAAATTAACCCGCCAAAGACAAACGAATGCAATCGTAACGGCACGACATGCGCCAATTCCAATCTCAGTCCGATCACGCTGAAAAATGGCCGAACAGTGACCCCAAGGTTCAAATCTTTTGCGTCGAAGACCGCGGCGAAGTGGGGTCCTTGGTTAAATTGGTCAGGATGTTCTCAATTGTGCGGGGGAGGAATCAGAAGACGGCGACGAATGGGTTACGGCCCTGGTGCAAACTTCGAAGTAAGTGAGAAAAAAATCTCGGCAGATCGGACACTTATTCAGTTATCTAATTATACGAACTCAGAAGCATATTTCTCACGCGTGAAATTAACCGACTTTTAAATAGCCAGAGTAGGCCTTCTCTCTGACTCGTGCTTGTCCTCAGAATATGCTAATTTTTCTTAATGGTTTGAATTGATCACTTGGTTATTAACCCATTTTTCAGGAAGAAGTATGTAACGACACACCATGCAAAGATGGCGAGGACCCTCACGATATCATGGCATCCCTGCAAAACAAAGTCCTTAACTTTTTACGTTCCGACGCTGGCGGCAGAAATGTCCGACAATGGGAAACATGGGAAAGTTGGGGTCCATGTGGCACAAAATGTGGCCGAGCATTCCGAGAACGAACCCGGACTTGCCCAGAAGAAGACGCCTGTCCCGGAAGCGACTCACAGCGGGTCGCTTGTACTGCCATCTGGGGATGCAACAATAACAATAGAATAAGCAAACTCAAAGAGCTCCAATCTCAATTTTCTCCTTGGACGTCGTGGCTTCCATGCTCGAAATCATGCGGAATCGGAACCGAAACGCGAACAAGAACATGCATTGCTGCGAGATGCAATGGATTCTTGGAGCAAACGCGAAATTGTAACTCACAACCTTGTCAAGGCCCTCAAGTCCATCTTAAAACCGTCGCGGGAGAGTGGAGCACATGGAATGCCTGGAGCGAATGCTCTGTTTCCTGCAATGGCGGTAGCCACACTCGAACACGAAAATGCATAGGCGGTGAGTGCGTGGGAGAGTCGACCGAAGAATTGCCTTGTGGAGAAGAGCCGTGTGCTCGATGGAGCGAGTGGTCAAGTTGGACAGATTGCTCAAAAGACTGCGATGGAGGATTTACTAAAAGAGAACGTCTGTGTTCAGGAGAAGGTAGCTGCGAAGGAACAGATGTAAGCGAGAAGTCATGCAATACTCACTCTTGTCCAGTGCTTGAAAATTGGTCGGAATGGTCTGAGTGCTCTCAGCTAGGGATTCTGAATAATCATATCTATAGTTTTGAATATTTCAATATTTTATGATTTAATATCATTATATTTGATGATATATTGGTATTTTTTTAGCTAATATGGGATTATACTTAGATTAGATAATCGAATAAATTATAAATCCAACGCTCAGTCTTGTGGCTCTGGTGGAAGTTCATCGCGCAAAAGATCGTGTTCTTCCGGAGAAGAAGATGACTGCACTGGTAGTTTTTCGGAAACAAAGAATTGTAACCTCGGTCCATGCGCTCATTACTCGCCGTGGTCCGTTTGGTCTGAGTGCGACTCCCTTTGCGGTGGTGGAATCACGAAGCAGGCTCGAACGTGTGTCGGCATTGGCGCGTGTGAAGGACCTGATATAAAAGAGCAAAGTTGTAATGAAGATCCTTGCTTGGGCTGGGCCAGTTGGTCTAGTTGGACGAGTTGCTCGGAGCCATGCGGTGTGGAAGGAACAAGAGATAGGCAAAGAGAATGTGAAGGACAGGAGTTTAAATAACTACTTGTGTAGAGAGAATAATTATTTTTATTGTTTTTTACGTGTTTGGTCCATTTATTAAAAGCATGAAATAATTTTGTAAGAAATTGACCTAACTAGGTATAGCGTCAGCATATGGCGAGGATATATATTTCGAACTCAAATAAGGATTACCGGAGCTCTGTAAAGGAGAATCATCGGAAAACGAAAGCTGCTTTGTCGGCACTTGTGCTGAATGGTCAGACTGGCTCGATTGGGGCTCATGTTCTTCACTTTGCGACGGCGGTAAAAGAGAACGGTCTCGCATCTGCACTGGTATCGGGGAGTGCGAAGGAAGCGCAACCAACACTGACGACTGCAACATTGAACGCTGCGCAATTTGGTCAGAGTGGAGCGATTACGGACCTTGCTCAACTACGTGCGGCATCGGAGAACGAGTTCGGGAGCGTTCATGTGATGGAATCGGTAGCTGCTCTGGCAATGATACTCAAATCAGTGACTGCTCTTACGGCGAGTGTGCTGACTGGTCGGAATGGGCCGCTTGGACAGAATGTTCAAAATCATGTGGAGATGGACTCAAGTCTCGATCGAGAGATTGTTTTGGTCTCGGAGATTGCAAAGGCAATAATCAGGATACAGAAGTGTGCAATATGGGACGATGTGCATTTTGGGCTGATTGGCAAGAGTGGGGACAATGTTCTCAAGAATGTGACATAGGAAAACGAGCAAGAATCAGATCATGTGACGGAATCGGCGAGTGCCATGGAGAAGCATCCGAAAATGAAAACTGCAATACTGGTCCATGCGCATATTGGGACCATTGGGGCTCTTGGAGTGCTTGTAGTGCGTCTTGTGGAGACGGTCTTCGGCAACGAAAGAGAGACTGCTTAGGCGTTGGAGAATGTGAAGGATCTACGTCTGACTTGGAGGCTTGTGACATTGGCGCGTGCGCAGATTGGGCGGAATGGAACACGTGGGGAAGATGTTCAGCTTCCTGCGGTGGTGGACAAAGAGTGCGGGAAAGAAATTGTATTGGACTTGGAGAATGCAAGACTGGAGATCAACGACAACAAGGAATTTGCTCAATTCAGGAACGGTTTTGAAACGTTCGCATCTAAAACTACTATGAATTATTTAAACTATAAATTATTTCCATGAAGTACGTCAAATTGAAAGAGGTCAATTAATTTAAAATGTCTAGCCATAAGATTTATTTTCCCTCAAACCATCATGAAAGTCATGCGAAGTTTATGGGTTGTGGGCTGAATGGAGTGCTTGCAGCGCGTCATGTTCGACTCCGGACACCTTTGCCACACAGTCTCGCTTACGTCCATGTCTAGTGGAAGATAAGTGTCTTCCACAAGAACTTCTGGAATCGCAAAAGTGTCCAGGGAGTCCTCCTTGTCCCACCTGGTCGATTTGGTCTGACTGGTCTCAGTGCTCAGAAACATGCGGAATCGGACAGCGCAGCAAGGCCCGGGAGTGTCTCTATGGCGACGATTGTGAAGGAGATATCGCTGAGTCGGAATCGTGCTCGGACGGAGACTGTCCTACTTGGACAGATTGGCTAGAATGGAGTGCCTGCTCAGAAACTTGCGGCGAAGGCTCGAGATTCAGGAATAGAATCTGTCAATTTGGACACGAAGAAGACTGTGACGGAAACTCTGTAGGATCAGAATCTTGCAACGTCAGAGAATGTCCTATATGGTCAGACTGGGAAACATGGACAAAATGCTCAAAATCTTGTGGTAAGGGACAAAAGCTTCGGCAGCGAGTTTGCATAAATGGAGAAGCCGGAGAAGATTGCCTCGGATCAGGTTTCGAAGAACTTGAGTGCAGTACTGAAAAATGTCCTTTCTGGGTTGACTGGATGCCGTGGTCTGAATGTTCGAGCTCTTGCGGAACAGGAATCAAAGCGAGAAAACGCCGCTGCCGTGGTGGTCGCCCGGAAGAGTGTGGAGGAAATAATGACGAAGAGATTCCATGTAACACGAGAAAATGCCCTGAATGGACGACATGGGAGGAGTGGAATAGTTGCAGTGCATCATGTGGTGGTGGAAATCGACAACGAAGGAGAAAATGTCAGTTTGGAGCTGACTGTGAAGGTTCTGCCATGGAAACTGAAGCTTGTAATCCAGATCAGTGCCCATATTTCGAAGAATGGTCAGAATGGACGAAATGTTCTGCTTCCTGCGGGTCAGGGAACAGGTCTCGCTCGAGAGATTGTGTGGGAGAACTTTGCAGCGGAGAAAAAGAACAAACAGAAAAATGCATGGAAACCAAATGCCCATCTTGGTCGACTTGGCTTGATTGGTCGAACTGCGGTGCTAGCTGCGGAAATTCTACTCAAACAAGAGAGCGTAACTGCTTGTATTCAACCTCTTCGAAATCATGCGAAGGAACATCATCCGAGTCTCAAGACTGCATTATCGCTCCTTGTCCTTATTGGGCCAAATGGGCAGAATGGACCCCTTGCACCGTTTCCTGCGGAGGCGGAAGGCGTCGTCAATCCCGCGGATGCATGCACGGTCCTGGATGTGAAGGAGGTTCTAGTAACGCTTTCAAAATTGAGCTTTGCAACACAGACTCTTGTTCGAACTGGTCAGAATGGTCAGAGTTTGATTCTTGCTCTGCTTCATGTGGTGGTGGAATTCAGAAACGCTACCGATCCTGCGAGGGTGGCGATGATTGTGAGGGAAAATCAATGGAGACCAACTCTTGCAACCAAGTTCCTTGTCCGAAATGGTCTGAATATTCTGATTGGTCTCCTTGCTCGTCTTCTTGCGGCGAAGGAATAAAGTCTAAGAAAAGATCGTGTGAAAACGGCGATGATTGTGAAGGCGAAAGCACAATAAGCGCCGACTGTAATCTTGGCCCGTGTGGGCAATGGTCGGAGTATGGAAGTTTTGGTGAGTGCTCGAAATCATGCGGCGGAGGGCTGAAATCAAAGACAAGAACTTGCATCGGCGGTGATGACTGCGAAGGAAAAAGTGAAATAACAGAAAAATGCAATAGAAACGCTTGCCCGTTTTGGTCAGACTGGAGCGAACCGAGTCCCTGTAGTGCTACATGTGGTGGCGGAGAGAGCACGCGTAAACGATGGTGCAAAAATGGACTAACAAAGGCTGACTGCAACGGTCCGAGCGAAGAAATCACAAATTGTGGGACAAACGCCTGTCCAACCTGGGGAGATTGGTCAGCGCCTGGTGAGTGCTCAGTCACTTGTGGTGGAGGATTTGCTTCACAGGATTGTTTGGCCAAATTGAAATTTTAGTTATAATAATGACTTTCACTTAATAAAAATATACTTTCCTTAGAAATGTTTTTCAAACATAATCGAGTCACGTCAATGTAATGGCGGTATCGCCGGAGTAGACTGCATCGGCGAATTGTCAAACGTCGTTAATTGCGCGGATATACCGTGTCCGACATGGTCTAATTGGGGAGACTTTGGCTCATGTTCATCTTCATGCGGCGGCGGTATGCGCTCAAGATCACGTACCTGTGAAAACGAAACATCCACTGGCAAGTGCACGACTGGAGAAGCAACAGAGGAGAGCGACTGCAATACAAGTCCGTGTCCTAGAGTAGGAGAATGGTCGGATTGGTCAGAATGCTCGGCAACTTGTGGCGGTGGCGAGCAAAATCGAGCTCGGTCATGCATGTTCGGTAGTAGCTGTACTGGAGACAAGTTAGAAACGCGAAAATGCAACAAAAACCGCTGCCCAGAATGGTCTGAATGGGCTGGTTTTGGAATTTGCTCTGCGACATGCGGCGGCGGAAAAACTTTCCGCTCACGAAGTTGCCAGTTTGGAGATACTTGTCCTGGAAAGAGTTCTGAGACTGTATCTTGCGCAGACGATCCTTGCCCTTCCTGGAGCGAGTGGTCTGACTATTCTGAGTGTTCGGTGTCATGTGGTGCGGGCGAACAGCAAAGATCAAGATCATGTCAGAATGGATACTCCTGTATGGGATCAGCAAACGATTCTAGAGAGTGCAAGCGAGGTCCATGTCCTGAATGGGAAGCTTGGACAAAGTTCTCAGCCTGTTCAAAATCATGTGGCGGTGGAATCTCGACAAGAACCAGAAAATGCGCAGACGGGGTGGAAGGAGTCGATTGCTTAGGAGAAGCAGAAGAGCAAGTCGAATGCAATACAGAGCCATGTGCTGAATGGACAAAATGGACAGAGTACTCCTCCTGTAGTGTCTCATGCGGTGGCGGCATCAAAACATCCACGCGAAAGTGTAGTGGTGGCGATTCCTGCGAAGGGAGAAGTGAGCGCAGCCTGCCTTGTGGAAGCCAGGATTGCCCAACTTGGTCGAGCTGGACTACATATGGAGAATGCTCCGTCACATGCGGCAAAGGAGAGAAATCAAGAGGGAGAACTTGCAAAAACGGGGATGATTGCCCTGGTCCGAAAATTGAAACGGCTTTTTGTGAGCTTGCTCAATGCGGGCCAGTTTATACCGAGTGGTCTGCCTGGACAAAGCTCGGTGATATTTCATTTTATAAACTTTTTGAGCTTATTTGTCTTTTTGTAAATTTCTCACCGCATAACAGTGTTCTCAAACATGTGATTCTGGTTTCAAATCTCGTTCAAGGGCATGCAAAAGTGGAAAGTGTAAGGGTCTACTTTCGGAGAAGGTTGAATGCTCTGAAAGTGTCTGTTCTCGGTGGGATGATTGGGAAGCTTGGAGCACGTGTACGGCCACTTGTGGCGGTGGAATGCATTACAGACAGCGTCAATGTATCGGCGGAGGTTGCCAAGGAATGCCCATGGCCTACGAGCCATGTAATACAGACGCGTGTGATGCTGGTTGCGCTGGACCAAGGTTCTTTATTCGTGAAATTGAAATCAAAATTGCTTAGTGAGCGTTTTCTTATAATCAAAATTTTAGGGATGTTCTTTTTGTCGCTCATTACACCACCTACATGGGGTCGACCTTTGGTGACATTTCCTCCTTCTTCGAAAACATCATCAGCACAATCAACGTGGAACCATCATCATCATCCATTCGATTCGCATTTTCTTTTTATAATCACGCGTATGTCGAATTCTTTGCCTTTGACTGGCTCAAGAGCATTGACGAGTATCGATGGGCCTTTTCGTCATTTCCACCGGCAACCGGAAACTCTAACTATATCGGAAAGGCTCTCAAGGGAGCAACTGACACGATGACTCCAGCCTTCGAAAAGGGCCGAAGACTGGATACTGTAGGGACCGTTGTGCTTTTGACCAACGCTGTCAGGTAGGCGATCTCTTTTGGTTCAAAAAATTAACCCTTACCAGTAACGATGAAGTCGATGATATGGCCTCCCAACTCAAGGAAAAAGTCGATCGGGTCATCGTGGTTGGCTTAGGATACGCTTACGGTCGCGATGAGCTGACCGGAATCGCATCAATCCGATCGAAGAAAATCTCTATACAGCAGAAGAATCCTCCGACCTCGCAGGGCTTGTAGAAACCATCGCGGAAGAAATCTGTGCAACGGAAATCTCAGACCAAAGTTCTTGTAGAAAAGCAGGATGCGAGCAAGAATGCCGATCAGAGTATTCTGGGGCAACTTGTTGGTGCTCAAAGGGCATTTTGAATGAGGATGGAAGATCCTGTCTAGGTTTGATTTTTACCCAGAAATTGTTTCTTGATATTTATACTCTCTTCGTAGCTGGATGCATCGATGCTGATGCAAACACGATTCGAACTCCTGGGGAAACTTGGGAAGTCGAGGGAATGTTTGGCATGACCTGTACCTGTCTAGAATCCGGCGATACGGACTGCACCTTCGGCGCCTACGATTTCTACAACTACGGTGGTTGGTAAAACAGAACTTGCGGTTCAAATCTGTAAATACGAAATTTCAAGATTTTCAATAATGAAACGAATTTGTATCTTTATCTACTTTTACTGTTGAAAAATGAAACATTACTTTTTATATCTGTATATATGCTCGAAGACACAATAAATCGAAATTATCTGTCATCAATCGCAGCTTCATCATGGTATGATAAACCATGATTTAATGATCTTCTTTCAGCGTCGGGAATCCCGACTCGGGATGCTTATCAATACTTTATAAGTTAGAACGAAAACTCATTAATCATAATTATCATCATAATGATACACAATTTGTGATTGTTGCTTTATTGAAAATAAACTTTTCTCAGTTTTCAGTGACAGTTTTTCAATAGTATGTATTATTCTTAAAGATTTTCGAGCTACTCGTACAATGTTTTGACATCGTGCTGGTAGTATTCATTTTCACAATCCATGACTCTTATGTGCCAGGGACAGGATGAATGGTCGATGTCGTCGGTGAAGTCATCTTTAAAACATTTCAAGCAAGCAACGTGTCCACATTTTGTCAAGAATGATTTTCGGCGGTCTGTGTCGTTGTAAAATTCGCCGCAGACTCTGCAGTACAGGTATTGTTTTCTGTTCTCTAAAGCAACTGATAACACAAGGTTCATACGTCAATTTACCTTTTGCTTCAACCTCGTCATCTAGAGAGAGCTCCGCAGCGACTGAGTGGTACTCGTATGAAAGTTGTCTGAATCGCTTGAGGCTCTCATTCTTTTCTTTCTCGCATTGATTTATGCTTTTCTTTTCCGCTTCATAATTATTCTTCTGCGTCTCAAGATACTTTTTGGTCTTTTCGACTTTCTCCATCATTTTTTTCAAGGCCATTTCCTCTCGTTTTAATCTCTCTTCCGTCTTCTCTATTATATTTTTTGTATTCTCGTGACTGTCCTCGATCCCCTGGAGAGAATGGAAGTCATCCTTATAAAACTGATTGACAACTTTCAGTTGTTTTTCCTGGGCTACAAACAACTTTATAGTTCTTTCATAAAAAATAAAAACTAACCTTGTTTATTTTCTGTCAGGACTTTTGAAGCTGGCTCACAACATGATCCACGGTAAAATTCCCAGATATCAATGTCCTCTGATTTGCAGCTTCCTTCATTGTCAAAGGCTGGGCATTTCAATTTTGCGTCTGAGATCTCAGAATATAGGTCCTTCGCATTCTTGAAGTCGCTCCCATACTCCTTTGTCGCACAGACTTCGCAAAAATTTCTGCCTTCCATGGGCCATGTTTCGAATGGAACTCTATAATTGAATAATGATCAACATAGTGAGAATTCTAGTCTGACCCGTCGCATTGTGATCCGTGACACTTTCCGAATTTCCCGTAGGAGACGAGCACGCCAGGGTAAATACTCTCGAAGGACTCAATCTTTGCCATCTTTGCCGTTGAAGTCGATGCTTCATCAACATCCATTTTTGGGATCAAGTATTGGTCGATAAAAAGTAATTGTTTTTTTTTTTGGTAAATTTATCTATCGGCCAGGTCGTCTCTGAAGTCTACTCGAGAGATTGTCATCTAGAAAGCTCATTGGACAAATATAACGGAAAAAATCAGCCAGTCATCTGACATTTATAATTGAATGAATAATCCAAGTGAAATTTCCACTTGCTTGAAGTTGCTCCTATGAAAGCAAACGTGATTGTAAAATTAAATAGTTGTCATCATCAACTGATTATCAGCGGAATTTATTCAGAGATGCGCCTTTTATCAGCGACTTTTCTCAAATCGAGACAAATTCGAGTGATTTCTCTAGATCTATCGAAATTCGCGGAATCAGTCGTGCTCACTCCCTCATTAGGCGTGAGCCGGTGGCGACAGAAAGAGAAGGAGAGAAAACGACTGAATTGAGATTTTTGGTAGAAAAATGGATACTTTTCAAGGAATAAGATCTGAGCTGATCGTAAACTACGGAAACATGAGATGTTGTAATCTCTGCGGTTGGTAAGACTAACGAAACTGTAGATTACCGACTGTAAACTGTTTAGGGGAGTTGTGAAAATCTACGGGCTTCCTTGTCAATGGCAGATCTGCGCTAAATGTCAAGATTTTGACGAGGAGTTCGTTTTGATGTTCGGCAGCTTGAACGATGCTGTCTTCAGATGTCCAGCAAGCATGGCGGGCAAAGGCTGTGGGGCGAACGATCTTTGCTTCAGAGATTTGATCCTGGGAACTTGTTGCGCCCGGGCCATGCGAACCCATTACGACATAGGTTTGATAAGATTATCAGCCATCATTGATGATCGATTCCTAATTTAGGAGGCTGCGATATCTTCCTTTTCACACAGCAATACTTGAAGCGCGCCAAGACACGAGAAGCCCACGCAAGGCTGGCCTTCGTCAATGGAAAAGAATGGCTTGCTAATGCACTGAAAAACTTGAGGGAAGCTAAGGATGATATATCAAAATGGAGAGAGTCGGCGAAGGAGATCGTCGAACAGGCGATAAAAGAGTTCGCAGCGACGATGGGCACCGGTCAACCGCCGAGTTTCTTGAACGACTTGAGGAGAAGAGAAGCGATACTCTTTGTACAGCCTTCTTTGCAAAAGTAGATATTTACAAATGCGTTTAGAAAACCAGAACAGATCAAATACGCGAAGAAGTAGAAGAGTCGAAAGAGCTCATCAGCCAAGCTCTCAGAGCTGGATACAGAGAGGTCGAGTTGAAATATGAAGTTGCTAGGAAGGAAAGCGAAATGGTCACTCTCCGATACTTGCATTTGTGGCATCGATTCGTTGAAAGTGTCGAGAAGATTGAAGAAAAGGTTACCTACTCTCTAGTCTGTATTCAGAAGATTATTCTCTTTTAGATCGGGAACGACAAGAAGAAGGACCAAGAATAAGAAAAGCTACAAATAAATTTTATTCGAACAGTTTTCTAATAAAACTGAATAGAAAAAATCATCAGTCCTCGTTGTCTTCATTTCATATTTACCATCATTTTATAACCATGAAAATGTTTATTCGTTGCGTAATCGTAAAAATGAGCAGGTCAAATAGGTGCGCTCGCGAACTTTTTCAAACAAAGAGAATCAGGGTAAAGCACAGCGCTAAAATTATTCTTTTATAAGAATCTTGCCGTAGGCGCCAAGCATTCAAGGATAAAAACAATATTCGAACATCGATTTTCACACGCCCTTGCGTCCACAGAGGAGTTTCTAGAGCTTGTTATGGAATAGTGAAGAAGTAACCGAGACAGTGCAGTTAGAAGCCAAATGGGGTGGAAGGAAAGGCAGGATCTTCAAGTGCTAGCGGGGTCGATTGTCTTTCTCGGCGGAATCATCGGTACGATTTTTCAATTGATACAACGTAGTTTTAATAAACTTCTGAAAGGTGGCATCTTCGGCTGGGGCGGCGCGAAGGGATGGTCCGCTGAAAAACCGATAGATTGGCCCGAGCCAGACCGTTTCTGGCCGAAGCCAAATGCAACCAATTGCTCAAATTTCGATCCCCTTTATGAAGCGCCAGTGCGTCACGTCGAAAAGGACTGCTACTCGAGATGGTATTATTGGCAACTTCCGCAGGATGAGGCCGATGCTGTTTCAAGGGCTGTCGTTTGGATTCTCTACGCATTGCATCAAATCGCACACTGGGTTTTCATTTGGTTTGCGCAGCAGCACAAGAAAAAGCTTTTGGAAAATAAGGTATTCAAATATGAAACCTTCGACAGGATGATTAAATGATAAGTTCAGGAAGAAGTTTACGTTTCGAAACTCCGATGGTACAACTGGGCTCTTGTAGGAGTTACAGGGCTCTTCCACATTGCTCATCTCGTGCAAACCCACACGACTTACGATGCTACCGCCAAAGATGTTGTCATTCAAGCATCTCAAGGCTCCGTCATCATGATGCTTGTATTCGTCCTGTTGATCGAGTATCGCGACAGAGGAATGGTCTTTGGTTGGCCGAATCAATGGTCTGATGACGTTGTTGCTCAGAAACTCCGAATGAGCCCAGGACCAATTGAATATGTTAGAAAATATCATGGATATGCATTCAGCTGGGCGGTAATCTTTACTTTTTGGTATCATCCGATGGAGAATACGTATGGCCATGCTCTAGGATTTTGCCATACGTACTTGGTCATGATCCAGGTTTTCAATCGTAAATGAATATTCGTTTATAAAATTGGTTTAGGGCAGCTTGATTTACCAAAAGATCCATTTGAACAAATACTTTCGCTTTTTGCTCGAAACATGGGTCTGGTTTCACGGTTTTGCAGTCGCAGTTATGGTCGCAAAAGGAGAGTGGTGGGATGAAATGGCTCCGTTTATGTTCGGCATTGGTTTCGGCACTCTGATTTTTGTCACGCAACTATACGGTCTTCCTTTTTGGAGAAAGCTGAACCCATATTTCCGGTCCAAAGGCCTTTTTCCAATTGGTTTTTATTCTATTTTCAGGCTCATACCAGGGGTTCTTTGGATTCTAGCGGTTGTAATTGGAATAACAGCGTCATCTCTACCAAACAGCTATATCCTCACAATGTTCCAAATTCCACTTGGACAAATGGGATGTGCAGTTATCGCCTGGTTCTTTTGCTGGGTCCTCATGAAATGTCTTCCTCCAAAGTAAAAAATATATAAACAGAACATGAGAGCAAATCTATTTTGTAGACAACGATTCTCCAACACCATCTTTGCCGTCACAACGCTACTTATGTACTGTATCTTCATTACAGTCTCGGCCCTATTTCAGTATTACGCCCAAAGCATAGAAGTTCCATTCATCGCGATGACTTACATTCTTGTCTTTTTATACATGATAGGCGCCATCATTGCTTTTTTCCTTGCTCCAGTTCCAGAAAACCTCCTGATCTCAAAAGTCGATCCTGATTTCAACTCTGACACCCAACTTCAACAAAAACCTTCAACTGAATAAAAAATAAATTGTTTTTTCAATAAATTATTCAAAATAATAAACAAGTCGTTTTATATATTTCAATTAAATCTCCGAGAAGAAGTTATTTTACTCAGTCTGGTTAGTTAGACGTCTAACTGTATCAAAGTAGACGATAATTTCGCGTGTTGTCAATTTGAGTCAACTATCGGTCTTATTTTTCTTGACTTTTGAATAATTGAAATCAACGAGGAGAAAATATAAGAGGTTGATCAAAGAACAAGTGACTTTATCGTCGAATTTAGAATCAAGAGGTAAAAATCTATTTTCATCAAGGCTTATTTTATGGCGCATAAGGCCGCGAGAATCAACAATAAATTATATATGCAGAGCTATCTTTTATTCACAGAGAGCCTAGTAGCAGGACCGTCAGTATTCGGACGGCGCTGCACACTGTCTCTCGTTTCTTCTGCGCATTAATTCTTTCTTCCAGGACATTATGAGCCAGAGAATCGACTACTGGACAAATGAAAACGGACATAGGCTAAGATGGAGAGAGTGGCCGGTAGATAGGCCGAAAGCAGTGGTGTTCATTTCTCATACCTACGGAAAGTATCAGATAGAAGAAAAGACTTTTTTGAATAGTTCTGAACGCAATATATTATTTCAAATAATTTATTTATCAAATTTTCTATACCGCCCTCTCAATATTTAAGTATTTTGAAACGGATCCTTTGTTTTATATTCAACAGGGTTACGGTTTATTTCAGCAGAAAACCGTATTTCGAATGTCCTTTCAGAAAGGGTCATTTTTGAATAAGTAATGGATCTACCACTACTTCTATAATCATTTATAAATATCTAACCCTAGCAAGTCCCTCTACTCATTTATCACCAGATATCATTACTTTTTAATGGCATCATACTTAGCATGACATGCTACACCCCCAGTAGACTGTCTACTGTTAATCACGTTTGATACTCTGTAAAAGGACTGCATTCTGGCGTGTTTCAAGATTGTGCCTTGGAGATCAACAAGCACAATATTGGAGTTTATGCACACGATCATATGTACCATGGAGAATCGGAGCCAGCAACTCCATGTTCTCCGAACAGATGTCAATTTCATTGCTTCGACGATCCAGTTCGAGATATAGCTGAACGCTTGAGGTAAAAAGTTATTTCATGAGCGTCAATAAACAATCATTTTTTAGAATGCTGCGGCATGAAAATCCCAAAATTCCAGTATTCATCTGGGGCCATGGAATCGGCGCGGTTTTCGCCATTCGAGTCGCAGTAGAACATGAAAATCATACTGATGGGTTAATCTTAGAAAGTCCCTTTATCAACCCTAGTGAGACAGCGATTGGCTGGCATAAGACTATAGGAGGTTTGAAATCATGGAAGAGTATGAATCTAAACTTTCTAAGCTCAATTTCTCAGCTATCTTGTTCCCGACTTGAAAATTCCTGTCATCGAGCCTTCCTTCTATACTTCAGGTACAGTTTCTCCATTGACACTACTCACCAAATCTTTTCTAGAGCAGAAAACCCTGAGCAAACTTCTCGCCGATCCTTTATGCTCCCTTAGTCTTGGGATGTCCACAAATCTTATCACACTTCTTAGCAAAGAACTGAAGAAACTTGAAGCGACCATTGCATTATTGGAAATTCCATTTTGGTAAAATAAAAATTTTTCTAACAGACATTTTTATGCTCTATTTTTAGTGCATTTCTTGGAGAAAAGGACCAGATTATCAGCCTGTTTTCTGCCTCGCGAATCGAGAAAATGTCGCCAGCAAAAGACAAGAAAATCATTAGCTATCCACCCGGAAAACATTGTCTTCACCTTGAGCAAGCAACCATCAGATCTTCATTTATCATTGATATCATAAAGGTATTTTGTTCTATTTCGACCCAGACAAATTTGACTATTTCAGTGGATAGAAGCGCGATCTCCTGCCGAAGCTCCACCACTACCGCCAAAGGAAAGAAAATCCAGGCAAAAGAAGGCTCCAAGACACTCTTCAAGCAATCGATCCCATCATCGCTAGAATTACCTTATTTACTTCTTCATCTGCTTATAAATATACACTACAGTTTCATCACTATTTCTTATCAATATATTTCCAGCAAAGAGTCTTACCAGGAGGATTATCAAGGAGGCTTGAAAATCGTCAATTGACACTCCCCTTCAATAAAAATAAGGGTGTTTAGTGCCTTGTCTAAAATTTAACTTCGAAAAAAAGAGATAATCAACAAATCTTTATCAAAGAAATTGTGCAAATAGACAAATGCATACAGTGAGAATAGAACGACTGAAAGGCCATTTTAGGACACCAAGAACCCTTTTAAACCTGGAATTTATCTTACTACGCCTCTTCTACTGAATAAAAGAGCCATTCTGTGGCCATAATACTTTTTGAATAAGAAATCAAGCCATTTGTTCCCGAACAAAGCCTCCTGTCACGCATCAACGAGTGAAAGACCCTATTCTACGATTCTTCTTTGAATACCAAGAATTTCGAGATTTTTTTCTAGACTTGTCGATTTACAGTTTTCGAAGTTGAGACAAAGTTAGATTTAGTTGTGCGAAATAAATTTAATTACAAGGTAAAGAGAAAAATTGATTTTGAGAAAATGGGGGAATTATTTGATAGTTTTTCAATGGCATCTACGTACTGGGACCCTAATTAACAATGGCTGTACAAGTCGACGTACAGACTTATTGGCGATAATTGGGCAAACTGTATCAAATGAGTAGGGATTCCCTTGCACTTCCCTGCTAGACCGCTGCTGGATCAAATTGACACTAATTTAATCAAGAAGCTAATCAACTAACGGTAGAAACAGGCAAATCCGCTTGATACAGTTTGCCAAATTTTCGCTAATAAGGCCGCACGTCGGCTTGCGCAATCAGCCTAAGTGGGAATTAATCAAATCCCGCAGGTAGAATCGAATCGATCGCCGGTGCAAGATATGCACAGAATAAACGACGAGCAGTAAATCGATCGAGGGTAGTGGTCCCTTGAGTCACCAGAATAGGAATCGCGCGCGCTGATTCGCCGAGAGCGCATGCCGCCTACAAGGGCACAGACTCGGTGCCAGATTCTGGAGAAGACGAGAGATCGGCAAGAGAATCTAATTTTCTACTTTTTCCTCTATTTTTGAAAGAATCTATCTGTCAATTTGATCTAGCGAAATCACCTTTCTAGAACAAGCCATTCGAGAAAACTTTTTATAGATACGTTTATTATCATTAATAATAACGAGCAATTTGTCGTTAAAATATTGATTAAATCCCCTGATTTTGATTTCCTTACACAAAGAAAGCTTTGGGTCTTGAATATTTTTCATGGAAAAAATATTTTTTCCGGTTCATTGACCCAGTCATTGATTTTTAACGACCTTGAGATTTTCGCCAACCCCAGCGCGTTCCTAGTCTACTCGCCCCATTTTCTTTTATTTTGTATCAGAGAGTAAAGAGCTCTTCTTGTTCAAATACCAGCCCGGTGGAAATTTACGTCCATGGCAAATATTTAACCCGATTTGCGCCCGGCAAAACGTTAAAATTTGTGCTTTTCTCTTCATTCCGACGTATTTTTCTCAACGAAGAGCATTTTCAGATAAGTCGAAATGGGTAGCGATTCTAAGCAGGCCGGTCCACCAAAGTTCCAGTTCTACAACTCCGAGACTGGCGAGCTCTTGGGACGAAATGGCGCTTCTTGGCGTAAGTACTCTCATATTTGTACCTTAGTAGCTTTTGACTCGAAGAAAGGATCTAAATGTCCGTTTCGGCAATTTTTCTGCGTAAATCGACAAAATGAGGTTGAGTTGAAATATAACCGGCGAAAATTGCATTTATTAGTCCTAAATAGATTATTATTGACGGTTTTTGCTGGTATATTTTCATCTCCCAACCCTCTTTTCTCCATTTACAAAGCCAAGAGAAATTACCAAAATGGATCTCCGTCCTTATTTTGAGCGCTACAGTATCCTACTTACCCTAGTTTCGTTTACTTATTATTTTCTTTAGTCAAGATCACCGTTTTCTACATCGCCTACTTCACCTTCCTCGCCGGTCTTTTCATGGCTTCCATCTCCGTCATGAAGACCACCGTCAACGACGACAAGCCACGACTTCAGACCCGTCTCCAGATCCCTGGCCTCCACGCTCTCCCCAAGCTCAGCCCAATGAACGACGCCCAGTCCGCTCGTCTCTCCGACAACGGCGGCGTTGCCATCAAGTACGACCCCAACAACGCTGATGACTACTCCATCTACACCGGCATCCTCGACGAGATCAAGGCCGAGTATTCCGGCGAAGCTGACACTCCATTCGACGTCAACTCTCTTGGCGCATGCGGAAGCGGCAACTACGGTTATGATACCGCCTCTCCTTGCGTCTGGATCCGACTCAACAAGGTAACATATCCATTCTCGACCCGCCCTCACCTCCATCTTTCAGGTCATCGACTGGACCCCCGTCGGCTACTTCGCCCCCACCGAAGCGCAAGGTTTCACCGCCGCTTCCCTCAACAGCCGAATGGAGAAGGATGCCGTCTACGTCCGATGCGAATCCAAAGAAGTCGAATCTGAGGACCGAGACGTCGCCAGCTTCGAATACTTTGGTGGTACTGATGGCAACCTCGAGTCCAAATACTACCCCTTTACTGGCAAGAAGGCCCAGCCCAACTACGAACAGCCAATTGTCGCCGTCAGGATCAATGGCCTCAAAGTAAGATACAATTTGAAAATTCTGTTACTAACTTTACGTTCAGCCTGGAGTTAACACTCGAATCTACTGCCGAGCTTTCGCCAAGAACATCCCCATTGATGACCGAGACAACCTTGGATCCATCACCTTCGAGGTAAATCCCCTTACTTTCCTTTCCAAGATGCTAACTTTCACTTTTTAGGTCACTCAGGGCACCGCCGAGTAAATATCCTGAGCTGAGAAAATCTCAACTCATGGAAGCTAGTTTGTAACATTTCTACTTCAATTACAAAACTTCGCATTCCAACTTACGATCAGAACATAAAATAAACAGTTATCTTTTGTTCGTAAACTTTACAACCAGGGTCGGAGTTCTGTTTTCGCCAAACAGCGCTTTTACCTAACTGTTCTTCTATTCTATCTGCTTTAAGTTATTATTATTTCGCCAGTTGCTCGCACAACATCATGGCTGGCAAATAAAAACAATCGCGTCGGGAAAGAATGATGTGTCCTTTTCTTTTTGCAGGTTTATTTGTAAGTCAGTAAGTAAGTCAGGGAATGATCAGTACCATATTTCGCTAATTCTTCGGGTAGATCGGTAACCCGCCTGTTTATCATGCAGATTTCTTGGCTTTCTCTGACGATTGTGAGTGCAAATATTGGGGATGAAGGAAGCTACTCTTGCCCGTGCTCGCAGGACAGTATTCCTGGAGTTGACCCTCGCTCTGAGGGAAGGACAATGCGAACAGGGTTCCAATTCTGGCTGAGCGCTGAGCGACATCTGAGCGTGAGCGAGCGGTGAGCGAGCGAGCGATCGCTCACGCTCCGCTCACTCAACTGATTTTCATAGCGAACCGCTCAGTCGCTCGCTCGCTCAAGGCCAAAAAAATATGATAGCTGAGCGAGGTTTGAGCGAGGCTGGAGCGACTTTGGAGCGAGGTTTGAGCGACGTTGGAGCGAGGTTTGAGCGCCGCTCGAGCGAGGTTTGAGCGACGCTTGAGCGAAGTTTATTACTCACTAGCCAATTCTCCGCTCTTATTGGCCAAGATCTAAAAACTCCTTGGCGGTAAGCGAATGAATGGGGAGGATTTTAAGTCACGGATTTATTAAAAAGAGAGAATTTTAAATAAATTCTGCGAATAATTTTAACATATTGTTGCCAGCAATATACAGTTGGCGTGTTAGGTCGTTGGGTTTTCCCCGCCGTCTACAACTATTGAGTTGGTAACAATAAAAAAATTATTTTCGCTGAAACCCACCGTCCTCAGCCAAACATTTTTTCAAAATTTAGGCTCGACTAAAAAATTGGTTTTGTTAGCTCACAATATCCAGGTGGCGTGTTAGGTCGTTGGGTTTTCCCCGCCGTCTACATCTGTTGAGTGAGTTAACATATAATATTTTTCGGTCAGCCTGATTTATCATTGATACCCAAGCCAACCCGATAATTTATTTTTTACGAGTGCTTCCTTAGTTCTTTTTGATTATTACAGCCATTCAACAGGTTTCTTCAACAATTAGACTAACCTCAAAAATTGGTTATGTTAACTTTCAATATCCAGTTGGCGTGTTAGGTCGTTGGGTTTTCCCCGCCGTCTACAACTGTTGAGTAGGTTAACATAGAATATTTTACGGCTAGCCTGATTTTGATTATAGGCATGGCTGTTGATTTCGAGTCCTTTGATTTTACCCGGCACTATTTTTCCGGGCAGCCCGCAGATTTTTCAGCGGGTTACTCGCACGGAGAGTCTTTTCACGGGCTACCCGCGCTATTTGTTTTCTCCTTTCCGCCGAGTAGTGGAGACCAAACGGACATGAAATTTTAGCTGAATCCTTCATTCCTCAAAATCCTGCTTTTCTCAATCCTCCATTTCCAAAAATCCTGAATCGGCAGAATTCTGAATTGGCGATTTGAGAAATGCGGGATTTTGGGAAATGCGGGAGCAGCGAGATTGGGCTATAATTTAGCCTATAAAAGAACTTCTTTTGATGACCAGAAAAATGAAGTAAGGTTCGCTAAGAACCTTCTCATCGAACCGTACTTGAGAGGTCTATTTTGGCGAACCGTTCGTCAACCAAAATTTTCTTGCTTCGCTTGACGAACATTGAAATGTTTTCGCCTTTGCTTCGCTTTCGCCTTGATTTTTTGGCAAATTTGAATGCCTGGGGTAGTAAAAATTTTGGGGGGGTACTGAATTGTGCCGCCCTGCGCCGCCCAGCGTCGCCCGGTCCGAAACCATCCGGCTCTCATTCGACCCAACTATGACCTAGGAAATTGTTCTGAACAAGAGCGAGAGTTTTGCCCCGCCAACCCAATGAGTTCTCTACCAGAAAATGCGCGCGTAAGGGCCTCTGCCTCGTCGCGCGCTCAATTAATTTGTGATTTTATGCCAAAATCTGAGTTTGGTTGAGAATTACTCTACTGGCACCCAAAATTATAGGATTGCCTTTTTTAATTTTCAGACAATATAAATATGTCAGAATAACTTACTTTATATAAAAATCAAAATTACCCGCTTTTGAAAGACAAAATTTTCGCTCGAGCGTCGCTCAAATGTCGCTCAAATGTCGCTCAGATTTCGCTCAAACCTCGCTCAAATCTCGCTCAAACGTCGCTCGCTCAGTCGCTCCGCTCGCTCAGCCGATATTTGAAAAATCTCGCTCAGCCACTCGCTCGCTCAGCCCTCGCTCAAACGTCGCTCGCTCATCGCTCGCTCAAATTCAAAATTTTTTGGCCAAATTTGGAACCCTGAATGCGAACACAAATCGAGTGAAAATGAGTGCGATTTTCATCGTTATTTTTCCTCCATACGAGTGAGCTGGAGCATTTTTTCGCGCGAAATTTTTATATCACTCGAGGGATGTCTAGGACGCCGCCAGGATGGTCATACAGTAGAGCCATTTTGATAAATCGTACTATTAGCATAATGTTATTTTTTATGACACAAGCCTCAATAAGATTATAATGAATTTGGTGCAAGGTTAACGTTTTTTCAAGGCAACCGGGGATGAGACATTTTTTTCTCATACAATATTAAAGTAACCAAAAGGGACCATCAAAACATTTTTGTGTCATAGTCTAAGACTTAACGATTACGTCTTACTGACGGTTACCGTTAGATTATAACAGTAAAAATTTTTAACGGGCGGCTTTGAAAAGACGACTTAGTATTAGTCTATTACTAATACTATTAGTCTAATAGAGGAAAATCAAAAGTCAGTCGAAGTTTTACCTGCATCACTATCAAATAGATTCTCAATAAATTTGACGTCAGAAAGCCTTGGAACTCAATTTCCACAGAAATAATCTTTCCATTCGCGTTTGTTCATTATGTCTCCATTTGCGTTGATAATGGATTGTCTCAGGAAAAATTATTTGACTAACTCTATTCTTTCAAATGCGCTTCTATAAAAGCGCTTCGCTGGAATCTCAAATTCAATTTATCATAAAAATGATGGGAAAAGATTTTTTGGAGGAAAAGCGCAATGCATTTCCGCGATTTTTCTTCCTCGATGACGGTGATCTTTCTGAGCTTTTTGAGAGCAAAGATGATTTCGATGCAGTTCAGCCTTTTTTCGAGAAGCTTTTCGATGGCGTTTCTTCAGTAGAGCTCGACGCAGAAAAGAAGAATATTGTTGCGATGAAGTCGAAGCTCAACGAACGACTTGAGCTTGCTGAACTAGTCTCTATCGCTCAGTCGCAAGAAAGATGGCTGTCGAAGTTCGAGGAGTCCACGAAAAAATCTGTTTCCAACGCGATTCTTCATGCTTACGAGACTTATGAGAAAAGCGCTGATAGAATCGAGTGGATCAAAAGCAATCCTGCCCAAGCATCAATTGTTGCGACGCATTTGAAGCATACAGAAGCAGTTGAAAAAGCCATCATGGCTTCTGGAAATCTTAGCACTGTGTTGGAAGATATTGAAAAGCAATTAGAAGCACTGACAAAGGAGGTTTTGAAAGATTTGGACCAGCGGGAAAGGTGCTTGATGGAAAACATGATTATTAACCAGGTTTGGCTGATGTAGAAAATAAGGCAAGTAAGTCAAATTCAGGTTCATGACCGGGAAATACTGAAACAAATCATCGCTGGGACGAAAACTTGGGAATCAACTCTTCGTTTTTACCTCGAAAATGGTCAGGTCATTGTCAAAATGAATGATTCTCAAAACGAGTATGGAAACGAATACCTCGGAAACAAGTCTCAGCTTGTCATTACTCCTCTGACAGACATTGCATACAGTTCGATTCTGACCGCAAAGGAGAACTTTCTTTGTTCTGCTCCTCAAGGACCGGCTGGAACGGGAAAAACGGAAACGACTAAAGATCTCGCTAGAGCGCTGGGAAAGAATTGCGTCGTTATCAATTCTTCCGACCAATTGACGGAGAAGGAGACAGCGGAAATTTTCAAGGGATGTCTTACAAGTGGATCATGGGTCTGTTTCGATGAATTTAATCGAATCACCGCGGATGTTTTGGAAAAAATTGGAGAACAACTTCGAGCTATTCAAAAGCATAGGGAGGAGAAGAAGGGGACGATTGAGGACTTCTGCGGTTCGAAAAATCTAAAGGAATGGGTAAATTATTTATACGCTTTAGGATCAATCAATTAATGATTTTTATGAAAAAAAAATAATCGTTCCTTTCGCCAATTTACCCACCACACAAGCTCCGCGAAGAAAGCTTTGTCGCGATCACAATGAATCCAGGCTACGATGGACGAACTGAACTACCGGAAAATCTGAAGACATTGTTCCAATCAATTTCAATGACAGTTCCTGACCGAGGAGTGATTTCGGAAATAAAACTGTATTCGGCCGGAATTCAAACAGCAAATCAACTCGGAGATAAAGTCGCTTTGTTCCACAAGCTGTGCGAGGAGAAGCTAAGCAAACAGGTTTCTTTTCTTCTCGGTGTTTGATCATAACAGTTTTTGAAGGCGCATTATGATTTTGGACTTCGAGCTATTCTGAAATCTGTATCAAGCGCAAAAGCTCTCAAACTACTCTTTCCCGCCGAAAAAGAAATCGATCTTGTGTGCGATGCTCTCCGAACTCAACATTTCGGAAAGCTAACTGAAGAAGATATCTCGGTTTTCGAGCAAGTCATGGAAGAAGTTTTTCCTGGCTACCAATTGTTGAAGGAAAACAACGAGGAATTCAAACGTATCGCCACTGAAATAATCAAGTCTCTTGAGTTGAAAGTATGGAAATTCATTAATTCAACATTATATATTTTTTTCCAGGCAACTGAAAAATTCCTCACTCGTCTGACTCTCGCCTTCAAGATCATGAGAAATCGTCATGGCTTGCTCATTCTGGGACAAGCTCGCACGGGAAAGTCAACGTTTTTGGAAGTCCTTCAAAAAACTCTTTCCAAGCTAAATGATGATGATCAAACACAAGATGGCGAACCTGTTCTGGCGGTTGATACCGAAACCATTTGCATCGAGAAGCTGAGTTTAGATGAACTCTATGGATCATTCGATTCAACAACGAAAAAATGGAGGGATGGCAAAATCACCAAGGTTTTCCGAAAGTTCGCTTCGGCAGCTGACAATCGCCAAAAATGGATCATCTTCAGCGGTCGAATTGATCCCGTTTGGGTAGAGCAACTAAACTCTGTTCTCGACGATAACAAAAAAGCTCTGCCTTGAGAATGGAGAAATCATTCAAGCAAGCAAGAACATGCGCTTCATTTTCGAAACCAGCGATTGCAACAAAGCGACACCTGCATTCATCTCCAGATCTGGCGTAATTCTTCTCAGCGAAAAATTTTAACGCCTTTTTTCCTGCAAAATCATCTGACAGAATAATAAATCATCAAATTTGACTAAAAGTTTGGAGTAAAAAGTTTCTACTAGAAACGTTTTCGGAAAGAATGACCTTGTAATAATGCATCAGTATTAAAAGCATGCTGTTGTTTATCAGCAAATAGACGCCCGCGATCCAAAAAAATCAAATTATTGATAAACCATTACTGGAACGGTTCAAGTCTGGAATCAGACTTGTATAATAATTCTAGTGCTTCGCTGAAATTGCCCGAGGCTGCTCAGAAGAGGCAGGCCCGTCTGACGCTTGAAATTGTGTCAGATCGCAGCACCACCTCCAACAAAAAAAGTTCCGCTTTTTGTACTTTCTGACGTTGAGAGATTATCGGCAACATCCGAAAAAACAGGAAAATAGAGAGGAAAAGAATTGGAAGAATGATTGGGGCTTTGGCCTTCTGCTTGTTGGGGGCCGATGGAGTTAATGGATTCAGAGGTGCTTAGCGTGAAAGAGCTTGTGCATAAAATAGACATTCAATATAAAGATCAAGGAACTGATAACGTAACCTTGCAAATCTTAGGAATTTTATGTTAGAATAAAGTCGTAAATAATATCTTCTGAAAGTTCTATTTTATAGAAGATCTACTTTAGCAGTAGTTTTTGTTGACGATTTAAAATATTTCACAACTCATAGTTATTAAAAGAGTGTATGAAAGTATTCCTTTTATAACTATTAGAGTAGTGTTTTTGTTCCTTATTCAATGTGATTTATACATTATTAATTAAATACTTTACAAAAGTTGTTTTGAAAAAAATTTCTTACAGTTATTTTCAGTAAGACGTGATCTGTCAGCAGGATGTGGCCAAAAAGTCATGTGAGTATTCAAACCATAACAATTGCTATTTAAAGCTCGCCCGAATTTGGCCTTTCTAGAGGTTGGCCAATCGTGTTTGTGCACGGGTGGTGGCGGAGTTGTACCGCCCGAGCGACGCGTATCTTTGAACGTCGAAATTGAAATGTAAAATTATTTAGGCTCACGCATGTCGATACCGCCGTCCTTAACTCGCCACGTTATCCTGGTTCTTTTATTGAACAAGTAATTGATTAACACGTGCTTCAAGAACTTAGCCTTTGTTTTAAGAACCAATGTTTATGGGAAGTGCGATCATTCGATCCTCAAGCTCGCCTCAAAATCGTGTTCGATGACTGGGCAATGCCTTTATCCCCAAGTGGCGATTGCGTTGCTAACTATCTTGAGATCCAGGAGCATCAAACCTTTGGCGTGTCTCAGAGTGTAAAACTCTGCGGCCAAAATCCGGGCTTTTACGTGTCTAACAATGACAAAATTACTCTCGTGCTTAGAAGCTCCGCCCAAATACAAGGTGTGTTATGTAACAAAGAATGAAATATCTAGGGCAGTTTATGAGAATGTAGAATATTTTACATAACAGTCTTCAATAATAATTTATTCAATAATCGTCAATGAGTAAAAGATGTTTCAATTTTCCGCTCCGAATTCGACAATAAATTTTATAATGATTATTCCGAGTGATATAATTATTATACCGTATGTATTCAAATTTGAATAACCGATACACAAGAATACTGCGAGACGAAAATTACCATTTCACTGAAAATATTCAATGACTCTCGACGATGCTTTGCACTATTTTCTGCTGACAGGGAAATAAACGGTATTTTAGGAGATAAGAGCTTCTCGTTGCGCGTTGGTTTGACAACCGAGCCCTCAAGAACACTTGCTCAGGACGGGAGCTTTGTCGTCAACGGAGAAAGCCCACTTCCTCGTCCGACGCAGCCGCCGATGCCGATGCCACAGCAGCCGATTCAGCCAAGGCAGCAAATGCCATTTGGAAATCAGCTTGAGTTACAAAAATTATATGAGCTTATCAGTTACTTTCAAGCTCTTATTTTCTAACTCTCAATAAGCCACCTAGCATTAACCTTTTCGCTCAACAACCAGCCCCCGTGGCCCCTCGAGGCATCGAAATGAAATCAGCTGGGCTTCCCCCACCTTCGCAGTACCAACCTCCGCAGCAGCCACCAGCTCAGCCAGCTTATGGCCAAGTTCCTCCAAGTTCAAATTACTATGCTTACGGCGGAGCTCCAAATGTGTATCAGCAGCCGATCGGAAGTGATTACGGGTATTACTACGATGATTACTACGGAGATGGAGAGGAGATAAGCGCTGGAAATAAGGCTGTAGCGGTTTTGTTTACGATCACTGTGGTTTTATGTTTCCTAGCAGTCGGATTCTACTTCTATCAAGAATGGCAAAAGAAGAATAATCCACCAGGTAAGAAAACCGAAAGAGAAAAGAGCCATAAATTGATTGAAGACAACGAAGACCCAGGAGCACCGCCAAGAAAAGCAACTCTTCGGGGACACCTAAAGAACCTCGACGAGTTCAAAAAGCAACTTGCTGAGCGAATGGCAGATAGAACCGCCGGTGTTCGCGAGCAAATCAAGACCAGAACGATCAAGGCGAACGAAAAACTCAAAGTGAAAGCGGCCGAAGTGAAAACAAGACTTTCCCGCAGAGCATCTAAACATGGAGATGATTCCATCCCCCAACAAGGTTTGTTTTGATTTGATTGGAAAAGAAAGTAAGTCTGTTTCAGCTCAAAACAATCCAGCTAATTGATGTCCAGAGATAATGAATTCAAGCAGTCACCTACTAACAACTGAAATAAACATGAATCGTATATAATAATTATTATATTATATAATTTATATAGGACTTTCGCTGACATATAAAACCTGTAAAACTGTACATTTTGACAATAAACCTAACTTATTTGAATATCGTTTCTGACCAGGCTTCTAAATAGACAAGTCGAGTTTCTACTAAAGTCGAAGTCAAGTCGAATCTAGTCGAAAAGTCGTAGATCGACTCGACTGGACTTCGGATTTCCAGAGGGCTTTTCGACTCGACTAGACTCGACTCCTGATTTTCAACTCAAATTAAGTACCCTGTTTATTACAAGACCCACATCTGCTTCTTCAGCGAAGATCGAAGAATCGAGCGTCTCAGTTCTAGAGAAAATACATTGCCGAAAATATTGAGCTCACGCTCTAGATCAGCGCCGGTAGAGATCTTCGCCAACTTCTTTCATTTCGTCATTTTGGAAAGTTAATCCACAAGAGAAAAAGGAAATTTGTCATGGAAGCCGGAAGGAAAGCTGCTGGTTTCGTCACCGATTTGGACAATTTGATCCACAGGATGAAACTGGAGGACATTCAAGACCGTTTCAAGTTTTCAGGTGCGAGAGAGTTTTCGTGAAGACGCTATTTTTCTCTTAGAATTTACGAAAAAATGGCAAGACATGGGATACTACAATTTATTCGATGGTCGATCGAGTGAGTCTGACAAGGCAGATTTCATCGAATCTTGCTTTCACATTCTCGTGCAGTTTTTCCGGCTTGATAATGTAAGGTCTTCGTTGCGTTCTTTTTGCACAGTTTTCAGGTTGGGGATCATGGCAAAACGATGTGTATTTACATGCTTTTCGCGCTGTATTCAACCCAAAGATGTACTCCAAAGAGAAAGATTCGATTGGGCACTCAAGATTTCGTTTCGATGTGGACTTTTGCGAAGAGAGCGTACTGTATGGGCGTTGGACTGGAACAGTATGCCATTTTCTGGCAACTTTATCACCTTCAGTAAATATTCTAGTCAGTTATCTTTTTCTTATGTAAATTCTAGCGCGTTTGAATACCCGCTCACGAGCACACCAAAGCTTCTTGGTACATCTGATATTTGGCTCCCAAAGATCAACGCAGACGAAGCTAGCCCGGCACTAGAAAATGTCGTCAACAAAATCCCGGTAATAAAAAGCTCTTATCCTCAATCATGACTTTTCTTTTTAAGCCTCAGTTTGGCGAGGAGCTGTCAAGAGCATGTACTGCACTGAGAATCACACATGATGCCTACAGGTCGACATTTCAAAGATGGCACGACATGTCGCCTCCAGGAATGCCGCTGATGGAATTTGAAAGCATTGAAAATCCCGCTGAAGAAATTGATAGCATTAGAAGAGGCATCATGGTACTCCTCGTTGATTTCAAAAAACTAAAGATTTCGCATTTTAGGAGAGATATCAGCATCAAACTGGGAATGCTCCTCCTGATGTAGAGGACAACTCAATTTTCACGAGAAGACAGCGTATTCGTCGAACGGCCCAGACATCTCTCGTATCTAGCTATTTCGTCGTTGATGAAGGTGGGCAGCAACAAGCTCCTCAGCCACCTAAAGAACCGAAGAAGGTGATTGTCCGACAACACAAACCAGTTGAGACATTCATCCAAAAACACCTCGTCGAAAAGCAGAATCTCTTTCCAAAGGGAAATCGAAGTATTTATCCTTCAAAGGTATGATTTGCCAAGAATGATGTTTCACAATTAACTAGGATCTCGTTCAAATCGCCAATTCCAACAGAGTCAAACGAGGGCGACCCTTTGTTGTGGACGTTGAAAGAAGAGTGATCCAGAAGGGAAAACGAGGCCAGTGGCATGTTCGAGAAGATAAGCTGCAGGATTCTGAAACCGAAGAAGAAGACGAAGCTGAAAAAGATGTTGTCCAAGAAGTCGCTTCTTCAGATGACGAAAAGGAAGACGGAGTGAAGAAGAACATCAAGCATGTGATAAGGGTAACGAGAGACAGAGTCCGAAACGAGATCGAACGAAAGAACCGGATGGAAGAATTGGACCAAGAGCGAAAAGAACTGGAAGCGGCTCGTGAGCAGGGCGTAAGTCAGGATACCCTCGCGCTGATTGAAAAAGAGATGAAGAAGAAGCAGAAAATTATCGACTTGATGGGCCCAGTGAAAGTCAAGAACCCGAACGTCGGAAGACCACGAAAGCAAGATCCGAGAAAGGAGGAAACACGAGCGAAGCCACCATCCAAAAAGGAACAGAAAGAGAAACTCCAAATGGAAATTGAAAAGATGAGGAAAAAGAGAGTGACGCAAGCGGCCTCGAGAAAGTCAAAATTGGCGAAAATTACGGATCAGGATGAACCGAAGAAGAAACGAGTGAGAAGAACAAAAGCGCAGATGGAGGAAGCAAGACGAATTGAAGGAGAGATGAAGGCGCAAAAAGTGTTTGAACGAGAAGAAAATGCTCGACGTAAACAGGCTGAAAAAGACGCGGCTAGATTACTGAAACAAGCCGAGAAAGAAGAGAAGAAAGCAAAGAAACTCGCGGAAAAGGAAGAAAAAGAGCGGAAAAGGGCGAACGATCACATGGACTTCTACAAGTTGAAGGTCGGCGACTACATGCAAATCGAAGACGAGGGCATTGTCGAGGGCCCGGTTATTATAAAAATCACGAGAATCGATGAAACACTCGAAGCGATTCGTGGCTTCATCTGGAAAATAGTAAGATAACAGTAAAAACAAACAACTTGAATGTCTTTTTAGATGGATGGCGAGGTTGGAATGGCGCTGTACGAACGACTTTGGATGCCAATCCACGAGAAGCGATTCGATCGGGAATATGTCTTCTGCAGGGAAGATTTCGTTCAAAAAGTGACGATGCGAAAGGCCAAGAATGGGCTGAAACTCAGCGCAAAGTCGGCTCAGCATGTCGCCGCGAAATATCCTGATCTGTAAATATGATATTTTTCTGCATTTTGAAGTGAATAAAAGTCTCCTCAATTTGATCGAAGAAGAACAAATAATTTATCGATGAAACCATGCAGGAAAAGCTTCTCTAAAACCACAATAGGCGTGTTCAACTACCGATGACGGAAACTCGCGTCAACGTAATCACAACTATTTCGCCAACCCTTTCCGGCGCAATGATCAATCACGCTCTTGCAAATCGTGTTCTTATATAATTTTAAACAACTTCTAAATGTTCCGAAGTTGTATCCATCGTTTTTACGAAATATTCGCACGAAAATGGTGTCACCAATATTTATCCATAGATTGGTCAAATCCGAATCAAGGAGTGCAACATTTATTTTGGCGAAAATAGAATACGCATTTGGGAAAATCTTTCTTTCTAATTAGGTAAGCTTCCGGTTTAGGCGCGCGAGGCTACCGGACTCCACGTTGATCACCCGGAAGTTTTTTAGATTTCCTTCTCACAAAGCCTTACTATTCTTGAGGCGTCGTGGAGAAAGTTCATTATTGAAGTTTTTTTCTCTTGATGTTCTTGAGACTTCGAAGGTTGAACTTTCAGAAAAATACTGTAAATACCGGAAGACGGGCGGCATTGCATGTTGAGGGGAACGGGGAGCCCTGCCTGACTTACGAAATTACATAATGCTCCCGTCCCTTTTCCCAAATCCGAAAGAGTTTTGAGCGTTTCTTTTAGAAAAAAAAACCACCCGATAAACAGCCAGCTCACACCTTCTAATTCAATTGTCTCGTGTATGCTCCTTCTCAATGGGTAAAAACGTGGTGCAAAAATGTGTATACCCCGTGATTAATGATAAAACGATTCTGCTAAGCCGCGGCTTTGGGGTCAACACAGATGTCACCAAGAGCCGTGTGTTCCTTTTTTTTCCAAAAAGATTTTTCCACGAGCATTTTCTTCATTTCCTGAAATCAAAGTCATTCGACCCAGCTTTGATTAGATTTCCGAAAAAGAGCAACAGATTGGAAGATCGCTGACGTGACTTTTTTGTATTTTCAAGATTGCCGGACATAATAAACTATCAATAAGCTGCGTAAAAATCGTTGGAGGAAAATTTTGTTGATGTCAAAGTTTGGAACAACCATCTGGATCGGACAATTCACTTGTTGATCCTTCCAAAGCTCGTTACTTGTAACCTGTTTCTATTGTGTTTTTTTTTCTTGGCCCGTATCTAGTATCAGCCTGCGGTTGGATTCGAGAAACGTCAAAATAACCAAACCGGTTGAAAACCCAGTGTTTATGATTCTGCTCGAATGAAATTAGAATGATGATATTTGTAGCTTGAGAATTTCAAGGTTATATTTGCAGGTGTTAAAATACTACTGTACAGACTGACTGAGTTTTCTCGTGAGATGATTTTGAGAGAAGGTTTTGTAAATATAAAATATAAAGAGTTTTGATTTCTGCTAGCAGATTGGGAGTTTAATAATAGAATCCCTGTCGTGGCTGCTGGTAGTAGAAACCTTGTCGAGGTTGCTGGTAATAGAAGCCTTGTCGGGGTTGCTGGTAGTAGAATCCCTGGTCATAGTAGAATCCTTGGCGGGGCTGTTGGTAATAGAAGCCCTGGTCATAGTAAAAGCCTTGGCGGGGCTGGTCGTAGTAGAAACCTAGAAAAGATCGCTTTAGCTCATATAAAGAACTTATAGTTTAGCTCTTCAGTCAAATTATATCGTTGACTTCGGCTGCATATCCCTCTCTCTTACCTTGTCGGGGCTGGTTGTAGTAGAAACCGTCGTAATAAAAGCCCTGTCGTGGTTCGTCATAGTAGAAACCTTGTCGAGGTTGTTGATAATAGAAGCCCTGATCATAGTAGAATCCTTGCTTTGGCTGCTGGTAATAGAAGCCCTGGTCGTAATAGAAGCCCTGTCGGGGTTCGTTGTAGTAAAATCCTAAAAAGAAGAAGCTGAAGGTTAAAAATATAAATTTCTCTCTAACCCTGGTTGGGCTGGTTGTAGTAGAATCCCTGTCGTGGCTGATTGTAGTAGAAACCCATCTTTATATCTTCAGTTTATCTTTGTTGAGAGTGAACTGATTAACGAAAAAATCGCGCATCGTTATATGCAATTATATTTCCGCTAGAGTCCTAATGAGAAAACATCATTTGTTTTCAAAAATAATAACTCGCTAATGAAGCGCTCTAAATTTTAGACATCATAGAAATGAAAATCAGGTCATCAATGGACTATTTTTCTTCCTTTTAGAATTAACTCTTAAATTTAGTGTATTATTGTTGAAGTTCATCCTTTCCAATATGCTCTTGAACACCCTTAAGGGGCCCCTCAACATATCCCCGTCAAATAACCCCTTGTATGATTCCCACGGACTTGAATCGTTGAATCTTTTTATTGAAAAAAATGGAGCTAGTTTCAAGTACGCCTTTCATGTTTTTCGGGATTTGTTCCTGGGAGGAATGAGGCTGCAATAGACCACAAGCTATTTGCTTCATAGATTAACTCAATCCATCTCTCTTCTGAAACAACATGTGTATCGCGGTTTCCTACACACTTTTTCTTAGCCAACGAAGTTTTATCGCAAGTCCAAACATTGTGACACTGCTTGTACTTGCTAACTGGAAATTATCAAATTAAATGAAACCACAACGACATATCTAATATTATTTTCAGCATTCGTTTATTTAGAGGTTCTGTCTGGAATCAGAGCGATCGTCTCATCGAATTTTGGTTGCAAAAGTTGAAGAATTTCTAAACTTGGGAAAGCCGCAAAGGTTCAATTTTGATCTAAGAGGACCACAATAATCAAAGATATCCAAAGAAAAATAGCGTCCCGCTTCTTCTTCTCTTGGGAATGGAAGTGAACCGCGGAAGTAAAGTTTTCCGAATTTCGCGGTCGCATCCCGAAATGGCACTCGCCTTTGCTAATTATGGGGTTCCAAGCTTATCCGGGGGTAAATATCGTGCTCACCGCCGCGCAACTACCAAAATATAATTTAATTCCGCCACTGCGCTTTTATTCAAAAGAAACAGTCAAAATATCAAGATTCGAGGGTTGAGTTTGAGGCTTTTCAAAAAGAAGCTCTAAAAGAAGATCCTTGTTGAATTTATCTTCTCTAATTGAAAATTGTTCGAGATAACAAAAGTTAATGTGAACCCTTCTCTTACAAGTCGTTCTGATGAAGTCACTCGAACCGGAGCTTCCCGCGGATTTGTGACTTGTGAGATAACCAGAGTGTGTAATAGATCGCCAAAGATCGGATTTTCCAATTTTCGAGTTTTCAAATTTCCCCCTTTTTTTTGCTGATAAGCGCAAATTTCCGAAGCTGACAGTAGTTCATCGAAACCGGCGCGAAACCACACGGGTGTCACAAATTTAACCAAATTTGTAAAACTCTATTCTAGGGGCAATTTGTCGAAATGTTATCAAATTTCTGCGGTCACCGCAACAGGAAATTAACAAATGAGCCCCAAATGACCGGTTTCAACGAAATTTTTTTCTAAAATGTGAATTTTTTGAAATGTCTGAATTTCTCGGAAATTAGGTTCGACTTATTTCTACCCTAAATATTTGCTTCATATTTGATCCATGCTTCCGCCCAGGCGGCTCAAAAAAATAGACAGTAGGTAAACTCAACCTAATTGTGGAAAATTCAAGGTTCGAACATATTTTTCCTCTTTGTGGTTAGGGTTTGAGCATTTTCTGATTCTAGTTAAGACAGTATCTGATCTTGAAATCAGACTACTGCTGATTTCTATGTTGTTTATATGTAGTGTTCAATGACCAGAAAGGCAGGCGCGTGCTTGGCCAGGCGAATGACCGTAACGGAAAAAAAGAAGATGGAAGATTTGATTTCTCGATAGTAATTCGAATGGAAGGCGGATTTATTTTGCGATAAATAGGAATGTACAGGAGCAGCAAGTGTGCTCGTGTGTATATTCAACGCGGCCTACATTTTTCTGCAACGAGCAGGTGCTGTTTTCAAGGCTTCAATGCACAAGGGTTGTCGCAACATAAACATAAGACGTTTTGGAAATACATAATTCTTTCTTACAGAGCTGCTACAGACCCTTACTTATGGTTTGGGTTAAAATTTCAAGTAATAAAAATATTCATATTTGAATGTCCTGTCCGTTCCGAACAGTGGTTGGCCAAGTTGAGGAGCCTTAGCTCGGCAACCTGAGTAGAAAACCTGACTCAGGATTCTAAAAGAGTAAAATGAAAAGCCGCGTAGCGGCTTTTTAAAAATTGAAGCCGCAAAGCGGCTTCGCTAGTTAAAATAATTCATTGAGTTGGTAACTTTGGCGAACCCGCTTTGCGGCTTCGTTTTTTAAAAAAGCCGCTACGCGGCTTTTTATTTACTTTTTAAGAACCCTGACTCAGGTCGCCGAGCCCAGTTAGGAGCTACCAAATGTATTCTTGGCAAATTGTGGATGAAATTCTGCGGAATGCGAATAAATGCAAACGGCCCTTGAAAAATATCTAGGCCACTCTTAACGAAAAGCATTCTAAAAGCTGTGTTCCAGTGGAACCCAACTAATTGCCATTCAAAATTCATCAGTCCCCAGCAGGTGCGAACAGAAAAATTGTTTGCTTTCTGAAGTGAGCTGCTTGTATAATTCGTTGTGCGACTTGCGTTACTGTGTTTTCTCTTCTTCCGGATCATCCTGAGGATTTGTCTAACTCGCACAGATCACGTTATGGTGCCTCGCGCCGCTAGTTATTATATCCGCCCGTTGGATTGAGCAAATCTGAGTTTGGTGAGAAAACGAAAAGAAAGCGAAATTCAGCTCTTTGACCAACCGGGCATCGGCGCCTTTTACAGATAAAAAAAATGCGATAAGATCAGCTTCACCCTTATAAAATAAAAGGGTAAGAAGACCAATAAAATTCTAGGTCGCTTTTTGACCTGTATTGCTGTCAAAACAGAAGAAAATAAGATCCCAAAACAGCAAAAGTTTTCCTTGTTTCAAGAGGTGAAACCGGAAACAGACGGGGAGGTTGGTTCCTTGTTCTACATGAGTCGATCTTGTAAGTTCATCAAAAGATGCGGCCTATTTCGAGCACAAACAGAGAGAAAGAGAGAAGAGTACAAGTTTTTCAAAAGGGTCGAGCTTTTCTTGGAAGATACTGGCCAAAATGAGAAGCTTTATCCCATTTTCGTTTTACTAAAAATAATTGAACATATTTACATGCTCCTCAAAACAGACTAACTCAATCATCGTCACCATGTCAATATGGAAAACATGATCAGATCAAAACTCAAATCAGCCAAATCCAAGTGACTTGTCAAAATTATCCAAAACTTTGATACTTTCAAGCGACATCGAAAAATTACTTGATGAGAGCAGCGAAAAAGGGCTGAGTCGCTAAAGTTCGCAAAGCACTTTGCTCAAGAAAAGCGAACATTTCACAAGGATTCGCGATCTCGATTTAGAGCGAATTCAACACCAAATTCGTGAACGAGCGCATTTCTTTACTGGAGAACCGCGAATTCTTTGGGAATTGCCCTAGAAAGCAGTGATTTCGAACGAATCATTTTGAAAGTAAAAGCATCCGGAATGAGGCTTAGAAATGTCTGGACACCGAAAAAAACTGTCCGGCAATTAGGCGGCCTTTCTTTTGAAGGCGAAAATTTATGTCACGTGGCAGATAGCCATTTTATTTTTACGACTGAGCCTTTCTAATCTTAAACATGCTAATTATCCATTTTTGAAGAATTTTTTTTTCACCTCGCGTTAAAAATTTCAATGCCTGATTTCAAAATAGGATTAGTGATAACAACTCTACTGTTAGAAGAAAACGGTTTATTTTGTGATTTTGAGGGAATTTTCGCGAGAAAATCACTTGTCTAAAATATGATGATAATCAAATCAAATCTAAAGAATCAGGTCTTTGTAACAAACAACGGTAAGCCGAAGTTTTGCATAATTACGGTGATGATTTGATAAAGGATAAATATGTTTGAACCATCAACATTAACGGTACACACTTCCATATAGAGAAAGAGGGATACTTATTTGTGTCAATCATAGCCGAAAAACACGGAAGAAAGCAAATCTATTTAGGTTACTTTCTGGCAGTCTCCTTTCTTTCTGGAGTTCTGGTGCAAAAACTCTGGGTCAAAAAATAATGGCGTAATACCTACATGATGGCAGCTGTGTTTTTGGACATTGTAAGACGGCGTTTAGATGCCCCTTAACCCAAAGCCGCTACGTAAGCTGGTATATTAAATCATGGGTGTGCGCCGATAAGGCCTTTTCTGCAGAATTGATCCAATAAAAGACCTGACGTGGCTTTATTTCAACCCTTCAATTAAAAAGAAAGAAGCGATTCTACGTGAGGATTTAAAAATACAGGTGTCTCCTATACTCCTGTACATTCGGTATTATCTCCGTTTCATTATCACTGGCCCGGATTTACTGTCAGCTTCAATGAGCGTTTACGGCTGTCAGAGACAGCGTACGTCAGCCACACGCCGCCAAAGCGCACAAGACGACATCGCTATTAAAATTTACGAGATAAATTTAACTGCACGGAGGTACAGTCTTATCAATACTGTATAAACGCTTGTAAATCGGGATCGGATTCTTCTTGAATTGGAATTTTTCCACGTAAAATTATAAAGCGGCCTTCGTCTTTTTAGAAAATTTCTGCAACTCAGCTTGCCTGCCTGGGTGGAGACCCTGAGTCAGGATTTTTAAAGAACTTTCAAAAAAACGTTGCAGAAAAAAAGTACTTAGAGCGAGGCGCTTCCTTTGCGTCATGAATTATTCCGGATATTTGAATTTCGGAAATTCCAAACTTTGGAAGAAAATTCTCAAATCAATCGAATTTTAATGGGCGGCGAATTCGGGGTACTCGTGCCTTTGTTGCTCAGTCGGCGGGGCGGAAGTCGGGCGAGTCCTCGAGCACTTCCCTGAGGGTCGTTTATCGCCCTAAGCGGATGTCCATCGACCCGGGACAAACACACAAATCACCGTTCTTATCGTAAGACTTTCCGGGAACTCCCTTGCCAGAGAAAATTTTCGAAGGCGAATT